AACCCCAACCCCAACCCCAACCCCAACCCCAACCCCAACCCCAACCCCAACCCCAACCCCAACCCCAACCCCAACCCCAACCCCAACCCCAACCCCAACCCCAACCCCAACCCCAACCCCAACCCCAACCCCAACCCCAACCCCAACCCCAACCCCAACCCCAACCCCAACCCCAACCCCAACCCCAACCCCAACCCCAACCCCAACCCCAACCCCAACCCCAACCCCAACCCCAACCCCAACCCCAACCCCAACCCCAACCCCAACCCCAACCCCCAACCCCAACCCCAACCCCAACCCCAACCCCAACCCCAACCCCAACCCCAACCCCAACCCCAACCCCAATAATTAATTTTTGTTCATTATAATTTATGAAATTAAAAATTTTTAATAGTTTTTACACTCCTTTGTACAATTTAAATTTAATTATTTTAAATATTTGTAAATTATTAATTTTAAAATCTAAAATTTATTAAAATAGCTAAGTTTTATCATAAACTGATAAGGAAGTAAGATAAAATTTAATATAAAAAATATATCAAATATATTTAAAACATATGTTAATTAAAAATATTAAAAACATATTAGTAATATTGATTGAAGTTATTGAATAAATTATATTTTACTTAAATATTAAATATTATTTCTAAATAATAATTTAAGAGGTTGTAATTTTTTAGAAATTTTTACTCCTTCCTTTAAATATAATTTAAATTAAATTGTAAAAAATTTTAATATTTTAAAATATTACATTAATTAAAAATAGCTAAGTTTAAATATAAAATAAAAAGTATATCACATATATAATTGAGGAATGTTTATTTATATTATTTATTATTCAAATATTAAGTAAATTTCATTTTAATTAAATATTTTAAATTCTTTTTAATAATTTATTAAATTTAACTTTTTTTAATAATTTTACTCATTTTTATAATGTTATCCTGTAATATTAAAAATTTTTAATTTATCAGATTAGCTAATATGAAAAAACAAGTAAGAGAAATTTGATATAGAAGGTATATCAAATAGAAATTTGAAGAGTATTTTAGTCAAAAATTTAACAAAAAGATTAAAAAATAATGATTGATTAATTAATTGAAGTTATTATAAAATTATACTTTAATTAAATATTATAAATTTTTAGTAATATATATTTATTTATTTTATTTGTGTTTATTGATTTATTTCTATTGTTTTACTTTAATAATTTATTTAAAATAATTTATTTGAAAACTGATTTACAAGCAATTAAGTAAGTAAGTAAGAAAGTAACTTATCAATCAATTCATTAGTTTTTGAATTTGCTTTTAATTCTACTTTATTATGTATCTTTTACTTCAAATCCTTCATCATTTGAATCGTTATTATTTTACAAGCTATCTGAGAATGTACTTTTTTTTTCAACATGGAAGGAGTTATTTTTATTGACTCTATGTGCTCCAAAATAAGATTAACCTGCTGAATGAGATGTAGGAGTATTGCTATGATGCTTAACTGAAGAGGGAGAATCAGCAGTGAAACCTATTTGAGAAGCTTAAATGTTTTAATCTAAGAAACTTTACCATTTACTTTTGAATTTTATTTAATGGATATTATTAATATTATTTTTAATAGCATTAACCAATTCTTTATATTCAGGTTTATCATTGCTTAGAACAAGTAACTTTTGCAAGATAAAATTACCATACTATATTTTCATGAACTCAGCAATACATCTCTTTTATATAATTACTTAAATTGCTCTTTTGTAAAAATCCTTAATTAAAATTAATTTAATATTATTTACTTTATTTTTTTAACTTTATAATTTACTTTGCAATATGTTGATATGCATTTCTCTATTACATTTGATGAGTATTTTTATATAGAGAAGTGTTATAACTTTTCAAGTATCTTTGCAGTTATTTTTTCACACTTTTCCTCTTCATAACACTATTTATTTACATCAAAATTTTAATTTATTATGGTTAAAAATTATCAATATTAAATACATCATATGCATGTTAAATTGCATAATTTCCAAATGGATTTTGAATGAGTTCATCGTTATTTTAAGCTAATAAATCTATAATTATTTCGGATTTACTATCTCCTTTTAATTTAGTCATCATTGCTTTAAGCTAGTTTTTAAAATACTTAAATTAATATCAATTATGTTACATATTAAAATTACCACACAAAGAGAGTGCTAATTATTACCAAATTTAACAATATCTTTAATGATTGTGTCAAAAATACATTGCAAATTTTTTAAAGGGAAGCAACCAATTATTTTTTAAATAAAATGAGTTGCATTGTGATGCTTTTATTTAAATATTATATTTATTAATTAATTATGATGTAAAATTTTATTTTACTTAAGAGAGTTCTGAAATTTTATTTTATATATTATTCATAATTAAATCAATCTCTTCATCTAAATTAATCAAAGAAATCAATGTTTAGAGAGAATGAGTTCCCTTCTTATCATAAACAAGATCTGCAGTATGATTAGAAACCTTTTTTTATTTTAGAATTAGAATTTTAAAAAATTGTAATAAATTGATTTGTTATTTACTTTTTTTAATATTTTTTTTCTTTGATCTATAGAACAAACTTATATTAAGGATTAAAACATATAATTAGCATATGAATCAGTAACTAAATTTGGTAGTTCTTCATAAATTTCATCTATTACAGAATCTATTTCTGATCCTTAACATTGATGAAAGAATCTCTAGAGTTGATGACTTCCTCCATTAGTCTTTGCTAAGTTGAGAATAGTGCCTTCTATATCTTTATAGGATTTAATGTCTGTGAATTCTTCACCTGGATTTACCTGAACTAATTAATAAATAATAATACAATTACTTAATTTTTCAATAAATGCTTAGGCTGGCTTACAGTCATTAGTGTCTTAAGTGATAAAATTAAGATTATTTAGATCTTCCTATATATCTTTTGTGTTAGATATATTTTTAGGAGAGTAAGTAACTGAATTTTCCATAGAGTTAGGATAATTCTTTAGGAATATTTATTTTTTTTATTGTTTTTCATGGACTGGAGAATTGACTTAGACAAGAGGATTAACTTTTTAAAAAATTAATTATCAATTTTTTTTAAATAAACAATAATTAATTTACAGGAACTCTTTTAAGTTCTCCTTAATTCAGTTTAAGGTGTATTTTATCCTGATGGATTTTCATTGGACTTGAGAGGAAGTTTTATGTTCATATACTAAAAATCTAATAAAACAGTATTTTGCTAGCTTAAATTTGAAAAAAGTTGCTATATGTTGCTAGAACATTTCTCAAACTTTACAAATTAAACTCCAATTTAAACAATGTTGCCATTCTACTCCTAAATAAAATTAACAAAATTTAATTCTTATTGAGCAAATAAATAATTTATTTATACTATTTTCATTTCAAAAGGTTGATATCTATCCACTGTGCTTAAAAAGTCCCATTAAAATTCAAAAGTGTAAATTTCCTAATTAGTATTTAAATAAATTTGAAATTCCTATTTTTAACCAATTAATTATTTATTTATTTACCTTATCAAAATGCAATGTTAGAATGCATCTGGATCTTAAAAATGGTAAAGCTATTTATTGTTATTCAAAGAATTCTGCATGCTAATTATTCATTTTCCAGTACGCATTTTAATCGTTCTTTTTATTAGGAATTAATTAATTTAAATAAAGAAATTCATTTAATCATACACCGAAGTAAATAGGTATGAATTTTTCTAATCTGAATAGTTTTTAATTTGAAACAGGGTGAAATATATCAAAGGAGGCAGGGATGAACTTTGTTGTTCTAAATTTTTGAGATTCATCAAAGCTGTAGAATGTATCAGTTTAAACATGTTAAATACTTTTAGTTACAAATTAGATGTTGTTTTGTGTAGTCATATAACTTTAATAACAATTAGAGTGTATAACATAATTTTTTTATACTTAGCCTACTTTAAAAACCTAGAAATCATCAGTCTGCAAATTAATAACTATTTGAAAGAATAAAAAAATATTAAACTATCTATTTTAGTTCAACTTTTCTAAAAAAAGTAAAAAAATTACATTTTTTGCATATAGGGCAGTTTTGTTATGATAACTTAAGTTACTCTATAATATTTTAATTTTATGGATATCCTATAATCTAAATAGCATCAGACTGTAATTTTACGTTATTCTCTAAATAATGATTAATCTACAACTATTACTGTTACTACTACTAAGCTAAAGGAGACATTACTAATATTTTTTAATGATAATATTGGTTAAAAACAATTAAAAAACTAATTTATAGTATGCTTAGTGATTTTATTTAGTTATTTATTTTGCTAAATTAAGAAATTTTTTTAAACTCCACATTTCATAAACTTTTTAAACAAAAAAAACTGATAGAGCTTTATTTGTGTTAAATATTTAAAAAGGCATCTCTTAATATACCACTAATTGATAGTATTAAAAACTAATAAATGCTATTTTTATTAAGCTATCGCAAATTTTAAAATATATGTTGTTTATATTATTCAATAAATTCCTAATTAATTACTTTCATCATTAATGATCATATTTTGGTTAGAGCTGTCAATATAAGATTGCTATCTAATTTAACTTTTTATAAAATAAAATGATTTAGTTAGGCTTAAGAAAAAAAAGTCTTAAATTGTTTACTGCTAATAATAGCCATTTCCAACTTAGGGCATAGGATTAAACTAGTTAGGAATTGACATCTACTAAATAGCATTAGGTGGATAAGAATACATCTGCCCAGGATAGTTCATCTAAACTTGATTTTACATTTGATAATAATTTTGCATTGGGAATTAGTTTCCTTATATTAAAGGCTATTGCTAAGGAGGAATTAGTTCTCCACCCATATACCCAAACATTTGCTATTACTACATGTTTATAGTCAAAGGCTTTTCTATAATATAATTTAGAAAACGAATTATTATTAAATTAAAATGAAGTTTTTGGAATAAATTGCTAAATAATGAAGGAAAAAGCAAAATGAAATGAATAAATTTAGTAAATTCAAATTTTAAATAAATAGAAAAAAATGGTTTTTTGTTATTTTGATCTAGTAAATCTAATTTTCTTGTAATTGATTGAAATTATTTTACAATTAAAAGCATCGATTAGGGTCTTATCTATGTTTTTTTCAATCAATTCAGTGTATTCAGTTTTGTTCATATCTTAAATGATCTGTATTAAGTTACTTACTATTACTACTATGGAAGATGTGTTTAAGAAATTTGAAAAATAATTATACTTTGCTTTATATTTAGCTAATTTTTATAAAATTATTTGAGAACTATTTTAATTTTTATAATTATTTTGCTATGCTCTTTTTTTGCAATATTTTTTTTCCTAACCTAAATGATTAAAAGAAAGTAAAATCAAATCTTAGTTAGTTATCTCCAAATTAAACTAATTATAAATTATGGTTGATCTTATTTAATTTTCCTTAAGTATAAGTTAATTTTGATGATTGATTTTTATTTTAAATAATTAAATCTTTAAAATTTTAAAATAAATTAATTTACCTATTTGCTCACTTAAATGCCATTTTACCTATTAAAATAGTTTAAATCGTATAGTTCATATGTCTATTTAGTAATTAGTGTTAAGTTATATTAAATAGCACTTTTTTATAAAATAAAAATTCTAATTTTGAAAACTAAATAAAATACTATGTGATATAGATTTTTTTTATTTGACTTTAACAAGTAATTAAATTAATTTATGCAAAAAATGATTCTATATAAGTATAGAATTAATTTCAATATTTAAAAACTACTTAAGTATATCTTAATATTAAATTATTAAACTAAAATTAATTTAATTAAATAGTTAAACAATATTTTTCAAATATAATTTTGAAACTAAATAAAATACTTTTTGCATTTAATATATACTGTAAATATATATTCTTGCTAATTAGGATTTAAATAAATAAATGTGTTTAAGCAATTATTAATATTAATTAAGATATATTCTTAATAATTTTTTTTCTTTCTTCACCCTCTCTCTAAATGCTCCTTAATTAAAATATCAACAATACTTTTTACATTATTAATCCTATTAAAATTTTAGATTATTGTTATTCACTTTTCAGTTTTTTTATTCAAAATACATCAAAGTTTTTATATCTCTTTCAAATAGATAATCTGAATGAAAAGGTAATTAGGCAATCAATATACTTTTATAATGGATTAAATATCAAAATATATTTACAAATCTTTAAATTGATAATATGAAGAATAAAAGTGCTATTATTAGTAATCGATTTAATTATGGCATATTAAGTTATTTTTGATTTTTTTTTTAGGGTTTATTTATTTACAATATAAAAATTAATAAATAAATGATTAAAATTATTTGTAATAATATTTAATTTAACATTGTTAATAATTTTATTTAATAAAATGTCAAACTCTAAATTATATAAAAACTCATTATTATTCTATTTCAGCACTTGATTCTCCTCTACTAATTTTATTTTCATAATTTTTTGTTTTTTCTGTCTATTTGTTTCTTGTTCTGGTAGTACTTTTATTTGCCCGTATTTAAGAACTTTTTAATTAAATATATTATATGAATATTAAATAAAAACTCAATAAGAAATTAAATAATTACAGATTAATATTTTTTGTGATGTCTCCTTTTGAACTTGCATCTTGTAGTAAAAAGGAATTTAATTAGGGTGAAATATGAGGTTTGCTACTATTATTTCTATTGCTGCTAAATATAAAAGATTAATCATCATAATCAGCAGGTTCTGTTTTTATTCTGGTTTTTAATTTATCCTAGATTTTTTCTGAAACTCTTTTTTTATCTTTTGAAGACTTATCAATGCTACTTGTTAGTACAGATTTTTTGACTAATTTATTACCTCCTTAATTTAAAACTTATGATTTTGTAATTTACTTAGGAGTATCATCTTCATTGCGGAATTTCGCAAGACTAGACTTAGCTTATTAATAAAGCTTATTCTGAGTAATGTGATTATGGTCAATAATTTAATTTGGAGAGGCTTTCCTTAAATAGATGTTTTATTTTTGATTTAACTATTATTGCTGGTGTTGTTGTTATTATTATTATTATTATTGCTATTTAGCTAAGTTGATTTGAGCATTTTACAAAATTTATTATATCTAATTTTGATGAGATTATATACTTTAACTTAATTATTATGGATTATTTAAATTTTATTAGAAATGTTAGATTATTATTGGATTTTAAAGTATATGCTATTATTATATTTATTGTTACTACTATAATTACTATTGTAAATGTTAATTCATATTTTTTTACTGAGGAGACCAATTTTCTCTAATCGCCCCTTATTATTAAATTTAATTTATTGTTTATTAGAAAATTTATTGGTTGCTTTGTTAGGTTTAGTTCAAATTTTATTATTGCTATGTTTAAATATTCATATTACTTTGTAGTTACTAAACATTCTATGGATTTTATTAGAAATTTAGATAATTATTTGCAGCAGCTGTTGCATAACTATCTGGACTAGAAGAATACTTATGAATCATGTTGTGCTATGCTATTTAATTTTATTTTTATTATTATTTTGCTGCGTATTATAGGAGCTGTTAAGCAGGTTGATTGACTATGATATTAGATTAATTTTGCTAATGAAATTAACCATTACTTATATTAGTCTTCTTAGAACCTGTATTTTTATTAGAGTTTTATTCAATAACTTTATTTCTAATTGGAGTTTTTTCTATTTTTTATGTATTACTTTTTTAAATTAACACATCTTTTTTAAATTTATCTACTTAGTTTGTTGATTTTGATTACCTAATTAATTATTTAAATTATAAAAAAACATAAAATTTAATTAATTAATTATTAATAAAATATTTTACTGATTTGTGGAGTAATTAGTAATTGCTACTTTCTTTTTTGAGGCAGAAGTTGTCCTTTCTCTACTTTTTTCAACCTTTGAGTGGTTATGATTGTTGATATTTGAAGTTGTTTAGTTTGTAGCCTAAAATGTAGGATTACTGCTGTCTGTTTTAAGTCTATGATTTCTTAGCTTTGAGTCTCTTGCTTATGAGCCTGTTCTTTTTACTACCTTTGAAGGAAGTGGATTTTAAGAAATATCTATAAAGTTACTATTATTATTTCCATGTTAATTTCCTGATTCTACACTAGTTTACTAGTCTTAAATTAAACTATAATTATTCATGGATCCTATAGATGTATAAACTGTTTGCCTCTACTTAGAATTTTATGTTGGTGTTTCCCTTTGTTTATTGACTATTTATTGTTAATTTGCTGGTAATTTTTTTGTTGTCTTTGATATATCTTTTTTCTTTATCAAATCTGAAATGGTATTGCAATTCATTGAGGCAGATACACTCTCTTTAGATTTAGATAGAGTCTTTGTAAATTATTTTTGTTAAGAAAAATTTTAAACTTGATTATTAAATAAGCTATAATTATTAAAATTCATTTTCAAAGTCTCCATTAAGCGTTATTGTTACTATTTTTATTATTAAACAATAAATAAATAAATTATTTTTCAAATTTTTTAAATAAAAAAATTTTTTTTTTAATTTTTAATTACTTTGTTTTTCTTTTAAGTTTATGTGAGGTTGTTTGAATTACTACCTTAAATAGATGAACTTGGTCTTTAAATATTTTACTTTGTGGTAAATTAATTAAAATCATTTATTTCTTACTATTACTGCTGCTATTATGCTTATTTAACTGCTGGTGGAGCTATGTTATCAATATAGTTATTTTACTATGAATTCATACTGTGGTATGTGTTGCTAGCTTAAGAATTAGTTGAAATAACTCCCCCATTTACTAAATTAAAATTTTTATTGCTATTGTTATTTGTGCTTATAAGGTTAGCTGAAATAGCAGAAGCATTGTTATTTTATATCTATTTTTATTTAGAAAAATCTAAAATTTATTTATGCTACTCAAAGTTAACATCATTTTATTTAATTTAATCTTAGGCAATTTGCTTAGAATAGTTACTTGAAGTTAGTTATTACTAAGAGCCATTTTAAATTTAACCCTAATTTGATGACAGTGGTATTATAACTACATCTTCAGATATTTCACTGTCATTATTATCATAAAGTTTATGAGCAGCCTCAGATGCATTATCATCATCGTAATTCAAATCATTTCCTTCCGTCTTTAATCTTCTATCATATTCACCTAAAGTTTAAATATGATCTGTATTACGACCAAAATCTTCATCATCTTTATTATTATGCTAGTTATACTTATTGTTAACTTAGCTTTAATCATCTTCATCATCTTCATCAAAATAATAATCTTCTATTGTAAGTGGTTATGCTTATTGTTTGAAATTATTTTAATTATATTTTTCTTCATTTGTTTATTTGGTTGTTTTATTACCTTAACTACTAGCTACTTATCTATTCTTTTATTAGTCGTTGGTGTTTTAAAATTTAACCTTTCCCTCTTTTAAGATCTTTTTCATCACTTAAGCTTATTTCTAATCCACAAATTAATCTTATATTTTCATTTTCATGTCATTAGCTTATTAGTTTAGTTTAGAAGTTTTATTGAAATTAGTTAAGTCTTGTTTGAAATTTTTTTTTTATGAATTGCTAATGGCTTCTTAACCAGCTGAAGCAAAATTATCGAGTTCATTTATTTAATCGCTTTGTAAATTAGTTTTATCGCCTCCATCAGAAGTAAAATTATCTAATCCATTCGTTTAATCACTTGGTAAATTACTCAAGCTTAAAAAATTAATATAATTATTTTTTTACTAATTAGGTGGTTGGTTGGAAGTTATTTAGTTGTTAATTATACTAAAAATACTATTTTGAAAAGATTTTTAAAGATTATCTAATTCCCTATTAGCTGTTTGATTTAGTTAATTAAAATTTTAAACTCTTTATACCTTAGGCAAATTCTATGAATTTAGATCATATTCAGTAACACCTTCAAGAGATTCAAAAGAAGAACTTCCTTCTGAGTCATAATCTTCTGAATCAGAAAATCTTCTTGGAAATGTATATATTTTATTTGGAACAGACTTTTAGAATTATTTTTCAATGATTTTAACTTTTTATTCCTAACAATAGCTTATTTCTTGACTAGAATTTTATTAATCAGAAACCTACATTTTTTATTATTGCTGCTGGAGTTAAGCTTACATTTCTTACTATAATTTTTACTGAATACTTCTCTCATACGACATGCTTAGCTATGGTACAGGGTTTTTATTTTTTTAAATTTCTTAATCTTATCTTTAAATTTATAAGCGATTCTTTTTGTCGCTTTACAAAAGGTTATCATGAGATTATAACAGCTCTCCCAATTGATAATGTTTATTACTTTAATTAAAGCGCAATTATTAATTATTTTGAAAGTTTTACATATTTTAATTGTCATTTTATTCATCCTCATTTTATTCTTACATTTCATATTCTTCTTAAAGATCATAAAAGTTATTTTAATCTTGTCCAAAACGATTATTGCTTCCTTTAAATTCTTCTATATTTTCTAAATTGATGTTATTCAATTTTTAATTGAAGGTCCCAAATTAATCCTTTTAGAATGAGTGCAATTAATCTTCCTAAAAATTACTTATTTTGATTGGATTTTATGCCTAACCTCTACTCTATTAATAATTTTAAAATTATCCATTTTCCCTATTTTGCTGTTAATTCTGAATAAGATTTAATCTAAATCCTTATTGTTATTAAAAGTTATTTTGTTATTATTGATGCCAACTGCCGCTCTCTTTTTACTAATGCTAATTCAATTTAACATTTTCGGTTTATTAAGCAATCCAATTTTATATGTTAACTTATCCTTTGCCTGTATCTTTATTAAAGTTTTTATTCTTTTCTTTATGATAGATATCTTGTTAATCCATAGCTACTTCTATCTATATATCTATAATGCTAAATAATTTAATTTCAAATTACTTTTATTATTTTTTACTTACTGTATTTTGAAGTTAGTATTTAAAATAAATCAATAAATTAATTAGTTAGAAATCTAACAATACACTTAGCTATAAGCTTTAAAAAATAAATGAACGATTTTTATTAGAAAATCTTTTAAAGAACTATGAAAATTTGGATTGGTTGTCCATTAACATATAATATATATATTAATATCTTAATATAAATTGAATAAAAAACATCACCCAAACAAAATCATGATTTATTTGTTTGTTTGTTATATTCAAATTTATTTTTACATTTTCATAAAATTATTTACGAGCTGTTAAAATTTTAGCAAATATGTCTCAAGTTATTTCAAAAATATTTCTAAATTATTTATTAAAAAATTATTTTTCATTAAAAAAAATTAAATATTCTTTATTTTTTTAGCTTTAAATAAATGTTGTAAAAATTAAAGAATAATTTTGAGCAAAAAACAATTCATTTTTTGAAATAGTTTTTTTTTTGAGATTTTGAAGAGAAAAAAATATTATTAAAATTAGATTTATTTTACTGAAAATATTAATTAATTAGACTTTAAATATTTAAAAATGTTATCTATCTGTACAGAAATAGCTAATATATTTTTTGATGATTATTTTTTTTATTTATGACAAAGGTTATTAGTGATTAAATTATTTATATTAAAAAAATTTTGAGATAACAAAATCAAATATATATTCTCATATCTCTATAAACATTAAAAGCAATTAATTTAATTTTAGTTAAGGATAAAAATCAATACAAACATCATATTTTTTATAATATATAAAAACACGATATCTTAATCTTTTCTAAATAAAAATGGAAGTTTATAAGGAGTTTTATACTTTTATAAAGCATTTCCCTGCTGATCTAACAAGGTTGAATGAAAGTGGTAATGAAAATCAAAAAAAAAACAAAAAGAATAAGCAAGATCCTTCTGTTAATAATTAATCTTAATAAAATCAAAAAAATAACAAAAACTCTCAAAAGGCAAACAAATCACAATAATCAAAAGAAGAAAATTCAGGTCCTACAATTAATGAATTGAGGTAAAAGTTATAAAACAAGATTAAAGAGTAGAGAGAGAAACACTCCTCTAAGAATCCTGAAAAGATAAAAAAAGCTATCTAAAAGGAGAAGGTGAAATAGTAGAACACTCAAAAGCAATAAAAGAAGAACCAAAATAACAAAGACGACAATAAAGGTGCTTAAACTGGAAAGGGAGGCAATTAAAATAATCAAGCTGCTGAAAAGTAAAATAACAATAACAATAAGAATTTCAAGAATAAAGATCAAAAGAAGCAACACGCTTAACAAAAGTAACACTAATAGAATAACAACAAGGCTAACATTAAGGGAAACAAAAATAAAGATTAAAGATAGAGAGCTGGATTTGAAGGCAAAAGAAATAAAAAATTTAAGCACAAATGAAATCAATAATATATATGAATATATCAAGTATGTCATTACATATTTTATATTTTAGTAAGAAATAAATTCTAAATTGTTTTACAATATTAAACAGCAGGTAGGAATAATCTTTAAAACTTCAATTATCCTATAAAATAAATTTGATCTTAATTATTTATTATTCAATCAATATCCTATAAATTACCAGTAGAGGTAGACAGGTTCATACAATATTTGAATAAAATTTTAAAAAATGAAATAAAATATTTTAAATTAACAAATAACAAAATTTTTAAACAATATTAGATTATAAAACATTTAAATACACAAGATTTTAGCTTTAAAATTTTTATTATTTACGTTTAATATGAATTTAGATTAAAATTAAATAAATTAACAAAATTTAAATTTATTATCAGTTTAACAAATATAATTATACCTAAGAAGATCGATAAATGAATTTAAATATTTATTTATATGATGAATTTAATATATAAACCAATTAAACACTTTTAAGAAAAAGACAAAAAAACAAACACACTATTTTAAAATTTTAATTTTTGAATTGTAATTAAATGAATAAATGAATAATCTGGGCTAAATATTTTCTAAGATATGTTTACGAAAAAGAATATATACGATGCTTAAAATTATTTTTCATAAAAGTTTATAAGATTTAAATAGATCTTCTGGTGCCCCAATTGTTTTAAAAAGATTTGAAAAACCTATTTTAAAAAATTATATCAAAGAAATAAAAATTATTAAAATAAATACTTTTCTTTTCATCTTTTGTAATTTGCATGAGACACATGTTAAATTTATAGGTGTCTTTGATATTTTGAAAAACTTCAACAAGTAAAGGATAATCTCTAATTTATATTAAATATTAAATAAATTATCTTATTGAACATTAAAATTTATTCTTACTCTTATTTCGAGTGCTTGTTAATTGCATCTAATATGAGTAAAAGATAAGTTGGTGGATAATCTTTTTTTGAGAAAACCTTTTTATAAATATCAGTTGGAAGCTTTTTTATGTAAAGATAAAGCTTGTCAGAGTGCTTTTTAAATGTATCAAACTCTTATTCGTATTAAAAGGTATTTTATGGATTTTCTTTTCTACTTAAAATTTATTCTTTAAAAAAATTTTAAATTTTTGAATCATATTTTTAGAATAAATTTTACCAGCCATCTTATCAAAGGCATTCTTTGTTACTTCGTTAAGCTCCTGCAATGTAAAGTTTTAAGATATTTTCAAATTTTCATTATTCTTCTTGCTTTTATTAATTACAACTTCTTAGATATCTGAATCTTTATCCTAATTTTGCTTCTCTTCTTCTACTTCTTGCTTTTTCTTTTCATTTTGATAGGTAGGATCCAAATTTTTTAATGCGATCTTTATCTTAACTGATTCTTTTACGATGTATGATAATTCTTATTTTACTGCTTTATTTTCCTCAAGAGTATTTAGCTTTTCTAAATCAGCTCTAGCCTGTGAAAATAATCCATCTTTTATTCTTAAACTTTCTAAATCCTTTGGATCGCTATATAATTAACTCTCGGCTTATGCTTTATTAGACAATGCCCTTCTATACAAAGCCTTTGTATTATCTGGATCAATTTTAAGTACTTTATTACATATTTAAATTGCTTCAAAATGTTAATTTTAATTTAAATGGCACAAGGCAAGGTTTGTGGATAATTGTAAGTAAAGAGTTTTTAAATCTTTATTATCAGAGACGTTCTAACCAGATTTTTCAATCAAATCGACTCCATTTTAGAAAGCTATTGCTGCACTTTTTAGATCTTTCTATTTAAATAAACTATTTCCTTATTCTTTAATCTATTCTACTTATTTTAAATCCATTTCAATTTATGCTTAATAGGTATATCTTTTTATTTTAATTTTTTTTAAATCTCAAATTTTAATTAAATATTTTGATTAAAAAACAAATGTTCTAAATTCCAAATAGAAACAAAGAATATTTTTTCTATGAAAATCTTTATTCTACTTTATAATTTATTTATTTTTCATTTTAATAATCTTCTAATTAAATTTAATAATTAATTTCATTTAAATTCGCAAAGTATGATTTCAAAATATTATATTTTTTAATTTTATAAGAAATCCTTACAAAAAATCGATTTGATAATTGTAATTTTTATTTTATTGAAATATAAGTAAGTGGGTGCGTGATTTTGCTTGATTTTGAAAGAGTTTATAAAATCAAACACATCCATAAATCTTTATTTGCAAATCTTATAGAAATTAAATTAGAGAAATCAAAATATTTATTTACAATTTTTTGATAAATTGAATAGAAAGATGTAACTGAATTTTCTAATTTTATAGAAAGAATTAATAAAGAGAAAATATTTTTTTGTAACGATTTCGCTTTAGATTTTATTTATATAAAATTATTTAACTAATAGAAATAAATTATCAATTATGTTCATGGATTTGTTTAAAAATGTAAAAGTTAAAGCTATAAAATGAATGATTTATAAATTGTCATAGTAAAAATAATTTAGCTAATACTCTTTTTTCAATGAAAGAAAGTGAATAAAAAAAGTAAACAGTATGCGGCTTAACTATAAAGGAAAATTATTAATTTAAATTAAGACAAAGGCCATCCATTTTTTTGATTTTTTGAGTGGTTGAAATTAAATTTAAAAAATATTGACTGGAAATGTGATTATAGCCTGTTGCATTTACAATATAATTAATTCAACTTTTCCCCTGCTTTGCGATTAAGGGTCTTTTAAACTTACAGTTCTTTTTTAAAATTACATAATTTTTTACTAAGTATGGATAAAAGATTGTATTCATGAAAGATTAAAAATGAAAAAGAAAGGAGATTTCAATAAATTTATCATATTTTAAAAATTATTTTTTTATGATAAAATGAGGTCAATAAGTAATTGCGTATTGGGATCTCTTTTATGTTCTAATAAAAGTATAATTTTATAATTGGAATAATCAGCAATATACAAGTATGTAATTTTATTGGTTCTAATAAAATAGAGGAATTCCATCGCTTTTTAATTTATATCTATGTTGATAACCAAAGAAAATATTGTCTTTTTGTAAATGTAAGAAATATTAAAAACCTTTTTTCATTTGAGAGCAAATAAACTTTTAGAAAAAAAATACTTTGATAATTTAATAATCAATAATAATCTTAATAAATATTTCTAAGTTAATCCTTATAGTAAAGCAAACTGTGTAAAAATAAAAATCATAAATAAATAGTGATAGTTTATGACAAGCTTGTTAAAAACTAACAACTAAAATTAGCAACATTTTAACTCACCAGGGAATAAATCTTTTAATCTTGATGTTACTAATTCAAACGATACAAGTGAAATGAGATAAATAAAGCTAAATTATAATAGCCCTGAAAGATTAAGTCGTCAAAATAGAGAAAAAAGTGTGAATGATTATTCGCCAAACTTAAATACAAATCAATCAAGCAATAAAGTCAAAAAAGTCTTCATATACACTGGCTCTGACTCTGATTAGAATAAACGCGAAACGGTTTCTCCAAAATTATCAAATGAAAATACTTAATTTTAGAATAAAAAGGAGCCATAAACACCTCTTCCTAATTACTAAAATAAGTAAGGAGCTAATAAGGGTATCCTAAAGCTCAATAGATAAACTCCTTAATCAAATTAGAGTAGCGAACCTTTTTAATATGCAAAAGATTAAAATTTAAGCTTGAGCAGTGTAGAGTAAAATTAGAGAATGCAAACGCATTATATATAAAAAAACGATTCGAATTTAGATTCTTTCTAACAAAAAGCAAGCTAATCTATTTAGTTAATGCCTCTTTATTAAAGTAAAGCTAATGTGAACCAAAAAGAATTTAATGACATAAATTTTTAAAAAAATAATTTTTATCAATCCTATAGCACATAAATTAATTTTGTAAAATAAAATTCTATTTCAAGCAATGAAGGGGCTCATAGTGATTAAACTCATAATAAATAATCAAGCTATCGTAAAAATAGTTCTATGCTTCTATCTAAAAATTAAAATGTTTATGGTGATTTTTAAAAGAATTCTTTGTAAAACAATACAAAATTTAATCATTCTGTTGATTTTTCTACAACAAGTAATGGTGGTTTTAGTGATATAAATACGACTATCACGAATTAAAGAACACCTTTTTTAAGCCCAGAAACGAATCTTGCATCACCTTTGCTTGAAAAAGTTAGAAACTCCTAATTTTTAAATAAAGAGAATTTTTCTCTCAGTTTAAATGAATAATCCCCTTTTAAGGCAACAAATTAAAAATTTAGAATATCTAAAAATAATAGTTCTTTTTCTGAGCATGTCAGCTAGGTAGAATTAGAAAACGGAGATGATTAGGAGAACAATAATGCTATTGAAAGAAAACATTCTCTAAATCATAAATTTAATCATTGTTAAAGTTACATCAGAAAAAGAATTTAGTCTATTGAAAATCAGAAACCTAAAGGATCACTTCCTTATATAAATGAAGATATTAGTGAAGAGAATGGAGCACTTTCGTTTAAAGAATCTAATTATACATAGGAAGAAGTTAATAGGAAAAAAAGAATGCTTATAGAAAGGTTAAAAAAAGGGTCTACTCCCAATAAATTTCATTATGATGAGCATTACGATAATTAAAAAATTGAAGATAAATTGTATGATCCAAGCAGCATATCAATACATCACCCTTCAAGAAATATTTATGATCATAAAAATCCTTTGAAAGCTTATCAAGTTAGAAGCAATATTCCTCTTTCAAATATGAGAATAGTTACAGATCCTAACACTTACACACATTAACTTTACCATAGAGCAAATTAGAAAAGATAAAAAGATTAAGAAAGAGTAGTACAGTTACTAGAAGAGCAAAATAAAATAATGGACCGTATAATATCAAAGTACCATAAAAGGGCAGAATAAGAGGAAAATTAATTAAAGTTAAAATTACAAGAATTGGAAAAAGATAGAGATTAATTAGTTAAGCTGAAAGAATAAGAGTCTATGCTTGGATTGATGCATATTAATCTTAGTCAAAGTAATTAATTGATTTATTTATTAAAAATAATTTTTGATAAAATTGCCTTTTATCTTTTTCCCACTTTTTAGACTTATTGTTAACCATAATTTTTAATAAATAACAGAAGTAGACTAATTTAAGAAGAATATGAATTATTACAATTCCTAAATGGCACCCAACATGCCTTAATTGCGTCCAAATATGGAAAATGCGTTTTCTGATTTGCACGATATAGCTTTCTTAGATAGCATTTTAAAATAGTAATAGTTTAAATAGCTTTAAAAGCAAAAGCAATTGATTAGACCTAGAAATAAATCAATGGTTTCTTAATACAATAATAAAATATGATCTATGAAAAGAGAATAATCCTAATAATTAAAAATTTCTTACTTCAATTAACTAAAATCAATAGTTAGTTTATTATTTATCCTAAAAATATTAATTTATGTATATACTAAAAAAAAAAAATAAATAAAATAAATATCAAATACTAATTTTACTTTGTAACTCTCTATTTTAATTATCACTCATATGTTTGTAAATATTAATAAATACAATCTAAATCATAATATTTTTGATAATTCATTAATAAAAAGGAAGTGTTTATTTGCTTTGTTGAAATAAAAATTAGCTATAACATTAATAAGATATATAAAAGGAATATTAAACAAAGAAGTAAAGTTGATTACACTTTTTACTATATAAAGTCAAACAAAATAAAACAAATAAAGAAATAAAAGTAAATGAATTAATTCCATACAAGTAAAGTCAAAATTTAATTTTGTATACAAAGAAAAAATCATAGTCTCTTACTCAAATTAAAATTTTCCCTTTCAATTAAAATAAATTATTTGGATATTAACTTTTTATTCCTATAATTGTATTAAATAATTATTTATCTTGGGTTTTTTTTTGAGTTAATTAAAATTTGTGGTGATTTTAACAATTATGTAAAATAAGACTGATCAATAAATTTAATTTGCACTATCAATCAATCAATATTCATCCAAATTAGATATTTTATCAATATTGTTTTTATATTCTTACAAATCTATTGATTTTATTGTTTCCTCTTTACCTTTTTAAAATATTGGCTTAACATATTTTTACTCAAGAAGCTTAAGTTTATCTCTCATTTTATGATTTTCTGATTATGATTATTAGGATCCATAATTGTTTGATTTTACCCTAATAGGAGAATTTTAACTAACATCAAACTTCCTATTTAAACTGTTTGTATTATAACCATAGGAACCGATTTCACCGTAATCGCTTATACTTTTAGTTTTTATAGATGTTTCTATGTTTAAATGCGCATCCAAAAACTCGCTTCTTTCAGGCTCTAAGCCAATCCATTTTCCATATAGCTGCATCAGAGATCCCAAGAATATAGTAGAATAAATAATTATCAAAAGAATAATATTCAAAAGAACGTTTAAATTTTTGCTTTCTATCATTAAAGTTAAACCAAATGCTATAGCTCCTAAATTTTATATTTAATTTACTGTAAGTAAAAAATAATAACTTTTGAATTAAAATAGATAGGTAGATTTATACCTCTTATAGTACCAGAATACCAAACCATAGATAATTATTTATAATTAAGCTTGGACTACTTTTTAAAGACAGCTTGTAGACATGGTAGACTATATACAGAAAAGCATCTTGCAAACATTACTGCAAACATCATACAAATTGTAAATCCAATTTCTATGTCTGCATAATTAATGTTTACTAAGGATATACCTATTTATTTTAGTAGTAAAAAAATAAAACAAATATTTATATTTAATCTTTATTTACCTAAATATGCAAAGACAAATGCTTCAGCTAAATATCCAACTGTCTCAAATGCTAAATGGGTTCCTTTTTACGATTCTTCAGATATATTTAAATATGCATAATGACCCATCACCAAACCACAGCAAAAAAGAGAAATAATTCCTAATTATAAATAAAAATTCAATTTGAAATATTTATAAATTATAAAAAAATCAATTAATGTTCATCTTAAAAAGTAAGTCACCAAACAGTTAAAAAACTAAAACATTTTAAATAAAAATTAATTTATATCTAAAAAAAAAATTCTGAAAAAACTTTAGTTAAATCACTTTTACTGCTAAGCATTTTTAAAAAAATAATAAACATCATCTTAGACATTTTTAATTCTTAGATTATAAATAAATTTATACTTTAAATAAAAAAGCTTAACTAGCTTTTATATTTATTAATATGTTGAAAACTTAGTTTTGAATATTTCATAATAAAATAACTTAAATTACCTGAAAGTCCAACAATTTCAGCTATTAAATATGAGAAATATCCTGAAAGCATGATTATACTTGTTTCTCTAAGAGGGTAGTTATTGAATGATTAATATTTTTTAAAGAAATAGGATATTAATAAACCTATTGTCACTCCCATAATTACACTTAAAATAAGTAATTTGAAGAAATCCAATAAAATTAAGAAAATTGTGCCAACATTGAAATTGCTGTTTGCTTCAATCATAAAGTTCTTAACACTTCTAAAAATAACAATAGAGATTGCATCGTTTATTATACCCTCACCGAATAAAACAGAGTTGAGCTGGGGATATTAACTCTCTTTTACCAAGCTTAGAGCTGCAACTGTATCAGTTGCACATAAGACGGCACTGAATAAAAGCATATCTGATATATCTATATTCTTTCCATTAAAAAACCATCCACTTTACATTAACATAAGAGAAGAAGCGGCTAATATTATAAAGCAGAGAATAGTTCCAATAATTCCATAATACATAATTACGCTAAAATTCTCAAAAAACAATGTTTTTCTTAAATTAAAACCACCTGCAAATATAATTGGAGGTAAAATCAAATTGAAGAATATCCCATGGTTAAATTCTACTACAGTACCAGTAATCTATTTTTATAATTATGCTTAAATTTAGATCCTAATTTTGCTATCGATAAATCAAATAAAAAAAATGCAAAAAGTTATTCTGTTTGATTGAAGATTGCTTTTATTATATTATGTATTATTTACTGCTTTCAAGATAATGGCTACGATGACTCCCAATCCTATAGAAACAGCTGATTCGTGCAAAATAGTTATCTATATAAAAAAACAATTTAGATCAATCTCTACTTAATTATGCATAAATCAAAATTGATTTTTGTAGATATGGTATTTACTTTCTTAATCTCAATCACATGTGATGTAATTGTATGAATGAATAAAATTAATATGGTAATCAAAGCTGCCAATGATAAATCTTCCATTAACCTAAAAGTCTTATCCTATTCTAAATCTAATTTTATATTTGTAAAGAAATACTTTTTTTATTTAATTTTGAGAAAGTAATTTTTAATTTGTTTTGCTTAAAAGTAAATAAATACTATGTTGAGTGTGTATTACCAACCTTTTAAATTAAACTCCTGATTATGCCTATTAACAATCCTGATAAGAAGATATTTTAATTTTCTTTGTTTAATTAAGATTTACGCTAAATTTAAAATAGATTGATAAGTAAAAAATAAATAATTTGATAGTATTTTTTATAATAAAATTTATTTATTTTTTGATTTTAAAATATTCTTATTTGCTTAGAATCTAATATTAAAAGTCATTTAAAAAGTTAATCCTATGTAAGATAACTTTATGTTAAGAAAGAAATGGTGCGAGGTTTATTGAAAAAGATAATTTTTTGCACTAACAAAAAATTTAAATAAAATTAAATAAATATTTTTAATTAATTAAAAATAGACTCTATATATTTATTTTAATCTTATCAAAAAGAAAAGAGTAAAAACTTAAATTTAACAACGAATCTACTTTAATTCTGATGGCTCCAAAAAAAAAGAATAAATCGCCCAAGAAAGATGAAACAAAAAGGGCATAAGCAGATAAGCTTAAAGTAACTAAGTTAGATTGAATTAAACAATTATTGAAAATGAACGATATTAAATAAATCATACCGTTTTAAATCTTAAAAAAAGAGTGCGCATCAGATTTTAGTTTGAATTAATTAAATGGAACATTTATATAAAACTGAAAACAAACAATTAAAGAAAATATTTTTGCATCATCTCATTTGCACAAATAACCATTTTTTCATACTTAATAATTAGGAATAGGGAAACAAGTCGTTATAAAATGAAAATTATTAAAAAGCCATAGAACTGTACACTGAAGCAATTGAATTAGATGATTAATGCTACGCTTATTTTCATAATAGATCATTAGCCTATTTTTTGATAGAAAAATATTAGCTTTCACTGTAAGATGCTATTAAGTGTAAGGAATTAAATCCAGAATATCCTTTAGGATATCTGAGAGAAGCTTCTGCTTATTTAGAATTAGATAAACATGAAGTAATGCAATTTTAGATTTTAGAAATTAAAACTTACGAAATAAATTGTAATTTTAAAAGGAATGCATCAAATCTGCAAAACAAGGTTTAGAAATCGAAAAGGATAATTAGTAGTTAATAGATATAATTAAAAAGGCAGAAGAAGAATAGAAATAAGTAGCAATTTTTTTCAAATAATTAGCTTTAAAAACAAAATATTCAATTTAATAAATAAAGAATTTTATTCTTGCAGAAGATGATCCAGAATTAGTTAATCATAATACAATGATTAATTGGCTGTTAGATGGCAAGAGTGAGTTTGATAATCTAAAACTTCAGTGGTATAGCAAGAATTATCGTGGAGTTCATGCAAGAAGAAAAGTTTACGTAAAGAAGATAATTATTTATTAAAAACAAAAAAATATTTTTATCCTCTCATAATTCTAAATAAATTGCGCACTTATTATATTTATAAATTCTGATGCTTTCTTCAATCTAACTATTTATACGAGCAACAATTATTTACTTTATTTTTATTAAAGAATAAAGAAACGATATTATTTATACCTAAGTCTCATTTGATCACATTAGAGATGGCTAAAGAAACTGATGTGGCAAAAAAAATTATTGCTGCTAAACTTAATTTACTTTCTCCAAAGCATTCCTTTTTGTCCACCTTCTTGCTTTAAGAGAGAAAAAATAAAGAATCAAAGTGGAAACCTTATTTAGATATACTTCCTAGTGATTATAATCAATTCCCAATATTTTTTTCAGAAGATGATCTGAGCTGGTTAAAAGGCTCACCATTTCAAAGTAAGAATCAATATCAATTAAATACGCATAGAAAAAAATTTATTTCTAAAAGATTAGGTGAGAGAAAAAAAAGCAGATATAAAAAGAGATTATGATGATATTTGTTCAGTTGCTCCTGAATTTGCTGAATATACTTTTGAAGATTTTTGCTGGGCAAGAATGACAGCCTCTTCTCGTGTTTTTGGATTATAAATTAATGAATAAAAAACTGATGCTTTCGTCCCTCTCGCAGGTAAAACGATTATAAAATTAAAATATTTATAAAAATATTTAAAAAAGATATGCTTAATCACAGAAGACCTAAGTAAACCTCCTGGTAATACGATGATTAAAGGGAAGGATTTGTAATTCAAGCTCTTGAAGATATTCCAAGAGGGGAGTAAGTTTATGACTCTTATGGCAGAAAGTGTAACTCCCGTTTCTTCTTAAATTATGGTTTCATAAATTTAGACAATGATGCTAATGAAGTAGCTTTGAGATTAACCTTTGATGCTGAAGATCCTACTATTGAAAGAAAAAAGGAAATGATGGGAGGAGATGTTCCTGAATTTAAAGTATACAGAATATTAGAAAACTACCAAGAATAAAATGTTTCTGAATTTATGAGCTATCTTAGATTTATTTTAATAAGAGACAATTCTAAATTGCTGATGCTTTCAAGTCTCCACGAATAACAAACAGAAAATAGTGAAAATTTATCTGGATATAAACCCCAAAAAACACCTCCTATATCAATCTAGAATGAAACAGACATGTGGGTACGTATTAGTAATATGTGCTAAACTTCGATTTCTCTCTACAACACAACTTTAAAAGTATTATTTTACCAAACGAAGCACAAACAATTAATTTAACTTAAAAAAAATAAAAGGAAGACAAAGAGTTGCTTGCAAAAGATAATTTAACCTAGAATTAAAGAAATTGCGTCTTACTTAGGTCAGGTGAAAAAGAAGTAAGTTTTTTTTAAGAATAAAAAAATCCTAAAATAACTGAATTGTAAATGATAGATATTGCACTTTTATATAGAAATGGCAGATAAAATGTAAAAATTGCTAAAGATGAATAGAAGAGTAAATCATTTATTTTTTTATTAACTTCTTAAGGCTCATTTCTTTTTTTTTTAATTAGGAAATTACTAAGCTTAGTTTGTAATAAGAATATATTAAGTATAATGTATACATAAACAAAGTTATTATAGGAACATTACTGTAAGGCTAAAATTGAGCTTTCTGCTGATGAATAATCTATTAATACAAAATAAAAAAACAATCTTTAACATTCCTATCAATTATTATTTATAGATTTATAGAATTGGAGTGAATAAATAAATAAATAGATAAATAAAATAATACTCGAGATATTTAAAGTAGTTATAGTTAGTTAATTAGTTATTCGTTAAAAAGATTGTGGTTAAAAATCTAAAATTTAGTTAAATTGTATTTAATATCTATACATTATTTGTTATTTTACCTTTATAAATATAGCATTAATCTTCAAATTATTTCATATTTCTAAAAAATTACTTTTGAACTTATCGTTTTTATATTATTAATTGGGCTTATAAGCAATATCAATTATTTGAAAAAATTTTATTTCTAGAAGGTTTTATTAGATATTTATTTATTTATATTTTTAATATTTTTAAACCAACTAAATAAATGAAATCATGTTTATAATTAATAAACTTGCAGAGAAAGCAAATATGTTCAATTAAATCTTTATACAATTAACAGCAAATGAGATTTTCTCAAAAGATTGAGGAGAGTAGTGTATTGTTAATGAAAGATCAAGACGATAAAAGCTCTTATGAGACATTTGAGTAGAAAAAAAACTTAGTGCTCGTTGAAGATAAATTTACTGATTTTTAGAAAACTTTTGGTTTTTATGAAAATATTGAAGAATTAAAAAAAGTTAATGAATAAAAGGAAAAGAGGAGATTTTACAGTTATGGCTTAGGTGCCCTAGTTGGTATTGGTATAGTAACTGGAGTATTACTTATTGGTATTGATCCTGCTATTGATAAATCATTAAAAAGAGCTTACTATGTTCACTCTTGCAACTTAAAATTGAAAAGTAATTTGATAATTTTCACTCAAGATTCATTTTAAAATGATTTTTTTTTTATTTATGTAAAATTAGAATAAAATATTATTAATTTAAGAGGCACTTCTAAGAAAAAATTAAAAATTATTGAAGAATATTTTGAAAATATGAAAAAAGTGAATTCTAAATAACCAGCATACAATTTATATTTAGTAGAAGAAATAAGGTCTATAATTCAAAGGCATTCTATTTTAAATGATTAACAAATTATCACGGAATGTATAAAATATCTTTCAGAAATCTAAGTAATTATGGAATCTTCTTAAAAGTATAGTATCTATTATGACTAATATTTCAAAAGTATAGAAAGTATTGTTAGCAACCTAATATAATCCAACATTCAAATATCAGATAACCAGTTGTAAAATATTTGCTCTTTTTGCTTTATAAAAACTGATGATCATAGATAGATGAATACATTTATTGCATATTTAAAGCTGAATAGATATAATTTAAATGAGTAAAAACCTTAATTGGTTTAAGATATAATATAAAAATCTTTGTAGATAATTAATCTTTATAACTCAAATGAACAAGAGTTCTAGTTTAAACATACACTATAAACTTAAGACAGTAGTTATGTTAACCCAGAAGAATTCCTTAAATTTTATGATGAATATAAAAAGTAGTATTACAATTCTACTTTATATCAAATATCAGATCTTATAAACCAATTATAACGTAAAATTTGTTATTTTTATTTATAGAAAAATATATTTTTAATTATCATTTTTTGTATTAGCAATATAGAAGAAGAGTTATTAATATGAAATCAAATAAATAAATGAATTTATTTAATAAAAAGTTTGAAAAAAATATTTTTATTTCTTTCAAAAATTAAAAAATTTAATTAATAGTTTAATTATTTATTTATTTATTTTGTAAATTTATTTAATATTTGTACGTAAAATTAAAGATTTACTATAAATTTCATTAAAAAAATAAATTTATTCATTTGTTAAAATTTTTAAATACTCAATAACGTATTTTTTTATTTTTATATAAGTCAAATATTTGTAGTCAGAAAGCTTAAGCGGTGTTTTGGTTTGCAAAGGGACTACCGAATAATTGATCAATTAAGTTATTCTTAGGATTTTTTAAAGGGATCCAATCAGGACGATCTCTCTTAATATTTGCCCAAAAGATATCGGCAAGATAATCATTAGCAAGTTAACTAGGATGGAATCCATCAACTGGTTCAATAATGTCTTAAGCAGTGTAACCATTTGCAATAGCCATATCGATAATTTATTGAATAGGAAGATCATAATAAACTAAATCGAAATTATTGAACTTAATGGTGGGATCAGCTAAGAGATCTCTGTAAACTTAATTAAGAGAGGCTGCCCAGTCAGCAGTGAGGTCTCTAGTGGTAGCATTGGAATTCATATAACCCCAGCAAGGACTAATTCCTAAGCAATTTAAATAATCATAGAAATTAGGATATGTGATGCCGATAGGTTCAAGCTTATTCTTTAAGGTATCATAAAGAATTTTACCATCAGCGACACCCCAAATAATCATATGAGATCCAGCTGGAACAACTGTATCAAGATAATTCCAAATTTCAAGTATTTTTTCTCTGAAAATATTAGGAGGAGTCATAGCATCAAAAGAATGAGCAGGATCACAAACATCGTTACCAATCAATTCAAAAACGATCCAAAGAGGATAATCAGTTGTTTGATTTCTACGAATAGCCTTAATATTTTTTAAGCTGTCAGTACTCATAGCACCATTGACACCTAAATTTTAATAATCGTTTCTAATACATCTGTTTTACTCCAAAAGCTTCTTGTAGAGACTGTTAACAAAAGGTTAATTGAATTCGTAACCAGTTGTTCCACTCTTATGAGGAAGATCAAATTCGTCTGCAATTCTAGTCAAAATATCGCTAAATGGTTTTTCTAGATAAATAAATAAAAAAATTAGATTAGAATAAACAAAAAAAAGTATAAATAAAATTAAATTATAATTTTATAAATTTGGGGTAAAATTTAGAAAGTAAGTAAGATATTAATTAATTAATTTAATTAGACAAAAATATTATTTTATTATATTTTTGATTGTTTCGGAAGTGTAATTTTTTTTGAGTATTTTTTTAGAATTTTAATCAAAAAACAACGCACTTTTGTTTTGTTTGTAAAATTTTATATAAAGACTATCAGAAGATCAAATTTAATAAAAATTTTTTGAATAACTAGTCTATTTAATAAGTATAAGCTAATTAATTAATTCGTAAGTCAAAATAAATTTAAACCTAATATTTTTTAAGGTGAATTAATTGTTTAATTATTTATTACCATTCCAAAGGGTGACATTTAAGTAAGCAGGAGGGATTTCGAAATGAGCACCTGCTGAGTCTCCCATAGTAACAATACCATATTATTCAGAGTTGCCACATAAAACTTCTTTATAGGGCTTTCCAGAAACAGTGTCAACACCCCATATTCCATTACAGTTGTAATCAATAGTTTGATCACCTGCATATGTTTTAACACCAGGACGTATGTCTTTATGGAAGTCATTGCAATCATAGCCTCTCCAATTGTAGCCACGCAAGGTAGGGATAGTTGAAAAACCGTCATTATCCAGGTCAACAACAGGAAGATGGTCATTAGCGAAATTGTTAAAAAGTTCAACAATCCATTACCAAGGAGATTGGAATACAGCTTGGTCAGTCTTAAATTAGCTAAGTATTTCTTCAATTTGGCTAGATTAAGGATCAGGATTGGATGTACCATTGATATGGCATTATAAATATTTGCCCTCACATGCTCCAATCTTAGCGCAAATAACATCTGAGTTGTACTTGTTAGCAGCAGCTTCTACAAGATAAGGACCAACAATTTTAAGGAATTAATTACAAGTTCCATTTAATTACTGAGGGAATAACTTACAGAAATGGTTTGTCATATAGTCAGCAATATCAACTTTTTTGTAGATAGCATCGTTAAGTCCTAATTTAAGTAAAGCACCACAAATTACACAGCTCCATGCACCAGATTCTCTTTTTCCTTATTCATTGATTTAGGTATTTAACAATGTAGATTCATCCAAACCCTTATCATGTAAAACTTAGATGTATTCAGTAAGTTCACGACCATATGAAACTAAAGCAAAAGTATTATGACGTGAAGCAGCTATTTTCTTAGCAATTTAGTAAATTTAAGATAAAATTTATTAAGAATTAAGGCTTTCAGCTCCTTAGAAGTTTGAAAGAGTTAAATCACACTCATCATTTACAAATGGTAAGAGCTTACTCATTTTAATTGTTTCTATGAAACTGCGAGTGTACTATTCTTTTTCATAAGCATCAATCATCTTATCTGTATGTCTAAGAAGATTATTTTGAACAATTTTACATCTATCAGCTCTCATTTAATCCTTGAAATCAAAATTTTATGCAAAACTAGCACAAAATAGACCAACGAAAATTAAAATAATGCTTATTTACTTACTCATTATTTTTTACTTTTTCGACTTTTTTTTGTTATTAAATTTTTTTAGAGATTTTATCAATTCCCGAAATTTACCAAAGCGTATTAGTAAGAATCTGTAAATACAATATTTATAATCGAGAAACTAGTGATTATTATAAAAGAATATTGTTTAGCCTTGAATTGTTTGATTCTCCAATAGTATGCATTAATCATCCACTTTTTTATTTTTCTCTAATATATTTTTTTACGCATACATAAATACAAATTTTTAATATTTTTGATGGTATTGTTGGATTTTAAGTTTATCATTACATGTTGAAAATATGTAATTTCTTTTTAATTTTCGATTCAAATAGCATCAAATATATTTACAAGCCTTAATAAAATTTCCATCATTATCGTCATATGGTAATTAAAATATTGGCCTAAAATTAATAACAATCAACCAAGAATTCTAAGTATTTATTTCAATTTATTTTAAGCAAAGTAAACATTATTCATTAAATTACGATTAATTAAGAAATTGAAGACTAAATGATATTTCAAAAGATATCTCTTTGATGTTTACAAATAACTGCTTGAGTCAATACCAATATATTTTTTTGTAAGATAAATAATAAAAATATTTAAAAATGAAATAATAATTTAAATAATAAAGTTTCTTAAAAATTTATTTTATATCTAATAAAAAGAAAATATAATTTTCTTCTCATAATAAGTAGACTTTATTATGCTTTAAGCATTCATTTAATTATTTAAGTAAAGGTCATTAGAATTTTAATAATTAAATGGAAATAATAAAACAATATTCAATAATTCTTTTGAAATTAAAATAACAGTATCAATCAAAATTGAGAAGAAATCCAATAATTTTTAAAATACTCTTTTAATTCAATTCAACTTATCTCAACCAAATTTTATTTTTTTTTGTAAATATAAATTGAATTAAATTGATAGATAATAAATAGGGGAGAAAAAAGTGTAGTAATGGTGTCAATTTCGTCAAAAAAAATATTTTTGATGATGAAATTGAAAATTTATTAGAGTTCTAAAATAAGCAATATTCCAATTTAAATAGCTTGATTTGTTTATCTTTATCATCAAATTGGTATTTTTAACATTAAAAAAATATAAATTATCACATACAAGTTAATTAAATGAAGTATCTATTTTTTTTCTTCTTTCCAATTTTTAAATTTTTGATTGCTTTTGTAAAATTAAAACTGTATTTATTTTTAGAATTTCTTGATGTTTTAATTTTGATCGCTAAAAACATTTTTTTGACTATGAAAGTTCAAAAACAATTTGAGTTGGATACAAAATTTAAAAGATTTTCACCACTGATAATAAATATATTTGAGTATAAATTATAGATTTTTTAATGCTAAAAAATATAATTTTAATTTTAAAATGGTAGAATAATATTTTTCAAAAATTTTGTTTTAATTTTTAAAAGAATTAAACATTTAAAATAGAAATTTATTTATTTATTAATTTATTTTCTATAATTATATGCATATTATTTTTATAAAATCGGGTAAACAATAAGTTATTTTATTATTTTAAGAGAAAAATAAATTTGTTATGAATTAAATTTTCCATAATTTAAAATGGAAAATAAAAGAAAATATATTGATAGTTAGTTATAAATTGTAGAAGATAATTCGAATAGATCTATTTCGATTTTAAAAACCATAGTTTTTGTATTGACATATTATTAAAATTAATGCTTGAATCTATAAAAAAGCGTTGCATTTGAATTAAATGATGTCTTTTTTTTTAATTGAATTTTAGTTTAAGTTATTAATATTTATTTTATTACAAGCAATTTCTTATTGTATGTTAATATTATTATTAAAGTTATTTGATTTGAAAGCGAATTATTCTCAAAAAAAAAAAGCAAAAAACACTTAATATTGTAGAAGAAAGGCACGTCAAAGAAGTATAAGTAAAAATAAGCCAATAGTAAGCAAATGAGTGTAGATTTGAAGCATATTTTCATTAAATCGTGCTTTAAATTAAACAAAAAAATAGTTATTTATATTACGAGGAGAGTTTGTGATGAAGTAATCATGTTTTATTGATTTATTTTTAAAAGTTCTACTTTTAAATAAATCGCTTTTATTATATTAACCATTTCTTTTTATGTTATAACTTAATTTAGCCTTATAAGCCTGCCTTAACATTTGAAGAGAAAAAGCAAATGAGAGCTCAAGTAAGCTTTATGTTTTACAAATATAGGTTTTTTATCATCTAAAATAAATGATTAGGATTTTAAAATTGGTGAGTCTTGCTCATATTTTGATAAAAGGACATATTGCATAGACTCAATAAAAGAAATGAATGATAAACTAATTGAAGAAGATTTATTTATTTCTAAACTGGATAAGTATAATGTAGATTTTATTCCATTAAAGCTATCATTTTATTTTAAGAAATAAATTGTATTCGATGGAGATAAAGACATATATGATGATTTTGTGTTATATTCTTCTAGCTTTATTTCTTTTAAAAGATGTTCTGCTCAATTGGTTTTGAATACTATTCTTTAAGGCAACTTTGTATCTCTCAGAATTATTAAAATAGAGGAGTGTTCAATAAGCGATCCCGATTTTCTTCAGATAACTCAAAAGCTTGATTATTATCATGGAGTTAGCACAAATGATGTAAATAAATAAAATAAATAAATAAATTATATATGACTATAATTCAAATGAAGTTTGTTTGACTTAACTTTAATTTAATTGAAACAGAATAATGCAAACAAACTTAGAGATCATTAATTAGAACACAAGAACTCTTTTACATTTAATGATGTTGAAATTAACATAAAGAAATGCTAATACCTGACAACTGCTTTATTTGATTATCTAAAAAATTGGGATAACAATTCATTCACTGATGAAAATAATAGAAAACTAGGATGCGCATTTTCTATCAATTTTATGGGAATTCTTAGATCTACAACTTTATTATAATTTTCAACATCTTAATTTTTCAAGTAATCAAATAAATTTATTTATTACTAATTCAAATATTAAATAAATTAATATACATAGGTAATTGAGAAAACTGAAATTGAAAAATCACCCTCAGTACAATAATAGTCCTGTTTTACTAGAACTACTTCTCTCTTCGCGCAATTTTACAAAAAGGACCTAAGCAGCTATTAGCTATCAATAAAAAAAGTAAAATAGGAATAATGGTGATAGCGATGATGAAGAAGAAGAAGAAATTGAAGACGAAGACATGTAGCTCCATTCTGATGCCTTACCAGATGACGGGAAAGAAACTGATTAAATACGCAGTAATTTGGAAAGACTCTCATTTGATTACTCTGTCTGCCAAAACTTTGATGATTTACCATTAAATTCTGACTACTTTAACAACTTAAAATCTATTTCATATGATGCAGCTCATAAATCAAAGAAAGGAGAGAGTACCAATGAGAAAGATAAAACAAAAGATATGGTATAAATCACATTCTAAAATATGTTTCCATATTCCTTGCAAAACCTGTAAATGTTAAAGCTCAAATTTTGCTCTCTATAATATAAGTTCTTTTCTAATATTGAATACATGAAATGCTTGCAAAATTTATAAATTCTAAACTTCTCTTATTGCTTTTTAGATATGTACGAGTTTTCTAATTTTATAATCAACTCTGGATTAAAGAATTTGAAGTCTTTGATTTTAAGGGCAACTAATGTTGATGACAATTTTTGTTCTGTCGTTTCTGATATCACCATTGTTTCTTTTTAACTAGAAGAAATTGATGTTTCAAAAACAAAAGTAAAATTTATTAAAATTTGTAAATAATATTTTTGAATTTTAATTATCATTTAGGGTGTTTCTCTAAAAGGAGTTAAGTACTTAACAATGATTGATTCTTTAAAATGCCTTAACATTAAAGAAAAAGAAAATATTAACTGCTAGCTATCAACTTTTTTAATCGATTTATTGGAAAGAAAGAGTATATTAAAAATTTTATTTATTTATATATTTATTCTAAAAGGATATTTAAAAATACTAAAAGGATTCTTATATGTGAAATCAGTATTAGAAGATATAGAAATCAATAAGAATATAAGTAATTAATTAATTTATTTGTTAATTTATAAAATTTTAAAATAAAATCGATTATAATAAATATAGATTTATGCGAGGAGAGATTAAAAGAAATAGAAAAAAACGAAGAATTGCTCAACAAAAAAGCAAATTAATTCACAAGAAATGCTTTCACTTCGAACAATATATATGATGAGCAATAAAACGAGATATCAGAATAAGGACGCTTTTAATTTGCATATTCTGGGTAAGAAAGAGAAGAGGATTAAAACTAAGATGAAGATTAAATTATAGAAAAATCAGATGGTGAGTAGACAAGAAAAAATGCAGAAGCTTAAAAATTACAGTAGTAAAAATAGTAAGAAAGTAAATTTGAGATTAGCTAATAAGATATTTAAAAAAATAATAATATTAAACACCCTCGATATGATTTGCTTATGTCCTACACACATAAGTGTCCATAAATAGTACATATGGATTTTTCTGGCTGTGAAAATGTAACTACTCCTTTTTTTGAAGACTTATATAGACATAGACTTTTAAACCGCTTGACTTATTTAAATCTTAAAGGCACTAAAGTAGATAATAATTTAATAGATATATTTAAGTAATCATGCATTCAAAAGAGTGAAGGAGTTTAAGAGTATTGGGTAAGTCATTCTTTTAAATAATATGAGCCCATATACGAAAATCAAATACTTGAAGTTTGTGATAATCAATTTATTCATGATAGCATAAAGTTTTTTTCACTTAGAGATTGTAAAGTGATTCGAGGTTTTAAGATTGTCTTTTTATTCAAATCTATTCCTCTTCTAAGTTTACAAGAAATTGATTTAAGTAACTGTAATGTATTTGATAATACATTAATTTAATTAGCTGATGAAGCAAAAGAAAAGTACCCAAATTTAACAAAAATTAAATTGGCTTAAGTAAAGTCTTCTCCTGTTGGTATTAAAGCTCTACGTAAATTGCCTGCAAATAAAATAGTATACTTAGATTTAAGATCAACAAATTTCGATGATGAAAATTCTCTTATGTTCTTTAGTGATCCTCACAACAAGCTCTTAAGAACACTCTAGTTTTTAGTAGTTAAAGATTGTAAACAGCTGACAACTACTGGATTGCAAGCAATGGTAGATGGTCTCGCAGGGTTGGATAGAGCTGAAATATATAATTTAAGATTTAACGTCAGCGAATAGGAGAAGTTAGAATATTAGCAGAGGACTTAAGAAAAATAAAAGCAACAGTAAGAAGAGCTGAAAGCTCGAATTCAAAATTTATAGGATTAAATCAAATAGTTAGAAAAGCAAAATAAAAAAAGAAAGAAGCACAAAGGTGAAGTGTATCCATCTGATAAAAAAGATAAGCTGTAAAAAGAGCTAGATGATATACTTAAGAAAAAAAATAAACAAAAAGTTAGAATTATTTGTGAAACTTTTGATGTATTTGGACTCCTCTAGGACTGTTATTAGTTAGTAACAGATGATTTATTTACTAATTTCTTACAAAAACTTGGTCATGTTTGTAAAAACATTTTTGAATTAAATTTAAATAAAATGGGAAGACTCACGCTTAATGATTTCGAATTTACAGGAAGTTCATAAGGTAACGAAGAAATTGATAGCGAAATCTTTAAGAATTTAGAAATTATGAATATAAACGAAACAAGGATTACCACTAACTTTGTAAGAAAGTTCTTTAGTTTCTGGATAAATTCAAATTAAGATAAGAAAAATGAGTTAAAAATGAAAAATTTCATGATCCTGAGATGCCAAAAGGCGTATTTCGTTAATCCATCTTGCCTAGATGTTTTTGTAAATTAGCTTAAAATTTGAAAATATTTTAATTTTTTTTATTGGTTTGTTAATATCTTGAATAAATTTATTAATTATTTTAATTATTTTAAAAATAGAAAAATTAGAAGCATTTGAGAAATATTCTGAGTAAAACTCATTTTAAGCTAGAACTTCTTTTGAATGAATTAGGTTTAAAAATCATGGATGAGAATTTAGCATTTTTAGAAGGTTTAAAGGTTTCAGAAACCAGATTTGTGAGCATAAATATCAAAGAGCTTAATTTGGAAAATAACTAATATATTTCTTAATAAGGGTTTACTACCATTTTAAAATCAGGATGGATGAAATATATACTTCGTTTGAATGTTAGAAATACCTAATTTGGAAATACTCAGCTTGAACAGATGAGTCAAATGATGAAAGATAAAAAGAGTCAAAAACAATTTGTTAAACTTTAATACATTGGAATGAGAGGATGTGTTTAAGTAAGCAGAAAAGGATTAATGTTGCTGTGCTAAATGGATAAATTGAATGAAGAATTTGACTTAGGGTGTATTTGTGAATTGAAAATGCTTATAGATGCTGATTTGATGAAAGATATGGCTCAATCTGTTTACTGTAAGAATATGGAGTTTCTTGATCTATCTGATAATGGTTTCTAATCAATTGATAAAGGTTTCAAATATCTTTGCTTTAAGGGAAAAGATGTCAAACTTAACTTAAAAATAATAAATGTCTCTTCAACATGGATATCTGATAAAGCACTTCAGTCATTAGCTGTTTCTGAGAACTTCAATCAACTTGAAAAGATAATTCTAAAAGATTGCAAAAGAATTACAGAAAGAGGTTTGTCCTATCTAGTTGACTCTAAGTAATTAATGAATCTAGATCTCTAGTTTTTATTTAGCTCAAATACTTAATTTCTGAGTGGCAGAGTTATTGATACTCTCAAATACTCAGATAGAAAAAAGACAATTAAAGTAAATTAGCTTTTCCACAAAAATTAAAGATTTTCATAAATTATTATTTTTTATTGTCAAAAAAATTTGATTTTAAATCAAAAAAACTATTTTTTTTATAAAATAATTTAACTGAATAAAAATAGGAAATAAGTTTATTAGGATCACAAGCCTAAGATAAAGAAATTAATAACATTATGTAAGAAATAATATCTGAAAACTATCTTATAAAAACAATCGATATAAGAAAAACATCTAATATTGGTATAGCTGGTTTATCATATATTTTTAGTATGGTATAGTGGAACATCGTTAAAGGTTAGAGTGTAAAATGCCCTTTATAAGCTCTCATTGTAGATAATATCGTAATAAATATTTATTTTAAATAATGATTATTTTATATTGATATTTTTAAAATAGAGATATTAAGAATTCAGAGCTAGGTACTGCTATGATGATTACATGAAATAAGTATAAAGTAAGCTTTTTAATTAATTATTTAAAAGATCATTTTAATTAAAATTTAATAATTTAATTGATAAGATATCCCTGACTGCAAAGCTAAAGAAGATGAGTTTTCAAATATATTTGTTGAAGATTTGAAAAGTGAATTTGGCTCAAAATTTTAACCATTAAAAGGTTAGCTGACTTATCAAGAGTTTATTAAAAAATGTTAAGATATTTATAATGAACTTAGACATAAAATTAGATTTTGTTCAAAGCCTTAAAAGCTTAATGATATTTTTGTAGGAGATTTTATTCAAAATCTATTTTTAAGTGCTAACAACCTCAATAATTTTAAATATGACTTTTTTATTCGAAAATTTGCTTTAAGCATTGAAGACTAATTTATTGATTCACTGACTTTGTGTGATTAAAAATTTTCAATTTTTAAAGATATGGAATCACCAAATGATGGTTAATAAAATTAAACTGAGTAAAATATAAACAAATTTGCTCTTATTGGAAAAAAGGCAGGAGGAGAATAACAAAATAATTAAAATGATACTCAAAATAATACAATTAACTACCCATCATTTAAAGATTAATTTGAATACTTTGATATCAAAGGCAATAAAGTGCTGTGTGATGTTTCTGTTTGTAGATTCTTCTTAAGCAGTCAAATGGTTTCTAATATAAAAATTATAAACATATCATACACACTGCTCTCAGAGAAAGTGGTACTAGCAATATGTGCTTCTCCTTACTTAAGAGAAAGTCTAGAAGCTATTTATTTTAATAGATGCCCTAAACTCAAGGTCAAAGATGCCCTTTAATATCTCCTAATGACTAATTTTAAGAAATTAAGATATAAACCTTTAATTTCTTAATACCATAATTATATTGATGATGAAATATTAACTTTGATTTTAACCAAATTTAGACCAGAAGAGGTTTTTATTTATTTATTGTTTTTTGTTTTTTTTTTTGTATTTTAACATGAATATAATTCATATCTAACAAAAAGGTAAGATATTTGAATTTATCTAATTCTAGAATTACTTCTATGGGTCTTGTTTTACTAGAACACAGTCATTTAAGTGAATACTTTTATTTATTGGATCTTAAGAGTACTGGTATTGAAGCAGAAAAATTAGATTAATTTATGATAAGCGAAGAAAATGAAGAAAAAGGTATGCCTTTCCCTAAAAACTTAAGATATATGTGGTTAGAAAATACATATAACTTAACAGATGAAGAGCTTTATAAGCTGAAGTTTTGGAAATGTTTTAAATCTAATAATTTTGATTTTATGGAAATGGTATAGTCAAAAGCAAGAAAACTTAATTTGACTCTTAGGCATTTGACAAATATAGAACTTAGACCACATATATTTAAAAAATCTTACATTCAACTAGATATTTACACTTATATACCTTCAGATGTTCTTATAACTCTGATCAATGATTAGTTCTATAAAGAAGCTGATTAATTTTATGATTTAAAATATATAATCCTTGCTTTCAGAAAATAATAGTATTATGCTTTATAAAAGTGCTTTGACTGGTATAATGCATCAGACGTAGAAAAAATATTAGCAAAATATTGTATAAGAATAACTAAAATACCATCAGAATATTAAAACTTACCTATTATAAAACTTACGAATAAATCATTAGACTCTGAACAGGCAGAAGTAAGAGAGGCAATCTAATTTGATTTTCATAATTACTTAACTACTATGGACTGTGATCATATTTTAAAAGTAAATAAATTTGTTGAGGCTTCATTATTACTAAAGTTGGACTTTTAGGGCACAGATATAACTGGCCACTTTTTTGCAATATTATGTAAAAGTATAAAGGGGGATTAAAATCGTATTACTGAAGTATCCCTGAAAGGACTGAAGACAGTTAGAGATGAACACATTATGGTAATATTAAAATTTTAGATTAATTTTTATTAAGAAATTTACATTGAATAAATTAATAGTCAATGATGTTTGATGAGTAAGAAATGGATTAAATGCAAAAAAATATGATTGAGATATATCAAAAGCATAAATCAAAAAAATTAGCTGATTCCATCAAAAAGAAAGAAGAAATTAAGAAAGAAATCTAAGTTTAGATTAGAAAAATCTCAAGATTTAAAAAATTCCCATTCTTAGTAAGGCTAAATATTTAAAACACTAAAGTTACACAATTCAGTTTAGTTTAAATTTTGAATTTAACACCTTTTAACATGGGTTTCAGGATAGAAGATTTATTTGATTAATATGCCAAATCTGAATATACAAAGATTGATGACCATACCATAAATGCTTTAAGCTAGTCAAATTATCTATAAAATTTTAAAGTACTAAACCTTGAAAACATTCTATGCTCTTCCAATACTGTAAAAATTATTTAATTTCTTCAAATTATTTTAGGATTAAATTTAAAATAAAATAATAACAAAACTTTTTTTTTTGATGTTTATAAAAGTTAGGAAAATTGCTAAGGTCTCCAAAAGCAATAAATATTTAGGAAATGATACTGAATACAACAAATTTAAGTGAAGATGCTTTTATAACCTTGGCAAATTCAACTAACCTTCCTAGATTGGAGTAAATTAAATGCGTATAAGATACAAATCCTGCTATTAGAAAATCTTATCACTATATAATGAGAGCTTAATATTTAAGTATGAATCTAAAAACAGATGAAATTATGAAAAGTAGGGATGTAATGGATACTTCTTAGTTTATTTAGGCAATCATGAATTCATTCTACATGAATAATTTATCAACAATAGAAATTCATAATGCAAACTAGTTTATGCAATAAATAAAATCTCTATTTAAAATGTCTCTATTTACTTAGTAAATAACTAAAGTGTGTCTTTAGGATGTAGCTGATAGTATTGAATATAAGGATATTTGGTAAATGATTTCTGTTTCAAAAAGCTTCCCTCGTCTACAAATACTGAACGTTAGATCTCTTAAAGAAAAAGAGGTAACTTTAATTTATTATTTTTGAGATTAATATTTTTATTTAATTTAATTTATAAAAATAATTAGCATCTCATTATTCTATTAAATTAAAAATTTAAACCTCAATTTGATATGGAATCACTTTTAAAAGATAATAAATCACTGATAGATGATGATGTTATTATTTTTATATCCAAGATGCCTCTTTTGCTTAACTCAAAAGAAATAGACCTTAGCTCTTTAAGTAAAAACTAACTTTCATTTATATTTAATAACAATTTCTTAAAAAATAAATGGTCTAAACTTCTCTTTTGCTTATTTAAAAATTTGATATTCAATTTTTAATTAACTTCAATCAGTTTAACGATAAAGAACAAGTATTAAGGGGATGTTTATTTTTTCTTTCCTGTGCTATATTAAGAATATTTATAATAAGCTTTTTTTATGTTTCTCATATTTTCATAACATTTTTAAAATATTTATTTGAATACTTAAAAAAAAAAGAAACATATCTTTACTAATATAAAATATTTAATATATTGATTTTCGTTAATTAACTATTTATATTGTAAATAAAAGACAAAATTAGTGTCAAAGCTTGGTAGTAGTTTGCTAACAGTAAGTATGTAATCAATTTAAACAAAATCAATTTTTCAGATGGAACTCTGTTAAATTATAAAACTGATAACAATATAGCTTTGAGAAAATATTACTTTCATCCTGAAGTAGAATTTGCAGGCTCATCAAAGTGCTTTGGTCTTTTTTCATAAAATAATTTTTTCAATTTAGAGAAAATAGATATAACTAATAATAGAGGATTGCCTATAGAAGAAATTAAATATATTCTAATGTCTATCAAAAAGAGACATGTAAGCGTTAAGTTTGATTTTGAAGATATATTCATCTAGATAATAGATGATATCAGACCCCTTATGCTTTCACTCACCTAGGAAGAAGATGATGATTATAGTGATCAGGATGAGATGAATGATTAGGATCAATAATATAATTTATAAGATTAGTTATGGAATAAATATCTTAAAGAATTATATGAACTCTTTTAAACATACTTCATTAAAGATCGTGAATGGTACAACAAAAGGCATAAAACTTTAGATCTAACCTATTTCTAGTTTATGAGACATTTCAGTTCATTTTAAGATATATTCAGATAAATTTCAGACCTTAGTTGCATTGAGACTATCAAATTTTATGAAGGAGGATTTGATAGCGTGTTTTCTTCAAATAATATGAAATTTTTGAACTTGAAGAATGTAAAAATACTGAATCTGGAAGGTGACAAAAAATTGGCTTAGGATTATAGTGGCTATCAAATGAAAATGATCATGGAATAAAAGTATATTAAACCATATTTATTTAATATAAATGGATTTTTAGATAATTATTATATGAATGAGAGAATATAATAATAACTTATCAAGAAAGATACATATATTTTGTGCTAAAAAGAACTAAAAATATATTTATACTTTATCACTAAAGAATAAATCGAAACAATCTTCAATAAAGGAGATATTCATTATGCAGCTACTACAATAACACTATTAGATAAATTTAGATTACAAATTCATGGATAAACAGCAGAGGCATATGAAGAAGATGATTAAATGGATTAGTAAGAATTATAAAATCAGTTAAAAGAGAAATAAGAGTACTTTATAGAACTTTTGTCTTAATCTAACAGTTTTAGCCAAATTACTAAAATAGATACTCCTCTTCCTTTATCACTGAAATCAATCAAATAATTACTAAAATCTAAGTGCTTGAGTCATAGCTTTGATTTCTAAAAGCATGTGATGGATTTAGAAGTAGACTAAGAATATTTTGACTTATTTGTTTCATCAAAGTACTTCAAAAGTCAAACAAAAATAATAATTCCTAGGCTAATTCAATAGTAAAAATAAGAAAACCAGAATGCTAAATAAAATGCAAAAGATAATAATTAGACTTCTTAAAATACCTGGCTGGATATTTAAAAACTAGATTTAAATTGTCTTGAAAGACTAAACTCTATAGTCGTTTTAGAACCAATAAAAGACAAAGACTTCCTCACAAAATTATTTTCTATTGAAAATGTTAAATTTAATAGAGATTTTACATGCGATAAGTTTTAAATTAAAGAAATAGATTAAAATTAATTCAAACATATTTTTGAGCAAGATTGGCCTGGAATGGATTGGCAAATTTTATTAGATCTACTAGAGAAAAACAAAGCTTCGATAGATGGAGAAGTCTATGAAAAACTTCTTTTAAATAAATCAGCTCACTTTTTTATAACTTAAATTATTATACCAGAAACCTTAACTGAAGAGAAAGCTGGAGATTTAATTTCCAGCATTAATAAGAGTTGTAGAAAAACTCAATAGAAGCTGCATATAAATAAGCTGGTTATAAGGTAATTTCCTCAATCAAATTAAGTGGAAGCTTAAGATGAGACTCATAAAAATGACTAAGCAAGCGAAATCAAACAATTCCTTTCATCTGTAACTAATTTGAAATATATTGAATTCTCCAGTAAAGTTAAATTTGGTATGAATGAAGCTATGGTCCTGATAAATAACACTCGTAATACAGATTTATCTGAGGTAGTTATCTCTTGGGTTATACCTAAACTTTCTAAATAGGATCTAGAAAAATTTTTAGTATGCCTAATGAATGATAGAGAAATTCCATATAACTTAAGCTATATTAGTTTCAAGTAAAATCCACATTTCTACAGTCATAAAGCATTAGAACAGCAAATAAATGAACTTAGATCTAATAAAAAAGCAAAAAAAACTGAAAATAAAGAAGGATAAGAATAATAATTAGAAGAAGAAGAAGATGATAAAAAAGAAATAGAAGATAAAAATGAAGATAAAGAAGAAAAATAAGATGATGGCGAGGGACCTAAGGATGAAGGAGAAGCGCATGAATCAAATAATCAAAGTTAGAATAATATAGAAGAAAATAATTAGGAAAATGTGGAGGGTTAAGAGTAAGATTAAGACAACAAGTAAGTTTTGAAGGAAATAGATTCCCTTCTTAAAAATTCTATTACAGAAGATTATTTAGTTGAGTTCCTGCAAAATTTCAAAGGTTTACGTGAAATTGATTTTTAAGGAACTAATTTTGATATCCATCACTTAAAGAGCCTTAAAACTCTGCCTCTTATTAAGAAATTCCATTTTATTAATTTTAAAGATTGTAAATCTTTTACTGATGGTATTCCTTTTATCTGGCTAATACACGATGATTCAAAACCTTGGTAACAAAAAATTGATTAATTTATAAACCTTAAATATTTTAAGCTTAAACAAATTTAGCATTTTTCTCATTTAAATTTTTTCAAAAACTCTTAACTAAAACTTAAAATTTTGAATTTCTTAATTTTTAGAAATAAAGAATGGATTAATTAACATATATTAAAAATTTTAAAAATAGGTTTTAATTTTAGAAATATCTATCAAATTTACCTATAGAACAAATAACAAATTAAAGATAAATGTTAAAAGCTATTTTTAATTGCAAATTTTTCAAAAGGCATTTGAAATATTTTGATGTAGATTTTATCCTTAAGAGGTATTAAGAAACAAGTAAGGATTTAGTTGATTTATTCTCATATATTATTAAGATGAGAGTTCCTAATTTGGATATAACTTCTTTTATGTAATGCTTACCTTAATATATGAAAGTATTCGTTAATGATAATCACATAGAATAAATTTGTAAAGTTTATGGTAATTTATTATACCTTTAACCAGAGTTGTTCCCAAGCGTTGAATATGGTTTCAATTACATTCTATAATAAAAGAATATTCCCACAGCTATAAGATTAATGTACCTTTTAAATAATACGTTTTAAAAGAAAGTTAGTGCAGCTTCTCTTTCTATAATTTATTAAGTTGCCATTAAAAGCGAAGAACTCAAAGAAAAGAAATACATTTTAGAAAATGATGAATAGTTAGAAAAATTTTTTGTTCAGTACATTAAAAAATTAAGCTTAAAAAAGTCAAGACTTTTGAAAAAGATATAAAAATCTAAAAAGGTTTTTGATAATCAATAAGATAAAAAAAATATGAAAATACTCTAGGCTTTAGGAAAAAAGAAAAACATAAAAAGAAAAACTACTACAAAATCAAAAACAATTTTAGATACCTCAAGTAAAAACTTAGATAAAATTAACAGTCAAAAAAATTAAAACTCCTAGATGTAAAGGGGTTAAAACGATGATGAAGAAGAAGAATTTATTAAAATTGTTTAGCAAAACATAAAGAGTAATTTGTAAGATGAAGAAATAGAAAATTTAAGATTAGAAAATGGAGATGATGAAAGACAAGAATATGAATAGTTGAATCAAAATGAAGATGATTAAAACTAAGATAATGAAAATGAAAAAGAAGAAGAAAACGAAGATGGAGAGGAAGAAGGAGAAGGAGAAAATAATGATGAAGATGATCTTAATGATAACGAAAATTAAGATGGTAACGAAGAAAATAATGACGATAATGATAATAATAATGATGAAGATAAAGATAATGATGGATTTAAGATATAAAAAAGCTATTTGAAAGATAAAAATACTCAGTAAAAAGGCTCTTCAAGGCTTAACAGTCTGAGAAATAGTAGAGTTTAGAGTAAAAACAGCTTAAGGAACTAAGATAATGAGTAGGTTAATGAAGACAGCGAGTAAAAATAATTAAATGATGAAAGTGAAAGGGTTTAGGAATTATTAAATAAAGAAAGAAAAGAATCTTTACCTCAAACTGATATGGAAACTTTTTATAAAACACCTAATATGGAGAAATAAAAAAGTAGATTTGATACTACTTCTTCAAACAAGAAAATAAAATATAATTTTGAAGGAAAAATATAAGCTTACAAAAATGCAGTAAAAAATAATCTTGTGAGAGTTTATGAAAATTAGACAGCTTTGAGGCTGCATAGATAATTAATAAATCTCCACTTACTCAGTGAGGGACTCAAAAGCTAAATACAAAAAAGTTAAATATATGAAAGAAAATTAAAAGATGTTGAAAATAAATTAGATTATTTAGAGTTCGAGTTAGAAATTTTAAGATATAATAAAAATAATTTCTTTGCTTTAGAAGTTAATAATTTATTCAACTTTTTTGAGGTCCTCAATCTAGGATAAAACAATCACTTGAATATCTATGGTTTAAATTATTACGTTGCAGAACACATTCTTCCTTGGATTAAAATGAACTAAAATTTAAACGAAATGAAAGATGGGCAATAAAGAAAATAAAAGATATTAAATTATCTAAAAAATAAAGATGATTCAAATTAAGATGATTTTGAGGCAGTAAACGTTTTAAATCCAGATCATTCACTGGATGATAAATTAATTGAATAACTGAGTTACCTTATTGAAAAAAGACTAAAGTAACTTAGATAAATTGATTTGTGTGGCTTGAATGTTAGTGATGACTTTGCTGAAAAATTCAGTTTATTGCTAAGTGACGATGGTAAATTAAAATACTTAACCTTGTTAGATCTTACTAATAATCGTCGTATTTCTCCTTTTGGACTTAAGTTCTTATTTTCTAGTATTGTAAATCGTATTCCTTAAGGTTTCAGAATTTTGCTAAGTTCAACAAGTAATGACTCTGAAGATCTTCGTATATAGATAGAACTTTTAGAGAAAAGTATTTTAAAAGAAGCTGTTTATATAATTGAATAGCAGAAAAAAGAAGTAATGAGATTCATAAGTAAGAATAAAAAGAAACTTTCCAAGCCTGTCCCTTAAGAGCTTATAAAAAGACCTTCTATTGATATTGACATGCAAAACGATAACAAGCATGAAAAATTAAATATGGAAATAAAAGATTTAAATGTGCCTGTTATTTCTGATATTTTTTCAGATGAAAATGAAAAAAAGGAAGAAGAAATCATTGACAAAGAAGTAATTCATTCATTACATAAAATTTCTTAATTAGCTTGTTTATTTATTTAAACGATATTTTCAAAAAAAAATTTTTATTTTAAAATTTTTAATAAGTTAATTAGAAAAAATTGATAATTGAAATCATTTTATTTACTTTTAATTATTTATTTATTTATTTATTTTAACTCATGTCAAAGTATTTGAAATATCTTCAAAAAATATTTATTTTTTCATTTATACTTATAATTTTAAATTCCTATAAAAGGTTCAAATTAACGATTATGATAGCATTGACTCAGAAGAAGAAAGAAAGGATAGATTGAAAAAAGGCGAATTGTAATTTTTCTTCTTAAAGGAGAGAACATTAGATGCTAAAATAGTAAAAAAATTAGAAAAATCGAAAAATTTCAAGTAAAAAATTGAGAGGCTTAGGAACTTTTAACTTGCATATACAAAGGCTATTCAAGAGAGTAGAAATAAAGATATTGTAAGTGATAATACTGATGTTAGATTAATTGTACAAAATATAGTAAATCTTGGTCTATTTTAATCTATCAATATTTTTGTCAGGGACAATTGGAAAAGACATAAACTCTTCATTATTTTTATCTCCACTTTATTTTTCCCATTTACAATTTTCCATTTGATGATGGTTTCAACTTATGGAATTTTCCTGTTTATTTAAAAAAATAAAATCAGTTTTAGATGTAGTTTTGGTAGATCTGCTAAAAACCAAATAAAAATAGAACTTGATAAGCTTGTACCAGAAAATATCCAAAGCACAGATTTCTTTTTTGATGAGGATGTAGCTTAAGTGGATATACTTTTATCACGTAGCAATACAAAAAAAATGCCTAATGTAATATTTATCTATTTAGTCAATATTAAAAACTTTTAATTTTTTTAATATAGGATATTGCAAGAAGAAACGGGAGACTAATTTGTGAGTATTTAAATAACCCTAGTAAGCATAGTTTCCAAGCAACTTATGACAGAATTAATGATAATTAAAACCATGAAATAAATATGCTCAAATACTTTGACTTTATCATCATATTTAATTTCTTAATATTTACAGTTTTTATTTGCATCCTTTACACTTACTATTTGATTTTCTATTACATTCCAAATCACGTATCATAAAAAACTTGTGGAAGTATTCCGGTCTTATATGATGTACCATTTTTTGCAGTAGGTCTTTTTATTGTTGCATACGAAGCAACTCTATTGTATAATATCGAAAAAGTTATTGTCTCTAAAAACATTTTCTAATTTAAAAGCTTATTTGTGTTATTCTAGCTTTACAACTCTTTTATGCAAAGATATAATTTGTATACTGATATGATATTCGCATTTAACACCATATACTGCAAGAAAGCTACTGATCTAGGTAATTTATAAATTTATTTAAAAATTTCTTCAAAATCTTACATCAGAAAAGCTTTATAACTAACTAACTTATTTTATTCTAATAAAAATAAATATTTAAATATTAACAAATTTTCAAAGAAAAATAAATTTAATGTAAATTAAAAAAAATTAATTTTATAAAAATAAATATAATATCAACTAAAAATAAATAATCTTGAATTTTAATTTAATAGGTTTTGCAAGTATTAGTGTATTAGGAACCCACTTAGTTTTACAGACATTTTATTTATTTAGCGCAATTTTTAGTATTTATGAAGCGAAATAAAAGATAAAAAAAAAAATTCCTGTTCATAATACAACATTTATAAACATCTACACTAAAATTGCTTTAATCTAAGATTTTAGTGGACTGAGTATAGTTTTAGATAGGTTTTCGACTTCTTCCACTATTGCATTAGAAGGAATTTTAATTCCAAAACAGCTTGAAAATGTTAAAGTACCATAAATCTTGCTTACAAAATTCTAAAAAGTCTTTTTAGAAGATATTCCTTAAATGATTATAGTCCTTATATTTAATTTAAGATTTGCACAAACTACAAATTTATTAGATTGGTAAAACCTAAGAGTAATTAAATTATTTTTTATTTAGCAATAAATTAATTTTAATTAATTAATTAAATAAATATGTAGGTATTAGTTACTACAGTTTTGAGTATGTATAATTCTCTTAACTCAGCTTGGTAAGCTCATCCTAGTATTTTTAGGACATATCAAATGCAAGATTATATTAATTTTAGGTAAGACATTTCAGAAGTTTACAAAATTAAGATAAGTCAAAATGATTAAGATACATTTAACTACTTATCAATACCTAAAGTGATAAGTAAAACTTTATACTTTAATTAAAAGTATAAAATAAAAAAAGACTTAAAGAAAGAAGGTTCTAGTAGCCAAAAATCCAGAAAAAAAGAATAGAAAGATAGAGATGCTTAAAGTTCCAAAGGGCCTAATAGCTAGATAGGTAGTTAAAATGCTCTATCAGATAATAAAAGCGTTGCGTAATCATAAAAAAGCATTTAGGCATCTGAACAAAGTATAAAATCAAAAGTTTCATCTAAAGGCTAGTAACAAACTAAAAAAAGCAGTAAATCTAATGATAAATCTTAAAAAGAACTACCAGAGTCTGAATTTAAATAAAAATTAATTCAATTTTTACTTGAGAAAGAATAATAGAATTGATAAATAATATAAATTATATTTTTTTATTGTTTTTTAAATGTTAGAATTCAATCAAAACTTTATTCTTTAAATCATTTTATTTTATTTTTTATTTCCATTCATAAAATAGTTATTAGTCTTTCTATATATTCTATGCCTTTATATTAACAGATATTCATTTAAAATTACAAAAAAAGTATGATTAAATCTATCCTAAGTATTAATTTACTTTATTTAATTATTAGTTCGAACTGATTATAAATATAAATTTTTTTATAGACTATTTAAAGAATTAAATATACCTTAAAAGTCTATATGTAATATAGCAATATGCAAATGAATAATTTATACGTTTAGATTCCACTAAAAGTTAATTTAATTGGAAAAAGAAATTTGAGGAAAAATAGCAATTAATAAGTAAATAAGGTACCCTTCTATTTTCAAGTAAAGAAAAAAAATAAATAGTTATAACTAAACCTAATAAGCAATAAAATTATAATTTTTCTGCTTAAACATAATGTTCGTTTGTAATAGCATGAATTTGAGAAAAATTTTATTTTATTAATTAATTTTGGTAAAATTAATTTGTTACAAGCAATTTAGGAACTATTTACATTGAGTAATTTTTCTGTAAGTTCAAAAGTGTTCTATCTATCTTTTTAACTTAAAAATAATAAATATATATTTGTTGTTTTTATAATTATTAATATTGATAATTTGTATTAATTAAAAAAAAAGTAATTAATTATGGGAAATAACTCCTCCTCATCATCATATGCTAACGGTGGTATTTACATACAAACCGACTAACCATTTTACATAGCAGGTGATACTGTTACAGGAAAAGTGCATATAAGTATTCAAGAATCGTTTCCTGCTAATGTACTTTCACTAAAGATAAAAGGATATGAATCGTATAATGTTTTAGATATCTTTCATAATTACTTTTAAACCATTTTTTAGCTTTCAATTTTTAAAAAACATTTTAAAATATCAAAAAGGTCTTATTGGGAAGAAAAGAAAAAAAAATCTAACAAAATAGGAGGAAAATATCACACTCAAACCTATTATAAATTTCATACGGGTAAAAACACATTCTTCTCTCACTAATTCCCTCTTTATATTTGGTCGAACTTTTCCTATATGCCAGCTGGTCAATTTACTTTCCCTTTCTAATTCAAGTTGATGGATACTTTACCTGGAAGTTACTACGAAAATGGTACATATAAAGGTTGTGAATACAAAGCTGCTATTAAATATAAGGTTAAAGTAGAAATAAGCTCATCTAATAATAAAAAACTTAAAAATAAGCAAGATTTGATTATCCGTGAACCTCTCAAGACATAAGTAGCATCACAATACCAAGAAGATGTAGTTAAAGTAAGAAGCGTTGCTTTTTTTTATAATTATATTCGTTTACATTCAAATTAAGCATATTTAAATGTTATCTTTTGCAAAAGCAATATTCTATTTATTGTTCTTCAATAAAGGTTAAATCAATTGAGTAAAAAATAAAGAGTCTATTTATCTCAAAATATAGTCCAAAGATCAATAATATAAAATAAAAATTACTGTGGCTAATCAATAAATTTAGAAATAAAATAGATCTCATACAAAAACAACAATATTTATTTACTATTTTGAAGACTTTTTTATAAAATTTGAAATTTTTTTATATAAATAATAGCCAAAAACATGGTGTTGTATAAGTTAAGGTTAGTCATAAATTAAATGCCACTTTGAAAGAAACAGCTATATGCCTGGAGAGACTGCTCATATGCTTGTTGATATTGATAACTCTTAATGCAATTTATAAATTAAAAATTTGAAATGTTCTCTAAATAAACGTTTGAAATTGACTTCAAACAGTGGAAAATCGCGTACAATTAAAAAGGAAATATGTAGTCGTGATTTCGAAGGACTTGCTGCTCACTAAACAGCTACGCAAAATAATAGACGTAACTGTGAAATAAATCTTATAAGAAATAAAGACAAAGTAATTTAGCCTTCAACAACAGGTAAATTAGTCAGTTGTGAATATAATTTAAATATCTCAACCAATTTTAATGGGTGTATTTGCTGCTCTGATGAACCTGAAGTAACAGTACCTATTACAATAATTTCTCCCCCTCCTTCTAATTATGGATAAATCTAACCTCCCCCTAATTGGAATCCTCAAGTATTTGAAGTTAAGACATTCGCTTTCTCAAGTGATTATATGTATAGTAAAAACTCACCCCCTCCACCAGGAATGAGCAATAACATCAATATGCCTCCCCCACCTCCTATGAATCCAGTTCCTCCACTAATGTATCCTCCTAATGATCCTATGCCTCCTCCAATTATGAATATGAATGTTAATAGGAATGCAAACTAGAATACAAATATGAACGTTTAACTAAATCAATAAGTATAATATTAGGATAATAATATGCAAATGGGTATGGGTGCCCCAGGAATGCAAATTTAAGTAAACAATCACTAATACTAGCACAACTAAAATCAACAACCTCCAAATATGAATATGCAATTTAATGGAGGTGCCCCCCCCATTTTGTGAAATTAAAAATACTTGAACTGAACAACACTCATAAGAATAATAATTTACTTATTTATTGAAAATATTGATTAATTTTTATATAAGAAGTATCATTAAATTTTAAATACATATATTGATTGCAATATATAAGGTGTATTTTTAAATTTTAAATACATATATATTAATACATTTTGATTTTTATTCAAATTTTAATTAATTTCAATAGTAATAAACTATTATCTACTCAGTCAATATTAAAAAGTTAAATCTACATTATATTTAACTTCTTAATATTTACAATTTTTATTTACATCCTTTATACTTACTTTTTGATCTTCTATTACATTCCAGATCAAGTATCATAAAAAATTTTTTGGAAGCATTACGGTCTTATCTGATATATAATTTTATGCAGTAGGTCTTTTTATTGTCTCATACAGCAAGTCTATTGTATGATATCAAAAAAGTTATTGTCTCTAAAAATATTTTCTAATTTAAAAGCTTAATTGTATTATTCTAGCTTTATAACTCGTTTATGCAAATATATAATTTATATTCTGATATACTATTCGCATTATACACCATATATTGCGAGAAAGCTACCATTTAGGTAATTTAAAAAATTTCTTCAAAACCTTACATTAGAAATACTTTTTATTTAATCATTAATAAATATTAACAGAAAAATAAATTTAATGTGAAAATATAGCAAAAATAAATAAAAATAATCACTCATATCGTTTTTAATTTTAATTTAATAGGTATAGCAAGTATTAGGAACCCACTTGATTTTACATACATTTTATTTATTTTGTGCTATTTATTTTATTTATTAGGCCAAATAAAATATTTTTTTTTAATTCCTGTTCATTATACAATATTTATAAATATCTACACTAAAAGTGCTTTAATCTAAGACTTTAGCAGACTGAGTATCGTCTTAGATAGGTTTTTGACTTCTTCTATTATCACATTAGAAAGAATGATATTTTCCAAAGCAGATTGAAAATGTTAAAGCGCCATGAATCTTGCTTACAAAATTATAAAATCTTTTTAGAAGATATTCCTTAAGTGGTTGTAGTCCTTACATTTAATTTAAGATTTTCAAAAACTAAAAATTTATTAGATTGGTTAAACCTTAGAGTAATTAAATTATTTATTATTTTATTAAATAAGTAGGTATTAGTTATTACAGTTTTGAGTATGTATAAAATTAATTCTCTTAACTCCGGTTGGTAAGCTCATTCTAGTATTTTTAGGACATATTAAATGCAAGATTATATAAACTTTAGGTAAGACATTTCAGAAGTTTACAAAATTAAGATAAGCCAAGATAATTAAGATATATTTACCTACTTATCAATACCTAAAGTGATAAGTAAAACTTTATTCTTTAATTAATAGTATAAAATAAAAAAAGATTTATAAAAAGGGGGTTCCAGTAGCTAAAAATCAAAAAAAAAAAGAATAGAAAGATAAAGATGCTTAAAGTTCCAAAGTGCTTAATAGAGTGATAGGTAGTTAAAATGCTCTATCAGATAATAAAAGTGTCCGATAATCTTAAAAAAGTATTTAAGCATCTGAACAAAGTATAAAATCCAAAGAACCTTCTCAAGGTGAGTAACAAACTAAAAAAAAAAGTAAATCTAATTATAAAACTTAAAAAGAACTACAAGAGTCTGAATTTAAATAAAAATTAATTTAATATTTACTTGAGAAAGAATCTGAATAGAATTAATTGATAACTAAAATAAATTATACTTTTTTACTGCAATTAAAATGTCAGAATTCAATCATAATTTTATTCTTTAAATCATTTTATTTTATTTTTTATTTGTTTTAAAAGTTAATTATTATGCTTTCTATATATTTTATGCTTTTATATTAATAGATATTCATTTAAAATTACAAAAATATAATTATTAAATTTAACCCAAATATTAATTTACCTTTTTAATTAATTATTCGAATTGATTATAAAAGTAAATTTTCTTTTATAAAAAAAGTATTTTTTTTATAAACTATTAAAGGAATTATATATACCTTAAAAGTTTATATGTAATATATAGAGATCAAAATTTTCTCTCTGTAGTCTAAAAGTTCATAATAGTTAATGTAATTGAAAATAGAAAATTGAGGAAAGGTAGCAATTAAGAAGTAAATAAGGTACCCTTTTATTTTTAAGTAAAGAAAAAAATAAATAGTATAGATAAGATTTGTAAATTATCTAATTTTAATTTTTCTGCTGATACCTAATGTTCCTATTCGCATAAATTTGAGAAATTTTATTTTATTAATTAATTATGGTAAAAATTGTTTGTTTTAAGAAAAGTAGAAACAATTTTACATTGATTATAATTATGTAAGCTCAAGAGTTCTATCTATATATCCATTTAACTTAAAAAATCTTAAATTTATATTTCAAGTTTTTATAATTATTTATATTGATATCTTTTGTTAAATTTAAAAAAAAGTAATTAATTATGGGAAATAACTCCTCATATGCAAACGGTGGTATATACATACAAACCGATTAACCATTTTACATAGCAGGTGATACTGTTACAGGAAAAGTACATGTAAGTACTCTAGAATCGTTTCCTGCTAATGTACTTTCACTAAAGATAAAAGGATATGAAGAGTATAATGTTTTAGATATCTTTCATAATTAATTTTAAACCATTTTTTAGCTCTTAAATTTTAAAAAACATGTTAAAATATCAAACAGGTCTTATTGGTAAGAGTAACACTAAAGAACTCACACAGTTAGAGGTTCAGATGGCTAGGAAAGATAGCACACTGAAACCTATTATGAAACTCATAGGGGTAAAAACACATTCTTCTCACACTAATTTCCTCTTTATATTTGGTCAAGCTTTTCCTATATGCCAGCTGGCCAATTTACTTTCCCTTTCTAATTCAAGTTGATGGAAACTTTACCTGGAAGTTACTACGAAAGCGGTACAGATAGAGGCTGTGAATACAGGGCTATTATTAAATATAAGGTTAAAGTAGAAATAAACTCATCTAATAATAAAAAGCTTAAAAATAAGCAAGATTTGATTATTCGTGAACCTCTAAAGACATATGTAACATCACAATATGGAGAAAGAGTTGTTAAAGTATGAACAATTAATTACTTCTTTTTATCATTTTCATTTACATTCAAATAAACAAATTTTAAATGTTATCTTCTGTTTAAGCAATAACTATTTACTATTCATCAATAAAGTTAAATCGATTGAGTAAAAATATAGAGTCTATTTATCTCCTTAATATAGTACAAAGATCTATAATATAAGATAAAAATTAATGTGAATACCAATAGATTTAGAAATAAAATTGGTTTCTTACAAAAATAACGAAATTTATTAATTTTTTTACAGATTTTGTTTACAAAATTTGAAAATTTTTTTAATAAATAATAGCCAACAACATGGTGCTGCATAAGTTAAGGTTAGTCACACATTAAATGTCACTTTGAAAGAAACAGCTATATGCCTGGAGAGACTGCTCGTATGCTTGCTGACCTTGATAACTCATAATGCGATTTAGAAATAAAAAATTTGCAATGTTCTCTAAATAAACGTTTGAGATTGACTTCAAACAGTGGAAGAGAACACCTTATTACTAAGTAAGTAAGCAGACGTGATTTCTAAGGAGTTGGTGCTCACTAAACAGCTACAGAAAATAATAGACGTAGCTGTGAAGTAAATCTAATTGGAACTAACGGCACAGTAATTTAGCCTTCAACAAGAGGAAGATTAGTCAATTGTGAATATAATTTAAATATCTTAGCCAATCTTGAAGGGTGTATCTGCTGTTCTGATAAGCCTGAAGTAACAGTGCCTATTTCAATAGTTTCTCCCCCTCCTCCTAATTATGGATAAATGTAACCTCCCCCAAATTGGAATCCTCAAGTATTTGAAGTTAAGACATTCGCTTTCACAAGTGATTATATGTATACCAAAAACTTACCCCCTCCACCAGGAATGAATATTAACATCAATATGCCTCCCCCACCTCCTATGAATCCCATTCCTCCACCAATGTATCCTCCCAATGATCCTATGCCTCCTCCAGTCATGAACATGAATGTTAATATGAATGCAAACTAGCCTACAACATCTAACTAAGGAAATGTAAATATGGGAATAGGTATGGGAGTTCCAGGAATGAATATGCAAGTAAATATGAGTGGAAACGATCCCAACTACAATTAAAACTAATAATACCCCCCTTAAAATATGAATGTTTAAGTAAATCAGCAAGTATAATATTAGGATAATAATATGCAAATGGGTATGGGTGCCCCAGGAATGCAATTCAATTTTTAAGTAAATGATAACTAACACTAACACAACTAAAATCAACAACCTCCAAATATGAATATGAATATGCAATTCAACTAAGGTCCTCCCCCAAATTTTTGAAATAAAAAATAAATCTCTAACTAAGAATAATAATTTATTTATTTATTTATTGAAGATATTCATTAATTAATTATTACATAAGAAGTATTAGATAAGATGTTACATATATTTTAGAGTCAGTCATTTATTCATTTGATAAATTTTAAATACACATAATAATATATATAATATTTTAAATCTATTCTCTTAATTTTCTATTTATTTATTAATTTATGTTTAGTAATTAATTGTTTTATTCTATAATTATTCTTACTTATTAGGTATATCCTTTATTAGAATTAAATTCTTTGTTAGCGTATTAATAATATCTTTTTACATTTAAAACTATTTTCATTCCATATTTATAAGTCCTCTCATCAATGTTTGTTAGGATTGCAATTTTCACTTTTAACTGTTTTCTTCACTATATAAATACTTAAAGGGATAAAGCTGAATGAGAACTTTTCCTTTTATCAAATATTCTGGAAGAGGTCCGTGATCTCTTGAGTCAAATGAGTTATCTTTATTATCACCTTCGATCCAAACATGGTTAGGAGGCACTATTATTCTATTAACCTACTCACCTTCTGTGTATAAAACTCTTTTACAAATGTCCACATCAGGTTTAACAGGCGATTAAGCTATGATTATATCCCCTTTTTTCACTCTTTTTCCAAATATTTTATATGGTAACTTTAAACAAATTAGAGAAGAAGTATCACTAATAGTTGGTTCCATAGATGCACCATCTGCCTTATTAGCAACAATAACATTATCAATGGTTAGGTAGTATAAAGCAGCTGCAGAAAGTGGCATTAAGCATTAACTCACAATATCATTTAGTACTCGAGACATTTTTAAATGAAAAATTCAACCAATCAATCTATCAATATAAATTTAAATACGCAATCTAATAAGTAAATTTTAGTTTTCTATTTTTTTCTTTAAGAAGATTTTACAAAAATAAATATTCCTATATACGTTTGTAAAATATTGTAAGGAATCAAAGCTCCTTATCTAAAATTATTATTAAATTAAAATATTTTCTCGAATGCTACTTAAGCTAATAAAAATTTAATATTCTGAAATAAAATAGAAAAAATAATACGAATAAAATCTAATAATTTTATGTTTAAATTCAATAGCTTTTTATCCTGAATTTTTCTTTTTTTTAATTTTTAAATTAAATAGTTTATTCTATTTTAATTTTATTTACATTTATTAACAAGTAAAGAAGTAAGCGATTAATTTTAAATCTTGAAGAAATATTTTTGCCTATAAAACTATTTTTTATTGAAGCCTGCCTCGCTCATATAAGAAAACTATAAATTTGTTAACTTTAAAACATATTAGAATTAAAGATTAAATCTATTAATTTGAATCTCTCAAAATTTTGTATATTTTTGCAATAATGTTTTTATAAAATTTTGAAGACTTTTTAATCACAAAGTTCTAACAAAAATTCAAGGCTGGTAATAAAAGATACACTATAACCCGAATAAATAATTAGGAAACAATTAATATTTTAATACATCAAATTAAAAGTTTATACTATTTCTAATTATGGGTTGGTTTAGTAAAAAAAAGGATCCTCCTAAAGAAGAAAAAAAAGAGGATGAAAAATAAAAAAGATAAAGTATCTCTTAGTAATCTTAGTAAGATCTAGCTAAGTAATATGAATCAAACTAAGATTAAGTATGTTTTCTTTAAATAAACAATCCACATTTTTAATTCTTATATTTTTTATTTAGTTTATACTAGATTCTATTATACAATTTTTCAATAGTCCTGTATTTACATCACCTGTCTTAGATTTTTTAGATGAAAACTGCATTATTTTCTAAGATTTATCTAAAGAAAATATGAAAGTCTATTAAGATATTCATCTGGTAACTTTAAATAGAGATACTCATTTTATATATTGATTTTTTGTTGCAAAATAGAATTTCAAAAAGTACATTGAGCAGTAACTAATTAGCTTATTGGAAACTATTGGCTGTGATTTAAAAACTATACTTGATCATACCTAAACTATGCTTTCCTAGAAGGATTATCAAAAGTATTTAAAGATTATGATAATTTACTTCCACTTCAATGAGTTTTGCAAGATTATGGTATCAAGAAATAAAAAACTTGAGGAGTTGGCAAGATAAGGGATAACTCCTTAGTAAAAAAACCATAATTAATCTTAATTATAGTAGTATGAATCTGTTAGCAAAGAAGACATTAGCTTTGCAAAAAAACAATCACTTCTTGATGAACAAAATTTAAAAGAGAGATAAAGAATGATAAAGTAGCGAGAAGATGAAGAGTATGAAAGAGTAAGACTTTTATATCTATTACTTATCTGCTTTCTATCATTATAATATTTATTTAATAAAAATAGGCTATCTTAGAAAGTAAAAAATGGTATGAGGATTATTTAAGAAGATTAGAGCAAGAAGAAGAAGATTTAAGAAGAGCTTTACTATTATCTCTTGAATACATGAAATAGTAAGGTATAAAAGAAGATGAATAAGATAAAAAAGAAAGGCTAGAATAGGAAAGAAAACTGCAATAAGAGAAAGAAAGGGCTAGATAAGAAATTTAAAGATTAGAATTAGAGAACTAAAGACTGTAATAAGAAAAGCTTAAAAAATTGTAAGAATTAGATTAAGAGAATAAATTATCCGAAATGCAATAAAGTTAACTTGTCTAAAAGAATCAAGAAAAATAAAGAGCTATTGAATTGGAAAAACTAAGATAAAAATAGTTAGAAGAAGAAGAAAGAAGGCTCAAAGAATTAAACGAAGAAAAATAAAGGTAATTGTTGTTGCAATAAGAGGAGATGAAGAGAAAGCTATTAGAAAATTAAGAAAGAGTAAGGAAAATGAAAGAAGAATAAGCTCTAAAATAAAAACAGTAGTAATAATAATAAGAAGAAGAATTATAAAAATAGATGAAGTTAGCAGAGCAATAAAAACAGAAAGCTGATGGCTCTGATAAAAAAGAAGATAGTAAATAAAGATAAATGGATGCAATAAAGAAATAGCTTTATGGCAATTAATAAGTAAGTAAATTCTTTAAATTAATTATTTTAATTTTTTATAAAAATTTTCTTATTAAAAGGGAGATAATTAAAGCAATAAAAAAAATTAATATGTGGGTATTAACTTAGAATAAGAGCTTGGTTATAACTATGAAGAGGAATAACATGAATAAGAAGATTTTATGAGTAATTACACAAGCTAACAAGGAGGCTAAGGAATCCAAAATAATTTATTATTAATCAATAACGATAATGATGCTATTTCTAATAACAAAAAGAATACATAAGACATTTATAATTAGCAGATGAATTACAACTCTTAGAATAAAAATTCATCATAATCCCCTTCTTCTTCAAAAAACAATAATAATTAAATCAATTCAAATAAATAAAATATTAATTATAATGGAATTAACGAATTTTAATTTCAAAATGAAGATGGTTAAAATTTCGACAATTAAAACTAAAATCCATACTAGATAAACCCAAAGAAATATGATGAAAATGTTAGAAAAAACTTCTTTGATGATTTATAACGTGATTCTGCCTTAAAAAACCAAACATTGTCAGATGTTAAAAAACAAAAATAAACAATTAAAAATCCAAATTAAGAGGATGATGAAGACGATTTTTATTAGACAAATGAAAACAATAAAAGAAATGGAATTTAAAAAGATAAGTTTGAAGATCAGTTTGATGATTTATATAAGGAAATACATGATTTAGACATTGACACTCAAAATAGTAGGGAATAGCTTGATGATAACTAAAAGTAAAGAAATTTAAAACAAAATTAATAAGATGATTTAAATAATAATTTCGATGGGACAGACTATTCTTAAAGAAGAACACAAGCATCACAACAACGTGCCCAATTAATATAAATGCTCAAACAAAAAAGAGACAATGATTTATAAAATTACTAAAGCAATCAATAGGTCTCAACATAAAATAATGTTGGATCTTAGCCAGTATACGGATAATAAACATCTGCAAATTAAAAAACTAATATTTACTTAAATAATGCAACCTAGAAAATATCAAGAGAAGATAGTTATAATGTTTCAAGAGAGTAAAAGGAATCTGTAAAATTTGCAGTAATAAATTTATTATTTTTATATAATTTTAATAAAATTATTTTTAAAATATTAAAAAAGGAAATTGGTAAAGCCACAATTCTTAAAAGACAATTCTGATAAAATTAAAAAACGAAAATTTAATTAAATATTTCATTTAATAACTTTATAAATTCTAAATATAAAATGAGTAGTTAGTTAGTTAGTGTTTTAATTCTATAAAAATGAAAAAAAAATATTAATCTTTAAATTAAATAAGTAATTCAATAATTATTTATGAATTCAAAAAATATATTATCTATTGATATAATTTATTTAACTTTTGTAAATAAAACAATAAAAAACTAAAATACTATTTCCACCTCAATAAAAACAATCAATATTTATTTATTTATTAAATTATTCAATTTTTATTACTTGTTCTAACTTTTTAAAAAGACTTCAAATTTAAAAATTAATTAAGATACAAAATATTAATTACTTGTTCAGCAATAATTTTCTGATTTATAAAATTAAAAAGCTATAATGGCGTACTAACTATATTCTAGTCCTTTCTAGAGATTTTATTGCGCCTCTCCTATATCTCCAGCTGCTTTAGTTTGTTTTTGTACCTATTTTATGGTAGCTATTATACCATTTTTGCTTGTTGCCTCAACTTAAAGTAAAAAATAAAAATAATTCAAACATAGATTAGTTTCAGAATGGATAGTGATAACTTCATATTTTATGATTTTATTTAATAGATTTATGGCAAACACAGGTTATAGGAATGGAATAAGTAGATATGAACTTTTAGAACGATAATAACTTCCATATATCAGTTTTAATTAAAAAGGCTGATTCAACATTAAGCACATACACAATATCCAATCTTTTATATTAAAATCCATTAAATAATGATGGTACATTAGTTAGTCTTTAAGGTTTAACAGTAATAATTATTTATAAAATAAGGGAATTTATTCATTTTAAATTAAAAATTTAGCATTAAAGTTATGATTATAATGATGATGGAAAAGTTGATCATTTAGAAATAAATTTATAACTAATAACATTGTAGGGTACTTATGTAGTTGATGCAGATATAGTTATATTTATGGGAATGAATTTTAAAGTAAGTTTAAATTATTAAAATATTTAAAGATGGATGGCTTATTAATTACAAAATATATTTAGAAATATACCAAGATTTAAAGTTATGGAATGTTAAGATTCAAAACAAATAACTTATCACAGTCAAATTTAGGTAGTGTAGTATTTATAGGTTATCCTGTGCTCAGAACCAATTAACCTTTACCAAGATCTAAGTAATAAATAGTTGATATGAATTCTTAACTAATAAAGATTTAATATAAATTAAGGTATAAAACATTGCAAATATATAATGAGAATCCATTTATAACAGGCTGGATGCTCATAGATCAGATATACTAAAAATATTATTAAAGAGACTGTAAGAAAATTCTAAATATTTTTTCATTTAATTTAAAAAATGACTGAATGCATAAAATTTTTTAAAATTCGTTTTATTTTTAAACAAATATTTTCAATCAGTAAAATTCAAAAAAGTGATTTTAATTCTCAATTAATTCAAAGCAGGTTAATTTAATTCAAAAATTAATAAATAAACAAATAGTTAGAATTGATGCTGAATACTAAACTCATGTAACTTAATGCATTTAGCCATCTTAGACATATTAATCAATTGTAAACTTTAAAATATTACTCGACCTTAATAAATAGCAAGAAGTACTTTATAAACCTTCTTTCCTTTAGCTAATAAGAAATGCTTGGGTCCAATACTTTGGTTTACTGTTCCCCTCAATCTATTTTGGAAGATTTTTCCTACAATTTATATATAAATATAAATTCTTTTCAACTTACATAGTTGATAATTTACCTAAACAAGAAAAACTAAACTGATGATTATATCAAATAATCATTTTGTAATAAAAAATTATGCATATTTGTAAATTATTTAGAGTGTTTAACGTTTTATGAATTTTCTAGAAATATTCCTTTTGAATTTTATTAATGCTTTGTTTTATTTTTTTAGATCAGATTTTTAGCTACACTTGAATGACATATTTTATATAGAAAACAATTTATACTATTCTACCAAATATCCGTTTAAGTAGTATTGTATTTTCGATTGTGTTTTTAGGAAAAAACATTTATACAAAATAAAATAAAAATAAAAAGTTATTAAAAGCAAATAAGAAGAACTATGATAGCTCGTTCACTTTTCTAGACTAATAAATATTTTGCAAGTAAATTTTAACTTTTAACATTCCGTGATAATAAGTATGCGATTCCTAGCCCTCCTTCTAGGCCTGCATTTGCTTAAACTATCTTTAATCAACTTTTAAGAAACAAAGCAAAAGAAATTGGTTAGAAATAAGCAGATATTAAGAAGAATGAACAATTATTTAAGTAATTAACAGAATAAGCGAAGGTTGAAAGAGAAAATGCTTTAAAAAACTATGAAACAAGTCTTAAAGAATATGAAGCTAAATTCAGTATACCTAAAAGGATTAAACCCGCCTTTTTCTATTACTATTTAGAAAAATACGATAAGACTGAAAAGTTAACAGAAAGTGTGAAAAGGCTAAGTAAAGAATTCAAATAACTTTCTGAATAAGAACAGAAGATATATAAAGAAAAAGCCGCTGAAGATAAAAAAAGATATTAAGATGAATGCGAAAAATTTGTAAAGCAGCATTAGGATTTAATAGTTCCATCATTGTATCCTTTGTAACCATTATCTTTGTATGTTTCTGAATAATTTTCATAGAATCCTCAATCAACATTGAAAAAAATTGCATCATCTTGGAAATAGCTAAGCGAGGAATAAAAGAAATAATATGAAGAAAAGGTAATCAAAATTAATGAAGAGTAGAAGTAAAAACTTGCTGAATTCTAAAAAAAGAATAATTTATCAGATGAAGATATTAAGAATTTCAAGAAGAGAAAGCAAAGATCTAAATCTGTTGAATAAAAAGAAAGTCAGAGCTAATGATGAAATAAAATCAAATTATTAATAAACTCCTAAACAATTAAATGTTTTATATTTACAATATTCATTGTTTGAAGCACATGCTAATTGTTTCAGTGTATTTTATTTTTGATAACATCTAAAAAAAGCATTTATTTATTTTAATATTTTTTCTAATAAATTTTTTAATTTTGAAATTTTTTTAATTTGGAGGTTAAATAAAATAGAAATAAACTTTTTACAATGAATTAATATCTAAATCTAAGCAGTTATTTTAAGATTAGAAATAAATTTTTATTTGTTTAAAATAGGAAGATCTTAAAAATAAATCATATCTAATTTCTTTTTCAATGAGCTAAATTATCTCTTAATTTTTATTTGAGAAATATTTGTAATATTATTTAAAAAGTTACTGTTCACCTTTTAAATATTGAAAATTTAAAATAAGCATTTAAGTTAAGAAAAATAGAAATAACTTTAAACTTATTAATGTTATCAGAAGGAATAATTTTTAAGTTAAACATTTTATTGATTTTAAATAAATATAAATAATAGTTTGATCTTAGAATTAAATCATAAATGTTGTTTATTAAGTTTATTTATTTTCAACTTAGAAATATCGTGGAAAATATATTTTACTCTCATTTTAGTTTAAAAATAGTTGTTTAAATTGGCTTATCACTTTTAGGTACTTCTTTTAAAGAATTACAAATTATTTCATTTTAATTTTTAACTTTTTACATATTTTTATAAAGATTTTAATATTTTTTAACATTTTTTTTGGAGCTTTTTATGCCAATTATATTTTATTTTACTTTAGATAGCATTATATTTTTATTTTTAATAAAAAAAAATACATTTTTACTTTTAAGATAGCTCAATTTAAGAATATCTCATAATTGATTGAATAGATAGTCAATAATGTAGAGGGCATATTTAGAAATTTATAAAAACATAGTAATAAAGTTATTTTGCTTTTAAAATTAAGCACAATAATTTTAATTTTCTTCGATATAAAAAAAGCAAAGGAATAACGTGCTTTATAAAATTACGCATTTATTAAAATTAGCTTGCCAATAATAGTGTTAAGCAAGTAACAATTCTATTTTTAAAAGCTTTTTTACAAATTAATTTTGATTAAAAAATTATAATCAACAAAAGTCAACTAATAAAGTGTAAAATATTTAGATGTAGGGATAAGAATTTGAAGAATCATAATCTAGCGTATAATTTAATACTTTTGAAGATAAATTAAATCTGAAAAAGTGGGATGAAGATGAAGCTGAGATAAGAACATTTTTAAATAAGCTATCCACTGACATAGAGCAATCTTTCCTTTAAAGAAGGCTAGATAGAGGAGTTAAAGAAGATGAAATTTAATGTAAACACTTCATCAATTTTTTAATTTGCAAGCTTTTAAACTTTCTTGCTTTAATCTAAAAATGTTTAAGAGTTGTTGTTAATAGAACATTTTTATTTAAAAGATGAATTTGAATTAGCAATAAAGGAAATTTTGAACAAAGAGTAGCAGATCAAGCTTTCTTTAGAACTAGCATGTAATAATAATTAATAAAAAATGTTATTAGTTTATAGAATTCATTTAAAAAAATGAAAATAACCTTCAATAATAAATAATGCAAAATATTTCTTAAAAAGATGTACTATTAGAAAAAATGCATGAGTAAAGGGATATATTTAGTGATGAATATGACGAATTTATGTAATAAAAAGAAGAGCTCTAAAGGGATTTAGAGTTTAAAGAATAATATTGCGAAGAGTACTCAGTAATTTACTAATTAATACTTAAGATTATTTTAAATTTTTTATTATTTTTTTCAAATTATTTATCAAAGTAAAATCACATTCTCAAAAAATCACTAATTTTTTAGTAAATAAGATTTTTAATTTTGGCAAATATTTTATATATTCGTTCGGCAGTACCAATAACTTAACATTATTATATCTAATAAAGAGAAGATTGTAGTTTCTAACAGAATAAAATAATAATTTGACTTAAGAATATGCTCAGTTAGAAGAATTCAATGATAAGCTTAAAGCGAGAAACTCAGAGCTTGACCAAGAACTTATAAAAAGTTTACATTAAATAGAATAAGTGGTAAAGAATAAAAATTAAATTGTGTAAAAAATTATATTCTATTAATTCAATTATATAGAAATAAAATAAAGAATAAGACACAAATTCTAAGCTAACAATTATTCAAAAAGAGCTCGATAATTTGAAGAATCACAATATATAGTTGTCTAAGGATCTATCTGAAGCAAAAAAAAAGGTTTAATCTGAATAAATATAGCAATAAGAATTATTCAATTAGTTAGATGAAATGAAAAGAATGAATAATTGTAATTATGATTAAATTATTTTAAATATATTAGTTAAACAAATATTTTTATAATAATTTTGAAGTGTTTTTGAAAGAAAACGACTCAATAAAAAGATAACTCTAAGAGGCTCAATTTAGACTCCAAGCTGCTTAAGAAGAAAAAGAAAAGATTGAGGTATAGTTTTTGTAGCTATAGATGGTTCATTAGAATAAATTGCATAGAAAAGACTCTAAAGAAAGCGACTATATGGAAAGTGATAGCTATATTGCTTAAAATAATTAAAATAATACAAATATAAATTTAGAATAAGGTAAATTTTATATTTAAATTTTTTACTTTTAAACTCAATTTTCTTAGTGAGTGGTATTAAATTTTTCATCTTAAATTAATTTAGTAATATTTCAACAAAAAATCAAAGAAATTATCTTTTCTTTAGTTAAATTAATTAATTAAAAATATAATTTAAAATATAGATAAAAATTAAGGTTAATTTTCTGCTTTATACGGAGAAATATTAGGGCAAAATAAAAATTAAAATAAATTTGGAGATGATATGTTTAATTACTATTCCTCTAACCGAGATTCTCATACAGAAGATAATATTAAGGATCATAATATTAAAGGCAAAACTAAAGCTATTTCTAAAAATAACTTTGGCAAAAGATTTTCTAACATTAACACTTTAAGCGAAATTTAAATTGAAAATAGAAATAATAGAAATTACCCACTCTCTAACAAAAACAGTAGCTAAACAATAATTGAAAATGAAGAGAAAGGAGAATAAGAAATTAAGAGCAAGGCCTAGACTTTCACCTATTTTAAAAAGGGGTTTAGTAATTTATCTAAAAAATACTAAGAAGAAAAAAATTACGAAGATGAAGAATATGACTCATCGAGATGGCATAAATAAGATTAAGTAATAGAAATAGAGAGACCTAATTTAAATTTCAAGAAAAATGTTTAGCGACTAAGGAACATAGATCAGGCTATGAAAATCGAAGACTAAAATTACTCTTCAATTGAAGACATAAGTGCTCAAATGGATATTAGGAGTTTGCAAGATTAAAAAATAGATGAAATATTGAATTCATATGAAGAAGTTCAATTCAATTCTATCAAGAACTAAGCTTAATCTCCATCTAAAGAAAAGTAAATTTTACTAATTGAAGATCATAGAATATCAGAAGAAGACTAGGAAGAAGACAAGGTAGGAGGTTAAAATTCTGAAAATAAAGAGGAAGCTTAACCAAAATATATATCATCTAATAAAATAAATAAGTTATAGGAATTTTCCAATTAAAAGCAAGAACATGCTTAGGAAAATAGTGGTTATAAAGAGACTTTACATATACCTTAAGATGCTCAAGTTGAGTAAAGAAACTTGTTATCAATTAATTCAACTGATAATCAAAATACCTAAAATGCAAGCTTTTAAGAAAATAATTAATAAACTATCAAGTAAATTAAAAGAATGTCAGCATCAAAAGGTTCTGAATAAAATTCAATTTAAAAATAAGATAAAATTATCACAAACTTTTAAACTCCATAACTAAATTAAAAAGCATCTTAAAATAAAGATGGTAGTGAAATTTTATAATAGTAGAGTTAGTCATAAAACAATGATTAAAACAATTACAACTCACACAATGTTTACAAAAATAATCACCAAAATCATTACAATACATAACCCTAGTTGTTATAAGATGAATTTAGTAATCAATCAAAAACATCAATTAGTGGACAGGTAAGAAAATTTTCTTCAAGAAATTAAACTCACAGGAAGACTAAATTTATGGAAAACATGAAAAATTACAAAATTTCTCACTGGGGAGAAGATAATGAAGAAAACTATAAATTAAACACTCTTATAACTAACGACACTATGGCAACTCATGTTAAAAAATATAAGCACGAACACACTAGAAGTCTTTTAATCCCATCTGAAATATCCGATTATAGAAGTGAAAATAAAATTAACTAAGAAACAAAATAAACAGATCAAGAATATTTAAACAACATTTAAATCAATAACCCATTCGAAAAAATAGTAATAGATGGTGATGCTTTTTTAAATGAATAGCCTAACTAAATTTCTACTAAACTTACACAATAGAAATCAAATCTTTATAAAGCATATAGATCTGGCATAAAAAGTGCAAGTATATGTTCTCTACCTTCAAGTAATTTAACTCAATAAAGATTAAATCATGATAATATTTAGAGATAAAGTATGTAATAACTATAAAATGAAAGATAAGAAAGTTAATTAAAATAGTTTGAAGAAATTTAATCCCCAATTCAGCGTTAATAAAACCCCTAAATAAGAATATAGAATGAACAAATAGAAGAAAAGAATGAATTGTAATAGTACTTAAGCCAAAATTAATTTGAAAATTTAAAATCATAAGAAGACGATAGTGACAGAGAAGATGCAACAGAAATATTAGAAAAGTCTAAACTAAAGAATGAAATTTAAACTTACGATTTAAACAAAATGAATTCTAATAATTAAGATGAATACGATAAATTTTGCTCTCCTTTGTTAAAGGATAATGAGTTAAAAGAAGAAAATATGTAGATATCACATATCATTTAAAGCATTTAAAATAACAAAAGCTAAAGTATTAACCCTGAATATGAAAATATCTCTGAAATGCTCATTAATAATTCTAGAGTCAGGACTAAAGAAAGATCTATTGATAAAAATATATTCAGATAACCATTATAAAAACCATAGAGGAAAGACACTTATGAGGTAAAATTTTTTTATTATCAATATTGTTATTTAATTAGTTGCATATCATAAAAATAGGAATTCTTTATGTTAACTGCTTAATGCGTTAAATTAAATTCCCCTTATTTCGACGAAATAAACTCTGTTAAGGTATAGCCATATTATGAAGAGATTAAGGCACAATAAATACCTTACCATAAGGTATGAAATTTTAATTTAAATAATTTTAAATAATTAATTTAATATTTTTAAAATAAACAGTGGTCTGACTTCTTAAAAGAAAAATTTGAAAAAATTCATTAATAAATGTCGCAATAGAATAAACTTAAATTCACCTATAAAGTTTAAATAGAATCAGTTAAATAAAATCAGGGTCCATAACTACAAATATGTTCTATAATATCTTAAAATCAATCCCCTTAAAGGAAAAAATGAATTAATATAAAAATAATTTTCTAAATTATAAATAAGTTTGTATAAATTAATTATAAAAAATAAGTAAGTAAGTAAGTAAGTAAATAAATAAATAAATAAATAAATGTATATATGATCTTTCTATATCGTTTTGTTAAATATAATGATTTATTGATATTTCATATCTTTAGTTTCTAGTAATGAAAGAAATTATTTATAATTCATCATAAAACATATTATTACTTAAAATAAAAATAAATATTTAAATTTATGTGAAATGAATTCAAAATTTTTTTTTTGGATGCCTATTAAAAAATAAATGTATTATTTTATAGATTTTTAGTTAATGTTTAAAATCTTTTATCATTAATAAAATTTATACTTTGAGGTGAATTTTTTATTTTGTCTCGTTAAAAATTACAATTTATTTAAATTACTAATTTTGTAGGTGGATTTTGTTTAAAATTAACTTTTTTAAAGCAGTATCTTACTTAAAGAAGGTATTAGTTATTTTTTACTAAGTGTACATTTTTGATAAGGGAAATGTATTAATTTACTTAAATGAAATTAAAATACTCTATACTTTTTCGAATTATTTACAGGATTATTAATTATTTGATAATTAATTCACTATAAATGACGTGTTTTATATTCTATCTTAATTAAATTTTCTGGTCAGATAAAAGAAAAATCTAAAAACAAAATTATGAATGAGTTGTGGATTATTTTTGAAAAGATAATTAAAAGCAATATACATTACATCAATTTGTTAATAAATATTCAATTTTGAATTTTTTTTAGATAGATAGATAGATAGTTTATTATTATAAATTTTAGTATTGGAAAATCAAATTTATTTCAATTCAATTTTTGCAACTATTTTCAAATGAAAATGGTCTTTTTGCATACAATTTGTTAAAAGGTTTTTGTTGTTTATTATTAATATTCATTTTATTGTAAATTTGTTAAGGTGAATTTATTTATATATGTATGATTATTGAAAATAAGTTTAGAGGCTTTCATTAAATACTTATTTTGCCTTTTTTTTCCTACTTTTCACTCAGTAAATTAGTTACATGTATCTATTGATTCTTTTATACATTTCCAGTAATTTTTGAATTCAGCACTCTAATTTTCCAACTCTTCTCTTTCTATTGCATTTTTAAGGTCTTAAAAATTTTTATTACTCTGCTTTTAGTACTTAGCAAGTTTTTGATACACAAAAAGTTGGTTGGTTTGATAAATTTTTGTTTACTCCCAACTAAGGTTTGAAACTTGTGTAAAAACTTATTTTATGCACTAGCTCTACAATATTATTATACAATCGTCATGACTTCTGTATGATGCTTTAGCCACTTTAAAATTTATGATACTTAAGGATAGTAAAGTTAAGCTGATAAATTTAAGTATTTGATGATGACTTTTCATTAAAACCAGGACAAATAGATTGTTATAATTTAGATTTAATTTAATTATTTTTTTTCTTTTTACTTAACTTTTTTTTATACTTTCCTTCTTCTAATAATCTAATTTTTATTTTTTCTTTATTTCTCCACATCTATGCAAATACTTACTAGAAAAGTTTTATTTGGTCTAATTTCATGCGTTTTATGCCAAAGCAAGATTAAAATGTTCCTATTAATTGTATGGATACAATTAGTTATTACTTTTATACTTCCTTTCTATTTGCTGGCTAAATTAAATTTAGAATTAGAATCAATATAGATTACATTCATATTCATGAATAATTAATATATAATATAAATATATTTAAATCTATTTTTAATCTAAAATATTTATTTTTAAATCATCAAATTTTAAAAATATTTTAAGTGTAAGTTAAAATTTATTTCATAAAAATAATTGATTGATTATTTTATTTCATTCTTTTAAAGTAAAATAAAATTTATGAAAATTATTTTTTTTAAATTAAACAATTTTTTTTTTAAATTAAATTCACCAAATTAAAACATTTTTATTGGAATTATTAATTTTTAATTCTAAAATATTTAAAATATAAATTAAAATTATATTTGATAAAAATGATTGATTTTAATCATTTTAATTTCATTTATTAAAAATAAAAAAAATTGGCTTAAAAATTATTTATAAAAATGTATTTTTTGTCCAAAAGTTTCTTTTATTTTAATTATAAATTAAATAATTCTATTTTAAGAGTATTTGTATTAAGATTAATTAATTTGTATCCATCGAATTTTAATTGATATTTCCTTATTATTCAAGTAAAAATATAAGCTAATAGTTATTCTGAATATTAATATTTTGAAATATATAACAAAATAAAATTTATATTAATGAGCTCATTTAATAAAAGCTTTGATAGAAAACTAAGATGCGATGATATTCCTGGTAAAATAAATAGACGTAGTATAGAATTCAAGTACTAATTTTTAATATAGGCGCATAACCAAAAATAAGACACTATGATAGGAGACCTGTTAGAAATTATCCAAACCAGTAAATTTATCATCATTCTATTCGCAATAGTTTAAAAATTTTTATGATTAGAATGATGGCTAGTATTTCTCAAGATGAAGAGCAAAATGTCATCAAATATATGAATGAATAAATAGTCAATGATGAAAAAAAGTATTAAACATACAGGCATGTTGTTGACAATTCAGAGAAGATTAATTAAGCTATTGAAAATATTTAGGCTAATGGCTAAAATGCATCAATCAGAAATTTAAAAGCTATTCATTCAAATCTCTCAAAAAATATTGGCTAAAATCAATCATCTTTCATGAATATGTAAATATTTTAATATCATTTTTAAAGTCTTTTTCCATACCTTAACATTTTAATTTAAAGAGCAGATCATCAAGAGTAATATTATAAAAATAAAGACAATAACAATAATTAAAGTGCTTTGATTAATAATTAATAACCTGATAGCATAAAATAAATAGCTGAGTAATCTCCAAATTTATCTCAAAGTAGATATTCAAAAACACCTCCAAAAAATATAAATAAAAATGCTTAAGAATAAAATTTCTACAATTTAGATTATTATAATGGAGATCTATCAGGAGAAAAGCCAATTTTGTTGCAGTAGTCAGTTCAAATTGACTCCAATTAATATCCAAAACATCAAAGAACATAAAATTAACTTAATGCTTCTAGATATGATTAAAATATTATTGATGAAAATGGCTCAAAGATTTTAAGATAAGCATATGGAGATAATATTTACAGATAAAACTTTTCAGATTAAAGTATTTAATATTTTCCTTTTTTGTATTTTAAATTATTTTATAAAAATAAAAGAATTTACAAATTCGTAAAGTGTAGATAGATTTGGAGGAATTTAAGAAGATAAAGCATATTTTTCAGATAATATTTTACAAAAAAAGAAATTTAATCAAAACATTTCTGGTTAAAATTAAGGGTATAGTTAATTGTACAATTTTAATTAAAAATTGAATACTTAGCAGTAATAATAGTTACTACCAAAAATTCAGAGTTAAAATTTGTAAGACTAAATGAATTAAATCTAATAAAATTAGAAACAAAGAAAGCGAATTTTATCTTACAATATAATAACTAATAATTCAGTTAATTATCTGTGTAACGATAAATTAACTAATTTACCAAATTAATTTCCTTCAATTAATAATTAAAAAACTCAAAGCTACAGCGTCGAAAGATTTAATTAATATGAGAAGCTTTAAAATCATCCATAATAAGATAATCCTTCTTTCGTTATTAACTACATACTTCCTACTTCCCAAAACATTGACTAAAATCCATTTAGACCTGAGTAAATTACAGAAAAAAAAATTTAATTTAATAGAAAAAAATTATTTATGTATTGAAATATTATTTACACTAGTAATTACACACCTTTGTTACATAAGTTGATATACATGTCTGTAAACTAAACTAAATAATTATTTGTGTAGTAAACCAGATCACTAATTTTATATAAATATCACCTGAAATTTCTCAAAAAATATATGATTAAAGAATTTAAGTTAATTTTATATTTTTATTTAAGACTATATAATTTATTTTTAATGAAAAAACTCAAATAAATAATTTTTTTCATATAATGAGGTATTACATACTTATAACAGCTCCTTTTGTTTTAATTTATTAAAATAAAGTTTTGATTCATTTTTTGTACTTATTTTATATTTATTGAAAAAATATTTGAATATTTATATGTTTCTTTATTAATGTTGTAATTTTTAATTAATCAACAACCATTTAACTACAAAAGAAATTTATATAATAATTGCAATAATTATAGGTATAATCATTCAACTATTAAATACTGAATTATATTATTCCAAAATAATTAATAAATTAATTAAAAATTAAAATAAATAGGTTTTAAGTAAATAAAATGAGATAAATAGGTAGAAAATAAAAGAAAAGAACTTCGTTCTTCATAGAATTCTTGATACAAACTTATATTAGCAATCATTAAGTTATTAGACCTTTAATTATATGCTACTTTTTAGTCATAATTCATTCTGTTTAGCACTTATCTTTACTGCTTAACAAATCAATTTTGAATTAAATATATTAAAAAGATAGCTTATCAAAAGAGGCATCATAAAAGTTATTTTAAATAATTTCATATTTTAACTTTAATAATACTAATCTGCAAGATTCCTCCTTCTTAGTATACATATTTGTTGGAATTCACACAGTCTTTTTAGTTAATTTATTGATACTTCTTTTATTCTTTAAAGTAAAAGTTAAGAATCAAATACTTCTACATTACAGCCAAGCAATTCAACGAATAAACTCTATGATTTTTAAGATATATTATTAGGTCATTTTAATACCCTCATTTACAATAAGCATTTGGGTGATTAAATCAAGCACAAATTAATCAATTATACTAGCTTGGGTAAACATAGCTTAAACTTTGTCATTAAGTTATTTATAATGTTATCTAGATTTCAGCTAAGAATTTTTGATAAGTGATTCTCTAAATAAAAGGAGTAGTAATTGGTCTTTATTTATACAAACCTTAGATATTGTTTACTGCATAATCACTTAAATAGAAATCAATTATTTGACTTTAGCAGGTTCTATTCTATACTCTTTAATACTGATACTGAAATCATCAATAGAATCAACCTATTTCGATTAAAGAATGAATTAAATATCCATAACTCTTTACTTCATTTAGCTAATAACTTCTATATAAACAATAATTTATTTTTAGCTTTAAATCTATTTAGATTGGTTTAACTTTTTTATAATCCTCATACCTTTGGCTATCAAGTTATCTAACTTTTTTTAAAGTGCTAATATAACATAAAAAATTGAAAGTTCTTTCTAAAATATATTTTAATCTCAAGGACATCTAAGCAAAATCTCTTTAGTCTAGTTATAATATTTAATTGGATCTGTATATTAAGAATCTTATTTCTATGAAGACTACGCACTATCTAAAAGCGGTAAAGGGATATTGGCAGAATCATTTATTATATAACATTACTAGTAGTGCTAAGAGACAAACTGCTTTTGTAAAGAATTCAAGAAAGTACAATTTTATTTTTATATTACATCAAAACATTAAAGGTGGGAAAAAACATTAATATAAATATTTTTTAAAGAATGATAGTAGTAAATCTGATTTTATTGGTGAAAAAACAAGAAAGGAAAGTATTCTAAAATATTTAATATTCCTCTTTGAATGCTTATTTGCTGAGCTAAAAAATGTAAACTAATTTTATGAATATTTTTTTATTTGGAATCCACTGAAAATTTTGATTATTTTTTCTTACAAATCTAATCTTTGGTATTAATCCATTCAAACATTCTAAATTTTTTTAATCTCCTAGTAAATTAAAAAATTTTATCCATTCATTAATTTTTTCTTCTCAATTTTTAATATGGTTTTAATTAGAAATTTTCTTTCCAAAAATCTCCTAAAAATTAAATTCTTAATTTATCCATTCATTCATTTATTTCTTCTCAATTTTTAATATGGTTTTAATTGAAATTTTCTTTCCAAAAATCTCCTAAGAATTAAATTTTTTAGATAAATAAACTAAATTCTACTTGCAGCAAAAAATAATTTATTTATTTACTTATTAATTTATTTTTTAATTTTAAAAGCAAACTAAGACAATTAAGTTTAAAATATTTTATTTAACTTTTTTGCTTGAAGCTTACTCTAGTCCAATAAAGTGCTTAGTAGAAACATTTGAATGCTTAAAGTATTAAGATTAATACTATTGGCAAGAAAGATGTTTACTTGAGATAATTAAATAAAAAATAGTTTAAAAAGCCCATGAGAAAATGTTTAACTTTTCAAATTAGAAATTAAATACACTTATAAGTATATAATTTGATGAAATGTTGACTGATATAGAGGAGAAGATGCTAGAGATACTACCTGAATATAGAAACTATTTGAATTATATTTCTTAAAATTCAATCGATATTTAATTTCTTGAAAAGATAGGAAAGTAATACATCAAGAAAAGGAATGAGATTGATAAAAATATTAATAACTGCTATCTAATGAATCCAGAAAATAAATATTTAAGTCAGCTGACATATATTTATATAGATTTTTTAGATTTCTAAGAAAGGAGATAAAAAGACTTCAAAAGATTATCCTTTCACCATAGAACAAGTTCAGCTCATTAATAGTATAATTTTACAGAAAAACAATTAGTAATTTTTATTTCTCTGCTTAAACCTGTAGGGTAGATATTAAAATTTTCTCATAATCTTCCATTTGCCCTTGGGTATACTCCTGATTAAATTTAATCTAAATCCTTGAATATATTGCTTCCCTCAGGTGTGGCTAAAGTTCATGACCAAATACTATATAACTTCATAAATTAAGTATTTAATATTTAATAAACACTCTCCAATATATATCTTTATTATTTAATAATTTAAGGGGTCTTTAGATAAAATAGAAAAAAGAGTTTATGGATTCTTCTTTTTAAATAACCAAAATGTATCTATTTATTTATTTATTTATTTATTAAATTTTATTTTTTAAATTATTTTTTTCAAATAACCAGTTTTTAGTTCCTGCAGAAATATAGTTAAAGATTGATTAAAATCTAAAAATCAATCAATTAGGTGTATCTGCATTATGTATTTTATAAAGCTAAAATATTGAGTATATCACATATCATTAATCTGGAAGGATATAAGAAACTACCGAGAGGCTTTACACTAATTTATTCTCTGAAAGGATACATCTTTCTTAAGGTAAATAAATGTGTTTGTTTGATTTTTTATATAAAAATTTTTCTTTTGATTAAATATAAAGACAAAGTAAGCATGCTAGATATACATAAAATAATTCCTCAAATAGGAATTATGAGATTAATTAATGACGTTTAATTAAATAAAATATTTAAAGGATACATAATTATCCCAAAGTATTAAATAGGAAAAAAATTAGGTTTTTATTAGGTAGACTCTCTTCAAAATATAAAAAGTTAACTCTACAACTTAATATAATCTTATGAGTATAACAATCATTTATTTTTAGAAGCGTTAATTGAAATTAAGATGAATAAAATTGGCTCAATAGATTAAAGTATTAATTTTGTTAGTCTTTCTAATTTGTAATTGATTCGATCAAAACAAGAAAAAGAAAATATAATAGATGAATTGCAAGAATAAGCTCAACAATTAATGGCTGTAAAAACTCCAAAAACTTCAAGAAAATCTCAATTTTTTTCTTCATCTTCTCTTTCTTCAAAAATAAGCAAAGTAAGTACAAGGTATTTCAGAAACAGCTTCGTTTAAGATGAGAAGAGATTGCATGATATTTAAGATCTCAATTCTCATTAAACAACTCTTTATGATAATGAAGATTAACAACAATTTGAGGAAATAGAAGAAGATTTTGATGATGAAGAAGAAGATAAAGATAAAAATGAAGATAATTAATAAAGTAATTAGGTTATTGAATAATAAATATAAAAATAATAAAAATAAATTTTAATTTCAAATGAATGGGAATAAAGTTAAATAAAATCTTTTAGTCATGATCCTAAGTAAAATGAAAATGTAGTATAAGGTAATATCAATGAAATGGAGAAAGTTAAGCCTTATTTGAATGAAAATAATTAATCTAGATTTGAATCAAATAGTAAATAATTTAGTAGAATTTATTTATTTATTTATTAATTTTGAAAAAAAAATAAACAAAATAGATCTGAGTTATAACACAAATAGATAACTTTAAGAAGAAAATGTGAACAGTACCTAAAAATTATTTCATAAATTTAATTTTAATATATTAAATTATTAATAAAATAGAATAAGATTAAGAGTCTAAATTATTTGAAATTTCAATGGAAACAGATAGAAACTTATTTAGTATTTTATAAAAATAAAGTAAATAAGATCTATTAATTAATGGAAGTGTATAGTATAGCTCACCTTTAAAAGTAAACACTTTAATTATAAAAATTTATTTTTTTTAAATTTATCAAATTTTAAAAGTGTGAAAATATTTTTTAAGTTAATTTTGAGAAAAATGATGAAATATTTAAATAAATTTTTTATTTTGTTTAAATGTTTTTTAAATTTAAAAAGGATAATTAAAAAACAATGAGCTAAACAACTAATTTGATAACTGATTAACTAGCTTCATAAATTTCTTAATAAAGATACATTTAATAAACTTCTGATTTAAATGACTATTTGAAAGATTCAGAATAAATTAGTTCATTATTATATGATAAAGTAAAAATTAAAAATTAAAGTTTTGATAATTTAAAATTATTTTCATTTATTTTAATTAGAAAGTAAAGAAAAAACAAAAATAAGCAAAGAGAAATGTATTTTCTAAACGTACAAGTGCAGTCGAAACAAAAAAAAGTTAAAGCAAAAAGTAAAATATTGCATCATCAGTTAATTCTACTAGAACCCTGTAGCACTAAAGGAAACAAGATATAATCTATTTAATTACAAATGAAAAAAAAAATTAGTTTTTTGAAGTAGTAAAATATACAGGATTTGCTTCATTATTAATTTTAGTTACTGTCACTTCAGTTCTTTTTTCTTTCAATTTATAGTTATTTCAAGAAGTAAAATTTAATTAAAATTTATTTTTTAGTTTAAGATAATATATTTATAAAGGAATTATCATAATTTAATGATATACCTTATGCTGTTTCTATTAGAGCTGATTACTCCTTAATCATAAAAAATACAGAGCTATAAGTATTGTTGGATTAAAATACTTTTGGATTCTAATCAGATTAGCAATAATAAGTGATGGATTTATATAACAGCACAATTCAAGATAATAAAGAAAAACTTAATCACTACTAGTAAATGGTGATAAAGTTTTATCGAGATACGAAATCAAATGGGTTCAAAGATTACATGTTGAATGCAACTTAAGTTTTAAAAAATTATGCACAAATGGTAAATTCTATTTATTTCATCAAATAAAAATTAAAATATAAGAAATTTTTTTTATTGCTTAAAAAAGAAAGGGTATAAAAACTAAACATTCTCGCTTCCATATGCTTTCTTATTTATTTAAGAGAGTTTATATTATTATATGAATTATGGGATAGAAAACTTGGAATCATACAATAATGTTTAATAAAATTTTATAGCTATGTTTGCTTAGTATACTAATATGCAAAATGTAGTTGTTGATTAGGCAAACAGCCTTTGTGATACTATAGTTAATCTTCTTTATGCATCATTAATTACTATACTGACTATTTCTTTCTTTTTTATTTTGATAATATTTCCTATTTACTCCTCTGTGTAACTATAAAGAGAAAATATATTAAAGTTAAATTCTACTTTTGATCCTAGTAAATTTGAATTGCTGATTAATCAGTTAAGTAAACTAATTGAAAAGGGAAATGTTATTTCCTAATAAAGAAAAAATAAAAAAAATACAAGTGCGTTAAATTTCAGTCCTACCAAAATTCCAAGCCAAGGAAGCAAATCAAAAAAGAAAATGATTTCGTCTACAACAAATTTAAAAAGATATAATATCTTACTTATACTAGGAGGCATTTTTATTTTTATACTGCTGGCAATATACCCTATCGTTAATTTAATTGTCATAAAAAATTTTATTAATGATGCAAAATATAATATTAATGAAATCTCAATTTTGTATAGTGTTAGAGCTCAATTAACAAGGTATTCTAAAAACTTAATAAAATTTTTTTTTTTAATTTTAGAGTTTTTAAAAATATCATTTTAATAATAAAAAAAAAAAGTAATTATGCAGCAAACTATATGGCAATGTCTGGCTCTTTACTTCCAGGAAAGTTGGATGCTGTTAAATATGGCCGAGTTCAAGCATTGGCTAGTTCTAATTAAAGCAAATTATAGTAGATATTGTCAATTTTTAATGATTTTAGTGGAACTAGATATGATGATGGCTATTACAAAGGATTCTTTTTAAAAATTTTGAAGGGGAATATTTGTGATGCTTTTTAAGAGTATCCTTAGTTCGTTTCAGCATAGTATTAAATTGATGACTCATAATGTAGAAGTATTTGTAATGGTGTACTTTAACAAGGACTCTATATAGCTTTACAATACGTTTTTAACAATTTCTAATTAGCTTTGCCGTTTTTTGATAAAACAAGTGTAGAATAATTTATTTAGAATATGAGAATATGGGTTTAGAACATTGATTTTTTTGAGTTTAATTAACTTTATCTAATGATGATAAATATTATAGAAAGTGAAAGAGTATTTATGGAAATGGTCACTTCTGATTATTTTTCATACATTACTTAAGTTACATATGCTCTTTTTTTCTATAGCTTATTTTGCCTGCTTTTTATATTCTATTTTTGCTGGGTAAGATATTTTAGATTCCTCTCAGAATAAATGACAAGTGCCAAAAGAGTTCTTTCTGTAGTTCCAATTGGATATCTGATTGAAAATCCTTATGTGATGAGCTATCTAGAAAAAGAAAATAAAAAGTGAATAGTGTTTCTAAAAATAATTGAAAAGCTTATTTTTATTCTTTTATTTTATATATTCTGTAAATATTTCTTTTTATTACAATCCTATTTTCAAGTATTATTTTGTAAAAGATATTTGGCATTTATTTTTCTATTCATTTTTACTTAATAAAATCAACTTTCTTAATTAGAATTTTATTTTTGCTGGGGAAAGCTTTTTTGATTGATCTTAGAGTAAATAGTAGATGCAACAATTTAAGTCTTGTTTTATATTTACCAAAGATATACACTATGTATTAAATCATATTATTATATAATAATATAATAATAAAAATGAATAGGATTTATAATTTCAAGAAAACTTTAACTCTTTGCTATTTAGCTAATAAAAACTCGACTTATCCCATTCATAATTCAAGTTTTTAAGTTTTTGATAAAATTAAAGATTAAAAATGGATTGTTAACTTAAATTTTAATGTTGAATTCATATTTATTAAATAAAATCAAACAATAGATTAAAAGTTGAATTTGAAAACGCAATAATTAATTATTAAAATTTTTTACATTACATTAACAAGATAAAAAAAATAATAAAATATTAATTAATCAAGTTGAATAAATTTTTATATGATTTGAAATTAATGTTTATTTTCTTATAGATACTCTAAATCTTCTTTTATATATTTTTTTAATGTCTCAAAGCAATCAGACCTTTCTCAGACCCAACAGCATAGGTACTACTACAGATTAAACAGATCGGGAGTATAGGTAACCTTGCTCGGGTTTTGAGTTGCTTTAAGTATATACCGTGTTTGAAATTTTAAGATATGGGGGTGATATTATGTTTGTGATGTGATTTTGTTTAATTTTAGTTTTTTTAATCAATTAATTAATCTAATGTGAAATTAGATATTAAAATGATTAGATTAACTACTTAATAACGATTAATTTTAGAATAAGGTATTTTTAGGAATCAGTATTCATCATCTTAGATATAATTTAATTATTGATTTATTCACAGATAGGTTGTATTTATAAGTGGATTATTAATTAATTAGGTTATTTTCATCAAATAATTAGCGAATTAATATATAGTGACATAATATCACCATATTACATTAATTTTTCAGTAATTATCTTTTTAAATACAATTACTATCTACGAATTTACATTAGAATTTAATATACTTTTCAACATCATTATGTAATAAGTGCGCATCATCCTTATTATTAATACCGCTGCCAGAATTGTATTATGGGGAGAAAAGTAAGTTAAATTGTTAAATTTTTCCATTTTAAACACTCTATAAATTAATAGAGTTGGTAGAGTTGGAGTTTTGGAAATCCTCAGCAAAGTTATTCTGTTGGAATGAATATTAACAAGCAATTTATTGAGTTGCATATGCTTAATTTTGGGGGTTAAATTATTGATATTATTGTTGTTATGCCTGATGTTAGTTTTATTAGTTATTAATATCAACACTCTTCTTTTACATCAACTCATAATAATTAATACTTGGTTTTTTGGTATTAATTTGGGGGGCCACATTAAAAGGATCTTCTTCCTCACCAATCATATTAATATTTTCGTGATTTTCCTCAAACTATTCAATATTTTAATTATTATAATATTACTATTACATATTATTCTATCTCACTTATGATCTGTATTATTGATATTATTATTATTCTTACAAGAATTACTATTCCTATCTGTTATTGACAGCATCAAGGCTCTATGAAGAATCCAATGACGAGTCAATACCCTCTTCTCTAAAACTAGCAGTGTCATTAAAGAATTAGCTGATGTTATCGAAGGTTGGTGGACTGTTATGATAGGCATTTTATCTGTTGTTATTCTATTATTCAGTAGTTGTATTTCTTAATTTATCTAAGCTCTATTCTTACAAAACTGAAGGATTCAAATAATTGCTATTGAGTTGCTTTTCAGAGAAGAAAGGAGTAGGGAACTACATTTTAGGATTGTACATTTAGTTTTCATAAGTATTCTTTTGTGCAGTAGCGGCTTGATTACTTCCCTAAAAAGGAGTATCAGAAGAACTGACACAATAAATAGATTTTAAGCTTTCGAGCTGCATTAGCTTTTCCCTTTATAATTCATCAAGCTTTTTGCTTAAATCTTTATAATAGCTCCTTTCTTCTTCGTTATTTGATTGAATTTCTTTATATTTTTAGCAGAAATCCAAGAATGATTGTTGTATAGGTGGTTCGGAGTCTGCTGCAACTTCTTTCTCTAAGGCTTAAATCTTTTCCAACAAAGCACTATTAGCAGCGGTAGAGGAAGAGGAAGTCTAGGATTGAGATTCCTCAATGATGAAATCCTTTTCGCTCTCTTCTAAATTAGACTTTTATAATTCATTTAATTCAGGAGTTGAAGTAGGTTCTTCAGTTCCAGGAGTATGATTTAGAGTGACAGCAGCATTAGCAAGCATTTGAATAAGTTTAAGTTACTTAAGTTGCTCATCTTTCTCTTACTCTTTGAGCAGCTGTATTTATTTCAGCAGTTCTTCTAAGAGTTCTTCTTGGGTTAAGTTTTTGTATTGTTCAAATAATTAAGCGTTTGGCCCTACGAACTATAAGTTACGGAAGTTTGAACCTAAAGTTCCATTGCCATCTTATTGGGATCCAGAAAAGACAAGCATCATGTATATAATAAATATGACAAAGGCTGTACTCCATGCACCTTTTCCAAAGCTGCACAAATTAATAGGAGAAGCTGCCATAATAGGAGCACTAGTCCTGGAAAAATCAAAAAATTAGTATACAGCTCCTGAAGAGTTGGGGTTATTATCGGTTCCTTATTAGTTAGCTTAATCGATATTTTAAATTCCTTGTTAGTATCTTTATTGTATTGAGTCGGTAGTAAGTTGAATGTGATTTGCTTTACAGTTTTAATATTGTTATTTAGTGTTGTTATCAGTGGTAGTATTGGTTGTTGCTGTGTTAGATGAAGGATTATTAAAGAAGCCACATTGTTAGCATGTGTAGTGTTAATTTATCATGGACTAGAGCTGCTTGTTTTCATCAGTTAAAAACTTTAAATCTTATTGCATTTAATTTTCTAACAATTTCTTTCTGTCACGAGAGAGCTAAGCACTTTCACGATTTTTAATTTTTTGACGTTCAGCCTTTTCTTCCTTTGAGTATTCCTTTTAATATTTTTTAAAAAGCAATCTTGAAATTTTTCTCTTTTTAACGTATCTAAACATTTTAAGTTTTTTAATAATCTCAGTTGATTCAAATAATGCATTGACTAGGAATTCTTCAGAAATATTAGATTTTATTTTCATTTATTTTATTGAGTTTTTCAAATTTTATAATAATTATTTATGAGTAGAAAAAATAAATTTGTGTAGGGCTTAAAATAGAGTTTGTTTGGTTTTGTTAAAAAATATTTGTTGTGTTTATTTATTTATTATACCTTTAATTTATAGTTTATTTGATATTTATTAATTTTATTTAGATTAAAACATTTATTCAAAAATTTTGTTGCTACTCTTGAGAATATATTAGATGAGAATATTTACATAAAAATTTTGTCTGATAAAATTAAAGTAAAAAGTGGCATAGTGAAAGTCTGATGATTTTTGAATTAGGAAAGGGTAGGTATAATAATCTTTTATAGTTTTTTTTAATTTTTTGTTTGGTATTTAATGTTCCGTCACTTAATTAAAAAAATTGATTTCATAGTATTTTCTGAGCAGATAATATTATTAAAATCTTGCCAAGATTATTTATGAATTCAGGAATGGATTTTATCTAGTGATGTAAATGAGATTCATATTTCGTCACTCGCACAATATTTTATTTATTTAGACCTCTATTTTTGCTTAATTTAATTTAAGCATCAAAATAATACACCCCACTGTAAAAATTTTGTTAATCCCACTATTTTATCATCAGTTAGTTATATATTGGGGATACATCTTAAAAAATATGCATTAATTTATTAAATTCAACTAAAATTAAGTAAAACCTTCAAAATATATAAATAGTCTTTTTTTTATTTTATTTTTTTCCAAATAAATAAATAAATAAAAAATACAAACAGAGTCAAAGAAAAATTAATTAAATTTATAAATTTGTTTCTATTTTAATCAATTAAATAATTATTTACCTTCTTTTTTTCAGCTTGCTCTTCCTAAATTTAGATAGCCTATTTCTTTTCTTGTATTTGCATTTTCTTTTTATCTCTTTTCTCTTTGAGTATTTCTTTCTTTGATTTTGAACAGGCTTAGCTTTGATAGTTGTATTCACTATTTTAAAGCTAAGAGTGAACAAAACTTGTGAGCGGATGAGACTCAGTAATATTATTTCCAAATTATTGACAATATTATTGATCGCTTGTGTCTATTAAATTTTTTATAGCATTCAGTTTCTGCTATTGAATTTGATATGTCTTTTCATGGCTTTGTAGTGAAAATTTGTTTGAAACCAGACCTCTCTTTTCACTGAAGGAATCACTATTTTCTTCAGTAACGTAGATTTAATCGTCTTCGTATTTGAGACATTTAGATGAAGTAATATAATTTTCTTCATCTTCGCAGCTACTATTATTGCAGCAGCTGCTTTAAGTTGATTTATATTGATTCGAAGCGCTCATTTTATATTTATTTTAAATGAATTCTTCGTCAAAATAAAGGGGAGATAATAATCCTTTCTTTCTCTATTTTGTTTAAGCGATGTTATTTTGTTTGTATTTATTTAGCTTGTTAAATCAAATTTCTTCGATTATCAAATATTGTTAATTGGGTGGGGAAATTGAATATATTGATAGATGTTTCCAATAAGACAAACTAGAAAGAATGAAATATATAAGCTGCAGTTTTCCCTCTGGGATTTTGTTTTTTTATTTTTACAAATCTTAATTAATTATTAAGAAAATGGGCTTGCTATTTTCTTCTAACATTTTTTCTTTTTAAATACACGTGTTGGCTCTTTAAAAAATAAATACTCATCTTCGAGAAGGTTTTACCTTGTTCAAAATATTGCATTTAAAAGAATTTATCATTTCTTGCATTTCAGATGCATTGCCCGCATATTATCTAAGTATTCTTAATTAAATATCTTACTCTTAGATTATCAATTTAATTAGATTATTCAAAATTGATTGAATAGATCATTGTAAATTAAATGCTCTCAATTGATTGACTGACCCCACACTCTTTACTCTTATTATTTTTTTCATTACTGCAATCAAAATTTGCATTAACTATTTACAAGCTGATTAAAACATTACATTCATTATATTTATGCCATTGTTAATACAAAAAAATTTGAAAATTAAAAGCACAAACTTAAACATAAAAAACTACCTCCCATCAAGTATGAAATAAAAAAAATTGCATTTTAATTGTAAAATAAAATAGAATTCATAAATATCACATAGTGTGTAATCGAGCAAACAAGTTTTATTATTAAAAAATTTTTCCCACCTTGCCTGATTTGTAAAAAAGATATTCTTTAATTAAAAAATACTATTTATTATCAGCTTGTTGTTATATTACATTTCTTGAAAAATGGCATAAAGAATAACAAAATAACCTGCTTCTAATTTAGACCATATACATTATTTTAATTTAATATGAATTTATTCTCATACGATGTCACATGCTAAATAACTCACTAGCTTTTTTAAATTCAATAATTTCTATTTTTAAAAATACCTTTAAAAGAAAAATAAGAAAATTTTTTCATAAATAATAAATTGGTGATACTAAAAGCCATAAAATATTGATTAAGAATATTATTAAATTCTTATTTTAATTACTTTCTCCAATATCTTGAAATCTTTAAAAGTTAAATGTCGTCAGTTGTCGTATTCGCTCTTTTTATTTAAATCTTTTATTTACAATTTTTAATTCTTCACTAAAAAATCTTACATTTATTGATTCATTGAAAGTCTTTAGATTTATTAAAAATTATTAATTTTCCTTTAGAATTTTATTTAGAAACAGTAAGGATCTTAAATAAATACACATGTTAAACAGCGTATTATTCATTTAAGCAGCTTAACTTTTTCAGAAAAGATTGATAATGCATCACTGTGACAAAAAATACGTATGCTAATAACTTCGATTATCAATCACTCCTTTTTAAATAAATTACTTTTATAAATTGTAATCTTTTATAAATCAATGGCCTTACCCTATCTTACAAAAAATATTATTAAAATTTCGAAAGTATTTATTTAGGAAAAATAAAAGTTTACTTCTTACAATTTTTGTAAACGTGATATTTTTATCTTACTAAAATATGCCAACTAGAAAACTAAATTTTAAAAAATTCCTTGTAAATAAGCTTTATATACGTCCAAATAAATATAACAGACAAGAAATTTTAAAGTATTTAGCCATTTACAAAAATATTATTATATAACTAAAAAAAATGCAAGATTTTGGATGTTACAGTCGAAAAAAGATATGTTTTGAAGGGAAAAAAATAAATAAATTTGAGTTTGAGTGTAATGTGAGGGGCAGAAATATTAATAATATTATACCTAATAAATATTTCCTATATTCAAGCTTAACTCACTCAGTATAATATATTATTAATTTTCGTTTTTAGTGTTTACCCCAATTTTATTTTATTCAAATAATCACTGATTTTTTCATTTAATTTTATTTCATTTATTTTTAGTTTCTCATAATTAGCTTTGTCTCCTAATTTACACTTCTACCATTGGCTAGTATTTCAATTCATTTTAGGTATTTTTTTTTTTAAAAAATTAGCTTTCACTTTTCAAGTAAAGTTAAATTGTAAATGAGAGTTAACAAGTCTCAAAATAAATTATGACACAATGAGATTTCAAAAGTTTTAAATTTGAAATTTAATTCTTTCTTTATTCATTTCTTTAATTATTTTTTGTTATAAAGAGTAGAAAAAAACTTATTTCTTTTAATTTTTTTGTATTTTTTAAGCATTTTAAAAATAGTTTTCAAATTCGTTAGTTTTTTTAATTTTTAAAAATATTTATTTTTTCTGCTAGCACTAAGAACAAATTATGAATTAGAACCACCTATAATTAACATTTTTAATTTTCTTACGTTTCAATGAACATGAATAGTATTAAGCTTGCTTGTAATTCACTTTAAAGTAGTTCAATTGAAATATTATAGACAGTGTTAAATATTTCTTATAAAATATATCTAGTTTTCATTTAAAATTTTGCTATCAAACATTTACACGTTTTAATAAGAAAAAACTTTCTATTAAATATTCTATTAAAAGTTAAAATGTAGAACTTCATTTTTTAATGAAGATTAAAAGTTTAAGATTTAATATTAACACACACGTAAAGCTATAAATATTTCAAATTCTATTTTAATTTAGAACATTAATTCTAATATCACCAAAATAAATATATAAATAGATATATAAGCAAAGAATGAAAGATACGTTCAATATAGATAAATTATAATTTAGATTTTTAGAAATATTGAATATTCTGGTACTATAAATCTATATCTTTTTAATAGTAAAAGATACATAAGTATATACACAAGCATATCAAAAGACATTTATATATAAAAATAGATTAATTATTTATAAAGTATTATTTATTCATATTTTAGCTTTAACTATTCACTAGAGTTTAGTGACTTAATCTTTGCAGTGGTCATATCCAGTGCGCCATCTTTTTTCTAAATTCTCAAATGAGCAGTCAAATTGCTACTTTCCCAACCATTTATTTACAAGATTGTGTCTCTCACATAGCCATATACTCAGACTCTCGTTACTTTCTACAGCAGGGGGAGCTTTTAATAAAAAATATATTTTATAAATTTCTTAAAGGAATAATTGTTAACAGAAAAATAAGAATTTATTTTTGTTTTTTTCATAAAAATATTTTAAATTTATTTATAAATTACTCTTTAATATATCTTTTTGGAAATGGAGAGCGCAAGGTTTGCAAGGGTAAAAGGTGGCAAATGAATCAAAGAAATTTTTCATTTTTTATTATTCTTCTTCAGTAGGATTTTTTGGGTAGTATATAGCCATAGTGTGTAAAAAATTCCAAGTAAAGAAACCCAAGCTCTATTTGTTATTAGGGCAGTATTTATATGGATCATCTTAAGCAACTTTATCTTCTGATTTTTCCAATTCTCCTGATGAGTTAGAATGGTCATCTGTATCTTCATCTTTAAACTTCATTGTCTTTGGTTATTATGCGAATTTTCTATAGGTACCTAAAGGGTCACTTTTTTCGCAAACTACTTCTGGGCAGTCTTTCTTTTTTTCTTTTTGTTCTGAATAGGACATTTTATAGTGTAGTAAAATTCAATAGTGAATAAATATTAATTATAAAGGTATTTAATGTTAAAAAAGTAAATATATTATCTATGGTTATAATAGAAAGAAATAGATAGATTAATATGCTAATTCATATTAATTAAATTCTAGAAAAAATATAATTCAGAACAAAAAATGTTTTCAACACAAAATTAATGAACCAGAAATAACACTTCCATTTATTTATTAATTTTTCATCTATTATATTTTTATATCAGTTAAATATTATCAATAAGGTATTATTAAACCTCAAAGAGTTTTAACCAATTTATTATTATTTTATAAAATGCTCACTTCTAGTTTATTTTTATTTATTTATTTATTATCAGTTTTAATGGGTTTTTTAATCTTAAGATGCTTCATTGTAATTTATTAAAAACATTCCTAATTCTCTTATTGGATTAGTTGGTCTATTTGTATTTTTTAAAATTAAATATTTAAATAAAATTTATAATATAAATAAATACCTTTCTTTTGCTAACTTTTTCATTCCTTCTAACAAAGCTTTATGAACATTATCTTCAATGTAAGTTACTAAAGGCTAAGGTCTTAGCTTGACTTATATATTATTTAATCTATCCTATATTTCTTTTGTTTTTTAATTCAGTTCTTCTTTCGTAATTGTTCTGCTAGCATCTAACTTTTGTAATCCTAATCCTGATAGGGATTAAACGTTGAACTGCTTACTTTAATTAACATTTGCTTTACTCTTATTAGAATCATCTTTTTTTTTTATTGAAGCCATATCTATTTGTATTAGTAATTGAACTACACCTATTTATATATTATTATTATTATAAATTATGTATTCATTTTAAGGAGGTTATTCAGATATTAGCTATTTGATATCGACATGGGCCTATCCAAGATAGTCATCTTATGACTTCTCATCTTCTTCCCATAGCTCTAATATTATTTAGTTTTCATCATTTCTGATAAAACCATGTTTTGCTCCTTCATTCCACTTTGGATTCTACCCTTAATCTTTTGCTGTAATGGTCCTAAATTGTTATTCACCCATTTTCATAATAAAATAAGGATCCATTTTACCTTTTTCTTCCTCAAAATTTTATGCTATTTAAGCAGATAAAATTTATACAACTATGTTAGGATCTAAAATATATATATTTAAGTAAATTTTCAATTACAAATATTGATGGATGTTTATATAATTTACTTTATTTCCTCACTTAGCTGTTATTAACAAACTATGATTGGCTTATTTATTCCTAGCTTTAAGATTGTTCCATTTAATATTTTTTACGAATTTAGTAATTTTATTCGGATATTTGCTACTGTTGCTTAAATGCATCTTATAATTATTATTAGTTCTTTTAAGAGTCAATTTATATGGCAGAATCATATTTAATATTTAATGTGATATCAGCTACTGTTTATTAGCCTTTGTCATATGCTACATATTTTTTTTCTCCTTAAAAGCTCTTATTATTTATTAAATCTTAAGTTTATATTTCTACTGATCCTATAAAATTATCTGCACTTTTATGATCATCTTCTCTTAATTCACAGATCAACTTATCTTCCTTTGCATGGTAAAATAAAAATGTTTAATCTTAATTCCATGATACAAATTATCCTTAATCATTGCCTACTGATGTTTGTTAAGCTTAATTACCTAGTCTTAATAAAATGAAAGCATCTTTTTTTCCTTAACTTTGGTTTCTTTTATGTATCTAAGCAGAAACTACTTATACAACCATATTAGGGCCTAGTTAATAATTATTTTTAATAAATAAAAAATCTTTAAATGTCTTTTATCTATTTACTAAGCTTTTGCACTTCTTTAGTTGGAGGTCCGCCTCCTTATTTTTTATTCTACTAAGATTAATTCATTTTTACTTTATAACAAAAAATTTAATTCTAAAGATCAATATAGATAGTAATTATGATTAATTAATTAATTAAAAAATTATAGGATTAATAAAAGTTACTTTTTGTTTTATGATAATATCCAAACAATATTTATTATACTTGTTTTTAATAATAAAGCATTAAATAAAAATCAACAATTTTAATTTTAAAATATTATTCTTATTTTAAAGGAAAAATAAAATATAATTTTAAAATTAATGAATACAAGTTGCTAATTTTAATATCTTTTTATTGATACTTTTAATAATTATTTTTAATTTACAATTTTTATTACTTTTGCACCTGTGGTAGTTAGTATAAGTATTTTAAAGGTATCTTTAGATTTAAATAAATCAAAAACAAATATTTAGTTTAGTTTCAAAGATATGATAAATATGAAATTCTTAATGTTTAGAATATACGATATATATAAATAAAGATATAATTTATAAATTAATTAATTAGTTCATTTTTTCAATATTTTTATTATGCATAGTTTTAATTAGTACTTAAGATATTGGTATATACATTTTTTGTTATTTTTACTCCTGTTGTAGTAGTGTTTAGGGTGTTTGTAGACATGCCTGTGAAACTGTTAGTTCTATTAGTTCTTATTTAATTATTCCCTTGAATGTTATTGTTTTATTTAAATTTATCCATTTCACTTTTTTTTATTTAAAAATATTTTATTCATATTTAATTAAATTAGGTTTTTATTTTACTAGTTTCTTAGCAAGACGTTAAGTGGTCTCTCTACATCGAAATAAGTTTTATATTTGAATGAATTCTCGTTAGGATATATTCTTTTGAATCTTCTGCACCTATGAATTTTATAAAAGAAATGCATTAGATAAATGAAGCTTTTTTTTTTTAAATATAAATACCTTTTTATTTCATCTTCAGCTTCTTTAATTACATATCTTTCTATTTTAGAAAGTTCTTATTTATATTTACTCCAGTTATTGAGGTTTTATATTTGAGTTTATATTTATCTTTCAGTAAGAATCTAATTCTATGCCAAGCTGTGAGAAACATCACTAAGATATCTTTAGTCATTCGGAACTATACCTACTAAAGTAAATATGTCAGAGATAAGGTTTCCTTTAATTTTTAAATCTAAAGGTGAATCTGTATTCATGCTAGGAGATAAATTGACTTCAAGTAGCCAAGGCTATTAATTTTAATGAAATTTTTATTCAAGTTAAAAAATCTATATTAAATTTAAAATAAATTAAATTCTTTTTTAATAATTACTTTTAAGTTAGAATCAATTAATATATCAAATCCGAAGAGCTCAAAGCAATTATTTCTGTAAGGCACGTGCATTTCAAAAGCACTATTCATCATATTTTCTATCGAAAGTATTGTCTTTACAGCAAGATCCTCAATTCTATCGAAAATTAATTGATAATTAATACCATTTATTTTCAAATAATCCTTGAAAGCTGTTAAACTCCATTTACTACCTTAAGCATCATCTTAGGCATCCTTTAATAGTTTTATTAAATTAAAATTTAAACAAATACTTATTAATAATAAATAGAATTATTACCTTATTAGGAACAAAATTTTATGCATATTTATTGACACTATAGTTAGTAAGATGCACATATCTATTTTTGTTTATTTAAAAATATTTTTATTAATTTATAAGAATTATTTATTTTCACCTGCTTGGTCTTGTGTTTTTATCAGTGTTATATGCACTTGTTGCAAATCTAGCCAACCCATCATCATAAATAAATATTTTGAGAGGATTGATTGATGTTACAACTACGTAAATACGTAGATCAAATTTGAGATCATTAATTAACATAGGATTTTAAATATAGTGGCAGACAACCATGCTACCATTTTATTTTTTCAAAATCTAAATAATCAATATAATAAATATTATAGTTCTTTGTGATCAAAAAGTCTAAAATAATTTATTACTTCTTAAATGTTATCAGTTACAAAAATACCCTAACCTTAAGACTTCGCAGATGGCTTTACGATATACCACTGACCTTTATTTTTTTCAGCTTCCTAATAATAAAAATCAATTACATAAACTTTTACAGTTGTTTTATTTTACTTCTAGAAAAAGAGACATCTCTGAGGGTATTAGATAAGTCTTAGGACAAAAATTAAAATTGTTATTACCAAATTTTGCTGCCATTTTAGAAATATTTCTACTCAGTAAGTCTTTCCTAGTAATTTCGTAGGATTTAGGGAAATGATTAATCTTTGTTTATTAGTAAAAAAAGTTATAAATGTTCTTTTATTAATTAAATGTACCTTTTGATAAGCCATCAATTGCTAATAGAATGGTGGCGGTATACCAGAACAACTCCACATAACAGTCCAATCTTTATTTTAAGTTTCCTATTATATAAAAATTATGAGTTTTTGATTCGTTATGAACAAATAATCAATCCTACTTTAAATCCATTTTCTTCTAATAATCCTTTAATTAGTTTTACAAATCCACCATTGTAGAATTTATAATAATACCCATTATCTGAAGGATTTGGATTGCTTACTCCACTCCAAGGCTTAAAATGCAAATATCTAACACAATTAGAATTTTTAGGTATAATTTCAAAACCGTCTCCGTTACCAACAGCTTTTTTCTTTTCTTCTTTTTATTTTTTATCATAAGTTTAACAGAATTATATCAAAATGTCATAATCTTAATCCTAAATTGGGGTTTTCACATTCTCTTTATTAATAGATTTTTATGAAATAAGCGTGTCTACTGTATTTTAGCTTTTTACTGTGCTACTAATTTATTATGTATCAGGTAAAGTAGGAAGGGTATTGGTACTTTATTGCTAAATTGTTTTTTTGCTATTGTTGAAATTATAAATATTATTATATGTTGTTATATTGTTCAATTAGTTATTGTTTAATTCAGCCTAGCTACTTCCCTTATCTTATTACAAGTTTGAATTGGACTATTGATCTGTCTTCTATGAGATTTATTGTAACTTATTTAAATCTTGCTTATTTAAAATATCTAATAAATCTGCAACTGATTCAGAAAACTCATCAGCCATTTTAATAAATATGTTTTGCTTAATATAATCAATTTCTATTTAAATTGCTGGTTTTATTCACTTTCAAAAATAATAAATTCAATCAAAAATTATCAACTTAATTGTTTTAAATTAGCTACACACTTACTATATGATCGATATAGGTGTTAAATATTGATTAATTGATTGATCAATATATTTTTCAAAAATTTTTTCATAATCAAACCTTAAAATTAATTATTATCCATAATATTATAAAAATATATTAACAAACTCAAAAAATGATGCATATAGAATAGATATTTGAGTATTATTGATTACAAAAGTATTTAATCAATTTTAACTTTTTTAGATAATTTTGAAATTTAGTATGATATTATAAAATAGTTGTTAAATTAATTTGAGAAATAAATTAGTTGACTAAGATTATATACATTATGTAAAACATTATTTATTTAGATTTAGTTTAACAAATATTCTACAAGCATTTTTACAACTTTTAATTCACTTAAATATTAGTATGATTTATAAAATAGCTGTTAAAATAATTTGATTGATGCAAAAATAAATTAGTTGACTAAGATTATATACATTATGAAAAACATTATTTTTTTAGATTTAGTTAAACAAATATTCTACAAGCACTTTTTACAACTTTTGACTCACTTAAATATTAGTTTTAATATTAAATTTGGATTTATTGTATCTTAGAGTAGCTATTCAACTAATTTTTAGCGCATCAATACATTTTGATCATAAGTAAATATTTTTTATTCTTATAGCGCTTTTACCCACTTTTCATAACATTCATTTGAATCTAACAATTATGGATGGTTTGTTAATTCCTTTAGAGTTTACTAAAATTAAGCCACAGTAATACAATTGAATTTAGATTCTTGATTAAGTATAAAAAATTTAGAAATAAAAGGAATTAAAACATCTGGAGGTGTATTTTAAAATACAAAAATCTGATAAAATCTTAAATAGCTTTCAAAATCAATTCCATTTTGTTTATTACTAATTCCATATAACACTCTATCTTTGATGCTGCCATCTGTTCTAATATATTTCTCAAAGAAAAAAGTCTCTTACAAAAAAGTTTCAGATGAAATACAGTAGTCATGAGTTATTATCTGATTGAATAAGGCTTGCTCATCTATTTTAGCATCCATTTTAGTTTTTATCTTTTTCGTCCTTTTTTTGGCTTACTATATTCTATCAAGTTGTAGTAGCCTATTGAATTCCTCTACAATTAATAAGTGCTATGACTTCTTATTCATAGATTTAATTAGATCACCCATATTTTTAAATTTAAGTGGATTGTGATTTTCGGTATTTAACAAACAGTACATCTTTTAGCCTTTTCCCTTAAATGCTTTATTAAAATTAATTACATTCAAGCAAAATGCATCATTTTACTGATCATCATGATCACCATTTTCATTTCTATTTAAATTTTCACTGCTATATTTTGATTATTTTTTTTATTTAATTCCTTATTATCCTTACTAAAATAACTCATTCTTAAGGATGATATCCGTTTTTGATATGCTATTTTGATTTGGCTTATATTTAACAGTATCCAAACTCTCGTATCTGATCATAGGGGATATCCACTTTTTATCAGATTCTAAGTTTTTTATATTTTAACTGCTCATTTGACTCTGGCTTAATCTTTAAGAGTTTTCATTATTCAAAAAATTGTCTTTTACCTTTGCAGATTACACAGAAGGAAAATTAATATCACCCCTTGCATTATTGCTATTTATAGAAGTTTACAAAATTAAAGATGGTGAAGTTGACAAATTATTTTTTTCTTTGATAAATTAATCGAGCTAATCAAGCTTTTTCTTGATTTTTTATTTTTCTTCAAAAGGATAAAGCCTTTCTTAACAGTTTAAAATATCACTTTACATTTTTTACTTAATCTCTTAATAAACTGGAGTTTCTAATAATAGACTTTTATTTTTAATATCTGCCATTCCTATGTTTACTATATCTTATTATCTCTTTATACTTTGAATAGCATTCTCAGTGCAGTTTTTATTAGGATTAGAATTCAAGCTTTTGCTAAAGAAATCTAAAGGTTTTGAAGATAGAAAACAAAATTCAGGTCTTTGCAATTTTAGCTTTTCATATTTATAATTTTTATAGACTCCTCCTCCCATGTCATAATATTCTCCTCTCTCACGAGATTGCTCTCTTTTATACCTTAAATAATCTAAGCTACTTAAATCTTTTACTGATCTTGAATGACTTGACATATCTGACTTTCTTAAAGTAATTTAACTCATCTTTGATTATCTAAGTTCTGTGTGATCCTTTTCTTCTCTAACTGAATCTTTGCTCTTAGATTCCTTGCTTGTATTAACTTATTTTTCTGAAGATTTACTTGTTTATCTTTGTTGATTTGTTTATGTATTTTAATTAGATTATTTCAAATTTGAGTTTGAGCTATCATGGTGTTTTTATCTTCTTTAACCTTGTTAATTTTCATTTGTCATCTAAATCTTATTAAATTATCCTTATTCTTTGCTTGCATCCTAAAATAATCCCTTCAGTTTAGGGCGAGTTTTGTTAACTTTTTAAAACATTTGCAAACTTTAATAAATTTAGAATAAAAAGAAGGAATAATTAATTAACTTAATTTTTATATTCAAGATAATGTGATATAGTAAATTTTGAGCGTAAAGGTTTTTAATTGATAAGTTTTATAATTTTTAAACTGGAAGTTGCTGAATTAAAAATGAAATAATATGGAAATGCATAAAACCAATAGAATTATAACATGAAATATCCCAAAAACCCATTTAATTCAAAAAATATCAAAAAAAAAATATTATAATTAAAGTACATAGAATCATTTTAGTTTCTTAATTTATCATTAATAGTAACACATAATAATAATAATCATCATCATCATCTTCATCACTGAAATGAATACTGATATAAAAACGATCTTTAATATTTACTTGAATTTAATCTAAATGTTTTGTTCTTTCTTTAAAAATAAATTATTCTATTATATTAGTTTAATTGTGATTTTTATTTTTGTAATGTTTATTCTAGTTTTTATCTAATTTTTTAATGTTTTATTCAATGGTTAATCTTTTCTAATTTCCAGTCTCCTTCACCATCAAAACGTAGAATGTAATCATGGTGTTACTTGAGATCATTAACTCTATGAGAAATAGTGAACAAAGTAATATTATTCTTTCTGCAGTAAGCATATAAGCTATTTTCTACATCAGCACTAACTGCACTGGTGCATTCATCTAAAATTTTATGATTATTATTCAATTAAAAAGAAATATAGGTGGAAATAGAAATTTAAATTACCTAAAATTGCAAACTTAGGATGATGATAGAACATTCTAGCCATAGCTATTCTCTACTTTTCACCACCAGAGAGCTTATCATACCAGTCTTCAAAAGCTTCAAATTTCTTAGGTTCTCTGTTGACAATATACTCAAGGTTGACATTTTTTAAATATTCAATTAAATCCTAATTTAAAAAAAAAAATTATATTTATTTTGTTTAAAAAAGGTTTTTTTAAATACATCATCAGTTTTTTTTTTTCTAAGCATTTAAAGTCTAGTATCAGGATAAATAATTTAGTCACGGAGAGTACCAGTAGGGAGATATGCCTTTTGAGGGATGTAGAATAATTCACTTAATTAGGGGCTGCTCAATGAACCAGTGAAAATAGGCCATAAACCACCAAGAATTCTGAAGAGTGAGGATTTACCACAACCATTAGGACCAGTTACAATAACATTTTCACCAACTTTAATTTCTAAGCTGATTTCTCTAACAAGTTTTTCACCACCAGGTGTAACAATAGGGACCTTGTCAAATTTAATGACATCTTCAACTTCGTGAAGCTATTATTATTATTATGATTAGTAATTAATTATAAAGAAATAATTATGTTAAATAGAAATTACATTTCCAGTTTAAATAGTAACAAATTAAGGGGCAGTAGTTTATTAGAAGCCATACTCAACAGCTGATTCTACCAATTTTCTCTTGTATTATCCTAATATAAAATGTTCAAAATAATATTTTTTTAATTATTAAATTAATGTATAATTACCCTTATTTAAATCAAGTAAAACATCTCTCATTTCACAAACAACAGTTGTATAACCAGCTAATTCTTAAATTTCCTTATATGAAACGACTAATCTACCAATAGCTTTAGCGAGATTAATTAAAAGAGATGAGTTTCTAACGTAATCTCTAGTAATAGTGGAAGAGTCTTTACCAATCTTTGCTAAATACTATTCTTTTCCAGGACCAAAAACGGGTAAACCAAGTACTGCATAACCAACCATAACAGCACCATACTTAACAAGCATAGAATCAAATGTACCCATATACATACGCTTAACCATTACATTAACTTAATGTCTTATCAACTTATTAAAAGATTCGGCTACTCTTTCCTTTTCCCAATTATTACCTATGATATTTTAGAAATATATAAATTTTAAAATTTAGCGTATACATATAATATTAAAATATTAATTTAAGCATTTTTTACCTCTATAAAAAGCAATTTCTTCGCAATGGTGAACAATATCTGTGTGGCAATGTCTGTAGTCACCTTCATTACGTTGAGCAATAGCAGTGAGTTTACCAAAAGGAGGGGAGATATACTTAATAACCAAACCAGAGAAGAAATACCAAAGGACAACCATTAAAGGACCTCTCCATCCTACTTACTCAGCTAATTTTCTGGAGAATAAAATTATGTCCAAAACAGGCTTAGTGAAGTTAGAATAGATAACTGATAAAGAGTTAGCCCATTTTCTTTAAGTAATTAAAATATATTAATTAAAATATCTTCTTATTTAAAATTTTACTCAATATCATTAGTGAGACGTTGGTCAGGATTAGCTACACGACAGTCAAGACTAGTTAATTAATAGCCAATCATACCATTTAAGTAAAGTCCACATAAGTGCTAAGTCAATTGTGTTCTGAAGAAAACAGCTAATCTTTTATTTAAGAAGTCTAAGTAGCTATTAACAAAAGAAGCAGGGATAGCAATCATGCAAAGTTATATAATCTATATTAATTAAGTTAAAATGTTTACAATCAGCTAATCTTAAGTATTTATTTATTTATCTATCTATTGATTCAATCATTTATTTTTTGAGTTTATATAAATCTATTACTACTGAATTATAAAAATTGTATTAAAAGAATTCACTAGAACTTGCTTGTTTTTTTTTAAATAAGAAAACTGAATAAATAGCTTATTTGATTAATTCTTATGATTAGGGCAATTAATTTACTTTATTTTTTAGATATATTTAGGATTTAAAATTAGGAGATTGATAGATTAATAGATAGATAAATAGATATAGTCTCTTAATTAATGATGAAATATAATTGATAAAAAGTTGCATGAATAAAAATAAAATAAAATCATTACTCTCTTCACAAACAATTAGTAATCAAGCTTGATGATGGCTTTTACAATACGACCATTTGCTCCAGCTAAATAGATAGACAAATAAGTACGGAAAACTAAGAAGACTGTTAAAAGCACTATATCGATTATTGCAGTACATTTAATTGATGGGATTACAATCTTTAAGAGAGTTTTAATACGCTCAAAGAATACTTTATCAACATCTCCCTTACCCTTTCTTTCTTTTTCTTACTTGACTTTAGAATCTACTTCCCTACTTCTTTAGTTTTTGCGTAACTTAAGCATACCTAATAAAGCAAGTATTGCTGAAATGGTAATTGTCTTTTTTGTATTTAAAAAATAATATTACAATAGATCTATTTATTTATTTAAATAATGAAAGTTTTAAAATTATTTTTATGGATTTGCTGATGGTTTATTTATATACGCTAATAATCATCTAAAGTTAGAGCTGAGAATAATATTTAAAATTTAATAAACAACTGTAATTACTGTCCTCTATCCATTCTTGAAGAAAAACTTGACAAATTATGACATCAAATCAGCCCATAATTAATCATTAGATGGTATTTTAGATTATGCAGCCATTTTCTACTACCTTTATAATTTTTAATTTAAAAATATTTAGCTATTGTGTTTTTGGATTACTATTTTAATCTATTCAATCTTAAAGAAATATGTCTTTCAAATTGAATTCCATTATCAAACTATTTTATTTTACCTTGTTATTTGGCCTATTTTACTTTATTTGATTCTTTTTTTCTTATTTCTTTTAAAATATTCTTTTTCTAAATAGCGATTAAGTTAAACTTTTTTGATAATTGATCCTTATTAATTAAGGTATTGCATATGATTAATAGCTATTACGCAATTATATTGCTTATGATGAATCTTTCTTGAGATTTATCATTGTGAATTTCTCATTTTAATATTTCACTTTCTAAAATACATATCTCCCACATATTTAATGAATAAAATATCTAATTCATTTTTAAAAGGATGTTTTTATTACTCTTCTATGTAAATAGCTTCATTATCACTGTTTGATATAATATTATTAATCTTAACTAAATAAATTTATCTAATTGCAAATCTATTTTACCTCATTAATTTATTCAAAAAAATCAAAATTTTTAAAAAATTCAAATAGTTTATTTTTTAACTTATTAATTCATGAAAAAGGTTATAAATTTTGCTTTTTAATCCATTAAATTAACTATTTTATATTAATCTAATAATTTTAAGTAGAATTTTAAAATTAAAAATAGATAAATAAGAATGTAAACAGGTGTTGTAAATAATTTGTTTTTGCAATGAAAGCATAATTTAATTATTTTTAGGTTTTATATTTATCTAATTAATGAATGCTATAAATAAATTTAAATGTGGTATTTAAAATTGTAGTATTCTTTTATTATTAAAATTTTGTACTTTTTGAATCTTGTTTTCAATATTCTTTAACATAATTTCCAAAAATTTGATTTTCTCAAAAATTAAATCAATTAAAAAGTTTATTAAAAAGACTTTTCAATTTATAATGTAGATTTTTAAAAGGTTAAAAAGTTAATTCTCAAATAAATTTTTAAATACTTGAAAATCTACACGTAAGTAAGTTTAATATCTTTGATCATGAATCTAATTAAAAAAATTAGATTTAATATTGTAATTAAATTGGTTACTTATTGTAAAATTTTTATATCTTAAAATCAAAATGAAAAATACAATGAAAAATTCAAGTTTTAAATTTAAAAATTATCTAATTTATGCTTTTGTTGTTGGATTTATTCAAGGATTATCAATAGAAGTTAGTAATAAAGACCGTCATTGTTTTGAAGTTCAAGCTATTGAAGGTAGAAATCTCAAAATAGATTATTAAATATCTGGAGAAAGAGAAGAAAATGTTAAATTTGAAGTAAATTTATGATTATTAAGCGCCAAAAATATAAATTTAATATTTAGCTAGTTTCTAGTTAAGGTTAAATACTTCATGAAGTAGACATGAGAGCAGAATACACCTATCATTACAAAGCTGAAAATAATATGCCTGTTATTGTTTGCTTCTAAAGCTAAGATAAAAAAGGAAAATTTATTAATTTTAATTGGAGAAATATAGTGGAAGACGAGTATATAGGCATAGGTAAAAGTATACATTTTGATAAGTTTTTTAAACATATTTTTAAAAAATTAGATTCTATATCTGAATCAGTTAGAGCAGCTTAACAGGCTAATCGCCAACTTGAATAAATATATATCTTCTATTAGAGAGATTATCAAAGATTAGTTACACATACAAAAAGTAAAAGCCTATCAATTAAATATCTTTTTTAAATTTAACAAATCTTTTTTCAAAAGTTTTAAAGTAGACATCCAAAAAGATTAAATGGGGATATATATTTAAAATTGTCTTGCTAATTATTGTTGCTGTACTCGAAGTTATTACTGTAATTAAGCCATTTAGAAAGCTTTAACAACAATATCATACTGTTTGAAATTCAATTCATTCACATGAAAAAAATTAATAAAAATAGTGAAAATAAAAAACACTTTTCTAAAAATTAAAAAGTAAAATAAAATATGAAATATTTTTATTCTAAAATAATTTTGTGTTAGTAAATTTATATTTTAAAGATATATTTTTTATAAAAAATATAAATTAAAATAAAAGAAATGAGGTTTTTTTATTTTTAAAAATAATTATTTAATAATTAAATATCTAAATTATCAAAACGCAAATAAATTTCTTAAAATCTTCTAAATAGCAAAAATTAAAAATTAAGAATGAAATTTGAAATCGTTTTTAGCTTTGTTTTGCTAGCATTTAGCTTTCTAAGTCAAACAAAAGGGTTGGTTTAGTTAACTTAATAAAATTTAGAATAGGAATTGTCTAAGTATAGTAAAAGAGCTGTTATTTTAATACATCAAGAATGGTGTAACGAGTCGAGAGAACTAGAATAATTTTTAAATTCATTATGGCAACAACAATAATTATCATCAGATCCAAAAATGATGGTTAATTATTTAGTAGTAAATCTTAATTAATAAAAAATACTAGCAGATATATTATAAGATAAAGGTGCTCCTGCTATTTATATGTATAATGATGGAAATTATACTCAATATGAATTTGATGTTATTAGTAGAAGATAATTTAAATATTTTATAGATTTATTCTTTTTTGAAAAGCTAATAAATGTCAACTCAATCAAAAGCTTTGATGAATAAAAACAAAAATTTTAATTTATTTTCATCGGGAAAAAGAATGAATACAATAAAGTATATAGAACATTTGTTGAACTTTCAAAAAAAAATTTTTTATATACATTTATAGAAAGTGAAAATCAAGAGATTTTAAGTAGATTTTTTATTTAACAAGATTAAAGCGATTAAAATGGAAAAGAGAGCGAAAGTGAAGCAGCTTATTTAATAATTGTTAGAAAATATGATAAATTTGATAAATATTTAAGAGTGTTGTATGATAACGATAAGGCAGTAGAAAGAACTATTAAGTTCTTTGAAGACAATTAAAAACCATATCGCTTATACACATTTAATCACAGAGTAAGAAAATATTTGATTGAAAAAAGCTATTACTCTTTGGCATTATTTTACAGAAAGAAGGTCTATCAAGATGAGTATTTGTATTAAAGCTTTTACAACATAACAAGAGATACAAAAACAATAATTGATGGTAAAAAGGAAGATCCTTATAATTACATATCTAGAATAAAAACCTAAATACAATAAGAAGTAGTTTTTTTGTTTATTGATAGATTTGAAAACAAGCTGACACAAAAACTCTCAGAATATATGGAAGATAATTCCTATGATAATATTCCATCTGTATTTATGTTTCACTTTAATAATAAAACAAGAAGCTTAAATAAATTTAAATTCAAAATTAAACACTAAGATTTTATTATATTCTCAGAACTTATGCTATTTGTTTCAAGTGTCTTGCATGAGCCTAGCTAAAACTAATTATTTTTTCTAAGAAATAAATAATTAGATGAAAGAATATTGAAATTAAATCCTAAAATTTTATAGCTTAACAGCTATTTTTTTGAAAGGTCTTTCTCAGATAGATATCTAAAAATGCTAAAGAAAGAAAAAGTTATTAATGTTATTCTTTTTTTATCTACTTATTCCAGAGCTAGCTTACAAATAATATCTATTTTTACAAAAATGTAATAAAATCTTATCTTTCCAAACAACCTAGAAGTATAATTTTCTTTTTTTGATATTTCAGAAAATGATTAACATATTTTCGAATTCAAACCCCAAGCTAAAGTAGTTCCTGAAATAAGAATATACTACTAAAGGCATAAATACTATTATCTTGACACAAATAAAATTGATAAAATTATAGAAGACAGTAATATCTAAAACTCTTAAAAGCTATTGGAAAGCTACATTATGGAATTAATTAACCAAATTTTAGATATAAATAAAAAAGAGGATTTATGAACATTTTAAAATAAGTGATAAATAAATAAATTTTATTTAAAAATATATTAAAACTTATTTGTAAGCTTTATAAAATTCTTTAAATCTTATTTAATTTATTTTCATTTTTATTAAAATTAATTTTAAAAATTCATATTAAATAAATTTCAAACAAATTTGATAATATTAATAAATAAATAAATAAATAAATAAATAAATAAATAAATAAATAAATAAAAACTAAGTATGTCAATATTTAGCTGATTGTTATTAATTTAGAGTAGCACTTGTGCTTTTTAATGAATTTCGTATCAATTTTTTATAGTTTAAACTTCAATTAAAAGTTATTAATTTTTTTTAATTTTTTTATCTTTGTCAAAAAAAATCATATTTTTAACCATGAATTTAAATCTTAATTAATGAAGACCAAAGAAGTTTAAATTTTAAATAATACCGAAAGACTTAACAAATTTTTTAGTGATTATAATTTCAATAAAAACTTATTTAGATTATTGAATATTAAATACTTAAACTAAAATTATATAAAAAAAATGTGTTCAAATTCTTATTTTATTTTTAACTATTTAAATTATAAAATTAAGTATTGTCCTAAATTAGAAATTTTTGTTTTGAGATCTGAAAATTAAAATATATTTTTATATTTAGAAATGCTTAAATAAAATAAATTTCAACAAATATTTTATTAATATATATAGACTGATAATATTATTTATTTTTCTATAATTTATTATTTTTTATATTTACTAATTTATTAAAGATTTATAAAAGTATAGTATACACTAATCTATATTATTATATTATTTATCTGATTTGATTTTGATAGCACAAAATTTATTTAAAACAAAGAATTAGATGTATTCTTTTTTTATAAATAAAGTTTGAATATGAAAAATACTTTTCTAGCGATTTACTACTAACACAAACTAAATGTATTTTTTTTTAAATTATCCTTTTTTATAACTTTTCAATCTATCTATCCTAAATTAGAAATCCAATCGATAGAATTTTTTATGAGTTTCATAATAATAGTTAATATAATTTATTGTGGATTTTAAACAAAAGATATTGAATGTTATTATTAATTTTTTTTATATGTTTTTAAAATAAAAAAATATATTTAGTTTAAGATTATTTAATATTAATATTTTTTTTACTTAACTAGAATTTAAGGTCTTTCTTTAAAATACTTTTAAATACAAAATCTATTAAAAATTTAATAATAGATATTACTTATTAAATTTTATTTTATAAAATTTTAATATTCTTTCAAAATGTTTAGAAAAGTCTTAAATAAAAATAAACTCTTAAATCTCTTTGATCTAAAAAAGATCTTAAAATAATTATAATAGATTATTTAATCTATATTTATTAGTGTATACATATTTCATTTTAACTTTTAAAGTATTAAGAAAGGGGTACGATATTTTATAATATACTTTTTATTTATTAAAAATATTTTAAACAAAATTATTTAACTTTTAAAAAACTATTAATAATTTATAAACATATTCTTTTTTTCTTCAATTTTAACTTTTTTAAATTAAAATAAATAAGCAAATTTAAATTAAATTAATTTCAATTGAAAAAATCTTCTAGTAATAATTTAGTAGAAATAAAAATATTATAGTAGTGAGTATTTGTCTGTACTCTGAAATAAATTGTTCTATATATAAAGTCTTTTAAATCTTAGTAAATATTCTACGAATGAAAATTAACTAAGTAAATTTTTGGGCACTTTTAATATCTCTTTAAAGAAAATTATTGAGTAATAAGTTGATTAATATATTAAAAAAATCTTAAAAAAAGTTAATCTTCAAATTATTACATAAAAATATACTAGCTATTAGATTCGAGATATTAGGAAAGTTGATACTTTTTGAATTTCTTTAAAATAAAATAGTATGATTAATCATCACACATCTTTTGAGAGCTAGATGGGAAAGCTCTAAGACTTGAATCATAAGATTTAAGATATAGTTAAGCAACCTTTCACTGAAAGAAGAATGTAAGAAAACATAGAAACAGATGAAAGTAAATATACATATGAAAGATTATTATTTATATTAAAGGATTATTTATTAATATAAAATAATAGAAATAGAGTTACAGATAGCTTTAAAGTAAATTTTAGAGTATGAGCATATGCTGTTAAATTGCTCTTAAAATTTTGGTAAATTACAATAATTCTATAATTTTGATTTTCATACTTTGATTTTTCATAAAGAAATGATAAATGAAGCATTTAAAGAAGAATTTGAAAAGATGGATGCTTAGGTAGAAGAGTTAATACAAGAAAAAGAAAGAGAATTATAATCTTATGCAACAAGATGTGAATAACTTTAGGTAAATTTAAAAAAAATATTTAAAAGCAAATTGCTTAAAATAAAGTAAATTCCTATTTTTATTAAAAAGGAAGCTAATAATGAGCTATCTTAGAAAAATTTTTCAATAGTTAGTAATTTAGAGCAGCTTGAAGAAGAATTAAATAGATAAAAAGAATAGCAAAGAAAATTAGAGCTTCAGATATGTTAACTTAATGAATCACATAATGAAAATACTGTAATTAAGAATTTACACATAATTTTAGTTTAGAAACTTTATGCTTTTATTATTTTTTAAAGGTTTAAATAAGAGAAAGATAAGCTACAGTATAATAGTTGTAAGAAGAAAATTAGCAATAAACTTAGCAACAGTAGAGGATTTTATATAAATAAAAAACGGAAATTATCGATCTCCAAGAAAAATATGAAGATTTGTTAAGATAAATGGAAGATAATTCAAAATAATATGCAGATTCCTTAAAAGAAATAGATAGTAAATTTATTTTTCATTTTAAGCTGTAAACTTACATGCTGAACAGAAATTTTTTTTTTTCTGATCAAGTTTCTTAATTAATTTAAGCCCTAAATTTTTTTAAATCATAGATTTAAAAAATAAAAATTCCCAGCTGAAAGAAATGAACTAGCATCTAAAAGATGAAATCATTAAAATTTTAGAAGAGAAAGAACTTCTATTTAGCAGTGATAACCTAGATAAGGATTAAAATGCTTATAATAGCATGCAAAATGGAGAAGAGGGAAACGAAGTTTAGACTTTAAGTCTTCCTAAAACAGCTTAAAAGGAATAAAATTAAAATGGATCTATTTTAGACAGTTTTAAAAATTAATTCTCTACAATTTATGGAGACTTAATGAGTGATTATAACAAAGAAAAGCATCCAAAGTCAAGCAGACTCCAACATATTCATATAACTAATTAGGCCAATCATGAAGTCAGTAAATTTTAATCAGCAGAGAGTAACAGAAGTCATATTTTCAATATTGGCAATTAATTATCACAAATTAAAAAGGAAGAATCGTTTTTTGAAGGATTTAATCCTAATACTCAACGCTCTACTGATAGTTAAATGAGCTTTAATATTGTTTAAAACTTTTTAAGAGATAATAATGCAAATTTAGAAAATAATAATGAATAAGAAATATATGAAAAAGTTAATCTATCATAAAAAAACTCTAAATCATCATAGCTCTCAATCCGTTCTTCTTTTGAAAGTCCTAGGATCTAATAAATAATTGTTCCTTAGTAAAGTTAAAATAAATCTCAATCAAGTATTCCGTCATAATAAGAATATTTGGATAATAATCTTAAAAGCAGAAACTTAAATGACCAGGATAATTAAGAATAAGATTAAATTTATTAAAATGAAATTAAGCTAGATAAGTATTCAGCCAAACTACATAAAGGTCACTAAAGATACTTGTCTGCAATACCAACAAGTAAATCTAACTCATTCAATGAAAGTGAAGATGAGACCGGAAATGTTGAAAAAATAAAAAACCATTCTATTTTAAATAGTAATATAGTTGAGAATCAAGAAACCTAAATAAAAAAGCTTGATGCAGAAACATAAACAAAAATTAATTAGGGAAATAATAAAATAAATATGTAAATATAAACTGATAATGTTCAAGTGGATAACTCAGAAACTTAAACATCAATAATTTACTCATAAAATAAAGATGTTTAAACAGAAAAAGAAGCAAATGAAGAATTAAAAAATGAAAAAAACTCATCTCAAGATAAATCTAATTAAAATTAGCAATAAAACAAAAACAAAACAAACAACGAATCAGAAAATAATTGTTAAAAATGTGTGTATGCTCAGGACCCATATTATGTAAGGAATAAGAATATAATTTTTATTGCTTTAATTTTATCAATAATAATTTAAATTTTATAAAGGTTTTTTACATATTGATTTGCTAGACTGCAAAAATGAATTCTAAATATAAAGATGATGTTATTGACTTTGATATTAAATAATTTTATTAAGAAATTAAGGAAATAATACCAATTAATCAGGTATATCATCTATCTACTTATTTTATATTACATATCCATCAAGTATTTTTTTATTTATTAAATGAAATAGTGGTATTAATGGGCTAGTAATAAGTTAATAGAATTGAGAAATTAGTTTATGAAAAGATGATTAAAGACTATCTAAAGAATAATTTATCTCTTCAAGATATTCATTCTTTAATTTTGTTGATAGTGATAAAAATTGTTTGAAGTAAAAAAAACAAAACATGTTTTAAATCTAGAATGATAAAAAAATGAATCTTTCTTTCTCTGTTTTGTTAGTTAATTAGTAAGATTCTAATGATTTTTAAGATAAATACTCTTAAAAGTATAAAAATATATCATAAATAAAAAAATCTTAATAAATAAATTTTGCTTTATATAAATATTTAATAAAATGAATCTAATTTTAGATTATCTGTAATGTGAATTCTTTTTCTTTGTATTTAGTTTTAACAAATAAATTATTAATCAATATACAGTTCTACCTATCATTTCACTTTCATCTTTATTTTTATGTATCTATTAAATTAAATAGGGGTATTAATGAGCTAGTAGTAAATTGAAATATTATTAATGAGTATCTAAAGAATAATTTAACTCCTCAAGATATTCAATTATTAATTTGGTTGGTATTTAGTGGTAAAAATTGTTTGATTTATAAAACTCAACTTATTTTAGGTCAAGAATAGTAACCTAATGAATGATTATTTTTTTTTCTCTCTGTTTAATTAGCTTATTAGATTCAAATGATTAAGATAAAAATACTAATAAATATTATAATATAAATATCTTAAATAAATAAAAATGCTTAATAATATGAATCTAAGTTTAGATTCTTTGAAATGTAAATTATGTTTCATTGCATTTAGTCTTAAAAATTAAATAATAATCACTATATGGTTCTACTTATTATATCACAATTATTTCCATTTTTTTTTACTTAATATTAATGAACTGTAGGAAATTAATAGAATTGAGAAATTACTTTATGTAAAGATGATTAAAGACTATTTAAAGGATAATTTATCTCCTTTAGATATTTATTCTTTAATTTGGTATTTATTGAGTTATAGAAATTGTTCTTTTTAAAAATAAAACAACCTATTTTTATCTTTGATAACAACCAAACGAATCTTTGTTATTTTCTTACTCTGTTTAGTTAATTTGTTAGATTCTAATTATTAAGAGAAATACTAATAAATAATATAAAATATATCATAAATAGAAATAAATTAATTTGTTTTATAAAAATATTTAATTATATGAATCTAATTTTAGATTCTTTGAGTGTAAATTATTTTTTTTACATTTAGTTTTAATAAATAAATAAAGAATCAATTTATGGTTCTACTTATCATATCACATTTTTTGTCATTTTTATGTTATATGAATTAGTTATTGGTTAGATATCATCAGAATAAATAGAAACTATTGTCATAGTTATTTACTATCACCAATAACTAAATACTATTTTACAGTTTGTGAGAATTCAAAATATTTAGTTAGTACTTAGACAGACTATCTTACCAATTTTTTTATCTTAAAGTCCTTTTAAATAATTAAAAAGAATACTTTATTTATTCAAAGCTTAAAATCATCTTAAGCTTTGTTAGTCTTTTAATAATTTGAAATCCTAGATAAACTTTACTGCATATAACTATTCTCAACATCTAATTATTACTATAATAGATTTCTTTACATTTCCACCATTTCGCTTTATCTAACCTAAGAATCTCTTATATTAGCTAGTAACTCCTAAGAATATTTTATGCATACAAGACTAATGCAAATGTATATTAATATTAGAAGTATTAGAAATATATTTATCATAAAAATAAGATCACTATTTTCTGAATTATAATTTGGATTATAGTTAACCAGCTGTAAAACTAAAGAGACTAAGTGATAAATTATTATTACAATTACAACAAAAAGCATTTTTTGAAATAGCTAGATATATTGTTCCTACATAGTTATTAGCCCAATAAGTCCATAAATAAAAGTAGAAATAAAAACAATTTCCATAAGCCCAAGTGATAACGATATCTAATCATTAACTATGATAGAGAATGTATTCAAAATACAAAAGCATAGAGAAAAGAATATGTAACATCCTAATCTAAGCTTTTTTTACTTGTTAAATTCTATATTCATTCTTAATTTCTTTATTATATTCAATTTTTAATTATTTGAATTTTTGTATAATAATTAATTTCTTTAATTTACAATTTATGGAAGTCTTAATTTGCAAATTACCTATTCTTAATCTAAATTGCCCTAAAATTAATTAATTTTTTTGATTATTTCAATTATAAATCCCACTTTTTATCAGATATTCTTTCATTTCAATTTAAACTGGTGGGGTTTTTTTTCTAAAACAACACTTAACAAACAATTTCAATTAAAAAAAGGCATAAAATCTTATAATAATGTTCATATTATTGATTAAAGAAATTGTTCATGTATCCTTTAGATTTCAACCCTGAATATCTATTAATTTTAGAGTAATCAGAGAATTTATATAATATGATATTTCGCCTATTATAATTCATTTACATTTAATCAGATAAATTCTATACTTATTATTATTAAAACATTTATTTTATCGTCATTTTATTTTTGAACGCTTTCTTATTTAAAAATTTTAATTATTTTTTATATCTACGAGCTACTAATTATAAAAATCTAAATATTATTAATTTGTTATTTCTTAATTATTATTTACAAAAAAATAATATTAAAAATACATTTTTAGGTAAAAAAAATTTTTATGGAAAATTGTAAGATTAACAGATACCTAAAATTTGAATATTATTTAAGTTAACTTGTTTTCAAAATATAGTAAAAATATGTAGATAATATTAAATTTTAGAATTTTTATTTAAAAGGTTATTTATATGCTCTGATAAGTATTGTGTTTTATAAAATTAATAAAATAAAACATGTTTATTTACTTAGGTAGTTGAGAGAAAATAAGATTATTGTAATTTAATTTAAATAAATAAATATTTTAAATAAATATAAAACTTCAAAGTACTATATTTTATTTAATACATTTTAATAAAATTGTTAATTAAACAAATTAATTAAAAAATTATTGAATTTTTTTCTAAATTTTATTTCAAAAATAGAATTCTGATTTAAAAATTTTATTTATAAGTAATATCTGATAAGTATTGTGATTTATAAAATCAATAAAATATAATATGTTTATTTACTTAAGTAGTTGAGAGATAATAAGGTTATCATAAATAATATTAGATTATTTAAATAAATAAATATTTTAAATAAGCAAACTCTACTTTTTAATGAATTAAATAAATACATAAATTTATTTTTTTTTTCTTTAAAATAAGAGATTAATTTACTTAATTCACAGATTTAAAAAACCATAAAAAAACATAAATAAATAAATAAACTTTGCCATTTATCTACCTTATATTTTATAATAAAGCTGTTTTATTTAAAATAGCTCAAATAGTGTATGTATCTTTAATTTCTACAGAATTTTCTGTAAGACTGTACAAGAATTTTGCAATTTTATTGTTTTTCTTTACTTTAATGACTATTTATCCAGCTATATCTTTTTGATATCCACTAGGATTTTCAAATACTTCAATTATTGAATCTGCATAGCTTTCTATTATACCGAGTAGTCTCTATAAATCTTAATCGAATGTACAAGTAGAAAGGATAAATAGAGAAGGCTTTTTTGAATGAGTTTTGCAAAGCTATATCAAACTACAAACAAAAGTATACAAAAGTGCTTTATTTTAAGTTCTATCAAAAAGGTTTGTTAGATTATCAATAATTATAGATGGATTACCTTCCTACTTGTCCAAAGAAAGTTCTATTTTTTTTACTATTTTAGTATAATATTCTTACTCGTTGTTATCCTTAAGCTACAACTTTAAGGCATTTGAAGGAGGTTCTGACCAACTTTAATGAGTTTCTTCAATAAAAGGTAAATCTTCGGGAACCCAATCATTACAATTAGAAAACAAATCTATGTATGTAAGCTACTCTCTTGTAATATATGGGACAATATTTTATCCAGTTCTTTTTAGTGTGTTCAAGTAGTGTGCATAATTTTAAGTAGCAGCAATTAAAGAAACTCCATCATTTTTCTTTAAATAAATGTTTAAAATCTAAGAAATCGTGAAGTTAGCATTATTGTATATTGTGTCTTTGATAAAGAAGAAAGAACTCTTTGGTTTAACTTCATCATCCCAAGGAAAATCTGCAACTAAATCTTTGATTCTTTAAAACATTTTATTTGAAATCTATTAAAAATAGCTAAATTATTCTATCTATAAATATTGTTAAGAAACTATTAAAAGTGTTAAATAATTTTAAAATCAGTACAAAAGTAATTAATTATAATATTAGCTCTATAAGCTTTAATAATTTTTGAGATGATTATAACCTTAATATCCTCTACCAAATATGCTTATGAGAATAATTATTACTAAACCAATAAATTCTAATTCTTTTTATTTATAATGTCTAATTGATCTAATTATTTTCTTAATTAGAATAAATTTGAAGGTAGGCAGCTCTTATAAAAAAAATAAAATATAAACAATTATTAAATATATTAAATTACAAATAAAAACAAATATTAATTATTAAATGAAAACATAAAAAACAATATTAGATGAATAAATAGTAATAATTAATTATTTAATATTTAATTATTCTTTTTAAGTTAATGTTTATAATTAATCAAAAGTATTTACAAATAACTATTTAAAATTCTTTATTTTATCTTTGCATATGCTAGTTCAATTTAAATTAATGCTAACTATTAGTCTACCTATTTCTTTGGCAAGTTCTGGTGTCTATAATTAAAAAAAAATAAATATTTATTTCAATTAACAATATGTATTTATTTATTAATTTACTTAAAGAATTTTTTTAGAAAATTAATTCAAGTCAATTTTAGATATTTGTTCTGGAGAGATTTTATATAGTTTTTGATATTTATTCAGTAAATCTTAAAGGTATTCACTTTGATAAGGAGTTGGTTCTTAAATTTGACAACTTCTAAACCATATAGAGAAATTATTATTGAAAATAGAAGCTAAAAGGTCATTTACTCTTCTACTTATAATATCATATAGCTTATCTTTAAGCTGCTGTTGTTGGGATTCAGATAGGTGACTAGAGTCCTAAATCATTACTTCAATAAATTCTTCAAGTCTTTAATGAACATTTAAAAACATAATCTATTAATTTTCATTATTCAATTCAATCTAGTAGCTTTCATATTCTTATTGTTCTTTTTCCTGAGCTTATTACTCAGCTTGCTTTTATTTTTGTAATTCTTATTCTTTTTTCTTTCTTTCTTATTAAATTTAATATTCACTTTTATAAATTAGGCCATTCATGAAATGATTTTCATCCTTTTAATTTTATTATTTATTTTAAAAATTACTTTTTTAAAATCTTTGCTCGGAAAGCTCATTTTATTAATTCTCTTATTGAATTTCGTTATAATCAAAATTCTCTTATTAATCATGCAAAAAATCCTCTTCATTTTATCTTAATTAGTATTCTTACTCATCCTCACAAGACCTCTCTCTAATTTTATTTTAATTTGAGCTTACAGAAAACTTAGAAGCTCTAAATGCATTTCTTTCACCTTAATATCCATTTTCCTACTCTTGTTATGGATGATTTTTATCATAGATCTTTTGATCAAGAATGCCAATATTTTTAAGGATATCTTTTTCTTAAGAAGAGAAAGATTGTTTTATAATTTCAAAAGATGATGGAAATTCTTATTATTAAGGTTGATTTAACTATTAACTATTTATTTGATTAAATGTATTATCGTTAGCATTGAATTCTTAAGAAAATGGATTTTTACTCCTTCTTAGCCCATTTTAATTACTATATTCCTCTTTGCTTTAAACATCATTGATAAAAGCTTCATTTTCTAAAGCAAATTCTTACTTTTCTGCACTACAAAATGTATTAAATTTATTATTTGAATAAATAGGAGATGTTATAAAAGACTCAAGTCTCTCTGTGATTTTAGATATATTTTAATCCTTGTTTTGATTTTTATTAGATTATAGGTTTACATTTTAGTCAGCCAATAGATTCTTATTACTATAAAGACTTATTAGAATAATTAATATGTTGTAAATTGAGATTTTTCTTTCTCTCTTATGCAATAAATCTGTAGGATCAAAATCACTATTTTTTTTTAAATTATGTAGTACATTTTCTAAATTTTCTTTATCTGCTTCTCCGTATACCATAATAGCAATACTTTGTGCCTTATTTATACTAATAAAAATCAAGCTAGGATCAAGATATTTTTAAGTTATTTCTATTTTTTAATAAGTTAATTAATTAATAAATAAATAATCTAAGAAAGAATCTTAATTACATTGATAAAATTCCACTCCAACCACTTTCTCTGAAATAGCCCTTGCAAATAAGAAAAATATCAAATCATCATCATCATAATTCTATTATAAAAATCTTTTAAAATTGTATTTTAAATGAAAATTTTCAAATTAAAATACTGCTAAAATAATTTAATCTCTGGCTATTTTTAGGAGTAAAACTCAACACTAACTAATAAGTTTACTAATTACTTAATAAAAAAATAATAAATTGCTGAAATGTTTGTTTTTTCTTTTTATAAAATTAACTACCTATTCTAACTACTTTTATTATTTACTCTTTTTTTTTATAGTCTCATATACATGTTGCGGAAAAGGTATTATATTCTTTTATAATTTAAGACTAGATTTTCCAGATAAGAGATGCTATGTTTCTTTTTAAAATTTTGTTGTATATATTTCTTCAATCATCTTCTATGTTTGATCTATACATTTTACAAAATTTATAATTCCAATGAGGTACTAATAAATGCATACCTTTAGACATTTTTTTAGGTCTTATCCATTTATCAACTTGCTTGATATAAGAATATAGTAAAGAATAGTTTTCTTATGATCCAGGTATTATTTGATTCAGAGCAATCTAAAAGCCAAAAAAAATTTAATTCAATAAAAATAATAAAAAAATTACCTATGACGATTATATACACACTTTATTTATTTATGATGTTTATTTCTGCACTTGTGTTACATTTTAAGTAGATTTTTAATTTACAAAACCAGCTTTTTAAGACATGAAATTAGTTACTTTCCTTTTACCTTTATTATATTTAATTATAATAAACACTCAACAAAAGTATTGCTTATCAAAAATCAAAAAGTATCTATCCTTAATTACTAAAATAAATGTTAAATTTTCAAATTTTTTTAAAATTAAAGTGATTGATTAAGTTTCTATTTTCAAACTGAAACCAAAGATTTTAATTAATAAAATAATCAAATTAGAATAATAAAAACTTTAATATTTGAAAGCAAATTCATTTATTTATGATATTAAATTTTATTATAATTCATTCATTATAGTTTAAAAATGCTTTTTCTTTTATTAACAAATATTTTATATTTAGGCGAATGATATAAATTAATAAATATTAAATTTTAAATTTATAGACAAAGGATAAAAATAGTATAGAACATAAACGTTTCAAATATAATCACATTATAATTTATAAAATTCAATATTTATCATACTTAATTCATTTATTGATGTTTATATCTTGGATTAATTAAAAACTTTATTTATTTATTTATTTATATATTTTATTAGGTCAAATATGTTGGAAAAAATTGCTTTAAATATTATAATATAATTATTTTTATTTATTTATTATTATTATGATTATTAAAATTCCTTGACCTCATGATAATAGTTAAATTATTACTATAAATTTACATCTTAGATTAATTAATTAATTTAATAATTATTTAACTGCAAAAAATATTTTCTCATTTTATCTGACCCACTCATTAATCTTTATTCTTTTTTTATAGTTTTGCTAGTTTTTTCTCAATATCATCATCTAATTTTAGTAAATCTTTTAACTTAGATTTATCAACTACTTATGGTGATTATTTGTAAACAGGTTCTTCACCTGCATAGAGGTAATCTAATTTAAATCAAATAAAATTAAATTTTAAAAAAATTAAATCAAATTTATTTTACCTATATCTTGATAATCTTAATAAAGATAATGAGATAAATCATTCATAAGCTCATCACAATCAAATTCAGGTTTTTTATATTTATCATCTCTATTTTCATTATGCTTAAAGCTTACATCTATTTGTTCATTAGTTATATCTTATCTAGCTCCAGCTTATCCATTGTCTTCTTCATTATGACGAGCTTTAAATTTTAAAAATATTAGGGTTTATTATTTTTAATTTACAAATTTATTTACCTGATCCTCTTGTACTCTCTGTCTTCAAGTCTAAATCATCAAAGTATTGTACATTATCTGTAAATATAATACCTTCTGATGTTCTACGGATCCAAGGAGCTTCAGGCTTATTTTCAACTGCAGTAGGCTAATTTATAAAAGTTAAAAATTAATATTCAAACACAAATAAAGAATTGATTATTGAATACCTGCAAATTTTCTAGAAGTGATTCATCAAAGCAAGGTTTCATTGAAGGAGGTTCAACCTTAGGAAGACAGAAATACAAATTGATACTCTTTTATTTTTAATAAAAATTATTTATCTGTTATTAAATTAAGATTTAAATTACGAAATCTTTGTAGATTGAGAAACCAGTTTATACTCTTGGGAAGATAGAACAAAGTCTGCCTGAAAAAGGGAAGAATCTCATATTGTAGATATCTGCTAAAGCTTACTCATCAACTTTTTGAATAAAGTAAATAATTTTTAGACAAAAAATTAAATTAAAAATTTTCTTTGCTTAACGCAGATTAATTTAAATTTTGAAATATAAGCAAAATTATTTTTTTAAATAGCAAAGAAAATTTACTTTAAGAAAAGATAGCATCACTTTTTTCTTATTCATCCTCCAAAATTTAGAATAGAATATCAATTTACTTAATTATGTTTTCATCTTACTCAATAATATTTCTCAACTCTAATAAATACTTAGATGCATTATCGTAATCCTTTTACATGATGTAAATAGCTGCTATATTGAAGTAATGCTCATAGACGTTATAAGTTCTATTAGTAAATTCGTATTCTTCTAATGAAGTTAGTATGTAAGCATTCTCTTCTCCATACTATTCCATCAATTGAGCTAGATCTTCTTCATCTAATTTTTTCTTACGCTCAACTTCAGCATAATCTTTCTTAATTTTGAAAGATTTATTTAGACTTTTCATGGCCTTTTCATAGTTTTTGAGATAAAAGTAGTATACAGCTTTATAGAAATGATAATCAGATCTCTTAAAGCAGATGCCTTCAATACCCTTTTCAATATTTTTACATTGTTTTATATTAGCAAGTGCTTCTTTGAAGAAAAAGCTTTATCCCTATTAATCAGTCGCACTTGAACTCTAAGATGCAATTTTCAATGAGTTCAAACATAATTTATCATACTTTACCATCTCAGTTTTTTCAGTTTAAAGTTCGATGATTCTATCCATATCGAGAAGTGCTTAATTTAACTCCTTATGTGCAATAAAGCATTTAGCACGTAATAAGAGTATGTCTGCATTTCTGTTTATTCCATTAGCATTTGAATATGTTTTGACTGCATCATCGAATTCACCTATGTTAAAGAGGAGATTTCCAGACCACAAATGAATATCAGGATCGTTTTATTTAACACTTATGTATCTCTATAGATCTCTAAAAGCTTAATTTTTATCTCCAAAGAGATGCAAGCATTTAGCTCTATTTAAGTAGGCATTAGCATAATTTGGGTTATTCTCAATAGCGTATGTAAAATCGTTGATAGCATATCTATACTATTATATACAGCCATATGCTAAGCCTCTGGCATAGTGAAACTTAGATTGATTCTCCTCTGCTTTTTCAATAGCTAAATCGAAATCCTTAATACCTAATAATCGTTGAATTGAATAAATTTATTAATTTTTAGTTGTTTGATGCATAAATAAGATGTATACTTTCATTTATTTGACTAAGAGAGAATCTTATTAAACCTCTATGGAAATATATATTAGAATTAGAATCATTAAGTTCAATTCCCTTATCAAGATTTTTTAATGCGTTTTGCTTGTATTAAAGACGCTTATCTTCATCTGTTTTAGGAATTAACTTGTTCGAGAAGCGAATCAAGGTCATTGCCTTATAGAAGTAGGGTTCCATTTTTTATGGGAGTATTTTGTTGGCTTTGTTGAAAAAATTCATTGCTTGCTCAAATTAATTATTTTATGCAGATATAATACCTTCACATATTAATTTATTGTAGATAGAAGGTTTTTCTAATTTAGAGAAGTTTTCAATAAACTGTAAATCATTTAAACTCTTTTAATGCTTTCCTAAACAAAAATACCCATATGCCCTATAAGTATAAACCAATGGCTTCAGGAAATCCCCCAAACTGTAATTTTTAACTAGGTTAGTCAAGTTTCTAATACCTTCTTTGTGTTTTCTTTTCATTAAAAATGTCACACCATCAGTAAAAATTCTAAACTTTTCTAGAGATTTGAGATCAACATCTAAGTAATCTGCTCTTTAGAGAGTATGATAAGCTTAATAAAAATCTCTTAATTCTATTTTTATTTTAGATATTTCATACAATGCTTTAGTGACAGCTTTTCTTGAATTATTATGCTTGATAGCCTATTCGAAGGAAAGAATAGCTTCGTTCAAATTTTCTAATATTTAATATTTTTTATTTAATTAGCTAATTTTAATTATGGAAATTACTTTGTTTGTAATGTAGCATTCCTTTAAAGTAATAGGCTTCAGAATTTTAAGGATCATCATTCAAAATCTTTATTTTTATATGGAATATTTAAAAGAATGATTTAAAAATAAAATTTTTTACTTTTTGTAAATCCTCTTTTGCCTAATCAAATTATTTGGCTTCTAAGTAAGTAATCGCTCTCTTTAGAACAGCTACTTTAGCAATAATTTCTTCTTTTTCTAATGCCTAAGTGTAGAGGCTTATAGCCTTATCATATTCACCCATAAATCTTAGGCAATCTGCTTTACCCATATATCCTTTATATTGATAAAAAATTTTTAAAATAGTAATAGAAAAATAATGCATTGAATTAAAAAGTATTTATTTATTTACCAAGTCCACATTAAGTATTTAATTTAATAGCGATATCGAAATCTGAGATAGCTTTATCAAATCTCTTCATTTTTACTTACAGTTTACCTCTATATATAAATGCATCATAGTATTTAGGATATTATTGTATGGCTTTTCTTAACTGTTATTTTTTAATATTAATTAATTTATTTATTTAGAGAAAATTTCAAAATTTCAAAAATTAATCTGAAGAAATGTTAATTAATTAATTAATAAATCGAAAAAAGTAAAGAGTAAATAAATAGTGGTTATTAATTATTTACTATTTGAATAGCAGCATCAATTGTATTTATTTTTTTATAAGCAATTGCAATTAAAAGATAAACGTTTCTCTTGTAGTGTTCGTTCTTTTCAAGTAAATCGCAAAACTACTCAATTGCCTTTTAATACTGGCTAGAAGAAAGATAGCACACTCCTAACAAATATTAGCTTTCTAGCATCATTGGCTCTTCTTTCATAGCTTCTTAGAAATATTTCAGTGCTTCTTCAATGTTATTTTCTTTAAACGATTATTTACCCTTCTGCAATAAGTCAAATGCTTTTTCATTTTTATATGCTGCTTGCTAAATTTGATATTGATGTTATTGCATTTATTATGAAGACTGAGATTGATGAGAAGAAGAAGATGAGTTTTGCATAATTTTCTTTTTAATTTGATTTTGTTGAGAAGAATATGTAGAGAGAATGGTCTAAGGATGAGAATTTCCATTAGCTACACTTGAATGAGGGAATTTAGTTGAATTTCTCAAAAATTGTTATTCTTCATCTTTGTTGAAAGATTAAGATAAAGTGTTTGGAATACTTTAGTTGAAATTGCCTTATTAAATTTGACGGCTAATTCCAACCCCACCATTAATTTAGCTATTTTAATTGTATGTAACATGTGGATTTGTATTAGAAAATACAGCAGGATGTTCATTCACCTCGCCAATAGAGGGGATATTGAAGCTATGGTGCCCAGTGCCATATGAAATACTACGCTGGTGATGAGCATGAATTGGAATTTAATGCATATTAATTTATTGCTATGGTTGCTATGAATTAGGAGATGAATATGTGTAGGGAGGCTAATTCTATGAGAAAATTAATTGCTAATTTGGCTATACTTTTTGATTGAAACCTATCTAAAACTATTGCAATTAAGGTGTATTTATTTGAGCGCTACCTGTTGATGGTTGATATACTGAATTATTTGCTCTTTATTATCTTGTTTAAGGTTTAGAATTATTGCTACTTCCTACTAAATCAATCCCATTTTTGTAATAATAGTTTGAGTTATATGATAAGTTAAGATTATTACTTCCTTAATGAGTAGCGGAAGATGGCATAGTTCCACTATTTTTGGGTAATGGAACGTTTTTTGAGGACATTGAAGAAGTTTTTCTTTAATTCTACGATGTATTTAAAGTGTTAGCAGGGTATCCTGAAAGCTAAACTATCTCTTTATTCTCCCCCTTAGAGCTGGATCCGTTGCTTTAATTTAAAATAGAAAGAATACCATTATTCATACTGCTGTTTAACTTATTTTGCTAAGACTAACGTAATAAATTCCCATTATTTGAACTATTATTTTTAACTGAATTGCTATTTTAAGATCCATTGCCCTTTGTTGAGGGTTATTAAAGAACTTGTTTTACATAACTCGCAGCATCCTATGTATGCGAGATAGTTCTTGAATGCTATGCACTATGATATTTGTCTGGTGAATTTACTTTACGTTTTTATAAATTATAAATGCGGTTCATGAATAAAAAAAAATAATCCTTTTTGAATGATAAATTAATTTTAAAATTGGAAAAATGAATATTTATTTGTATTAGTAAGCAAGGCTACCAAAAAAAAGAAATATTAAAAATAATTTGATTTTTTTATTATATTTAAGTTAATAATTAATTAAAGTATGAATGAATAAATGAATGAATTAATCAATCAATAAAAAAATTGAAAATTCTCCTTTCCTTTATATATCAAATTATTTTCTCTCTAAATATTTTTTGCTATTATGTTTTTGTTAGTTTGTTTGTTATCTGTTTGGAATTGATTCTTTTCAAATTGTTATTTTAAAGAATTGATTTTGATTTATTTGATTTTTTGTTAATTTGGTAGTTTGCTTTTTACAACTAAAAAATGACCTCCTCTTTATTTCAAAAAAAATTTAATATTTTAACAATTTAAAATCGAGTTGCTAGCTAGCATGCACAATTCATATTGTAATACTCTTTAAATAATATCATAAAAAATCTACTCGTAAAATTATCTTGATAATAACTAAAGATCTAAAATTCAAAAAGGATTTCTCTTTGTCTTTTGACTAAAATTTTAATAAATTATTTTCAAAATTTTACAGTTAACTTTTGTAGATTTTCGTTGTTCTTTCGAGGATGGGCGCTATCCACTTTGAGGTTTTTTATTTCTGCTATCTTTATCAAGAGGAGTTACACATTTTCTATTCATAGAATCATTCGGAATTGAATTGCAGTTATTGAGATCTTTAGGCTTTAGAGTTCTCTTTGGTTGCTCTGTGTATTACTGCTATTATTGATTCAACACAGATAATGGCTGCTAATTAGAGGATTATAAATACGACTATTAAGGAGTTTATTGAAATTGAATATTTAGCTATTGTTGCTATTGTAGTTACTACTGTTAACCTTGCAACGAAGCATATTAATTCAAATTCTAGTAAGGCTACTACTAAGACTGTTATTAAACTTATTGTAAATAATTTTAAGGTGTTGTAGTAGATTTGGAACGTGCGTGCTTTGCTGACTGCCCTCTTTACATGTTCTGCTAGATGTATTGCTATTGAATCATTTACTATGAAACGTCGCCTTCTATTGAATTTCTAATGTTATTTTGCTTAGTAAAAACAGATGCCTTTTATGACTTGCTTTCCTATATGTTTTACTATTAAAACTACCGTTCTTTGTTTGTAATTTGATTTTATAATAGAGAGTACTTTGATTTTATTAATTTATAATTCAACTGTACTTTATATTTCTTACTTTTGTTTGTTTGTTTATTTAATTATTATTATCTTTGATTTTATTTGATTTTGATTTTATATTTTTTGTTTTTTAATTATTCCTCGTAAATCCTAAATAATAATCAGAAACATTAATAGAATAACTTTCGATTATATCCATGTATCTCTTTAACACTCTTTGATCATTTATAAATGAAATTTTCATGTAAATTTAAAATAAATTCAATTTATAGATAGATAGATATATTTGTTTGTTTATTTGTTTGATTATTTTATGAATTTAATTTTTGTTTTTTGATTGTTTTTATATTAAGCAAGCAAAGCATAATAAATAATTAACAATATTATTATAATAACTATTTTGATTAGGAAAGTTTGTTTGATATCTTTAATTTTCAAAATTGTATTAATGTTATTAAAAGCTTATATTTATTTTCTTAACTCTATATTTATTGTTTTATTTCGTTTATTATTTAACGAGCAGGTTTTTTAATTCAAATAATACAAATTTTGTCTAAATTTTAAACTTCAATTAATAAAGATGAAAATGAAATAAAATTAAATATTCATAATGCAAATTATTTTTAAAAGTGATTTTAATGAATATTAATCATCTAAATAAATAATCATAAAACACACTCAAAACAAAATTTAAAACTTAAATACGTAAAATTGAAAATGAATCACTCTCAAATACTTAATTCACTTTCTAATTAGCAATTTAAATTTTATTTAAAATATGTATTTTAATACTTTTATATTAATAAAAATATTTAGACTTATCACAACTTTTTTTATTTGCTTTCATAAAATTTTCTACAGATGCTTGAATCTGGAAGAGACTAACTTCCTTTTTAAGATTACCAATAATTTAAAGGTTAATCTACTTTTTCCCAATATTTATTGAGCGGTGTCTGGCTTATAGGTCCAACTTTCCCATCCAAACAGAGAGTAAGCCAAATAGGATGCCTTTTTCTAGTTAATTAGCTCATTTGAAAAGGTGGTATTTTATACTCACTCACAGGTTAAGGCCTTTCCTTAACATAAATCTTAACTGTAGCATTAGATTAATAAAATAATTAGTTCAGCATTTTTAGGTGCTATTTATCTTCATTCATCAGGTCAAATTCTTCAAAATCCTAAATATTTCTAAGATTTATATATTCTTAGAGATGTTCAACATAAAACAGGTATTCAAATTAGCCAATATCATCTAAAGTAATAACTTAAGATGGAAATTTTTATGAATTATATGATTTCATCCCCCCACACTCAGGTTAGTAAAAGCCAGCCTTGAAAATTTAAAAAACAAAATTATATTTAATATTTGTTAATTTATGGAAAATATTTTACTTAGCATTATAGCTAGTTTCCAAAATTGAATGTTCCACTTATTCTTAAGGATAAAATTGGTGTTGACCAAGACAAAAGAATTTTAAAAGTTTCCCTATCCTTAAATTTATAAGCTAAAGGAGCTTAAATAGGAAAAGAACTACCCCTAGATACACTCTCTGAATTAACAACTATACAATTCATCAAATAATCATCATGGTGATAATGAATAGCATATGTTTAGCCCCAAGGTAAATTGTATCTTATTTTTAACATATAATATTTTTAAAAATTATTCAAAGATTTGAAAATTTTACATAATCGACTATCCGTTTGCATCTGTAATCTGTTTACGGATTGGAAAATTTAATTTGTAGTTGATTTATTCACAATCATAAGCTTCAGGATAAACAAGAATTTCACTTTCATTTAATATATTACCGTTTTCTGCCCCAAAAGTAGTAATAACTAAATTAATCCAGTCTTTATCTCCTTACTAATAGATGGTAATTAAATCCTTTTTTTTAGTTTCTTTTTTCTCATCTTTTTTTTTCTCGTGGTGATTAAAAACGAGTTATTTTTTTAAAATTTCATTTTCTTTTTCTTCCAATTCAATTTCTTATCTATTTAAAATACTTACTCCATCAGATATAGAAGGAAATTTCAGGGATATTTCTAATATGGATTACAATTAAACCATTCCTTTGATATCACTATCTTAAATATTCTCATTAACACAAAAGTAAAGATGGTTTGTTAAAAACTTATTACAATCTTTTTATATTGCACTAAAGCAAATGCTGTCTTCTAATATCTACCCTTCTTTACCCTTTATTATTCTATAAGGGTCCCAAATTTTAAAATTATTTATCCTGACAGTTTTACTCAAAAATGTAGGAGATACAGAAAAAGAACCTTTTGTACCATTTAAGCAAACTTAATATCCTTAATTAACATTACAAGACTAAGTGGTATTCTTGCATTGTTACGATTCATTTATTTTAAATTCTATTTTAGATTCAAGGTAGTTTATAACATTTCTACAACCTTTTATTTTACTTTGAGGAATAATATCCTGATAAACTTATTTTTTTGAGCCATTCTAACTGAGGTTTAGTGCTAATTAATTTTGCTAATTCCTTGAAAGATCATAAAATTTTGTAAAAATTTAATTGTGTGATGATAAATTTGTAGAGTTTTTGCTAAATGAGATTTCAGGTCTTTTTGGAGGTACGGTGTAATCTTACAAATCCACAAAAATATAAGCTAGAGATGAAACTGAGACAAATATAAGTATAAAAAGAACAAATACAGCAAATCTGCTAGAACTCAGAGTTTTTGTTGTCAACCTGATCACCTATCTAAAAATAAAAATTAATATTTTATGTATAAACTCTTGATAATAAATTTACTTATCTTTGTATGTATATAATATTAAACAAAAAAAGAATAACACCATTGAGTTTGAACATAGAATGGTAGATAAAATTAAAAAAGTCCAAAATTAAACAGCATCAAACTATCCTATAAGTTTGCAGCAACTTACATTTAAACAGCTTCTATTATTTTTCTTTTAGCTTATTTCCTTTAGCAAGTCATCTTCCCAGACTAATCCAATATTCTCCTCCTTACAATTCATATCATAAATCTCATTTTTGAAATATTTAGTCTAAAAATACTTTTAAGGACAACCAATTGATTCTAGAAATGTTTTTGAGTAATCTCTCACATCTTAAATACAGTTACCATTCAAATGTATATATGAATTTTTTACATCCATATATATGATAAGAGATTATGCAAATAAAATACCTCCAACAACAAAGTAGATCACTGTAAACCAAACATAATAGCTTTAATTAGGTTTTTTTGATCTCGTATTGAAAAAATTATAAAACATTAAAAAAAATGTGGACAAACCAGAAATAAAACTAATTATCCCTATTTGTGTTATAAGTCTATTTTTTTATAAAGTAAATAATTAGGAAAATTTTAAAAATTTAATTAGATACCCTTGGTGTTACAGAGTCTCAACTTTTTTAACCTTTATGTAATCTTAAAGATACATATGGAATAAAAAGCACACATTAGAAACACAACAGAAAGTGCAAAAAAAGAAATTAACATTTGATGAAAAATCAAATGGATAGAGGCAGAGCCTTGTTATTTCGTAGACAATATATAAAAAATTTATAATCGATAAAAGAGTGCATAGTGTTTAGGATAACAGCAATACATATGTCATTTTTTAGCTATCATTTTCTCCAGAAAATAAATTATTAGCTTCTTCTATTGCTTTGAAATAGCCTTCAAATATTTCGTTACCTATTCAAAAAAAAAAAAATAAATAAATTGTCAGTTATTTTTGATTGTTTCTATATGTCTATATTTATATTAGTATTAATTTTACCTACTAACAAGCCACTTAAAAAAATTATTAGTATTAAACATAAGATAAAAGAGAACTTGGCAAATGATATTCCTGATATTTCAATATCACTTTCATCTTCATCCAAATTATCAAGATCTTAAAAGTCCAAAAGAGTGCTAGGTCTAATCAATTCTTGAATGCTTGTAGGATTTGAATTTTATCCTTTAAATCTTTGCTGTTGAAACATATTTTTAGATTATATATCATTATTAATTTAAATGTTTACATGTAGAAGTGATTTCGCATAAAATTCTTTATGAGTAGAGTGATTGTGTTTAGACCATGCAAGCAGAACAAATGAATAAATTAAAGTAAAAATAGAAACAATTCCTAGCCATTTTTCTGTACCAGCGTCAACCCAAGAAAAAGGAATAGCTATTTACCAAATTGATGTAAACACTAAAACTAGAGCAGACCAAGAAATGTAATCAAAGCAATGTATACGATCTGAAATAGATAATTTTTATCTATATACTCTCTTATTATTCTTGCTTTTAGATTAGGTATTATTAAAATCTTAAGTTTTATCAATACTAAAATTCATTTTTATTTAATTGGTATTTTTTAAATATTAAATAAAGATTTATTTCAATCCAAAAAACGTAATCTTATTTTATTAATTCAAATAAATATATAATATCTTAATTTTTTTTAATTAATAATTATTACTAACTAGTTTTAAAAAAATCTTTAATATTTTGAGTTAAATTAATAATTCATAACATATTAAATAAAATTATTTTCATTTTTACACTTAAGTAAAAATTTTATATCAGTTTTACTGAATTATAATTCTTGCATTCATCAATTTTAGGGGATATAAAGGATATTGGGAATACGAACCCAGTAGAATATAAGCCCATTTTGTCAAATTCACACTTGAATCTAATAAAGATAATCACAGAAACACGTGTAAATTTGTAAAAATGGGTTCGCATTCTCAATATCCTTAATATACTTTTCTCATTGTATAATTGTGATTTATGTTTATAATTAATTGTCCAATAAAAGATTAATATTAAATAACAAAAGAAAGTATGGTTTTTATTTTATTAAACTAACAATTAAGAATATGTAAGTAAGTAAAATCGCTTATTTTGATATTGTTAATTCTTATGTAGCTAAGTCAATTTTAAGGTAAAGCTATTAATAGTTTTGTTGTTGTAAATTTATTTTTAACTCTTTATTATTAGGTTAAAATATTATGTAAATACAGAATGGTGAATAGTGCTATGAAGATACATACTTTTTCAATTAGAATATTGAAATAGAAAGAAGTAGCTCTACTCATGTACTTGTCTTTATTTAAATTATATTTATACTTATTTAATTTAAAATTTTCTAAATATACACAGAATCGATTTTGTTATATATTAATAAAGGTGTATTTTTTTTTAAGTTAATATGGAATTTTACTTTTAATTTTTGTTAGTTGAATTTAATTATAAAAAAATTACATCAATTTTTCCATAAATTTGATAACTAATTTATTCAATAAATAATTAAATTTATAAGATATAAAAAATCAAAAGATAACAAGATCATCAAGAAGCTCTAAGTGAAGTAAAAATAGAAATGGACACAAAAAATAATTTGTAATAGGAAGAAGCCTTTTATGAAAAATTTGCAGTACCTCCAGCTCCAATTAAAAAAGAAGAAATTGATTATTCATATACAGAAGAGTTAAAAGCAGAGACAAGAAAAATTAAGGATTTGCTGAATTTCAAAATGACTAATTAGTTTTAAGTAAATATTTTAAGAATAGTTTAAATAAAATAAATTGTTAAAATAAAAATTTATTTCATCAAGGTATTGTAAATGATCACTCATACAAATAATCATCATAATAATAGAATCAAAGCAAATGAATTTTTAGATTATAATAGATATACTGATATTCTACCATGTAATTCTAAAAAAAATATAAAATGAAAATTAATCTAAAATTTGTTAAAATAGATAAGCATTCAGTTGTTAAAATTAGCGGAAGTACCTAAGTTGATTAATACATAAATGCTAATTACATAAATGTATAATAATCAATTTTTTATTTTGCGAATTATTGAAGTGTTTTGATTGTTTTTTATTTTTTGTTTAGAATCCCTTTAAAGATAAAGCTTATATTGCTACTCAAGGACCTATTCCAAATACAATCTCTTCTTTTTGGAGAATGATATGGGAATAAAAAACAAATTTGATTATTATGCTTTGCAAGGAATTCGTAAATAGTTTAAATTGATAATTAACTTTTTTTAAACTAATCATGTTTTATGAAAACTTAAAATAGGAATAAAATAAAGTAAGTTATATATTAGTAGATCTTTAACAGCTATATGTTTTCCATGTTTGACATAATACAATTCAGGTTAAATGTGATAAATATTGGCCAAGCCAAGGATAGATCTTATAGGAGGGAGATTTGCAAGTCCAATTTTTATCGTAGTAAAAAAATGCATAATAGAATATTATTGAAAGACAATTCATACTCAAGTATAAAAATGAATAACGTTAAGTCTCTTAAGTGCATGTATAATTATCATATTCAGGTTACTAATAAGTTTCATAAAATACATTTTATTTAAAAAAGTGGGAAGGATGGCCAGATCATGGTGTTCCTGAAAGTAGAGATTATGGAGTTTTAGAAAATTTAGTATAAAGGGTAGTAAATCAAATTGAATAGTCCAAGATTCCTGTCGTGCATTGCAGGTAATATTAGAAAAAAATATAAATAAAATTAGATATGTATACATGTATAAAAAGTGCTGGAGTTGGTAGAACTGGTACATTGTTAGCCCTCTCTAATATTTACATGACTTTGAAATATCATTAAGTTAAAAGTAAGATAGATTATTTTTTGTAATTTCTATTCATAATAAGTTTACTTTTTATTTAACGCACAGAAACTCCTATAGACTAAATAGAATTAAACGTCTTAGATATAGTTAGAAGACTTAGAGAGTAAAGAATGATCATGGTATAAATGGATAACTAATTAAACTTAGTATATGAAATTACAAAAACTTTTATCAGAAAAATGTTCAAATTTTGAGAATCAAAAATAAATAACTTACCTTTGTTAAATAATCTAAATTTTTGAATTTAATTAAAATATTTAAATTTGACTTTTTCAATAGTTCTTGAGTTAAAATATATGTAGTTATTTAATAAGTTAATTACTTAGCTATTTAGTCATTTATTTATTTTACTTATTAACTTACTTACTGATTTAGTAGTAGAATGTACTTTTAAATTATAATTTAATATTTTGGGATATATTATCAAAATTAATTAAACTATAAAATGCACATATTTTTTAATTTCGTTCTTCGAGTTTATTATTTGTTATTAAGAGATTTTCTTTCTAATTAAAATAGCGATTTAAGATATTACTAAAAATATAAAGCCACCAAACATATTTATTTGATTATTAAAAAAAAATGAAAATCATTTTTATCCTTTTCTTTAAGTATTAAATTTTACTTTTTATTCTATTTTTGATTTTATTTTATGAACTGAATAATCATTTAATAAATTTAAAATATTTACTAATTTAGTTACATAATATAGAAACTTTTAGAAATTTTATTAATTTAGAACATTTAATTAATTTTTACTTTTATTAAACAATCAACAATACTTTCTGAAATGAGGTGCATACAAAATACTTTCATACAAAACCTAATATCTTTTTTTTTATTTATAGAATCATATAAAAAACTTCAGGAACAGTATATTAAACTTATTTGAATAAATCAAATCAAAATTACAAATATCCTTTGTTAAAACTAACGTAATTAATATTTCTAATACTTTATTTTTATATTATCATATAAATCTTCATTAACAAAATTAGAAAACCTAGTTTCTTTCATGATCTCCCTGCTGAATAAGTAGAATTATATAAATTTAAACCTTAACATAGTAAAAAGTATACTGGCATACTAACAGTGGCAGGATTATTTATCTCTGTTAACATATTTTGTCTACTTGAATTAAAATATCGTGTAAGTATTATTAACAATAAATAGAGTGTTTATTTATTTATTAAAAATGCCTTTGATTTAAAAAATTGAATATATTTTAGGAAGATTTGAATTTAAGAAATCCTGGAGCAGTTAATTGTTAAGAAAAGGCTTAGATAAACTTTTTCCTTAACATGGCAAGTAAAAAAAATATTTACTTTTTCAAATTTTAATATTTTATAAATTAAAAATAGGGGTTTTCACTCACAAATTGTAAGATTTAATTTATAAATGATTTGATCTAAGAATTATTTTATTTTAAAGCCTTGTTACTAATTTCTTTTTAATAACTCCTGATTTGAAACCTTCTTCAAATATTACTGTTGAAAATGCAACCATTCCTAAATATAGGGAAAAATTAATGAAATTAAAGTAGTTCGACTTCTACAAAGAAAGAAGAGATAATCTTTTTGATTTTGCAATGATTGGAGAATAAGAAAACATTCCTATTTTCTGAATAATTTAATAAATTTTTCTTAAATTGTATTTAATTTGTATAAATTTTATATTCAAAAAATTTTGTATCTTATGTGATTAACGAAATTTTTTTTCATTAAATCATTCTTATCTTAAAAATAAAAATCCATTTTATAAAAATAATAAAAAATTAATTTTACGTTCAGCTAGCTTGATAATTTTTTATTTGTTTAACAAACTTTTTCTATTTATTTAATTTTCTATTAGGTATTATTATTTTTTATTTTTGCTTTTCTAATTATTTATTTATTTTCTTTTTATTTGAATATTTAGTTTCTTTTTTTTGTATTAGCTAAGATTTTTTATTTTTATTTCTTCATATTTAATAGATGATTAATTATTAAAAATTTTTTCAATTATTTTATAGCTCAAGATGATGTATGGAAGATAATTCTGTTTTATTTAAATTAAAAGAGTGTGGAAAAGAATTTTGTTTTTAAAATTTTTATGGTTTTAGTGCTGTTTTTGACAAGCATTCATTCTATCAAATCTAAGTTAAGTATACCATTTTAGAGTAATTTATTTGCAAAATCATGAATTAATAATCATTCCTTACAATGGGATAAAAAGGAATATGTTGATTATCATTCTTAGATTTTCAGATAAATAACTTTTATGTTAAAAACTTATAGTAGCATTTGGATTTTTATTTTAAGATTAAAAACTTATTTTTTTTAGGTATATCTTATTACTTAGTCCGAAAGGCACATATGTTCAAAAGCCTGCTTTTTTTTCTTATTTTAACAAATTATGAAAATTTTCTTAAATAAATATTATAAAAATCTTGAATTATAATAATCAATTTTTCAAAAAAAAATAAAAGAGGAAAAATCTTTAAAGTGGGGAAGATTTTTTGAATTTTTTAATTAAATAAGTAAATATTTTAAGTTAATCAAAACTAACAAGAAAAAATATAATTTAATTATTAACAAAAAAATATAAAAGAAAAAATAAAAAAAGGAAAACAAAATAATATTTCATTAAGTTCTCTTTTCTGAAATCAATAATAAGAAGTCTTAATAAGTTTTTAAATTCAAAAATCAACCCATCCACGTTTATCGTACAAGTTTTAACAAAACAGCCTGAGCATCATTTTTAATAATTATTATTTTAAATGATACCAATTGTTAAGCTTTAAGATACCTGTCACCTAAAATAAAAATTAAGACAATAATTTATTGATAATAAAATTTGTAAATATTTAATATATTAGTGAATCACTGATTTTTTATTTCTGTGATCGCGGAACTGTCAAAATTAATTCTCTTAATGAACTATTAATTGTATCCTTGAAACTTAAACTCCCTATTTATAAAAAGTATTTTTTACTAGGAATAAATGAGCTTGAGCAGAAACAAGAAATATTGAAGAAAAAGAAGAAGAAGAAAATGATGATGATGAAGCGATGAAGGAAAAAATAAAATTTAATAAATTAAAAAGAATAAATAAAATAAATAAATATAAATAAATAAACACAAATCATAAAATAAATAAATAAATAAATAAAAAAATAAATACAAATCATAAATTAAATAAATAAATAAAAATAAAAAATAAAAATATTTGCCCAAATAAAAACAAAGTAATACAAATTAATAATTGATTACAAATAAATTTTATTTAATTAATAAGAAACACATTTTTTATTCTTTTTGCATTTTTTAAATAATTTCAAGATTAAAAGATAAATAAAAAGTTTTAAATACAATTTCTTAAGAAAAAAAGCAAACGCTCAGAGTTATAATAGCAATCTGTAAACCATAAAAGAGAAATTCTGTAATTTTTTTTAAATATTGATCCCCCATGAACCTAAATCTCACATAAACAAGTTTATATTTTTCATTTTTTAATAAATACAAAAAAAATGAAGGAAAATAAATAATTTTTTATTATTTAATTTAAAAATATATAAATTGTACTAAAAAATCTAAAATAAAGATTTTAAAATTATAAAAAAATAATTTGTTTGATAGATTTAAAGCTTTTATGATTTAATGAAAAATTAATTTATTTTATTATTTTAATTATTTTAAGCTATTAAAAATTAAATTACATTTTTAAAAATATGTAAAAATTTATTTACTGAGATATTTTAATTATCACCAATCATTTACATACTATATAAATTAATTAGTTTTCTTTTTAGTTTATTTGTATAATTTATATAAAATAGTTTGCAAATTAATTATCTTTATTAATTTGATTCTAGAACAAAAATACACCAAAAATTTATTATTTTATTCTTTATGTAGTAACAATACAAAAATCATTTAAAAAATTCTTCGTTAATGGGGATGGTAATTCGAATATGAGCATAATTCGATATTTATAGGATTGGATCTCCACTTTAGAACATATTATTAGTCATATAAGATGTAATAGCAGTATTTTTGTTTGATAGCATTAATTTTTTAGGTAAAATATAGTCTAAATCTAGTAGATATATCCATTATTATAAATGAAAGTAATCTAACAGAATTTATAAGATATATTGTTTAAATATTCGCAAATGAAAATTTTTAGTGTAAATAAATTAATAATTTATTTTAATTAAGAAAATAATAAAAAAAAATAATAAAATGAATGAACTCTTCATCATACAGGCACTTAAAATTGTAATTTTTAGCATGCTATTTTATTTGCTGATAATGATAAAATAAATTGAAGGATACATAGAAAAATTTTCAAAAGTTTAATAGATTCTTTTGTTGATTTCAGGAGTATATATATCAGTATCACTGATGTAGTTATTGCCAAAATCAAGTTTTCTTTCTCGCAATTACTACTTGCAAAAACAAAATGAACTAAATACTAATCATATTAGTATATTCCCGATGGAATTTTTGATATTTTGCTTTAGCTTTGCGATTATTTTGTTTGTTGAAAAGGTAATCGGATATGATTATGAAGAATAATAAGAAGAACTGCTTGAAGATATAATAATAATGTAAGAAATGTAAGAGATAAAAAATGAATAAGAGAGTAAATATGAATTAAGTACACAAGCAAAACTCTAAGAAAATTTAATCTGCTAAAAGGTTTCAATTAAATTCATAAAATAATCAGAAATTAACTAAGAAGCTAATAATGAAAATATTGAAAACCATTTTAAATTATGCAATTTTGTATGCATAAACTTTAGTATTTTTCTACTAGGATTTTCATTAGGATATACAAATTATTTGGACCACTTTCTATTCCAGTAAATACCAGCTATATTTTACTTACCTATGATTGCTTGCATTCTCAAATTAACTCTGAAGCAGAATTCTAAACTAAATTAATTTTAAAAAGATAGGATCTATAATGCCTTTATAGCAATTATACTTTTAGGATTTATCTTTGGATTTATTCTTTCGTTCTATAGCAATTATTTAGTATAAAGTTACCTTATTGCTTTTAACTCAGGTGCCTTACTATATGTTTCTACAATGAAAATAATTCAAAAATTTTATGGCAAAGATGAAAACAAAATGGATTACTATCTTTATTTCTCAATAGGCTACTTAGGCACATCTTATTTACTTTATTGAAATATATTAATAAACTTTATATAAAATTAAATTATTAAAAAAAATATCTTAAAAAAAATTATTTGTATAAATTAAATTAAAATATATTTTTATTTATTTATTTATGGTTTTATTTTATCCTTATTTACACTTATCATTTATCCACAGCAATGAAAATAAGTAATCAAATAGAATTTATTAGGATTCTCTTTGAATTATTGATTTAAAGAAATAAATTATGATAATTTTAATTTTATTTAGATAAGAAAGATAGATATATGAAACAGATCTAATAAAACTTCTTTTTAAAAATAAACTTTTTAATTGATATAATATGAAAGGTATTTTTCAGATTTCATTACTTTCTTTCTATATTTGATAATATATTTATTTTAGCTAAACATTAAAATTTAAAGATAAAAATAAATAAAATTTATTCTTTATTTTTTATGAACTATGTTTAAATAACTTCATAGTTTACTTATTCATTTTTTCAAATTTAAAGGAGCTATTTTTAATATTGTTTTAATATTTGAAAAATTGTGAAAAATATATATTTATTTGGTTAATTTTTAAAAAACCTTTTTCAATGAAACACATTTTAAAAATTTAAGTATTTTATTTTTACCTCAAATTAATTTTATTTTTATGATTTGAGATAACTCATATAAAAAATATAAAAAGAGATATAAATTATTAATTACTGATTGCTATTTTATCATTAGCAATACAATTTTTTAAAAAGTTTGAAAAAATCATTAAATATTTCTGCCTTATGTACCTAAATTGCAATCATTATTCAAGGATTAAGGTATATGGGGATTTTGTTTTGAAGGGACAGGAGAGAACTAAGGAGTGTTAGTGTTTTCAATAATTTACAAATTCAATCTACTTGCAGAATTGTTATTTTAATTTTATGCCTCTTGATTTACTTATTTATTTTATATTGGATTAAATGATAAAAACTAATTCATAGGTGATTAATCATTCTAAGCACTCTATGAGCTCTATTAGCTCAAGTTACATATATTTTGTAATGCTTAGTTTGTTTCCTAATTGTTATTTATTAAATAACCTTTTTAAGAGTTATCTATACTCATATTTTAGTTAAGAGAAATTGTTTATTAATTTGGCTATGATCTTTAAATTATAAGTGAATGGCTGTGATGAGAATTTTAGTGATGCTATGTTACATTATTGCAAATTAATTGATTAATTTCTTATGTTTAAATTTATTGAGTAAATTATTAGTTTTACATTTGATTTTAATTGACATGAGAATAATTAGGTTAGGGATAAGATTATTACATCTACTATTATGCTTAAGATTAAGAACTATCTCTGCTTTCTGATTAAGCTAATTATGGAAGAATTCCTTGTTAGAATTAACTTTTATTAGCAGATTCTTTTTTATCATGGTGATGCTAACCTATTTCTTAACAACTCAAATCTGAATTTGAATTAATCATACTCATTCTTTACATGCATATTTACTTTTTAGTTAATTTAGTTAAAGGCTTTTATAGCTAGCATATTTCAGGTGTTTCAGATTTAATATAATTTTATTAAGCATGATCTTTTGAATGTTATGGAGTTATAGGTATATGAGCTTAATTATAACCTTGTGAATTTTAATTAAGAGTTTATGTTGCATTACTACTTGCGTTCGGAGGAGTTTAACTTTTATAAAAATATTAATTTAAGTTTTAGCTAGATTTTATCTTTGAGTGGCTTATTTAAGATTATTGGTTTGTCCCTGGTTATCCACCTATTTCATTCATAAATTAGAAACTAAAATACGAAGAGTCTTAAGAATTGGTAGCACTGTGAATAAAATTTTGTTTTACTTATTGTTAGTTATGCTTAATTGGTTTTAATGGTTGTTAAGCTACTTAACTACTAGGAGTTAAGTTGTTTGAAAAATGAAAATTATTATTTTAGGAGATTATTTATTTAGGTGTTGGTGGTTTAGAATTCATTTTATTTTATTATATTTATTGTTAAGACGATTAAGGAAAGGTTTGTTATTAAAACTATTATTATTATTATTAAGGATTAAAATGTTACTATTACTATTGTAACTGCTATTATTACTGTAAGGGATTTTAATAATAAAGTTTATCAGACTATTACATTTTATTGTTCGTTTTTGGATTTTACATAGAAATTTAAATAGATCCATGATGGGTTCTTATAGGTTAAGTTTATATTATGCTGGAATTGCTGCTGTTAATAGTGTTGGTTTTAATTTTTTCATTGTTTGAGTTCAAATTATTTTAATTTTAAATACTATTTTAAGTATTATTCAAATTTTAAGAATATGAATTAACAGCAAGTTGAGGATTTTAATTTTATTGACTGTTTTTACTTTAAATCGATTAGCTTTGCTTTTAAGATATGCTTTCATTCAGAGTTTATTTAGGAGTTGGGGTTCTGATTGGAAGATTTGTTTTTTTATTACTTATTGAAGCAGATGTTGTTGGTTCACTTGTTTACATATTCTATATAAATTATTAATTACCTATGCTTTAATTTGAAGGTGAAATTATAGCTTCTACTTGTATTTACTGCATTAAGCCTAAATTATTCTAATTTGCGGTATTTAAACTCAGGCTATTATGCAAGGAGCTTTAATGTATTTACTAACTATGAGTCTTGGAATAATTATTTCCTAAAATATTACTTGATGGGTTGTCTAGCAGCATATTACTTAATTCCATATCAATGCTGTCTTTTAGCTAAGGACTTATATGATTATCATTATCAATGTCTTTCACATTAGAAATATTAGATATATCCAACACTGAGTGGTTAGTTTGAATATTGTTGGCTTGATCACTTTAGTAAATTATAAAATTACTCTGTGACTAAATTCCTTGTTTTCCTTACAACTAAAATGCATCCTATCTATTTTAATTTTTTAGAAAAATTTTAATAAATTACAAATTTATATTTAATGTTAATAACTTTTCATACTGATTGGCGGTGAGATTCATTTAATTTGTTAACCACGCATCTCTTTAAGCAATGTGAAGTCTTTAAAGTTCAATTAACTCTTTTTATTACCTAAACTTCAAAAGTTCTTGTGTTTCATAGCTTATTTGTTCGTAATTTTATTCCTATTTACAAAATTAATAAAAATGAATAAATTAAGCGAGAAAATACTTTTTTGATTTACCCAATATTTTTTATAGTAATCAATAAAATTGTCTATTAATTTGCAAAAGTTATAATGATTTGGAGGAGATTAGCATTAATTTTTTTCAGAAAATTAAGGTGGGGTTGGAAAAATTTAGTTTTTCTATACGCTTTAAGGGATTGCAGGTGAGTTTTTTTAATTATGAGAATCTATAGAAAATAATTGTATATTTTAAGAATTTTTATTTTGTTGTTAATTATTAAAATATTGAGGGTTTGCGTTCATGAACTTAAAATTCTATGTTTGTTCTTGAATACTGTTTAATTATACAGAGTGACTAGATATGTAAGACTACTAACGACTGTGATTTTGATGAGAAGGTTCTGAAGTTTAGTGGGTTAGGTGATCATTTTTAATATTGTTTTAGGTATTGTCTAACCTAGAATAATTGTTTTGATAGTAAATTTAATTTTAAGTATATTCCTAAGGGTTGTGAGATGAAATGTGATTATATTCATCTTATCTATTATAATCATCACAATATGCATTGTAAAACACAGCATCCTCTATCTCATGATCACTATTATTATCATCATCATCATCATCTTAAATAGCTTTTGCCACTAAAATTTACTAATTTGTTGATATATTTGCCTATATCTGTTATAAACTTTGTTTCTTTTCATCAGGAGTCAAATTAAGTTAAAAATTTGATGATTTACTAGGAGATAAAGAATTTTTTTTAGCCATTTCTTCTTTCTTATTAAATTTTTTCTTCTTTGCTTAAAACTCTGAAACTAAATTCATAAACATAAAATAAGCATTATTAATATCTTTGAATAAAAGCTTACACTTTGCTACAGCATCATCTATAATGAAATTATGAAGCTTCTCTAAGTCTTAACACTCAATTTAATTTAAAGCCTCTTTTATGAGATTAGTGATCGATTCTTTGTTATATGAACCGTTGTTTATCAAATTTTTATCAACAGTGATATCAAAAGGATACAAGCTATCTATATAGTAATTAATTTTAAATTAGAAATTAAAAAAATATTAAATATATTTGAGTTACCTCTTATTTCTAAAGTAAATGCATATCTATATTATGTATCTTGACTATATTCATTAAATGCTAAAGAGTAATTTATTGTGTTTAGATATATGCCTTAGTTGATTGACATGCTACTTGTTTAAGAGCTACCGTCAGAATTACTCTTCATATTCTAAGAATCGTTTTACATAATTTACTCAGACTCCAGCTAGTTGGCATTCTGCTAATTGATAGGGTCATACTTAGAAGTTTCATATTCTTATTATTCAATATTTGTTTGACAATTGTTAAGATTGCATCCCAAATCTGGGGTTTCAGAAGCTATACTAAAATTACCACTTTCTTCATACACTTATTAATCCTAGATAAACTTAAAGCCATTGTTATTTTTAAATTAAGGAATGTCATAATTTGATGAGTTAATCTAAGAATTATTTATGCTAAATATGTCGCTTCCTTTAGGAGTTTATTGTGTTATTTTTTATTCTTTTTAAGAGATTTATCTCAAATCAACGGGAGTATCCAACTCACTTTAATCTTGTTTAAATATTTTAAAATTTTAATATGCTTTTTAAATGTTAAATCTTTCAGAGGTACTTTAAATAGATTCATTTAACTCTACTTGATTGGAAGTTGATTAATTAACTACTGAAGTATTATTAGTCATGGTATTAATTTAAATAGATTGGTTATTTTAAATACTTATTGATTAAGAATTAAAGGTATTCATTCTTGACTTGTTTCTTTGGTTTTAAGGAGTCTTGTAATTTGAATCAGTTTCTAAAGAATCAGATTGATGAACAAGCGAAGTTGTATTACTTACTTATACAAATATGTTTTCGTTTACTTATACTAAATCCTGTTGAATTTATTTTTCTTACTGCTGTTAGAGAGCTAATTATTGTTGTTTATTCACTTCATCAAAGTCATACTCAGTAACATCTATTGTAAGCTAGTTCTTCTTTTTTTTATGACTAAGGCTTGTAGTTTTTTTATCAGAAAAATTAGATTGCTTTCTTGGAATAAACATATTATCTTTTAAATTATCAGAATGTATTTCTTAACTTTAAATTTCATTATTTTAATTCTAATCTGTGCAGGGTGATGCTTCTGTATTCTTTTGACCCTTTAATTAAAACACTTAAGCAGATTCTAGAGGGCAACTGTTGCTTAATGTATAGTTCATTGGAGTGCTTGCATTACTTGCATCCAATAGTTAAACTGGATAATTATCTTCATCTTGTTCAGACATATCCAAAAATTTGTCATTAAGCAACTCCTCGGCACTTGGCCGATCTTTATAATGTGAGAGACACTTAAGTATTAAATTTTTTAGACCTTCATTCTAAATAAGATCAATTTAATAAGGCAATATACCCTATGAAACCTTTTTTATTGAATCAATAGTTAAAAAATTGATTGTATTGAGATAAATTAAATTAAATAATTAATTACTTTCTTGTAAACTTAAGCTGCCGATGTGCACTCTTTGTAAGGAGTGGAAAGAGTAGCCATTTCTAAAACACACATACCAAATGAGTAAATATCTACAGGAGTACCATATTTTTCTTCATAAATTTCAGGAGCCATAAATTCAGGGGTACCAATTACACTCTTAGTATGAGAAGAGTTTTTTAAGCTTACAGCTAATCCTAAGTCACCTATTCTTATTTCGTTGTTTGTGGTACTGATAAAAACATTCTCACATTTGATATCTCTATGAATGATAGGATATGGCTTTTGCTCATGCAAATATACCAAACCTTTTAATATTTATCGGCACCAATTTTTTATAATTTTTAATCTTGGCTTTTTGATCTTCTTTAAATGCCTATTAAATTTCATTATAAAAAAAATTATTGCTTGCATATTATAACAAAAAAAAAATGAATAAAAACAATGTAATAAGATGAAAAATATGCTAAAATTTGTTTGTATTTCAGTTAATTTTGATTATTTTTACTTTTTCAAGGAGCCTCCTGAAACACATTCAGTAATAAAAATAACTTCATTTTTACTCTTATTTATCCATGCATTTATGAAGTTAATAATATTTGGGTGATGTAGATTTTTTAGTAATTAAATTTCCTCCGATATCCTCTTTCTTTCATCTATTAAAAAAATTTTTAATCTTAAAAATTAAGTAATAAAACGTTTTAATGGTATATTTAAAATCGAATACTTCTAGTATAAAACTTGTAAAAGCATTAGATATATTAATATGTAAAAAATAATTAATATAGTACCAAAATACTAAAATAAATATAAAGTATTTACTCAGAGGTAATCTTTGTAGTTTTATAACATTCCATGCTACTTCACAACCAGAGTCGTTATCATAAGCACGATAGACAGTTTTATAAGCTCCAAAACCAAGTTCTTCATTAAACTTTATAGAAATTTCAAAAATAAAAAAATTTTTTTTAAATGTAAGATGAACATGATATAATTGTTGTTAAAATTATTACTCTTATGAATCTTCCTTTTGGGCTTGTTTCTGCTATTCTGTCTTTGTAATCATTATCTTCATTCTCATCTCTATCAGAATAGTCACTCTTTAAATTAAATTAAGTTGTAAAGTGTATGAAAAAACACGAAATATTTTCAAATTTTGAATTAAAAAATATGTTGATATTTATATACCTAATGCATATATAAATATATTTAATTTACGTTGCTTTTTCTAGGAGATTCAGCCATGTATATACTTATTTTTTGTATTTTTATTTTATTGAATGAAGCTAGTTGAACAAATAAATAAAGTATTGTGAGATTTACAACAGAAATCTAAAACTTTTTGACTGCTTATATCTATTTAGAGTAGGCAACTATCTAAAACTATGATAATCTGCTATAAGATTTATTTTTCTGAGCTAATAGAAAAATAATTTTTTAAATTCCAGAGAATTTTTAACTTTTACTTTAGTTTAAATTGTAAAGATGATAATTCTTTTAATGATTGATTATTCTTTTTTCTAACAATTTGAATAATTAAAATATCTAAAATATTATCAAAATTTAATGAATCAATCAATCAATAAATAATTGATTGATTGAAAAATAGATAAATAGATAGATTGCTATTAATTAAAACATTAAAGTATTTCCAATTCAATAATAATTGAGCCTTTATTAAGAATTCGGTAAGTAATGATTTTTGATAAATTAGAGGATATAAATAACTTTGCAATTAAATCTAAGTCATTCAATTTAAATCTCATACAAAAAATTATTAAAAGCAAAAAAAAACTAGCATAACTAAAAATATTCTGCTATTTATTATTCATTAAACTTAAAAAAATATTCAACCAAAATAATAAATTAATTGCTTACTTAGTATTTCTTTTCTTATATAGAAATTAAATAAAATTTTTTATAATAGACATAAACTAAACTTATAATATATTGAATTATATCAATAGCTTCATGAGCTTTATAAAATAATATACTAAAATATTAAAATTAAATCAGAAACACAAGCTTTTAAAATTACGTTATTTCATCTAATTTTACAAATGTTTAATACAATAGTTAATTTCGTTGGCAAGTTTTAATATATTTGCTTGAATTTTTAAAGTTATAATATTTTTATAATAAAATTTATGTTTATATAAAATAAGAAAGTAAAAGGCTTTTTTAATTATGTTTCTCAGTCTTACTAGACCTTATTCTCCCCGTCTTGTTTTTTAGTTGTATTAACACTTAAGGTGCAACCAGATTTCCCTTCCTAAGATTCGCTTGTAAGCTAGTTAGCTCCTATTTTTTACAATTCTCTTTCAATTATTATTTTCATGTATTTGTACAAATATCCATATTATTCAGAATGATGGACCATACCCCATCTTTGCTCCCTTAGCCTTCTAACAATACCAAATATACTTATAGTACATTTTTTTAATTGTTCGTTTTCATGGAAGTTTGTTACTATTTTAAAATTTAATTTTTTTTAAAAATGTCATATTATTTTTAAAAGCTAATAAATTTATTACTGCCTTGCATCACAGCATTCTTTATAGTTGGAAGATGATGTCTTAAATTTAAAACCAAATTTACTAGTGATATTAAAGTACCAGTTCTACCAACACCAGCACTATGAATTATTAAAAAAAATGAATATAATACTAAATAAAGTAATAAATATTAAGTAGTCTTACCTACAATGAACTATGGATTTTCTATTTTATTAGTATTCAGAGAGCATGATATCAATCAATTCATCAATAATATTTATACTATTTTCATCTGGTATACCATGATCTTTCCATTCTGACCACTTTTATTATCATAAAAAGGATTAAAAATTTATTTTAAATTGAATTGAATTACTTAATATTGATATATAACTCTTGTTTCATTATGCTTTGTAAGAGTCATCTTTCTTTTGTAAAGAGAATTGAAGTGAATTTCTTCATCTTCAAAATTTACAGAGAGCTTACCATATTATTATGTTACTCCAACTCCTGAAGGCCAATATTAGTCACATTAAACTTTATCATTCTCCTGATTATTTATATAAAAAAGAATTTATCTATGTATTTTTTTATTTTGATTTGAATGTAATTAATTACTCTCAGGTTACAAAGCATCATTATACATTAAACATTTTCACTCCAAACCATTTTCCAGAATTGATTAAATGTTTCTGGTAAAGGGCCTTATGTTGCAATAAATTTTCTTTCTCCGTTGCCTTTATGTACAGACTTGTATATTTAAGTAAATAAATAAATAAATTACTTATATTTCTTTTATGTTGTTTGTAGGTACAATAAAAAAATAAATAATTAATTGATAAATAAATATCTAATTTACATTTATAAAAGAAGCGTTTATATATGGGCATTCGTCGTCAGATTCTTCCTCAAGCTTTACTTCTGTGCGCTTATCTTAAATTATTTGGTTTAAATAAGAAATTTTAAAAAAATTTACAAGATAATTGAAATAAATGCATGAATTTATTTATTTATTTATTACTATTTTTTTTTTGTAATATTGAATAATTTATCTGATTTGGTTGTTGGATTTAAAATTTAATAAATTCTAAAATTGAAATGGTTGATTAATAATGATATTTTACATGGAAGTATATTATTATATCTGTTTAGTTTATTAAGCTTAGGTTCATAATCTTTAAGCTCTTCATTGTGAAATTAAGTTTCTGTGATTCTTCTTATTAACTATGAAAAAAATTTGATAAATAAGTTTGAAATTTTAAAAAACTTAAAGATTAATGAAAAGAAAAAATTATCAGAAAGAATATTTTTTAACAATTATGATTCTTTTAAAATGTTTTCTTTTAATAGAGGGAAATTAAAATTATTTCTTTAATTTAAACTTAAATATTGATTATTACCCTAAATTCCATATCAGGATTTCTTTTAGAGATTTTATCTGCAAACTCTAAAATATTGATTCCTTGCTCAATCAATTATATATCACTCATTTTAACTACCCAATTATAAGAAATATCGCTTTTTTAGTCATCTGACCACGAACCTTCAACTAATTCTGATTCCTCAGCCATTAAATTCTAATTTGATTTCTTTTTTTAATTTTATAAATTCTATTTTTGCTTTTAATAACCTTTATTTTTCTAAATTTTAATTCTTTCAACTCAATTATTATAAATTAGTTTTTTCTTTCTTATATGATAAATAAACAATCGGATTAACCTTTACATGTATACAATTAGATGTTCTTTGTTTTTTTTCTCTGAATTATCATCAAAAACTAATTAATTAAGGATCTAACTCAATAAAATAAGTTAAATATAATGAAAAAAAGCTTGCAAAATAATTATTAAATGAATTTTACTCATTATAATAAAATACTCTCAAAAGCAAACAAAAGACTTACTTAAAAAATAGAAGCTCTTTATACGGTTATCATATTTGAACAAACGGCTGATAAAGTTAATTCGGAACGTATTTTATTATTTGGTATATAATAGTTCATTCACTAATTTTAAGAAAGATTCGAGACATATGAAGAATTACAACAGAAAATATTTCTATATTTTTTTCATTTTTATACAAGGAATTTTATGAATAAATTATTCAAAAGATTAGAGTTATCTAAATTTAGTTTTACTGATCAAATAAACATACAATACTAAAAATAAAAGATAAAATTATTTTTCATAAAAAAATTTAATAAATAGATAATCATTTTTAAAACATTATTCTTTACTTTACATTGTGGAAGAATCGATAAGCTAATTTTGAATGATTCATAATTATTAAAAATAATAGAAATATTTTAATAATAATTTTTCTATTTTAAACTCTCAGATACCTCAAGAATTTCTTTTGGTTTTTAGTACATATAACCACCAATCTATCAATATAAAGCTAGAATATTAATTATTTCAAATGTTATATTATTTATTCATAAAAATATTATTTAATAGTTTTTTTATTTAATACTTTTTGAATTAAGTGACATATAACAATTTTTATCACTTCATATCAAAAAATAATTAATTGATTTAGTTTTTACATAAAATTTAATTTGTGAAATTAATTTATGAAATAAAAGTTCATTAAGACTTGATCAATAAATAAATGACAAAATCAAGAATTTAGAATAAAGATCACAATTATTGAACGTTATTATCGAGAATCAATACAAAGTTATAGTTGAATCGATTTAATTAAATCTGTTAAAAATTTATTTTATTTGAAGAAAGAAGTATTTTATTAGTTTTATATATATAAAATTAGTGTTTATTGTACTTAATCATTGTTATTTCCATTGATTTTGGTAGTTGTAATTTTAGTAACCTTACTGCATTTAATAGTAAGGATAGTAGCCTTAGTAACCCATTTAGCCAACTTATCCCATTTAATTCATTTAGTTAAGAGCTTGGTATTTATTTTTATCCACAACTACTTCATTAGGGTTTTTATTAGCATTTACTTGTGTATTAAAAGCTTAGTTAATAGCTGTAAATTACTAGGTGTTTTAGATATTATTATTATTTGTGCTGCTATTACTGTTATTTTAATACAATTCCATTAAACTTACGGGTTTATTTTAAGCTTGCTATTGCTAAGTATTGCTATTATTATTGTTGGATTGTGGGTTTGAGTTAATGAGTCCAGTTTAGTTTTGTGTCAATTATCCGTTTAGTTGATAATTTGTCTTATTAGCACTTTAAATTAAAAAGATTAAAAATGTATTTAATTTTGAAACAAATAATTGAATTAATTATTTACTTTGGATTTACTTAATTGCTCAAATTTTGTTACATGTGTGGTTAATACTAATTTGTATATCCAGGAAATGAATTTTATTTATAATGGTTTCCATTCTAGTATAAAGCATTCAAGTTAGAACCATTTGAGTTTGCTTGAGTGCCATTAATTGGAGCACTATTTTACTTCTTTTCATAAAAATCTAATAAACTATTTCCATTTATATTTATTTAAGGATTTTATTATGCATTTTAAGGTTGTTGTTGATTATTTGATAAATTAGCAGGTGCTGATGTGAAACCAGTAAAATCTTCATTATCTAATTTCATATTATCATCAAAATCTAATAAATCTGCAGTCTTACTTGGTTGGCATGTTGGAGAAGTTACAGAATTAAAATCTTATTTTCCATTTTGCTTTTATTCTTTCATTTCCTTTATAACTTAATTTTTATGTTCTTCTGTAGATGGTCCATTTGATTTAAATTTTTTTTTACCTTCATCAATTTATTGAGTTTTTGGATCCAAGTAATGTTCATCTTAATTATCTTATACAGGTCTCCTATTAATAGAATAAAATAATTTTAAAGATTAAATAATCGTTGCAATATATGATATACTCTACAAAAAAAAGAGTAAAAAAATCATGAATAAATCAATTTAGTAAATTGATATTTTTTTTATATTGCAAAGAATAATAAACATTTTTTTACTCTAATATTCCCTTTTCTCTATTTTTTAAAAACACAGTCACAGGGTTGATAGCTTTAGGATTGCAGTAAAGTTTGCGTACATATTTTTCAGTAACGAAGCGCACTCTTTCATCAGGCTATGCATTGAATGTGATTCTACGAGGAGGTTTTTTAAATTCCCAGTAAGAGTTTGCAATTGCATTGCCAACATAATCCATAATTTAGTAGTTAGCGTGATTCCAGCTATCGATCTTAGTTGAGTAAACTCTTGTAACAGACCTACTTAAGTGTCTATGGGCGCCTATTTTATAAATTAAAATCTTAAAATCCAAATTATCTATGAGGGCAAGAAATATGTTTCTCATCTCCAACTATTGTAAAATAAGAGTTGCTTAAGTTAAATCTTATTGTGCAATCCTTATTAGTAATATATCTATCTAGTAAGCGAATATGAAGAAACTATTCATTTTTCTTCACAAAAAGAGAAAGATATATTTTTACATCTTAAAATTTTCTTTTTATGACTTATTTAACAATATGTCCTTGAATTTAGGCAAAAAAAAAGAAAGGATAATGCATACCTGAACAATTCATGCAAACAAATACACCAAAATCTAAAGATACCCAAGTTGGAGCTTTAGTGTGACAATCAGCGCATATTTAGTTTTCTTCTCTCTTTAAGAGTATATTGAATAGTTTTTCTTATTTTACCTCACTTAATATTTCTCCAGCCATACTCATTTTTTTAATATTTGAAGGTCTATAATCTATTGTGCCTTTTATTTGGAGCTTTTACTGTTGCTAAAGCTTGAAGTTTCTCTTTTCCTTTTGAAAATTTTTTAAAAAGATTGATTAATTCCAATATTTTTTTTTTTAATAAATTGTAAAAAGTTATTTGTTAGAGCTTTTATAGGTAATTTATAGTTTATGCGCATCCTATACAAGGTGATATTTTTCTGATATGCAACAAATTAAATTCATGCAAATTTATTGGGATATATATACATGCAAGAAAAAAAAACTAAAAAAACATAATCATCAAGCAAGCTCAAATAAAATAAAGTCTTGATATTATTTATTCTTTCTTTTCTATTTTTGTTTCTAACTTATCAATTACCAGAATCGTGGATAATTATTTCCTTAGCATTCAATTTTAACTCCTTCTTTATTTTTTAGTTCCATTTATGAATTTTTGTTTGTATTATTCATTTTTATTTTGCAATTATTAGATAAATTTATAGATTAATTTTATTTTATTCACAAAATTCTGAAACACTTCTTATAAAATTGGAATAAAAAAGTATTATTTTCATCATCTTCATCATCAAGAAAAAAATATTTCTATTTTTTTGGTTAAACTCATGTATTAGTTTTTTAAATATCTACAATCAAATTATGAATTTTTAACCATAAAAAACTGTGTCAAATAACATTAATTTTAAATATAAAAAATATTAATTTATCTCCATTTAAAATATAATAAATTTTTATCGTATGAATAATTTTGAATATAAATTAGAATTTTAAGGATGTTAGTTTTTTATATGATGTCCATAGTGTCAATACTTACACCTTTGAGTGTTTAGGCTAAAAATTTTATCTGAATTAGCATTATTTATTCCATTTACAAAATAATATTTTTTAGTTGTTTTATTTTTAATAACACCAATTAAGATTTAGTATATTTTCAATTAATATTCAAAATGCAGACAAACCAAATGAAAAAATACTCCTTAAATGAGGATGTTATTAATTACTATATGAAACTAGCAATAGAATAAGTAACTAAATGAGTTTTTTGGTAATTAATTTTATATCTTTTAATATTTAGAGCAAGATAGCAACTGATAAACTAGAAGTAGCTGTTGGTTGCGTTATGGTTAAATTTACAAATAATAATTAAGATCATGAAATAGTAGCATAATCTCACAACAAAACTAATCAGTATGGAAATGTATGAAAATTAAGTCTCATTCAATTTTGAATGCTCATGAAAAGCATATATATAATATATTATCTTTATTCAATACTGGATAATTTTTAAAATAACTAACTAAAAAGGCAACTCTACATTGTGAAATTAATTGCATAAATGAGATATTAGATAAATATGGTTAAAATGTAAAGCTAATTCTCTTTTAGTATTTAAATCTTAGATTTTTTCAAAAAAATAAAAAGTATGATGAGTAATAAATATTTAAGCAAATAACGCTTTTTGTAACATGTGAACCATGTATCATGTGTGCTTATTCTTTATCTTTGATGGGTATTCATTTTTTATTTTTTGCTTGAAAATTTTCTGAAGAAACATACAAAATAAAATAAAAATTATAATTTTACTCACTACAATTTAATTACAGAAAAATACTTTGTATTAAAAATTGATAAAAATGTATTAGGTATAAAAGAGGTTTATTTTGGATGCTATAATGAAAAATTTGGAGGAAACGGAACAATATTAGATTTGAATACGGCCAATTATGGAGCCAATACATATCCATCATATGGTAGGGTGATTCTTATAACTTAAAAAATATTGAGAATACTAATATTTCAATGCCTGAATTTATGTTTTTTATTTTAAAAAAGGAGGATTTTTAGAGGAAGAATGTAAGTAAGTTTTAAAATAATTCTATGAGAAAGGAAACCTAAACTTAGACGAAGATAAAAGACATAGAAGAAAAAAAAAAGAAGATAAAGATGAATCAGTTTCAAGCTGAAAAAAAATAATTAATCTAACCTAAATTGCAAATAAGAACAAACAAATTAACTTATTATTAAAAAAATCAAATTAACAAAAGTTTATAATTTTTGTTTTTATGTTTGTTGTGTATTTATTTAATTAAATCAACTAAAATTTTAATTTTTAATAAAAATAAACGAATTGTTCTTTGAGTATGAGTAAAAATGAGTCAAGTAATTTTCACTAAGAAAATACAAACAATAATTGTAATACAAATGATGTGAACCATTTAAGATACATTATGGGAAGATAGATATTAAAAAAATATTCTGCAAAATTTTTAAGCGTTTTGAGGTCTAAAATGCTTTAAAAAATGAGCAAATAACAATTTGAAATACTCAATGATAAATCACATAGATTAGAGGATTTTGAATCAAAATAATCAACCCCATTTTTAAATAAATGGAGCTAAAATAAGCAATATACCAATTTAAATAGCTTGATTTGTTTATCTTTGTAAATTCCGCTGTTTTCCACAGAAAGCAATACAATATTTATTTTAAATGGGATAGAAACTGCGCTATTTTATGTTTTAGGGTTTTATTTTTCTACTTTATCTTGCTTCTAAACATAGGGATAAGCTCCCTAGTTTATAGATAAAATGAATTTAGTTTTTATAATAATTTAACTTATTTAATTAGCCATATAATTTAACTCAGGGATATATAGAGAGGGTAAGTATATAAGTGATAGATTTTAAATTCTAAAAAACTGCTTAACAAGCTATATTTTTTATTCTAGGATTTCAATCATTGCTATATTTTTGCATATCGAAATCAGCTACTAGTAGAATTTTATCTATTTGTTTATAATAATAGCTCACTCTTATTCTATCTTTTGCTTCTTATCTAAGCTTTAGGAAAAGGTTGTTTAGTTCTAAATTCTTAAAAAAATAACATCTCTCATCCTGCTAATTAATTATGCCTTTTGTATTGCACATGTTGCTTCATTAATGTGGGTTTACATTGGTATAGCTGAATCTTAGGCATAACAAAAATCGTGGATTGCATAGTTTTTAAAGATAGATGAGAATAATATTGAATAGAATAAATTTGAAATTTATATTGCTAGTCTTCACTACATTATAGTAACTATGGTGACAGTAGGTTATGGAGATATTTATCCTACTACTTCGAATGAAAGACTTTTAAATATTTTAGTCATGATAACTTCATCTTTTGTGTTTGCTTATATTGTTAACTCAGTTGGACAAATCCTTTCTGAAATTCATAACTCAAAAAAAGAAATTGAAAATAAAAAATCAATAATAAAAGCTTATATGAAAAAAAAGAATGTTTCAATTGAACTGCAACAGAAAATTCTACAATATTTGTATTATGTAAATTTTAAAATATATTTTTAAATCAATACAAAAACAAAATTTGTTAATAACTGTAAATAGTTTTGGATAAAATCAAAAAACAGTAAATGCAATGAAGAGTAGTTAATTATTAACGAGCTTTCAGATGAACTAAAGCAAACTTTATTAATGGAAGCAAATAAATTAATTGTTTAAGACTATATCCTTTTCAGCTAGAATTTCTCTGAACAATTCCTTTAAAAAGTTGTGTAAATTATTTAAGAAAAAAACTTTTGTCCATTCTAGTAAATTTTTAGTGTAGGAGAGAAAAATACCTCTATTTACTTTGTAGAGGAAGGTAAAATAATTAAATAGATATAATACAAATCCTTTATTAACGTTTTATTTTGATATAGGCTCAGCAGAGAAGTATATAGATCTCTATGAACCCGTTTCACTAAATAAGAAGGGAATTCATATTATATAAACTTTAGAAAAAGGGATGTTTTTTGGAGTATAAGAATTTTTTACTGGGAAATAAAGATTATTTAATGTCAGAAGTAAAGATTTTTGTACACTCTTATGTATTGATAGGGAAGATTTTATGCATTTGCTCAAAGACTTCAGTAAAGACTTTGAAAGATTTTGTGATATAAGAGACACTTTGATATTTAATCCAGAGAAGAGTGATGTCAAATTAGAATGCTATGGTTGCTAATAGCTTAATCATCTGATTGAAAACTGTCCATATGTACATTATATACCTGATTAATAAAAAGTGATTTTAAAAAATGGATATAATTATGTTGAGAACAAAAGATCAATTTTTAGAAGAAAAAAATTAAAAATGACCAAAAATAATACGTTTCACAATATTTTATAAATTTAGATTGATTAAAATAAGTTTCAAATTTCAAGAAATGACATCATAGAATAATATATGGCTGATAATATTTAATTTGATGATGATAGTGAATAAGGCAGTGATAATAATAGCAACAAAGAAGACGATCAAGCTGAAAATTTTGCAACTTCTATTAGAGAAATTTAAAAACTTGAAGACAGGAATACAATCTTTCTTAATAGCCCTTGCTAAAGAGATGAAGTTTTTGCAGCTAATATGAACTAATCCTTAGATAAGTATGACTCATATGAAAGATTGAAATCTGGTCAAAGTTAAATTAAAGACATTCCTCAAAATTTTTCATAAAGTTTGGTTAAGAGATAAATTTCATAGTTGTTTTATGAAAATTAAGATGATCATAGAGAAAAGAATAGAAAATCTACTTTTGTTAATTCCTAATCCAATTAAATAAATTTAGCCCCATTAACTCCTGGTATTAATAGATCTAAATCAAGGTCAAACTAAAATATAGAACCAGAAATGTTTAATGAAGGATAATCACTTCATTAAGTAAGCAGCCCTCATAAAATTTCTCTACCATCTATCACAGAACTTAATTCTAGTTAAAATATTAATTAAATCGAACAAGTATAAAAAGAAAGAAATAATACATATATCTCAAAAAATCAGCCTCCAGCTCAATATTAATCTACTGCAAATGGAAGTGGAAATTCTCTCAGTTTTAATAAAAAAATTAATGAGAATTTAAAGAGAAATAGTATTGATACCATGAAGACCTCTTTTATAAACTAAAATAAGTAATTCTTTTTAAGAAATCAAAAGAATAGAAATATGAGCAAGATTTTATTTTAGCAAGTCGAGCAACATATTTAGAAGCTTTAAGAATAATTTATATAAACTTAGCTTTAAAACAAGACTATATATCAGTAGGAGAATTATTTGATATATTTTGATTTGGTTAAGTCATTTACTAACTATAAACCGTAATATAATGTTGCCGAGGTATTGAAGAATTATAGAATCTTGCAGCTTAAAAGCTTAAGTAAAAAACAATTTTTGAAAATAAATATTTGAGTAATCCATTTTTTTTATAGATTTAGATATTTTTAAATTTTAGCCCAGTCTTTAACCTGATGAACAGAAAAATATTAGTAGAAGTTTTAGTAATTTAAAAAAGAGAAGGCAATCTAAAGGTTTGGCATAAAATTAAGGCAAATAATTACTTAAAAAATATAACATTTAATAAGATGAGATTGATGCAAGTTAGTAATCATATCTCAAAGATTCAATTTAAAAAAAGCCTGGTTTCTCAGATTTTATTTTCAAAATTTAAAGTGCTTCATTTTTGGATACATTAACGAATAAAAACAATAAATATCAAAGTCCATTAATTATAGGCAGACCTGAATAAAATCAAAATAGTGGATTAGAAAATAAATTTTATAATAATGAAAAGGAGGAATTTATTGTTGATACTCCTAAAAGTTCTGTTCATTCATTAAAGTATTTGCCATAGTATAAAAATTTTGAAATATCAAAGAAAAGTTAATTTCATGATAATTCTAACACAAATCAAAATAGTGATATCTATGGCTATAGAGATAGAAGTGATTCAGAAATTATCAAAGAAATAGATATAAGCAGTATACACTATTGAGATGTATGAAATAAATTTCTAATTAACGAATATAAAATATATAATTAATAAAATAAATAATAAATTATTTTATTTTAATATTACACACTTACTAACTACCTTATCTATTTTTATATAAGTTTAAGTATTCAATTGATAATAATTAGTTGAAGAAATAATTAAAGAATAATAAATTTAAAATTCAAATACAAATGAAGTAAAGATATTAGGTAATTGAGCTATCTAAAAATTAAACTAACTAACTACATATATTAATTTTATACATTTTAGGATTAAAGACATTTTAATTTCTTGAGAAAATAATTAAAGAAAAAAAAATTAAAATGATAAATAGAGTAAATATAATATATAAGTGAGTGATTTAAAAACTAAACAAGCTGATTACTAACTTTATAATTTATTATTTTCATTTAGTATTATTTTTTTTAATTTCTTGAAGAAATAATTAAAGAATATAAGAATAAAAAATTTTAATTTTAAACGGAGTTTAGATAATAAATAAATGAGTGATTTAATAATTAAACTAGCCAAATTACTAACTTTATAATTTATTATTCTCATTTTAGTATCTAATTTTTTAAAAATTCTAGATGAAATAAATATAAAAATATAAATTTAAATATTAAATGGAGTTTAGATAATAAATAAATGAGTGATTTAAAAAATAAACTATCTTATTCCTAAGTTTGTAATTTATTTTTACATTTTAGTATCTAATTTACTGTAATTTTTTTGAGGAAATAATTAAAGAGTATAAAAATATATAATTAAAATGATAAATGGAATATAGATGGATAATAAATAAATAGATAAATGAGTGAATTAAAAATTAAACTAATTAACTACCAATATTTATTTTATACATTTTACTATCTAATTTTTTATTCAAATTAAATATATTTTTGCTTTGTTTAAATATTATTTTATAAATTATGTATGAGCAAGCATAATCTTTAATCTTATAAAATGCTTTGCATGATTGATTTATTGATCGATACTTTTATGAAAGAAAATCAACAAAAAAGTAATATCTGAGCACCTATTGTAATAAATTTTAACAAATTAGTTCAACTTTTTCATTCAATATTTTCTCTGTATTTTTAAATTTCCCCATTTTCCTTAAGCTTTTCGTATTATTCGTAGTAGTCTTGCAAAATCTTAAACTTAAATTGAAGAGGCTTAGTAGGATCGTAAATTACCTTAGTATCTTATTACTTAGGAGTAGGCCATACCTATTCTCTTTCAGCTTCACTTTCAGTAACTCCTCTTTCAACATGCTTCATTCTGTAATTTCTAAAAGTTCTATCTTATAATTCCTAAGTTAATTATCTTAATGCCTCCAAAGTTATGAAAACTCTATCGTTTGTTAACACCTTTAACACACTTAATTCCTATTAAATTAATTTGACAAAATATTAACTTGCTTTGCTAATGAGTTTTAATCTTAAATTTTACATTTGGATAGCAAGATTGCAACTTTTAAATATTTTGATGAGCTAATTCGAAGTTTGTATCAATTTGGTAGGGATGTACTATTAAAATTCTGGAGCGCTTATCCATTTTTTCTAACATTTTAGCAATAGCTCTTGTTTTTGGTTCATCAACTTACTCAGTTTCAATTATACGAAGCTTACCTTCAGCTAATTTAGCACTTAAAACAACCTTCAAAGCTTTTTTTATTAGAAGATTCTTTAATAAAATATTTCACAAAATAAATATTTGATTTGTTTTAAAAGATCAAATTTAATTTAAATTTCTCCTTAATTCTACTAAATAAATAAAATATTTAAATTATTATTGCATATTTATTCAAGTTACCTTATAATCTAATCTTTTTGTTAAGAGGATATCTTAAAATTCTGGGTTTAGCACCGTGAGCCTTACCACCTTTCTTTCTACCAGGGGCACGCTAAATAATTAAAAAAATACATTGAATTACACTAAATCAAAATTTAGAGTTAATTTTTTAAAATTCAATATGTATTTACCTTATTACCCATACGAGCTTTACCAGTACCTTTTTGTGCATAAGGTTTCTTGCCAGAACCTGAAACAGTTCCTTTGGTTTTTGTTATATGTGTTTTGATTTCATCTCTATTTTGACGCCATAATACATAAGAATGAACTATATCTCTACGTAAAGGAACGTTGAATATATCGTGATCCAAATCTTTTTAAATAAATAAAATAGAAAATTATTAATTGCTTGGTATTAACAACTAGAAATTATCTAAAGGAGTAAATTTTTATTTTTTTTTCTGCAATTTTTCATTAACTGAGATAAATTTTTCTAATATTTGTACATATTAAACTCCTAATGTATATTTTGTTTGAATTGAAATAATCATTTGCTTACCTACAGTTTTTCCAGTGTAAGCTTATCCATTTTCTGCCAAAAATTTCAAAACAGGAACACGTAAAGGCTAAGTTTTTTCGAAAGCTTTTAATTTATAAAAAAGTATTAATATCTTGATATAATCTGCAATTTTAAAATATTGAAAAATTCTAGTTTTACGAGATTGAGACCACCATTGTTTAACTAAAATTTCATCAGGTTTACGAACTAAGATAGGCATTTTTCCAGGCTACTCATTAATTTTTAGCTCATATTTTACTGGCTTAATAGAATAATTTGTAATTGAAAAAGCTCTCTTCACTTAGCTTAAACATGAAAGAGATTTAAAAGTTCTTTATAATAAAAACATTTGAAATTGATATGGATATTTCTTATGCTTTCCTCTTTTTTCTTTTTCTTTCTATTGATATTTTTCTCTCTTTCTTGTTGTTATTGCACTAAATTAAAAGGAGAAGATATTATATTGATAATAATTAATTATGATAATAGTGCTCAAATTAAATGAGCTTTCATTATATTTCTTTTAATTCACATTCAATTCCAATATAACAGTGATCTTTTCAATTTATTCATTTATTTTTTTTCATTGATTCTTTTTTATTCATTTTAGGATTTTTGACAATGAAAAAATAGCCGTAAAATAAAATTATATGCTTTAAATTGAGTTATATTTAAAAAAGGAATTTATTATCTTTTTAATTTTAATTTTAATAATTAATTAATTATTTTTCTATTTTAAATATCCTAAAATATAATGTTTTAATATAAAATGCTTTTATAAATTCAATAAAATTATATCTTTATTTTACCATTTTATTCAAATACAATTCAAATTATTTTTACTAAAATTTATTAATTTAAATTAAAAATTTTTTTCAAAAATAAAATTTTTAGATAGAAATAATCAGTTTATTTTTTTTGAAAGAAAATAATTGTTTTTTTTTATTAAAATATTTACTAATATTGAAGTCTGCTTACATAAACATTAAATACTAGATATTTAACTAAAAAATTTCATGGTAATTATAAAATTTTTGATCTAAATATCTTATTAGATTTGTAAATTTTAATTAAAAAAATAGGTTAAATATGATGAAAATATATAACAAATTTTCTAAAAAATTGTATACAGCACTCAATTTCAATTTTTCAGATGAAGTCTCTTGTTCAAAAAGAAAATGGTTACATTTAGGATAAGAAGAAAATGCAGAGAGCCATTAAAAGAAAGAACTTAGAATAATGTAATACAATGTATTAGCTCCTTGCTATACTTACCCTAATTTGTATCCTGATTGCACAAAACAAGATTTGGAATGGAATGCGAGATTAGATTTGTTAATAAAGTAAATATTAATGTTTAAAAATTGATTTTAATCAAAATTTACTGTTAGAAATTACAAGCTTTAATAGTTATTTTTTCCAATATTACCATTTTAAAAAAAAATAATTATAATAATAGAGAAATTAAATTTGTGGATCCTACTATTCTTTGCCTGCAAGAAACTTAGTTAGTAAATAATATTTACATTGGAGATTATAAATTCATTATTATTAACAGTGGGTGATATTATTTTTAAATTAATAGGATACTCTTTATGATTTAAATGATAAGCTAAGAGAGATTTTTGATGTATCTGTAAATCTTACATGATAACTTGCTATTCATCTAATGAATTAGCTTACTAATTTAACTAATTTATACTTATTATTATTAAAAGGTCATTCATAGATTAAAAGGAAAATCGAAAAAAGATGGATGTACAACCATTTTTAAGAAAGAAGAGTATTTATATTTCAATTTGAATTGATTTAATTTGAATAAAATTGAACTAGAATTATATTTTAGCTTATTTAATTTTTATCAAACAGATATGAAGAAATTTATTCAGTAAAACTTGATTTAGATTAATCTAGTAGTATTTATAGCGAATTATAGTGGATTAACTGTGAAAATATATGCTTATTTACACTTTTAAAAGATAAAAAGAAACCTAATTCATTTATTTTAATTGGAAACACTCATTTCATATATTCACCTTAAATGGGTTTAGTTAAGCTGGGATAGGCAAAGCTGATAACATCAGCAATAAAATCTATTTTAGAGGCAGAAGGTAGAGTTATTTTTGAATTTCCAAATAAAGAAAAAGTATTATTAATTAATTAGGTGATAAAAATATTGATGTTTTCTTATGTGGAGATTTCAATTTTATTCCTAACAGTGCACTTTATTCTTTTTTTACTCAATAAAGCATAAATTTTGAAAGTCTTCCTTTGCATGAGGTAAATTTTTTTTTTTCCAATATAATTTAAATTTTATTTATTGATAGGTCTCTAACTAAGATATGGCTTATACTTTTGAAAAAAATGAAAACTCAATAGATTAACACTTTTAAAGTACAACAAGAAAATATTAATTTTTTAATAAGAATGAAACATAAAAAGAATATATTCCATACTTCCAAACTTTAATGAGTTTAGAAGTAAAGTTTGATAAAAAAAACTAAGAATTCAATGTGGTATTTAATAAAAACGAAAATATTAAAAGTAAAAACATAATAACTTCAGATATTTGCTTGAAAAGTGCATATGCTGAAATGTATAAACAATACAATTAAAAATTTCCTAATAGCAAAAAAAGTTTAATTAATAATTTGATTTCGAAGATAACTAAAAAGGATAATTTAACTTATGAGTATGGTTTGTCTCATTTAACCAAAAAAGGATATTTATAATGTGATTTTATATGGTAAAAAAAATAACATTAAGAACAATAATAATAATTAATTGATTTATTTATTATTTATATTTTATTGTAAAAAGGTATAGATTTGCTGAGCCATCTTCCTAAAAACATCTTAAATAAATACTTTAGTAACATGACTACTAATATGTAAATAAGTTCAAAGCATTTCCAAATCAATACCATCCTAGTGATCATTTTCCAATAGTAGCCTCTTTTGAGCTAAATGAATGAATAAAGAAATAAATAAAAATAAAATAATAAATATATCAAATATTAGTTACATTCACAGTGTGAAATTATATATATAATCTAAAGTTAATTTATTTTAAATATTATTTACAATTTATCTAATTATTAATCAACAATCATTATTTTTATTATTTATTTAATTTACGACATTGTTTTTCAAATACATTAGCACTCTTGAATAGAGCTCTTGCTTATTCAAAGTACTTTAAGATAGGAGCACAAGAAAAAATAACCAAATTCTCATCATTTAATATTTTATTCTCTTTAAATCCTAATGTATTTGATAAATTATTATTATTCTATTATAAAAATTGCTATGACTAAGCATTACTATTAGCTACAAAAGACCTAAATGTTGGAGGTTATTGATTTGAGTATTGTTGAGAGGAATAAACGTGAAAAGATTCTTTAAAAATTTAAAATGGAGTTCTTCGATCAGGGTCTATTATGTGGTTTGTTGTTGAGACTCTATAACTTTATTTGCATTCTATACCTGAATGACTAAATACTATTAAAGAAAGCTTGATGGTCCTTACTTTTGATCTTAATAGATTTTATAAAGCTTGTGATTGCTGTAATTATTTATTCTATGGAATTTTGGTTTTATTATTGTCTATTATCAATTAGGCTATTCTTTATACTGCTTCATTCAAAATTATTATCTTATCATTAATATTTGTGTCTAAAGAATTGAACTCGATTGCAATATCGTCTACAATTGGATAAGATTTATCTTAATTTTACGATTGAGATTATGGAAATGAAGGGGAGGAAGTAGGGAGCTTTGAAACAGAAGTTTAACTTTCAAATACATTTTCATTGTATCTTAATTTAACTCTACACGAATAATTATTTTAAATTATGGTAAGAATTTTAGTCCTGAAAGTTTCTTGAAGTAGTTGGAGAACTTCAAGCTAAATTTGCTTCTTTTAAGATGACTTGGTGCCGATAATAAATATATTTTTAAAATGATTATCTAAAGCATTTCTCACTAATATTTCCGATTTCAGATTTTTAGTTATTTAACTTACTACCATATACATTTTTTCAAAAGTGTATGTTTCTCCATCTGTGATCACTCTATTTGATCCTGTTTTTTGTAAAGTACCTTTGAATGGCCTTGCTACTATCAATCTGTCTTTCCCAATGAGAGAAATTATTGGTGAGTTTAGTGTTTTACTTTATACTAGAAAAATATTATTCTCTAAGTTCTCAAATCTATTGCATCCATTTGCTTAGCTGTTTCTTCCTTATTATGTGCTTAAGCTTTAAGTTGACATAGGACTTTGAATGAATTATAAATTGATTGAATTTCTATTCATCGGACTATTTTTTAAGAAGTTGTTAGTATTATTTTTGTTGTTTGATAGCTAATTAGATTGCAATTCATTAAAACTTTAGTTATTTTATGGCTCAGTATATTGGAAAGTCTATTATAAAATTTATTGTCCAGAGTTTTTCTTTGGGGTGTTTTCGAATTTAAATTATGTATTGTTTTATATTGTATCGTTTAATTAACTTTGTCTTAGTTAATTATTAAAATTACTGATAATTCTATTTGAAGTTCTGTCTAAGCTATAATCTTTTTTGTCTGATTTGATTGGGAAGTTTTTATTAAAACTGTTAGATTATTGAGATTAAATTGAATTGTTATTGTTATGATATGATTTGCTATTTGAAGCTGAGCCTATTTTAGAAGCCTTAAGTCCATAACGAGGAGGAGTTAAATTTTAGCTATTTTCAACTGACTTTTTACCTATTATTCGTTCTGTGACTTCGAGATAATTCTTTGGAGATAAATAACTTTTACCATTCATAAAGTTTAATAATACCTAAGACTAAGATGTGTTCATTTAAACTTTTTTTTTAATCTTTTCATCAGTATTCTAAAAATAACTTCTGGTTTGAGAGTATTTTGTGTTACCAGCCAATTTTTTTACAGGACTTTAGCTTCTAGATTAGCTATGAATTTAATATTTCAGGTCTTCAATTTTAAAAAGTAATTTTTGCAAATCTATTTTTTTCAATAAAATGTTTTCATTTCCATCTGAATTACCATTTGTTAATTCTGTTGATTTCATTTCATTTATTTTTCTCCTAAATTCTTCAAGATCTTTCTTCTACCTAATTAACTCCTTATCCATTTCTTAGTCTTTTTATTTTGAGACGTTCACGAACTGAATAGCTTCATTATAAAGATTTTCTGTCTCATCATTTAATTCTATCATTTAATTTTCAAAATTCTCTCTTTGGACTAGCATTTCGATTTCATCAAATTCTTTTGCTCCTATTCCTGTATCATATATTTCTTAGTCCTTGTATGCTAGGTTATTTTATTATTCGTTCTGCATATTCTTTTGCTTTTAATTCTTTAAACTTTCAATTTTCTATTGAAAAATTTCCTCCCTTTCTAAACTTTATAATATGTTTCCATAGTCATTTTCTTAATAATACTGCTGGTTATTTTATTAATTATTGAAAATAGCCTATTGCTACAAATTTTGTTATTGTAACTTTTAATTTTTTGCAGTGTTAAACAAAATATCTTATTTGTTGTCATTATTCGTATCAAAATTCTAAGTCTAATTGGATTAAGCTAAATTACTTACAAAATTATTTTATTATTAAGGTAGATTTTCTAGTTAGTTTTATTATTAGGTTTACTGATTTTTGAATTCTTAAAAGTTGTTATAGCGCTCTTCAAAAGTTAGCTGCTATTATTGCTAGCTAGAAAAAGCTATATCGTTTTGATTATTATGATTCAAATAGAAGCTTTACATCTCTTACAATGGCGAACTTGACATAAATCTATCTTCTTATTCTCCTTACTAATTTTTTATCAATTAAATTTATGGTATAAAGCTATTAGAGTTATGGTTTTGCTAGCTTGATAGAAAATTAGAATAAGGGGTTTCCCTATCAGATTAAAATATAGGAGGTGTGCATGGGAGATTCTTTTATATTAAAGAAGGGTTAAATGAACCTTAATTTAATTCTAAGTTGTTTTTAAAATCTTAATAGTCTATTTTTTTATCTTTTTATGAACTTTATAAATTATTTTCTCTGTCCTAAATGCCATTTTATTCATTATAAGCCTAAATTTTTAACTGCTCCAGTTAATTTAAATATTTTTAATTGCTAGAAGATAATTCCAATAGCTACTTATTTTATTTGAACGTTTCTTCATAATCACCTATTTCTGGAGTCGGATTTTAAACAATTTTGATATGGTTTAGTTAACCTAAATTAAGATTTATTGAGTTACTCAAAGGCAGAGTCTGTTAACTTTCATTAATGTTCATTTCCTAAATATTTTTATTTACTAACTTCTATTTATTAATGAACTTACAGATTAAAATTTTAACACATAAATTTTATGTATAATTTTAATCAAAAAATCTTAATAATTAATTAAAAATATTAACTTTTAACTACAATCAACAGAATAAAAATGAAATTATCTTGATTTTTTAACCAATAAAAATTTAAAGACTTGATTGTACTCATTTTATTACTTTATTTTATTTTTTATAGCTATTTTAGTTCAAAAAATTAATTTACAATAAAATATTTTTTTATTAAACCAAAATTTAAACAAATAAGTTTAATATGTAAATATTTTTTATTTAAAAAGTTTATTTTATTTTAATTTTTTAAAGTTTATTTTAATGTATTTTAGTAAGCAAGCAAGATTAAAAACATCTCTTAATCTATTTTAAGAGAAATTAATTTCCACTTGCTTGCTTGCATTGAATATGTATGTTGTCAAACCCGATTGATATATATTTGAATTTAATTTTATTTAACAAAATGAAAAATAATTAATCCTGAGATATTTGTTTATTTAGTGCTATTATTAATTAATAAAATCTAGTTTGGAATAAATTGAAATCAGAAAGAGAGTAAAATATAAAAATGGACAGTTAGAATAATAATTAAGAAGATAAAAAAAACAAGAGTAGCCTTTTTTCAGATGCCACACTTGATCCTATTACATAGCGTTACATACATTCAAAATATAAGCTAGCAGAAGGAGAGTAAAATTTTGCAAATATAGACCTTAGAAATATGTGCGAAAATGTAAAATCTTGAAAAAAGCTAATTTAGTTAAATCAATCATTTTAGAATTATTACTTTTTATTTTAGTTAATAAAATGTAAATAATAAATTTATGCATTAAAAATGAAAGGTAGTTGATGAGCTTGAGACATTAGAAAGTGAAGCCGCTTATGATTATTTAAAGGTAGAAAATGAAATGAAAGACTTAGATGTTGAAATAGATAAAAGCGATTCTATTTTGTCAGAATTAGAAAAAGTCTTAGAAAATTTTAGAGATCACTTAAATGAAATAAAGAGTTAAATGACTGTTTTGCAAGAGAGATCTCTTAAAATGAATATTTCTTTAACAAACCGTAAAAATCTATAAAAATTAATGAATACATTCATGGATTCAGCTGTTTTAGATCCAAAATTAATAGATGCAATTAATTCAGCACCTATTGATTAAGCTTACGTTCAACATATTAAAGTTCTATGCTAAAAGTTAGAGTATCTTCAGAATACGAAACTGCCAGATGCCTCAGTTGTAAAAGAATTGGGTAATAAATATATAATCACGATTATAAAAATTCTTCTTCCTTTATAATAAATAAATTTCAACATATTTTACATAAGACCTATAAATAGTTTTCATTAATTTAAAAAAATTTTTTTGAAATAATTTTAACTAGAACCTGAATTAAACAAACTGAAAAACAAAGCTTGTGGCAGAGTTAGATAATTTTTGCTTGACAAAATTGATATCCTTAAAAAGCCTACCACTAATATTGAAATTCAATAAAAAAATGTACTTTTAGACTATCGTGTATTTACTGAATTTTTGAAGTGTCACTATGAGGAAATTTATGCAGAATTATGCAACAAATATGCTGAAGTAATGTCAAAAGTATACTCCTAATTGTTTGAAAAGAATGTAAAAGAACTTTAAAAATTATGGGTCGAACTATACAACAAATCGGATACTTTAGTCTGTGATAATGCCTCAAACATGAGAACATTTATCACTATAAAAAACGGAGGAAAGTTAGTTGATGTATACCCTGATAAAAACAAATCAATTTTCGATTTAATGGATCGTGATTTAATCTTAAAAAATGAAAGGTTAAATGATGGCTTTATATTTTATGCTTCAGCCTCTAAAGAAAATCAGCGCTTTACCATTGAACAAATTTTCAGAAGCATGAGCAAGTTAATTTTAAGTACAGTTGTCAGTGAAATAGCTTTTTCAAGTTAATTCTTTAACTTAACAAATGCACAAAATTCCAAGATATTTAAAGAAATTTTTAGTTAAACTTTTAAAAGCTTATACAACTTCTTATAAACTATGTTGACTGAAAGTTATGACTGCAATGGTATGGTACTCATTATTTTGATTAACGAATCTTACTAACGTGAATACTCTGAAATGTATGCTTAATCTTAAGTACTTCAAGAATATTTTAACTATATTAACATGTTAGTTTGGCCACGTTTCGAAAAAGTATTCGAAGGTCACTGCTAATCAATATCAGAAAAAAATTTAAAGTAATACAAATTACTTGAAAAATAATTTAGCTTCAAGCCGATTGTGCAGCGTTATGCAGATATAATTATATCTTTTTATAGACTTTATTCATATTTCTAAGACAACAAAATGATATTTATTCGTATCGAAAAACTACGTAAAGATTTTATAAATATGATCAAGAAGAATGCATAAGATATAGGAAAAGGTATTGACAGATGCAAGTATCTTCTCCTTATTTATGATTTAATATTTACCAACATACCAACTAAGAAAGAGTACCAAAAGGAAATAACTGAAATTGAAAAAGAGTAATAAATTTACATAACTGAATTTGTTAATATTTTCCTCAAAGAACTCTTTGGTGATATGATTGATTTTATTAACTAAAATCTTACTAATAAAAATAATGGTGAAGAGATATAAGACTAAAATTAGAAAAATTATTCATAAAATTAATCTAACCCTGCTGATCATGAACGTTTAGTTAAAACAATTTGTGGTGATTTCAATAGCTCACGTAATAAACGTATAGACACATTTAAACATGAATGTGAAAAAATATTTGAAGGTACTCAAATCCTTAAAAAGATCCTCAAGCGTTTTTTGAATACTTTTATTTAATACTACGGAACTTTCTACCGTTATTGCCAACAAAAGCATCCATAGGCAGCTGCCACTCTTATACATTACAATGAAATCAATAGTGATATCTAAAGCTCATATGGAATTTGAAAACGTTATTGTGAAAAAATTATTGATATTTTAATAGTTAGCTCTACCTTTAATAGAGAATAATTATGTTAAAATGTAACTATTCTATTTATACTTTAATTTAATTTGTTTATCTCTACCAACTTACTTTAAAATAAAAGAATTTATTTATTTAGCTTGTTACTGAAAAAATAAAAAATTATTTTTTATATTTTAAAGTTATGCTGATGATAATTAAAAACAAATTTATTGATAAATTTTTTTATCATTTATTTAAATTTTTTAGTAATTTATATATTTCGATATTCTTTCGTTTATTGTATCTTCGACGAAAAATAAGGGTATTCTTCCAAACTTTATGAATCTATAAATTATGGAATATTTATAAAATTAAAATTAAAATAATATTCATTAAAAATTCAAAAATTTATCAACAAACCCTTTTTATCAAAATAAAAATTAGTCAAATTTTTATATTTCGAATTTTGTTTATTATTTTGAAGGTGGAAACAAAAGCGCTTTTATTGTATTAAATAAAGATGGAAGCAAAAATGAACTTTAAAATAAAAATAAAAGGACATTTTAAATGGGAATACATTAATTATACATGATTGATTATACATTACGAATAAATACAACAATAAATATAAGAATATTTTATTCATATTTGTTTGTGATTTTAATTAATTATTTTGTTTGTGATTATTTATTTATTTATTTATTAATAGTTTAAATTTCGATTGTTATTAATAGTGAAAACTTTCACGTCTAAATATTATTTAAAATATTTAATGTGAAGTTTTAAAATACATTCTTGATAAATCAATAATGTATGTTATGATGACATCTAATTGAGTTTGGTAATTCTCTTGATTCCCAATCTTCAATTTGAATTGTAGAATGATAAATACCATGCTATCTGCAAATCTTAGTTGCTTCACGTAGTACTTATTCTTTATCACCATTTACAAAGATGTGAACACTCATTGATGGCTTGCCAATACTCAAAGACCAAATATGCAAATCATGAATTTAAACTACCTTGTCTATAGCTAAAAGTTAATCTTTAAAGTCCTTTATTTCAATATCTTAAGGTGTTCCTTCCATTAATACAGTAATGCAATCCTTTACGATTTTTACTGTAGTAAAGAGGACTAAAATAGAGAACAAATAAGTGCAAATAGGATCAGCTAAATGCCAGTAATCATATTCATCTGTATTAGCATAAAAGTAAATGAGTAATGCAGCTACAACAACACCGATTGATTAAATTATATCACCAATAACATGAATCATAGCAGCTCTCAAATTGTAATTTTCATGTTCATTAATATTTGATAAATTCTTTTTTAATTAAAAATAATTTTAGAATAAAAAATAAAATTGTTTTAAAATATACTTTTTTCTTTTTTTATCCATTTCCGTGGTCATGATCATGGTCGTGGTCGTGGTCATGGTCATGGTCGTGATTGTGGTCATGGTCATGATCATGGTTATGTTTATTAGCTTTTGATTTATTTTTCTTTTATTTTTTTGTTTTATTTTCTTCATGCTTATGTTCATGATCATGGTCGTGGTCATGATCGTGATCGTGGTCGTGATCGTGATCATGGTTATGGTCATGGTCGTGATCGTGATCGTGATCGTGGTCATGGTCATGGTCGTGATCATGATCATGGTCATGACTATGGCCTTTAGATTTATTTTTTGAGTCACTTGGTCCATGACTATGGCCATGGCTACATCCACCATGTGAATGACTATGACCAGGAGCACTATGTAATACTTTTGCCATTCCTATATTGCAAACAAGTCCAAAAACAGCAGTTATTAACATAAAGAAAGGATCTGTTACCATCGATTTGTTGATAATACGATCAGTTGCTTCATATAAAAGGACTATGGTTAAACCCCAAATTAAGACTATACTACCTAAAGCTCCAATAACTTCTGCTCTGTGATAGCCATATGACAGCTTTTTTGAAGCGGGGCGAGTTCCAATCCAAATAGACATAATAGAAATAAAGAAACCACTTAAGTCTGAAAACATATGGGCAGCATCACTGAGAATAGCTAAAGATCCACTAATTATACCACCAACAACTTCAGCAATTAAGAAAATTAAAGCAATTGCAGAGGCAACAAAAAGTTTGCAAAGAACTCCTTTTGAGACATGAGAAACATCAGGTAAGTCATAAATAGCAGATTCACGATGAGCAGATGAGTCTTCACTTTCAGATTCCTCTTCGTCTTCATCTTAAGAAGATCTTTTGATACTAATATCAGTAGCGCGGCTTTCAGCAATAGAGACCTACTTATTTTTTTTCTAATTAACCTATTTTTTTGAAGCAGGTTTATTTTCTTCATCAAAATTGGATGACTTTTTGAAGTTTGGTTCATCTTCAAGAAGTTTTTTTTCAAATTCCTTCTTGATATCTTGAGGGCTTTGACTCATAGATAATTTTTAATGATTTTGCTTGTATGTTTTTTTTTTTGACAAATCAGCTACTATTTTATACAAATTGCTAGTTTTAGTGTTTGTTTTATTTTCTTATTTATTATTTTTAATTTTTAACGAGTCTTTTTTTGTAAATTTAAAGATATAATTTCAATCGTTTTGGTGATTCATTAAATCAGAAATGAGTCTGCCTATTATTTATTCATTCTAATTTTATCAATTATAAATATAAATTTTATTATTTAACATTAATAAAAATTAGATAATATAATGATTAAGATTCATTTTTCGCGCAATTTATAATTGTTATTATTGATTTTCTTAATTTTAAGAATAAAACTTTAAACGGCTCTATTTTTCATTTTATTGTGTTGACAGTTTGGAAACCATTATTATATTATAAAAATAAATATATAAATAAATAAAAATTTATTGAATAGACTTTTAGTTGATTAAATTACAGTTAATTTTATAAAATGAGTGCTTTTTAGAACATATCTTGCTAAGAAAGATAAAAGAAAGGTTAGATTCATGAATATTTAGTTGAACCAGATGATTTCAGTTCTATGCGAAAGATTCATTTATGAATTTAATTAAAAGTTCATGAAGTATCATTAAGTTGATTGAGTTAATTACTAAATCGATATATTAAAAATTATTAATTTAGATTCATTTTTTTTATTTTTGTTAATTAATTTTCAGTGAATCATGAGTAAAGCAAGGATAATAAAAAATTTATTTTTAAATTTTAAAGACTAGTTTTCTTTAACTGCTTTTTATCTAATTGTTTTATTTTTAGAATATTTCTCAAAATTATTATTAATTCTTTTAAAAAAATCTAAAATAAAACATGAAATACGATTAAGAAAAAGTAAAGTAATGATTTTATTTAGTTAGTTAATTCTTATTTTATATTATTTATTAGTTTTAACATTAAACTTTGAATAGACATTTTTATTTACAATTTTATTTAATAATAGATTAATTAAGATAATTACTCTACTCTTATTTTTTAACTAGTAAAAAGCAGTGCATTACTCTAAAAAATTTATTTTTATCTTCACTCTAATCTATGCTATCCTTATTATTTATTTTATCTCATTCACTATTACCTTCTGTATTATTTTCTGTATCTAAAAAGAATTTTTCAAAGTGCTTATTAATTCCCAACGCCTCTTTCCTCTAATTTTAAAAATTTATTTATTTAAATAAAGTTATCAATTAAGTAAAATAACTTAGATTAAAACTTAATTTATTACCAAATTTTCAATTTAATCCTCACATAAATTTACTGATGAGTTAATTTAAAGATAAATATTTTTAAGATTTATAAAGTTTCCTTTTTATTCTTCTTTTTGCTAGATACTTGTTTCTTTATATGATTAAAGCAATTCTTGTAAGTTAAGCTCCTATTCATCCTAAGGATCTATATCTGTTTTAATTTTTATTATAATAATATTTTACATTGTTTTAATTTTACCGCTCACTAATAATTAAAATAGAGAATCCAAAGACATTGTGTATTAGCTTTAACCCTATAATAATGGTTCAAACTTTTATATGATACCTTAAACTGTTTTTGAGAACTCTTTTTCTTGGTTGTATAGGAAAAAAAAATTAGCTAACTCTTAAGTTAAGCTGTAGTATTCATTATCAAGTATTTAAAGTTGTTAATTTAAAATTTGCATCTAACTATTTTAAGCAAACCCACTATTTGTATTCTCTTATTCTAAATGGGCTTGCATTTAATTCATTTCTGACTCAATTTAAACTCTAATTACAACAAAACAGTAAATAAAATAATTTATTATGATTAATTAACTTACCCTATTTCTTCCTCTTACTTAATAAGCTACTCTAATTCTTACATTTATTAGTCTAACTCATTTATTTATAAATTTAACTCTTCTTATTTACCATCAAATTAATTATTCTAAAATTGATTTTTATTTGTTATTTCTTAAGTATCTTTTTAGTTAGTATGAATTGGATTGGTTAAATACTGATCGATATTAAAATTGATTTCATTCTGGTTATAGTTTTAATTTATTTACTAATTAGTTTATTTTTCAAATCCTTTACCTATGAAGCTTTGAATATTAAAGTTTATTTCATTTTGATTACTTTAAGCTTTATTTTTATTTATCATGTTATTGTTTTACTACTTATCAAAACCTGAGCCAATATATTTTTCTATATTAAAGTTGATCTCATTTTAATTATTTTTGTTATGATTGTGAGCCTCTTAACTTTTTAAACTTTAGCTTTTCCCAGTTTCGTATTTATCAAGCTCATTTGCTTTTATAGAAGAGTTAGATGAAAAATAATTTGAGCTCTAATCGATTCTTTATTAAAAATAAAATAGTTAATAATTTTATAGATTTTGCATAAATATACTTAAAATTGATAACATTTGTCTTATCTTCTTGTAATAAATACAGCTTCATATCTAATAAATTATGTGATAAACCACCTTTTTTTTTAAATTTAAATCAATAACTTTATCATAACTTGATAATCTTACCCATAATACCTATAGCAGGTTAGTTTATGTATGGAAAAGTCACATAAGAGTGGTTGTATCTTGGTTCTATCTTTATATCTCCTAGGAATGGCTGGCTCCAATAAAAATCCTCTTTAAAAGTTATAGATAATTTCGCTTTAGTGATATTTATTAGAATGGTTTTTCGATATTAAGAAAAACAAAGTTTTTTAAACTGATATTTGATTGAAAGTTGAAATAAATGAATTACCCAAATTGAGCTGATAAATTTCATTAAGTGAATTATTAGTTTTATTTTCCTATCCTCCAAATATCTGATTTAAAATAATTACATTCATTAAAAAAATATCTTCAGTTATATTACAATTATTCTTGTTTCATCTATGTAGTTAAGACTAAAAAAGGAACGTGGAGTGGGACTTTAGCCTATAGTCTGAATCTTCTTCCAAAAAAAGCTCTCTTAAAATTTATTGCAAACAAATTAATCAATAAATAAATAAATGCATCATTTATTTTAATTATTTACTGAGGTCAAGCTAGTAAATGCTAAAATCATCATATTTTTAATCCTTACATTTTCCTCCAAAAATATACATGAAATTTTAGTAGACAAAAGCCTAATGGCCTCTCCTAGGAGAAGGAATGTCTCCTTTTGTCTATTTAGGTGTACATTACATCTATTAAAAATAAAGTATGATACTATACAATTAATCATATTTAAATATACTCCTGTAGCAGGTTGTAAACTCTGATTTAAATCAATATTTTAGTAATTAAATATCCAAACATCATTTAAAAGCTTATTCTGAGGTAATGAAATACCACCAAATACAATTAATTCCTTTTAGTCATTTACTTTATTTTTATCAATTCAAATAAATTTAGTGTAAGTGATAAAAAACAATTACACATATCGCATAAAGTGTGTTGATGCCTTGAAGAACTTTGATTCAAAAAAAATTTTTTCCATATTAGAGTTTTAATCTATAAGCAATATATGTCCTCATAGGATCTTCCTTTATCTCCTTCCCCACCATAAATAAAAAAGTAATCCAACTAATCTAAATTTAAAAATAGCTTTAAAAAATATTTTTTATCTTATATTTTTATGTACCATCATAAAAAGCTGTATGATAACATCTCATGAGAGGTGCTTATCCTGTTGAATTCTATTTACACCACTACAATGTTTCTTTACATTAACAAAACTAATCAGATTTATACAATTATATTGCTTATTACTTAAATCTAAAAAATGCAAATCATTTAATCTTTAATCAGATTATCCTCCAAACAATAGCAAACTGTTAAGAGAAGAAATATATGTTAGAGTATGTCCTTCCCTTGGGCAAGGATCTTCAATTCCTAATTATTGAAATAATATTTCACCAAACTTATAAAAACCAATCCAAAATCTAAATAATGAAAACAAATATAAAAGGAGCTGCATTAACCTTATCTTAGTTGAAGATTTCTTAATTTAAGTGACATTACTAAAATACTTTTTTGATAATTAGAATTTTAAAATATTAACAAGTTATAGATAGTATTTTGCGTTATTGAAATTTGTAAAACAAAAATTAATTTTAGAGATAGATATTGATCGAAATTTGAAATTATTATATTTTAAAATTAAAAAAAAAACAATCAATATTGACTTAAATTATTTTGTTTATGATCAAATCTTCTATATCTACCAACCTTTGTTTTTTAACATGCAGTGAGATAATTTAAATAAAAACTCATTTTTAAAAGCAACTAGAGAGAAAGCTATTTAGAGTATTTATATTAAATGTCTATTTATTATAAATATCTTAATGTTGATAATATATACTAATAAAAAAAATAAGTTTTTCTTAATTAAATATTCTTCAATTTATACAATAATTTAGAGAGAAAAGCAGATAAACAAATAAAAATATTTTTAAAATTTTAAGGAAAATGAGTGGTAATCATAATCATAATAATTAGGGAAAACATTAAAAAATGCATGAAAAACTCTTACAAATAACAGATAGTAATTTCAAGTATTATTGTGATGAAGTTAGTAAATATTTATAAGATGGATACCAATATATCAATATCGAAGGTATTGGCACTAATATTCCTACAGCAATAAGAGTAGCTGAGACATTTGTTTAAAGAAAGTAAGCAGACTGGGAAAAGCTCCACACAGGATCTATAGAAAAATAAAATGGGCAAAAAGGAAAAAAAGTTTGCATTAATGCTTGCATCAAAAGAAGATGAAAAAAATCATATTTTCAATTACTAAAAACATAAAACAAAAAAAAACACAATATAAATTCAGATTCAATTATAAAAATTTATAAAATGTTTAAAAATTAAGAATAAATAATATGTTTCCAATTTATACACCTTTAAAATAATGTTATGGATATCTCAATTAATCATCTTATATAAATAGATTATTTTATTATATATTTTCCTTTATCATATAAAAAATATTTAAAAACAAAGAATTTAGTAAATTAATTGAACCAACACGCATTAATATTTTTAAATTAAATATTCAATAATATTAATAAATTTTTTTTATTTTATTAAAATAATACTTATTGCTATCTTCTTATATTATTTTAATATCATTTTTTAAATAATATATTTATTTTTTATTTTTATTCAATTTTAAACAAATATAATTACTCAAATATTAATTAGTATTTTATTCTATTTTACATTATTTTCAAATTCATGAGTATATTTATTAATTTCCAAACTAATTCATAAACAAAAAATTTCTATTTTTGTGCTTATATAAAATTAATTTTAAAATTTAATATATTTTTTAATTTTTCCTCAAATAAATTAATTACTCCAATAATTTACTCGAATATTAATTAAATTTCTTTAATCCACTTTATGTCATTTTCAAATAAGTATATATACTTATTATTATAATTATAAATTATTTATTTTTATGCTTTCATTTTAATTTTTAAAAATTAGTTTTAAAATATTTACATTTATTTGTTCAAATTTAAAGAAATAAAATCACTCATACAAAAATATACACAAACAAAAATTGATATTTCTTTAATCTATTTTATAAAATTTTTTAATTTATAAATATTTGTAAGTATTATTTTTCTAATTCAAAAAGTAAGAAAAATAATTATTTCTTTTTTTATTTAGTTATTTTTTGTGATTTTATATTTCTTTTTTGTAAATTATTCTAAAATATTTTTATTTTTTATATTTTCAAATTTTATATATTTAAATACTACAAAGAAGAATAGTTTATTTATTAGCTAGATCAAATAAAGTTGTTTTTTTTCAAATATTATTTCAAAGGTTAGGAGTATACATATTTATTACTATCTTATTTATAAAAAAAATAAAATATTTCTTCATTCATAAATTATTTTTGATGCTTTTCCATAGGTTTTTTAAAGTTAGTTATTAAAATGTTAATTTAAATATTGTTTCTTATTTTCATTAATAAATCAATACATAATAACTGCAGTAGCTTAATCAAGTATTAAATTATTATTTTTTTAATCTATTTAAAATTTTTTGAAACTTATAAATATACTTATTTATTATAATATGACATCATATAAAAGGAATAATAAGTACAAATAATATTCTTATTTAACTAATTGCATAAGTTACAAAAATTATTATTATAAAGTATGATTTAAATAATAAAAATTTTTAATATTTACTATAATTTTTGGATGAAAATATTAGTAAATACAAAATATTTTTTAGAACCTATGCTAACATTTTCATGTTCATGTATGAAATCAAAAATTAATAAACGTTTCTAGTAAGTAAGCCTTATTATTTTAAAGTGAGTAAAATAATAGCATTTTTTGAAAATTTTATTAAAAAAAAATAATGCATCATTATTTTTAAATTACAACAGTTTGAAACTAATTAATTAGATGCTTTTTTCTTTGATACAAAATATAATTATGTGTAAGTTGCTATTCTTAACTACTTTGTAGACTTTTTGTTTTTTTTACATTATAAGAGACTATTTGTATAAAACATATATAATTTTTAAATAATCTAGAGTATTCTTATGATATTTAATTATAAAAATACTTTAAATACTTTGAATTATTTTATGTTAGATTTTAATAAATGCACAAAAGTGAATTGGAAATATTAAATACCATTTGTATAAAAATCAATATGGATAAATTTTAAATAATGTCATTTTGATAATTTTTCTATGAAAAATAGATAGATGAATCAATACGAATTATTATTTATTTAGAATTTACAAAATAAGTTATTTGTTATGTTTTGATTTAGGTTTTTTTTAAGCTTTTCTAAATTTTTTTTTATAATGAAGAATGGAAAATCTTTATGACTACTTTTTTTGTTTACATTTTTTTAGGGGCTGATGTGCTTTTAACTATCTAAATTTGATTGTTCACTTGTCTATCTTTTTATTTATATAAAACTATAAAACAAAATAAGGTTCAATTACAAATTTTTTGATTTTATGTGAAAAGCAAAGAAATCAAATAAATTTTTGTTTCTCATAATTGATTAAGATAATTTCTCTTTTTTTATTCTTTTGAAGTGGATATTAATTACATTTTTTTTTTTCATATTTGCCTTATGAAAAATATAAGATGTATTTATAAAAGTATTTTTTTTATGAAGTATATCTTACCAAAAAATTAAGCAAACGACAAATTAAACTTATCTTCTTATCAAATACTTACACTTAGTTTTATTTGAAAATAATAAGCTTAAAAGGATAGATATTTTGTGTGGTATTCAATTATATTTGATTTTATAAATTTAAAATTTAATTTGGCATTTTAAAAACCAATCAAATAAAGAGATAAATCTATACACTCTAAGATATTATGAAAATTTAGTTTTTGTTTTTTATATTTAAATCAATAACATATGCTTTTAATTTATTTCTTGAAGATCAAATATTAGTTTTTAATATATTTATTAGCAAAATTTTTTGTATATTTTTTGTGTAAATGATTCTGTCACTTTCAAGTGCAATTTTAAGGAAATTTGAAAAAAGCAGAAAAAAGTTTCTAACGCAAAAGAGTAAATCAATAAATTTTTCATTCTTAAATTAAATTCTAGATATATTCTTCTCTAATTGATAGCTTAGGTGGATCATTAAATATGTCTGTCTATATTAATTTAATTGCTGTTTCTATATATATTTAAAATAATAAAATATTAAAAATAAATCTATCTATCTATACTAACTTAATACATTTTCAAATATCGCAAAAGACTAAGGTTTTTTTATTTAAAAAGTATTTTTTTTGTATTGAAAAATCAAAAATTTATGAGCAATAAAGTACGAGTTTTAGTTAAGAAATAACTAACTTACCAAACAACTAATGAGCTTTGCATAACCACTTAGCAAAGATTTAATTTCCTTTAAATTATTAATTTATAAACCAATAAGATTATCTTAAATAATATAATCAATTTAATTAAAAAAATAATAAATAAGTAAAAAGAAAGATAACAAATATCTTAACGCTTCATTTAAAAATACGATTAACTATTAAAACAAACGAATATGAATATGTTACAAACTACGCCAAGAAAATCTAAAAATTTTTCCATTAAAAAAATCACTCCTCCTTCAGTGAGATAACCAAAGCTCACTAAACAGGATTCTTTTAAGTCATCTTCATCAAGAAATAGCAAGTCTCCTGGTAGTTCTACTTAAACATCACAAACTATTATTAAATATGACAGTATTATAACCCAACCACCAAAAATTAAACATCCTGATCGTAGATAAACGTTTACAGTTATAGATTAAGAAAAATAATCTCCTCGTATTTAAGTAAAATTTACAAAAATCAATATTTTTGAATGAGAGTAAATATGTAGACTTATTTTATTTATTTATATATTTAAATTAGATCTCAAAGAAAGGTAAAAGCATGACCAAGCTCTTGCCAATTTTTGAAAGATAACCCATTATGAGGAAGACTGTTGTATCTAAAACTTTCAGAGGTTTTATTAATTAAATATAAGGACAATACATATCTGATTATGAACTATAAAAAAGTTAGATAAGAAAACTTGATTTTAAGTTAAGGTATAACATTTATTGATAGATTATTTATTTTTCTTAATTAAATTTTTTCATTCTAGAGGGTTTAACATTGGAGAGAAAGGGTTTGATGTAGAATTATAAAAAATGATCTCATTGATGGAGAATTAGAATTTAATAGATCTCTGTATCCATGGGTACTATCTTATTTTTCTTAAATAATTCTTAAATAAATATCTTAATTACTTATAGTGATAAAGATCATAAATTGAGAGACATTGGTGTTGCGTAGCTTATTTTTAATTTTTAAAATAACGGTAAAAGAATTGTTTGCTTAGATCTTAAATTAAAGTATTATTTATTTTTCTTTGTTAAATATCACTTGTTAATAATTAAACTAATTTATATTTTTTATTAAGTTGGAATGAAATAACTGATATTGGTGTTAAGCACATTGGAAATGGGCTGACTTATCTAATAAATTTGCGCTCATTAAAGCTTAACTTAGGGTAAATTTATTATTTTAATGTAACATAATTTCTAATACCTTTATTAAATTTTCTATAAAAGTCACAATAAATTTGGAAGCAAATCTGCAAGTTGTTTAGCCTAAGGAATTAAATCTCTTATTCATTTAAAGCACTTAGAAATTGATATTACGTAAATTTCTCTCATGATCTAAGGTTGGTTAATATATTTATTTAAAAAATAAAATTAAAAGTAATTATGGAGATGATTTAAAAATGATGGATGAAGGAGTAAACACAATTATACAGTCATTTGGAAGTCTCAAACATTTAAGAAATCTTAAATTTATAGTTTAAGGTTAACAAATAACAACCTAAGTTTTTGATAGCTTGCTGAATTCGTTGTCATAAACAAAAAAACTTGCTTCTATAGAAATAGATATGGATTTTGGAAGATATGAAGAATACCTAGGAATTTAAGCTTAAAAATTGCAATAGCTATTAGATTTGTGTCCAAATCTAGTTAATCTTAAAATATCCCGTATTAGGTAATTCAATTTTTTTAACACTAATAATTAATTAATCAATTTATTTTCACCTTAAAATAGTTTGACACAGAACACAAAATTGTAAAGATCGTAGTTTTTCCTTAAGCTATTCAAATAAGAGTTCCTTAACTAAGTTTCTATCCAATTCACTAATGGCTATTAGTTCCTAAATTCGTAAATTAATTTTTTAACTATCACTATTTTCTAATATTTTTTACTTTTAAAGAGATGCTAATTTTGTTGATTTTAAGAAGCAGCTTTAAGAAAAAAGAAAAACTTGTATTTAATTAATTGGATTTAAACATGTATTGTCAAAACATTTAGTAGATCCATAAATCATAATAGATGATTTATACGATGTAGATACAAATATTAAAGATGAATGAAGAAAATATATTTACAGCTCATGCATTTTTAATTATTTAAAAAACCAACAAAACAAATTCAACTACTTACTCAAAATACCATTAAAAAATTAAAATAAAATACCTTTTACACAAATATTTTGAAAACTCAAATATAATAACTTTTAAACAAATTTATATTAAAAATGTCTACATATTATTTATTCAAAAAAAATAAAAATTATTTTAGAACTTACTTAATACACTTTAAATGTTTATTCTATTATAAAATATATAATAAATATTTAAACAAATTTATAATATATTAAATTAAATAATGAATATATCTAAATATGTATATATTCATCTATTTCATTATGTGTAATATGTTCAAAAATAGTAAAAACTCAAAACATATTATTTTTAAATTCTTATTGTATTTATAAAAGTAATACTAAACTTTTAAAGATTAAAAATGCAATTAATTTAAATAAATAAGATTAGAAAATTTATTAAAAATTAAAATGATTTAAATAATCTACTCAAATTATTTCTAAAACTTTTTTATAATGAAAAAAATTTAAATTAAAATAAATTCAACTTAGTAACTATGTATAATTTATTCAAACGTGTTATTGTTTTAGATATATTCTCATTGTTCTTAAGTGTAAATTCTATTTTAAAATATTTAATAAACATTTAAATAAATCTAGCATGAAGTAAACTTATATTGCTATTTATTTATTTAGTTATTAATCTTTTACTATTTACAATTTATAAAATAAATAAGATTGTTTAAGTTAAAAATAAATGATTACTTAAATGCATAATCTTTTTATATATTAAAATAATATACTATAAATTAAATTAAAGGGAAACAAATACATAATACTATATTAAAAAAATAGATTATTTTAGAAATCAAAAGACACCTATACCTATGTCTAAAAAATTTATTTTATTTATAAAATATATTACAAGTTTAAAATTTTTTTAAAGGGAAATAAATTCAATAATGTTACCATTCATTGTATTTATCTATAATTTATTCAAAAATAGTATTATTTTTACTATTTCATCATTAATAATTATATTTTTAAAGTGTTTAATAGCTTATAAATAAATTTATATACTATAATATTTGCTTAATTTGCATAAGTTATTCAAAAATAAAATTATTTTAGATATTCAATTCGATATTTTCTTTAATGGATATTCTATTTTTTAAAATTTATCTCCAAAAACTTTGCTTTTTGAATGCAGAATTAAAATAAAATTAATTCAAAGACGAAAATAATATTTTTATTTTAATTTAACAATCTATCTATATTGTAAGTGATTTAATTCAATCAATATTTTTTATTGAAAATTATTAACATTTTACTCTCTTTAGCATTTAATAACATTATTATTTTTATATAATCTATCAGAAATAAATAAAAAATTGTTATCTAAAGATTAAGAAATAAATTCAAGATAGATCTCAATAAATGGATTTTAAATTTAATTTAGGAGGTGCAGAGGAAGAAGAAGAAGAATAGAATTTAGATGGACTTAATTTCTTTGGTGGGGTTCATCATCACCATGACGATGACCTAGATAAGCTTGATCCTACCATGCAAACTAGCACAATATCTAGAAGCAAGAGGGAAAAATCAGTTGAGCCTGATGAAGAATAACCTGATTATGAAGCAGAAATAGTTGCAAAATGTGTCTATGATTAAGTAAGTATATTTATTTACCTTTAAATAATTAAACATATTTTTAAGGAAAAAGGTGTACTAAATGAATATGAGCTGCTAGATAAAATAGGAAGCGGCTCTTTTGGAAAAATAGTGAGAGTAACTAGAAGCTATTACGAAGATGATGGTGTTACTATTTCTAAATCAATATATGTGTTCAAAGTAAATCATATCTCGCATATAAAAATATATTAAGCATACTATTTAAAAAGATTCTGAAGAAAAGCTAAAAAATTATATAAATTACTGATGAAAATGGATAAAGTTAATTGAAAAAGGAACTAGATTTACTTTATTAGGAATTAGAAATCTATAAATATCTGAATAATGTTAACATTTGCAAGCTCTATCAAGTAATTTGTATTGATTATAAAGCCTTTAGTCAATTTATTTATTTTTTTAAAAAGATTATTGATGCTCCATACGAACAAACAATATACTTGGTTATGCAGTATTGCGACCTAGGATAGATATTGAACCTAGATGAGAAAGACTAAAAGTACTACCCCAATACTAAAATCGACTAATTTATTGAGTAAACCTACAATATTAGTGGTAAGTTTTAATTTTCCTAATTTTATAAGTTGCTAATTATATAAAAAATAGAATAAGATCAATATAAAAAAAGAGAGAAATTTGCCAAAGTAATATTTAAATAAGTTAGCTAGGGATTAAAATACTTGCATGATAAAAAAATTGTAAATAGAGATATTAAGATAGACAATATTCTAGGAAAGAGCATTGAATGTAATACTAAATTTTTATCTTTAAAATATTATTTATTTAATTTTTTTATAATATTTAATTGATCGAAGGTGACAAAGGAGAAAATTTTAAGATTATTGATTTTTCGACTGCAGTTAAGCTGAAATCTCACCACCAAAAAGTATTTGGTTAAGCAGGCACCCCTGCTTATTAGAGTCCAGAAGTGTGTACTAAATCTAATGACGGATATGATGGTAAAGCAGCTGATATTTGGTCTTTGGGTGTAACTATTTATTGTTATGTTAATTTGAGCTTACCATTTTTGAATCAGCCTGACCCATAAAAGCTATTTAATTCAATTTTAAATGACCCTATACAATTCTAAACCCATAATTCAGCTTTGTTTTTAGATTTAATAAATAATATGTGTAGAAAGAATCCAAAAGAGCGCCTAAAAATAGATTAAGTTCTAAATCATTAATGGTTCTAAGAATGAAATGGCTCTAGTATAAATCTAAATTTAGTTAAAAAATAATCTTGATTTAGCAAAAAATAAATAAATATTCACTTTAAAAAGTGATATATGCAAATTTGCTCTTTAAAAAACGATAAAAATATTAGTTTACATAAAATATTTATAATGTATGTATGTAAGTATTAATGTCTTTCCCTTTACAAAATTGCTTTGTTATTGCTGACTTAACTTTAGTTTAATTTATTGTTTTCATCTATATGGTTACCAAAAAATTGCAAAATTATTATTTTTTATGTAAAATTTTATCTTCATGAATCACATTTAATGCGATTAAGTAGAAATAGCTTAAAATTCATTTGATGATTTTGTCAATTCTAATAAGAAAAATATCTTTCAATTAAATTATCTATTAATTATATCAAACAAAAAATTTTAATTTTTTTAAAACTTCAAATTACAATGAACAGTCCTGATAATTAGGCAAATAAAATACCTGAATAAGAAAATTACTAAGAAGATTTAGAGCACCATGGATAAGATGTTGATGAAAATAATTAATTTTATCACTAAGAACATAATATATCTTTAGAAAAATACTCAGATTTATGTGATGAAGAATATAAAAAGTCATTTAAGAATAACTCAGAATCAGAAGAAGATTACGAAGCAGATTTTCAACATACCACGGTCTATCATCATGGGGAAAATGTAATAATATCAGTGAAATGAAATAGTCTTATATTATTAATCAGAAGAGTAAATTTTATTTTCACCCATCCTTTTAAAAGAATGGAAGGCACATGAATGAATATGAGTTTCTTGAAAAATTGGGATAAGGGTCATTTGGTAAGGTCAAGAAAGTGGAAAGAAGATACTTAGATGAAGATGGCGTTACAGTACTGAAATCATTTTATGCAGCCAAGGTTAATTTATTTATTTTAATCGCTTATCTAATTGAATTTTTTAAATTTTAAATTAGATCTTTAAAAAAAGTTAGCTTGAATACGAAAGAGTATTTGCATATAATAGTGATGGTGAAAGTTTTATGACAAATAGACTTCATTTAATATAAGAAGAGATAAACATATACAAGAATTTGAATCATCCAAATATATGCAAACTCTTTCAGGTAATATATATTGAAACAACCTTTATAATTAATTCCCAGCTTTATATGTAAGATCATAGACGATGAAACAGATGAGAAGCTTTATTTAATTTTGGAATATTGTGATATGGGTTAGCTAATGGTTTGGAACGAAGACAATTAATATTATGATCCTAATGATAAATTGGATTAGTTTATATGCTAATAATATGGCATCAATGGTATCTTATTGAGAATAAAAAGCATTATAATTTGTTTATTTTCAAATTAAATATTAGAATAAGATCAATATAAAAGAAGAGAGTAATAAGCAAAAATTATATTTTAGCAAATAGCTAAGGGAGTTTAGTACCTTCATAAAAGAAATATTATTAATAGAGATATAAAAATAGATAATATTTTATGCAAGAGTGATGGTAATTTCTTAAATGACGAGATAATTAAATTTTATTTTTACATTTTTAGAAGAAAACGGGGAGCATTTTAAATTAGCTGACTATACAACTGCAAAAAAGCTTACTCATTAGCAGTAAAAGCTTAAAGATTGCGCAGGTACTAGTGGCTTTAGATGTCCTGAACAATAGTTTAATCTCGAATAAGGATATGATGGTAAAGCATGTGATATCTGGTCTTTAGGGATTTCAATAATAACTTATGTCAACCATAAAATACCATTTTGGGCTGAATCAAATCTATAAACAGACATAGCTGCTAAAAATAATCCGATATAATATGAAAAACATAATTCCGATCTATTAAAAGACTTAATCGAATCAATGTGCAAAAAATCAGAGGTAGATAGAATTAATATAGATTAAGTATTAGCTCATCCTTTTTTTACTGGTGAATGATAAAAAAAGTGTCTATAAAAGAAATATATAAAAATATTGTTTTTTTTTTCTGATGATTAACAAAAAGATGATAAGAAAAAAAAAGATTTAATATTAAAAGGGGTGTAAGATTTACATTTAAAAATACAGTTAAATTTATTTATTTACTGTCTTATATATATATATATCAATCTATTTTTATTATATTTAAAAGCAATCTTATATAAACTACTATTAATATATTTATCTATCTATCTTTCTTACTACCTACATATTTAGCTATATATCAACTGATATTTCAATTACACTATTCAATATATCCTCAAACTCTGTTGAATTTCTTTTTGTCCATTCTAAAGTCTTCAATTTCATTTATTGCCATTCTTCCTAAAGAATAATCTGGACCCAATCCTTCTAATCTTTTTTTAATTAATTAATTATTTATTTATATAATTATAGATTTATGGATATTCATATATTATTTTGTATTTACCTTCTTAAAGTATATTCAGTAGATTAAATTATTCCATAAATGCCACCACCAACTATACCTGTTCCAAAACCAAAAAGTCTTAATCCCCATCCAATAAAATGCCTATTATAAACTAAATAAATATGACTTAATATCATTTTTGTAAATTGAATCTTATTGATGGTAAGATTAATATTATTTTAATAATTTTTTATTAATTTACTTGAAACACCTGTAGTAAAAGCCACTCCAAGAACTGCATAACTAAGCATATTCCTTTTAGTATACTAATAAATTATTCAAAAAAGGAACTTATAACTAATATCTTACTCTTCTACAATCTTCTAAAGTTTCGATTTCTTCAGGGGTAGGAGGCTAATAACTCCAAAAATTTTTAATAATATTTCTTAAATCTAAACCTTCAATAGCTTCTCTGTAAGCTCCCATTTTTTCTTCATATTTTTTTTTTCCTAATTGAATAGATAAACATTAAAATTAAAAAAGTTTATATGAGTGAATGAACTTAATCCAAACTTAATCAATTACTTAATAATGTAGGGTCTTCTTTTTCATCTTTCTACCCCTCAAAAAATTGCTTTAACTCCTATTCTTCTTTATTTAAATCTTCTTTAACTTATTAAATGCTAACTGCATCTTTTTTTTTAATCTATTCACGAATTTTTATATCAGACTCTCTAGCCTTAATAAATTCCTATCTCTTTTAATCAGCAGGGGAAGCTTTTTGTTTACTATCATTACTTGTTTAAGAGTCACTCATTTCTAATAAACTATAAATTTAATAATTCTACTTTGCTTTTTTTATTTGTTTGTTTTGTATTGATGAAATAATTCTAACAATATTTATATTTTATGCAAATTTAATTTGCTTGCTTAATACTTGTTAAAACTCTTTAAATTCACTTCCAGAAATATCTTATTTAATTATAAAGATTTTTATAGGATTTCATCAGCAAAAACAAAATATATAAATTTAAATAAATAAATATGGGGCTGACTGATATAACTTTTTGACTTTTAATTTTCTAAATTTATTTAAAAAATATTCACTTAAAACAAACTTAAAAAATATTCACTTAGAACAAACTAATATAAGTTATTTTTTTTAGTGTAATTTTCTAAATATTCTACATTTAGGTATTAATTTTAAGTATGTAGAATTATGTATTCAATATTTTTAGAAAAATAATTAGAGTAAAATGTTATGCTTGTAAAGAGAAAACTTTTTTAAACTTAATCCTGTATCTTTTTATCTAGTATTATATTACCTATTATTTTAAACAATAAGTATTTTTATTTAATAGATTATTGATAATAAATATAGTAATTTTCAATTTTTATTTCATTTTATTATTTTTTTATTTGCAATTTTTAAATTCACTTAATTTTTAATTTTAAATCGCATCAATCAAAATAAAAGCAGGGCAATCAATCTCAAAACAAACTATAACAAAAAGGTTTAATCCTATCATAGATTTACTGTATATTAAATTTAACAAAGGCCATTTTTTCATTAATAATAACATTTGAATAAAATCATTTAAAATAAGGTCTACCATATAAAACACAATTTTTTTTAGCTTTTTATTACTCAAGGAATTATAGTGATAAGTTTTAAAATATAATTAATAATCTAAAACATATTGGTAAAACTATTCTAACACTTTCACTTCTTATTTACAAAGCTTAACAGCTTTTTATCTGTTAATTAGTTGTAATTAAAGAGTTTAGAAATATTATTTGCTTATATATGAGGTGGTTTACATTAATTTTGGCTGCTTAAAATAAAATCCTTTTTTTCAGATAAAAGATTGTGTATTACTCTTACATTTTTATTTTAAAGGATTCTGATATCTTGATATACCAGAAAAGAAAACATAGTGCAATTTTCTTATTAAGTGAGCTAAATTTTATTGTAAGGACCTAACAATGTTAAAATTTTTAACGCTGTTCTTAATTACCACAAAGGTTTATACTAAAATTCAATATTTTAAGAGTCATTATATAAGCTCTGATAATTTAAATTAAATATATTTTGGTTATTAAAAATATGTTAATCGATCTCTTTTGGCAGGAAGACAGAGACACTCACTTAATCAAATTGAGATTTGTTATTACTCTTTTAATGAGAGAATTTTACTCTAATCACATAGTTTTTGTCTAAAGATTCTAAGAAAAAGTTAAATAAATTGTAAAATAAAATTTTTAATTTGATAGCATCAGAAAATACTAGAATTTCTTAATTGTTATTTTATGTAGTTTCATTTTTATCTAATTCTACAATGATCATTTTAGACTAATTAAAATAAATATTGTTTAATGAATTAGCTACAATTTAAGCTGTTGAAAATAAATTTATCTTTAAACTATATACTTCAATTTACTATTTCCTTAAAAAAGAGCCAAACATTTTATAAGTTTCATTTTTAATAAACAAATTTGCACAAGTAGATAAAATAAACTAAAAATTTTATGTTTGAAAACTTAGTTGCTAACCTGTTTCATGATTTTGTTTTTATCGAATGATTTCATCAAATGTAACAGACGACTAAGATTTTTATTTAATAAATTAATCTATTTTTTAAATAGATTCCTTGACACAATCTTCCTGCTAAGAAGTAATAGCATTCAAAATATTATTTTTACGTTTTTCTTTTTCGTATTTGGATCTAAAACTTTCATTTTCCAATATAATAACTACATACAATTCACTATTCTTGAAATATTTTTACCTCAAGCTGTATTTTTTTTGAGATTCATTACCATCTTTTTTTTAAAAGTAGATCACATTAACAGCTTCTTCTTAATCTGAATTTTATTCAATATTTAATAGATTCTATTTTTATTCATTTTAATTTAAATCGGTTTTTTGTTTGATATCAAATTCCACTTATTTTGATATAGATTCTACTTTTATCTTGAAATTTTATTTTTAGCTACCTGCCCCTTAAACTTTTTATAAAAATATGCTTTGTTTTCTAACCTTTTCTTCCTTTTAACCTTATTCATTATTTTATTTATTGTCTAAATTTTCAAAAATCGCTTCAGAATCCATTTTATTTTTTGAAGTTTGGTTATTTTGACTATAAAATCTTTCTTAGTCAAATAAATTGCTATTTAACTAATTTTTATTTAAATCTAAATTTTTAATCTGCTCTTAAGCTGGTTATTAATTAGACATATCATCAAGGTCTTAGTATGACTAATTACTTATATATCTCTCTTAAAAGCTAGGAGAATTCACTAGTAATTTTTTTGGAGTGTCTAAAAATTTCTGATTTGTTAAATTAAAATTTAATTTATTTTTTTATTCTTAATCTATTTTTATCACTTTACTTTCAAAATTCTAGCTTTAAAATTATTATTCTAAATTTATATTGGCTTGCTTTTATACCAAGCTATATTACTTTTTTAATAAATTATTATCTTTATCTTCTAGTAAATTTGACTAATTAATATTACCAGAAAAATTACTTTAAAGTAAATTTTTATGTATTTAAGTTGATTCCTTTATCTACTCTTCTGGGCTTGGTTACCTTTAAGGTTAAATTTGAATCTTTTAGCATTCGCCAGCTTCTTTATTGTGTAAAATTTGAGTATCTTTGTTAGTAAACAAAAAGAATAACTTTTCTCTGATTATCCATTTTAATGAATTTTGTTCACTCCTTACATTTGATGAATTAGAGCTATTTTCTTAAAATGAATTTTTATCTTATTATGAAATAAATTGAGTTAAAAGAGAATTCTTTTTTTATCTAATAAAATAGTCGTTTATATAGCAGTTTTCTAAAAACTAATTGAAGGATTCATTATCAGTTATTTTTAGCTACTTTTCTGCTTTTAAGTTTGATGAATAGTACTCTAATCTTTCCTCTTTTTTATTAAACTTTCCAATCACAAATGGTGTAGGTAATTATTTATGAATCATATTAGCCCAATCAATAATATGTCTTTTTTATATGAAGATCTATCTTTTGATGATCTCCTCATGTCTAAGTTTAAGAGAATAAAGAATGCAAGGGAATACATAACGTATTATATTTGAAGTTTACAAGTTATTATTAGAATAGCTATCACTTAAAATAAATAAGAGCCCAACAGTAACAAATAAAAAGCTCTTTACAAAATAACTACCACCTTCTATACAAGAGCATAGTAAAAATGCATTAACATATCCGTATGAAATCGTTTTTCGATCATCAAATTTTAGAAAATCTTAGTCATAAATGCCCCATGTTACATTCAAAGAGTATGCATAAACAAAAATAATGTGAGATATATTATACAGATATGGTTTGAAATAATTAACTAATATGTAAAGGCAGCTAAAAGTAAAATGATTGCCATAGTAAATGAAGAACTTCATATACCTAAATTCCTTTTTAATTGAAACTTAGTAAATAATATATAAGAGAGACCAAACAACTAAAACATAAGCAAATCCAATGTGAATTTTACTTCTTTTAATTTTTTCTTCTTTTTAATAGATCTGTTCAATTGATTTTTGTTTGAAAATTAAACTCCATTTGTGTAATTCCTGCTTGTAGCTGTGCTCAATAATTTTTTCCATAATAGCAATAAAATTTCTAAAACTTTGTGTTTTTCTGTTTTAAGTAGTTACCTTGACTTGCTGCTTCAAAGTAATTGTATTTTTGTAATTCTTCGTTATTATTGCAATCTTATTGCTAAAAGTTTTATTTGGTATATAACCTTAAATCAGAATTTAATTAATGCAAATTTTCAATCAATAATATTTTTAGAAACAAATAAAAACTCTACATTTAATAAATCTTCTTTTGAAGTAAATAATAAAGTGAAGTCTTAACATAATTATTATAATATTATCTAATCCTAAAATTAATTTCAATCAATCAATATTAAAAAAAACTAAATTACCACTAAATAGTATTTTAAAGTTATTTAATGAATATCTGACTGAATATTTACGCTTTCTTTAAATTAATTAACCAGATAAATTTTCAAAATATATTTTATCTATTTTTTAAAAATTATTCTTCTATCAATTTTTTAATCTAACTTTTATTTATTTAAAGCAATAATAATCAATACAGAGATATCTCTATTATAAAACTTAAATTAATAGTTTGAAAAATCATATTTAAGATTTTATTTTTTTCTTCTTTTTAGAAAGCAATTAAGATTAAATTTTTCTTCTTCTTCATAATGATCAATTTTTCAAAAGATAATAAAGAACAAGATTGGTATTTTACCTCATTAAATTGAAACATTCACTAGAGAGGAGGTTAGTTAATATTATAAGTCATAAAAATTGATGTTTTTTATCTTAAAATAAATTTTATCATTACTACTTTTTTATTTGCAGCTAAAAAATAAATTGATCTTAAAATTCAGTTTAATATTAAAAATAATTAAGGAAAATTTAAAACATTAATAAAGATAATAACTAAAAGATTAATCCAAAAATGAATTAAAAAATATTAGAGATATTTTTGATGTAAAAAAAGATTCTTATAAAAATATATAAAAATAGAAATATTAATAAAATATAAGAGAATATTAATTATTTCATAAAAATATTAAATATTTGATGTTAATGACAACAAATTAAAATATTTTAAAGTAAATCAATTATTTAATCTCTGATAATAAAAAATAAGGTTCACATATACAGTAAAAATTATCTAATGTGATCCTTGTCTGGACCAAAATTTTTAGTAAAAATTAAATCTGCAAGCTCAATTATAAAAAAAATTCAGCAATTTTAATAATATTTCCAAAGGAAATACAGTATTTTGATGTAAAATAAAAAATACTTTAGAATTTCTACAATAAATATAATTCTTAAGTAAACAAATAAAATATAAATTAAAATTTTTATAAACATTTAAAATTTAAAAAATTATTAGGATAGTATGAATCAAAATAATAAAATAGTTTTTTATTAAATATTATAATTCATATTAATTTATAAATTAGTTCTCGTATAAATAACTTTTTCATTAATTAACTAATTTATTAAATTTTAGGATATTGTAAAAAATTGTTTGATATAATAACAATTTAAAAATAATCAAAGAAGTAAGAAGCTAAGTAGAAAACAAATATAAATATGTAATAATCACAAGCCAATTAGATATTACAGACATTCGATTTTGAGAAGATAGATGAAAATGAAAGATTCTTTAGATTAATGTTAAATACTACTGAAATAAAAATAACTGAATTGATTTACTCGCATAAACTAGATAAGAAAGCTAAATTCTTCATATTTTAGGATATTAAGTAAAATACAATTTAATACCCATTTATACAGTTCAATTTAAATCAGAAACAAAAAATTTGGTATCAAATGCAAAGCGACAATTCAAATTAACAAATGTCTACATTTTTTTTGCAAAAGTTGTACATCTAAGAAAGTCCAGGGCTTAAATTAGGTTTTTTTTATAATACTGATAATATCAACATTATCTTTAAAAACGAAAATTTTAAATATACTTTAAAATAGATGTTTTTAATAATTAAAGAGGAAAGAAACTTGGTATTACAATGTACTTTTTTAAAGTAAATTTATACAAATCTGATTCAAGCTATGATTTCTTGTTTAGAAAATAAATAATTTTACAAGTTTAGCACATCAACCATTTTAGTAAAAAATGATAGTCCGAATTTTAGTGTTAAAGTAGTTGTCCCTTATTTTATCTATAAAAATTAGAAATAAGACTAAATTGAACAAAATAATAATTATGATTTGTATGAATCTTACCTATTAAAAAAAACTAATAAAATTGTAAAAGAAATGCATGAAATATTTAAAAAGTAAAAATTGGATGAAATTTCAAAAATAATTGAAAAAGCAAGTGCTATAATTAAACCTTGTAAGAAAATTATACATATTTAGGAAAGACTTAATAATGACGATTAAAACTCTGTAAGAAATTTACTTTAAATAATGATTGATAGACATAATTAATAAGATATTAATATGACAGAAATGACAGCAATAAGTTAAATTAGAATGAATTTAATTTGATAAAATTTCAATAACAAAAAATAAATGAAGTTTTATCTCATAAATGATGATTTTATTCTAAAAGCACATAAAATTATATACAATTAATTTTATATATTTATTACTAATACCCGGATAAAGTAGAGATCTATTGATTATATGAATATAATTAACCATTCAAATAAAAAAATACATATTGATTTAAGTATTAAAATTTTTTTTGTCAATACATTTATTTTTATTTTTTTATGGAATTTTAAATGTCAAATTTGAAATTATTGTTTTTTTTTTTTTTTTGATTTTTTGGATTTTTTGGATTAATGATAAATATTCAATTTAAAATTTTTATACGACAATATAATATTTGATTAATAAGTTAGATCTTAATTATAAAAAAAGAGTAATCTAATAAGTTGATTAAAGGATTAAATGAGTAGAGAAAACAGATTTAACAGTAATATAAGTAATTTAGAGGTAGATTAAAGGAAACCTTAGAATGTTTCATAGAGTAGTATATAGTAGCCACTTCAATCTAATTTTAGTTCTTAAAGCTCTTAAATGAATAAATAAGAACTTATTAATAGTCAGCAAAAAAAGTAGATGTATTCAAAATAATCTAAAAAATAAATCAATCAAGAGAAAGATGACAACACAGATAATTTAAATTTAGTTATTTAAACATAAGGAGGAGCATCTCTTAAGAATTTATTAGGGTTATAGCATACTTTTAATTAATCTCCTAATTTACCTACAGATTCATAAAATGAAGAGAATAAGTTTACTTTTGAGAAAGTAGATAATCAAAATAGAGATAAAGTTGATTCTTATCAGTCAGCAACATTTAGAAAAGGAAGTGAATTAATACATAGTTAGACAAATTAGATAGGTAGTATCACAAGCTTGCAAAATGATTAAAATATTACAAACTCTTAGTAGATCGCTTAACAATTGATAGGTGTAAAATAAAATAATTTTTAAAAAAGCTCAATAGTGTTGAATAGTACTTTTGTTAATTAGAATCAAAGTAGTATTTCATAAAATTAGTCCTAAATTTAGCAGCCAATTCTTTTTTTGAAAGATAAAAATATAACTACAAAATAGTACATGTAAAAAATTAAAGAATGTTTATAAAATGATTATGAGAATAAACTAATAGGGTTGTTTAAGTTTGCATAACTTTACTCAAACTATCAAAAAGAGGGGTAATTAGCCAATAATGATTTAATTGAAGCAACTATGATTTATGATAACTAATTTTAAATTGCTTAATAAAATAATTAATAAAATTTAAGCTAGCTTTATTTACATGATTATTAAAAAATGTTTCAATTCTAAAAACAATCCTCTTTAGGGAGAACAGTTTTGAGACAGTGCTGCATTTACAAAGGATAAATTCGTCAGCCAATTGAAGATAAGAGTAAGTTTTTTTTATTGAATCAATAGTATTTAGTTAAAATGAATCCTAAAATTGATTCAAAATTTTATTTAATAATTATAAATTATTGATAAAATAGATTAAAAAAGAAGTAAAAGTCCTATTACTCAGAAGTACAAAGAAAAGGAAATAAATAAATTTCAAGCAATTGAAGAAAAAGGGAAAATATACAAAAATACTCTATAATGGAAGGGTGATGCTTAAAAAAAATTTCGTGTTATGTTAAGAGATAATAAAAATCATTTATTTGCCGTTTATACTGAGGATTTAGAAGAAGTAAAGATTTTTTCTCTTTCTAGAAATAAAATTTTTCAATTGTTTTTTTAAGGCTATTAAAATCAGAGATTATTTTTTGTGCTTAAAGATAGAAGATTAAAATACTTATTCAGATGTTAATCTACGAGGTTTATTTAAAAAAACCACTATATATAGACAGAAAGATAGATTTATGCATTTTGTAATCGATTAAATTATTCTATTAATCATTTTAGAAAATAATTATTTTTAATTAAATAGTTTTAAGGAAAGCTTAGAAGCTATGCATCTTACCTTAAAAATTAACAACTATAATAGTAATAATAACAGTAGCTATAATTATTATTGTAAGAGTAGAAGAAAAAGTAGGAAGAGTAATTAATAGTAAATTTAATTATTAAAATAGTATTAATAAATGCTTATAAAATTTTTGTATCTTAGAAGGAAAAAATGGAAATGGATGATATTAAAGACTGCGACATTGAATTAGATTAGAAAGAATAATCCAATTATTATTAAACAAACTAGTCAAATAGTCCTTTCTAGAGCAATAAATTTAAGAAGGTAAAGAAGAATAATAATGATTCCCTGTAAGTAGATAATGGTAATAAAAGCTAGGTTAATATTAGTTAGCTCAGTGATAAGTCTCATCAATCCGTACCAGCTTAAGCTAATATGATTGAAAGTTAATAATTTATAGACTCACACAGAAATGATATGATTCTAGATGAGGAATCGATTGGTAATAATGGGATGAAAATAAATGAAACTAATAACAACAATTCCATAAAATAGAAAGAGAGAAAGCCATCTTTATAAATTCCAGAAATTAGAGATGTATTTTTAAAGAACTAAAGCATATTAAAAGAGTATGAGAACCTTTAAAAATAATTCGAACTTTAAGATGAAAAAGATTAAGATGATGAAAAAGAATAAAACGAATAAAAATATATATATTAATCTAAGGACTAGTAAAACTAAGCAAAATGGAATCAAAGAGATTGCAGGAATATTATAGTATTTAGATCAACAAATAATAAAATCTAAGTGGACAAATAATCAGTAAATAATTTATTATTTCTCAATAGATAATAAGTTTCCATTATTTTATAACAAACAGGTTAACTTATTCTTTAATAAAATCCATTTTTTGAGAGAGTACGATAAAATATTAAAATCCGCATTTAGAGAACAGTTAAAGATGAGAATTAGAAACAGGGCAGAGAATGAAATATTTGATATCAAAAAGAAAATAGAGCAAGAAAAAGAAAAGGCTGATATATTTGTTGACATATTTTTGACATTTTAAGAGTTAAAATTTGAGTTTAAAAGTAAAATAAATGATCACATTAACTATTTTTTTAAATTTTTTTTAATTTATTATGTAGATGAAGAAAAAAATGATCAGAGTATGGTCTTTAAACCTAAATTAACATTGTAAATTATGAAAATGATTGATTTAGATCCTAGATAAAAGTAGATATTAAATGATTAGGGAGATACAAAACCTAAAATGCAGTTTATATTTTTTGGAGATTAAAACAATAAAAAAAATGTTGCTGAACTAAAGGCTAGAGTGTTTTCTAAATAAGGTAACTTCAAAGAGTTTGAGCTTTATGGTGATAATAAAGTTGCTGACATAAGGAATGTAAAGCTTATAGCAATAAAGAAGAATGAGATGAAAATACAAATTATTGACGAAATTACTGGTTCTTTGATTGCAAAAAATTCAATAAAAATGGAAAAAATACTTAGCAAAAACGATTTCATGAGTTCTCAGATAACTATTGAACCTGTTTAATCTCTATGCGATAAATTAGCTATATAGGTAAGTTTGCAGTCTTTAACTGTAGAACAGAAGAATGGCATTTAATTCTAAGACAATAAATTAGGAGATAATAGTTTCTCATAAAAAAACAACCAAAATGAATATTAAGATGTTAAAGAAATGAGAATAGAAACCCTAAGCCAATACATAGAAAGTATTTTGGCAAAATAAAATTATATTTTGGATAATTTTTACTAATGCAGAATATTCTTAGAACCCTTTTCTCCAAGCTAATTTAAAATTGTTTTAGAACTCATTTCTGAGTTGAAAATAGATACTACACCTCTTTAGCTTAGCCTTAGAAAACAAAGTCATAAACTTGAATGCTACAGGTAGGTGAGGGCTATATTATTTAAACACTACTTAGAATAGCAATCCTATCATTAATCTATTTTAGTTAAGAATCTAAATTGTTGGAATAATTTATATGATAAGATTGTTGCTTAGGCAGAGTAAATTTTATTTTTTTAATTTATAAAATAATAAATAATTTTTTTAATGTTCATAGCGTTATAGAGTATGGTAATAACTAAAGAATAGACAACAATTACTTGGATACAAGTGATAATTTTATACTAAGAGATGCATGTGATGAAATTAAAAAATATGATTTTGATGCTGGTAATGATTATATTTAACAAATGCAATCAGGGAGAGATAGTGTTTCGTCTTAAGATGATATTTTTAGCAATAGAAGAATAGTAACTTCAGTTTTTTATAAAAGAGATTTGTGGGAGCAGGATACCTCATAGCAGGAGTTTTACTAAGAAATGCTCAAACATACAGAAAAGGGAATACCTAACTCTCTTAGATAGACTCTGTGGCTAGAAATAGGGAAATCAAGCAAATACACTCATATGATTAATAGACTTTTACTTTCTCTTGATAAAGGCTAAGTTATAAATAGCTCATTAAGTGAGGTTTATTAAAATTTACTCAAAAAAGCATATTAATTTTAATCAAGCTCAACTGGCTAAAGTTTTATATCAGAAATTTAAGATATGCAAGCTGATATTTATTGGTATAAAGAACATATTTTATTTATTGATGACCAAATGCTAATAAGTTTAACAAATATATTCTATGCATACTGCCACTATGTTTATCTCCAAAATAGCAGGACTATTTATTCAAAGTATCTCATCCCATTTGCAGCCAGAGCCTTAGATTATTTTAAAAGTGAAAGCAAGGAAAGCGATGATTCTATTGAAGAAAATGCATTCTGGCTTGTTGTATGCTTTACAAACAATTTTGCAAAAAGATATTATAATACTTAGCTTATGATTGAGGCAGCTCAGTAAATTATGTAGGAATAGCTGCTAGAATAATCCTCTAAGCAAAATAATAATGCTCTAAAAACTGAAGTAATAAGTAAGTAACTAGTCTAATCTCAAATATCTATGCTTCCAGCTAATAATCCTACAAATAATCATCAAAAAATATAGACTAAATTAAATTACATCCCAGATGATATTAGACTTGACATGCTGATCTTTGAATTTTATTTTAAAGAAAAAAATTAAAAGTTGTATAACTTTTTAACAAATGTTAGCTTTGGTATTGGATTATTTTTTGCAGAAAAAATGCTCAGCTATTTTTCAGATTTATTCAACCATGAATTATTATTTAGAATTTGGGATTACTTATTTGTAGAGGGAAGTTCTAAGAATACCTTAAAAGCTACCTATTTTGGAATTGCAGTCATGATTCACTTCTTAGATAAAAATTCGAAGAGTATTGTTTCTAAATGTAAATCTAAAAAGGATACCTTACTCTATATATAATTAGCAGCTAGATTTGAATTCGATTGTGATAATTTTATTTCGGAAGCTGTTAAGCTGTATAAAAATATTATAGATAAGGATCCAGTTAGATTTCCAAAAAATTAATAACAGCAGTAAAGTACATAAAATCCAGCAGTAGCATTAGCAAAGACAACAAAGTTAATATTTCATCAAATTATTAGTGTGTCAAATAAAATATTTAATTAAACTCTATAAAACTACTTAGAAACAGTTGATCAAGCATACAAATAGCTTGATATGCAAAGATATTTAAATTAGCTCATGTTTGTATAAACTTTGGTTCAGTTTAAAGATACCAAAAAGATAGATTTAAAAAAACTAAAAAAAGTTATTGAAAAGGACATTTTTTATAAGCATCATAGCTCAGATGTTATTACTTTATTTGAACACTCAAGAAATTAAAGTTAGATTGGAAACGAGTTATCTGTATCAAATATTAGGTCAAGAAGTACCAGTTAGATTAGTGTAAGTTCCTAAACTCGTAATTAGCAACAAGGTGGTTTACAATTAGAAACTATAAAGCCAATTTACAACATATACTCTAAATAACCTGAGATTTCAAAAATATTTATTTATATCCATTAAATTCAAATTTTAGAAGACTATAATGAACTTAATGTAGAAGTTAAATTTGAAAATCAAAAAAGTGTGCATTTAGTTAAAAGGCTCTCAGCTACATAAATAATTGAGTGTTTTGATCGCTCAAAAGATTACATATAAAAAGTGAATGAATAAAAAGCAATAACAATAACAGTTTATCGATTTTAGGACAATACAGTAATACCTGTGAAGTAAACTAAAATTTATTTTAGTAACTACTAACCTGACGTAATCACTAAAGATTACACAATTATGTATGAGTATGAAAACGTAGATGATTATTTTTTAAACAGTAATTCTTAATATGAGAATGATAAAAATCAAGCAAACAATTAATCATATAATGGAAGAATAGATAATGTAAAAGAACAAGGAAGACCTTTATATAATTATGACTCAGGTGTGGAATTTACGATTTTGTTAGCTACACCTCACGGCATGGGAGAGTCTAAAGCTTACTAAAATATTTTATATCTAAAAAGGATTCAAGCAACCAATAATATTTCTCTCACAGGGAACTCTATAAATATATAAAATATTTCAAGCTATTTGATTGATAAATACAACTATGTACCTGAAGTTTTTCATGTGAGAAAGAATTAACAAGCAGAAAGCAAGCTTAAGTAATTTAATTAAATAAAATCTGAAAATTTTGTTGAAATAATATAAAATAAATCGTTAAATACGATAAAAAATATGTGGAAATAAAAAACTACATTGAGCTTAGAAGAATTTAAAGAATTTGTGAGCAAAACAGACCTAATAGATTGGAATGATCTAAATATAAATGAGATAAAAAACCACTTTTCATATGAAGGAAAAATATGCTTATTTGACTTTTTGCTAGTATGTATTCTATTAGTTGAAGGTAGATACCTTGAAAAAGTAGATGTACTACGTAAATTATTCAAGTACTCAGCTCCGGTCTAAGTTTGTGAAGAAAGAGAGAGATTGAATGAAAACGACAATCCATTTATCTACACAAGCATAATTAATGAACTTTATTGCAAGAATATTCTCTTTTTACCTTTGAATATACATTTTCATTCTCTAAAACTGAAAAACCTACCTCATATTGAAAAAGCAAAGTATTTTTTAGAAAATTAGTCAGTTTAATCTTAAGGTGATAACCAAAGCTCTTAAAAATAGCTTGGTGCTAATTAAAGTTAGTAAAATCAGCCAATAAACGAAGCTCAAACCTAATCTCGAATAAATAAGACAGTTGACATAACAATTTTTATGTAATCATTTTGCGCTTAGTAATCATTATTTAAAGGAACATTTGACATTTTTATTGACTCACCTGAATTTGCAGATGCTCTAAAATAGTATTTAAAAGAGGAGTACAAAGTAGATAATCCTACTGGCAAACTTTAAGCATTTTATTGGGTAATAATTACTTTAACCTTAAAAATATAATGAAATATAAATTTTTTTGAATATAAATTAATGAATAGACAAAAGGATAGTTAAGATAGCTTCAAGCATAATACACTTATCAAACATTAGGACTAGTCCTCAATTATGTTAAATAACAGAAAACAAAGCTAAGCAAAAATAATTCCATTTTGAAAGCAATATAAAATGAATAGGATGTTAAAAATTAAATTAAATAGTAATCAGAAAACATTTAAATTTAATCAGTGTACAAGTTGCTTTAATTTAATGATACTTTAGTAAATCTAAACTATGATAACTACGAAATGGAAGAATAAGAGGTTAATAACACATTTTTTTCTTTACCTTTGCTATCTTACTTTAATTCTCTGCAAAACTCTGTGTATAATCACTCTAGACCTAATAGAAAAAACAACTCTTAAGATAGATTTACAAAATAATTTAATTTATAAATTTCCGTAGATAATGTAAATAAATGTTCATTTAGACTAATTGCATCTTAGAAAAAATAAGAATCGTAAATTAATTAATTAATTAAGTCATTTATATTTTTTATTTCAAATTTTAATTTAAAATAAAAAGTCAGTCCATTTAAGAAGAAGTTAGCTATTTCAACAAATAATTTAGGACTATATTAGAAGATTGGAACATAATAAAAAATTTAAAGAATTTACCTTAATAAAATAATGTTAAGCTAGATAAGTTAGATATGAGTATAGACCACATCCCACTTTATTATAAAATTAAAGATTTAGCTAAACTACTTACTTATCGTTTAATGGAGAGCTGTATCAATAAAGTTGAGGAATATTTTTCATATAATTAAGGTGTAAGCTAATGGATTTCATTCTTTCACTAGATAAAATCAATAGATATGTTAGCAAATTTGGAAGGAGTTTACTATTAAATAAATACAAACAGAAATAACAAATTAGACCCAAATTTGGATTTAGAGCAAAATCTTATTTAAGTTTTAAATTTATATAATAAAACAGATAGAGACTAGTAAACAAATTTAAATGATTTGAAACACGATTTAATATTGAATTTTAGCTCATCAGAAAGTCATCAAAGTGATGATGACGTTTCTAAATTTGAATAGCCCTTACAGTATGCTATTTACAACTTTAAAGATGGTGGAAAGCTATGGATGCCTTGCAAAATAGAAGGATATGTTAAAAAATAAAAAAAATTCTAAGTGAAATTTTTTGACTTCCCAGAGCGTACTTATCTAAGAGAAGAGGAGGAAATTGCAGTTGATTAAGATATATAAATTTTGAATATTACAGATGTAATTTAATTAATTAATTAATATATTTAACAAAATATTTTACTTATTTTTTTTAATTAATAAATAAAGGAAGAATATTATCAAAATGAATAAAATAATCACAATTTATATAATGATAATTCTGTAAATTTGACATTAGAAACACAGCATTGGGATTAAAGCTAATTTGGATTGGCTAATACAAGAATTAATTCAAGTCAAATAAATGTAATGAATACAAGTAATAATTTTAATTAGGACTACAGCAGATATAAAAACACATAGTTTACACAGGATGCATAATCTTATTACTAACCAACACAAGAAGATATATACCAAAAAGATTTGTATGAATTTTAAAATTAAAAAACATAGGAAAATTTTTAAACTGAATTTGAATCACCAATAAAAAGTCAACAATACCAAAAATAATTTTACTGAATTTGTTAGTTAAAAAGTTAATTTATTTTAGGGTTATTTAAAACTCAATTTAATTATAATAAATAAAACACAAAGGATCTCTAATAAATTAAAGGAATATTTTAAAGTAATCTTATAAGAATAACTTATGAATATATATATATTTAATTGTAAATAAATTACTCTATCATCTTTATAAAAAAACCTAAATTATAACTTTTACTAATTTATTTTTTTTAGAAATTGCTTTTTTAAAAATGTAAATTTTAAATAAATATTTTTTTTATTTTCTAAAATACTTTTATTTATTTTAAATTTGTTTAATGAAAGATTAATATCAATCATACTTTTAAATGAATGATAGATTTAAAAGTAAAATTTTTTGTAAAATTAAATAAATTCATCTCCTAAAATTTTCAAAAATGGAAATATTAAATTTTATTGGTATAAATTTTAATATTAAGGATTATTTTTAACTGATGAATATAATTAGTTCTAAATACTTAAAAGCATAATAATAAATTAGTATCAAAAAATTTTAATATGCTTTGTTGATTACAATTAACACGAAGAATTTACCTCAAAAGAGATTTTTTCACATAATTTAATCATTACTAAATGACCTTTTAGCTAAATATTTAATTTTTTGCAGAAAATTATTTAATAATAAAAAGTTTTTTTATACCTTATTGATTGATAATAACAAGAAATTAAAAGCAAATTGTAAGAATTTTAAATAGGAATTAGAAATATTCTATAAATTAAGTAAATAAAAGTAGTAATTATGAAGATTCCTTCATCGAAAAAGCTATAATTAAAAAGCCTCTTGCTTGTTTTAAGTCTAATCATTTTATTTTGTTAAAATGCACTTGGATTAACAGCAAAGCTGAGTTAAATATCCCCTACATACTTATAATTAACCACGGATAATGATATGATAATTAGCTCCTAATACTAATTAGCAAATATTTTTTCAATTACTATCGATAGCATCAGCCCAAGTAGCTACACATACACTTTTAATTTAAAAAATCCTACTACTATAGAAATTAACATAGTATACTCATAAAGTTTTATTTATAGATACCTTAATTTATAGGTGACTCAACCTAAAGCAATTACAGATTAAAGTGGAGCTAATCTTGATTAAAATAGTTATAGCACATAAATATAAATGGTTATAATCTATTCAAGTGCAGAGAAGACTATTCAAGACATAATACCTTATATTGTGTGGGGATTTTTTGGAATCTTTGTTTGCATAACAATTAGTTTTCTTTTTATGAAAGTAGACACAGTAAGCATTTGGAATATTTTAGAATTCTTTCAAATATGTGGAGTTTTGAATTACTTAAACATAGTCAAAGCATAATAACTAATTATTTATCTCAGTGAGCTGAATAAAAGCAATTTTTTCTTTATCCCTACTTGGTTTTATCAGTTGCTCTAGCAAATTAATAAGTCTATATCAACTAATAGCTCTAGCGTTTTTATCACTAATAATTCAATTGATGCACCTTCTTCAACAAGCTTTATAAGAACTACAGGAAATGCCTTATTTATTGTCTTTATATACACATTCCTTACTTTGATATGCTCGTTTAAACCTTGTTTAGTTTTTTAGAAAATTTTTAACACTCGCTCTCTTTATAGAATTGTAGATATTCTTTTGATTCATTTTGTATTTGCTAGTGTCATTAATTTGAGATACTGTTCTTTTAGCAGTGGTTATAACATTAGTGACTTTGCTTCATCAATTGTTTGCCTTATAGCTTTTTTTTTATACTCAACAATAATACCCTGCTCTAAAGTTAATAACATAGATGTTATTATGTTAGACAAAGAGGTAATAGAGAGAAATAAGCATTTCATTAATAAAGCTAGAGTAGAGTACTTTTTTAGCAGAAACTTCTTTTCATTTCGTACAATTTTTAGAAGTCTCTTAGTTATAGGACTTGCTTTAGGAACATTAAGCAAAACTGCAGCAGGAATAATCACATTTGGTTCATTATTTTATTGGATTATTGTTATCATTTTAAGTTTAAGATAAAGTTTATATGATGATAAAATATTAAATGCTATCTAACTAATAAATACTATCTCTCTTACAGTTCTTTTAATATTGTTTATAATTTTATGGAGTTTTGAGCAGTTCTATGCCTTGGTATCACGCTCAAGCAGCAATCAGATTGATAGCTCTTATATTTCAATAAATCACTATCTAAGTTGGTCTATAATCTGTCTAATAGTAATTGCAAAAATATCCTACATAGTATAGTTAGTATTCTATCTAATATAAACTCGAAATATAAAGCTGCAGACTCTCTTGAAAACTTAAAATACAGAAGATTCTTAGGTGAAAGAGCAAAGTTAATTACAAGAATAATTAGTAAACTATAATGATAAATCTATTGTTTAAGATTCTCAGTAAAATAATAGTTTTGTTTATGGAAAAAAGCAGATGTTTTAAACATAAATAGAGTAGAAAAATATCGAATTATCAACAACATAGCCAATTTAATAGCAAAATATAAATGAATTAAATACTGTGTAATCTTAATTATTTGATTCACCTTAAAAGCTTGTTAATTAAACAGCATTAAATAATACAAATACTTCTTAATTTTATAATAACGGCTCATCACTTAATAAATCATAGCCAAATTAAGTTTAGTTTCAAGCTTAAATTTCATTTAATAATTAAAGCATGTAGCAGTAGCCTTCAGATTTTATGTTTTCTTCTCATAAGAATGACAATATACTAAATAACTAGTAAGAGTAGGAGCATAACCAAAACATAAGATTTACTAATAAAACATCTACTTTTTCTGCTGAAAACAATGAAAGAAACTAATTATGAATTAATATATTTTGTCCAAAATATTTCAATAAAATTTATATTATATTTAATTATTTTTCTTTTAAATGTTTGAGTAAATTAAAATATTTGATTTGAGTTAATTAATTTTATAAAATATTAAAATTAATTTAATTCTATAATAATCTAATTAGGCTATGCTTACTATTAATATTTAATCTTTAGTGGTTTTGATGTGAAAGTAAGTTTATGTTTGCTTAACAAAGTTTGTAAAATTATCTAAATAAACAATAATTAATTTATTAATTATACATAAAAAAATTTTTTTAAAGATTGGAAAAATGTTAAAGAGAGTATTTTATGCTTTAACACTTAGTTTATTGTTTTTAAACTTAGCAGACTCAAAAAAAGAGACCCTTTATGTAGCTTAGCCATATCACCTTTACAAACTTTGTGTAAAATAAAAATGCGAAAAGCTTTTTTGTTTGATTAGTGATAATAATTGCTAAAGAGAGATAAGAAAATCAGAAAAGTGTAAAGAATCTAATATGAATTGCTAAGGATTTTTTGAATGGGAAATGGAGAGAAGTGACGATGATACTACTCCAGTCCCAACCTCTCTCAGACTATGTTTCTAACTTTGTCCAGCTGATAGATTCGAAAGCGAAAACTTCTATGAAATAGAATAATGTATGTATGGATGTGCATTTTAAGAGATATAAAGAGGGGATTTATGAATAAAATATTTATTTAAATCATTTATGATAAGATTATTTTATTTATTTACTTCATTTTTAGATAGCAGTATTAATTTCTTAAAATAAATTTAAAATAATTTACTTTTTGCTAAAATAAAAATAATAAAAAAAGGACTTAAATGAGTGATTTTCACTTTTTAATATTTATTTTAAAAATTAAAAATATATTTTAAATATACTAGATTATTTTGATTTATTTATTGATAAACACTGTAAAAAAATAATTTTATAATAAAGTTACGTTGGTTGATTTTGATACTTAATAATTAATTATTTTTTTGCGGGCAATAAATTTAAATTATGAAATTAAATTATTTTGAATCATTTAATCAAATTTTTGACAAAATAGAACTACTCTAAAATTTGTAATAAACGAATATTTTGCAAACCTGAAAGATTTAATATTTCAAAATATTATAATAAGAAAGCATTCTTTATTTAAAATAATATACATTCATATAAATAATAAATAATGTTTAATCACCAAACTCTTTTCGAGACAACTTAATTTTATGTTTAAAGATAAAATCTGGCTGTTAATCCTCGTATAGCAGCTCTTAGAGAGAGACATGATATGATGAATAGCATAATAAATGAACTTAATTAATCTAGCAAAAACGATTTGAAAAGACACTTGTTGTTAACATCTGATAAAATAACAAATATATTTACTTAAATTTAAGCTGATAAGGAAAATGTAAATAGCATTAATTTACCGCTTTAAGCTGATACAAAAGATAATAAAAATGGTAGTAATTTTAAAAGAAAAAGTGATGAATAATCATTAGGATTACCTTCTACTGTCAATCAAAATTTTAATTTTTAATAGCCTTTGATATCAAGTAATAACTTGAGACAGGCAGTATTTAAACCTGGAGCAGATATGCAAGATTTAGTTGATTAAAACATGATTCTTGAATAACTGTGCTAAAATTAAGAACATTTTTGTATATTTATTTATATAGCTAAGCAATTTCTTAAAAAAATTTTAAATTAGTAAAGGAATTATATGAAGAAGCAGAAAATATTGCAAACAGTAATCTAATATGGAAAAAAGAAATTATACAAATGAATAATCACATAGCAAACATCGATAAAACTATTTCAGTAAATTATATCAAAAGCTCATAAATTATTTTTTTATACCTTTTGTTTTTATTAGAACTTGGAATGTAATTTTGTAAGCGAAGTAAAAGCAGTTAAAAATCAGGTTATGAATCTCCATATAACGAGCGATCAACTTTAAGAAGAGATGGATATTGAATTTGAAAACAACTAAAATCTAATGGAATAAAATTAAAAATATTCATAAGAGCTAAGTTAACTGCTTGAAATAAAAAAACAACTAGAAAAAGAAATAGAAGAAACAGAAATGCACTAAAAATCACTGAAGGAACAAAATAATTAATTTTCTGATTTTTTAGCTACAAGCGAAATAAAATAATAAGAGTTATTTTAACGAATTGAGCTCACTGTTGCAGAAAAAAAGGACTTAAATGATGAATTATAATCAATAAAAGGTAACATTAGAGTATATTGCAGAATTAGACCTCTTTTACCTTCTGAAATAAATGTTGAAAAATGTACTAATATTATTTAAGTAACGTCTAGTAATAATGTAGCACTTTAAGTTCCTTAACAAGTAGCTATTAAATTTAATGCCTAGATATTAATTTTTCATTTTTATTAAAATAAAAAAAGCACTTAAAATCAGAAAATAATTAGAAAGATTACAGATTTTCTTTTGAATAAATATTTGATGAAAACTCTTCTTAGCAGACAGTGTTTGCTGAAATGTCTTAATTAATACAATCACTGATTGATGGATTTAATGTATGTATTTTTGCTTATGGTTAGACAGGCTCTGGAAAGACATATACAATTGAAGGTGGGTAAAGCGAAGAGTCTAAAGGTCTTATGCAAAGATCTATGGAAATGATATTTCAACAAATAAAATATTTACAGTAATTTGGTTGGACCTATAAATTATTTGTAAGCTTTTAAGAGGTAATGAATAACAATTGATTATATAAATTATTTATTAATTTTATTTTCATTAATTTAGGTTTACATGGAGCAGCATAGAGATCTCATTACTAACTTCAAAGTAAGCGAAAAGCAGGATTAGCTCGTTTTTGTTGAAATTAATTCAATTGAAGAATTTTATCCTCTCATGAAAAGAGCCAGAGAAAATAGAAAGACTGGCAGCACGATGTGCAATGATCATTCTTCTAGAAGTCACTCTATATTTTAATTAAAATTATATGGTTCCAACACTAAAGATGGAAAAACTTGCAATGGAACACTAAATTTAGTTGACCTTGCAGGTTCTGAAAGAGTTACACAATCAAAAGCTGAAGGTTTGCTATTAGAAGAAACTAAATTTATAAATAGAAGTCTAACTTCTTTGGGAGACGTCATTAATTCCTTGGCACAAAAAGATAAGCACACACCTTTTCGAAATTCAAAATTAACATATTTACTGCAACCATATTTATCAGGTATTTATTTTCAAGACTATATGAGTAATTATTTATAATTTTTTATTTTAAATAAAAAGGAGAAGGATCAAAGACATTAATGTTTTTAAATTTATCCCCATCTTCTTCTAGCTATCATCAAACATTATGTAGTCTAAGATTTGGTGATAAAGTTTCAAATATAAAGCTTAAAAAAAAGTGAATCTTGTTAAGAAAAAATAAAATCATCTATCTTTCTATTTCAATTTCTAATTTATAATACTAATATTTTTAAATATTTAATTAATTAATTATATAAATTTTTAATCTTATCTAATGCTATTTTATAATTTAATTTCTTTAAAACTTTTATATACTGTATTTATTCATTGAATTGATAAAATAAATTATTACTCCATTTTTTAATCAATATATTTTCTATAATGTTATTTTTTTATTTACCTTTAAATAGCTTTAGATAAAAAAGAATACTTAAATTACTATATGAGTATTAATTATCACTAACTCAACTTTTCATTTATTTTAACATATATTTTGGTAAAATAATTACTTTTAAAAAATAAAAAATTGCAAAAGTTATATCAAATTACATAAAATTTCAAGTAAGTGTTCCTCATTTTAATAATAAAATAGCTATTTAGGATTGATTAAAGGAAATCAATATTATAACTGAAATTATTTATGAAGTAAAGGGCATTTAACTAAATTTAATATACTATGAAATGATAAAATTATATTAAATTTAATAAATTAATTATTATTTTAATTTTTAAGTTTTTTATACTAATGTTTATATGTTTCTTTATTTATTTTTTAAATAAATGACAAAGAATTAAAATTTCATTGAATTTGTCTTACATGTAAGCATTTAAAGATTTATTAAATAAGTCCCTTCTTTGTCACTGAAATATATTTCTTCAAAATAAAAAAAATGTGTAAATATTTTAAATAACAATCTTTTATATAATTTAAGTAAACATCTATTTTACCTGATAATTAATTATAAACTAACTTAATAAAAATTTTAATATATAAAAAATATTAACTCTAATTTTGTTGATAATTAAAAAAGTCAGCTTTTATTAATTTAATTGTTTAGTTTTAAAAATTTGGATATCTTTAATTGGATTTGTTGAATTATGTTAAAAAATAAAAATAAAAGCAATACAATTAAGGTGTTTCTATTTTGCTTAATATTGTGCTATGTAATAAGCAGATTAAAAAACAAACTATTTTAAAAATTCTTAGATTTACCTGATTTAAATTAGTATCCAGTTATTGGAATTTACGCATAACCTTCTTCCTAAAAGAAAGAATATGTCAGACAATATTATCAATATGTATTGAATGCTAACATAAAATGGATTCAAATGCAAGGAGCTTAGACAGTAATTATTCCTTTTGATGAAACCTAGGAGTATTATGATAATATATTTAGTAAAATTAATGGTATTCTTTTTACAGGTGGCAGTTTAAATATTAATATAAATAATCCAGTCGATTCATATTAACCTAAAACTGGTATTAATTAGTGGACCTAAAACGCCGCTTATTTATTGAACAAAGCAATTAAAGCTAATGATGATGGAGACTTCTTTCCTGTTTGGGGTAATTGCTAAGGCTTTTAGCTTTTACATTATATTATAAGTGGATATAATTATACGATACTTAATTATATAACAAATGATTTTAACACTACAAGGAACGCCCAATTTTATAACATAGAATCATCTAACTTACTATAACAATTCGACAAGCAAAATATTTAATATTCGCAATCAAATTCCCCTTTTTTATATCTTCACGAACTTGGAGTAACTGAAGAAGATTATAAATATAATCCCTCCCTTAAAGAATTTTTTTAAATTGTTGGCGTTTCAGTTAATTCAACAAGCTTCTAAGATAAAAACGCATTTAAATATCTTGCAATCGTAGAAGGTAAAAGATATCCTTTTGCTGGGGTTTAATTTCATCCAGAGTACACAATCTTTGAAACTTCATTTGACTCTAATCACTCCCTTGAATCGCTAAATATAGCCTCATATTTCTCTCGTTACTTTGTTTCATTAGCTAGAAAGAACGGACATAGATTCTCTGATATTGAAGAACGTAGTAATTTCTTATCTTACAATTATCCAACTGTTCACATTGATGGATATTTGTTTAACTAAGTAGTTTTTATGGATAGAAAATAAAATGATTGAAATAATAATTAAATAATATATAATCAATTAATCTTTTATCAATATTGTAAAATTATTCAATTCTTTAAATTACAATTAATCATTTCTTATTTATATAAAAAACATTAGAACATTAAAATTAGTTTAAATATAGAAAATCATTTTAATATTGAAGTAGTAGAGTGAATTTACTTTTTTTTTTTGTTGAAAATTATTTGAAAAAATAAGAGTTCATTTTTGAATTTCAAAGCTTATTATTTGTCTTACATAATCTAAGTCACAATTTATAATTATTAAATTATACTTTGATTATTTTAAGAAATATGTGAATTATATTTGTAAAAAATTATTTTTAATTGAGATTTCAAGTCAGAGTAACTTTTGAAAATTAATTTAATTTTAAAGCATAAAAACTAATTTTGCATTTACTTAGATGATTTTTGTAGAGATGTTTATAATTTTATTTATAAGAGGACAACTTATACTAGCATTAAATGAATTAGTTTTACTTTAGTTTTAAAATTTCTAAAAGATAATTATTTTAAAATATAGTTATTTAACCTAATAAATTTAAAAATCCCTAAAATTTTATCATAATTAAAATAAATAATAGAATTTTCTAAAGATAAAAATGATATAGTCAGTTAATAAACTAGATGCGAACGAATATTTTTGTAGAAATTCCTTAATTTGTATATTAATTTTGTAAAATTAAAAAAGTTTTTAAATTAAGTGAATAAAAAAGGATATTTAATAGATTCAATAATTTGGTTATTTTTTTGAATTTTAAGGTTTTTAGCTTCTAGTTAGATGGAATATTATACAAAATAAGATGAATCAATATGGGATAAAGTAAGTTATCACATATAGGATAAAAAAAACTTATTGAATAGATTTGGGATATCATAAAATCTCTAGAAATATAACTTATGGAGAGAATATTTTGATAAAAAATTAGATATTAGTTTATTTTAAGGCAGCTTCGAAGATTTGAAAACCTCAATATAAAAATAGAGATATGAACAAGACAAATATATATAAACAAATCCTTTATAGCAATTAGTTAATTCTGTATAAATAAAATTTGATGACAATTATTTCAGCAAAGGAAAACTAATATTTTTTAAAGATTTTGGCTTTTTATCTAAAAAGTAAAAAAAGAAATTAGGATTAAGTGGTATTCTTGGAGTTAATAATCTATTTGATAGTGGAGATAAGTTAAATGTTTATGGCTGGGTTGGAATTAATGATCCTGTAAATAATTAAGTGAATTTAAAAATGAATTATTTTTCCCCAAACTAACCACCTTTAAAAAATGTTAACAACATACAATTAAAAGGAAGATATTAACAATTAGATGATGAAAAATAAGAGTATTTGTATTAAATAAAATTTTAAAGCTTAGATGTGGTAGAATAATGGATTTTTTCAGGAGGTGCTAAGCTATATGTAAACGAATTTAGAGGAGTAGATAGATAGAGTATTATTTTTTATATAAATAGAAAATCTCTTCCAAATAAATAAATAGGATTTGATTGGACAAATACTTCTAGTCTAAAATAAACTTTTGCTTTTGACTACACAAGAAAATCTTTCTTTTTCAAATCAATTTAATTCAACAATTTTTAAAGGCTGTTAAATTACGATCTAGGAAATAATAATTTACTTTACTTTAACTTTATGAATAATTTCTCAAAAGGATACATTATTAGAATTAAATAAATGATCTAAAATGAATAATTTCAAGTTAATTATCAGCCTGGATATATAAACAACCACTATGACCCAGAAAATTCTGGTCTAAATCATCTTGTTTAAAATACTACAAAACTAGAAATGATTAAATTTATTCCTAATTTTGATCCTTTTGTGTAACTTTATTCATCTCTGTAATTAAAGAGAGTTAATTTATAGGATATAATTCATTTTAAATCGTTTGTATAAAATAATTGCAAAGCTGTAGTGAGCGTTGGTGGAACTGTAGATTTAGGTTTTGTCAAAATTGGCTTACTCTATAATATGCTGGATTTAGTACCTTACATTTTCAAAAGGGAACAAAAGTAATAGTTTTAGCAATTTCAAATATATTTTTCAGAATGATCGGATTTTATAAAAGAAATTAAATTAAAGATAAATATAATAAGTATTAAGAGTACTAATTCACTTGTTTTTTATAGCTTAAATAACTAAATTATATTTTAATAATCAATTTTTATTTTTTAGTTTAATAACAATAAAATTTTTAATTTATTTTTAAGTTTACTCATATTTTAATTATTTAAAATATTTAAATGCAAAAAATTTTATAAATTAATTGATAATATTTATTTGAAAAATTTTAGTTTTTATCTTAATCTAAATTTACTTACTATTTATAAAAAGAACATTATCTTTTTCATTGAAAAGTAACTTTATTAATTATATTTTAGAATATTTATTTATATGCTGAAAATACAGATTTAAGATTATTTTTTAAGTATTTTATATCAATTAAAACTATTTTTTACATTATTTTAAGTTGTATTTATCATACTATTTAATTGTTAAATGTTAAATTTTTATATTAAAACATAGAGAAACAACTTTTAAGTAATTATGTAAAGAGATCTATGATATTTCAATAATGTCACTTAAATTTGCTTATACGTTTGAGTGATAAGATATTTTAATTTTTTATCATCAAATACTTTTAAGATTTAATTAATTTTATATGAATATTTATTAAATTTATAAAAGATTAAATTTTTAAGAAAAACGATGAAGTCAAGATTAAAATTAGAAATACTTGCAATTGTTTTTGCTCTAAGTATTTATGGCATCGCAGGTAAAACAAATCATATTAGCAAAGATTTTAAATAATCAGAACTTCCTACTCAATTTTCTTGGGCAAGTGTAAATGGAGTTAACTATTTGAGTTACGTAAGAAACTAATTAGCTCCTAGATTATGTGATTCTGGATGGGCTTTTTCTGTTACTTCTTCACTAAATGATAGAATAAAAATTAAAAGGCAAAATGCTGGGCCTGATTTTATTCTTTCTCCTTAAGTTTTAATTTCTTGCAATGATGACAGTAATGGATGTCGTGGAGGATCTCCATAAACAGCATACGAATATATTTTGAGAAACAACATTACTGATGAAACATGCTCTCCTTATACTGGTAGAGATTTTAGAGATGGCTATTAATGCAGGTAACACAATTATAATATAATTTAATAATGAATGATTTTAAAAATTAACTTAACTCAAAAATTTTAAAGGTTCAATTTTTAAATTTTAACCTATTTTTTACATAAATTAGCTCACTAACTGTTTGTATGGAATGCTGGCCAAAAGTAGGGTGCAAAGCTAGAGATGATGCTTACATTTATTCAATTGAAAGTTGGGATTAAGTTAAAGGTGAAGAAGATATGTAATAAGAAATATTTAATCATGGTCCCATTTCTTGCGTAATTAACTCTACAGAAGATTTTAGAAACTACACTGGTGGAATACTAAATCCTCCAGATTCTCCTGTTTAAATTACACATTCTTTAAGCATTGTTGGTTGGGGTGAAGATGAGAAGTAAACTAAATATTGGATTGCTAGAAACTCTTTAGGCACATTTTGGGGAGAAAATGGATTCATCAGAATTATTAGAGGTAAAAATGCTCTTAAAATTGAAAGTGATTGCTCCTATGGTAGAATTAGAGATACATGGAGCTAATAAATAAGAAATAACACCTCGTTTAGCAAGAGCAATTCTAGTTATACTTCAAATAATTAATAGGAACACAAAATTAATTTAGATATCAATTCTAAATCTGAAAAAAATATTATTTAGTAAGCTAAAGATGAGTTAAAGCAAATCTTTTAAGAGTCATATCAGAAATATCAACCTTTAATTGAATCTATTTCTAGTAGCTTTAGTAATAACATAGAATTAGATGTGAGTACCCTTCCTACCAATTTTACTTGGGGTAATGTAAACGGAGTTAATTACTTAACTTAAATAAAAAACCAACATAATCCATAGTATTGTGGGGGATGCTGGTCTTTTGCTGTTACAAGCAGCTTGTAGGATAGAATAAAAATTGCACGCAATAGAACAGATATTCCTGATGTAATTCTTTCAAATCAGATGATTATAAATTGCCATTTAGGTGGTTCCTGCTTTACTGGAGGAGTTTCATTGATAACCTACTATTTCCTTTCATAAATTGGAGTTGTTGAAGATTCTTGTATGCCTTACTAAGCGAAAGATTAATGGCTTCCTGTTTGCAATACCAAATAATAATGTATTTCATGTGAGCTTCCTTCTGCTCCTATCAGTAACACAACTGATATATCTTCTATCTGTCCAGCTCAAACAAAGTATCCTTACAAGAAATGGAAAGTAAGTAAGTTTGGACACATTACAGGTGTAAAGTAAATGAAAAGCGAAATATATTCTAGAGGACCTATTTCTTGTACCATTGATGCCACTGATAATTTAGAAAATAATTACACAGGTGGTATTTACAGTGAAAAAGTTAAGTTACCTATACCCAATCACTATGTGTCTGTAGTTGGATGGGGTTAGACTTTAGAAGGTGAGGAATACTGGATAGTTAGAAATTCTTGGGGAACCTATTGGGGAGAGGAAGGATTTTTTAAGTTAAAAATGCACAAAGACAATTTGGGTTTAGAATTTGGTTGCTCTTGGGGAGTTATAGATCTTTAATAATGAGAATGAAATAATGAATGAATTTAAAATGAATATTTGTATTAAAATAATATATTAAATTTTTATTAAACAAAAAGTATTAAATAAATATCAAATTTTATAATTTTAAATAATTTATTTTCATTTCTCAACAAGTTTTTTCCCTTAAAACACACTAGAAATATATTTATTTAATTTTGCTTCTCTCTACATTCCAATACTCTATTTAAGTTAATTATTTATCAGATTACTTGTTAAATTTGAAATTTCTTTGAAAATTCTTTTTTCTCGATTTTTTCTCAATAATAAACTCTTTATAAAAGAAAAATATATAACACCTATTTGATCCTTGAATTTGTAACAAAAAATAATGCTCAAGCATTTTTAAATAGCAAAATAATATTTTAAAAACATTTAATAAATGAAATACTTATTGATATTATTTTTGCGTTAATTCAAGTTCTTTTAATAATTATAATCTAATATTGTAAAAAATATTCTTGCTTGTAAGATAAATTAAGGTTTTAAATATAGAATCTGTTTCCTCTTTACTCAGTGATAAAATAAGGGACAAGAGATCAGCTGAATAAAATAGAAAAGTTAATCCAAAACTTCCTTATTTAAAAAAAATAGGTTCTTTATGTTTATTATTTCAATTTATCTATTGACTAATAATTAATTAATTTCTAAAAAATCAGATTAAATCTAAAGATGAGTCATAAGTTAACCAATTTTTCGAAATTGATAGTTTTTATCGCCTGCTTTAGCCTTTTTGCTTCTGTTGCTAGCAGTCGCTTTTTCAACTATTTTAATTAACTCCCTGATATCAACCATAATCCTGTTATTGGTATTTATGCTTAGCCCTCTTGGTGGGATCAGTATCCAAGAGAATACTTTTAGTATGTTTTAAATGCCAACATCGATTGGGTTTAAATGTCTGGTGCTTAGACAGTGATCATACCATTTGATGAAACTTAAGAATACTATGATGATTTATTCAGCAAAATAAACGGTGTTCTTTTCACAGGTGGTGACTATGATATTAACATAAATAATCCTATTGATGAATTTTAACCCAAAACTGGTAAAAATTAATGGACTTAAAATGCTAATTATTTGGTTAAGAAGGCAATTGAAGCTAACAATAAGGGAGACCACTTCCCAGTTTGGGGCATATGTCAAGGATTTTAACTTTTGCATTATATTGTCAGCGGTTTTAATTACACAATCCTTAACCATATTACTAACGATTTTAACTATACTAGAAATGCTAACTTATAGCATTTAAGCTCAGCTAATCTCTTTCGTGATTTTAATAATGATTGGATTGATTACTCAGAGACTTAAACTCCTTTCTTATATTTACATGAGCTAGGTATTACACAAAAAGATTATGAATACAATCCATCATTGAAAGAGTTCTTTTAAATACTTGGAGTTTCTGCAAATTCAACAAATATTGATGCCAAAGATGCATTCTAGTATGTTTCTATTGTAGAAGCAAAGAAATATCCTATAGGAGGTGTTTAATTCCATCCTGAGTACACCATATTTTAATGGGGATTTAATTCAAACCGCGAATAGAAATCACTTGATATAGCTAGTTACTTTTCACACTACTTTATTTCTCTAGCTAGAAAAAATAACCATACATTTACTTCTACTTAAGAACGTAATAGCTATTTATCCTTCAACTATCCAAGTGCTCACATTTAAGGAGAACTCTTTGATTTAATTACTTTTATTCCAAGAAAAGTTAATAAAGCTTGAAATTTCTAATACATTATTATAAATTATAAATTAATTGTTTTTACAAACAAATACATTTTAAATTTGTTAAAACTTAGTAAATATTTTTAGTAAATTAACAAGTAATATGTAGAGTTTAATTTACTAATTTAAATAACATTTATTTACTTATTTCCATATTAAATTTATAATTTAAAAAATTTTTAAATTATATTTATTTAATAAATCAGCAAGTAAAATTAATGTTGAGTTGAATTTTATAATTCAAATTAATATTTATCTATTTATTATGGTAAATGAATTGAAATTTTAATAATATTATACATACATACATTTAAAATTTTAAGCTGAATTTAACAATTTAAATTAATATTTGTAAATTGAGGAAATGATAAGTAAGAGGACATATTTGATTTATTAATTAAATTGATAAAAAATGAGTAATGAAAAATAAAAATATAAATTTTAATTAAATCTTCATAAATAATTAAAAAATATAAATAATATTTTTGGATATAAACATTTATTTATAGTTAATATAATTTATTTTTATTTTATATAATCAATTGAAATTTTGAGATAATTTTCTATTTTGAATAATCAGAAAACCTGAAACTATTAGAGTTTAGATCAAAGTAAGGGCATATGTCACAGGATTCTTTGTTTTGAGAATCATAAAATCCTAAAATACCATTAGAAATCCCGAAAGTATAATTAAAGCTTTTCTTGATTTCTTTACCTTGTGGAAAATTAGCTTTAAAGATAATAAAATTTTTTAAAGGAAATTACTTTAAAAAAAAAAATTTACATAAAAGATTGTATTTTTAAAACTTCCTGGCTAAGAGAGATTTGTCTTTCCTATCGATCTATACCATTTATCTTAAAAGCTAACAACTACATTTCTTTTATATGGTTAATTTTCTTTCCATTCATAAAAATTCCTATATTTTATTATTTAATTTATAAATAATCTTCTTTGATATTATAAAAGATAAAATATAAATACTATTAAGCTTTTGCTTCTTGTTCAGAAATTTATTTCCAACAACCTAATTTTTTAGCCTATAGCTTATTTAATAGACCAATGTTCACAAATATTTCCATTGCAAAAAATAGCATTAAATTTAAGGTTGTTATAGCTGCAATCACCATAGAAGTAAAATAGTCATAGTTGATATCTTCATCTAAGCACTTGTAAGGTAGCAAGCATGAAAAATAAATAATTTCACTCAATTTGATAGCAATAACTTTATTTTATCATTTTTTATAAAAACTTCATTATAAAGGTTTAGAATTCAATTATTTTACCTTTAAAGTAGAAATTAAGATCATGATTAAAACCAAACTAATGCTCTTACTCTGTAACACTTGTCCCATATTTAAAATATATCAGGTGACTTACTTATACAAAATTAAATTAGAATTTATGTTTATTTGAACAATTAAACTTCAAAACTAAAGTAAGAAGTTGTTTTTATATATTTTAATAGTAATATTTGGTATGTCTTGTGTGCTTTCTTAAAATTTGTTAGTAGACTCTATTTATTTCTATTTGTTTCTCTTTACTACACGTTTTTAACATATCTGATGAAATCCAAATTGAAATAAGCACAAATAACGAGTTTATATAATAAATATGAACTTTTTCATCTTTAGTAGATTTCATAAACAAAGATAATTAGTATCAAAAGAATTTACTAGTATGCTAGAAAGATTATTGATGTATATGAATATGTTTCCTGCCATAAACGTATGCAAAGATATAAGATGTTGAATATTATTGCTGCATGAATCACTATAAAAATAGAAGTTGATGGTCTAAGTTTTAATGGATCAGAAGCTTCTCTGGCTTTAATAATTCGACTAATAAATCTGCGAGTCATAACAAGTATTGAGTAAAAGAAGAGCTTGAAGTTGAAGATATACACATTCTAATTGATTTTAAAAAAATAAGCTTTATATTGTGTAAAAATGAGACAGCATACAAGGAGATTTATATCACCCATCTTAATGAGATGACAAGCATTCCCTCATCTACTACTGTAATAACAGTTTTTATTTATAGCTTTTTAAAAATAAACAGAAATAAAGTAATTGCTTACTAACTTATAAATGCTAAAGTATTATGTGATTGTGCTGATTATACAAATCAAGTAATATATTGCCTCAGTGTTGATTTTATCCTTGATTGTTGAAGATATTCTATCCATTATTTCATTCACTTATTCTAGCTAAAGATTATTTTACGCAGATCCCTATCCATTAGAAACTTTTTTAACTTAAGGCTAGTTTTATTTCATGTTTAGTATGACAGACAATATCTGCTTTCAATTTATTTAACTTTAATGCAAAGATTTTGATTATTCCCTATAAAAATATGAAAGAGAGATTTATTTTTCTTTGGATTGCACTTTATAGTTATCCTATTTCTCTTAATTTTATCAATCAATTAATATATTAAAAATATTAAAAATGATTTGATAGATGAATTTTTTATTTAAAAAGACTAATGTGTTTTACAATTCTATTTAAAGTAATATTTTCCCCTTTCGTTATTTTTAAAAGATTTATTATATTATATCAAACATTGTAGCAATCAATGATCACTTTATTTTTTTATCAAAAATAATTCTTTGCTAAATAGTAAAGATTCAAACAGCAACAAATGACATAATAGATAAAAATACGATTACTAAGAATAATAAACAATCCTTTTATCATTTTAAATTTCTTCATTTTTCGAGTATCAAATAAATAATTTGAATTGATCATTCTATTTTCTTTTTAAAAAAAATAATTTAATTTGATAGTAAATGCATTATAAACATGAAAATTAATTCAACAATAACTTATTTACTTCCAAATATTCAAACAAAACAGAATTTATTTTAAAAATAAATAGCAAAATTAAATGATAAATTTTAGCTACACTAAAAATATTAAAATTAAAAATAAAATAGAAACCAAAATTTTAAAGAAAAAAATAATGTTAAATTTAGTAATTTTAACAAAAATCAAAACTATTTTGTTGATTAAAAATATTTCACTCAAAAATAAAAAAGTGATATTTTAGATTTTATTTGAGAAAATCAAAATTATTTTTTCAAAGGCATTCTAAAAACTCTAACAATTTTCTTAAATTCAAATTAGAAGGTAAAGTTTTTATTTTTGTAAGATTTTTGAACACAAAATATATATTTTAATTATTTATTCTAATTATTTTAAGATAAATTTAGAATTTTGAATTTTCATTCTAAATATTTGTAAAAATATAAAAAATAACTTCTAATTAGCAAATTATTGGAATTTATTCAATTTTATATTCTCAAACTAAAAAATTTAATTTTTATAAATATTAAATAAATTAAAAAAAATTTTAAATAAAATAAAAAATCATGGAAGTCGATATTAAGTTAAACTTACCCTTAAAATAAGTCCTATCCTCTCTTGAAAATTCAATCTTAAAATAGATATAATTATCTGAAAATAGCATTGATATTTAATCTTTAAGGGATGCTGTAGCTTAGTTTTAAAAAAATGTATAGGATCAAATAGAATAATTTAGTTAAAATGGTAGCTTTAAGACCTCTGATGGTATGTCTTAGTTAAAAGATTCTACTACAAAAAATTTCTCAAATAACTTATTGACTGGCAATAATAGTCAATAAAAATAGATTTAAGATAGTTATTATCACAGGTAGTTATTAAAAAGATCAAAAAACAATGAAAGTGAATCTGATTTTTATTAAAAATCTGATGACAATTCTTCAAATTCCAATGATGATAACGATGACAGCGAAGGTTTCAGCTCTAAGTACAATATTTTATCACCTAAAGACAAATAATATATCACCGAGTTTTTCAAAAGGCATTATGATCCTAGTAAGAGAAATAAGATGAAACTGGTTTAAGCTTGCTAAAAACGCATAAACTAATCATTTAATTCAATATATTCTATGATTACATATCTTATGAAAAGATATAAGTAAAAAAATAGAAACAGATCTAGCCAGAGATAACTTGATAGCAACAATAAACAACAATATTAAGGAAAATAGTAACAGCAAGATACTTCTGATGATATTGAAGACGAATATATTAATACAGGCCTAAATTTTTCTTTAAATTAAGAAAAAGAAAATGATTTAATAGATGAAGAGTCTATTAACAATCTGATAACAAAATATGAATTCATAAATGAAAAATACGATAGCAATAATTTTTCAAGGTAAGAATATTCAAACAGCAAAAACTATGAGACTAGATAATCAAGCAATCCCTAAAAATTTAGAGAGAACTATCAATCCAACTAAAATTTTGAGTAAGTTAGAAATAACACAAATGGTAAATCTTATAAAATGGAAGAAAATCAACAAATGCTTAATAGACAGCTATAAAGCAGAGAATAAAATGGGTAAAGCAAAAGTAATTATAATGATTAAAGAGATGTTGCATATAATAGCTATGATGAAAGTTTTGATAATGACTTAGATTAAAAATTAAGCAAGAAGTATAATTGAATCAAATAAAATGTATTAATTTATTTTTTAAATATATTTTAATTATTATATATATTTAAAGTCTTCCTTTTTGTTTTTATTAATTTGAAATATATTGCACATTATTAATAAGTTCATTTAGCATAAGAATCGATTATTTACTTACTTTAAAAAAATATATTTGTATTATATTTCAACTTACCAGTGTTTATGGTTTTTATTTAAAAATGATCAACTTAAACTTTAAAATAAATATATATGAGTAAAATTAAAAAATTTTAAATATCAAATTAATAAAAAAATATAAATTAACTTCATTTAAAAAAACAATAGATAGATTGATGATTAATTTGTTAATTCATTGAATATTCTAATGCTGAAATTTGAAAATGAATGATTAATGCTATTTAAATTTTTTGAAAAAGATTCTTGCCATTTAAATTTTGTGAAAATAAATAGCTGTTTAAAATCTTGCGTTTGCATTTAATTAAAATATCAAAAAAAATTAATTAATTAAATTCTGCAAAATCTTAATCAAAAAAGATGAAAACTCAAAGTAAATTCATTCTTTTCATTTATCAAATCTTTTATTAAAAATTATTTTATTAAATTTTAGGAATGGACTCTCCATAAGCTTACCTATTAGCATTTTAAAATTAATAGGTGGATTATAGAAACAGATCAAAATCATAATATTCAGATTTTTCAAATAAAAACTAAGTAAAGCCTATCAATTAAAAATTTCTTGTAGATTATAGTCCTTATGATATATGCATCCCAAATAATAATATCGCTAGTTAGCAATAAAGAAGCTCTAGTATGCAAAACTCTTCTTAATACTTGCAAGAAACAAGCGATAAAACATAGAGAGTATTTTATTTGTTTTATTAAAATCAAGTAAGTAATCATTTTTAACTCAAACAATAAAAGGATTAGGACTCGGATGGCTCTTTTAGTGGTCTTATCAAATACTTAGAGAACTAAAAGTGTTTTGAATATTCTAAGCAAGTAAAATGCTTGCTTAATAATATGAATAAGTTAAAAGAAGAAAATTTAAAGCTTAAGAAAAGGCAATTAGATGTTATCAGTCTTTTATCTGTAAAAATTATTTTTTACTTTTTTAATATAAAAATATAAAATCATAAAAGATTTTAATATCATTTTAATAAAAATAAATAAAAAATAGAGTGCAAATAGTTACTAAAGTCCTTTTAGAGAAAAATCTTAAAATCAAGTAAGCTAGAAGCCAATTTTAAGCTCACCTAAAAATTTAGTAGATGATAACGAAGAATCGAATAGCAAAGGCTATTATAAAAAAGATTCATTAAGTAAAAATTTATTTCAAACCTTTGATTCTGCATCTTAGATTTCTCCAATTTAAAACCACTATATAAAATCTCCTGAAAGTTGCTTGAGCATTCCTTTTTCATAATCTTCTATTGAAAAAGAAATAAAAAAAGAAAATATTTGCTAACCATATTTATATGATTTGCAATAGTAGCCTAATCAAATAATAACTTAATTTACTAATATTTAAAATAATGTTTAGAAATAATAAAATAAAAATGATTAATTGAAATAATAAAATTATAGTAATAATTAAAATGGCTTAAATAAATAATCATTTTAGAATAAATCTCAACCATAATAAACAAATAAAAACTAATAAAAATAAATTCTCTAAGTAAAAATATAAAATTAAAAGAAAGACACTTCATAATATAAGTAAGTATCTGATATAATATCTTAATCGTAATATAATTCATATTTTTAAACTAATGACGCATCTAACGATATTGGAAGAAAGACTGCTACTTTCTTAGATTCTATTATTATTTAACCAACATAAGCTAACAAAACTGCTAATTTAAAAAATAATCATAAAAAAACAGTCATAAAGCCATACAATAGATTGAAAGATTCTCTTAAACTATAAAAAAATACATATTGTAAATCAAACAGTCCTTAGAGATCTAGGAAAAATAATAATACTTAAAACAAAAGTTAGCCTAGAAAAAACTTTGTTTGAAGAAAAAAAATGTAAATCCAAAACACACTAATATTCTCAAATAAAATAAACTATTAAGATTATTTAGAAAGATAGGAAATATAAATAAAATAAATAAGTGTTTTACTTGTTATAAATCATAGTATTCATATTAATAATATATTAAAAAATATATAAAAATAAATTTATTTTTTTTAAAAATTGTTATTGATCTAATTGCATATAAATTGCTTATTTTGCATTATAAAAATCAAATTATTAATATCTAAATAGTTCACAAATATCTTTATTATTTCTCTCATTAAAATTTGAAAAATTTGAAAAACAATAAAAATTTATTTTACAAAAATTTCGAACGAATATTTTTTTGATAAAAAAGGTAGCTTAAATTATTATATAAATATGTATAAATTGTATTTTTTTCATATTTTTTATTTATTTTTGCAAGTTTCTAATTTCTTTGAGTTTTATTTTTTAATTTATTTTTTGTTTTCTTCTTAATTTATATATTTATGGATTATTGTTAAGTTAAGTTTTAGTTTTTTTTCTTATCTATTAATCAAAATTTCATATCTTTAAATTCAAATTCAAATTTTAAAATTAAATTTTTATTTTTCTTAAGGTTTTTTCTTTTTTAATGTTACTGTGAAAAAAAAATTTGTTATAATAGTGAAAGTCCTAACCGCTATTCATAACTGTCCTTTTATCATTTGCGAGATCACGATTTTAGAGGGGGAATACGGGATACATGCAGCGGGATTGGTTTTAAAAATATAGGACTGAATGAGCGATTTAAAAATATTTAAAAAACAAATTTCCTATAAAATTTTAAATAATTTATCTAATTTGTAACGCTCGATTTAAAAACTTATTTCCTGGGATATATTTATAGCACCTCTGGTTTTAAAAACTATATAGATAAATTATTTTAAATTTCGTGGAGTAAAGGTTGTTCTTTATTTGTCTTGAAAGTCGGAAAAAAGATAATTATCATTTTCAAATTATCTTTTAACGATTATATGATATGAAAATACAGAATTATGAGAAGTAGGTCTAAATCAAAAGGGATTGGATTAGCAGAGATTTTTGTGGGTTTAAAAAACTAAATTTGAAGCTTTTACTTCATTCTGTATACTTCATATTTTTGTTAATATTTCATATTTTTTTGTTAATTTATTTAGAAAATAAAATTTCAAATTTAATTAATTATAGTCACTTTTTTTATTTGTTTCCTTCTATTTAAAAGTTGTTATTATTAAAAAATTTGAATAGATTCTGTTTTAGAAATTCGCATAATTATTTATTTATTTGTTATTTTAGAATTGTTCTTTAGAAAATCTCAGCTAAGAAGATTTTATTAAAAATAATTAAAACCTATTAAAAAAAAGATTTAAATTTAATATATAAAGAATTAGCTTGATTGTAAATGAAAAAGCATATTTTATAGGTTCTTTTAATCTTTTTAGTCCTTACAGTAAGATTTTAATGCTAGCATACAGAAAAAGAAGAAGAAATTACTGATAATACTTAGAATCATAGCTCTTAAGATAGTCCTTAGGACATTTCAGAAGGAGAAATCGATACAAGAAATTCAGATTAAGATTAAAATTATAATTAAGGAGATTTTATTGATGAAAAATAAGAAAACTAAGGAACACAATAAGCTTCTAATGAATATATCTCACAAGAAATACTCACAAATCAAGAGGATGAAGTACATATTGATATAGATATGTATTAAAATGACTAGAAGGCTCACGATTAGATAAATTAGTAAAAGCAAGAAAATCAACAAAAAATCGACATTATAGCATTAGAAATTTAATAATTGTAAAGCCTAATTGAATTGCACAAATCGAAGCTAACTCTTCTTTCAAATTTAAGAGAAAACATGATAAAAAATAATGTCACATTTTAGGTAGATTTTTACAAAAAATTAAAAGATTTTTTAACTAATAAATAATTTTAAATAAGGAATTCAACACTACTTAATTGAAGAAAAAGGTTTAGCCAAATCAAAATGTTGTAAATAATAAATAAGATCCTACAGCTGAATAAAAAGAAGAGAGTATTTCATCTAAAATAAATAACATTTACATGACAAACACTTAAAAAATGAAGCTAAAACCTTAAAAGCTGATTGAATTCTAATAATATACTTTTTCCAATAGAGTGGACAAAAAATTAACAGTAAAATGCCCTCAGAAAATTAGGAAATTAAAAAATTTGCAAACTTTCTAGTATCAAACAAATAATGGAATCAAAGCAAATTTAATGATGGTTTCATTGACTATTGATTCTACTATTTTAGTTCATGATTTTTCTGGAGAATTAGCTACCGATCCTTATACTCCTGGGCATTAGATACATTTAATAGCATTATCTTAAAGATCAGATGACGTATTTGTGGCCACTATAGGTGATGATTAAAATTTAAGAATGGCTAGAATAGATAATCAAAAAGTTAAATCTTAATTTGCTGAAGGAAATAATTAGTTTAGATACAAAATAAAGACAGATCTTTTCTTTCCATTAAACTCTTTTTCAAGTACTATTGACATATCTGTAAAAATATTAGATTCTATTTTATTTCAGTTAAATAAATAAATATTTATAAAATAACAGAAATAAGTCACATCTTTTGAGTATCTTTAATTTTAGAGCTTCAAGATCTTTTTACTAGGTGATTATGAAGGAAATTTACAGTAAATAAAATTCAGTTTTAATATATTTAATTTGTTTTATTAATTATCAAAAAGTATGTATTACAAGAACGGTACTTTCATCTCAAAAGAGTCTCTCAGTTCTCAAAACTTGCCTATCTTGTCTTTGTAAAAAATGAATGCACCTAGTATATTATATTACAGTAAGTATATTTATAAATCAAATAAAAACACTAAAAATATTTTAAATTTAATAAAGCTGATAAAGAAATTGGTTTTTTTAACTTAAATACTTTATAAAAATTCCCTTTTTCTTGCTAACTGGTAAAAAATTAAATTAATTATTTAAATAAATTTAAAATTATAAAAAATAATATTTAAAGGATGACTATGAAATATTAAAAGTCAAGCTTGATCCATATATTTCAAGCATTTTATATGTTTTGACAAAGCAGCAACAGTTACTTGCTTATGAATATAAAGTAATGGAATAGTTTTGTAAGTTAAAAGAGGTTTTTGATTTTGAAACTTAAATTCAAGTAGAAGAAGATGAGCAATTTAATATAAATAAATAGCCTGCTTATTATAATTAGCTTGTTCCTATTAAAAATTTTGTCGTTCTTGTAAGTTATTAAGCAAATAAAATCAGAGTTTTAAATACAACTGATATTTTTGTTGACGGGATATAAGATGGTTTTGATTTTAATCATTTAAAGCTATTTGAAAATCTTAATACAACAACAGATGATAGCATATAGTTTATTTATCAGTAAAAGATCTATCAAGGAAATTATATTGTAGCAGGATATTATCACAATAAAGGAGAAAGTACTACTTATTCTCTTTATGAAATTATAGCACCGTTAAGCAAGGAGTATGATTATCTATCATATATTCGTGGACCATTGTAATTAATTTAATCATTAACTGAATTTAAAATTTAATCATTAACTGAATTTAAAATTTAAAAATAGGATTATCACTGTCATTATTGGAATAATTAGCTTTTAAATTTACAAGAATTACTAAAAAAAGAAAATGTATAAGAACAACAAAAATGATTACTCCAATTTTAAAAAAGATCTTGATATTTCTTAAAAGTTTAAAAAGAGTAATGGTGCTAAAAATTCTGATAATAATAATAATCAGTAAATAAATTAATACAAAGATAAAATAAGCTAATTAGAAGAAAGTACAAGCTAATTACTTAAAAACACTTAGAAGCTAGAATAAAAATAGCCTTCAATTTAAAAACGTAAAAATTACGATGATGTTGAAGATGATGACTTTGATTTTAGAAATTTTAACTAAAAAAATAAATATGAAAATGATAAATAGAAAAATAATAATAATTATAAGTATAATCAAATCGAAGATGAAGACGATGATGACTAAATTGATTAATATGACTGAAAAATAAACATTTTATATTTAAATTTTTAATTCCTACTATTTATTTGAACGATTATATTTTTTTTAAATATGATTAAGAATATTTCAGCAATTCATTCATTTTTAGTTTTTAGGTATTTTAAAAATTTTACCTCTCTTGGCACGAAAATTTTATCTTAAATCCTTCTAACGAGAAGATTTATTATTATTTAATTTAAAAAACATAGTTTATTTATTACAAATTTGTTTAGTCAGAATATTTTTTAAGTTTTACTATTAAGTGGTATTCTATCATTTTTTTATACTGAGTTATTTTATAAATTTAATTATAATGTATAATAACTATTAAATATTCTTTCATTGAGAATAAAAATACATATTTTCATTGAATTATATTATCTTAAAAGAAATAATTTTTAATAAGAGACTTTAAATTAAAATTGAAAAAATTATGGTATGAATAGGAAAATGCAGAAGATTATTTAATAGTTTTTATAAACTAATAATATAATTAAATAATCATTTTTAATGCAAATAAAATTTATTAAAATACTTTAAATATAAAATAATATCTTTTTTAGATGTTTTTGGTTAATAAATATGATAGCAAAAACATAATTCAAAGATCTTTGAAAAAATAATATCCTGTTTTTGACAATTCCCCAACATCATATTGCTTTTCATATACAACTTCATCATCTAAATCATGCTAAGATTGTTAAGCACTTTCTTTTACAGAATGAGCTACGTCACTTGATTTATAGTTATTATTGTTGCTACTATTTAAGATTTAGTCTTTGTAATTAAAAAAATAATTTTTTTAAATTAATTATCAACATCAAAAATAAATTTTACTGTTTGCTGCTCTTATTACATTTAATTTTTCATACTTGTAATTATTAGGATTTCCATCAGTGAGTAAAGATTTGTTTTCAATTTCATAAAGATTCTTTCCTTAGATCTAAAATTTTTTTGTAAAAATTAATTGATTGATATATAATAAAAATTAAAAATTACTAATAAGTCTTGCATGTTTTCATCATTTGGAATGACAATTCTGTTTTTTAGAAGATGTATGTTTTCTTAAATTTTATTTTCTAGATAGGTTTAAGTGTTCATAAAATAGGAGGATTATGATTAATTAAAGTTATTATTTGTTAAATTTAGGCATTTCTTTTCTCCTACTGATTTACGAACTACTTCTATTGGCTTGTATGGATTATTTACAGTTACAGTCATAAAGTTACTGAATATATCTGATTATGTTTGCTCTCTAGGATCAAAAATTTAAGGATCTTTTAGTTTTGATATATCTTATTATTAAGTATAATTAACAAACTTCCTTATATTTGACTTTGATAAATACACATCTTAATCATTATCTACATTTTTTAAAATATCATTTGTGTTTACTATTTTATTATCAGATTTCACATTATTTTTACGAAGCATCATATACCAAATACGCTGACCGAATCTTTGCTCATCACTTCTCAAGCTATCAAATGCGTTAAATATTTCTATTTTCTTTCTATAGTCATCTGATTTTATCATTAAAGAGTCTTCTGGTTTTCTATGACTGAAATCAGAGAGTTTACTAATATCTTTAACCCATTAAGTAACTGTTTTGTTGTATTTTTCTAGTATACGCTATTCTCTATTTAAGAGCATTCTTTATTCAAAATTCATTTGGTTTTCTTTTTTCAATTATTCTTCTTCATTTTATTTGATTCTCAATAGAGCTAAATTCATCTCATGAATAAGTTCTTCTTTACTTACTTCATCAAAATCAGTATTTCTATATTTTTTTTTCATATTATTAATTCCTGAATTGTTCATAGCGTATGTAGAACTCTTCTTAAAGCTTGATTTATGTTCTAAAAAAAAAAAATTTATTTTTAAGTAAAATTTAAATAAAATAATTTGCTACAGTAATTGGTATTCAATCTGATGTCAGAGGAATTTTCACTATTAGTTTAATTAAGATTTGAATTATTGAAATTCCCTGTTGCATTCAGTTATATTTAAGAGTTTTTGCGTAGTAATAAGTTTTAATTAGTACCACTATCAGTATACTTAAATGTATTTTTTTTCCTGGGTTGCCTTATAACATTTACTAATTAATCTTTTATGCTATTTTTTTATTCTTCTAGATTATGATACTTTGTAAAGAGCTAAGGTGATCCAACTATTGTATAAGGTACAATCTTTCCATCCCTAAATCTTGGTCCTTGATTGTATTCAACAAATTAGTTACTTAAATTCTAATCCTTGACATTAAATATATTATTTTTCATAGCTCTTTCTAATTCCTCATTTAATTTAGATATAGCAGGGTTATTTTACTTTTGATTATTCATAACAGGTTTTTATATATTAGGCATTGATGTATTGTTGCTACAACTTCTCTTTTGAGTGCTAAGAATCTATGCTTAATTATCTTACTTTAGCTTATCATTCACTTAAATTGGAGGACACTTTTACTAATTGTTATTATTATTATGTAAATTAGATTCAGAAAGTCTCTTAGCTAAAACAAACTTTCCTTTATATTTTGTGTTATTCAAAACAGAAGGCTAATTAACACTCTTTTAATCTCCTGGTAATATCTAAAATATTGAATCATTAACTTTACTGATATTATTTTAAAATTTATTGGCACTATTTTAAGGATACTACATCATGTTATTCAAATCAATAATAGAATTTGAGATGCTATTGTTCATAAACTATGAATGCATTTGCTTAATTTCTTCTCCTTCTTTTTAGCGAAATGTTTTATCACTGGTACCTTTTTTTGATAAAGTAATAATTATTCTAATTCTTTATTTTAAAGAAACAAAACTAATTTTTATGTTATAAGATTTTTATTAAGACAAATTATTTATTTTGCCTTTTTCCAAAAAAATTATGTTGCTAAATAAATGGATTAAATTTCACAATTAATGATAAATAATTTTTAATTGTTTTTTACGCCAGTTTTAATAATGTTCTAAATAACAAATACTTACTTAGTTACAAATCTAATAAATATTCTTAATAACTATAAAAGGTAATGTTTATTTATAAGATAAATAAATGTAGAAAAAAATATATTTTAATGTTTATTAACATAATAATATATAGCATGTATATTGATTAATTTAGAAATAACATATAAAAAATTATAAAACATTAAAAATAAAATAATTACATTTTAGTTTTTTAGAAAGGTAAAAAAATGAATTATTTTTTTTAGAATATAAAATATTTGGTATTAGATATTATTTAATTTATTTTATTTTTTCAAATAAAATAAAACAATAAACTTGAAAATGAAAAATTAAAGGTGTCACCCAGTAGTAAATTTGAATGTTAAAAATTCTAATCAAATGTTTATCTATCTTTCTATCTCATTTATTTATTTAGTTAATCTATAGTAATTTTGATCACCTTTAATTAGCTGGTAAACTGATCATTAATTTAATATCAAAAACAAATTTTACAGTATTTAATACAAATTTTTGATATTTCAAACTATTTTAATTTAAATTGTACATGAAAAACTACTAGGAAAATCTTATTATTTTAAGAGAATAAGATGGAAATGATAGATGCTTTGAGTGCAGTAAATTTATAGGAGTTATTGATACTAAATTTTATAAAAACACTCAAAATATAAATTTATATTAGGTGATAAACTATTTGAGTAGTTTAGCGTATCTATCAACTTAGGAATATTTTTGTGCATAAGACATAGTACTTAGCATATATAGTATGGAAGAAAAATTAGTTACATCAAAGAATACAATTGCAATTCATGGTAGATATTTTAAGTAAATTTATATTTGAGCAATATTTATTTATTTTATAAAAATTATTACAAAGGGAAGATCAAAATTTAGATTTCATTAAACAAGGAGGAAACCTGCAATTTAAAAAATATTTGTGTCTAAAAGGAGTTAAAAAGTTTATATTTAATAAAAAATTTTACTCCTCTGAAATAGTTAATCGCTATAGATACTTAGTAAATTTATTATTTCTGCTTCGCCAAGTTGCTAATTATCATTAATCATTAGTTAGAATAAAAGGCATTGAAAGTAATAAGTGTTGAAGATTTAAATGAAATATAAGGCGATAAATAGGAAGAGTAAATTGAAGAGACTAAAGTTGATCTAGGTTTATTTTGTATTTGCTTATGAATATTATATTTATTAAGTTTTATTATAGAAAAAAGTGAATATGTCTAACATAGCTTCTAAGAATCTGAAGAATAGTCTGAAATTTAATCTGTATCTGATCAAGACAATATAATTAATCAACTTAATGAGTTTTAAATAAGTAATAATGCTAAATAAAATGCTTCTATATATAATATTAATGATTTAGGTATTTTATTAATTGCCTATTTATTAAGTTTTTAAATATTTATTCAATTTTTAAAGATAGTAAAAATAGTAATGATTTAAATAAAGGTCTTTATGAGAAGAATTCTTCTAATATATATGAAGATAAAATGGTAGATGATAATTGTATTACATTAAAAAGTATAAAAGAGGAATAAGTTTTGCAATCTTAAAAAATAAGTGAAGATTAAATGAAATAAGAAGTGTAAGAATAATAATTACATAATATTAGTGAAAAAAACATTTAGTTAAATTCTAAAAATAATACAACTCTAGTTAAAGATTAAGATTAAGAAAAAAAAAATGTGCAATTACTATTTAATAGCAGTTAAGATAACAAATAATAAGATTTAAAGCCTTTTTAATCTGTAAATTCTTTATCATCTTCATCAACTTCCTCTTCTTCTACAAAATTTGTTAATACATTATCAAAGAGTAACACTGAAGATAAATAAAAACTAGTAAGAAATTTAAATATTATATATTAATTAAAATTATATTCTTAAACCTTATTACTTTTAAGTCTAAAAAAGAATAAATTTTTGGTTTTTTCTCTAAAGCAAAGGAGAAATACTAAGAGGCAAAAGTTTCACTGAAAGAAAGTGCAAAGAGCTTGATCTATGATATAAATTAAAAGGTACATGATCCTGACACATAAATTAAAATCCAAATGATAAAAGAAGACGTAAGAACTAAAACTATGGAAGCTTAAGAAATAATTGAAGAGCAAGCTACTCATTTTAAAGATTATGCAACAACCACATTAGAATCCTTTAAAAATAAAATCAAAGATAAAATAAAAGAGAAAAAAATTGATAAGGAAATTGTTGATATGAAATAATAAATAAGAGAAAAGTATTTAGAATTTGAAGTAAATTTATCAATTTTATTTATTTTCACAATTTATTTTTGATTCTTTTAATTTTTATTATCATTATTTAAATGAATATAATCTAATTACATTCTTCAATTAATTCTATTTTGATTTTAAATTTATTAAATATTTGCTTTTACTTTTATTTTATTTATTAAATTTGAAATTCGTTGAATTCTGTGTTGAATTTTTTTATTAATTTTATTAAAATTCGATAGGTATACACAGAAAATTTAGCAAGTAAAAAGATAAAATAGATAAAAAATTACTTGCACACAGAAAATATAGAAAATGAGCCTTTTGAAACAATTGAATCAGATGGCAGAGAATTAGATAAATCTTCATAAAATTTAGATAAATAAAACACTTAATAAAAAAATACTCTAGTTAATAGTTTATAAGATATTTAAACAAGTAATTTATAAGAAGAATAAAAAATTTCTATAAATTAGATAAGTTAAAATGAAAATGATTACTTATAAGATAAATATAAAAAAAATATTAATAAATAGTTTAATTAAAATGATAAAAAAACAAATGTAAAACAAATGAACATATCTCCTAAAAGAGTTTTATTTATAGATGAATAGCATTCATATGATCTTTAACAAATATAAGAAGATGATTCTATATTTTAGCCTTAAGAATAGAATCTACCTCAATATGAAGAAGCAGATAATGATGAAGAAGAAAAAAATGATAAAGAAGAAATATTGGTTTCTAATTATGTGTAAAAAAATAACATAAAACTGAACCTAGTATAAGATTAAAAAGACTTATTTAATTAACATTTATATCATAATTAGTTTAAATGCAATTAGGATAAAGTTTTATTTTTAGACGAATGTTCCTAAGAAAATAGTAATAACAATAAAGCTCATATACAAGATGACGAAAGTATTTTTGATAGTTTTAAGAATTAAAATATATGAATAAATATTAAGTAGAATCTAATTTTTAGTATTCTCTTTATTAAAGTGATTGAAATATATTTACAATATTTATTTAAAGAAAAAAACATAAAAATTAAATAAAGCAATAAAAAAAGTTTATTTTTACTATTTATTTAAAAAAAAAAATCATTTTTATAAAATTTATTAAAATTCTAGAATATTATTTAATGATTAAATGTATTACATTCCTTTATTTTACTTAATTTATTTATTAGCATATCAAACTTAATTCCTTAAAAAACAAACAAACTAACATTCTTAGATTTATTTATCAGATTATTTTGGATAAAAAATATGTCTAAAAGACTTTTAGAAATTAACTAGTAAATTGCTTGCTAAAATAAACTTGTTGATTATGAAAAAGTGAGATAAGATGTTAAATAAATACTAAAGCAAGAGGGTCATGATGAATATGGACATATTGGACCTATTCTAGTTAGATTAGCTTGGCACTCAGCAGGTACTTACAATAAATTAGATTAGAGTGGAGGATCTAATGGAGCAACAATGAGATATTAAAAAGAATTAAGTGATCCAGAAAATAATGGATTATAGGTTGCTTAAAAATATTTAGAATAAATTAAATAAAAACATCCAGTAACTTAAAATTATTTTATTTTTAATTCTTATAATTAATTATTTTAAATGATAGGCAATTAGCTATTCGGATTTATGGATTTTAGCTAGTTATGTTGCTCTTGAAGATATGGGTTTACCAAGAATTGAGTTTGTACCTGGAAGAATAGATGCGTTGGATGATAGTAAATGTCCTCCATAAGGTAGACTTCCAGACCCTTCAAAAGATAGAGTGAATATGAGACAGGTTTTTTATAGAATGGGGTTTAATGATTAAGAGATTGTAGCATTAGTAGGAGGTGGCCATACTCTGGGTAAATGTCATAAAGAATATACTGGATATGAAGGTCCTTGGACTGAAGAGCCAATTAAATTCTCGAATCTTTTCTTCCAAGAATTGTTTAATGAAGAGTGGATAGAAAAGAAATGGGATGGAAAAAAATAATTTGTTGATAAAGAGGATAAGTAGATGATGCTTCCTACTGATTTAGAATTAAGGGATGATCCTGAATTCAGAAAATATTCGCTGATATATAAAGAAGATAATGATCGCTTATGCTCAGATTTTTCAAAAGCATATAAAAAACTCACAGAGTTAGGTTTTAGATAGTTTTGAAACAATATTTTACTTTCTTAGATAGCCTACATTTAATATTAAAATTAACTTTGTAAATCCTATCGATTGATAATCTTGTCCAATTTATATTTTTTATTCTATTTCCAAATTTAATAAAATGTCATAGTATTTTTTAATTTTCATTGAAAGGCAATTTTAGTTATTAAGGACTTTTTAGTAATTAAAGTATTCTTAAGCTCATTAGATTTTAAAATAAAGTTTAAAAAACAATGTTTTATATAAAATTAATTTTAATTGCTAGCTAATAAATAGGGGTTTACTATGTTAAGTATAGACAGTAAGTAAGAAAGAAGGAAATAAATTGCTTTTAATATAATAAATGTAGTTGATAAAGTTTTTGTTATTTTGAATTAACTTAAATATGTATTTTTTGTCGGTTATTTCTAATGAAAGCATTACAATTTAAACAAATCAAGAGGTAAGCAAAGACAGATATCAATATTTTTATTTCGATATTCAAACAATAGTGAGACTTATTCAATAAAATATTTTATTACATCATTGATAATTTAATTTGTTTTATAATTAATTAGTTTTGATTATATTTTGTATTTAAAAATTATTCTATATTTTAAATTTCCATTTTTAAATATTAACTACAAAATTGAAAGTAAAAAATAAATAATATTCTAGCCGAAACTAACATTAATACTAAAATAAATTAATATCACAAAAAGCCTGCATCTTGGAAAATTTTTTAAAAATTACCTACTTAAAAACTACACATCCAATCTATATTAAATTTATCATGGTCTAAACATATTTTGGTACACCTGCTAAAGTAAAATTTTCAATTTAAAAACATTTCTAGCCTCATGATTTAAATATTTTATTGAATGATTTAAATTTAATGATATTTTTTTTACTTAAAATATAATTATTAATATATAGTATGGATCTTTAATCAATTGGTTTAACCCATTACCTCTATTTCTGCAATGCTATTTGTCAAAAAGTTATGAGCCTCTTTAACCATTCAGATATTGCGTTTCTACATTTGTTTTAATGACTTAAAATATATTCGCAAAAATTACTAACAATTCTCCTTTACTATTCACAAGCAGTAATGGCGGAATTCTCTTTTTCATTTATGCTACATCTGCATTCATAATGAAACGATAAATACTGCAATATTTAATATACTTAACATTTCTTGTAACTTGGGCTTTAATTTTATAAAGCATGGACTGTGCTTTTGTTGGATCTACTTTATGCTTGATTCAAAGCATGTCAAGCTTTTCTCCTATTTAAATTATAGTAACTTTTTCTACAAGTCTTAATTTTTAATTTATTATTTATTTATTAATTAATTAATTGGTTATTATTTTTTTAGATAAAAACATATTTCAAATTTTTCTTCATTATCAGAAATCTATTTAAATTAAAGAAATATTTAATCAATACTTATTTTTTTTAAATAGATTAAAGCCTTTAAGTAAAAGAATCATATCTATATAAACCCTTATTCGTTGCTCTTAAATTTTATGTGCAATTTCCTTTGGGTATCCTATGGTTTTGAATTATAACAAATGACAATAATTATTCCTAATTTAGTAGAAATTCTAATAGTAGTTTTATAGCTTTCATTGTATTTTATATACAAGAATATTTATACAAAATCAGTAAAAATAAATAGTTTTTATGATGCAATCAAAAGTTGTGACTAAATTCAGCTTTAGATAACAGAAATATAGAAAGTACTATGATGATGCTTTTATGACTTAAAATAAATTTTTTGAAAATTGTAGCTAAAACATTCTTCCATTTTATATAAAAATTACTAATTTAATTAATACTAAAATTATTCAAATATATAAAAATCATTTTATTATTAAGTGACTGTATAGATCTTAAATGTTATATTTTATAGCTTTATTTAATGATAAAATTTTATTATTTTTACTTTTATTAATCTTTTTTTATTTGTATTTTATATTTTAGGTTCATTTTTATAAAATTTATGCATTTTATAATATTTTTTAAATTTTACATCTTATTGAAAGTAGACACTTTGCCAAATGATCTATCATTTTCTCTATATATCAACAAATTATTTAGTATATCTGCTAATCTATGGATATTTATACACCAAACTTATGCATTCTTTAATATGAAATACAATTTTTCTCTCAAAATTTCAGTAATGTAAAAAAAATATTGAGTTTTTTGGAAATATTTTTTATTTTCCAAAAAAATTGAGACTGAGTTAAATTTTATTTTGTTTTGTTTTAACTTAATTTGGTATAGATATGTTTGATATAGAAGATTTTAAATTTGATGGTTTTTATTTATTCTTATGATTTCTTTTGATTATAATTGGCGCAAAATTTAATTATATTTGAAGCCCGCACAAATAATTAAAATGGATAAGAATGTATCAATATGCCTAAATTAATGCGAAGGATAGTGATTAAAATAATATCTAATTTAAGTCACATAATAAAGCAGCAACACCAATAAATTTATTAAATTTTCGCGGAATTTAAGTTTTATTTCAGTAAAAAAATGAAAAAGTCAAAAGGTAGTCCAAACTACAAAATTGCCATTTATGTAGTTTAATTAGCTGTTAAAATTTAGATATGGATATATTTTTTCAATAATTTAATTTTGAAATAAGCATCTTCGCTCTAAAATTTAAATTTTTAAAAAATAATCTAAATTTTAATTTTAACCCAGATTTTAGATTAGATTGCTTGACTGTAGATCAAAAATGAATGGGAAGTATTGAATTAGATGCTATTAGTAATGCTTTACTTCACTAAATATGTACCTTTGCTTTGTAAAATATGTTTTTTTAATGTTTTGAAAGAGTATCTTTCATTCATTTTTATCAAAAATGCCTTTTTGCTTCTTTATTTTAAATTAACACTATTGTATAAAAAAGAATATTAGATTTTTGATTACGAGTATCAAATATATATAAAAAGATGGTAATCCATTCATTTTTACATTTAAATATTTACATAGAAAAATAATTCATATATCCAATCTATCATAAGAACTCTTTACTAAATAAAACTCATCTGCACATTTACATGCACACATATATACATACATATTTTCATTCATTCATATACAAATAAAAGTAGAGAAAAGGAAAAAGTAATCAAAGATAAAAGATAATTGATCTTATAAATAAGAAGTAAAAAAAACAAAAACAAATAAAATATAAAAGGAAAACGCCATAAATAACTTTTATTGGTCATTCATAACTCATTATCAGACTCAGTCTTAAAATTAAATCAGATATAAAAAATAGCAGAACAATTGTGAAAGATGGACAAGAACGCTGATAACATTCAAGTTATGGTTCGTGTACGTCCCCTTAATGATAGGGAAAAGCGTGAAGGTGCTAAATCCTGCATTATTTTGGATGATGAAAACCCGAACAACATCATAATAGACGCTAAGCCAGAACCCAAATAATTTAAGTTTGATTTTGTAGGAGGCGAAAAAACATCATAAGAAGATATTTTCTAAATTGCAGCTAAGCCACTTATGATGGCTGCTTTAGAAGGTAAAATTAATCAAATTTATAGAACCATATATAGTCAATCCATTAAAGGGTAGCAGCTATCTTATATAAGATTTAAAATTTTAATAAAAATGGTTTACAAATAATAACAAAAATTTGAAAAAACAATTTCAAAGTAACAGAGAAATATTCATTTTTATAAAAATAAATAGGTTATAATGCTTGTATTTTTGCTTATGGTTAAACAGGAGCTGGTAAGACATTTACCATGCAAGGTAGAGGACTCGAAGAAGATAGAGACTCAAAAGAAAGAGGTGTTTAACCAAGAGTATTTGATCACCTTTTTGCCTTAACAAATTAGTAAAAAAAGGAAGGAAATGTTGAGTATTTAGTAAAATGCAGTTATTTAGAAATTTACAATGAACAAATCATGGATTTGGTAAAAAAACATTTTCTTTATTTTATTATTTTACAAGCATGTAGCAATAGAATTTTAATTTGCGCTGACCATGTGAATTTGAATTAGTTTATTTATTGTAAATCATGAGGACTTACAATATATATATATATTTCCTTTAAAGAGGTTAATCTTAATATTTGTATTATTATATTTTGATATACTCAAATATTAAACTTCATTCATTTTAGAAATTAATGAGCTCTTGATTAAAAATTTTTAAAAAAAATTAAATAGCTATCAAATACTTAGAGCAATTTAATGGTTCGTGAAGATCTTAAGAAAGGTGTTTATATAGAAGGTTTAACTGAAGAAATAGCTAAAAATTCTGATGAAACTATCTAACTTTTATTGAGAGGTATGAGAAATAGACATGTTGGAGCTACTAATATGAACTTTGAGTCTTCTCGTTCCCATTCTGTTTTTTCAATGACTATTGAATCAAAAAAGACAACTGATGGCATGATCAATGTCAAGGTATATTATTAAATTGCTATTTACTGATTGCTTTTAAAATAGCTCCTATCTATCCGTTTTAATTAAAACATAAAATTAAAAAATTTATAAACAATATTTTTAAATTTAAATTTAAAATTCAAAAATAAGAAAATGAATTCAAAAAGCTAAATCTGAGTAAAATATTTTTTTCTCCAAAAATTTTATGAATGTTTAATCTACTTTCCTAACTTCAAAAAATTTTAGATTTAAATATTTAATTTTGAAGATCAAATTTCTATTTTTTGATTCTGATGGTTTAACAGATTTTTTAATTGAATGAATGAAGGAAAGAAAACTAATGTTAATTAATAAACCAATATTAATTCAATGAAATTTGCATTTAAATTGTTAATTGCTATTTCTTTCTCTTTTTTGATTTAGTCCTTATTCTTAATAACCTCATACATACTTATGATTTTGGAGGGAATGTTAATTTGGCGGGTTTCCTCTAGATTTCAATTGATTTTATAAGTTGAATTGATTTAATAGAAAAAATTCATGATTTTACTCTTTTTTGAAAAGGAGCTAAATAGAAAATATTTTAAGCTTTTTAGTAAAAATTAACCTATTGTTTTATGGAATTTAGGTTTCAAAGCTTCATTTTGTCGATTTAGCTGGTTCTGAAAGATAAAAGCAAACTGCAGCTGCTGGAGAGAGATTAAAAGAAGCTTCAAATATTAATAAATCATTAACAACACTTGGTTTAGTTATTAATTCACTTGTCGAATAGGCTTAAGGTAAAAGCAGACATATTCCATATAGAGACTCTAAATTGACTTTCCTTTTGAAGGACTCTTTGGGTGGTAATAGTAGGACTTATATGATTGCAGCAGTAAGTGCAGCATCCACAAGTTTTTAGGAAACACTTTCAACTCTTTAATTCGCCTAAAGAGCAAAATAGATTAAAAATAAAGCTTCGATTAATGAAGAAGCTTAAGGAAATGTAGAAAGTTTAAAGAAAGAAATCAAACGTTTAAAAGAAGATCTTGCTTAATCAAAAAATATCATAGTTAATTTAGAAGAATAGTTAAAGAATGGAACATTCTAACCAAACCAAATGGAAATAGAAGAAGAAGGAGAAGAAGATTTAGTTGGTTCAATTAGCAAATCTAAAAGTAAACAAGCTGCTACTTAACTTTTCTCTGAACTTGAAGCTAAAGAAATTATATCTATTAACAATCGCTGCCTTGAGGTAGAGGAAGATTTTAAGAAGCAATTGGTTTAAATTTAAACAGTTATTGATGAGCAAATTTCTCCAGAAATCAACAAAAAAGACAAATACCTATAAGCTTATCAGACTGGAGTCGAATTTTAAGATTCCAGTGAATCTCATTATAAGGCAATCCTCTAACTCTTTTAGGTTAGAGTAGCACGTTTATAAAATCTTTTAACTTAAAAATACGATGAAAACTTGTAAATAAATAAATAAAATAATTATTTCCTTTTTTAATATTTTTTATATTTTTTAGATACAAATAAACAATCTCAGAAAACCAAATATTAATTAATGAGTAATATGAAGAGCTTTTAAAATTAATGGCTGAGACTCCTAATATTATGAGCGTCTATGATGAGAATGTGAATTTAAAATAGAAGTTAGAGTAGATTGAATAAACACATGACCCCTCATTCTTGATGAATGTCTAATGGTTTGTTGAAAATATAAAACAAATCTAAGAAATTGGAAGCAAGATAGATAATAGTCTTGAAGAAAGAAGATTTGTAAAAGAGAGACTCGAAAAGTTTAACATGATCAAAATGCCCACTCCTGAAAAGATTAAGGTTATTGAAGATTAGATGCATAATCAAAAAATTGAGCATAATGAATAAATTTAAAAACTAAATTATGATTTAGCAAAGTAAATTTGAATTTATGAATTACATCATCTAAAAAATATTTTTTAGTTTAAAATAAAAAGAGCATGCACAAGAAAGAGCTTTAGATTAAGAGAAAAATAAAGTCCAACAATTAAAATAAGAAATTATTAAAATAAAAGAACAAAGAGCTAAGGATTTAGAAAATCACTAACAAGAAATTGAAGAATTACTTAATTAATTCAATCAAATAGATAATTAAAAGACTTAAGCTTCAGATGAATATTAATAGAATATTGGATAGTTGAATCGTAAAATTATTGAATTAGAAACAAAGTATTCTAATTAGAAGCAATAATTGATTGAGGCTCAATCTGAGTTATAGTCTAAGGAAAATTTGCTCACTTAAGAGTAAAAAATAAAAGAATAAATCCAAAAGGAGCTTAATGATAAAATCGATTCATTTTCCATGTAATTCTTTTAAAAAATATTTCAAAAATAATTAACTGATAATTTATTTATTTATTCGTAACAGTGAAAAATGTGAAATGGAAAACAAGATAAGTGCTCTTAAAAATAAGCTTTAACTTGTCACTGAAGAACTTACCTAATCAATCGAAGTAAGCTAAGGCTATTAACAAAGAATTAGTTAATTAGAAACTTAGGAAGAGTCTCACAAGTTATAATACGAACAAATGCTCAAAGAAAAAGCAGAAGAAATCAAAAAACTAGAACACTAGTTTAATGAAAAATAAGATGAATTAATTCACATTCAATAGTAAATGGAATAAGAAGATGATAAAATTGCTAATTTTGAAGCTGAAAAAAATAAAATATAAGAAGAATATGGTATCTTAAATGATACTTACAATTATTAATAACAATTATTAGAGGAAAAGAATTCTTAAATTGCATAAATGGAAGAAGATGTAAATACCTTTTTAAATAAAATTAATTTGCAAAATTTTATAAAAAAAATAGATTAAAAATAAAGAAAAAGAAATTGGTTATCTTAAGAATAAGCTTGAAAACTTTAGTCAAGAAGAAACAGAGCTTTTTGGATCTTCTTCTTAGACACAAACACAAGGCAAAAAAGGTGAATAAAATTATTTTTAATTTTAATTTAATAATTCTTTAACAAAAAATAGAAATAAATGAAAGTCTTTTGCTAAAATAAAACAAAGAATTGCAAGAATAAAATCACCAACTCAGAGTGTAAGTTGAATTTGAAGCTAATTCAAATATAAGCTAAAGATCTCAAATGAATACTCTCTCAAACAGAGTAAACGAACTTACAAATTCTGAAAAGCACTTCAGAACTGCATATTTGGAAGTCAGAAACTAATTACAAAATCTTTCTTAGAGAAACAAAGTATTTAAAATTTTTCTCATATCAAATATTTGATAAAAATTATTTATAATTAATGTTAACTTTATGTTTTAAAAATAGGATCTTCAAAACGCTCTTACATCTAAAGAAATGGAACACTTTGAATTACAAAGAGATATGAAATCAGCCAACGAGAATGTTTAATTCTTGTAGGAAAGAATCGTAAGTGTCAAGAATGAAATGAAGGTCAAAGAGAGAGAAGCTCTAGAAGCTGATAATAGGCTCAAAAAATGTAAAGAAAGTGTCATCAAGCTGTAGGAAAATCTTAGACAAAAAATGGATAACCTTCAATAGGCTCTTATGAAGAACGGTGAACTTGAAACAAAGATGGCTGTTCTTCAGAGAGAAGCAGCTTAATTGAAGAATGAAATTAAGAGTAAATCTTCTCTTTCAGAAAAGAGAGTTTAAGAATTATTGTAGTCATTTGCTTAACAAAGAACAGAAATGAGCCAAATGCAAAAAATAATTAACTCTAAAATTGAAGAAAATATCAGTTTAACTGCAAATAATAGGTAAATAATTAGTTTTTTAGTTTATTTTGAAATTGAATTAATAAAAAAATAAATTTTATTTCGAATAGATTACTTTAAAATTTGGTTGAAAAATATACAACTAACGAATGGGAATTAAAGTAGTAATACAAGACTATGCAAGAAAAGTTTGCTAAGGATGAAATCAATTATAAAAAAAGAATAGACCACTTGATTTAAGAATATGGAAAGTTAGAATAAGAAACAGTCTGTAATCAAGAGCTTGAATAGCTTTAAGATATGAAGAACCTTCTTGAAAGTAAATCAAAGGAATAAGAACAGACAATCAAAAATAAAGATTGCTAAATTAAGAGTTTGTAGAAAGAAAAAGATATCCTTCAAAAAGAAAATGAAAAGCTCGATAAATAAATATATGACTTTAAATAATAGCAATAATACATCTTAAAAGAAAAAGATTCTATCATTGGTTAACTTTAAACTACTGTTATGGAAAAAGAAAAGGAATTAAAGGATGTTAACTCTAAAATTGCTTCAATTTAATAAGGAATTTAGCAAGCTCAACAATACTATCATAAATATTAACAGTCTTCAGAAGAAAATAAAAAGTTGAAAGTTGATATTGAGTTAAAAGACTAAACTATAAAGTAATTAGAAAATTAATTAGGTAACTTCTCTATTAATCCCGGTAAGTAGAGTCAAAGACCTGAAGATCCTAATAAATATAAAGAGAAATTTATTGCCTTAGATGAAAAATACCAAGGCTTAAAAAAGAAATATTTAACTTTGCAATAGTAATACTAATAATTATAGCAATCGTTTGGTGAATTGCAAACTAACTTGTAAAACTTATAAAATGTTAATGGCCCTAAAAATGAAAACTAAAGTGGTGAAATTAAGATTCTTTAGCAACAAGTTGAAAGATACAAATTAGAGTGCTAATAATACTTGAAGTAAATAGCTAGCTTGACAAGCTAAGGGGATAATGATATTCCATAATTTTTATCATCCTAAGTAAATCAACTATGCGAATTTGTTTTGAGTGAACTTGAATGCAGAGGAAAAGATCTCATCTTAAATATTCCAAAATTAAATGGAACTATTGAGCAAAATTTAATGTTTATGGTTCATGCATTCAATAATTTATTCACAGATATAAAGGTAAAAATAAATAAATAAATAAATATTTTTATTAAAATTACAAAACTTTATAAAATATATTTTAAAATAGAACAAAGAATAACAAATTCAATAAATGCTTTAAAATGAAATTAAATCAAATAAGAAATTTTCAAGCTTAGAGAAAGAAGTTCTCATTCTCAAAAAGAAAATGAGTAATATGTAACCAAGTACTGCCTCAAGCTCTGCCATACCTACTCCCAAAGCTTCTGTCACTAATTCAGTATATAAAATGCCCAATCACTCTAGTATGAATCCTATGAATAACATGAGTATTATAAATAATAACTTTAACCACAGTATTATGTCCAGTTCAAACAACTCACTTAACAACTCCTTTTCATATAAAAACAGCATAAATAGCAAGAATCAATTTGGAGGTAAAGATTTTTTCAATCAAATCTATTTAAAATATTTTTAATTTCTTTAATTAATTAATTAAATAACTAAAATTATCTAAAAAGAAATAGGTAATAATGAACCTTTGCCTGGTGAATCCATTATGAAGAAAGTTAAATATTGAGCTTAACTTATCATTTTAACTACTAATAAAAAAACGAATGAGCTCATAGTTTTAGTTTTAATAAAGTTATAAAATAACTAATGTGATTACATACATTAAAATAAAAAATTAAAACTATGAATAAAAATTCGAAATAAAATTTATAAATCAAACAAACAAGCTAAAAACTATATAAACCACCACTCATTTCAAAAAATAATAAATAATAATAATAATAATAATAATATATAATTTTTAAACTAAAGTATATAGAATATTAATAACTATTAATTAATAAATGTGATTTAACATATTTTATAAATAAATCTTACTTTGTTTTCAAACTATTTTACTTTATCAGTATCTTATCTATATATCTAGTATTCTTTTTTAGAGTTAACTTTATTTTGTTATTTCATCAAAATAATATTTATTAATTTCATACAAGTATAAAATTACCGTAAAACCTTGTTAACTCGCAACCCGCAAATTCAAAAAATTTTCGATTTATCGAGGTTTATAGAATTTTAAGATTCTTACATCTTACCTCGCAATAGGTTTGTTTAAAAAAATTTTTCAATATATATATATAAACTTTGCAGATTTAAATTAGTTAATTTTTAAACTCAACTTCTAATCAATTACTTGAACAACATACGTATATTTTTTATTTATTAAAAGTAAAAACTATTACAAAAAAGTTTATGGATATATTATGAATAAACAATATGAAAATAATATAAATTTTTTTAGCGATTTGATAAATAGAAAGCTTGATAAATAAAAAGTATTTTCAAAGTTAAAATAAAATAAATCATTTGCTTATTAAAATATTTAAAATGATTTATTATTCTTAAGATTTTATATATCTCATAATTAAATTTGAAATAAATTGTAAATAAATAAAAGTTTATTTTAATTGGAATATAAAAAATTGAAATAATGTAATATTTTAATATTAAATTTAACTAAGTTGCAAAATATATACTGGTAGACTAAACACATTACTTAAAAATTATAAAAAAAGCTTAATTTATTAATTTTAAGAGATTATTTTTCAAATAATTCTGACGTTTGATAAATTTCTAAGTCCTTTAGCACTATTTAGAAAAATAATTTAATATGAAAATAAAAAGTATTTTATTGCTTTTACCCATATTGTTAAATGTATTCCATAGATTAATTTTATTTTTGATCTTTTTGTCTCTAAACATCTCCATATGATCCTAGCCCTATATGATAGAAACAATTTAATATTTAATCAATTAGTTTGATTTTTTTTACCTGCAAATCTTTCTTACTAATGTTTTTATTCTAAATACCTTTAATATTCCATTTTATTACGAGCTTTTTCTTCTTCTTCAGCTCTAATCTAACTTATAATTTCTGCATAATGATCTGGGTTTAAAGTTTTTTTTATATGTGGCTGTTAAATATCTGGTGAACTTCTTTGGATATTATCTATTTATTTGTCTGCTTTATCCATCATTTATTCAATTTTTTCTAACTATTTAGAATGATTCAATGCAACCATTTCCTTTTTTTTATACTCATTTGGATTATAAGAAAAAGGAGCTCCAAAAGGAGTATTGTTTTTGTATTGCTTATACTCAATTGAATCATCATTTTATCTTTATTGTAAAATGCTATTATTTTTTAATGGCTACTGATATTCAGAAGGTAATTCTCTTTATTATGGAAGAGCAACAGTCTCTCTTTTATAATGATCTAAATTTCCTTCACCTTTTTCATATACATTAACTGGATATTTTATTAAATTTTCCATAGTGCTTTTTGGTGCATTCGCTCTATTATTTATTTTATGTTAAAATTTAAATAAAATTCTGGCAAATAAATTTATATACCTTTCATATTGTAATTAAAATAGATTTTCGTTTGTTGGAGGCTTTCCTTGAGCTTTTAAAATGTCCATAAACTCACCAGGATATTTTTCAAACTTTTAAAAATTCAATTAAGTATGAGTATACCTTAAGTTATCTTTTTAATTTCCCCTTAACATTTTTTCTTTAGCTATTATTTAGTTTCCAAGCAAATTATGAGATAAAGTTATATTTTTATTTGCAAGCTCCGTTCCCACATATGACATACTTGTAGGATTAAGCCTGGCTCCCTTTCCATATTAGATATATCCTTCTAAATTAAGATTTGGAGCTAAGTTTTATTTTGTTATCTATGGAGAAATGTTATTTATAGCATGAGATATTATATCTTGCTAATGATTTAATTTTGATAAATTAGGTTGAGATTTATATTGGCTTTACAACCCCTGTCTTCTATAATCTATTTCAGGAGATTATCTACCAGCTTTATTTAAATAAATAGATTTATTAAATATTTAAATTAAATATAATCTTACATTATCTTATGCCTTATTATTCCCTTTGATAAGGGGATTAAGATCTCTTTTCATTCTTAAGCAAAGAAATTTCATTATTTTTTTAAAATTAATATTCCCTTTCCTTTTAGAGATTTTGCTATTCTACTTTATATTCAGCTAACTTTTTTTCTTTTTCATACTCTTACATTATTCTTTCATATTCTAGCTATTTATAATAATCTTAATTTTAGTCTTGGCTTTTAAATTGCTACTCTTTTATTTCCTACTAAGAATTAAAATTTTAAAGTTTGTTTTCATCTCTAAATTATCTAGGTTTGTAACCTTCATCTTCTTAATAATATTTCTTATTATTTTCATGATTATATTACTATCTATCTAAATTAGATTCTTTTTCTAAAGCTTTTTCCTATGTAACACTGCTCTTTTCAGGGTTTTCCTTATTTGAATTTTGATTTCCTTGATTATAGCGAGGATGATCAACAGGAGCGTATGGATTATCGGGATTAACAATAAAATGATGTCTATCTTTAAACTCTCCAGATTAACCCTAATTCATTTCGCTTTTAAACTTGTCAAGGGCATCAAGATATTTTTCATATGGGTTTTTTTATAGTTCTTAAAGTTATTCGATTTCACTTTTATCTATAATTAAAATTAAAAGGAAAGTTACATATCTTATTTATAATTTAAAACGATTTAAATTCTATTTTGATATTGTAATCAATTATATAAACTTAACTTTATTTACTATACCTTTTTATATTAATTTTTTAGCTTGTTCTTTATTCTTAACAACCTTATTGCCGAGAGAACCTGGTACTGTTCCTTCTATATCTTATATGTTTAGATTTCTTGGATAATATTGCTATTATTTTAATGGAAATAATTGTATTAAGATTCATTTTAAATTTTTTATTTACCTAAATGAATTCATAAGTTGGGGGTAAGTTATAAGGATTTTCTAATGATCTTTTCTCTTTGATTTCCCCATCGTGTACAAAGTAATGTTTTTTACCTCCTGCATCAAATGGGCTTTATCCTTAAGGTAGGCGAACTTCATAATTAGGAATTTTTGCCTTTTAGACAACAGGGTTACTTCCATGTCTTGTATTGACAATATAATCTTCTGGGTATTTTTAAGGGATAGGAGGACTTTAATTAATAAGAAATGTTGATTACTTTAACTTGCTAATACATAAACAAATAACTGAATGCTATTAAAGATATACCTTTTTTATTCTCTTTCATATAATTTAACCTCTTTTTCAATGTATTTTGCTCTTGCCCCTAAGCAATTTGAAAATAAATTATTTTTCTTTTCTAAATAATAAAAAAATGTCACCTCTTATATCATAATTTACTAATGATTTGTCTAAAATTGGTTGTGGAAAGCTATTCATGTTAGTAGATATATTACTTTTTATAAATACTGCTTATTATATAAATATAATTAGGTAAAACTTATTATTAACCAAAGTTAATTAATTAATTAATACTTTATTTAAGTCAGTGATTAGATTTTTTTAATTTCAAAGTATTAAAGCAAATTAACAAACAAACAAAAAATCAAAAAAATGCATAGCTTGATAGAAAACCAATTTCAGCAAAGTTATATATTTCTAAAACTTATTTTTTTCAACAAATAAAAGGCATATTCAGAAAAAATAAAGGTTATTATTTAATTTCTTATTAAAATTATTGATAAACACCACGAGCAACTTTTTAAAATAAATTAATTAAAAGAAAATAAAATATTTAGTCGTTTAAATGAATTTGATTGACTTTAAAAATAAAGTCAAGGATTTTATTTATATAATTTGAAATTTTGATTTGATTGTTGTATTGTTTAATCATTTAATTATTTAAAATAAAAGCTTTTTATTTATTTATTTACAGATTTTTATATATAATTGGTTATCTATGTAATTAATTTACTTATAAAAATTGTTAGTTATTAGTAAAATAAATTTTATAAATCATGAATAATTTAATTGTCATTTATGCTATGCTGTATGATAGTATTAATCTAGAGCTTTTTTTATTTATTTATTTAAGCACAATACTTTTTTATTTTTGGTTTCTTCAAAGCCTGTTATATTTACTTTAAATGTGATTTTTAGCGTTTAAATCAAATCCTACAGGATTGAAGTGCTGAGCTACTCCAGAAGGTCTCCATATAGCTTTACGACTACTTGAATTACTTCTACTATTACTATTGTCCCTAGGACTCTAATAGTTTGTGGAAATTTAATCTATACTTAAATCCTTTCTTCTACTTGATAGGTTACCATTATTATTTCTTTTATACGAGAGAGATGCATTTCTTTAGGGTATCATGTTGTGGTTAGAGGCAGAGCAAATTCTCTTATTAGCACAAGTTTAACACTCCAATTTAGGTAATACTTTTTATGATTATTTTTCAGGACTGAGTGATATCAATCTTTTAGGTTTATTTCCACTATAGTTGCTACCATATTATGACCCATTTATTTTTGGGAGTGTTAATTGAGTTGTATTTTAGGATTTTTGTATTGGTGACTTATAACTTTAATTATCTGTTAAAGTAGCACTACTTTTTTATTTATCAGGTGGTATATTCAAATAATCATCGCCTTCTCTTTAATGTTGCATTTATTAATTGTCCATTTACTCGTCTACAAGTCTGCTTGAATTATTTTCATTTAAATCTTCTTTAATTTCTCCTACTTACAGACCATTCATCCAATAGCCTAAATTTTAACAAATTATTTATTCATCTTCAAATCAAATTTTTCAAAAAAATATCTATTATTTACCTCTGTACACTGAACCATCCTTCCAATACATTTCACCGTATCCATGTCTTAGATCATTTTCAAAGTTCCCTTTATAAATATTACCAGTTCCCCATTTATACTCGCCGTACCCACACTTTTTATCATTTCTATATTCTCCTTCGTAGCAATCACCACCGTCTTTTACAGCTTTCCAAATACCCCTACCGTGTCTTAGACCATTAACAAAATAACCTTTATAAAAGTTTCCAACACTCCAATAATACTCTCCTATAAAAATAAGATAACTTTAATCCCCAAGCTAAAAAATCTAAAATAAAATATTACCATATCCTTCAGGTTTTCCATATTCATAGTTTCCTATATATACATCTCCGTTTGCAAACCTTTCAGTTCCTAAACCATGTTTCAAACATTATTTGAATTCTCCCTCATATCTATCACCTTTTTAAGAAAATTATTTATTAATGTACATAATAAAATATAAAACTACCATTAATCCAGGTATGTACACCAAATCCATCTGTTTTTCCTTCTTTCCATTCTCCAATATAAGAATCACCTTATTTTATTGACATTATTAAATAAACATAATCCACAATCATGAAATAAATCTATTTTTTACCTTTAATTCCTTTCCATAATCCTGATCCATGCTTAGTACCGTCTTTCCATTCTCCATCATATATCTCACCATTTACCTTTTATTAAATACGAATAAAGTTACTTTCATTTTATTTTAAAACTCAAAATTATTTATAAGAAATAAAAATGAGTTTAATTTCTCATTAATTAATTCTTAGAATTAATTACCCATTTAAATTATCCTTTGCCATTTTTTTTCCCATTTGCAAAGTTTCCAAAGTATCTTCCACCGTTTTAATAAATTTCTGTAGCTTTTCCATGTTTTTTATCATTTTTCCATTCACCTTCATATATTCTTCCATTGTAATAACATAATATACCTTTTTAATCAAAATTACATAAAAACAATTTATACTTTTAATTTAAAATGATATTTTACCTTTGCCTTCTCTTAATCCTTCAAGTATAATGCCATAATAAATGCAATTTTTATATCTTTTAATTCTTAAATTAGAGTTATTTTTGAGCTCGTTCATATCAAAAGTATTGGATTGAGGTTTATATGTTTCGAAATATTCAAGAATTTAATCCTAATCTTCTAAATTAGCTAAATGTGAAATCCAATCTTTGATGGGCATGTGTAACTCCTAAGTAGAAGCGACCCTGCTATTTCGCTTTGTTAGTGAATGTTCGGGAGATGATTGATTGCTATTCATCGCTAATTTGAATTGCTTAAATCCAAATTTATCTTATACTTGCAATAAATAATAAAAGGAAAATTAATTAGTATACTATTTATTGGTAATCTTTAACTTAATAGGCAAATAGATTAATAATTTGTTTAGCTAAATTGATATAATTATAATTATATTTTGAATGATCTTTTATCAATTAATTAATAAATATGTATTCAGAATTTTTTGTGGTATTTAATTAATTTCTAATACTGAATGTCCTAAAATCGTTTATACATAAAAATCATATTGGTTAAATATATCAAGTTTCATATAATATTACTTAATTAATATCCATATAATTAAATTATTTCTCAATATGCATTTAAATATTATTTAATGACTGTTCCTTTGTGTTTAAAAATCAACTTTTGACTGGATGTAACCAGCTAAATCTTAATTAATAAATACCTAATAATTTTATTAATATCATAAAAAAAAACTAATTTTAAGCATTTTTAACCCATAAAGTAATTAAAATATAAAATACATATAAGGATTATTTATTATTATTTTTTTTATACAATTTTTAAAGAATTATGAATAATTTAGATATTGAACTGAAAGTATTTAACAGTTCTTAAATTAGAATTAAAAAACTTTTTATAGCCATCAAATAAATATTGCTGGAAATCCACCAATATTTTTTATTTAAATATAATTTTTATTATTTTAATATTAAATTAATATTTATTATTATTATTTTTACTATTATAATTTTTATAGAATTTTAAGTTATTAGAATACTTTCTTTGTTGTTTTTTTATTTGTTTGTTTTGTGAGAGAAAAAAATTTATTAATTAAAATCAAAGCTTTAAATTATACTTTGACTAAATCATCCAATTAGCTCTTTCACTACAATTTGTCTTGTATTTGAAATCATTATCTAGTCGTTCAAATGAAGTTTATATTCACTGCTTCTTTATCCTTTTGCACTTAGCCTGAGCCAGGTGCCATTAGCACTATTTAGATCTGTAAAACAAATTTATTTGTTTTCATTAAAATGAATTTCTCCGTGAACATTGCTAATAGTATTTCCTGAATCTTATAAAGCTATAGGACATCTTAAAGAGCACCTCCCAACCTTATAGGATTGCTATCTATTTAAATTAGCTAGTTTGTTACTTCCATTCACTTTTATTGTTACAACATTCTATTTATTATTAATTTAAAAAATTATAAAAAATATAAAAAAGATTTTAATTACATTCTCTATTTTAACTATTTTAATTTCTACTTCTCCTAGCTTTAAAATTAAATCTGCTGAAATTGGGATGCTTTTGATTTTAATAAAAGTTCCTGCTTTACTTTTTATGTCTTAAATAAAAAATTCTCCTTTTTTGTAGAAAATTATGGCATGAGAAGCACTTATTTATAGCTCATCTTAAAAGCTAATGGTGTTAGTGCTTATCCTACCTATAGTAGCTCCTTCTGAGTGAAATGAATAACTTAAATTTTTCTAGCTTGAATACCTCGTACTAACTTCAACTCTCATCATTGGGATAATATCAAATTTAAATGGATTAAAAGGTAAATTATATGTGTACTTTAAAATTTAATTATTTTTTGATTGATATTTAAGCAACATCTGGTTTTATTAACTCTAATTCATCGCTTCTTGCTAACTTAAATCTTTAATTATGTTAAGTGCTGTATGATCAATAATAGATTCTTAAGGGATATCTGAAGATTTTAAAAGGTCATCATTTGCTGTATTCATTTTAAAAATACTTGGGAGTTTCATAGGAATATTACTGTCTAAGATATCGTGAATATTATTTTATTACTAGTTTAAATTATTGTTTTAAAAGAGTTAATTCTGGTCATTTTGTTAATAGTTGTACGGTTAATTGATAAATTATTAATTATTAACGTTATAAAAACCAAAATTTTGATGTTGTTGATGACTTTATCCAACCTAATTGCTATTTGCAATAAAAGAATTACCAAAATTATTTTGTTATTAATTATGCTAACTTTATTGAGATTTTTAATCTTAAAAGTAATAAGAATTACCTTATTAATACATATTTTAATATTAATTAGCTTAGATATTTTCGTTTTAGAATTGATTATAGCACTGATTATTTAAATACTACTATTGAGTTGGTACAAATTGTTAGGGTTAATTAGGGTATTACTAAAAGGATATAGAATTACCTATCATATTATTATGGAATGCATTTTAATTATTGGAAGCATTTGCTTAATTTAATTATTATCCTGTGTTTACATGACATATAAAAGAGCAACCTTGATTAAATGGAGCTTATTGAGTTTGTTGATAGGCTGAGCCTCCAATATTATTTTGATTATTACATTAATAAATTTAATTTTAAAAATTTTCTTGTTGTTATTAAATTTGTGTATCTTATTATTAAAATTGTATTGGAAAGTTGTTAAGATTTTCTTATCTACCACTCAAATCACCTTACCCATTATTAATTTAAACTCTTTAATTAATACTCTATCCGTATTTAAAAGCAGGGATTGAATTTCCATAGTTAAATGCAAATTAAGCACCATTTTAAGGAAGTTATGGCTATTCATTTTATATCGTATTTAATTATTAATTATGAATAAAAAAGTTGTTATTAATATTTTCAGCAAAATGATTTGGAGGATTTGAACCCATTTGGTTTCCATGAAATAGATTTAAATTTTGTTAGTAGTTTTATTACTAAAAATTATCTTGAAGATTTTGTTGTTGCTACTAATGAATATTTATTTACTATTGGTTTTATAAATTTTCTTAGATATTTTATTCTTATTAACATTAATTAATATTTTATTATTAAATCTAAATATTCTCAATAATTTATTCTGGCAAAAATTTAAGTTAACACAAATCATTATTGTTAGTTGTTTATTATATTATTTAATTATTATATTGGTTTGCAAACGGAAAAAAATTTTGATTATGTGGATTTTATTAAAATGTAAATGGTTGTTTATTTTGTAGAATTTGCTACTAGTCTAATTAATTAATTTCAGCTTCATTAGTATTTAAATTCTATGCATTTTAATAGTTTATGTTTGGAGAGTTCAAGCTGTTGATGCTTTAACTACTTTGAATTACAAGTTAGCTATTTTATTAGATGTTATTTCTTTATTGCTATTGCTACTGCATTTAAAAACTTCCTTAGCTCTCTTAAAATTAAACTTTCATAATTCCTTTTATTTTAACAGATTTATCAAAATTATCTGATTGAGTGAAATAATTTGACTAATTAATAAAATTAGTTTAAGGCTAGCTTGCACTCAAGTTTTAATTGCTTAAGTTATTGTTTAAAATCTAACTTAGATGTTATTAATCATTACTTTAAAATAGAGTATTATTACTACTAACTTTTCTTAAACGACGAGAGTCCTCTTAATTTCCTTCTTATTGTTATTAAATTGATTGTTTCTCTACTTTTTAAGACATTCCTAGAGGTTGTTCAATATAAGCAGAATTTCCAAGATTATTTTCTTGCATATTTTTATTTGGCTAATCTTGCTAGCTATATACCTCAGCTTCTTTTAAAATATTAGAATTATTTGTAAAATTGTTTAAAGGCATATCAATCCTTTAGTTAATTAAATTATTTTAGTTCATACTCTACAGTAACTATGTACTCTTTGAGGGGTACAGCTCATTGTTTAATAGGATATGAGAATTTTATTTATTTTATTAAATTAATTCATGTTACCTACCTATATTTGGAGTTATTCCTTATATATACTCAGAGTTAATTAAACTTTTTTAGATGAGAGATTTGGATTCTTTGCTTATTTAATCAGTATTTCCTTATGTATTCTTTTCAAAATGAAACGACGTTCCTAATGTTGGCTAACTGCTTATATTTCTTCTTTCATCAAAGCTTGTTTAGTTTTCTTCAGAGTTAAAGTGCTAAGACAATCCTAGGCTTGCTTTATTTTAATTTGAGTTATAACCTATGAAAGCTGTCCTAATTAGTCTATTTTAGCTAGGACTCTTACTTTTTGATAAGTTTAAATTTGTTTAGGAATCACTAAATAAAATAGTATAATTTGATTGATTCTTATCTTAAGATATTTGCATTGGATTTTTTTATTACTCTGCTGATGCCAAAAAATTTTAATTATCTTAATCAGAAGTTGAGCTTAATAGCTTATCTCTTGTTTAAATCTCGAATGTCATTTAGGAAGAACCTTTTTTATAAATGAAATATTAAAAATAAATATAAAAAAATAAATTACCATATTGAAGATTAGGATTAGTGTTGTAACAGTAACTACTTTTTAAAACTTTATTAACAGATACTTTTTAGTCATCATACTCTTAGAAATCTTATAACTAATCGAATGTATTTTATATGCATTGATTTTTTTAGGATTTAATCCCAACACTAGATGAAATTCCTGGATTTGAAAGTTATCTGCTGTTGCTCAGCTAATTTGAATTATTATTACTTCTATTTAAATTTTAAGGTGATACATTTTGAGTAATATTTTCAGTTTCTATAGAGCTAGAGTGATGGAGTTTCTTAACTCTCTTGATATAATTAATTCTAGCCACTTGTTACTATCTTATAGGTTCTAAAATTTGTATGAAATTTTTTAATTTGGATGCTTAGGTGAAAGTAATACTAAGGATTTTCACTATGTCATGCAACTAAAGATCTTCATTAATAATGGTAAATAAAATAAAACCATCTATTTGATATTTTTCTAATATTTCTTCTATATCTGAAAATTATTTGAATTTATTTACTATACTCAGTAATTCATTTTTTTCCCATTAAATTAGCTGCTTATCATCAAAAAATTTGCAAATTTTCTAGGCTTCTTCTTATATTTTTTATTTCATTTATTCATCCATTTTGTGAGCATGACTTACTTTTGTTTATCTCTTACTGTGGCTGTTTTCATTTTTGTTTTTGGGTCCATCAAGGGAATCTCTCTTTTTTCTGCTTTTATCCACGCTCTTTCTTTTTATGTTTTTAGAAGATCCGTTAACTTCATCATCTTTAGAATTATTGGCTAAATTAACATCTGTGCATTAATCAGAACTTTTTTTTTTCATTTCTATTTAAGGATTAGAGGTTTAAGAGCAGTCATCTTAAAACTCAGAAGGATTGCATTTTTAGGACTATATTTATCTATTTATTATACTAGACTATTTTTATAAAGTTTGAGAGTTAGTACACTCAATTTAACTGTTCACATTCTAAATGGATTATTCTTGTAATTAATGGTTTTGACTTTGAAGAATTTCTATTTTTTCTTAACTTTAACTATTTTACAATTTAAGGTACTCAATATCATCTTCCTTAAAACTTCTACCATGGCTAGTATTTATAATATTATCTTTTTGTTCTAAATGTAAACTTTACTTTCGTTAAGTCTAACTAATTGATTTTTGTGAGCTGCAGTGTGTTTTTGTTTCTTACTCTTTATGAAATTGTTCATTTTAATCTTAGTTGCTTCTATCTTAATTTAATTTTATATTTTGCATACTTTTTAATTCGCTTTAGGCATAAGAAGGTTATAAATTATTTTGATTGTTCTCTTAAATCTACTTTTTTAAAGCAAGACACTATTATTCATCTTCTTCTCCGCTTTATCTATTTTGGTGATTAATTTCCTCTTCTTATTCATCATCGCTTTCATTATCTTCTTCATCTCCTTCTATTGAATCATCTTCGAATTCATCTTCTCTCTCTTCTGGAATGTTTGTATTTTACTTGGTTGTAATCAACTAATCTTGTATAATTATATTTAAAATTTTGGTGAGTTATTAGTTAACAGGCCTTTGTTCAAGTTACAACTAATTTAAGCTCAAAGCTCCAATCGAAATAGTAATATTTTTTTCATCTTTGACATGCTGCAGATTATCAAAAGAATTATTTTAAGGACCTTAAGAAGCAATAGATTAATTTGACTAAGGTTAATTTTCTTCTAATTAGATGGTGTATTCAATAATTAATAGCAGCCATTTGTTAAACAACATCCTTTACAGTACTTAATTTTTGAAAGATAAAACCTAAGAATAAATAATATCTATTGTATAATGATCAAATAAATCTAAAAACTTTATAAGAGTTAAGTTCTTTTGTTGAAATTACTCAGCTGCAAATCTAATATTTGCAAAGAATAAAAATTATTGGGTTTAAAACTTATCCCATGTAAGAGGATTCTACTTAAATTTTTATTTAAATTGTTAGAAAATCAAGCTTTTTTCATTATACTTCATTTGCTTTCTTCAAAAAAAATATTTTTATTTCAAGCAAGTAACTAACTTCAAAAACTTTCTTTAAATATCCTTCCTTCTCTATCTATCTATCTATCTATCTATCTATTTATCAATCTATCTATTATTTATTTTAAGCTTACTAAATAACTTTATTTAATATACTGATTTCTAAAATTTTGTATTTTTTGATTTAATTGAAATTTATTAATTGAATTATTCTATTTTTCTAAAGAGGCTATTATCATTTTTTGCAATCCAAAAATGCATAAATATACATACATACATACATACATACATACATACATACATACATACATACATACATACATACATTCAGACATACATATTTCCAGCAGTTTTTCTAACACAAACTAAATCAATAATATTTATATTCAATACAATCTTTTAAATAATAATTGTAATCAACCAGGAATGTTAAATTTTATAATTTTTAAAAGTAATAAAATTTTCTTCAAAGTAATTTATTACAAACTTCTTTAGAAAGCAATTAATTTTCATCCTATTTATTTTCTACAAGTTTTTTTTATAAAAACTTCTAAAATATGTTGAAAATGTCAAAATTTATATTATATTTAGATAGATTATATTTGTAATTATTCTTAAATAAGGTTCTATTAAAAAAAGGTAAGTATTTAAAAGTAGTTATTAATAAAATTTAAACAAATAAAATTTAATCTAAATCTAATTTAATAAAATTAACTATTTATTACATTTTGATATTTCTGTTAGTTAAGTGATTCAAAAATTTTAACCAAAAAATAAATTAATTAATAAAAATAAGAATGTAGTGAAAACAAAACTAATCCATCAAATTATATTTATCATTTTTATTTACCCAAATCAATAAAATAAACTTACAACTTTTATTTTACATCTTTCTATTAATGTTAAATACTCTAAATATTTTTTAAGTATTTTTAATTACAATATTTAGAATAAATAAAATTTGTCAATTAATTAATTAATTTTGTAGAAGATTAAACATATATTAATTTGGATTTAGAAAATCTCCATAAAACAACAGAAATTTAGTGAGTTATTTTGATAAATAGTGAAATTCTCTATTATTTAACTTCTATTCGAAAACATATTTTTAAAAGGCATTTTAATTTGTAAAGTTTAATTTAAATAAATAAAATACTCATTAGGAATTTTTAAAATTTGAAAAAAAAATCAAAGAAAAATAATTTGATAAAACTTTAAATTGATTTTTAATTTATAAATTATGAATAAAAATAATAATTATATTAGCTTATTAAATACTTCATTTTAATAATTTAATTATTCTTTAAATTGAATAAATAACCTTTAATTATATTTAAAATTTAAGTAAAAAGTAGGGTTTATAAATAAATTATTATATTCTATTTTTATTTTTTATTTATTAAAAAAAATTTTTTTTCTTAATATTTTTTCTTTTTGTTAAAAAGTACAAAAATATTTTTAATCTTTTTGAAATTAAAATGTTATTATTTTATTTATTACTTTTTAAAATAATCTTTTAAAGATTAATTAACAAAATAAAAAAAAAATCATAGATTTTATAAAAAATTAATGGATTTGTCATTTAAAATATTTACGCCAAAATATAAATTATTTTTGAAATACTTATTGAAAATAGATCGTTATGAATTCAAAAATTTTAACATAGAAATTTGTATTTTTATTTAAAAATGTTATTGACGATGCTTTCTTTTTGTTTTTTAATTTTTTTATTTGTTTGTTTGTTTGATGGATATAAATAAACAAATAGGAGTGTTTGTTTTTAAAAAATAAACAAAGACTGAAATCAATCAATATTATTTGAATTAAATTTCAATTTTCTTTTTACCCATTTGAATTGTGATTACAAAAAGCTAATAGTATCTTAAATCAAAAGAAAAACAACAAATTAAACTTAAATAATAACAGGTACTTACTTCCATTCAATAAATAAAAGGATTTCCATAGTTTTTCTTTAGCAAAAAAATTTAATGATAAATATCAATCGATTCTTGCAAAAGTCTTATGAGCTTTAGCAAAAATAGTATGAGTTAGAAGTATAAAATTCAAAGATAAAACATGAAAAATCATCTAACTCATCTCATAGTCAGTATATCAGCCAAGAATAAACTTTATAATAAGATTAGTTATACTAGAGCTAACCAGGTATTCAAAATAGAGTCGCCTATTCCTTTCCGTTAAAAATAAATTAAGTTTAGCAAACTGAATAGTCTGTTTTTGACTAAAATATTTAAAATAATTATTGTTCTTCATAAATTTAGAATTCAGGTACAAATATGATGGCATCATGTGCTTAATTTACTTTTAGAAATTAAAATGGCTCATAGAAAAAAATTTAAAGCCCAGCTCTTCAGTCGCCTATCCCTCCTTCTACTTAATCATTCAGTGATAATACAATTTAAAACAATATTATAATGAATAATCTTATGACTCAAAACTCACTTAACTTTAATAAAGAGAAAAAGCAAAACTATTAAACTCTACCACATGCCTTTTAAAATATTTCAAACATTCATTATGAAGAGATAGAACATGAAGATAATAATTATACTCCTATTTCATACAATATTAGCAGTAATTTAAAATGGGATTATACGATATCAAAAACTTCTTAGCTTTAAGCTTCTTCAATTTAAAGTTAATGCTTAGTAGATGAAAGTGCTTTTAGCAAGTAATAAATAAATAAGCCTCTTCTTACTGAAATTCCTCATTATCCAATGATGGAAAAAGCTAATTTAGAATATAACTGCAACCGTTTGAGTGAAATTCCCATTCAAAATCAGGACTAATCATTTGAATCTAAGTTCTTAATAAATTCTCCTTAGCTGCCTATAAGTGGTTGCTTTTCACCATCAAAAATTAGTGACTTATCCTGTCTAAAAATAGAAAATTTTAATCCGCAATATATTGAAAACAATGTTTTAGTAACAAATCAATGGGAGAATAATCCTTAATCTACTAATTTAACCATGAATAGCATAATTAATGGAGGAGTATTAAATTTTCATATCAATTTAAACAGCAATAACAATAACAAGTAGTAGATTGAACCAAATAATCGCTATAACAACGTTGAATAAAGCTGTCACGAATAAGATTTATTTGAATAAATACCTATGGATAATATAACAAGCCAAGTAGTAAAAAATTTCGAATCTATGGAGTCATCTATCAGCTATAATCACTCAGCATCAATCGTTTCGGATGCTTTATAAGAGAATCAGTAAAAAAATACATCTCTCAAACAAGAATTAGAAAATATTATAAATTCTACTAGAGAAAATACAAACTAAATTCCTCTTAATACAGAGTGCAATAATGGTAATCGATTACCTGCAGAGTTTAAAAATTAAGATTCTTAGCCACATAAAAGTGAATTAAATTATTTTTAATAGTAAAATTCACACTTTATTTCATCTCATGCTTCATCGAATTCTTAATTACAAGATTAAAAGAATTTACTAACATTTAAATCAGATATAAAAGAAGGTTTAGCTGATAATGGAAATAATGATCATTAAATTAGTGAATTCGATAAAGAAAATCAAGAAATTAATTATAACTATGAACCTAAGAGCAACAGAAATTATTAAGTATCTGTGAGTACAGCGAGTTCTTCAGACTAATTTACTCATAGATAGAAGTAAGACACTCTAAGGAAGCTTCTGTCTCCTCAGGGTCACTAAGAGCTGATGAGCTAATTCCTTGGATCCAGTTAAACATTAAGCCACTTTGAAAATAATAAATAGTAATTGATTCCAACAGATGAATTCTTTTAAAAATCTAGATAGTAGCTTGATTCAACAAGAAATAACCCTAATAATATTTTAAACATATTAAACAGATCAAGAGATATGTCACCAGTATAGCAAATTATAATTTATCTATAAAATATTTTATTTTTATTTTTAATTAAAAGATTAATCAAAACTCCTCAGGAAGTAAAAGAATAGGAGGTAATTAGAGCATGGTAAATTTATAGAACTTGATATCAAGCACAAGAAATACCTAAACGAAATAAATTAATTTAAATTATTTGGCTTCTAATAATACATAACTTTCAGATAAGAAGCAAAAAATTCCTAAGTTATCTATTAATATAAGCTAGGCTGACTTGAAAAATTCCTAGACAGAATTTGGAAAGGCTTCTGTTTCTCCAAATAGATTATTTCAGAGCTAAAGTACTAAAAATATTCTAAGTTCTAGTAGGAGTGGAAGTAATCTAAGAGGAGCAAAACAAGGAACAGATGGTGAGGATTTTAAACTATTTTAGATAAGTAATACAACCAGAAACAAATGTATTTCAATTAATATTGCATAAATTAGTAATTATGTCACTTAGTAAGCAGCCACAACTACTAATAGCAGCATAGGAAACAAAACCCCATAACTATTTAAAAGATTAAACAATAAATCTATGAGTAATGCCACATCTACAACCACTTAACAGATTGCAAACCCAACAAAGACCAATAATTCTATCTCACCAACAAGAAAATTGTAAATATAAATAAGCTAAATTATCTCACCAACTCATCATAAAAATACAAGCCTATCTCCCAACTAAAATAATTAATTTGTCTCTTTAAATAAATAAAACACTATGAATAAATAAAAAACTCCTAAAAACTCTGAGAATAATCAAAATACTAATATATAAAATTCAGCAGCAAGTCCTTAAAGAGACATTTTAAAATAATATTAGTTAATTTATAAACCAGAAAAGAAGCTAAGCAGTATAAATAGCAATAGTAGTGCCGCTCAAATGAGAAGAAGTAACACATAGAGATATCTATTAAATAATAGCAATAACAATTAAAACTCATGTCTCAATATTAGTAAAAATAATAATAATTAATCATCTTTCCTCAATAAATCAAATGAACTTATAAAAAAGGTAATTTAATTACTTATTTTAAATTAGCTAAACTTTATATTATATAAAATAATTTAGAATTTTTAGGTTATCTAATCTAAGAATTAAGCAATTAAAAATTTGAATGCAGTGTAGTCAAAAGATTTTAAGCTTGAAAAATTTTACAAGACAGTAAATTTTTAATTTATTTATTACAACAAATAATTTTAAACAAATTTAAAAGAATTAAAAGTAGGTTGACAATATCCCTAAAAAATCAGGACTGAGTTAAATGATTAGTGATAGAAATCAACACAAGTCAATTAATTTGAACTAATTAGCTTTAAATAACAATTCAAGTACAAATATAAAAAATACTAGTAACTTTAATATTCCTCACTTAAATAATGATGAAAATGAATAAAGAGTGCATGAAAAATTGTTAGAAGAAAATTGTTAACAATTAAAATTTTCAGGAATATAAATAAACACATAATAAAAAGTTATTTCAAATAATATCTTAACAACTCCAAACAGTTAAAGCTAGAAACAAATTCTCTAAAAATGCTTACATAGCATGGTATAAATCTACTGCAACATATGCAATAGAAAATCTAGAAATAATATTTAATAATTATTATCAAAAAGATGATTTTGCATTTAATTTTCATTCATTTTTATATTCATTTATTAATTTTTTATAACTTTTGGATTTAATTGATTGTTTGTTTGTTTGTTTATCTAACTAAGTTAATTTTATTTATCTATTTGAAATATCAAATTTAGATTAATAAATTAATAATTTTTATTAAAAAATATTATGGTTAATTTGTATGGATTTCAAATAAAAAAACATACTTACCATAAAATAAAAATGTGAGTTAAATTTCACCTTAGCATCGAACCATTGTTTAAGAAATTATTAGACATTGTATAATAAGATATTTATGCAATATTATATGTTAGCCTAAGATTTACTTTTATGTATATCTTTATAAAATTGATAAACAAAAAAATACAAAAAATTAAAAAAAGTAAATAACATAAAAAATTAAAGAATAAGTTTACAATGTCCAAATCAATCACTTAAGTAGAAGCTTTTTGGGATAATTATTCAGATGAGTACACAACCTATGACCACGGGGCTAACGTATTTTATCTATCTTTACTAAATATGCTAAAGATTGAAAAGAGAAATTCCATTCTTGAGGTAGGAGCAGGTGCTGGTTTCTTATATTCACATACTTTAAATCGCAAAAAACCTGAAGCAAAATACACTGCCACTGATGTATCAGTAAAGATGCTGTATTAAATGTGCAAAAGATTAAAAATTGAAGGTGATTTGACTAATGGATTATATAATGAGAAGTACAATTTAGCAATTGAAAAGGTTAATGGAGAGACATTACCTTACTCGGATGGCACTTTTGATTGTTATATTGCAAACTTATGTTTGTAACTTACCCCTGATCCTTAAAAAATGTTAAATGAATCTTATAGAGTTCTTTAAAAGGGAGGTGTTGTAGGATTTACAGTTTGGGGAGAATAAGATAAATCAATATGGTCAATTATTCCTGGTATACTAAAATAATTTGACATATAAATGGATGAAGGAACAACCCACTTCTAGTTAAATGATAGAAGTAAATTGATAAAGATGTTGGAAGATACAGGATTTACCAATGTAATTACTTGGTATTAATTTTCTCCCTATAGCTTTATCAATGATGAGGATATTGAAACATTTTTGAATTTATCATATAATGTCTCCATCCTCAACTTAGCTGGAGATAAAAAAGAAGAAGTGAAGCAGAAGGTTGTTGAAAAGTTTAGAGACATTTTCTTTGTTTAGAAATAAGCTGTTGGACATGGTGGCTTACTTATAATTGGAACAAAAAATTGATGAATTAAAAAATCAAAATTGTATTTTTATATTAAAATTAAAAAGTTTGTTGATTCTGTATTTTTTAATAAAACAATGATTTTAAATGTATTTTATTCAATTAAAATTCAAATATTAATAAATGTAATAAACAACTTAAAAATATTTATAACTCATTTTGTTATCATAAATTTATTAAAATTAAAATAGGCCTCCTTATTTTTACTAATTTCAGTAATTGTATTCAAGCTACCCACCAATTTAACTAGCTTCATTTCCTCCTTGGTTGATGGATTTAATTATAAGTTTGAAATTATTTTGAAATTTATCTTAGTTAATTGGATCAATTTTTAAGGTAATGTCCTTCAGCAAGCTATTTAATGGTTCTTAAATTATGTTGATATCTTGTTAATTCATAACTTGTGATTCAATATATTATTTTCTTACTTATTCGAATATCTATTTTTTTATAAATAATTTTGTTTTATTAATAAAAATTATTAAAGTCATTTATTTACGTTTGGCATAAATACTATAAAGGCAAAAAGCGCATTAGATATTTTGACGAATATCTTACTATTTACATAGCTGAATGATATATTAAACAAAAAGGCTATGTATTCATTAAAAATCTAATAACCATTAGTAATAAGAGATTTGACACCTCTTTCGACCTCCTCAGTCATCTTAAAATTAATTTCTTCAACACAGAAGCTGCAGAGATTTTATATTACTTGTGATACATTTTGAATTAATGGATCATCATGTATAGTGCTGAAATTTCCATATTTAAAGTTTTCTTAAGTAATCTTTTCCATAAATCTTTTAGAAATCAAGAATAAGTTAATAGCATACCTTTCATCATTAAAACAGTATACAGTTTCTTGGAATTATTCAGATATAATTAATATATTTTAAATAAAGACTTGTGTTAATTTTGGATACTAAAATACTTCTTCAAAAAGCAAAAATTTTAAATCCAAATTAACTTTTAAGTAATCTATAAATGTAGAGTCTCCATAAAGTTGAAAGACTGAAAAGTTTATTAGCTTGCTAGTAAGAAATTTATTTAAAACTCTCCAATATATCATCACAAGTTTAATTTTATCATTATTTTAATTTTTGTTGGTTACATTCTGGAAGTATTCCATTAAAAGTTTACCATACTTATTTAAAAAATCAGAAAAATCCTTGAACATTTGATATCCAAAATTTTAATTTGTCAGAATACTAATTCTTTGAGTCTTGTTGTCAATAACATTTAATAAAAGCTTTAAAGCTGGTACCATTAATTCCATATCCAAACCATAAGAAAGCAGTTGGTCAGAATAAATAAACTTATATAAATGATACCTAGAATTTATTTTTTTATTTTTAAGTTTAAAAGCTTAAAAAACAAAAAATTTTTACGTTTTCTTCAAAAAGACCTTGTAAATTGCTCCTAAATCTATATGCTTAGCTAATCCAGTTGCATCATAAAAGAAACGGATCATGTCAGCCTATAGTAATCAAAGCTTAAAGGATAAATTTATTTAAATTTAATTTACTTTAGTGCAATTTTATGGGTTGAAACAAATTCTTCTTATAATACCATCAGTAGCTTCGATGTAATTATCTAAGGGATCATCCATGTATGCAAACGCAATTAGTTCATAAATTTTTGTTCTACTTTTAAAACTATCTTATGATAGTTACCTTCCTACAGATTCCTTCATAATAAGATTAGAAAGCTGTAAAATTAATGGCATTTTCTTAAATACACCTCTTGAAAGATTGTGCTTGAGCCTTTCAATTAATTAAATTTACATATTAATAAAGATTTAAGTATATCTTAATAAAAAATTACCTAAGAAAGATAAAATTTATAACATGGAGAGAATACTCGAATACATTTTTGCTAGTAGTTTGTACATTCTACTCTAACTTGCTCACCATCATCTATGTCAACTAAGCAAATTCGTTCACATTCAAATATTTTTATACGTATGTAAAGTACTAATTTTATTAGATTGATTGTTGTGAATAAATATTATAATTATTTATAAGGAATCTTATATTTTCTTCTTATTAAATAGGAATAACTACCTTGGCGCTAGTAGAAGTTGTATCAAATGTTTTAGCATCATCTGTATCCATATCTTCAGTTAAATATTTGTTAAGCAAAAATGAATGAAATTAATAAAAAAATTTACTTCCTAATGTTTTAATAATATACTCTTCCATAAAATAAAGTATTGATAATTCAGTTAGTTCGTTTTAAATTAAAGGGAGCTATTAGAAAATTTAAATAAGGTTAAAAATAAATTTAATTAACATTAATAATATTACCTAAGCCTGAGGGTAATTGATTTAACTTTCAATTATCTTGAAGAAAATAGCGATCATTTTCCCCATATATTCAAATACTTAAACAGACTGCTAAATATAAGAATTAGATTTTTCAATTCCAACTGAAGATACTAGAATTAATTAATTGACAAGGCCTAAACACAAACATATCTTGTCTATTTTTATATTTTTACATTTTAATTTTAATAGCTTACTTTTAATTTTATTTTACGATTTGAGCTTTGCATTTATGCATTATCTATATTTCCTCTATTTTACAAACAAATAAAATATTCTTCAGCACACTTTTCAAACAAATGAGCAACAATTTAGAACGAAGGTTCAAGGTCGTTATTTCCAATATAATAAATGTTTTCAAAGAAATTTCTCATTGCCTTCTTAAATTTTTTAAATCCTATTTTTTTTATTTTTTTTAACTTTTAATCTTTTTCACTATAAATCATCCTTACTTAAAAAGTTTGCATCTTCAAAAAAAGAAACTTGTTAAAGACATCTTTCAGTGAAAGTTTATATTAGCTATTTAAAAAAAATTTAAATAACATTTTTTAATTTTAATTTTAATATTACTACAGTAGAAGTAAATTTATTAATAGGATTAGTAATAGATTTAGGAATTTTAATGCTGATAGATAACCTAACTATTTTTCTCCATAAATTCATTAACTTTGGAATGACTTCATCTTTAACCTTTTATAATTTTAATTTCAACTTTGTGTATTTTTCCAACAACTTACATTAAATTGAGTACGATTAATGACATATAAGGAAAATTATTGCATGATATTAATCCATTCTTCACCTTGTTTTTCAATTTTTCTTAATTTCTTCAAACTAAAATTATTCTTAAATTTTATCATCACTTTATTTGATATTTTTAATTAAATTTATTTTACCATCATTCTATTGCAATAATCTATGATTTCGAGATTTAAATCTTCATCAAGAACTTTAATAGATCTTATAATTTCTGTTATTCCTTCACAACAAAATAAGATAAATCCCTTCTTTTTTTCTTTATCTTCAAACTCTGAATGAGTTATCCTGCAAGAAACAATTTTGCTCAAGCATCTAAGTAACTAAAAAAATTGATTATAATTAGAACATAAATCTCATTTAAACAATTACATTTAGGCCAACATGTGAATTTACTGTGATCAGCAACTTAGTTGTGTAAAACAATCTCTTTAGTAAATCGAAGTTCACTAATATTTTAACAATTTTTTCAGGGAACTAGACGCATATTTATAAAAAATATATCAGTAAATTTATAGGAAAGAATTCACAATCAAAGTAGATTTGCTATAATCAAATAATTTAACTAAAGAATGATTACCTAAATTAATTAGTTATCTTAGTAATCTTAATCTGTCTCAAAATCATAGTATGAGATATTAAAGTTAAAGGAAAGGATTTATAAAAAGAGTCCTACATATTTTTCAAAAATTTTTGAAGGGTTGTTAGGTTAAGCTGCTACTATTTCTAATAATTAATACAGCTTTGAAGCTACTTGCTAACTTATTGGAACTAAACCTGATGTTTAAAAGCTTAGTATTATTCTTCTATACATAATGTATCCCATATTTGTGCTAAAATTAGAGATATTTTAGATAATGAAATCTACTATTAAGATACCGAAATCCTCTTTCTTTTTTGTTTTAAGTATTTAAATTAACGTAAAAAATAAGTGGATGATTAATATTGTCTTAAATTGAATATATAGATAACAAAAAATTCTTCTATTTGCTATCTTACAAACTGTTTAAATAACTGTATGTTTAAAGTAACTTACATTGATAAGAATCTATACAACATATTCTACAAGTTCTGTAGAGTAATCAAACGAGTTATCTCCCCAAAGAGCCTTAAAGATTACTGCAATAACATGACACACGGATTTATATGTATGTAATTAATATTTTTTGTCTTAGTTTAGAGTTAAAAATTTCATGAAAAATCCAAATAGCTCCAAATAGGCTACAGTATCTGAGGACATTCTTTCATCAGAATTTGCTAAACTTGAACCTACATCCATGTAATTTGATATATTTCCTCTATTTAAATGATGAGAAGACGCTTCTTTTGTATTAATAAATGTTCTATTATCACTACTAATTATCTTTTAGAGTAGCTCGCATGCCACAAAAATTGAATTCTCTTATTTTGTTTAAATAAGGATTTCAAAAAATTTATACATATTCCTCCAATCAAGTAAAAATTAATCTATTTTTTGCTCCTCCGCTTGCTTATCCTAAGATTTAAGATAATTAAAATTTTAAAAATGTTAACTTCTAAAGCTTAAAAATATATCTCGTTAAAATGAGTAATAAATTTCACTGATAAATTGATTTATTGTGGGCTTTTGAAAAATATGTGCTTACTTATATTTTTTAAGAGTTCAATATTACGTCGCATGACCAATTGAAATTATCGATATCTGTTTAGACTATTTGGCTATAATGATGAGTATTAAATATGCTCATAACTATATTCTACATAGGATTTGGCTACTAAGCATTACTGCCATTGATACTAATTTCTGAATTCATCATCATCTCCCCTTTTACTAGATTATCTAACTTTAAACTTATGTGCCTCGTTTTATTATATTTTTTAAAAGATTATCAAATATTTGTTTTTTTGCTGGCTTTTGCGCCTTTAATATTTGATTAGTTTTTATTACAATATATTTGATTTTATTAAAAAGAAATATAGTAGTAGACTCCCTATTTCATTCATTAATATATACAAATATGCATAAGTACATACATAAAAAATTCATCAAAATCAAAAAGAGATTAAAATAGCATATAAAGATATAATTTTTCAATTAACATTTTTACTAAGTTAATAAAATAAGAGTATCTTAAATATTCTTATCAATATTTTTTATTTATTTATTATCAAAATAAAGACTGCGTCTAAAAATTTTGATATGTACTTTTTCTGAACAGTCAGAGTGTCGTAGCATACATTTTCTAATACCTAAAATATATATTTTTTTATTCAGTTATGTGCATAAAGGCATTTTTTCAGAATTTTTTGTTAACTGATGAGAAAAATTCTTGTTGAAGTATCATTTTTTTTGATGTATGAATTAGCTTTAAAAAAGTATGGAAGAATCAGAACGTAAAAATTCCTTTTATAAAATTGATCAATTAAAAATAATTTTTTCCCATTAAAAAATATAGGTTTAATATTTTTTTAAATAAATAATAAAAGTATTTTTTTATTTAATAAATTTATTTATTGTTAATAATTTTTTAATACAAAAATAGTAGTTTTAATATAAATTTATATATTATTTGCTAATAATTCAAAGTTTAAGAGATGAAACTGTTGAAAAGCAATGTTCTCTGAGAAAACCTCTTTGATTAACTGGAGCCTTAGGTTGATGACCAGCATATCCAGGAATTTTAGTATGACTATATTTCAAAATAATTTAAAAACTAAAAAAATAAAATTTTATAATTTTACTAATTATCCACTATGGTTGCTCTAGATTTATCAATTCTTGAATTTAAAGCTGCAGCATGTTCAAGTGATTTACCAACAGTTCTTGCTGCAGGAATAAAACCAGTATAGTTAGGAATATGGAAAGTAGATTTAGTAGTACCCATTCTAATTTTAAATTTTAATTAAAAATAATTTTTTTTGTTAAAATTTACTTTAAAGGATCTTCGTGTTTATTAATTATTTCATTGCCATATTCATTCAATTTATCAGTTGGCTTTGTGCCAAATTCTCCAAAGGTAGTTTTATATTCAGTAGGCCCTATTTTACTAAAATAAATAATTACATTTTGTAATTTAACTCTATTTTAAAAAGTTTCATTTTATTATAAAAATAAACTTTTATGAAGATTTGACTTTTTAATTATAAAATTAAAAGTAAAACTATACCTATCAACTTAGTGGGGCTTAAGATGATAGGACCATTCTGGTCTTGAAGCTTTACTATAGGAGTAAGGATCTTTAATATTAGCATTATAATTTGATTTCCAATGCTCTACACCTGTTTTCAATTTAGAAGTTTCATTATTAGGATCAAAGGTTTAATCCTTTCTATCACTGCCATATGAAAGAACACTCTTTCCAGTAGCTTAAAGTTGATATTAAGTCTAAAGTCCCTTCTTAACATGTGTATGGTTTTAATAATCTTTAGGCTATACTGCATTTGATACATCTACTTTATATACTGTTTTGTAATGTTGATGATTTTCGTACATAGAAGCGTCATCACGAGTTCTTTGTGCTAATTTTTAAAAATATTTAATGAATCAGTTTTGCTTATTGAAAATATTAATATTTTTTGACTATAATAATTATAACAGCCATTTATTTATTTCGTCACTATGTATAAAATCAAGATTATTTCAGCAATATTGTAATTTTTTTTATCTATCATTTTATTTTATTTTTAAATAAAAAAGTACTTTATTCCCAAACATCGTTAGGAGAGAGAACTTATCTTCCTGGCTTTAGAGAGGGATATGGTTTATCACCATATGAAGAAAATCCTTAATATCCTGAAACTTTTGAAATCATAATATTTGAAATTTGCAAAGACTATTAAAAAAAAAATATATTTTTTGTTTTCTTTGGGTTTTGCTATATAAATAAATATTGCTCGTTATCAAATTTAGGATTTCTCTTATTCACACAAAAGTAAATTAATTAATTAAAAAGCAAACAATTAAAAAGATAGTGATTGAATAAGAAACAAATAACTTTTACAAAAATAATTAATCTAAATTTTTTCAGTTTAATCCAATCATTAAATCAAGAACAGTTTTAATATTTCAAAAAAAATAAATATGATATTTTAATTTAATTTAAACATTTTCTGTATTATTTATTTATCTATTAAAGACCACTTAAATAAGTTTTGAAAATATTTTTATAAAGAAAATAAAAAAAAAATAACTGCTTTTTATGCTTGATGAAAACTAAATGTTTGAATTATGTAAGATATTTATAAAATTGATTATACACTTATTCATTCTATTTTGCAAGTTGATTTAATTTTATAAATCAAAATTTAAAATAGAAACTGCTATAAATTTTACTGTTTTGACAATTAAAATAAGTGAAATATCAATTAAATTTACTGTATATTGTAAATTTACATGAAGAATTTATTAATTATTTATTTATAACTCTCTCTTTCTTTTTCTTTGCTATTTAATTTATTCCAGTTCTTAATTAAAAAAATGTCATTTATTTATATATTGATGATGCTGGCAAATAACATGATTTTTGATTTAAATTATGAATGAAATACAAAGTAAGAGGAAAAGAATAATAAAGGAAAATTATTAAAAGAAATCATTAACATAATCAAAAGGATTGATATTGTTTTTAAACAATAAAAAAGAAAACTTAAATTAATTTATATAATAAATACATAAAAATACAACATATCTGGAGAGATATTAATTAATTAGCATAGCAAATAAATAGCTTATCTGTCCATTTTTTGTGTGTTATTACTGAAAAAAAAAAATAGAAAAGCGACTTGAAGTTCTAATAAGCATATACTATTGATACATATATTTTACAGGTGAACATCAAACCAAATAAAGCCAGGTTGTTGAGAAATTTAAAAAGCTATTTAAATAATAATTAATAGATATGAATAGGAAATAATTGTTTGGTGACGAAAATCCAGATGATGATAAGCGTATATCTAGTGGAGATTAACCAGTATAAAACATTAAAATCATTACTAAGACTTAGTCGTAAGGTGGTTTTGGAATTAATAATTTAGCTGGACGTCTTTACGATAAAGGCTTTAATTTAAAGACAATGCCATCAGTAAAGCGTGATGCTAATTCATACTAAGACAAAGTTTTGACAGCAAATTTAACTAATTTATAAAATCGTAAAACCAAATTAGTGCCACTGATTTATCAACCTTAATCTGTAGTTTTGCACAATGGTAAAAGAGTTCATGCAGTGGTTATGCCAGGAGGATAGCTAGAGTAGGATGGATTTAATCAATCATAAATGGGGACAACAAGCTATGGCGGCAGTGGAGCATTAACTTAGTTTGGATCTACATAATAGCCTAATTTCTTCCGTTAAACAGCAAAATCCACATTTAATGGCTAATTTAAGCTTAATTTTGGATAATAAAATGATGATGGCGCCCCTTAATCTAGAGGAATGTAAATTTAAAGCGCATAAAAGAGTTTAAGAGGTGAATCTCAGCCTCCTTTGGAAAATGAAATTCAACCTTTAAATAAATCAAGAACTGATAATATGGACTTTAAAAATTTTATGTATAAAACCCATGAGCTATTTCCTTAAAATCCTTTAGAAAGTGGTCAAAAAGTTTAGATAAGCCAGAGTTAAAATAAATTACCTCCAATTGACCGTTCTTAGCTAGGATCAGCATAGCAATAAAATAATAATAATATAAATCTTGGCTCGACATAAGTAGGATTTAAAGGAAGCTTCATGGAAGCTGATAAGGCTTTTTTAAAAATTAATGGTTTTTCAGATGTTGAAATGGATAGAACAAAAAGACTTGTTGGAAGGATTTCTGGAAAATAAAATATAGACTAAAGGTATAGAAATACAATGGGCCAAACAGGAGGATTCGGCTCATTTAAAAAAAAAAAGACAGACGAAGAAGAACTTGATTAAAATTAGCAGCATCCTCTTCCTGATTACAAAGGAGAATTTACTGTAGTATAGAGTGAAGAATAATAGAATTAATTAGGTGCAAACTTTGAAAAAAAAGGAAGAAATCCTAAATTAGATCTTTATATTGAGCTTATTTTAAAAAATGTAGTTCATGTTCACGAATTTTAGTATTTGATACGTGACGATAAAGATAAAGATGATGATGATCCTTACAATCTTATTGTTGCTGACTATAAAGATATAAAAGCTAAAGAAAAAGCTGGCACTCTTAAGGAATTTTACACGATTTCAAAAAAAGGTCTTACTCATTACATCAATGGCAAACCAGTTGAATTTATAGGTCTTGCAGTGTGGATGAAGGTATGAACTAATCATTTTAATTAATTACAAAAATATTTTCTTTCAAAAATTTTCCAAAGAGATCAAACTAATTTTAGATTTAAATAGACGCTGTTAAAAGTATTAATTATGAAATTAAATAATTGATCAGTTTCATTTCTGATAAAATTGATAATTAGATTGATATAGAAAAATAAAATTCAAAATAATTCAAAGAATTTAAGTAAGCAATCAAATGAGCAAGTCAATAATCAAGCATCTAAATGATTAAAAACTTTAAAATAAAATAAAATAATTTAAATTAATATATTTTTATTAAATTACAGGAAAGAGAACATTATGATCAAATTAAAAGTTTAAAATTCTTTACTAAATTTAGAAAATGGAAAACTTTAAAAATGTGGAGAAAAAATGTTATTAAGCACAAAACTGCTACTTGCGCCAAGGCTTTAAACGAAAAGCTATTTATCCTAAATAAAACATTCCGTGATACTATTCTTTAATTCCGTTCAAATACTTATGATATGATGGAATCTTAGCGTTTTATTAGCGTAGATAACAATTCATACACAGGAGCTGATTCTACTTACACTTTAGATGAGTTTAAAAATTTGTAGGAGTAAACCAGAAAGAAAATAACAGATAAAATTTAAGAATATTCTAAGAAATGCAGAACTATTGTAAAAAGTGGCTTCGACGAATCTCTTAATGAGCTTAGAAGAAACGTCTACATGGCAAACAATGAAGAAGATTATCAAAATTCAAGAAAATAAAATTAAAATTTCTTTAGGTAATCTTTTTACATAATAAAATATTTCAATTTTTACTATTTAATTTTTTATTAGACTTAAAGAATCTGCCTATGAGAATCTCGGCTTTTCAGATAATATGAATTACGAATAAAGATCTGAGCTTAGAAAAGTTTGTACTAAATTCTTACGTTTTTCTTATTTAGTTGACTTCTTGGCTATGGAATCATTAAGCAACATATTTAAGTACAGTGTTGCAGAACTTGAAAATAAGCTAACATGTTTGGTTGATGAGGATTTCTTCTATGAATAATAGAAGCTCAAAAATAATTAAAATATGAATAACGATCCTCTCTTTTTAGTTGAAATTAATCCTGGTTTTGAACCAATACCTGATGATGCTACTGTTATCGAACCTATTAAAGAATTTATGCCTAAACCTTTTGGTGAAGATACTGAAAAGTAATTTAATATACTCCACCATGTCAGACTTAAAGAACCAAAGAAAAAGACTGAAGAATAAAAAGCTGCTGATGCTGCAAAAAAAAAACCTAAAAAATAGAATGAAGATGGTGAAGATGAAGAGGAAGAAGAAGATGATGAAGATGAAGAAGGTGTTGTTCCAGATGAAAATAGGACATATAATCGTAAAATTGTTCCTACTATAACTGAAAAATGGATTAGAATATCTCCTGACAGAGAAACTATTATTTCAGACATATTACGTTGTATTGCAGAAGGTACAAACTCAATTTAGGCTTTTGAAAGATGGAGTAGACATGACGATATGACTATGTATAATAATAAAAATAGAATTCTTTATTTTAAAAATTTTATTTAATAGTTATGTTAGCGTTTTAGAAGAGTGGGATGATATGGTTGGAGATGATTGGGAGCATCCAGATACCAATTACTTAAATCCTTAAGATTGGATTGATGGAGGATCACCTTAAGATAAATTTTAAAAGACATTTAGAGAGCTCATTTCTAGTGCTTTTTCAAGATGTGATTCATTCATTAAAGATTCATTCCATAAATATCTTATTGAATATTGGGAAAATGAATAAATTGATTTAAATATTTTCCGTAATGAAAAACTTTTAAATCCTGGTGAGTCTTTTAACTGGACTTTAAGGAAACTTACAGATCAAAAGGAAGTTTATGAAAAAGAATTTCCTGATCAAAAAGATTTAGGTCTACTTAGATTGGACTTCAAAACCCTAAGAAAGAAAATTATAAATTTCCCTAATGAAATAATTAAAAAATTCTCTCTTTTCATGCCAGAGATGATTAGATTAAGAAATATCGAAGTCAAAGATTGGTAAATAGCATGATTTAAATTTTTATAATTATAATTAAATTTTTTAAATATCAAGGATGAATAATGCAACAAACTTATTCAAAGGAGGTGGAGCAAACATTGATGAATTCGTAAAGAGAAGCAATAACCTTAAGATAGTTTAAAGATAACTACCTAAATATAAATAAAAGTTTAGCGATATATAACATATTAGAAACATTATTATTGAAAATAAATTTGATATGAAAAAAGAAGATGTATCTGCTATTATAGACACACAAAATGTTTAAAAAAGATTAGAATAAACTATTCTAAGTGCTGAAGAACTTGCTGAGAGAAATATAGAAAAGTAAATTTTTGATATTGTTTACAAATATTTATATTAAATAAATAAATAACTAGTTATATCCGTGATGTTAAAGAAGATTTAATCCCTAAATTAATCAAAGAAGTAGGTGAGTTAGATTCTCAAATATAAAATAAGAAATATCTCAGCGAGGAATTAGATATTAATGTAGCCATTAAAGAGTTAGAAGGCTTGTACAATGATGCTAAAAAGCTTGAAGATAACAGTAAATTATACAATCATTATGAACATACCCTCGGATTACCTATAAGCAGATTCGAAGATCTGGAAATGCTCCTATAGGATGCTAACCTACGTTATTTAATGTGGAAGTCTTTAAAGGAATGGAAGGAGTTAATTTCAGGATGGGTTGATGGTAAGTTTAAAGATATTAACACTGAAGAAATTAAAAATAAGGCTGAATATTATAGTAAGATAGTTGCTCGTTGTGACAAAAAGCTCCCTTAAAATGCCATTCTTACTGAACTTAAAAAATTGGTTACTGATTTCCGTAATACTATGCCTATTGTCTTAGCATTACGTAACGAAAACTTAAAGGATTATCATTGGAGAGACATCAAGAAAATTATTGGTGAATTTGAGATAAATGATGAATTCACTTTAAAGAAATTGATTGATATGAAAGTTGTAGATTTCATGGAAGAAATTTAAGAAATTTCAATTCAAGCAACTTAAGAAGCTTCTTTAGAAAAATAGTTCCAAGAAATTAGCGAAAAATGGAACAAATAAGAATTTACTTTAGCTCCTTACAAGCATCACTAACCTCGTACAAAGGACGCTTATGTACTTGATTAACTTGATGAGCTCTTTGCTGCTATAGATGAATATTTGGCTAACTTGAACAATATCCTAGGTTCTCGTTATCTTAAAAAAATTCGTGAGGAAGTTGAGAAGTTCTAGAAAAACGTGCTTTATAGTTAAGAATGTATTGATGATATGCTTGCAGTTTAAAAGAACTGGATTTATTTAGAAAATATTTTTTCTTCTAACGAAATTAAAAGTAAACTTAGAGAAGAAACTTAATAATTTGAAGGTGTAGATAAATTCTTCAAAAACTAAATGTCTAAAGCAAATAAAGGTCAAGGAAAGCTAATTCATAAATTTATAATTTAACCTAGCAAATCAACTGCTGCTGCTGCTCCTCAACCAGCAGAAGCTTAAAAAGATTAAAAGGAAGGAGATAAAAAGGAAGTGAAAACTCAAAAAAATGATACTTTGAGCTAATGGCGTAAGCACAAAGATACTCTTAATAGTATTCAAAAAGCATTAGACGACTATCTTGAAGATAAGCGTGGTGAATTCCCTCGTTTCTATTTCTTAAGTAATGATGAACTTATTGAAATTTTAGCTAAGGCTGGTGATATCGAGGCTATTTAGCGTAACTTAAAGAAATGCTTTGATGGCATCCATCGTTTAAATATTGATTCCAACAATTCTATAAAGGGTATGATTTCTCCAGAAGGCGAGACAATAGAGTAAATAAAAATTAACATAATATTTTCTTTAATAGTATTTTAATTAATTTTAGGTTTAACAAATTCTTTACTGCTAAGGGAGAAGTAGAAAAGTGGTTATTATAAGTCTAAGAATAAATGAGAGAAAGTCTTAAGAAAGCAATTAAAAAAGGAAAACAAGATATTGATAAAGATAACAAAGAAAGAAAGGATTGGGTATTATAACATCCCGCTTAAGTTGTGGCTACCGTTTCTAACATTATGTGGACTCAAAGCACAGAAATTTTTATTTAGTAACAAGGTGATGCTGATGCTGATAATCCCTTAGAGAATTGGTACAAGATAAACATTTAATAACTATAAGAATTAACTGCTCTTATCACACAAGGCCTTGATCCATTAAAACACAAATCTATAGTTGCTCTTATTACTTAGGATGTTCATGCAAGAGATATAGTTTACAAATTATGGGAAGAAGGAACTTGTTCAGTAAATGATTTTGAATGGTAAAAACAATTACGTTATTACTATTATGAAGAGCCTGAAAATGAAGTATAAGTAAAGCAAGTAAATGCAAAGATTAAGTACGGAAATGAATATCTTGGTGCAACTACAAGATTAGTTATTACTCCTCTGACTGATAGATGTTGGATTACAATTACAGGTGCTCTCAACATTAAGCTTGGTGCAGCTCCCGCAGGTCCAGCAGGTACTGGAAAGACAGAGTCAACAAAAGATTTAGCTAAAGCTCTAGGTGTATTTTGTGTTGTCTTTAACTGTTCTGATTAAATTGAATATTAAATGATGGGTAGATTATTCTCAGGTTTAGCTTAATAAGGTGCTTGGGCATGTTTAGATGAATTCAATCGTATTGATATTGAAGTCTTGTCAGTTATTGCTCAATAACTTCTAACTATTCGTCAGGCATTAATGAAAGGAATCAAGGATGATGAAAAATTCTTGTTTGTTGACAGAATGATCCCTCTTAAAGGTATTTTTTTTATTTATTATTGATTATTTTAATAACTATTTGTATGATAAATAGCTGATGGATATGGTGTTTTTATCACAATGAATCCTGGTTATGCTGGACGTACTGAATTACCTGACAATCTTAAGATTCTTTTCAGACCTGTAAGTATGATGATTCCTGATTATAGATTAATTGCTGAAATTATGCTTTTTGCAGAAGGTTTTGTAAATGCAAATCCTTTATCAAAGAAAATGGTTTAATTGTACACTCTTTCATCATAACAACTTTCTCAGTAAGACCATTATGATTTCGGTATGAGAGCTGTCAAGTCAGTACTTGTTATGGCAGGTGCCTTAAAGAGAGCCTAGCCAGACTTAAAAGAAGATGTTGTGCTTATTAGAGCTATGAGAGACTCGAACGTACCTAAATTCTTAAAAGATGATTTACCTCTATTTTCTGCTCTTATCTAAGATCTTTTCCCCAACGAATAAATTCCAGATCCAGATTATGGTGAGCTTCCACAATAAATTGATCAATCGTTTGAACGCTTAAACTATTAAAAAGTAGAAGAATTAAAGCATAAAGTTATTTAACTTTTCGAAACATTCAACGTACGTTTTGGAGTTATGCTTGTTGGTGCTACCACTTCTGGTAAAAATAAAATCATACTCTTTTAAATTTTTTAGTAAAAATAATCAAATATTTAAAATAGGAAAAACTGCATGTTTTAGAACTTTAGCTGATTCTATGTCTCAATTAAGAAAGAGAGGATCAAAGGATAATAGATTCTAAGAAGTAAAAACCCATATATTAAATCCTAAATGCATTACAATGGGTGAGTTATATGGTCAAGTCAATCCCAATACATAAGAATGGCAAGATGGATTAGCTTCTTAAATCATGAGAGAAGCAGCTTCAGATGAAACTGAACTTCGCTAATGGGTAGTATTTGATGGACCTGTTGATGCCCTTTGGATTGAAAACATGAATACTGTGCTTGATGATAATATGATGTTATGTCTTGCTAATGGTCAAAGAATTAAACTTAGGACATAAATGCGTATGCTTTTCGAAGTTTAAGACTTGAGGGTTGCTTCACCAGCTACAGTCTCTCGTTGCGGTATGGTCTACTTAATGTAAAAAATACATTTTAAATTTAATAAGATAAATTAGTAAAATTTTTTTTTTCAAGGTATGAAAACTTAGGATGGAGACCTTTTGTTTAGTCTTGGATAGAAAAGAAATTTACAACAAAATTAGATTTAAATGACTAAGTAGAAGTAGAGGAGGTTCTTAGCAAAGAATTAAGAACTCACTTATATACTCTTTTCGATGAGAAGGTTGATTTCTTTATAGATCATATTAGAAAGATGAAAGAACCAATTGCAACTTGCGACCTTTAATTGGTTAACTCACTTTGTAATTTGATTGAGTGTTTCATAAGCGAAGAATATGGATTTAAGAAAAATGAAAGACCAGATTTCAAAAAAAGATATCTTGATCATGCCTTTGCTTTTGCTTTTATCTGGAGTATGTGTTCTACAGTCAATGAATTAAACTATGATAAAGTAAATTTGAATAAATAAAAAAAACATTATAAACCGTTTTTAATAAGTTATTAATTAATTTCATATTTAAACATAAAAGTTGGACATTTTAATTAGAGATAAATTCCCTCTTTGTATTTTCCCTAATTAAGGAACTGTTTATTCTTTCTTCTTAGACGTAGGTTCCTAACAACATAATGATTTAACATTTAGACATTGGAATGATAAAACACCTGAGTTTGTTTATGATAAAGAAATTCCTTACTTTAACTTGCTAGTGCCTACTCTAGACACTGTTCGTTATAGTTTCTTTACAGAATGGCTACTTTCATTTAAAAAGCATATGTATTTAACAGGTATGAGTGGTACTGGTAAATCAGTTATTCTATCCACAATATTGACATAGATTTCAGAAACAAGAAACGTTGATCATTTCAGTCTAATTTTCTCAGCTTAAACATCTTCTAAAGTTACATAATTGACAATTGAAGGTAATTTGATAATTCTTTTTGATATTGATAAAAATTTAAAATCGAAAATTAGGAAAATTGGAAAAAATTAAAAAAACATTATTGGGTGCCAAACCTAATAGAAAGACTGCTGTATTTATTGATGATATTAATATGCCTTCTGTTGAAGAGTATGGAGCATAACCTCCTATTGAATTATTAAGATTCTTGGTAGATAAAGGTGGATTATATGATAGAAAAGAAAGATTCTGGAAGGATATTTAAGATACCATTCTTTGTATCTGCTCTGCCCCTCCAGGTGGTGGTAGAAGTATGTTAACTCCTCGTTTCACAAGACACTTTAATTTATTGTGTGTACCATAACCTACAAGAGATATTCTTTTTAAAATATTTGAGTCATTACTAACAGGTTTCTTCAATACAGGTTTCCCAGATACTGTAAAAAGAATGGCTGATGCTATTGTAAATGGTACCATAGATGTGTATCAAACAATCGCAATAGAGCTAAAAGCAAAACCTTCTAAATTCCATTATACATTTAATCTTCGTGATGTCTCTAAAGTTTTCTAGGTATGATAAAACTTTTTAAATCTTTAAGTAAATTTAAAATATTTTTAAAAGGGTATTATGATGACTACGCCATATGGTGGTGTTAGAGATGAAAATAGTGCAACAAAACTATGGATACATGAAGTACAAAGAGTCTTCCATGATAGACTTATTAATGATGAAGATAGAGATTGGTTCTATGAATATATTATGCAATTGCTCGGAAGGCATTTTAAATCTCGTTTGTAGAAATCTGAAATATTTGGTTCTCAACAAATTGTTTTTAGTGATATACTTCGTCTGGATTTAGAAAGGAAGGAATATGAAGATGTAACAGATAAAATGTAAAAAGTAATTAGGGTGCTTGATGATAAGTAGGATGAATATAATTCATCAACCACTAATAATAAAATGAATTTAGTTTTCTTTGATGCTTGCATTTACCATATCTTAAGAATCCTTAGAGTATTACGTTCTCCAAGAGGTAATGCAATGTTAATAGGTGTTGGAGGTAGTGGTAAATAATCACTAACTAAGCTTGCTACATTCATGCTTGAGTATAAACTTTCACTTCTAGAAATTACTAAGGGATTTGATTCTGAAAAATTCAGAGACTTTATAAAAGAATTGATGAAAGACTCCGGAGGTGCTCAAGGCAAAGGAACCACATTTATATTTACTGATAATCAAATTGTTTATGAATCTTTCTTAGAAGATATTAACAATATTTTGAACTCTGGTGAAGTTCCTAACTTATGGTAGCAAGAAGATAAAGATGCTTTGATTTCTGATGTTAGAGAAATCAATAAAAAGTTAAGAAGAGCAGAAGATCCTGATACAATTTACAAAGTATTTATTATTTATTTTTTCATGTTTTATTAATTTTTAAAAATAACAAACTTAGACTTTTGTTGAAAGAGTGAGAAACAACCTCCACATAGTTTTATGTATGAGTCCTGTAGGAGATGCATTAAGAGTAAGGCATAGAAAATTCCCATCACTTGTAGATTGTTGTGCCCTAGATTGGTTTTCTCCTTGGCCTAGTGAAGCTCTGATTAGTGTTGCTACATCAATATTATCTAATGATTAAAATTTCCCAACTCCTAACACAATTACTAAAGAAGAATTAATAGAATAAGTAGCATTTATGTGCAAAGAAGTCCACATTTAAGCAAGTAAGTAAGCAGAAGTTTTTGAATAATAATTAAAGAGAAAAGTATATTACACACCTAAATCTTATCTTGATCTTATCAAGCTTTACCAAAAGGCTCTCTCAGACAAAAGAGCTGAATTTATCACTAATCAGAGTCGTCTATCTTCCGGTCTTACAAAGTTAGAATAAGCAAATAAATCAGTAGCTTAACTCTAAATTGATCTCACAGAATTGAAGCCTTAGTTGGAAGAAAAAACTATTTAGGTTAATGAAAAACTCAGGGAAGTAGAAAAGGATTCAAATATTGCTGCAGAAAAAGAAGCTGTGGTCTAAGAAGAAGCAGAAAAAGTTCAAAAGCAAGCTGATCGTATTTAGTTAATCTCAGATGAAGCTCAAGCTGAGTTAAACAAAGTTATGCCTGAACTTGAAGCAGCAATGTAAGCTGTATAAAACCTTGATAAATCTGCATTAAGCACCCTCAGAGGTATGGCTAATCCTCCACAATAAGCCACCATTACCTTCGAAGCAGTTGCTGCATTGATGGGGTAAAAAAAATATCATTTTTTTAATTAATTTAAACATTTTATTAAATAAAAAATAAGTGAAAAGAAAACTGATTGGGCTTCAGTTAAGTAAATATTCTTGATGGATGTTCCTAAATTCATAGATAAAATGATTGGTTTTGACAAAGATAACATCTCAGAAGATAGGCTTAAAAAGTTAAATAAGGTATTGGCTAAGCCAGAATTTAATTTAGAAGATATCAAGAAAAATTTGAGCTATGCTCATGGTCTTGCATCTTTCTGTTTAGCTATGAAAGTTTATGCTGATGTAAATTCTAAAGTAAAACCTAAAAAAATAGAAGTAGCTAGATTAAACAATGAACTGAATGCAGTTAAATCAGAGTTATATGAAAAAGAATCAGAACTCAAAAAAGTCAAAGATAATGTATAAAGACTCTAAATGGAAACCTAAATGATGGTTAAATAAAGAGAAGAGCTTGAAACTAATAAAGAATTAACTGAGTAGAGATTAGATAGAGCCTAAAAACTTATATAGTTAACAGCTGACGAATAAAAAAGATGGGAAAAAACAGTTGTAAGATTAGGAGGAGAAATAGAAAATTTGTTTGGAGATGTTTTCCTTTCAACAGCTTAAATTTCATATAATGGTCCTTTCACAGGTAAGATATTTTTAAAATTAATTTTTTCATATTTTATATTAAAAAATGTTTAAATATGAAGGTGTATACAGAAAAGAGCTGAATACAAATTGGTTAACAATGATTCGTGAAAAGAATATCCCAACCTCTGAATAATACAATTTAATTAAAACTCTTGGTGATCCTATGTTACTAAGAGAGTGGGTTATTTAAGGTCTTCCTAGTGATTAGGTATCATAGGAGAATTCTATTTTCGCTGTTAAGGGTTTCAGATGGCCTCTACTTATTGATCCTTAACTTTAGGTAATTTTTATTGTATGAATTTTAATTAAAATAATATTTTATATTTACTGTTAAGGCAAATAAATGGATTAAAAATATGGAAAAACAAAATAAACTATCAATCTTTAAATTTTCCACTCCTAAATTCTTAGATATCGTTAAGCTTCAAGTTGAAAACGGTTACCCTATTTTAATTGAAGATGTCGATTCAGCTATAGATCCTTCAATTGATTCAGTAGTTAACAAAGAATTTTCAGAAGTTGATGGTAGATTATAATTAAAATTAGGAGGAAAAGATATTAATTACCACAAAGACTTTGCTTTGTACATGACTACTAAAAAACCTAACCCATAATACTTACCAGAAATATTTATCAAAGTTAATGTGATTAATTTCACCGCTACATTTGAAGGTCTAGAAGATTAACTTCTTGCTGATGTAGTTAAAAATGAAAAGCCAGAAGTAGAACATTAAAGAGATGAAAATGTCCTTAAGCTTGCAACATTCCAAAAGCAAATTATTTAATCTGAAAAAGAGATTCTTCGTCTGCTTGCAGAAGCTAAAGCTGAAAAGATATTAGATGATGTGAATTTAATTAAAACATTGTAGAATGCAAAAGAAATGGCAGAAGAAATCAATCAATAAATTGCAAAATCAATGGAAATTGAAAAGAGCATTGATGCTACTAGAAGCTCATATAAAAGTGTTTCAATTAGAGGTTCTATTCTCTTCTTCGTAATCAAAGATCTCTCTTTGATTGACCCTATGTATTAATACTCACTTCAATATATCAGTAAGCTCTTCAATTAGGCTATGTAATCCTCGGAATAATCAGATGATTTTGAATAAAGATTAAAAATACTTATTGAAAACATTACAAAAACAATATATACAAATGTAACTAGAGGTCTTTTCGAAAAAGATAAGCTAATTTTCTCTTTCTTGATTGCCACATCTATAAATAAGCATGCTAATATACTAAATGAAGATATCTGGAGAATTCTCTTAAGAGGTGCAGGCTTGTTTGATAAGTCAAAGTAACCACCTAATCCAGATAAGGTTATGATTCAACCCCTTTCTTGGGATTTAGCATATTCTCTTGAATTAGACTTCCCTGATTAGTTCAAGGGTTTCACTAAGCACATTTCTTAAAAGCTATCCCTTTGGAAGGAATATCAAACAAGTGAAGATCCCCTCTCTAAAAAATTACCTGAAGAATGGCATACAAAAGTAAATATTTGAAAATTACAAATTTAAGTATCTAATTATTTTTAATTAATAAAAGCTTGATGAGTTTGAAAAAATTGTTGTATTGAAGATCTTTAGACCTGAAAAAATTATGTTTGCAATCAGTAATTATGTTTAATATTATCTGGGTAAATTCTATGTTGAATAACCTAGTGTTACTATGGAAAGAATTCATGCTGATTCAGATATTTCAACTCCAATTATCTTTGTCCTCTCTTAAGGAGCAGATCCAACAACTTCAATTTTGAGCTTTGCTCAGTAGAGAGAAATGAATGAAAAGCTTAAGATTATTTCTTTGGGTTAAGGTTAAGGTAAAAAAGCCAGTATTCTAATAGAAGAAGCTAAGAGAGAAGGCAATTGGATATGTCTTTTGAACTGTCATCTTGCACGTACTTGGATGCCTGACCTTGAACTTATTATTGAAAGAATACCTGAATCTGAAAATGTAAGTAGCGACTTCCGTATCTTTTTAACTTCTATGCCAGCAAGTTACTTCCCTGTATCAGTTTTGCAAAATGGTATCAAGATCACAACAGAGCCTCCTAGAGGTAAATTAAAATTGGAAATACTTTTTTGTATTTGATAACATTTTTTTTTTAATTTTAAAAGGATTTAAAGCTAATTTAAAAAGAAGTTGGGATAATCTTACAGATGAGTTCCTTAATGATTGTACAAAAGCTGATGTTTTCCATAAATTAACTTGGGGTTTAACATTTTTCCATGCAATTATTTAAGAAAGACGTAAGTTTGGTCCTCTTGGTTGGAATATTCGTTATGAATTCAATGATTCTGACTTAGAAACTTCGACAACTGTCATGAGAAAACTTCTAGATGAATAAGAATCAATTCCATGGGACGCACTTCTCTTCGTAACAGGAGAAATCAATTATGGTGGTCGTGTAACAGATGATTGGGATAGACGTTGCTTGGCAACAATTTTAAAGAAATTCTATGTCAAAGAAGCATTAGAAGGCACTTATTAGTAATTTACTTAGATATATTTATATTTAAAATACATTTTTTAATCTTTAATATTTTTAAAGATTCTCTGATTCTCCAGTCTACAAAATTCCAAGGATAGGAAATATTGAACAGTACAGAGCATATATTGAAAGCTTGCCTTTAAATGAAGATCCTTCTGTTTTTGGTATGAATGAAAATGCCAATATAGCTTATCAAGGATAAGAATCTACAAAAATGATTGAAACTATTCTATCTATTTAACCAAGAATGACATCTGCTTCTGCAGGTAAAACTCCAGATTAAATCGTCCTTGACTTGAAGAAAAGTCTGGAAGAATAAACTCCTTAACTTCTTAATAAGGACGATGGAAATAAAGAATTGTTTGAGAAGGATGAAAATGACTTAATTCCTTCTCTTTCTACAGTTTTATTATAAGAAATGACTAAATTTAATTTATTAATTTCCACTGTGAATAGAACTTTAGCAGATTTAGGAAAGGCTATAGATGGTGACATAGTTATGTCATCAGATCTAGATTAAACTTATAATTCTTTATTAAATAACCAAGTACCTAAGTAGTGGGAAAAAGTCTCATATCCCTCCTTAAAGCCTTTAGCATCATGGATTATTGATTTACGTGAAAGAGTTTAGTTTATGGCTAAGTGGCTAAAAGAAAGTACTCCATTCTGCTATTGGATCTCAGGTTTCTTCTTCCCCTAAGGTAATTAATTGTTTATGATTTTTTCATATAATTTAAATTTTAATCCTAAAATTTAACAAATTATAGGTTTCTTAACTGGTGTCTTATAGACTTATGCAAGAAGCCATAAAATTCCTATTGATGAATTATAATTTAGCTTTAGAATATTAGATTTTGATAAAGAACAAGTCACAACAAAACCAACAGTAATTTAGTAAAGATCTAAAATTTGAATTAACTAATTAATTAATAATATTTAGGATGGTGTAAATATTTATGGTTTGTACTTAGAAGGAGCTTAGTGGGATAGAAGAAGAAAGACCATATTAGATGCTGCTCCAGTAAATTAAATTATAAATTATAATATGTACTAATTTTTAAATATAACTATAGAATCAAACAAGCTGCTTCATGCCTGTAATATTATTTAATCCAACAAAACAGTATTAAGAAAAAGCAGAAAATTATGCGTAAGTAGATTTTTTTTAAACTTTAAATTTTAATTATTCCTTTATATAAATAGCTGCCCTGTTTATAAAACCTCAGTTAGAGCTGGTGTTCTTTCAACAACTGGTTAGTCAACAAATTATGTACTTACTGTAGACGTTCCTTCTATTGATTAAAATCCAGATTTCTGGGTTCTAAGAGGAGCTGCTTTACTTTGCTAATTAAATCAATGATTTAAGATAATCTAAAAAAAATAAAATCATTTAAATAAATAAATAAATTTTAATTTTATAAAAAATAACTATTTTAATTTTTGTTTAGTTTTATTCGACTCAAGTGTATATTTACTTTTTGCTTTTTATATTTTCAAATGAAGCAATTAGAGATAAATAATATCAAATATCTAATCACTACTAATTTTATAAATTTATAAATACATAAAAATTTTCTATTTTAAAATTATAAAAATAAACCTTCTATTAATTTGCATATATTTAATTAACAAAAGATAATCAATCAATCAATTGATTATTATAAATAAATTATTGGAAACTAAATTTTTACCTCTTCTTTTTAAATTATTTGATAATTGATAAAGATAGCAATAAGCTAAATCTTTAAAAAGTAGCAACAAGTAAACTTTTGATAAGAAATTTTGTAAAATAATAAATATAAAAAAAAGTTTTTTTATAAAAAAATGAGTAGCAACAAAAAAATTTAGGTATAAAAGAACAAATAAAAAAAAGTTCTGAAAAAGCTTTCTAACACAAAAGAATCTATAACTGTAAGCGAAGACGAAAGCGAGAATGAAAATTATAATTAACAAAGTGAGCCTTTATATGAGGTAGAGGCAATTAGAGGCCATAAAGGAAATGGTAAGAATAGATTGTATTAAATCAAATGGTTAGGATATCCAGAGAACTAAAATACTTGGGAGCCTCTTGAAAACCTTTAAAATATTTTGAAAATGGTAAAATAATATGAGGACTCATTGAAAAATAACTCATTCTCTTCATAATCGTCTTCATCTTAGCAAAAAAAGAAATCTTAAATTCAAGAGCCAAATACCTAAATTTAACTAAATAAGAAAAGGAAAGTTTTAGGCAAAATACAAGGTAATAAATAGATTTTAGAATCTGATGAAGAATCCTTAGAAGAAGAGGAAGAATAAATTTAATAAATTTCTAGAAAGAATAAAAAGGTAAAATCTGAAAACAATGATTCATCGATAGATGAGATCATTACTTCGCAATCTAAATCAAATGAATCCAATAGTTAGAAGAGTAGAAAAAATAATAAAGTAAGTACTAGCCTCATTCGCGATTTTTTAGAACCTAATTAGAGTTTTGATACTCAAAAGAATAGATAGGAAAAGTAAGCTGTATCTTTTAGCACCCAAGATATCAAAATATAAAGTAATTAAAAAGTTGTAGATAACTAAAAAAGCAATAATAATACTGTTAGCAATATTAGTAACTCTAGTAATGATGTCAGAACAAATAATAGTAAAGTTTTGCCAAGTAAAAATGTTATTCCAGAAAATTAATTTAAAAGTATGTCTAATTTGCTCTATCCAAATTTTGTTCCTTAAACTCTCTAATAGAGCTCTTTAAGTCTTTTAAGTAAGCTAACAAATGTAGAAAATAACTATGATAAAGAAAAAAATGTTTAGAGTAGCTCAATTCGCTCTTCGCTTCTGATACCTACTATTCCATAAAATTAAAACTTAAAAAATATAGTTTAGAACTTTAGTTAATAAGATAATTCCGTAAGATAGGTTAATACAGGTTAAAGACTTTAAAAGTTGATTGAAACTCCTGAATTCGAAACTCAAAACTAATAGCCTGATGCTATCAACCCTAAACTAAAAAAGTTGAATAATGAAAATTAAAGTTTATTTTTACAGTTAAAAGACGAATTAGAATTATATAAGAAAGATATGCATCGAGAAGATTTAACTGACTCAGAATATGATAGTGATGATGATAATAGTGAAGATGATTTAGAAAGTAATATCAAGCAAAAAAGCAAATTAAAAGAAGGTTTAAGAATATTTGAAATACACAAAGAATTAGAACTTTATAAAGGTTTAGATATTAAAATTGTATAAAATCTTAAAAAGCAAGAAGAATTAAAACTCTATGAAAACATTTACAATGAAGCAAATCTCATAGAAAATCAATAATAATATTTCTTAGGCTTTAGTGATATCATATAAAATGTAAAATCAATAGACAAAAATTTATTCAGACATAAATTATAATTTGCTCCATATATTAGCCAAAACACTTTATCTCAATCAAAAAATGATGTTTAAATTTAATAAAATGAAGTTTTAAATCCTATTGACACAGCAAAGGAGTATAAGTAGTAAAAAGAAAGCATATAAGAATAATTAAATCCTGAAAATTTGTTAAATATTAAATAAATTCCTTAAAAAACTCATTCAAATCCATAAGAATAGCATAAAAATTTAATTTAAGGATAAGGATCTATTTAGATTTAAGAATAAGTAATATCATTAAGTCAGCAGGCATCAAGTTTAATTAATCAAGAAGAGTCTACTTAAATTTAAGAAAAAGGAGTTACTGGTTTTAAAGAGAAAGAATCGATTTAAAATTAAGGAGAATAATTAGCCATTCCATGTTTAATTTAATAAGAAAAATAATAATCTTTAATCTAAAACGAATTTCCTTTATAAATTTAAGGATAAGTATCTCTTTAAATTTTAGAAAATTTATAAATTTCAATTAATAAATCAATTGAAAATTAAGAAAATTAAATAAGCTAAATCTAACAAAAAGAATCCATATAAATTTAAGAAAGAGAATCGCCTTAAATTTAATAAACAGAAAAATCCTCTTTTATTTAAGAAAGAAAATCACCATTAATTTAAGAAACCGATTTAGCTGAAATTTAAGTAACATAATCACCTTAAAATTAAGAGATAGACTCACCTTAAAAATCTAAACATAACTATTATTCAGATGATCTATCAAATTCATTATCTGAAAGAAGTTATAGGAGGAAACCAAGTGATGATATAATTTCCAGAAACTATTAAACAGATGAATCAGAGCAGTAAATACTTGTAGAAGATGATTTAGATGAAGATTAAAAAAAGATTTTATTCTAAAATGATACTCTTAATAAGAAAGATACTCCCAATTCAAGTAAGAATGATTCCGAAAGTGATAAAGCATAAAATAAAGTAATAGATTCAGAAAAAGAATTAATTTAAGAAGAAACACCCATTTAAATATGCTTTGAAGGAATAAGTAATGAAAAATAATAAGAAATGAGTTACGAAATAAAAAGAAATAAAAATGTATTTGAAAGTGATTCATTGAGTAGCTCAATTTCAATAGAGAGTGCATAAAAAATAATAAATTTTAATGTATAGCCAGAAAAAAAATAAGACTTAGAAATGAATTTAGTCTAAACAAAAAATCTGAGTCAAATTGAGCTCAAATAAAAAACACACTCAAAAGACTCTACAAGGACAGATAGCCACTTAAGTGATAGTTTAAGTGCTACCCCTTGTAAAGATAAATCTAATGATAAACTCTCAAATATAACTCCAGATTCTTAAAAAATCATGGTCAGCACTAATTTTTTATAATTTAAATTAAGATTTAATTAATTAATTGTACTTTTATTATTTAAAATATAGAATGATAATAAAAATAAGAAATAAGAAAATTCATCAATCAGCTCAATTACTTCAAATTAAGATACAGGTTATATTAATTAATAAATTATATCATAATATTAATAGATTTATTTTTCTTTTTAAAGCAAATAATAAAAAAGACAGATTCAAGAAAAATAAAGAGGAAGGTAAGAATTTATATTTTGATTTTATAATTTAAATTTATTAATTATATAGAAAAGCATTAGAAATAATAAAAAAGAATTAAAAGAAGTAGAAAAAGAAGTAGTAGCAGCAGCAGTAGCAGCAGTAGTAGAAGTAGAAGTAGCAGCAGTAGTAGTAGTAACAATAGCAGCAGTGGTGGTAGCAGAAGTAGAAGTCACAGCTCCTCTTCTAGAAAATACAAAAAGTAAACTTATTTATAATAGTTAGTTTAGAATAACAATTTAAAATATAAAATTAATAGAAATTAAAACAAAAATAAATATCAAAGAAATCAGTAAAATCCTAAATTTTAATCACTTTCTTCTTCAAAAAGCTAAAGCTATTCATCTTCATCTAACTATTCCCGCTCACCATCATCCTCTTCTTCATCTTCAGAAAGAAAGAATAAAAATAGGAAATTTAGCAAATCATCTTACAGCTAAAGTAGAAGTAGTTCAATAGACTAAAGGAAATCAAACATTAGCTCAAGATCATCTCTTTCAAAAGATGATGATTTTTTTAAAAAATAAGCAATAAGTTCTTAATCCTCTATAGATCATACTGATCAAAGGTTACTTAACAAAGTAAATTTTAAGATGTAAACTAGCTAATTAGATTCAGAGGACTAATCAGTAATAAAAATAAATTAAATTGATCTTCATAATTATCATTTATACTTAAAAATAGATAAAAAAAGACACTAAAAAAGTAGAAAATGAGTAGAATAAAGGTATAAATTATCATCTTTTTAAATATATTGCTTAGTATTTTATTTATTCATAGGCTTTGATTAATAAACAAAAGTTTCATAACCACAATCTGAGCAGCAAAAGCAACAGGTTTTAATTCCTCAAAATTAAAATATTTAAATTAAAGGTACTTACTCATTAAAAAAAAAATATTTTACTTTATTTATCATTTTTTTTACAAAAAATATTTACAATAAAATTAATTTATTATTATTTAAATTTATTTATGATTTATTTTTAAATTCATTAATTTTAATATTTAAAAAAAAAAGATTAATCTCAAATAATAAAATTTAGTTTTTTTCATTAAGTTCTCTTTATTACACCAAAAATTTTTTTTGAAATTAACAATATGAAACTTTTTTTATTTTTACGCATTTATTTGAAATTAAATATCTACTTTATATGAATTACAGAACAAAATAAAGAGATACCTGTTTAACCTACTCAACCTAGCTTAACATTTGCTAATGATTCTGCGCCTAAGCTTGTAAATCCTTAAATAACAGATATTTAACCTTAGCCTTAAATAAATAATCAAATTTCTTTTAAAACAAATAATTTTGAACCTAAAACTTTTTTAGCAAGCTAAATACCTTAATCAGTCGTCTTATGTTCTTTATTTTCGCCTATTGGAGATATTTAAACACCTTAGCAATCTGTTTCAAGTATGACACAATAATCAATAGCTAAAAGTGCAACACCTTTACCTCAAATAGCTAATAAAAATACTGTACCATAAACTATTTCTCTAGTTCCTGCTTTGTAGCCAAATATGCCATAAAATAAAGATATACCTTCTCAACCGAAAGCAGCGAATACAGTAGTTTAGAATAATAATGTAAATCCACCTTAAGCTAAGTCTTCTAATCCTGTAGCTCAGTCAATAAGCAACAATTCATAATCACAGACAAAAAAGTAAAATATTCAGTAAGACAAAAAAATAAAAACTGTGAAACCAGAAAATCCTTTTGGATGTAGGACTATCTATGAAAGTGATGAAGATTCAAGTAGTGACTGTACTGATAGCGAAATGGATGAAGAAATAAATCCAAAGAAGCAATAAATTTAAGAAATGTAAATTTCTTATTATTTTTTCTTTTAAATAATTTTTTATTTTATCCAAAAAGGTAATAACAAAATTCAGTAAAAAATACTGTATAATAAAAAATTGATAAAAGCTCTAGCGTGAGTGCATTATAAAAATAAGATTCAGTAAATGCTAATGCTATAAAATAAAACACTGAAAAAAATCCAATTGTTAATGTTTTATAAAAATAAGATTCTGTCTAATCTTAAAATCCTCCTTAAGTTTAAACTCAAATTTTACCTTAAATTAATCTAAAAAATTAAGTTAGTAGTTAGGATAACTAATTGCAAAATAATAAAAAAATTTTAGAAGATTAAGCTTTGAATTAAAAGTAAAATAGTATCAAAAATAATTAAGAAGAATAAAATTTGAACTCAAAGTTAAATAATATTTCTCAAATTCCATAACCTCCAGTCTCAGTATAAGTAACCCAATAAACAGTTATTCAGAATATTGAGAATATAAAAGATCCAAGAATCAAGAAAAAATATGAATAACAAGAGAAGAAAAATTAAGTTTTTGATTAAAAGCTAAACAGCTTGAAAAACAATATGATTCTTTTTCCAAACATAGGATCTTTAAAATTTGATGATCCTGAAAGGATTATATCTCATATATATCACAATGGATAATTATTCTTTAAAGTCAGTTGGAAGCCTAGATCAGATAAGATATAGATGCCTCCTACATTCATTGAATACTTTAAATTTAAAGAAATGTATCCAGTCATTTGTGATAAATATATAATTCCAATTTTAAGCTCATAATTAATAAAATATTGAGTCGATCATATGTATTTTTAATTAATTTATAATGTTTTTAAATATTTTAATATTACTTAACATTTATTACTATTAGTTTATTTTATTTTTTTATTTACTAAAAGGTATTATACAACTTAATCTTTAAAAATTTTTTCATTTCTTTATTAAAGCTGATTTTTATTATTGAATAAGATAAGAAAAAAATATAATTGCTTTTTAATTAATTAAAACTGAATATTTTTCTTTAGTATTTATTAATTATTTATTGAAAATATAATAAAAATTATATTTACTTAAGAACTATAAGGACCAAAATTTCTTTAAAAAAAGACATTATATTAGGGGTCAGATTGAGTCATAAAATTTTGACTTTTATGAAAATATTTTATCTTGACATCACAAGGCTAATTAATTTGGTTACTTAAAATTTAATTATTCAAAATTATTAATTGTTAAAATATTTTTTTAAAATTGACTTGTTATAGGAATAAAAAATTAAAATTAAAAAATTATAAAAAATATTTGGTTTACTTATTTTATAATTCTAAATTTTTTAAAATAATCAAAAATTTTAATAAATAAATTATGAGAGAATTAATTAATTCAATTTAAAAATTTTATATTAAATATGATGATAATGAATTAATTAATTCCGTTTAAAAATTGATAATAGAAAGCAAAAATTAAAAATTAGTTTAAATACTTTTAAATTATTAATATTTTACCTTAAAATTGATTGAGAAGGACTTTGAAAAGAAATTTCATTTTACCTATTAATAAAAGTGTTTTATTTATTTGATTTTTTTTTTTTAGATAAATTTCACTAATTGTTTTTAATTAAAAATTATTATCATATTTTTAAATATAAATTTGCTTCATATACTAATGAAATTTAAATAAATTAAAAGAGTTAAGTGGGGAAAATTAAGAATTATTGAAGAAAAAAGAAAAAAAATAAATTATTTACTAAATTAAAAATCAAACAAATATTTAATATATACCAATGAATTTTTATACTCATATCAAATCTAATATTTTATAATTTACTTTATCAACATTGAATAAATGTATTGTAAGATGTTTTAAATATAAATTTCTTTTTGTTTACTTCATAACATTTCAAATGAACATTTAATAATCTTAGAGTTTAGTATTTTTCGAAGCTTAACAGTTTTGTTTTAAAAAATGAATTATGTGTAATTATTTCGCATTCACATGGTTATCCATAGTAACTAATTTCTCCTATTATACTGTTATTATTTTAAGAATAGCTCCTATAGGAAATAGATAAGTCAAAATCTAAGGTTTCTAAATAGTTTAAATTACAGAATTTAGAATAGTCTTCAATGGTTTTGCTTTAAGCGAATGCTTTTACTGCAGATTAATAAAATTATTTGCTTCGTGAAAAATCTTACTTAGTCAAGAAGCGCTCTTAATGCATAACATTTTTATATTCAGCTTTCAATGTTATTGTATATCCGCTAAGATAATGATTTTAAATGTCATAAAAAGTACAATATGCATTTCTAACTCTAATTCTAGTCCCTTCTCTCATTTCTGAGTATGAATTAGAATCAGCAAATTAGATTATCAGCTCAGTTTAAGGTTAATTGGAAATAGGTTAAGATTAATCATAAATGAATAAAGAATCACACACTAAGTATTTAGCATAAAAAAAGTCGTTGGAATTAGCTTTATTAATAACTGAGCTATTAACTGCTTCACAAAAATTAATAGTTTTTTTTTGCTATTTTAAGTGATATTAAACAAGCAGAGGATATTTTTTAAGTATCACTAAATCTAATGTAGAAATCTGTTCTCCCTTTGGCTTAATTGATGAGAGCGATCTTAAAAAAGGCTTATTAAAATACCCTAATTTAGTTTATTTATTTTTCTCTTTTTAAAATGAGTTAAAAGGTATTTAAATTAAATGATCGAATTCCCTTATTTCTCCGCAATCTTATTATATTTTTATTTTTTACTAAAAGAGAAATTATAAATTAGATATCCTAACTTTTGTTTGTGGTTTTATTTTTTTTCTTTAGATTAAATCTTCAAAAAGCTATTAATTAGTCATTTTCAGAGTATTTTTCTTATATCCTATATTTTTTCCTTTTTATTCATCCTAGCTGCTTAGGCTTAAGCTTTTATGGTGATAAGGTTGCTCTTTAATATTAAGAGATTTATTGATTATAAAATATAGTGAAGACCAAGCATCAGTAAACTCTATTACATAATGTCTACTTGTTTCTAGGATTTCTCCTATAAGTAAGATTATTTGGTTGGGGTAATTATAAAACTATTTGATTTCTATTGAATTTAATTTTAAATTATCTTGAATTTAGGCATATTCCTGTTGAATTTTATTATTTGCAATTTAATCAGTTTATTTCTACTTGTTTTGAATCTCCAAAAAAGATAAATATTTCTCAAGAAAAGGTTAAAAGTTTAATTTTTTCTACATGTATATTCTTTTCTCAAGATGATAGTACAGAGACTCTATAGAAAGCTTTTGTTTAAAAGATAATCTCCAAACAAGGAATCTGTAGTAGTTACTAATATCAGTTCGTTTTACAATTTTACTCAAGTGAATTTCTTCTAGTTTTTTGAAAAATTCTTCTTCTCCAACCATACCATTTTAGCAAAAGCAGCTTAACTTGGATCTTATAGATTAAATTTTTTAATAATAGTTTTATTCTTCATCGTTTTAGTCACTCTCATAAATTAGTTTTTTTTCTGTTGTCTAACAATCAGCGATTTAGTTAACTGATTTTTATATTTTATGATATTTGCTTTTACTTTTAATGGTCTATTCATTTTAAACACTCTAAATGGAATCTTAAGACAAATTGTTTGCTAATTCAAAACAAGGTTCACACAGAAATTTATAACTTAAGCATTTTTCTATTGGAATTGCTTTTTTTATTAATGAGCTTTGTTCAAAGTTGATAGAATCTTTAGATAAAAAAGGGTTTCTTGAAAATTAGTAAGCACTAAATTGCTCTAAAGTTAATTTATTAATGTCAAAATCTTGTAAGGCTAAATTCCTTTTTAACTAATCATTATTTTTTTTATTTTTAAAAGAAAGTTCAGTATTTCCAAATTCAGGAGAATGATTCTGAGCTGTGCTAAATTTGCTACTAAATTATAACACAGTAAAATCTGTCTTTTTTGCACTACTTTTTAAAGATTTTTCAAATTTCATTTGTCCATTTTCAATATTTTGGTTAAGCTAAGCTAGATATTAAGCTGATGAAAAAAATGGATCAATGCTTCTATCTATAGTTTTTATATAATCAGTATTTTGTTAATCGCTACTCTATTCTTTTACATAATTTTAATGAAGTCTATGATCTAAATTATAAGTATTTTGATTAAGATTAATATTCCTTACAGTCAAAAAGGGATTCTATTCATCTAAATTGCATGTATTTTTATCATTCGAAATTTTTTGATGAGGATATATTGAATTATTGCTATTCAAATTCCAAGTTCGATTTTTAAAAAGTTCTTTACTTCCTTAGAAAATGTCTACCTTATTTTATTTTCCACATTTTAAAATTTGACTAAACTCATCATCTTCAGCTGTCCTTTGTAATTATATTTTACCTATATCCTTTAGGTCTATTTATTCATACTTCTAAGGAATATCTAAATTGTTTTTTGTAACAAGATTAAGTGTAGAGTTTGTTTACTAGATAATCCCACAAGAGCCTCCATTTTAATTTTAAGCATCCATTTTAGAGGACAAATTATTAGTTTGCTACCATATAGACTTGTTTGCTTTAGGTTTATCCATGTTTTTGTTGGAATTGAACATATTATTTTTAGCTTACTTCGATTTTTAAAATATTTAATTTTATCTGATATATATAAGAATTAAAAAATAGATTTGACAATTAAATGTAATTGAATTCTAAATTTTTTAGACTAAAAGTAAGTAGAATATATAAATAATAAACAAAATAAAAATAAATAATTATTCATAAAATTTAAAGTAGCTTTTTATTTCTTTTTACAAATATTTTATTAGTAAAATGTTGCATACCTTAGATTAAAATTTGCTATGGGAGCTAGATTCATGAAATTTAATAAACCGCATCCACGAATTTACTTACAATTAAAAATTTGTAAGCTAAATAATAATTGAACAAAAAAAATTAATATCTAACGTGTATTAATAATTTGAGTATTTGTGAGTGAAGGAGAGAAGTATTGATGAATTCAATAAAAAAGATATAATCAAAAAATAACAAAGAAGGTTTCTGATCTTGGTACTGATAAGAAGGATAATGATTTAGCTTGAATCAAAATTTTATTTGGATATAACAAAAATTAGATAACTAATTAATTAAAGGTGGGGAAATAGAAAAAATAGAAAATAAATAAGAGTAGTCTATAAAAAGTTGGATCCTACAACTTTTGCAAACAAACAAGATTATTGATCAGAAATAAATTAAAAAGGATATTACAATATTTGAATGTTAAATAGCTAAGAAAATTAACAAAAGATTAATAAATTTCATTAATTATGGAAGATATCATTTACTAATTGAATTAAGTAATTAAATAATTATAAAGTTTACAAGATCTTTAGATTAAATCTTATTCATAAAAACGTACTTTAAATACCTTAAGATTAGGTTGATGATATAATTAATTGATTATAAAAATTATTAAAGCAATTAATATCTTTCTAGCAATAAAAAGACAAACAAACAAGCAAGCATAATAAAAAAGCAAACAGATGTCAATTAAAGAAGAACTCTACGAACAGTACTTGTTAAGTGAGTCAAAAGCTGATTTCATAAGCAATCTTATTCCTGATTCATATGAACACCTATACTTCTAAGTCTTACATTCTTTGAATACTAAGTCTACTTTAACAGAAGAAGATGTCAAGATCTTGACAAAACTTAGAACAAACTATGCTCAAGGTAAGCATGAAAACTATTCTCTTCATAATTTAGACTTCTTAAATCTCCTAAGAGTCCTTGACTCTTAAAAGAGTACCACAGCTTAGAGAGAATAAGCCCTCAAGGATCTCAAAAACTACTTTAATATCAAATTTAGTGCTATCAAGCCTAATTCAGTATAAGGAAATGAAATCCACTAATCAGATATATTGTTAGGAACTTAACTTGAAACTTCTCTTGATCAAAAACTAATCAGCTTCCAAAATTATTTGAATTAAGCCTACACCAGTCAGCACATTCTAAGTAACATTGTCCCTTAAGCTCTCTACAAACTAGATGTGGAAAGACTGCTTACAGAAGCTAAAAATGAAAAGAATTATGCATAAATACTTGAAGCTTTTGTTTCTAATGTCCCTTGTCTCCATCAAGTTAAAGATGTCCCCAAAATATACAAGGCTATTTATGATGACTACTAAAAGAGAAAGCTCGTATTTGACTTTCAGTAAGCTGGCTATGACAGATTGAGTTTATCATAACTCAAAGAATTTGGTACTTTAATGAAAGACGTAGTTTTCGAAACATTTGAATATCAACTTGCCTTAATGAAGAAACTTTTCTTTAGAGTACTTGATTATATTCATTAAAAATTTTATAATTTTTTAAATAAATTAATTAAATTCTACATTTACTTTGCTTATCTTCTATTCAGATAAATAGATATTCATTTTAAAAATTTTATTAGTGAAATTGATTAATTTATTTATTTAGATTATATCTTAGAGATGATATTTGATTATCACAATATTAACTTTTATGATTAAATAAAATAGGATGTCAGTAAATTTTTAAATAAATAAAACCTCTCTTTAACATAAGAAGATAAATAAGAGAAGAAGAAGTAATACACACTTATCTTGACCTGGGTTAAAAGCAACTTACCTAGGAAACTCTAGTACTTGCAAAGACTTTTAGTTTAGGAGCTAGTTTTATTGAATTTAGAATTAAAGGATTACAACTAAGAATTATTCTTAGAATTTATCACAAATCCTCCTATTATTATTAAGTAATGAATTTGAATCATAAATTTCTTATTAAATATTTTTAAATTACTTATAATAGCTAATTCACAAATACTTAAAGAGAAAGATACTAATAAAATATTGTGTAGCCAAATAGAGATTGGAGTTAAATCTTTTAATTCTCAAGTCTTAATTCTACCTAGTTATTAAGCACAGTAGAAAATTATCTCCTTTTCTTTTATAGAACTGCTGATAGTATTAAACCTTTCGACTCTATTTTAGAATAGTATTACTTAAATAAGACATTTTACAAATCTAAAATTTTAAGTGGTTAGTAAGAGTATATTACCAAATCAACTTCAGTTTACTCCTAGTCAGAAATAGAAAGCTTAGTTAACTCAAGATAGATTAATATCCTAGATAGCAACAATAGATATGTTAAGGGTAATGAATAAGTAAAATTGCAAGTTGAGGTAAAGAACATTTAAAACTTGACAGTGAACATCTTTGAAATAAAAACTGGAAATTATTATATGGAGAAGATGACTTAATTTGATAATACCATTAGCCTTGATGGACTTATTCCTTTACATACTACAGAGTATACTTATAAAGAATCTTCTAACTAGTTGGTTTTGAGAGAATTTAACTTGGAGCCTATTTAAAAAGCTGAAAGAGGTATTTTCATCGTTGAATTCTTTGGTAACTCAATATCTTCTAGAGCTGTCTTTAAAAAAGGTATTTTGTTTTGCGAATTAAAATATTTTAATTTAACTTTATTTATTTACTTACTTAGGACTTTTAAATATTGTGTCAATTCCTACAATTGCAGGACACTTGATCACTATTGTTGATGAGTCATAAAATATCTGCAAACCCACTTAAGAAAGTAAAACTGGTATTTTGAAGGATGGAAGATTCTTTAGCGCAGATGAAAATGGTTAGATCATAATTCCATATGAAAGCACTCAAAGAACATACTAATTAATATTAACTCATAATGACTTCTCAGAAATAGAATCCTTCGATGTATTAACTGAATATTACAATTTCGAATGTACTTATATGTATAACTAGGAATCTTTCTTATAAGGTAATAAATCTAAAGTTATCATCCACCCTACTTTGAGTGTCAACGGCTTACCTGCTGATATGGACATAATAGAAGACTAACTTATTAAAGTAAATATAAAAAATCATTAGGATATTCCAACAGCAATTGAGTTTAAAGATTTCAAATTTAGCAACAAAGAAGATATTTAAATAGAAATTCCTATTCAAAGCATTATCAAATCAATAGAAATAGAGTGCACAGGAGTTATAAATAAAATGGATGGAACTAAATAAAACTTAGTTAGCAATAATAAACTTACATTCGAATTGCACCAAGTACCTCAAAACTAGATCTTTAATTTGTACTTAAAGAATACCCATTCTCATGGATATGTTGTTTATGCTCTTGACAAAACTGGATAGCCTTTAGAAAAAGTACCTATTGAATTTTAATTGTTCCATAAAAAAATTTATCAAAACTTCACAAGCATGCTTCAAACAGATGCTGAAGGTAAAGCAATTCTTGGTTAATTGGATAACATCAACAGCATTACTGCCCAAGTCAAAGACTTTAAAAACTTCCCTGACATCCATTAAAATTGGGTTATAATGCAAAATTACAAGACAGAATTACCATCAAATATTACTATTACTGAAGAAGAAACTGTTGAAATTCCTATACCTAGTAATGTTTAATTGAGTCGTGAAAACATTACATTCTACTCTGTGAATTAAGACATTTAGGAATTTGTATATGAAGATCTTTTTGAATAAGTTAAATAAGTAACTGGTTTCTTAAGAATATCTAACTTAAAACAAGGAGTCTACATCCTTCATATCTTGGAGCTATAATCCTACATCACTATTAATGTTTACAGAGGTAGTTATTGGACTCATAATAAGTCATTCTTAATAACTGATAATAAATTCATCTAGGTAACTAGAATTAAATTAATTTACTATATTAACAATTTATTTCAATATAGGTTGATAGATCTAGAGAAAATTTAATCTCAATCAAAGAAACACTTCTAGTCCCTTAATCTGAAACTGAAGCAGATATTTTAGTTAACCTAAACTTACCTGAAAGTATTAGTGAAGCTTAAAGAAACAAGATTAGAGTTCATGTTTTCGCCTTTAATTACTTATCAAATGACTAAGATAACTTTGTATAAAGTTTAAGAAATAACAGAATTCACAAGCCTGAAGTTGTTATAAGCATCCAATCATAAGCAGCAAGCTTCTTCAACAATAAAAAAATTGGTGATGAAATATGTTATGTCTACAATAGAAAAAATGAACTTAAAAGAATAGGAAACACTCTTGAAAAACCTTAAGTTTTACTTAAGAGAACATTTAATAGAGATACATCTTTTGAAAAGGAAAACTTAGAGATAGGTTAAGATTTCTAGAATGTTTCTGAAGTTTAATAAGAATCAATCAAAAAATCAAAAAAAGATATGAGATATTATGATTGCTCTGGTAGTGAAAGGTATTGTGCTGATATTTAAGTTTGCCCTCCAGGAGCATGTCATGTTAAGGGAGAAATAGATTCCTTTTTAAATTTCTTGAAGAATGCATGCTTTGTGACTTCAAACCATTAAATCTAACAAGATGGATCAGTAATTATTCCAGGCTTTTAATGGAAGAATTACTCTAGCATTCAAGTAGTTGTAACAAGTAATAACTTAGCAATTTCTGACATTTTCCCCACTACATCATCTGAAACTCCTACATAAGATCTTAGACACGTATCTTCTATGAAGCCAGATTAAGTAAAAATTTTTATTTCTTAATTGATAAAATTATTTCTATAGAATATTAAACAAATCTTAATTATATAGTTTTACACTGAAAACTTTAGCTCAGGTAAATTGAATGCCAGTTAAACTTTGTCGATTTCTGCTGATAGCCAAACTGCAGTTGTTGGAAGTATTCCTGAAATTTTTGAAATCTAAAAATAATTAATGAAAACAGGAAGAAAAACTGATGAATATAACGGAAAGAGTTATAGCACTTGGTAGTTTTTGAAAGAATGGATAACTTTTACAGATAGATAGAAATTAGATAAGTATAATGAATTCGCATCTCATGAATTAAACCTTTTCCTTTACTTCAAAGATAATAATTTCTTTAAAGTAGTGGTAGAGCCTTTCTTAAAAAATAAAATTTAAAAGTCTTTTATTGACTATTTCCTTCTTGGTAATAAAGAAGAATAGCTTAAATACTCTAATACTGAAAGGGTCAGCGAGTTAAATACCCTTGAATAAGTACTTCTTATCATCACCTTAGTGAAAAATAACTTAAAGTAAAGAGCTGAATGTTTAGCTTCATCGATTGAAAATACATAAAAGACATAAACTAAAAACATTGATTTGTAAAAGAGATTATTCCTCACTATCATAGAATCTACAGCAAAAGATGAAATAGTTGTTGCTCAGCAAGTATTAATGGAGTGTACAAGCTTTAAATCTATGGCGCAAAAGTCTCGTTGTTATGCAGCAGCACCTATGTAAAAAATGTCTCTCAGATCATCAAAAATGGCAGAATAATCAGATTTGTTGGATCTTTAATGTGAAGCAGAAGAAGCTGATGACTACTTTGGCGGAGGAGGCTCAATGAAGGAGTAACTTATTGAAAAGAGGAAAGAGTTTAAGGAAGGTTATAAAAAGTTAGAAAATACTAAAGAATATATTGAAAGACAATATTATTCAGACAATAGAGTAAATAATTATCAAAATTTAGTTTAAGTAAACAAATTCTGGAGTGATTTAGCAAGATTTATCGTAAATAATAACGGGATTGAAAATTTTGTAAGTGAGAATTTTATTTATGGTTTTAATAACCATGTAGAGGCTATCAGTGTCCTATCTCTTATGGATATTGCTCATACATCTAGAGACAATTATGACCTTAATTCTCTTCCAGGAAGGAAAATTCAAATAGTTTCATAAAAGAATGTCATTTACTTCTCAAAAGAAATTGTTTAATCATCCGATATAACAAAAGTAAATTGAATTTCTTTATTTATCATTTAAAATAAAATTTCTTAAAAAATTAATTAAAAAAATTAAAAAATAGTTTTCAATTTAATTTTATAATAAAATTATTTTTTAATCTAAATCTAGGCTAATGTTAGCATAATTTAAACTTTCTTTGATCCTAATGACAGATTCACAACTCTTAAGGATGATCCTACAGTCAAAATTGAAAAAGAAGTAGAAGAATTTGTGATTAACAAGATTTATGGATGCAAGGTTATCGTCTCTAACATCTCTATAGCTAACTTGAATCTTTCAATACTTACTGAAATTCCTGAAGGAGCTATTCCAGTAAATAGCTTCGAATATACTAAAAGTATAGACATAACTGTTAACTCTTATCAGACTTACAATAACATTGAATTCTTCTTCTATTTCCCTAAGGCTGGTACTTTTAATATTTACAGAAGTAACGCCTCCAGAAATGGAATTATTATTGCTCAAGCCAATGAAATTGCTCCAATAATTGTCAAGCAATTCAATGAAATCAAAAAAATGGAAAATCTTTCTGATATCCTTAATAATGGCTCCAAAGAAGACATACTTTAGTTTGCCAAAACCCAAAACTTGCATGACACATAAGCTTTTAACATAAACAAGATACTCTACATAATATAAAGCGACAAGGTAATTAGATATTTTATTTAACCAAAATTTAGATTTTTAAAATGTAATAAAAACTTATAATAATAGCATTTCTTCTTGAGTTTCTTAGAGATTTTAAGAGAATAGGGAGTGTTTAGCAGGAATGTCTGGGAGTATAGTTTATTCCATAACTACGAATAGGGTGTTATAGAATTACTCAACAATCAAGAATTTAGAAAGAACAGAATGATTCAAATCTACTAAAATGTCCAATCACACAATTCTGACTTACTCAGCTATGATAAATTTTAAGTTTTCGAGTATCACCCCCTCCTTACATCTCGTACTCACAGCTTTATGAATTAAAATAAGAGTAAGATCTTGAATGTATAATTCAAGTAAACATACAATGATTATGTCAACTATCTTGCTCATGTAGCTCAGCCAACTGTAAATAAAATTATTAAAAAAATTATTTTTATTTATTTATTCATGCCTTTATTAAAAATAAGAGCGCCCATTATCTTATTTTGAGCTATTACTTGATTCTTTAAGAGCGTATAGATGAAGCTTTGTAAGTATTTGGAAAGATCAAAGAGTCAGATTTAACAAATAACTCAAAGATTTAATATGACTACTTTGCTGCTTACTTAGATATTTACACAGGTGGTCCTAACTTCAAGAGAGCCAGAGAAATCAGTTAAGCATATCTCGAATATCCTATTATTTCTTGGAGAAATCTCTTCGTAAATATTCAAAACTAGCTTACTGAGTATGATGGAGAAGTACTTGATGAGTCTGAAGTTGCAGAAAACACTGATCTTAGCAAGGTAATTTTAAACTTAAGAAAATTTTAATGAATTAATAACAATTAATTTTAAAAGAATTTAAAGAATGCCTAAAAAGAACAGTCAATGAACTTTGAAATTCAAGAGAAGAAGTTAATAGTTTACTATTAAAATGCTGAAAGAGCTACTATTAATCTTTATTAACTTGATATTGAAGTCCTATTTTCTACTTAACCTTTCATGGAAGGAGGAAACAGAAACGAATTTACCTTCATTAAACCCAACCACACAATTAACTTGAATTTCGAAAAGTTGAGCACCCTTGAAAAGTAAGTAATTGACATTCCAGCTGAATATGCTAATAAAAATCTTTACATTCAACTTGTTTCCACATCTGGATCCTAAATTCTTTCTTACTTCTCTTCTTCATTAAAGGTCTAAATGATTGAAAAGTATGGATAAGTAAAAATTCTTGATGAAAAAAATGCCCCCTTACAAAAAGTACTTTTTTTTAAATTTATAATAAAAAATAAGCATAATTTATTCTATAAATAGGTTTATGTTAAGTGCTTTGCTAAATATAAAGATGATTCAGTATAATTCTTCAGAGATGGTTATACCGACTTGAGAGGAAGATTTGACTATGCTTTAAGCAGTTCTAGTGATATTAATTAAGTTAAGCAATTTTCTATTTTAATTTCCAGCGAAGAGCATGGATCAATTATCAAAAAAGCCAACCCTCCCACCCAAACTGGAAGTTTTGAGACTGTAAGCTTACTCAAAAAGAGATGATAAAATATATTAAATAAATAAAATATTAAGTATATTGAATATATTTCAGTTTTATGTTGTATGAAATATTAAAATTATTTTTTTTTAAAAAAATAACTTCATTTTGATTAACAATTTAATTAATTTCTTTGGTATTAAAAAATTAGAAATCCTAAATTATTAATTTAGTATTTTTGCCAATATATTACATTTATCTGTATTTCGGTTATATATTTATTTTTTATAGACAATTTAATCTAGATATAGATAGATAAATAAATCAATAGCTAGCTATCTTGGTCTTTTTTTTATCAATTTTTTAATGAAAAAAATAAAAGAGCTTTGAAATTCTTTTTTCTTTTTAATAGCAAAATAAAGTGGTACTATATTTTAGGGACATTAATAAAAGTAGATAAAAACGCTCAGCTTACAAATGCATCTGGTTAATTTAGATTTATTTTCTTATCATAAAAAAAAAATATTGTAAAAATTAGAGGAAAATATCCAAAAAATTTTATTTGCAATAAAAATATAAATTCAAGCATATAAAAATAAAATAAGGAATGTTAAGTTATTGTATAATTGAATATTTATGAATAAATAATGTTTTTCCTTTAAATGACTATATAGATAGATATAATTATAATCTATTATTTTGTAACTACCGACTATTATAAAAATACGTTAGAATGTAAGTTTGTAATTGAAAATTATAATAATAGTATCAATTAAACAATAAAAAGGTGTCTCTATTAAGATTATATACCAATTTATAATCTTAAAATAAATGTATCTAACAGAAAAATATCTTCCATAATTAAAAATTATTCATAGTTTTTCTTAAAAATCAAGTCAGTATATATTAGCTTATTATAAATTATTTCCTTCATTTCATTTATTTTTAAATTTATCAAAACCTTTTAAAGTGCTTGAATAATTGTCTTCCAGTATAATCAGTTCTGCCTTATGTTAATAATTTTATTCCATTCAGTAATTAATTATAAAATTCTATAAATACGCAATTCTAATAAAATATAGTGTTGATTAATTTATTTCACAAAGATCAATAGGAAAATTTAATTTAAGGCAATTAAAAACACAATAAAAAGAACTTAGTACTACTATTTTTATCTAGCAATTTAATTATTTGGTAAGTGTAATGAATAAAATTTTATTTTAGTGCTAGAAAGAAGTTTTCTTATTTCATTTAGAATTCATTTTTATTTGGAATCACTTTTGCAAATTTCTTTTCCTATTAGCAAGGAAAGGAAATTGAGGTTTTACAGAATGCTTTTTTTGAAAGGAAAATTTGTAAGTATATAACATATATTTGTACTTAGATTGTTTCAGAATATCTTTCAAACAAATTTATTTAATTTGAAGTGGTTTTAAGCAAGATACTTTAAAAATTAAAGTCTAACATAGTTACAGATAGGCTTAAGTATCTACATATACGTTTTATAAAATAAATTTATAAAATTGGAACCTATAAAATAAAACAATCAATTCTAGTGTTTTAAAATAGAAATATAAAGCTAAAATTTATTTAATAGTCAATTATAAAGAAAGATATATTGCTTATAATTAAAACTTGAGCGTGTAAGATAATTTTAAAAATCCTTTCATAATTAAATACAAATTAGCAAATATTTCAGATTGATGGGGAAAAAATAGATCAGTGATTAATTTAGTTTAGACATAAGCCCTTTAAAAAAATTAATATGAGCCACTAAATACTTTATTTTGATAACTCTTTTAAACCTTATTTATTTTGTATTGTAAATTGAAAATTATCTAATAATTATGAGCTTATAGATAATAAGCATACATCTGTTTGAATAAAAAGAATGTGTGTGTACGTGTTTTGAAATTTTATAAATTGAGATTTCTTAAGAATTATAAAATGTTAATTAAAAATAAAAATTAAAAGCTATTATTATAAAACTAATTTTAGCAATTGGTTAATTTATATATTAAATATTCTAATTTAAAGCTTCCTATTGTGATTATGATGAAAATATATGATTAAATTTTGTTTGTTATTTTCTAACATTTCATAAGATTTCTAAATAAAAATATGGAGTATTTCATTTAAATATTTTAAAAAGCAGCATTTTTTGTTTATAATTTAAGAAAATTCCTCATAATTAAAGATTTTCCTTCATTAATATAATCAATAAGTACTTCGAATAAAAATAGCAATTTTAAATATTTCTAGTATTTAAATTTTTTTTTTTAAATAGATTTGGAGGCTTTATTGAGATAAAATAAACCAGACTTATAATTATTCAGACTGATTATAGCAAAAATATTATTCTTAGAAAATAAATTAGAAAATTAATTCATTATTTAAATGCATATTTCTAATATAAATATAAAGATTAAACGGCGCTCAGAAGAGATTAGCCATTATTGATTTAAATATAAGCAAAAATAATAGATAGCTACTCAAAGAAATTAAAGAAATTTCAGAAACAAATCGCTTATTGAATTTAAATAAGCTCTAAAAATAAATAAACAAATCAAAAAAGAAAGTAGCTTTTAGTTTATATTATGGAACTACATACAATTAATATGAGATAAAGTGCCTTCACTAAATAAAAATAAGTACGAGGTATTTTATCATGAATAAATCTTTATTCAAGATAATCAAAAGTATCAAAAAAAAAAAAGGAATCAGCTCAAACTCTAAAAAATCAATGACTGGATTGAACAAAAAAAAGAAAGAGAAGAAAAAGAAAGTGGAACGAAAATCAATGGGAATTAATTGGGAAATTAGTGTTAAAAAAAACGATGATTATCATATACTTATATAAAGATATAGAGTACGTAAATAAAAAAAATTAATAAAGTATTTCTAAATAAAGAAAAGCAAAAGAAAGAAGTGAGAGATTACAAAGAAAAAACTAATACATTTCTTTAAAGACTAAGCATTAATTAGCAACCATTGTAAAGGGTAAAAAGCAATGCTCTCTCACAATAGCTCGCAAAATCGTATGAATTCAAATTACTACTAATCTGAAGGCGCAAACGAAAATAACCTCTTTAATGGAGCTTCATAAGACTAGTCTTTTCTCTCAAATAATAACAATAATATTATGAGCTGTAATACTAATAATTGTAAACCAGTGAGTAAAATTCTTGCTCCTTCTCATGGAAAACACAGCTCTTTATATGAAAAAAATCCTGGAAATTTAGTTTAAAATTAAGGGATAATGCGCCTTCCATCAATAGGATAGCTTTCAAGTACAAAAGCCCTTGCTATTAATCCTTTATCTCCAAATGAATTCGGTAGCTTATTCGATGCTGAAAATAAATTTATCAATTCATGTTCTTCTGCATAACAGTATTCAAATTTTTAATATTAATTAACTTTGATTTTAATTCTTAAAGATTAATAAATTTAGAGATAGAAAAAGGAGGTTTTAATTATAACTATAATTTTTTATAAGCAATTACTTCTTTAACTACGATGATTGTTTGCTTGCTTTCAAAATAACACTCTCCAAAATTTTAAAGGGGGCCTTCTATAATTAAAAGTGCCATTTTTAAATATACCTTTTAATTTTATTTTAGCAAATAAAACCAAAGGATTGAAAAATTCAACATATATTCGCACTGTTACCTTATATTTTTATTGGCATAACAAAAATTAAGCTCTTTTTTTTTTTCTCTCAAATTTTAAGTCAAAAAACAGTTTTAGATTGTTTAAAAAATCTTCAATATTTACAGATTTTTAAACTTGTTTCCCAAATTTAAACAAAAAGTCTTATCTTAGTATCTTATTAATCAACAATAAGAATAAAAATAAAATCCTTAAATTTGTTGTTAATAATTCTTTTTTCTTTTCTTTTTTAAATTTAAAAATATCAAAGTCATGAAATAAATAAATCAATCAATCAATAAATTACTTCTTTTCTTATTTTATCAAATTTAAAATTTTCAATCAATCTTTCTTACACTGTTTGCTTTTTACTTTAATTGATTTATAAATCTCTGAATTATCTTAATTAACTTCCTCCTATTTTCAAATGCGTAATTTAAAAATAGAATTAAATTTTATTATTTTCTTAAGAATTTACTATTTAAAAATATTCAATGGCTGATCTTAATTCTTTTTGATTATAAATAGGAAGAAGAGGATGATAAGAGTGTAGTCAAAAAATAAATTTCCTTCAGATTTCTTTAACGAAAATTAAGATTAGTTTTAGTAGAATAATGGAAATGAAGAGATTTCCTTGTAAAGTAATTGTAAATTCTTCTAGTCACCAGATAATAATTTTAACTCGCCTTCATAGCAAAGAATGTCTAACCCATAAATCTAAGTGAATTAGCTAAAATTATCATAGCATTCTATTTAGAATTCAGAAAATTCCTAAAGCGTAAAATAATTTGATGTCAGTGTCAATTCTTATTCTATCTTGTCTCCTAGATCAAATGTAGATGATGCAAAAAAAAATAGCGTTTAACTATAGAGTCCATAAAATACTTAATATTTTTAACGTCCATTTATCAGTGCTATGGGAAGTCGCTCTATAAAATCATAAAACAATTAAGTACAATAATAAAACACTCCCCTTAGTCAATTAAAGAAAGAATTTTAATTCAATAAAAATAATTTTATCGAGCAATAATATGATATGCAACTTTCAAACTAGCAAAACTCTAACAATATAAATTAAACTTCCAAAGGAAGCTCTGCTAAGTAAAATGTAGCTTTGAATAACTAATCTGCTTCTGGTAGTATTAAAAGACTTATATCTGCTTAACTTCCAAGCCCAATGGTATCTCCCAGTAACACTTTTAGAATGCTCTCTCCTACTGAAAAGCACAATCGCTTACTTAGTCCTTCTTCTTTATAATAAACATAAAAAATATAAAGCAGACTAATTTTAAAAGCAAATTCTTAATAGGAAAATTCTGAATAAAAGTAAAATGACTCTATATAAGAAATTAACATAAATGAAATCAGATCTTGCACGAATGACTTATCTATCCCTAATAGCCCAAAAAACGTCCTTATTAGATAAAATAGTGAAAAAGTATAAAAGTGCTTAGAAAAAACTAAAAGTGCTAATAGTTCAAACAAAAAGTCTGAAATAAACACTCCAAAATCACAACAAAGTTAAAAAAGTTTGCTCCATCACCCCATGTCCTAATAGGCTTAAAGACCTAAAATTCCAACTAGCAGCCAGAAAAGAACACCAAATTATGATGTAAAAAGTTCTGCTAATATTCACGAGGCAATTAATAAGGGACCTTTGAGCACAAAAAACAATGAAGCTGACAAAAAAAATAAATTATTTTAAGGTTCTTTTAAAGAAAGAAAAGATACTGAAAGCAGCGAGAACTCAGAGAGTTAAGCAACAAAATTTATAAGCAGAAAACCTGTTGCTGTAAATAAAGCCAAAGGTGGAAGTAACATAGATTTTAGCAACTTTAAGGTACCTATTTCTACTATAAACAAAAAAATAAAAGAAATTTCTGTACTACCTAACAATTAAGAGAGATAAGCTGGTAAATCTTAAACTACTATAGTCTCATCTTCATCTAAAAACCATAAAGAAGATTAAAACTAAAACAAGCAAGTTCAAAATAGTGAAGTTTAAAAAAAGAAAAAATCTAAAGCTTTATCAACAACAAAGCTTTAGTCATTCATTCCTTTAAACTAGCAAGAATCTAGTAGTATAGCAGAAGTTCAAATTGAAGAATAAATAGATGATCATTAGAGTCTTAACGCAGAAGAAGAGCACGCTAAAGAAGAATAAACATTTTTTGAAGGTGAAAACTCAGACACAACTAAAAATAGCATATAATAAAATAATACAAATTCATTGAATAGTCCAAGCCTTTAATACGAAAATCTCTATCTATTTTCGGATAAACAAATACAATCAAGTCAAAATAGTATGGTAGCCTTACCTCCTCCTCAATTAAAATAATTTTATTCAGATTGTTGTGATACTTCGAATTTTAACTGTTAAAATACTTTCTCCTTCCCCAATTAAATTAGTGTAAACAATTAAGATACTATCAATTTCTAAACTAAGATTGATGGCTATTAATAACACATTAATAATCAAAATTTAAATTAAAATTTTAATAATCAATATAACTAATTTAACGAATTCATTGAAGAACATCCTATGCAATAAGAAGAGATCAATTCAACAAATAACTATAATAGAACAGCCAATTTCACTGATTATCACAGTGCTTCCTAAAATGAAAATAGCTAAAATTAACAGAAACTAAAATCTTCATAAAAAGCTTTACCAAAAATTGCACTAAATTTCAAAGAAAGTGAAAAATATAAACCCTTTTTAATCAGAAAAGTTAGTAGCTAATGTAGTATGAGAGTCAGAGGAAATCTCTCCAGTAATAGTACATGCAGTAATTAAAGTAATAATATGGGTTTTGATTTTATGAAGAACGGATCAGGGGGATCAACAACAAATGGAAAAAGCATGATTTCTTCTCCAACACTCCTTGCTTCTAACGAACATATTAATTCTCATGAATTTAGCTTTAGCAACTAGTGAAAAATAAATATTATTATAAAAATGACTAGATTAAAAAATACATAAATACATCTATTATATTAATATAAAGATGAGTAAATTTAAGATATTTTAAATACTATACATTAATAATAATAATAAATAATATAAACAAACGAACAAATATAAAAGCCTTCAAAATATAATAATAATAAATAATTTAATTTGATATTATAGAAAACAGATTTATCTGGAAATAATTGAGCTTATTTATAAACAATTAAATATAATTAAAACTATTACTAAAATGAAATATTTATTTTCTAAAATAATTATAAAAATAATAATAACAGGGTCGTCAAAATTATTAACAAATTCTAATGATAATATACTAAAAAAATAAGTATATGCATCTATCCTATTCATCTAATTCACTTATAAAATAATATATAACTCATTCTAAATTAATTGCATTTTGCTATTCCTTAGTCTATTTATTTTATGTTTAATTCTACATTAAATTATTCTTTAAATTATTTAAAGTTTATAGTTAAAATTTTACCTAGAAATATAAAATTTTTATTTAAAAAGTAGTATCTATCATTTTTCTACTCTAACATTCATTTTTATAGTCTGATTGTTTCTATTTTTTATTTTAAAATTAAAAAAGATATCAGATACATTCAGAAAAATTCTAATACTTAAAGTGCATTCTATGCATCAATTTTACAAATTGTATTTATTATTTAACTAATAGATTTAAAGCACTTACAAACCTATCAAAAAGAGAAAAAAAATTATTAAAAATGTCATTTAATTACTAAAACGATGCCTTTCATAGTAAAATATATGAAAACTATAAATCAAAACTAGTTGAATAAAAAGCTTAGAATGTATCTTAGTAGTAGGCTTAAAATTTACAAAAGTAGCTTATTGATCATTTATCACATTTTTAATATTTAATTTACTTTAGTTGACACAATCTTAAAATATTTAAATGACAGGCGTTCAAAATAATTAGAAGATTTGAAAAAGGTTTATTCTGTGCAAAAGGTGGAATTATTTTTCGATGCAGGCGAGATAGACAGAAACGAATACCACATAACTTTTTAATCTAAAAAAAATGGCAAATCATACAATATTAGATTGTAATACTTATTATTTATTATAAATCTATAAAAGATAAAAATCTCAAATTGAAAAAGCGTTGACTAACTACAAATCATATGTATGTATTTTATAAATATAAAAGATAGTTAAGTTATGACTTTCCTCAAAGAAGACCCAAATTTTATTTGGACAATAAATTCTTAGAAGACTATATTGATCCTTAAACCTTAGAAATTAAATATTATGATTACTATCCTTGGAATACAGAAGAATCAACCCTCGTAGAGCTTGTTAAGAATATTAATGAAATGATGAATATAAGACCTGTTAACTTCGGGTAAATATTTTATAAGTTATTATCACATTATTTAATAGAATAAAATTATTGCAATTTCATAAAGAGATGACTATCAAATTATAGCTGAATAAATAGCTTTCTAGTTGAAAGAAACTTAAAAATGTAAGGAACTTAATTAGATCACTATGCAAAACCTATTCCCAAAGATAGATGAAAATAAAAGAGAATCTGAATACATAAAACTCTCTAAAAATCCAGAAATTATAAATTAACAAATTCAATCGAGTTAAGAATATTGCAAGCTTCTTTAAAATTGTAAAGAGAAGTCTGATATGGTTTCAACTTTAGCAAGTAAAATTTATTTATATTCAACTTTAAATTAACAAAAACCAACAAAAAAAGCAAGCATAGAGAAAGAATATAGAAATTTAGAAGAATTCAAAAAGTAGGTCAATTTAAAATAAGAATAATTTAGTTAGAAACTTTAAGAGTACCTTTATTTACATGGAGAAATTCAAAAATTTCAAGAAGTAAAAATGATTTAATTTGACGTTGTTTTATCATATTTTTAAAATATAAAAGAGATTTGAAATTTAAGCAGCTATTGCCATTTTAGACTGCGAAATTTATAACTTAGAAGATGAAATCAATAAATTAATGTAGGACAGGTTCTAAAATAATTTAAATGAAATTGCAAAAAAATTTAAGTTATTAAAAGAAGAATAAATATATTTGCAATTATTAAAGTAGCAATATATGAAAAGCAATTGATTGATTGATTGATTGATTGATTGATAAATCAATTTCTTAAAAGAAATTTAAACATTTTTGTAAAAGTAACAAATATTTTTACCAATATGGAAATTAATAATTATACATATTGTCTTAAGTTAATTATATTTACAGTTTTGAGATATAAATTATTAATTAATTTGAGTGATATTAATATATTTTGCTGTTTGTATATTTCTTGTTGCTAGTTCATTCACTAATTTTATTTTATTACTATATAAAGTCTATTGTTCTAATTTAAATAAAATAAAAGTTAATTCGTTTTTATTAAATATTAATAATTAATATTTACTGTTATCCATTAGGAATCCAATTTGTGTTTCGCTTTTACCACTTTTCAAAAATGTATGCTTCAGTGCTTGTATATTCTTCTTTATTTTTTGTAAGTAGTATAGATATATACTTTAGGTAATCCCATTAATTATGAACATTCTAGTTTAAAAAAATCTAATTTAAAAATATAATCAGTATTTAAAATATTTACATTTATATGATAATCAAAACCCTTAGGGCATATTTGTGTAATTTGTTTTCTGTCTAATGTGCAAATTAAGCATATATTTTAAGTATCATTCGTGAAATTTTCATTTTATATTCTTAGTTAGGTAAATGCATCAATAAAGTAAGCTATATATTGTTAAAATTTTTTATTTATTCAATTTATAAATTAATTAATTACCTGTAAATGTCCAAGTCCATATGAGCGAAACAACACAAAAAATATAGAAAAAGAGGTAAATATCTTCGTATGTTAAAACATAATTATTATTATACTCTATATTTATTTATTAAAACATTAAAATTAACGAAACTGTTTTTTAAAATTTACTTTCATAGATTGGCTCATAAATAGGGGAAGAAGATACCAGGCTTCTAAGGGTAGAGTCTAAAAATATGGAAAAACATGATAAAAAATTTTCACACATATTATTGTATGCATCATTTAGTGGAGTAACTAAAAAGGAGATCAGAGAAAAAGTATATATCAAAATAAAATAGAGAATAAGTGTTGAAATAATTTTGACTTTCATATTCCAAACAACCTTGAAAATATTTAATGCATCTGGAAATTAGAAAAAGATATCTAGCAGAAGGATGCAGGCAAAGAAATCGTTAAAAAACAAAGTTAAAAACAAAACTGGAGTATAAAGCACTACATAAGTGATAGTGTTACTCGAGAACCAGTTTTGTATGTAAATCAAAATTATTTCTGATTTAGACAACTTTAAATTTATGTTCTGATTTGAGTTTGAAGTTTTTGATTAAAGCTACTGCTATATAATTTATTTTAAATTCTATCCTTTAGATGATTAGAAATGTAAGCTATGCTACTATTTCTTTTAAATTATTTTATTTTTAATATCGTTATTAACTTTCCATGAATAGAAACTATGTATTTAAAGAATTTGAAAAATTAGCATAAATAAATCGAATCCAAAAAGAATCAAGATGGTTATTTTCATGAAATTGTCTATGCTTCCTTATCTTATTTTGCTGAAAAAAGCAGACCCTTCAACATCTTAGTATTTAAGAAGGAGATAGATATTTATTGAAATGCCTAGCAAGAAATTAATTGATCTAAATATTTCAAAATAATTGAAAATAAAAGTAAGAAGTTTGAAGATTTTGCTTTTAAGAGCCTTATCTTTGAGTGATTAAAGCACATTTAATCTCTGATTGTATTCTTCAGCTTAGTCAAGGAATGATTTAATTTTTGTTTCATATGAAAATCTGTCAATTTTCTAGTTTACTTCTGACTCAATGATTGAGTTACTAGAATTACAGTGAGGAGTATAAGGATAATATATGACTTAAAGCTCATTTATTTCTTCATTGAATATTATAATTTTACCAGTGTTTTTTTCAAAAAATGAATAAGCTTCGGCAAAAATTGATATTTCTTTTTCGTGTTAAAGTTCTTTTTCTGTTTTCATTAGTGTTTTGATACTCTAATCACCCTTTTTGTTAATTAAAATAAGTCTCATTTGCCAGATAAAGTTTTCGATGTATAATTAAAAAAAATTTATTTACTATTAACTAATTGGCTTAATTGATCAATGCTTATTGCAAGTTCCTAATGGATTCTTCATGATTTTGTAGAAGAGAAAATATTTTGAATCCATATTTTAGGAATTAATGAGAATGAGTAGAATAAACACCTTAATACAAAGTTTTAAATTACTAGAATTAATCTATGAAGCACTGAAAAAGATTTTTATAAGTTAATCTTCTCACAATCTATTTCTTTCTCTATTAATTCATATCACTTTCTACTAAGTGTTCAAACATCTGTAACATGTAATTTTTAATCAAATTTAAATTTTATTCTGTGAATGCATTTTATGTTAGTTCATTCCTTTTATCAAAACCAATAAATCCCAAAAAATACTCTAAATATTTATCTTATTTCCTTTTACCTATAATTTATTCCTATGTAAGATTTTTCTCAGAATCCCAAAGCTAAGCCATATTTTCTAAAAATGAAGATTGCATAAGTTAGTCCTTGTTTTCAACTAATCTACCTTAAATCATCGATTAAAGAACTTTAATTGACAATATTATTTAGTCATTAAAGTATTTAGAGTAGCTAATTTGCTCTAAATCGAAGAAAAATTAAATTCTAAAAATAAATAACAAAAAAAATTACTTGAAGTCGAAGTGTTAAGGATTGTTGACTTAATTAATTGGTCTAATAGCTTAATATACAAAACCATCAGATCCTAGCTGTTATTGGAATTCATTTACTTTCTCCAAAAAATCTAATTTTTTTTAATCTTTAGTGAATAAATTAATTCATTAAAAAATTACTTAGAAAGGAGAAAATTAGTCAATATTCAAAAGTTAAATAAGTTTGCAAATATGTTCAAAAAGAGAAGTTTAATCTATTCTAAATGAATAATTTGAGTAGTTATTAACCAGATGAAAAATCATTTTCTTTTTGTTAAGCATGCACTTTGTAGCTACCATTTACTAATAAACAACTTAATAGATAAAATTAATGAAATTTTCAATTTCTGAAATAGAGCTTAAAATTTCATAAATGTCATTTCTTACTTCTTTATTTTTGTCCTCTAATAATTTACAGATTAACCTAATTAGAGATTATATTATTTCTTAGTTTCTAAGAGTTGTTTATTTTGTTAAAGAATTTTTCAAAATCTTTTAAAAACACTTGAAATAAATGAAGTTTTGCATTTCTCTTTTTGATTCATCAGGTTGTTTATCAATAATCTCAATGACTAAATTGATTATATTTTGAATAGTATATGTTTACAATTGCTAATTATTTAAGTCAAGGTAGAGAAGTGTATGATCTAAATAAGCAAATATTCTCTCATAAAAAACTTATAAATCTATAGGTTTTTCAAAATATCCAATATTGACTTGATTCTTATTTTTTTGATTAACCTCAAAGAGTATCATTTTGATGAGATAATCGTTTTAATTTAAAACAATATTTTATCTTACATTTTCATTAAATAATATGCTTTAAAAAAGTTTTCTGTATGCTTAAGAGCTCTGTTCTTTTCTTCTTAAAGACAATAAATTTCTTAAGTAGGGTAAATTTTTACCAATTTCTAAAGAATTAAACTCCATTTCAATCAATATATTGTTTTTTCCAATTAATTTTTAACTTCCAGTTTTGTAGAATTGCTTAGATAAAGTGCAGAAATCTGCTTCATCAGAAAGATATTTACTTTCATTCCAGTTTTGTTATTTATCTTATTTATAAATGTAATTTGATAGGAGATACATTTATTTAATTTAATCACCAATTTTATTATATTAGCTCACATTTTAAGAATTTAAATTTGATAGCTAATTCTCTTTCTTTTAGTTGAATAGGCTTATTATAGAAATTGGTTACCCATTTTATTAAAGTTAAACATTTATTGCTTTAGATTCTTGCTCAAGACTTTGTAGCCTTGACTCCATAGCATTATTATTTTATGTTTGTTATTTTTCAGTATTTTAATTTATACTTTTTAGTTCACTAGTATTCTAAATTTCCTCAGCGTTTTTAAGGAAACTGGTGTTAATTATATTAGATTTTACATCAACTAATTCATTTTTGGAAAAAGATTGCTCTGTTTTTATCAAATTATGAGAATAAAGCGAAGAGGGGTTATTCTTAATTACATTCTATCCAATAATACTTTTATTTTTAATCAAACTTACATTTTTAATACTGATAGCATTATCTTTATCTTTCTGTACCTGTTTATCTAAATTTTGTAAAAAAGCTTCTTTCTCTGTAAAAAAGCTTCCAACTTCAAATATTTTTTAAAATTCAGTAATTTCTTCTTTGAAGTTTTCCTTAATAAGTAATTATTGCATTTAGTTAAGCTTTTTAAAGAAAAAATCATAAAATTTTTAACCAAAATTTCCTAATAGTATAAGTTCGATTTTTGGCAATTCCTTTTTATATTTACCGATAGATAGTATTAATTAAAGTTATTAAAAATATTATTTACTTCAGGATACCATGAACTTTAAGCTAGATTTGAGAAGACTATGTTAAGATCTGTCATAAATGGTACCAGATATTTAAAGATATAGCTCAGAACTCCATAAGGCTCTTCTAGAATACTCTTTTTATTTAATGGCATAATATTCTTAAGATAGTTTAATGTGTAGGTCTGGAGATAGCATTAGTGTAAATTTGAAAGAGTCTAAGAATTTCTTACTTACTATATAAAATTTTCTACTTCAGAATTCTTTTCATCTTTGTAATTTTCCAAAAATTTAATTTATTCTCTTAAAAATTTTATAATTGCCTAGTTTCTGATAATGTCTGAAGGATAGTTTTATGTCTTCAACCATAAACTATCAATAGTCTACATTAGTTCTATTTTTAATATTAACTTCAAAAAATTTTCTTCATTTTATTAATTGTAAAAATCTTCTGAACTAAGAATGCTAAACAGGTATTGTGTTGAAAAAATCAATTTCATCTAATCATTAAATTTGTCCTTTGTCCTAACATTTGAATAGATAATTCTGGCCGTTCTAAGAGCATAAGCTTGATATAAGTAAGGGAGCTATTTAAATTTTATTTTATTATAATAAAATAAGTAAAAATTCTTAAAAATAAATAGTAATTTACTCTATCTTTCTGTATCCAATCCATTTCAAAGCTAAGTTTTTTACTATTTTCTTCTGTTAAATTAAGTTAAATTAAATTTATTGTTTATAATATATTTTAAAAAGTTACTTTGTATTTATTGAATATTTAGTTTGATAGAATTTAGAATTTTCATTTAATTTTGATCCAATTTTTGTTCTTCATCTTCATTTATTTCTTAATCGTCTTCATCTCTCAAAATAAAATTCTTCATTCCAAAAAATTTATAAATATTTTCAGTTTAGAATATCTCCTTAAAAATTTAATTGGCAATATTTTCTCTATAAATTCCTTTTTTCAAGAAGAGATTGTTAAAAATTATTAAGTTGCTTGGATCTATTTAGCATATCGAATCACTCTTTTCCCTCAAGCTGTTTAAATAATCTTATAGCATACCCTTTTCTATATTTTCTTTTTTGTAAGTAGCATCCAGAAAGATTTCTGCAAAAAACTAAGTCTAACCTACTTCTGTACATGAAAGGTAAATTTAAATTATTGGATAGTACTATTTAATTGCTTGAATATTCTCTAAATTATCAAGGCAAAAAAATGTTAAAAACTCAAAAGCCTGCTATATTATAGGTTATATGCTATCAATTTATATTTTTTAATAGAAAAATAAATATGCATCTTCCAAAAACTCAAGCACAAACACGTGGTAATCAAGTGAAAATAGCATTTTTTGGATTTTATAGAAATAGTCCTCTTCCTTTTAAGTTATTTCTATTTTTTTGTGAGCTTCTTTTAGCTGTGCAATACCTTTTTGCAAAGTTGCTTGTATCAGCTAAAGTAATTTTTACATTTCAGCAACATCTGCGCTAATTTAAAAAATAAATCTTCTTTCTTAGAATGTCTTCATAACATTAGTAAGTGCTTGTAATACTTCAAATTTAGCTATCTCCTCATTTCTAAAAATTATTTGAGCTTAACACATCATCTTTAAAAACTCTTATCTTTAATTTGTGATTACGAATATCAAATATATCAATCGTTCATTTAAATTTTATTCTTTGTTATACTTCATAATCTCCAAAATGTTTGAGATAAATGTAGTACTATATATTTCAAATTTACCTCCTAAATCTTTTTAAATGACATTATACTATTCAGCCATAAATTTTATCAGCTCTTTGTTAACATAATCATTCATGAAATTGTAGTATTTTAAAATACTTTTATCAAATTTTTTTATCACTTGAATATTTACTTATTTATTTTTCTCAATATCTCCCTTTTTCTTTTAGAGCTAAAATATTTTATCAGATTTCTCCTCTTCTTTTTAATTTTAACTGACATTTTTATTTCTATTAAGACCATCCTTGTTTTGCTAATTCGTAGATAATTCAGTGTGCAAACTAACTCTTCTCTTTAAATCTGAATTTTTCTGCTTATTTTCTAAATTTTATTTTAACTCATCTTCATTTTAATCATTTTAATCTTCATCAATTTCTAAATTTAAATTTTCATATTCTGGGAAATCTTCCATAAGTAATTTTTACTTTCCATAAATAAAGTTAATATTTTCATCTAATTTTACCATATCTTCTATTTTATTACTTAGCTAAGCTATAAGAAAATCAAACGATTACTTTTATTTCCTTTGAGCTACAATTATATAAATGTCTATAATTTCTGATTTTATTTTATTTGATAACTTTTATTAAAAATTTTAGATTAATTTAGATAAATTTAGTAAAAATCTACCGTATTTCTGTCTAGTTCTTTAAATATTTCTTTCTTCTTTTGCTTTTCAGTTTTTTCTTAAAAAAAAATAAATATTATAAAAATAAAAGTAAAATATACAAACTAGAAATGGTATTGATTCATTTTAAGTCAAATATTATTCTCTGTTCTCAATCTTAAAAAACTCTGTTAAATATTTAATAACTTTGTGGTCGAGAGGACATTAATTAATTTCAACAAGAAATCTAAAGCTCTTTATTACATAGTATAAATAGTTCAGTTATATATTACTAACTTTTTCATTAATGTTTTCTTATCCTTTTTGAATTGCTACCTCTTCTAAAAACTCTAAAAGATAAGACTAAATTTGTTAAATCCAATCATCGATTCTATATTCCAATTCTTCACATAGTTCTGCATCTTCACCTTTTTTACTTTCATTTTATCCTGCAAGTTCAAATTAAACAAAATCCAACTACTCTGATTAGTCTATTTATTCTTCCTCTTCTTCTTATTCATCTTCACCTTCTTCTTCTTCATATTCATAAGATTCTTACTCTTCTCCTTCTTCCTCATTTACTTCTTATGCGTAGACTTGCTATTTTAAAAATAAATTGTTCACTCTTTTATTCTTTTATTTAGGATCTTTCATATCGTCAGTTTAATTTTAAGAAGATTTGCTGCTCTCTAATTCTACACTTTCGTTTTCTAGATATTTTTACTCAAGCTTTTAAATCTTTTTTGAAGGCTATTACTCTTTTTAAAAGTTATCACTTTATTATGTGAATGCGCTTTGAGCTTTATTCAAGCTAGAAAACTTTTAAGTTCTTTTAGTTTCATAATTTTAAGAAGTCTTAATTTGAGTTGAATTTTCCTGATTAAACCTTATAGATTTTTTAGATACTATAAATTTTATGTTTACCTTATTTTCTTCAAAAGAAGTTAAAGTTAATTGATTTTAATCTATCTAATTCTAGTTATAATCCTAGTTTTAAATGAACATTCTTGAAGCTATATTTTATCTATCTGCATTTACTTAGTCTTATTCATTTTGCTCTTCTTCCTCAGGGTAATAGTAATCTTAATAGTGTTACTCCAATTTCTTTTCAAAAATCATATTATTTTCAATTATGTTCAGTTAAGTTTTGCTGAGTTAAGTTTTAGAACGATTTTTTTTCGATGAACTATGTTCATTAAGAGTTTTTTAGTTTTCATATTGCTTTGGATTTTCTGTTTTTCTTCTGATAAAAGACTCTTATTACATTTTTTATGAATTTGGAATATTTTCTTCATGTTGAATTTCTTCCTCATCTATTAGTTCTATCTCTCCACTTCTTTATAAAATTTATTCTTGATTTTCCTAATTTAGATTTTGATTGTCTAAATTAATTTTTACAAATTATACTTGTGTTTCTTAATTAGGAAGTGTTTTTTTATTAATTAATTAAGCGTTATCTTAAACCTCATCTGGGTTAGTTTCTAAAACTCTTGTTATTTTTTAAGGTGTTCTTTGTTTTTAATTTTCTTAAACAGGTTAATTTTTAACCGTATTTATTGGTGATTGAGGTTTAAATTAGCTCTATTTATTTTATTATTTGTTGTTAGTTTTGCTTAAATTATTAGATCTCTACGATTTTACAGAGATACTTGAAAGTCTAGAAAATTAACTCTAATTATCTTCTTCATTTTTTCTATTTTACATGCTTATAGAATCGCCCTGCTTAAGCTTAGCTTTTTAAAAAAATCCATATTTCTATTTCTCTTCAATTTTATTTGTTGAAATCATTTTTTTTAATTCTTTTTATTAATTCTTTAAAAACTCTTTTGAAAAAACAAGTGTTTTAGGATTTTAAAGCTTATAAAAAGGATCCACATTAATGTAAAGATTGGAGTAAAGTTCTAAAAAGAATCCTCTAATCAAGAAATTGATATCATCATTGCGAATGATTGAAAGGAGAAAGTAGTAAGGAAAATATTATCTTACTTTATAAATATTAAAATAATTTCTGTCTTCTGTAATCAGGGAGAGTAGCTTTACAGTATGAAGAAAGAGATTCATTTCTCTACCTCTAGATGAATTGTTAGTTAACCTTTTAAAGTTAAATAAAATTAATTATTTTGTTGTAACTGTTAATTAAAATAACCTTATAAATCTTAAGAAGTCCCATTTGTAAATTCCAATTTAAATTTAAATTTATTTTTCTACTGTATAATCTCTTCTCATAATTTTAAACAATATAAATAGCTACTCAAATTACTTCTCAGACAACTCTTCAAACATAAGTTTCCCGATCAAAATTTAATTTTTGATTTTGATTTTTTCATCCATATCTCTACAAATACTAATTAAAAACTCTATAAAGTCAAAGCAATACTTCTCTTCTCCATCATAATTTTTCTTATTTTTAAAAAAAATAAACAATTTATAAAAATAAATTATTAACTGCAAATAAAAAGTATTACCAAATACTGCATCGTAATGATCTATAGAATGTTTGAATTAATAAAAATTTCTCTATTTTTGAATTGATCAAGAGTCAGATCATTGACTTAAATTAAGTGATCAAGATAATTGTATTTTCTTATAAGATAAGACAAACATTTCCAACAATTTCCAACTCCAATCTATTTTTTTGAATATAATTTAATATTTCTCTTAAAAATTAAGATTTTTTACCATGAAAATAATTTCGAGAATTGTTTTTTTAATTATCTCCTAGGGAAAACTATCTGATTTTATAAGCAAACCAAGTAACTCATATGAATTATTTATTATAATCATAAGGCTTATAAATAAATTTTAGTTTGAAGTCAGAATATCCTTTTGCTCTATCTTAGTAGCCGAACCTTATATATTTTATTAACTTGTACTTTAACTTTGCATCTTTTACTTAGTAAATTGATTATCTTCAAATTTTTTCAATTAGACTTATTGGTATTCATTAGGATCTCTTGAAGATTGAGCAAAAATTTTTAGCTTTTTAATTTAAAAAATAAATAAAAATAATTTTAGTAATGTTAATTTTTTTACTCGAGTAAAATTTTTTTAGTTGATTAAAATATTTTTTATTAATTTGATAACAGTCGATTAAACATTTTTAATAATCATTATATTTAATCTAGCTTCATTTTCTTAATCAGATTTAAACAAAAATATATCATCAAGGTATATATCATTAGACTTTGCAAATCTGATTAAGCTATCAATTGTATGTATAGTATCAATTAGCAACTCTAGATTTTAATAGCTTAATTGTAGGATATCTACATTTAAAATCTTTTCAATCTTTTAAATATTCATTTCAAGCATTTATCTGCAAGATTCCACAAATAATACATCCCAGCATACATTCTCAGATAAAATATTTATTTTAAAACTCTCAGCATTTAAGCTGCTTTAACATAAATTTAATCTATAAGAGCAATTTGATTAATCAAATTTCATTCCTATTTGTTAGCCTAATAAACAAATTATAATTTAAATTTTGTTAAAAAATAATTTTCATCAATCCATAATTTTAGAATTTGAAATATAAAAATGGGCTTGTTAATCCTCAATACTTTACAAAATTTAAGATAGATTAAAAATCTAAGTATTTAAAATGTAAAAATTTAAATATGAATAAAATGTTTGTCTCTTAATTATTAAATATTCTAAATTAATTAATAGATTTATTTTTTTAAAAAAAATATTGATTAATTAATTACCTGTTAATGCATGTATAATACAAAAAGAAAAATTGCAACTGAGTTAACAGGACTAAGTTTTATCAATTCCTTTCTCATCAATAAGTATAAAAACACTATTAAAATCATCTTCAGACATATTAAGTTTAACAGTTTGCTCCATAAAAATTGAAAAATCAAATGTAGGTTACTTTTTATCTGACTAAAATTTTAAATATTTGCCACTCCTATTTATGTAATTAAAATAAATATCAATATAAATTACATATTTAAATTAAGAATAAATAAATGAATGAAGGATGGATGGATGGTAACTTAATTAATTAATTACCTAATATTTTAAAATCTGATAAAATCTTTAAAAAAAATACATCCTCCTTCGAAAGGATTTATTTTTTCAATTATCCATAAATTGGAAGATTCTTCATTTTTAGCATTATCAGTCAAATAATATTATAATATAACTCTCTGTTCGATTTTTTTTTATCTTTTATTGTTTACATTATCATCTAAATTACTTTTACTTTAAGTAACTTGCACTTCTTGTTCTTCTTCTTCGTTTCTTTCTTCCTCAACTTAATTATTAAATCTTTAATCATCTTCTTCTATCTCTTCTATTATTTGCTTTTCATAAATTTAGCCAGCTGTTTCTATATGTGAAATAGAGCATATGCTACCAGCTTTTAAAACACTCTTTTCACCTTCTTACTAGCTCTAAGAAAAATATTTTACTATCCTTTTTATTTAAATTTTTTTAAACGTTAACTTTTTTAATAAAAATTTTGCTTTTACTCAAAAGGATTTATTTTAGATGTATCTTCTGAAAATTATATATCAATATAAGGAATAGTATTTTATAATATTTCTTTATCGCTCCAAAATTTTTTTATTGAGCAATGCCTCTGCAAATATTAATCTTTTAAATTAATTATTGTAATACATACTTTATCTCCAAACGCTATTAAATCCTCTTTCTTTATTCGATTTTTGTAGAATTGCTGAAATTAAAATCCTACTTAGTCTTCTATTTAAACGTCTAATGTTAAACTTTAAAAAAAAAACAATTTTAACTAATTTTATGATTTTAAAAAAAATAAAATTGCTGATTTTTGCAGAATGATTTTATATTTCTAATAACAAATTAATTTACTTAAAAATATTTACATCAAATGGCGATTGTTTAATAGATAAATATTTTTTAGAGACTACATGCTGCAAAATAAATGTATCATTATATAAAACGTAGTTATCTTTATAAATATCAATAGTTCTTTTATTGCTCTCTAATTCTTTATTTAAATTTAATAATAGCTCATCCTACTTGGATTAATCTTTGTACTTATTGTATTTTAAGCACTCAAGCATTGCTTAGTTGGTTAATTAAGGATAAATTTTGAATAAACATTCTGAAGATTTATGATTTCCTATGTTTTAAAAATTTCTTAGCTCTAACTCTACCTTGCTCATTCCATTCTAACCTAGATAAAAGAAACTCCCGCTAATTCTTAAAGCTATTACATCCCCGTATTTTAAATATTAGTCTTGATTATTAAAATCTTAATCTAAAGTTAAATTCATTTTATATATGAAGCAAAATTTGATAAATACTTTAAGTTATAATAATGTTTAATTTTTTCTACTTTTTCTTTTTATTATTGTATTTATATGAATTTGTTAAAAGTAGAATCAATCAATATTTTTGATTAATTTAATTAACTACCTTTAAAAAATATATTTAAATATCAATTTCAAACAAGCAAAATAAATGAGTTAGTTAAATTCAAAAATAATCAGATATTATTCTTTTTTATGATCCAGTACACTATAAGTAGAACGAAAATTACTTAATCGTTGATACTAGCATTTTTTATGCTATTATATTTATTTATTCGTTTGCTTAGTTTACCTTAAATTCTTTTTTAAAAGATGCTTTACTAAAATAATTGAATATATTATTTTAAAGAATTTGAAATAGAACAAAAATAATAATATTTAATTTTGTAAGGAATTAAAATTTAGTAAATGTACATTAATATAAATTTCAATAAAAATATTCAGTGACAAATATAAATTAATATATGTTGGTTTTTATTTATTTAACAAAGTTAAATATTTAGGAATAATAAGTAATATTTTATTAATTTATATCAAATAACTAAATTTTTTGCTTAAAAAAATAATAAAATATTATTTTTTATTTGTAATTTAGTAAATACTACCAAAATAAATAAAAAAATAATGATAATAATAATAGATATTTAGATATTTTAGAATTATCAGATTGTACTAAACTTATATAAAGTTATATGCTCATGAGTTTATCCAGGTAAGAGTTCTACTTATGGGAAGTGAGGAATGTTAATTGAGTTAGGTATTCCTTGTGTCTCTAGACAAAATCCAGCTCTATCTACAAATCCTTTGATTTAGCTTAAGTAATTACCTGTATATAATTATAATCCAGGCTAGTTTGTATACACTTCCAGTACTCTACCAGATGCTTTTTCTTAAACTTTAGCAGCTAAATTGATTTTTCCAGATCTTTTGAGAATAAAGTTATGATCTAATCCATTACCGATTTATAATTGATTATCTTTGCCTTGCTAAGATAACTATTCTTAAAGTGTTTTCTATTATGTGAAATCAAATGGTGTATTTTAAACTTTTAAAATTTCACCATATGGGCAACATGTATCATCTAAAGGAGTATAAAAATCTGCATTTATGAAAAGTGAATGATCTTACATGCAAGTTGCAAAATCTTTCTTTGTCTAAAGATTGAAATAGCTATGACTAGTTAAATTGCAAAGAGTTTACTTATCTGTTTAGGAAGTAAATATCATTTAGAACTCATTTTCGTCATTTAATTCATATTTAATTTAAATTTCTAGTTTTCCTGGGTAGCCTTCCTCTCCATCTTCACTCACTCCAGTAAGAATTAACTAATTAGGTTATTAAATTTAGAATTAATAAATCTTTTTATCAAATCCTTTGATTCCACCATGGAGATGATTTGGCCCATTATTTACAGCTAGCTAATAAACATGATTAGGGTCGTTGCTCAAAGAAAATTTCCCATTTGCAATTCTATTGGCGCATCTTCCAACAAAGGCGCCAAAGTAAGCATCATTATGTAAATGATATTATGTAAAATCATCAAAATTAAGTACTATATTTGCTAATTGATTTTATTTATCAAGAGTTTGTATTTCTGTAATAATTGCTCCATAATTTATTACACTCACTTTAGTACCTTTCTTATTTGAAAATGTAAATTTCCAGATTGATTCCTCACCAATCTTACCAAAAAGTGTTTACTCTATTTACATATTTATTTACAATTACCAAATATTTTTAGAATGTATTGAAACCTTAAATAAAATAAAATTACAAAGATATTTTGCTTTCTTTATTAAGATATTTGTTGAATTTTTAATTCACAAATAAAAAATAGTAAGACCATCATTAAGAGATTTAATTAAATACAATAATTTTGAGAGAAAATACTTTCTAATTATTTATAAAAATTTTCATTTTGATTTTTTCAAATATTTTTTTTTGCAGATTGACTTACAACTTACTCAAAAAATCTTTAAATAAAAAAATTGATGAATTTAAATGAGATAATTGTAATTAATAAATTAATAATTTTTTTTTTTCTTTTTAATTTATTTAAAAAATCTCAAAATATGTCTTCAAAATTAAACAAATAATAGAATTTTTTCATTTTAATATGAAATAACTTTATAGTTTACATTTTTTAAAAAATAGTAGACATTATTATTTTAATTTTATAAGATAAAATAATTTTAATGTTATTTAAGATATTTATTAATTAATTATATTAAAAGTTACGCAATTGACAAGTTGATCTCAAATTATGATGACTTACTTACTTATTTATTTTTACTAACTTTATAAAAAGACATGAAAAAAAAAAATAATTTGTTAATTTTTTGTTAGATTATACTTAAATTATATTTCAAAGAACTTAAGAAAATTTAAACACTCTAAAAATTATTTAATTAAAAAAGAATAATTAATTATTTTGCCAAATTAAGAAATTAAAAAAGGTAAAACAAATAAATATCTTATAAAAATATAATGAAAATTAACAATATAATTTTACTTATTATTTTTTTAAGCTATGTTAAGCTTTGCTTTACTGAAAAAATAGCTCAATAATAGTAAAGTAACAACAAGAATCTATTAGTTTAACTCGAATATAGCATATTTCAAGGATTTATAAAAATAGAATTTAAATTATTAAATGATTCTTTTGCAGAAAATTATAATATTAAATTGATAGAAGTGCAAATAAATTCAAATAATTTCGATGAAAATAGATATTTTAGTGATCTATAATAAACTACAATTTGGATAGAGATATAGTTAAAAGATGCTTTTAAAGATATGGTGATAAAAGTTGTAGCAAAATAGAGTCAAGTACAAACTAGAACTAATAAATAAATGAGTGGTGATTTTTATTAAGAAATAAATTTTGGAACTTAATTACCTTAATTAGTTAGCTTGGATTTAAGTAAGAATATTAATTAAATGTAAAATAGCTCTTGGATGGATTTTTTTCGAATATTTCCTCTCTATTTGATTTTCTTCAACTCACTTTAAGGTGTTTTTGTTATTATAGTTGCAGAAATTAAATTACCATAAAGATTGTATGAAGTTATTAGGCTTTTATCTTGCTTTTATTTTAAAAATTTAAGGGGCTGGACTGTAAGCCAGGATTATCCTTATGATATTGCATAAAGCAGTACCATAGGAGTAGATATTTATTCTAGTGATTCTAATATTTATTTATCTCTAATTGGTATCAGTGAGAATATATTTGCTTAAGCTTTTTGGAATATAGTTATTTTGATAATATTTTGGCTACTTTATTATATGTTCCTTAGAAAAAAGCAATTAAAATTTGCATTACTAGTTGGAAATATCATATCTTTTTATCATAAAATAACTTTACTTTTATTTTTTTTGGTTTTTTTTAGTCAGTTAAGATTAGCGTATACTTTATAATCTTCTGGTTAGAGTATTACATCATTTATTATTGGTGTTTTAATGTTGATATATATGATTTATTTAATCTTATTTGTATCAAGAAAATTGCTAAAAGATCACGAAAGCAGTGAAGATTAAGAGAGTAACTAAAAATCATTGTAAGAAATAGTCGATCTATTGTATTGCTATTTTTTATCTTAAAACTAAAAAGATTATCTTAAACACATTGAATGTAAATAGCTTTCTTAAAAAATAAATAGTTTTTTTCCTTTAATCAGTTTCTATTTCAAGATATATATATCATTTATTCTTGTATTTATGCAAGGAACGAAATAAGGATAAATATCTGTGATAATATTTAGTTATTTCATGTATTTTATAATATCATATCGCTATTTTATAGTTGATTCTAGAAATATTAAGATTATAAAAACTCTATCTCAAATATCATTCTTTCTTTTGCTAATTTTTACTTTAGCAAATTATTTAGTAATTGATAATTTAATTAACCAGCTCCCACAAAATCAAGGTCAATTAATTACAGACGAAACAATATAAGCTGTAAACGGATTAGAAATAGTTTAATTTATCTTCATGTTCTTATTCGTCATTTTAGAATTTGTAGCTAAATTATTTTAACTGAAAAATTTGATAGAAAAAATAAAATAAAACATATAATTTTATTAAAGCAATGATATTAATTTAGAAATAAGTTAAATTTAATTCACTAAAAAGTCTTATATTGAAAGGCTGAATGCATAAAACAATTAACAGATAAGCGATAAATAAATAATTGATATATATAGAACAGATAAATCTAAAGATGCTGAATCATTTCCATCATATTGCTAAAAATAATTGTCAGGCTCAATAATAACATCTTTTAAAGGACATAAAAGTAAAACAAATGAAATGCCAAGTTTAACTCAGTAATTAGTTAATGTAAATTAAATTACAAAATAAGTTCAAATTGCTAATCAAAATATAATGGAAAGTGATTATCAAAATAAAGATATTGTTTTTTCTCGTACAAATTCTTTATACGAAAATAATTAAACACCGAATATTTAAGAAAAAAAATAAGATCAGGAACCACAAAATATAATTACTTTACAGATAGTTGATAATAAATAATAAACTACTATATCCTAAAATTAATATGTGCCTCCACAAATTAAAGTACATAAAGTTGAAGATATTTAAAATGAATAACCTAAAACAGACAATAAGTTTTTATATGTTCAAAAAACCATTAAAAAAATCTTGAAAAATAGTTTAATTAATTAAGAAACAATAAAGGATGCTGATATATTAGATAGCTAAATAGTTAAGAAAGAGTCTTTTGATCAAAGTGATTTTGATATTTTATATGATATTAATAAATAACTTGAAGGCTAATAGGAATAAAATGATATAGACTTAGTTGAAAGAAAAGAAGAGTTTAAAGAAATAATGCAAACTTCAGCAAAGAAAATTGAATTATCAAAGGAAACTAGAAATTTTATTTCTTCTTAAATTGATAGGTATAACTAATTCAAAGAAGCTAAAAATCCATAAACTGTATTACTATATTAAGATATCATCTAATAAGTGAAAGACAAATATAACGAAGAAATAACTGAATACAGTATTACAAGCTTATATTTAAAAGAAGCAAATATAAAAATATGTAACCAAGATAATAAAACAATTAAAACTGTAATACCTGTATATCGTTAAAGAGTGTTTTCAATCACAAGTCATAATTCGGAGAAATACAAAGAATTATAAAAAATATTTGAAACATAAATCTAAACAAAACGAAAGAATAAATTTTAAGAAGATAATCTTGATAAATAATAAAATTAATTAATGCAACAAAATACTCGTATATTTTTTGATCTAGACTCCTATCAAAATAACACTAAATTAAATTTAAATAATCATTTAATCCACCGTGAGACATTTTAATATAAACCATACGATTCCTGAGCTAATTATATTAATAAATTAAATAAGGCAATATTATTTTATAAAGTAAATTCTATTTATTAATGTATAAAAAATAAAAAGCTAACAACATCCAACCAATAATATTAAATTTAAGTTTTTAATATAAACAAGTAATTAATTTTCGAGTTTCGCTTAAAAAAAATATAAATAGTGCTTATTATTTTTTAAATAAATGATATCGAAATAACTATAATTTTTTAAATGTTATTAACAGCAATTACTTTTAAAAATAAATTAAATATTGATTTTTAATTAAAATTTTCAATAAAAATAAACAACTTATAACTCAATTTAATAAAAATAGAAGTGCTTTTATAATTTATAAAAAAATAATATATTTAAATCTAGCAAAAAAGTAACATCAAAATGAAAAAATATCAACTTTGTAGGCAATATAAACAAATAATTTTTAATAACAATAACTAACTCTTTAATTGCAAATCTTAAATTATCATATTAATATATTTATTTTATAAATAATTAAATGATTAAAAACCTAATTTAATTTTAAACCACTTTTTAAATTAAAAATAAATAAATTAATTGAATTTGCTAATTATCAAAATTTATTTTGATTACTGTAATATACAATAATTTATAAGTTTAGAGCTTATTTTAATTATTAAAATTATATTTTTCACTAAATACTTTTGTATGTACTCTCTATAAATCCTAACAAATTTTTAAATAATTGATCAAATAAATAAGAATCGTTTTGAATTTTTGCTTCATTTTCATTCAATATTTTATTAATCATCTATTTATGATTCTGTAGACCATAGAGTTATATTGTCTTGTAATAGTTGCATAATTAAGGCTGTATCTTTATAATGCTCGTCCTTTATTTTATCTATATTTGCTATTGCATTTTAATAAGCCTCCTAAGCTGTTTTGACTGCTAATCCTATTTTAAAAATAAATTGAAAAAATGTGAAATAAAATAATCAAATTACCATCTTTTTCAGTTTTTTACAATATTTCATAATAAAATACTGATTAGTTCAGTAATAAACCTAATTTGATGGGATTGGTTGGATCTAAGGATTAAGCTTTATTATTTGCATCTTTGTAGGCATTTTAACAAGATTCTACTGCTTTATTATATTCATCATCAACTAAAAACTCTGCTAGATATCTGTTATAATCGCCTTTCATTTTATAATAGAAACAAGCAAATTCATCATCCTAGGATTTAGGAATAAGAGTATTATCTAAAGTGTTTATTATGTCAGAACAATATAAACGTAATTCTTTTTCTATCTTTTGCTTGTAATTTCTTATGTATTATAGATTGTTGGTAACTTCTTAAGATTGCTATTTGCGAGACTCTTTTTATTCAATAGCAGTTAACACTCTTAAATCTGCTCTTTTATTTCCAACTAAATTTTTATATGCTGCTGAAACAATAGCTCTTTCTTCTTATGTTAACTATCCATTTTATTAAATGAACTTTCCAACAAATTCTACCATCTCGTTGAATCTCTCTGTTTACTGAGCTAACTACGCTAAAAGTAAATAATCATCTCTCTAAAAATTTTTATCACTCATATTTTTGAATAGTTTTTATTGATTGATAAATATATGGTGTTTGCAAAATATTTGGTTGATCTAATTAGCTATTATCTAACTATGCTTAATTACTAAAAAATAAATTAATTTCGTTAAAGAATAATTTATTTATTTAAATTGGTTATGATTTCTAATTTTGAGTTTAGATATATATTTCAGTCAGTTTTATAATATCTAAGATATATAATAACAATAAATATTATCATATTTTAAAAAAATTTTTAAAAATAGCTATAACAAAAATTTAAGAATAGTTAGTTTAAACAAATAAAATAAATAATTTTTTTTAAAAAAATGTTTCTACTCTTTTCTTAGTTGATGCTTTTTAAACATACTGAATTAAAAAAGCAGAAATTTATTAAAAAAATAAAAATTTCAAAACATGAAGAAAAAAACCTGATAAAATAGAACATAAAATAGATATTAAAATTACAAGAAATAAATTTAATTATATGGCATAAAGATTACCTAAGAAAAACAGTTTTATAGAATAACTTAGAAAATCCAATTTTAAAAAGATAAATTTTAATTAATTTTAGATTGATTGATGGAATTAACTTAAGATTTATAATTTTAAAGTAAGATTTATAAGAATAAGATTACCCTGAAAAACGACCTCACGATTTAGTTATTGACATAAAATAAAATAATCTTTAAATTGTAACATAAAAATACCTTTAAACATTAGAAGACTGATCACTATTAGAATTTTTAAGTTAATTTTAAACCTTCTGGAATTACAATACCGACTGGCTATGAAATTGTAGGCATATTACTAAATTTAATACATAAATAGCTTCCTTACGAGAGAATTATAGGTGAAACAATCCTTCATAAAAATAATTGAATGTTAATAAATTTAATGTTAAAAAATATTTTATTTTAAATGTGTTTTCAGTCTATACTGAAAAAGTACTATCAATAAATATTGAATATTGATAATTTAAATGTCATAGATGCAACAAAATTTGATAAAAAATAATCAGAAGGAAAATATATAAAAGAAATAGAAATCCTTACCAAATTTTAGATAAGAATTTATTTTGTTTTAAGTAATAAAATATGTGAATCGACATTTAAAAATGTTTGGCATTTTATTTCCTCTTTCAATTGAAGATGTTTATCGGATCCTTCAAAAACATATTAATACATTAAACAAGTGAGAGAAGATTAAATAAATGATTGATACATTTATTAATTTTTTGACAATATATTAAAATTTTACAAATATTACATTCAATTAAAACTTCAAAAAACATTTGATTTTCACTTGATTTTTGCCAAATATAGAAAATTAAAAATAGATAAATTTAACCAGTTTTTGACATATGTAAATATTCTTTTATTTTTATTTTTTAACTTATTAATTTAAATATATTTGTACGAAATTAAATTTATTTTTAGTAAAGAAAGATAAATTATAAATATAAAATTATTACAATCTAACTTATTTAATTAAGAATTTTTAAAATAAATTTATTTCAATTAAGATTTTTAATAATTCATTAAATTTTCATTTAAAAGTTGTATGAATAATATAAATTTTCGATACAAAATTTGTGTAAATTTGATCACGTGGTTACTCATTATTTTTTTTGGAATTTATGAATTTTATTTCTTAAAAATTATTAGGATTGTAAGTAATACATTTCTTATGGTAAAATCTTATCAATTGGTGAGAAAAATAGTAAATTCTCTTTAATAATAATTATACTTGTTTGCAATTTTATATTTTTAAATTTTTTAAACTTTTGTTTCAAAAAGAAATTCATCAAACTATTTTATTATCTATCTATCTATCTATTTGATCTAAATTTGCATGATTGTATTTTACATTTAGATTTAAACTAGATGCTTTTCAATAATTTAATTACTAAATTATATACGTATTATACAAACTTTAATACTCTATTCATTTTACTGTTTAACATTTATAAACCAAATAATTTTTATTTCATAAGAAGGGAATAAATTAGTTTTTTATCACCGATTGATCTAAGAATATATTACAATTTACAAATTTTGGGCTTAAAATATCGTAAATCCTATAAAAATTTATGCTTGTATGGCTAATTAACTCTTAAAAGTCGTAATAAGGCAGAACAATCTAAACAAAAAAATCGGTTTATACGAATCTTTCTTTATCTGTATTCATGAAATATTTGAGTATTTTCTTGCTTAAGTCATGTAATTAAATTCAACTGATTTAATCAATTTTTATAATTAATTAATCAAACAAAGAAAAACAAAGCTTATTTTTAAAAATGAAGGGAACTAAATTCTTTTTATCACTCACACTTTTGCTTGCAGTAAGCTTAGTGGCTTTTAATGGCTATCTCATGTACAAATAAAGTAAATATGTCATGAGCTCCTCTGGTATTCCTTCCAAGGTATTTGGTCCTTATGTTTTTATATATGATGGCGTTTTTGATGAAAGAAATCAACTCAAGGGCGGTATTCCCCAATGGGTTATTAATGGTGGTTCTAACATCGCTATCCTTTCTTTCTTGGATCCTGTTGAATTAGAAAAGTCAAATGTTCCCCCACAATAATTTTTGGACTCTATTGCTCAAGTTAGCTCTAATGCTAATTATTACGTCATGTTCTCTGTTGGTGGTTGGGACTTTTAGAATCGTTTTACATAAACTAATCCTTAGACTGTCGCCTAAAATGCTGCCTATATGGCTAAAAAGTACAATATTGGTTTTGAAATTGATTGCGAAGCAGATAGTGGTGCTGCTAAAGAATGGATCAGCTCATTTATCAAAGCATACAGATAAATTATTCCTAAGGATGATGTCAATTTCTACTCTGTTTTGACCATGGATACTGGAGCATCCCCTGGTGCATTCTTCAATGTTGAAGCAGCTGCTCTTGAAAACCTTGATAGCTTAAACTGGGTAAATGCAATGGTTTATGATCCTGAATTATCTCCTGATAATAGATAATTCTGGGACTATCACAAAATACCCCCTAACTAATTCACTGTTGCTAGAAATTTGGTTAATACTTGTGATGATTTGTAAAATTTACTCCCAACTCTTTCATATCAAAAGGATGGATAACCAATTAGAGGTATTCTTTTCTGGGCTGCCCTTTCTGGTGCTACTTGTGACAGTGCATAAGAAGGTGCTCATAACTGCGGTACTAGCTGTGTTGACTGCACTGGTGGTGTTGGTACTAAAGGTAACTGGTCTTGTCCTGCAGTTGCTTCTGCTTGCAAAACCTATGGTGCATGCAATTGAACAATACATGAATGATAAATAAACTATATATAAAATAGTATAAAATAATCTATCAATGATTTTTATTCAATATTTATATAGGTAATAAATTTGTTTAATAAAATAATTAAAATATTAAATTTCTCAAATATATTAAATTAAAATACTGAATAATTACGATCAAAAATATTTATTTTACTATAAACTACCACTTAGTATCTAGGTTAAAATTTAATTTTGATATTACAACTTCTACTAAGGTTTATATTCAATTAAATTTTTTTGAATTAGTTTCTTACTAAATTTAAATTAAAAAAATTAACAAATCTAGTAATTAAACTAATTAAAAAATTTTATTTTTTTATTAATCTATTTTGAAATAAATGATTTATTTTTAATAGAAAAATTTTATAAAAAAAGATTGTAGTTTTTGTAAATGTAAAATATGATTTATATACATTTTTATATGACTAAGCAATCTTCTCTCTCTACAGTGTTGCATTTGAAAAACTGTTTTAATTTTCTACTTTTTTTATTCATTTTCAAGAAAAAAAATCACAATAGTTATGTGTTTATCAATAAGATTTTTTTATTTTTGAAATACTATTTCTTAACAGCATCTAAATTCAATAAATATTTAGATTTTTAATAAGTTTCTTGCTGTGGAAATATTTTTTCAGCTTATTTAATTGAATAAACTAAAATAATATAAATTTTATTTCCAAAAAATTCAAAATTACTTTTTAACATAACAAAAAATCTAGTTTCAACCTGTTTTCAAAAAAATAAATTTTAGTAAACAAATTAGCTAAAAAAATATATTGTAAATATCTGCATAAATAATAAAAATTATTTTTACATTTAAAATAATTAATAAAAAGTATGTATTTATTGTCATATCTTAACTAATTTAATACTTTGGGAGAAAAAAATAATAATAAATTTCAATATATGAATATTTTTGTGTTTGAATAACATAACATAAATGTGAAAATCAATAATATTTTTTAATAAATTTAAGATTTTAATTTTCAAAGAGGTATCTATCTATCTTTATTTCTGACTTCAAGAATTCACCAGTACTATATTATATTAATTAATTATTATTTTAATAGATCAATATACATATTATGAAAATTTACATGAGTACTTTCTTATGAGTATTGAGTTATCCTAAATTATTTACTTAAGATAATAATTCACTGTAAAAAATTGTAACTTTCCTCATCTTAATCATTTGATTATTATTCACTAAAGCATTTGTTTTATTTTATAGTAAATTATTTATTTTTTAAAAAATCTTGAATTATTTAATAAAAATGTACCCCTATTTTGATAAATTGAGTTGAGGATATTGCTGGCTTTCAGAAAAAGTCTAATTTTAGGCATTTGAATATAAACCATTTATTTCTTGATGATCATGATTTGATAATTCACTATAGCTTTTATTTTTTAGTAAATTATTATTTTTTTTTTAAATCTTTAATTATTTAATAAGAATTTACTCATATTCTGGCAATAAATTTTGAGGAACTTCAAATTGCGGGCTTTCATAAGAAAAATTATTTTGGCTATTTGAATTTGCATCGTTTTCAAATTAAGGAAAATTCAAGCCTTGTTAGCTTATAAAATTTAAAATATTTTACAATTCTTAATAAATTTAATAAATTATTTACTTATTGTTTTCTTAAAAATATTAATCTGAATAACTAGTATAAGATTAGATATCATCTTGGTGAATATTGAAGCCAGTTGCAGTAAATTATTCATTATTTGAATAAATTTGGTTATTATGGGTATATTGGGTCTAATTAAGCTAAATATTTTGTTGTTAGGAGTTATTATGGTTAGAAGATAAGAGAACGGAATAAGCAGGTGAACCCTAAATCTGAGTAGGATTTTAATTCTAAGAATTGTGCATAGACTAATCTTGAGATTATGAGAATTATTCTAGTTTCTTTTTTAGATAATAGCAGTACTTTAAACTAATTTTAGGGTCATTAAAATAATTAATTAAAGTAGCTCGTAGAGTACCTGCAAATTTTTTATCCTGAAAGTCTAGTGGGATTCCTTCCTATTAAAGTAGATTATAAACTTCATTGATTGATTTGAAACGATGTTATCTACCAGGAGATCGCAAAGGTGGATATATATTTCTCAGTTTTATTCGACGAATAGTAGAAACAGATAATCCAGTTAGATTACGTAATTCTTTTAAAGGTTTATCTTGGTTATTCAAGATAAAATTTACTTATTAAGGCAATGCTCTTCTCATTTTAATTTTTTTAATTTACTTTTCTTTAAAGTATCTATGTAATTATAAATTATATAATAATCAATCATATATTTTAATTATTTAATGGAAGGCTATTTTATATATACTAACTAAGTAAAATGTCTTTCAGACTTAAGATATATTAAACCTTTTTTCAAACGCAACAACAGACAAAGAAGATTATATCTTAATTGTTTTTACTTTGAAAAATTATTTTAACACCTTAAAAAATAGAAATCGTGTTTTACTTAAATATGATACACAAGGGAAGAATTCAAAACTTAGAAAAAAATATGTATTAAAATTGGTTCAATTATCAAAAAACTTCTTCGACCGACCTCAAAAACAAAATTAAAATGTAAAAAATAATCAAACAAAAATATTAATAATGAGATAAACACTTAATTTTTTAATAAATAAATCATTAAATTAGAATGCATACATGTATAAAATATAAATAACTCAAATGCAATAAAAACATTTATATATAAATTAATTAAAGGGATAACTTAAGGATATTGATAGATGATAAGTAATAGATAGATAAACATTTTCATTTTATCTATCCAATCATTCATCAAGCCATCTAATTTTTTTACCCTCTTTCCACTCTCCTTCTCTTTCTCTACCGTTTGAACCTTTATAAAATCCTCTTCCATGCTATTTTCCATTCTCCCAATATCCTTTATACACTCTACCATCTGGCCAGTAAAATTCCCCTAATCCATGTTTTCTATTTTAAAGAAATTTTTGTTATTATTGAATAATTATGCTAATATTACTTATCATCTATATATTCTCCTATATATTTTCTTCCATCTTTCCATGTAAAAACACCCTTTCCGTGCATTTTATTGTCTCTCCAAGTACCGTCATACTCTCTACCATCAGCCCATCTATATTATAGTAATTAAGTTAAATAAATTAATGATTAGGCAATTATTATATCATCAAGTGTAATATTTTCTTACTTGTAACTTCCTCTGCCATCTATATTATTATTTTAGAATTCTCCCTTATATATACTACCATCAGCCCAAGTAAAGACACCATGCCCATGCTTCATACCCATAAAATAATTTCCTTCATAGCTAGCTCCATCTATCCATTTTTCGACTCCAAATCCATGCTATTTATCTTCAAACCAATCACCTGAATAACTAGCTCCATCTCTATGAATATAAACACCTTTGCCATGAGCTTTATCATTTAGCCAATTTCCTTCAAAGACATCTCCATCTGCATGTATAAGTCTACCTTTTCCATTAGCCATATCATTTTTCCAATAACCTTCGTATTAAGACCCATCACTCCATACTTATTTACCTCTTCCCCATCTCTATCCGTGCTTCCACTATCCGATGTAAAAACTTTTGATTTCAAAAAAAAATAAATAAATATTTTTTTAAAAGTGAAAAAGAAAATTAGAAAAAGAGAAAAAAAGAAAAAAAGAATGCAAATTTTATAGATTTTAGAATATTAATCAGAAAGGTTTTAGATTGCCTCAATATTCTTTATATGATTATTTTTTTAAACATTAACTAAATAAAAAACTTGATAAAGAATTAACTTTTCAAAAAATTCATTAAAATAAATCAAGTCGATCTATAAATTTTTTTAAATCTGCTTTCTATTACTTTTATTAAACTAAACATATTTTAAATCTCTAAATTAATTTAATCTATTTTAGTTGCTGATAATAAAATCATTTTTTTAGCTTGGCTTTTTATTTCAAAAATAAACTATTTTATTTGCTATTAACTGTCAAATTATTAATAAAATCTTTAATAATTACGCATTGTTTTCCATTTCACATGGTCCAAAGAATGGTAGGTCAAGGAATGACTCTTCTTCATCTTAGTCATATACGAATTCGCCAAGTTTTTCCAGCACTTCTCTTGTAAATTCGTTTGAAAAATCAGGAAGTTAATCTAATTTATTTAAATGAGGTGGAATGTGATCACCGGTTTCATCTAATTTATTTGCTGACTATCTGTTGCTGTTCACTGATTATTATTAACCGTTTTAAAACCCTTTTGAAGCAGATAGTGGGTTCAACCTTTCTTTTTTGGTTGAAGAATTTAACTAATCCACTCTTGAGCCTGCTAAAGATTGATAATCGTCATGCTTTCCAGACCTTTTTACTTTTTCAGTTTCTTTATTTTAAAATACATTTTCTTTTCCAAATTCATTTTCATCATATTATTCTTTTTCCATGTTTTAAAAATTTTCTTGGATTCTCTTTTTCTTTTAGAGATTGACTTCTGTGTTTTGATCAAATTCTTATGTATCTTCGCAAGCAGCACAGTTACCCATTTATTTATTCTTAATATTTGAAATATCTAGTCTATCTTTAACCTTTTATCTATTATCTATTTATTTGTTGAAGAGCTCTACTTTTAAACAAATTTTAATTGCTTTTGCTTCCACTATTTTTACGATTTATAATATTTGAATATATTAATTTATAATTTTTGAATTTTTTAACAGAAATTTAATTGTTTCCTATTATAGTCCTTAAAGGTGTGTAAAACAATCTTTTAAAAAAGAACCTCTTTAACTAATTTTAGAGCAATATAGATAAAATATTAAAAGGAAATTATTTGAATCTTTCTTTAATAGAAAATAATAACAACTTTAAATAGCACACAAAATTAATTTGTTATACAATTCATTTTTATTACATAACTTTTTTATACTATATTTATGAATATTATTTTATAAATTAATTTAAAATAATAATAATAATATCAAAGAAAGGCATCATGATTTTTGAATTCATTTTATGGAATACAAAGAAACATCTGCAGCTGAGTCAACTTCCATAATTTCTGCAAGTTTGCTCATATTGCTTTACTTGTTATCCTCTTTGAATATAACAGAAAATTATTAATTTAATCCATATATGTTAATCATTTCAATTTGTGTTATCATAAAAGAACAGAAAATTAGAAGCAGTCCTATGTAGGCAATAAAATAGCCATTGTTTATATAAGAAAAATATATTAATAAGGGCATAAAGGCTTGTAGGAATGTGCTTAAGGTATCTCCAAGTCCAAGAGTAATTTTAAAATATTAACTATGTAAAACAAATTATAGGAAGTAGGTTTTTATAGGAAAAAATAATTCTAAACAGAGCTTGGTGATAATTATAGGAAATATCAATCCTTCTGAAAATTATTACATCCAAAAAGTCAGGCAGCACATTGATCCTGATATCAAGAATAAATAGAGTATAACTTTTTTCAAATCTAAATTGATAAGAATAAAACTTGCAATATAGTTAGAGACTATTTCTATGAGAACGATTAAAGTTAACTTTAGATAGACATCACCTTATATAAAAACAAGCGATATATATAAGCTGTAGTTTGCGATATTAGCAGAAACCCAGCAAGTCAAGAATATAATTATATTTAATTTTTAAGAGGGATCTCTCTTCAGTTAAAGCCATCTTACCCTCATTTCTTGTTTTATAGTTTGTATGTTTGTTGATTAAATTTAAGTAGTTGGCTGCAACTGGACTAAAGTCTAGTAAGAAAGTTAATTGGTTATTTGATTTTAAGAAGTTGGAATCATAGTTTAGCTATATTTTTATTTTTCAAAGTCATCTGACTAATCCTGTTTGAAGGCAATTGAAGGATTATTAGAATTTGTTAAATTAGTATTGTTTGTCTAATTGTTATTTTAGTGCCTAAAACTGTTTTGATTCTATAGTTCGTCTTCTTTAAGATGTTTGAAGCTTGCTATTTCTCTTTTAGCTGAGCTTCCTACTGAATCTTAGCGCTCAATAGTATTATTTACTAGTTAGCTATTATAATGTATATTTTACTTTGTGCTTTTAACTTCGTTTTCTACTGTTTGCATTTGATTATTTACAGTATTATTAGCATAATTTGCTTAATCAATAATATTTAAATCACTATTCATAATGAACTACTCTTACTATTTTTTAAGCTACTCAGGTGTTATATCATTGTGCATGTATTTTTGTTTTAAATTCTCATAAATATTACTTTTTGAATGTTTTATATTCTTTTTAGTTCCATCCGTTTCATTTGTGTGGTAGCTATCTAAAACTTTGCTATGGTCTTAATTCTTCGATCCTCCTTCTAGAGGACTTTCTGCCTCATTAACAAATTAATTTGTCTGTTAAAATGTTAACAGAAAATCCTCAGTTTAAAAGCGACTAAGTATAAAAGTTTATTAATTTCTTGTTTCAGCATCATAATCTTCATTGTATTCTGCAACATCACTATCAAAATAATAATAGTGCTTGGCTTACAAATCCTATGTATTTGGTTATCTTATACTTGTTTACTTAGGTATTTCGTCTTTTTAGGATTTGGCTTATTAAAATAATCTATATTAAAAGTAGAACGCTATAGTCAAACATATAATTAAGAATAATTGTGGAAGTCCATTAAAGTAAAACATAATTTGATGCCAATCAGCAAAGAAACGAACAAAGATTAAGAATCCAGTCATCACAAAAGACCATATAGTATGATATATTGTAGAAGAGTATTTTGCTAATAAAGTACCATATTTCTATCCAATAAAATTATAAATAGAAGAGTAAAAAAATGATTATCCAAAATTCCATAGTGCTAGTATAATACCTGCTTAATACCACTACTGAACCAAAGGCGCGCATAGCAAGGCAACAGTTTAAATGAATAAACATAATATAATTTATTTCATACTTTTTTAACCATAGATATCGTTTTTATCATTAGATGATATTTTTGATGAGTCACCAATTAAAAAATTTGTTAAAAACCCTAAGAACAAGCCAGATGCCATCATACTCAAAACAATTAATTTTTAATATTCTAAATTACAATACCATGAAAAAGTTTAAACCATGCTCTCAATTTAATCATACCCTTCATAAAAATAATACTTCCCATGAAATGATTCTGAGCAAGGATTACATTTATCTGTTCTGGAATCAAACTAATAAGTTAAGTTAAAAGTGGGCTTTTCCATTTTTTAATTTGATGAATTTTAGATTATTTTAGAATGATAATGGGTTATCTACTATTTCTATTCAAACTTATGAGATTTATATATATTATTCTTTTAACAGATAATTTGAGGAGTATAAAAATTAATCAGTATGCTACTTTAAACACAGCCATTCAAGCCGAATATCAATCCTAGGCAAATGAATGATAATATAGTAAACGAGTCATATCTTTTCCAAAGAGTTTTTAACATTTATTTGTATGTATTAAATAATAATATTTTTAATTAATATCTTAATTACTATTTTGATTGTTTAATTGGCTTTTTGATATATATATTCAGTTAAAGTTTTTATGCTTAATTTATTATAATCTATTGAAATTACCATTAATCAAACTATTTAACAAATTTTAAGCAACTTTTTTGTTATTAAAGTTATTAAATATGATTAAATAAATAGCTTTTAACTACTACTAGAAAACTGTTTTCTAAAATTTAATTCAACAATATTTTTTACCATGTTTTTACAAATAAATTTTATTATATTTTTAACTTATTTAAGGAATAACTTACTTGTATTTTTAATATATATATTTCATGTAATTTTAACTATTTTATATTTATCCATTCATTGAAAATTCATTAAAATTAGTATATAGCATTATCTACAACATTGTTAGATTCAAACAAATTCTTTAAAAATAAAAGCTATTTTCTAATGAAATAAAAATATTTTTATGGTTAATTTTTAACATAGACTTTAAATAATTTATTTAATCAGTTTAGTTATTTTGTAAGATTCGGAATTTTAAAGATATATTTTAAGAAATTTAAATTCTGATTATATTAGGCTAATTTATTTATATTGTCATCAGAGCATGATATGTTTTTATTTATTTTTCTCACCTCATGTTAAACAGTTAATTATGTGTGATATACTTAAATTCTAGACTTAGTTTTTGTTAGATATCCAAATTATTAGTTAATTTAGTTGACATATAAGTAGATATTTTATTACAAGAGATAGTTTTTGAGATTTTTTATTTAGTTTAACTAATTTTATTTATGAAATATTTATTTATAAATAAAATAGATTTTATGATATTTTATATAAATTTTGAAATTAATTATTATCATCTTTTTTACTCAAGTTTTTAATTTAATTTGTATTATTTAATTTCTAATTTTTCAATGGATTTTTAGTTCTTTCATTTGATTATGAATTGAGAGAGCTATGATATTTGTTTGGTCTTTTTTATTGAAGAGTTTATAAATAATTAAAATTTAATTAAAGTGAATATTTTTTTAATTTAATTTCTTTAAAATATTTTTGAAGATCTCTACACTTACATAATTTGGATTTATGATTGATACTTTGATGATTATTTAATTTTTTGTATAAAACAATCTAGTTTTTAATTCTGTGTTATTTTTTTATACTCTGTTTTATTATGTCTATTAAACTTTAATTTAAATTCAGAAACAAGATAATTCTTTAATTAAAATTTCTTTAGAATTTATAAGCATATTCAATAAAAAAAAATTCTTAATTGTTATTAATTGATTGCTATAATTTATCGATCAAAATTTGAATAATTTACTTCTAAAAAGGCGCACTTTTAGAAATTATCTAATTGCTTTGAATCAATAGTTAAACACATTCTCATTAGAATTTTATGGATAAACAGGCATAATTAGCATTATAATTAATTTTAATTTGAAAAATATCAAAAAATAAAATCTGGAAAAAAAAACTTAAAGCAAAGGAAAACACTGATATAAAAAGGGCCCACTTCAATTATTTCTATGAATTAAAAATTTCTTCAAGAGAACAGAGATTTAATTAAAAATCTAGTATAATAATTATTATTTTATTAAATTAGTTTGATTAAATATTTATATTAAGTATGAGGAAAATAAAATGCCTTAGGTCTAAAGATAATTATAGATCATTAAAGGAAAGAAGGTTAAATATTGGAAATTATATGAGCTTACTAGCAAAAATATAATTCGTAAAGATAAGCCTGGTCCTAATAGAATGATTGAAGTGGAGTGGCACATAAATAATAGACAAATAAAATCATTCAAAGATTTTTGTTAATGTGCCAAAGATTATTTGTAGGGAAAGGGTATTTTTGATGTAAAAATATAAAGCCTCAGAAACCGTTACAAAGACCATAAAAGGATAGTCAAAAAACATGAGTTAAATTATTTTATATTTAATACACTAAAAATATAATTAAATATTTTTATCAAAAAGACATCTAGATCAAGTTTTAAACTTTTGATGCCTTTTTATAAAGATTAAAATTAACTTTCGCAATCATTAATTGCATTATCTTGCAAAAAGTATCAACTTTTCCTTATTTATATCAGTACTTAAGCATTTTTAAAATTTACAAAGCTAACAAACTGGATTCATAATAAAAATGAAAGTTAGGGATTTTAATAATAATTAAATTTAATAGAAGCTTTATTAAAGAAAAAATCAATCTAGTCTGATTTTTTAGGAGGTATTATTATTAATAAGGAAATAAATTATTTGTTAGGCTGATATTTATTTTATGTGTGTTTCTTAGTGAGTATCACATTAAAATAAAACACTTTTATTTTTTTTATGTGAAAAACAAAAAAAGCTCATAAAACAAGGATTGTTATTTACTTATTTTTTAAACAACTATGATGTAGAATTAATATTTATTTATCAGAATTTAGCATTTTCGTTTAGTTTTTTTTCCTTGTATAAACAATTCTCATTTACTATTTAAAATAATTTTTGCTTTTGTAAAAATAACTTAAAGCTCTTTCATCTTTTTATCTTTTTACAAGAAAAAATAAGATTAAGATAAACAATATTTCAACCAATAATTTAAAAAGAAAAAAAAGAAAAAATGAAAGACCTAAAATCTTCAAAAAGTTAAATCAAAAAGGGCTAAGAAAAAAATTGGACCCTTAATTCTAATTTAGGATCAGAGGCATCTCTAAAAAATAGAGAGAAGATGAAAGAGCTTAAAAAAGTATTACTTTTTATTAGCCTCATTTGCTTATATTTTATAGCTTAACAAAGCAAACTATAAACCTTTTTGTATATAGGACGCAAAATCTGTACGGGAAATTATAAATGAGTTTGGAATTTCTAAAGCTCACTTGCATAGAATAACCAGTGAAAATTACACAGGCCCTCAAAGTAGCATATAATTATTTTATTAATTTGTTTTAAATATTCATAAAAATAATAGAAAAAGGTAGAAGATAGTATCTTACTGATGATCTAAGATTTACAATCTTAGATAGAATTTTAAGGAAAATGAAAGATGACACCTAAAGGACTAACTTCTTAAATATGAAGCCAAAAGAGTTTATCTCACTTTTAAGAAAGGACCCTATAATAATAGATTTAGAGGGGTAGGGAAAGGGTAACAGAAGTACTAACTTTTTCTACCCCGAGTGCAAACGCTTCTAAAGTCTTTTTAAAGAAAACCAAAAAATCCTATAAAAGTATTAAATTATATATTATAATTTTTTTTTTACTTAAATGCGAGACATAAAAATTGATTGAAAATAATAAAATAGCTATAACACAAAAATCAATGCTGAGCCATATTAGGCTCAAACCCAAAACTAATATTAGGAATCTCTAAATTAATAGGGTAATTTATTTATTACTTTAAAAAATTAATTATTCGTAGATTTTTTTTTTAAAAATATTTTTTTAAATTAATTTAGATTCCTCCTTAAACGAGTACTTCGATTCCACCGAAAGTGCTCTATCTCAAAATAATAGTATTTTATTAAATGCAAAATCACGATATAAATTAATATTTTATTAATAAAGCTTAAATGCGCGAACAACTATTCTAAGCTAATTAAAATAGTTACTATTTACCTAGTAAAGATTTCTAAAATTTTTATTTTAACATAATCTAGAAAATTTTTCATAATATAGATTAAAATTTTGGTGATGAACAATGCTAATCTTATGAAACTAATTAATTTGGAAATCAATCTAATATATTTATCCAAAGAAATTGTAAATTATATTTTCCACTTATTTTTATTAATAAAATAAAATAATTTAAAATATTTTTTATTTAGAATACGAAGGTTTTTGCAATGTGAATTACCTAAATAATTAATTCAATAATACATGTAATTTTATTTTTATAAAAAAATAAAAATAGCAATATAATTAATTTATTATAAATAAAGCATAAGCCTAAAACTAATCAGAAATTATATCAAATTCTAATGAAGATTGTTTAGAAGATATTTCTAATTTCCTCAATTTGTAGGAAATTAGAGGAGGATAATTTAATGATGATCAATGATGAAAAAAAGGCTATACCAACAAATTTTATTAATTTGCTAAATATTAAAATAAAATAAAATAATTTATGTTTATTCTAAAATAAAAAATTATAATAATGAATTAAAAATTAAAAAAATATATTTATTATTTTTTGTTAGTAAAAAAATAAATAAATAATTTTATTTTATTTATTTTATTTTTTTTAATTTAATTAAGTAAATTTGACAAATACTTTCAATTTTTTACCTAAATATGATAACATAACTAGGTTATAAATTTTCTTTCCTATAGGTTCTTATTAAATTTAATTATTAAAAAAATACTTCTTTTATATGGGCGAATAATAAAGGTGAAGGCAAAGTAAAACACTGATATACTAAATAATCCTATAAAAGTAATTTTTAAAATTATGAAATTCTATTTAAATTGTCCATGTTTTTTATACAATAGCTATATGATTTCTCTTATCTTGTAATTAGACTACCTTTTTTTGCAAAAATTGCATATTTATTGATAAATTAATGATTATTCCTACTTAAAATCTAGCTAACCATATCCCTCTAATCCCCTCCTTTAATATATAAATATGGAGAAAAAAATTAAATGTCGCGGTCTCTTTTTTTTTTGGTAACTATTAAATTATTTTAATGTATTTTTAACTAATGGCTTTAATTTTTTGGCTCTATTTTAACATCATTTATAAATTTTAACAATTTATACTTGATATGATATTTCTTAGATTTTTAAGCTATTTAAACAAAATATTTTAAATATTTTTTCTTATATAATTAAAAGTAAGATGAACCTAAAATAATATTATTATCGTCTAATTAAATAAGTTAAAATAGTTTATAAAAAAAAGTTAAATAGGATTCTCATTATTGTTGCAATGAGTTAATTTTCTCCTATATGTTTTATACGGGCTAATAAAAAATGGGAAAGCAAAGTAAAACACTGATATACTAAATAATCCTATAAAAGTAATTTTTTTAATTACGAAATTCTATTTAAATAATCCATCTTTTTTATAAAATAGCTATAGGTTTCTCTTATCTTGTAATTTGACTACCTTTTTTTGCTAAATTGCCTATTTATTTAAAATATTTATTATTGTTTCTACTTAAAATTTAGCTAACCATAAGCCTCTAATCCCCCCTCCTTTAATATATAAATATGAAGAAAAAAAAAAAAAATGTTTCTGTCTCTATTTTTTATGGTAAATATTAAATTATTTTAATTTATTTTTAACTTGATGGCTTTAATTTTTTGGCTATATTTTAATATCATTATTTAATGATTACAATTTATACTTGATATGATACTTCTGAGATTTTTAAACAACTTAAACAAAATATTATAAATATTTTTCTTATATAATTAAAAATCCATCAATACCCTTTAAGTAAGATACACCTAAAATAATAATATTATTGAATTATTAAATTTGTTAAAATAATTAGTTAAGGGGCAGTGCCAAAACGAATAATACTATTTGCAAGGCACTTTGAAATCAAATAGATAAAAAAAAGAATGAAGAAAATAAATTAAAAAAAAGACTTTAAGACAAAAAAAAAAAAAAAATACTTTAAAATATGTAAACAAAATATTATTTATCTTTTTATTTTTGAAATAGCGAAAATGATAGCATTAAAAATATAATTATGAAAATATTTAGTGAAGCAATTAGCAAACAGTAATAAATTTTAATAATTAATAAAAAAAATATTTTAAATAAACAGAAATATATTTTTATTATTATTATTATTATTTGATAGGTTAATTGATATTATCGATTATGTAATGCTTTAATCAAAAGAGCTATGATATTGATTTGATTGTCTTTTATTTAAAAATAATTAGCTGTTTAGTTAGACTACCTTATGTAATTAGGATAAATAAAAATTTAGGTCATGGATGATTTTTACTAATTTAATTTTAAAAGTTAAATGCTTTATCCTAAGATTTAAATTTCCATAGTAAATTTGCTTGTTTTATGTCTTTTTTAACTATGCAAAGAGGGATAATGATGCCAAAAATTTAACGATTTTTTGACTAAATATTTAACAGATGATATTTATTAGCGTCTATCTAATTATATTAAAATCCCTCTTTGTTTAAACATGCTAAACAATTATTTATTCATTCTTATAATTTTAAAAGCTTTATTAGAAATTATTACTTTTAAATTTATTAAGTTAAATTAATTACTCTAGTATATATTGATAAGCTAAAATTCAATGTTTAGGCCTTTTTTATGATGAGGGGTTTTTCTGAAATTTTAGTTTTATTAAATTCCTGATTATCTAAACCAGCTAGACATACACAATTATTAAATATTCATTTTTATATTCTTAAATATTTTTATTAGAATTATTTATAGTTTTATTAAATTAAATTATTTATTTATTCTGTTTAAAAAAAATAAATCATAATTAAGTGTTTATGTGTTTTTTATGATCAGGAATTTTTCTGAAATTTTAATTTTCTGATTTTAAGCCATTTGCTAAATAAAATTCTCCATTTAAAGCCTTTCCATCATCAAATTCTCCTTCAAATCTCACACCATCTGTAAAATAGTAAATTCCCTTCCCATTAAAATTATTGTCTTTAAAATATCCTTCATATCTTTCACCATTATGAAATTTAAGAGTGCCTTTCCCATTTTTAGCATTTTAGAAATACTCTCCTATATAAATTGTACCATTAGCCCATTTATACATGCCGTGACCTTCCCTTAAGTTATTTTTCCATTCTCCTGTATACTTATTACCTCCTAAATAGTAATATACTCCTTTTCCTTCATATAATCCATCCACAAACGATCCTTCGTACCTATTACCCTTGTGAAAATACATCTTTCCTTATCCATGAGGTACTTTTTATTATACTTCTCCAATATAATATCCATTAGGAAAGAAAACTATATCTTATTGTGAAACTTTTGATTACTTGGATTAGGAATCTAGCTATTATGAGGTTTTTCTATTTCTTTATTATTCATTTTTTTCTTCAATTTATTTATCTGACTGTGGGTAACTATTAGTAGCATTAGTTGTTAATTGTTTAACTATGGTCTTTTATTCAAAATCTTTTTCTTTTACTTATTAAATTTTAATTTCTTTTTAGTCTTTTTTTAATAAATTTTCATTTATTTCATCTAACGAAATATCAGACTCACTGCTTGGTAAGTTATCTAAATCTATTTTGTTACTTCCTAGTTCATTTTAATTTGAGTTTTCCTAGTTATCATCTTCAGTGTCAAAGTATTAAGTAGTTATTTCATATTCAATTGGTTAATTTTAGCTGTCAGAATTGACAGCAGTCCATTAATTTAATTTATTGTCATAAAATTTCGATTTTCTGTATGCAGGAGTACAATTTTGGCTATCATCATTAGATTAAGTCTAAACACCTTTGTCTTCCTTCTGATTAATTTGCATTTTATTTTATTTGTATTTTCTAAAAGATTCTTGAACTAAAACAACTAAGTAAATTATGTAAAGCACCACTTTACTAAAACTCTTTTAAAAATACAAAAACATTTTTTTTGTATTGGTGAATAAAAAATAAAAAAAACTTTTGGTTTAAGCAGAATTTTAATGGTTATTATAACTAGTTGAAGAATTATCAATTTTATTTAAGTTATTTTAACCATTTTTAAATTAGAATTGATTAGTTTCAATAGAACCTCCATCTAAAAGGCATTTTATCTAATTGTAAGATTATTCTAATATTTCAACTGATTAATCAGCTCTTAAAATTTATCTATCGTTTTTTATTAAATTTAAGGCTATTTCAAATAAAAAGTGGTATCTACCTTCTAATTTATCCTTAAGTAGTAATAGCTGATCAATATTCCTACTTTATAAATTTATTAATTCTTCAATTTTGTTTTCAACCCTTAAACCTATTATATCTAATAATACCACTCCTAGACTGTATAAATCTGATTCATTAGATGGGCTTTGTTAATCAAGTTACTCTTTTGAGCTGTAATATATAGTGAAGGGATCATAAAAAGCATGCTTCAAGTTATTATATAAAAACTTAGAAGCACCCTGATAAGAAAATTTTAGTGTATAAGAGGAATCTATCAAAAAATTAGATGGGTTTAAATCTCCGTGGATAATATTTTTTTAATGCAAAATAAGTAATGACCTAATAGCTTATGCACATAAATCATAGGTAGTTTGTAGGCTAAGATTTTAATCTCTCCTAACAAAATGATATAAATCTCCATTGATGCAGAGATCCATAATCACAAAAAGCATTTCTGTTTGCTCATCATAATAAATTTGGTGTATTTTGAGCAAATTTTTATCTTCTTAATCTTAAAACATTATAAATTACTTTTAAAGATCTTTTAACACAGCTTAATTTCTGCAAGTCTATACTTTGATAGCAACTTCAGTATTCAAAGTGGAGCTAAAAGCTTTAAAGACTACACTATATTTGCTGCAAGCAATAATGTCAAGGACATCATAATCCTTCTAAAATAGGTAATTATTAGCTTAGAGTACTTAGCTTGTAGATAAATTGCAATCTTGGCTTTACTTGTAAATGTTCTAAAGCTATTCATCATCTAAGGATTAATTTTTGTTTTATAAATTTTCCATTTTGAACAGTTCTATTAGCTAGCTCCTATTTGTTTTTTATGTATGTGTCTGCTATTACAATCTAAATAATATTTGCTAATTGAAAAATCTTAAAAGTAAAATTACTTTGAATTTTTATTTAATTAAATAATGTTTAATTTTTGATTCGCTTTCTTACTAGTTTTAGATAGTAATAACAAATTCTGACACATGTGTCATGTTTTATCGAAGGTATACTCAAATTTATTATAAGACTACCTATTTCAACATAATTTAAAATAGATTTAGCTCATCTAATTATAAAATTAAATTGATTAAAAATAATAATAAATGCAGAAAACTTTGAAAGCAACACAAAACTAGATTATAATTTATATCGTTTTTATCACTATTAAAAACAATTATATTTTTTTTATAGTTTATTCTATATTTATTAAATGATGTATTTGCTTTTTATTAGTTATTTAGTTGTTAGTTAGCTAGTTAACTATCGAAACAGTGGTCTATTTATTTATTATAAAGTATTTTTCGCAATCTGTTTATTTATTTTTATTTTCAAAAGAATTTTTTGAACTTTTGTTTAATCAATTAATAAGATTTAACTTAAAAGCAAATAAATCTTTTAACTTAATTTAAAATATATTAAATTTAACTAATTATAAAATTATATTTATTGAAGATAATATTAAATGCAGAAAATTTAGTTAAAAATACAAAATTATATTACAAGTTATTCATTTATCATATATAAAAATAATTTTAATATTTATTTTAGTTTAAAGGTAATATTTTAGTGTATAAAATTTATTTAGTTAGTTAGTTAGTTTCCTGTTTATTTATTTATATAAAAGTATTTTTAATAATTTATTGATTATTTATTTTATTTGTAAGTATTATTTCCTCATTCATTTTCTCAATCAATCAAAATAGTTACTTGTCAAATTTGGTTTTAGATGAAGTTGGTTGATTTATAATGTATGAATTTTTTTAATTCCTCTAAATTTACAGTTGTGCCCCACTTTAAGGATTAGGTTTAAAAATAGTGAAGTCATCTTCATTTTTATTTTGGTTAAGCTAAATTGAAAATTAATTTTATTGTTTGTCTTGAGAAACAAGAGGATTAATGAATTAGTTTCTGTTTATGTTAGGATTTTATTATTTTTAAACATTCATATTTTATTATTAATTATAGTAAGGAAGTTAATGATTTTCAACATAGTTAGATTCCTTGATGCGTTTGGTTGCGTTTTCTTTGAAGTAATTAAAATTTGAGAAGTCTGCTGTTATGTTTGCTTAATCACTCTTTCTTTTGTTGAGAAAACTTTCATTAACATAGTTATGATTGCTTTACTAAGAAGAAGCGATACTGTATATTTGATTAGATTATGCAAAACTGTTATTTAAATTATTATGTAGGTGTTGTTAATGTTCCATTTCTTAGTTAATGTTAATCTTTTTTTTATTTGCTTTTAAAGAAGAATTGTTGTTGACAGGTGCTTAGGGTTTTTTAAATACTTATTACTATTAGTAATCTTCATTTCTTCTATAAATGTTATTTTAAATTGGAAGTTCTTACTCTGCTTCCATTTAATCATTATAATTATCTATTAAATGCATATTATTTGTCAACCCATTGATGTGACTTTAAATGCTACCATAGCTATTTAAAGGGTTTTAGAAGTCGCTATTTTCTTAGTATGGAATTTATCTTCTTTAATTAACAGCATATGTCTCTTATTATTGAGAATCATCAAAACGATTTGGTACAGCATTAGCTTAATAAGCATTTTAATTATTGCTTCTTGAAATTTTAGGTTATTAAATGACTGTAGTGCTTTCATTTAGGTATATTTATTGCTGCATTTATACCTGTTATCTTTGAGCATCAAATGGGTTTTGCTTGTTATAATCTTCTTCGTCCTGTTCCATAATTGATTTGAATTGGGAAATAAAAGTAAAAGATTCATTTTTTGTTCTAAGAGAGACAGAAATGCAATCATCAACTATATCATTGCCAATAAAAAGTTAAATGGGATCCTTAAGTTTAATACCCATCATGACTTAAGGGACTAGGAAATTAGGAGGAATAGTCAGACGATTCTTTCCACTCATATTACTAATTAGAGAGTGATAATCATATTTTTCAAGAGCTGTTTTTTTGATGCTTATATTATTTTCATCTTCATTATTATAAGCGCTGACGTAATCGTTATAGAACTTAAAGTAAACACATTCATTTTTCTTTAAATCTTTCATTTATTTCATATAGACTTACTTAATTTCAAGATATTGAGTTTTATCATCTATAAAATTACGAAAAATGCTAAAATAAAGTTAGGGATTCATTCTTTACTATAAGAAAATTTCTTTCTTAACTTCCATCTAACCTTCATCAACTATAATATTAAGTTGGAGTAAAGCTTTATTTTGAGCTTCATCTATGTTGTAAATATGCCATATCATTCTCTTGATTTGCTTTTTTATACTTTTAAGTACTCTTACGTAGTTTGTAACATCAAGTTCAAAGCATAAGAATTCATGACTTTCGTGTGCCATATGAGAGAAGAAATGTGGTTTAACATGGCATAAATTGACCAAGTTTGAGCAATCTAAATTATCTAAATATTCCTAATTTTATAGCACTGCCCATCCTTCATTACGATGCCAAATAAATAAGACATTAGACTTTCCACTCATAAAAGCTTTAAGTAGATCGCATAATAAGCTAATCTTCTTTTTATCTTCTAGATCGAATTTCATTTAGCTGCTATCTTTTTCCTTTTTATTTACTAATAATTTCTCTAAATTTTTTATTAGTTTGTATTTGTAATTTGTATTGATAAAATTCTTAAAGTTTTGTATTATAAAGTTAATAATTTGATTATAATTCCTTAAATTGTTTTTTGCTATCAGAGTTTTTATAATTCAATTTTGAAATATCATAAAATATAAAGATTTCTGGTGATCTCATTATTTTATATATAATAAAATGAGCGCCAACTAAATCCTTTTTTATTAGATTATTCAGTACTGATAAATTCCTTAACATTTTGTGCCATTTTGTCATTCATTCTAAAATAAAAGTGATTAATTAATTGACATAGAAAAATACAAGCCAATTATTAATAAAAACTAAATAAATTCTGCTAATTTCTTTTATCATTTTAAAATATTTAATTATTAATTTATTTTTTATAAAACAGCATTATAAATTTCACTAAAAAAAATAAATGTAATTAATTTCAATAAACTCCTTTTATCAATTTATTTTTAATCCATTTAAGAAAATTAAATAATTTTAGTTATATTGATTTAATTATTTTTTGTCTAAATCTTTTAGACAACATAAAAACTAGTAATATTAATTATTAATTAGTTATTTAAATTTTTCTCTAAAAAGATAGCAAGCACAAACATATAAATTATAAAATAAATAAATAAAAATATTTCAACGAAGTTAAGATTAATCGACACTTTTTTAGTAATGATTTAAATTTAATATTAATTTGATTAATATATTTATGGAAAGAAACAGTTTATATTTCTAAGCATGTTTAAATTGAAATAACGAAGTTTTAGTTTTTCATTCGCTTAATAAAAGAAAAAAATTTTTAATGAATGCCATATAAATTAATTGAAATTTTAGTGTTTTATTTTAGTTAAATTCATCCAAAGAATAAAAATGGTTTAAAATGTAAAATAACTTTCAAATTTTATTAAATTTACGTAATATAATATTTTTTAAGTTACTGCTATGAAGCACTCCTGATATATTTACTTTTTACTTCAGCAATAAATTATTTTTTTACATTAAGATGGTAGTAAAACAAAATATTTTTATTTTGTAAGCTACTGTTTGTTTTGAAATTTTGAAATGAGCAAAATATTATTATTTAAAAATGCTCTTTTATTTATCATTTTTCTATTTTTAATAAAAAAATCTTTTTATATAAATTATATTTCGCTTACAAATATTCAAATTCATTTATATGAATAAGATTTTAAGATATTTATAATAGAATTAACTTACTTTTTTTGTAAACTTTAACTAGATTTATAACATAAAATTAAAAATTCTTTTTAATTTCTTTATTCACATATTTTTGAGATTTGAAATAAGTGAAATTTTATTTAAAAATTGTCGTTTTTGATGTTTTCTTCAATTTTTATTCAATAAATATTCTTTTAAATATTATGTTTTGTTAACAAATATTCTAATGGGTATGAATAAATAAAAAAACTTATAAAAAAAAAATATTACAAAAATCCCCAAATCAAAATATTATTTAATATAATAACAACAACAATTAACAATAATTAAACAAAGAAAACTCAAGAAAATAATCCAGAATCAACTAATATATATTATAAATAAGTAAAATGTACTCTTTAAGAATAATATTTATATCCTCATTACATAATTCATCTATAAACATCAATTTTATTTTAAACGCAATGAAGAAAGTTTTTATTTTAATTGAAATATTTTTTTGCTCATTCATCAGAGGGCTTTACCTTCTTGGCTAATTCAGGTTCTTCAGTGTTTTCTGAAGGATTTACTTCTTCTTCTACTCTTGATGCTTCAGTAGTGGTGGTTTCACCATGAACTTCAGTAGCAGTTCTCTTTCTATTTAAAGTTTCTTCGCTTTCTTCAGTTTAAGTAGTTGTTGTTTCTTCAACAGTAACTTCAGTATTAGTAGTAGTAGTTTATTCAACAACAGTTTCTGTGGTAGTAGTTTATTCTACAACAGTTTCTTCTACGGCTTTGGTTTCTACAGTCTCTTCTACAGTTTTTGTTTCAACAGTTTCTTCTACGGTTTTGGTTTCAGCTACAGTAGTAGTTTCAGTAACATCAACTTTAGTAGGAGTATTAGCGGGAAGTTCGTCTGTAGAAGGTTAAGTGTCAACACTCTTTTCTCCCAAAGAGCTGGTAGATCCTTCTTTGCAGACAGAAACCTTTTCTTCCTTGACGTGTTCAGTAACAGTTGTTTCAGTGTTAGTGAGTTCAACGTTTTCAACTTGGGTGCTCATAGCTTTTTTTTTTAGGGTTTAATAATTAAATTTTTAATTTGTTTTTTTTTTTTTGATTATTATTAATTATAATTAAATAGAAAGATAATCAAGTTTTTAAAGCTAAAAATCCTTCTAAAAAATTGTTATTTTTAACAAATAAATAATCTTGATAGACATCATTGTATTAATAACTTAAAAATCAAAAATTTGATTTTAGCGGCGCATGTTTTTTACACTCTGTTTTTTTAAAGTTAATTTCTGAGTTATTTCTGACAACTTTGAATTTTTTTATTTAAATGTCATTTTTTCATTTTGGCGCGCATATTTAATTTATAAGAGAGGACCATGTCTTTGTCTCTAAATACCATATTTGCTTAATATAAAAAAAATTTTATTGAAGAAAATAAAGTTTAATATTTATTTTTTTCAGCTTATTTGAGCAAATTATTTTGATTTTTCTCTAATATATGTATGCATCCATATATTTAAAGCTAATAGTTATTCATCGAAAAAAAGGAGTATTAAAATAAAAAATCAAAATATGAGAAAGCTTTACTAAGCGCACTAAAGAAGAATTATAACATAGTTTGATAAAAATAAAATAAATCATATGTAAAAGAGTATTTTAATCAGTAAAAGATAAATTAGATTCATAAATGTGTAAATAGAAAGTAAATTCATTATGGAGTGTTAAATTGTTAGCTTTTTTTTTGGTATTGATTAAAATCAAAACATTCACTCTCCTCCAATAGTTTTCAAATTTAAAATGCATTTTTTGAATTTAAAAAATTCAATTTAACTTTTTGGATTTAAAATATATTAGAATTTTTGCTAATTTTTAATCCCAAAATAAAAAAACTTTTTAAAAAATTTTCATCCCTTTTTCTCTTGATTTTATTTATTAGAAGGTTCTTCAATTAATTAATGAGTCAAAAATCTATAGATCTAAGAAAATTTAAAATACTTATAGAACCTTTTCATTAAGTACTAGTGGAGATCTAAGATAATTGTTTTTATTATAAAGAGTTTGAATTTTGAATTTCTATGGAATTAAGAAAAAGAAACCTTAATATTCATTATAACCAATTACACATTATTTACAATTTAAGTCATTTTATACAAATATTCAAAAAATAGCTGTTCCTTCTAATTATTTATTGATAATAAACATAATATATAATGAAAATATTCTTAATTTGTTAACTCCTATATAAAATTCTAAATATTTTATATTTTTTTATCAAAAATATTATTTGATATTTTATTGTGAAAAATTTTATTTCATATTTTTGAAATTTAATTTTAGAGAATGATATTTGTTATAATTAAATCAATTACATTATTTATTGTTGCTTTTTGTAAATGGTTATTTATTATATTTTGAAAATATCTTATTGTATTATTTATTGAATAAACTGAAATGATAATTTTCAATTTTAGTTTTAATGATTTAATATATCGTCTTGATTCATCTTAAAATACAAAATATATGATGGATGAATTATGCATGTATATTTAAAATTATATATATTTTTACTATTGTTTTTTTTATCAATTTTAGTTAATTTATTTTTTTTACATTTTTTATGCTTATATCAGAAGCATTTCTTATGAACGTAAGCAGCACCATATTCTGTATACTCTTAACGAGTAATAAACATAGGTTAGAAAGATGATAAAGAGGATAAAATACTTCCACCCATCCAGACTGAATATTTTCTTTCGGGAGGTGCAATTACATTGATTCTCATTGTAGATGGGGCTAAAGCTACAACTTCTTTATTAAGACGATCATCAATTCCCTTAAACATTGTTGTACCTCCAGCCATAACTATATTACCATATAAATCTTTACGTATATCAGTATCACATTTCATAATTGAATTGAATGTGCTTTCGTGAATTCCCTAGCTATCTTTACCCAATTTACTAGGTTAAAAGAGTGCTTCAGGACATCTAAATACTTAGTTACCAAGAGAAATTTCATTTCCATCAGGCATTCTATGCTTTGGTTCTTTATCGCCTTTATCGCTAAAGCTCTTCATTTCAGCTTCGAAATCTCCAACAACATAACAGCATTTTTCTTTAGTATCTCTAGCGTTTTCTCTCTTTGTTTCAGCATTATTAGAAAAATATTTATCTTTTTATTATTTAAATTAACGTTTTAAAATTTGAAATAAATTAATAAATAAATATCATTTTTTGCAGGATAAAACCCTAAAATATATTCATTTTAATTACTTGATTCTTCAAATAACTTTATAAGATAGTCATCTAAATCTCTTCCAGCAAGGTGATTTTGATATATTGCATGACTAAGAGCAAATCCTTCATATATAGGAACAGTGCTTGTAACAGCATAACCGCTGTCAACAACAATACCAGTAGTACGTCCAGATGCAAAAAGTGCTAAAACCTATATTTTAATGAAGATTAATTTGATAGGTAAACTAACTATTTTTATATCATATTTAATGCAACTAAGATTATTTAAATTAATCTTTAAGTTTATTTTTTTTAGAATAAATAGTTGGAGATAGCAATATTTTCTTGAATAAAAATGAAGATTTACTTATTATATAGCAAGATAAAATGAATGGCAATTAAATGTCTCGAACATAACTTCGATTAACTTTTCTCTTTTCTTTTTTGGATTTAATGGAGGTTCTGTCATTAAAATAGGGCTTCCTGAAAAGTTAGCATTAATTTTAGTTGAAGCATGTGACCATATTTTTTCCATATCTTTCATTTCTTATATAACACCATAATCAATAGGATAGGAAAGGTTTAATACTTCATGTTTTGAATTTACTTCTTCACCTATATAGCAATCTTTTTAATCCATACCAACCATCAAACCTTACTATTTTGGAATACCAATAACTGTAGGTATTGATACTCTAGGAGCGTCGTCGCCAGAAATACCAACTTTACAAAATCCACTGCCATTATCAATAACTATTGCAGGGTTTAAAGAGTCGTCAGCCATTCTACTATTAAATAATTCTTTTTTGCTTAAATTTTAAAGCTATGTTAATCTTGCTTTATAGATTTTTGTAAATTTTAAATATCAAAAATTTTAAATTGCGATTTATTATACAAAAATTGTAAGTATCTTTATTATTATAAATATTGCTTCTAAATTTTTAAATTAAAACTTATTTCCATCAACATACATTAATATAAATCAAATATGAAACTATCTTTAAACATCATAAAAAATAGATTTGACATAAGAATTAAATAAATATATTTTTTTTAACTTAGTCTTAAGGTAATCTATTTTATTTTTGTAATATTATCATGAACAAGTATTAAAATATATTTAAAAAATTAATAATTACCTTCTTTGGTATTGATATAAGAATTTAAAAATAATTTAGAAGTTATTTATTTTTCAATTAATTTGTAATAAAAAAATTTATATCATCATTATTAATAGTAGAATGACCATTAATTATTTTAAAATAGTTAATAAAATTATTTTTAAAATATTTAATTTAATATTTTTATTGTAATATTTTAAATTCAAATGATAGAAATATTAATATCTAGCTCACTTTCAAACTTTTTATAATAACAAAAAATAAAAATAAAAATATTTAAGTAATTTTTTAATATACATACAAAATAAAATATTTGGGTGTCTTTTAATTCATAAAATTATCAGATCTGAAATGAAAGAAAAGCATCCTAGCAATTAATAAGGAATTGTTTATTCTACTAAAAAAAAATTAATTGTAATTAATTACAATTTATATATTTAAAAATTTTCTAGATTTAAATAATAAATAACTGGTTATGAGTGCTATTTAATTAAGAATTAGAGGCCCAAAAGGTTAAAAAGTTGTTAGTACTTTGAGAAATGATAGTACTTTTATAAATTTAAAAGAGTAGATTGCTTTACTTAATGAAACAAACTAAGAGTCCCTTGTATTAAAAATGGGATTTCCTCCATAAATTGTTACAGGCTAAGATAGTTAAACATTGGAATAGTTAGGTATATCTTCAGGATCTACAATTATTGCAGAGATAGATTTGAAAAAAGTATAAGTGCCTATAAATAAAGAATTACCTAACTAATAGGTACCAAATTAAGAAGGATTAGTTATGATAAGAAAAGTTATACCAGCAGATAATAACTGCTTGTTTAGCTCAGTAATTTATGCTCTTGAAAGGAATAAGCCATAACAATCTACTAAACCAATAGATTTAAGAAAATATATAGCTAATGTAATATTAAAATCTGATAGCGAATATAATGAGGTCGTTCTGGAAAAAAGCAAATCTGAGTACGCTACCTGGATCCAGTAAGAAACTTCTTGGGGAGGAGCTATAGAAGTTAAAATCTTAAGTGAAAAATATAATGTTGAAATGGTGGTTATCAATATTTAAACTGGAAAAGCTGAGCATTTTGGTCAAGATTTAAAAACAAATGATAGAATATTTTTATTATACGACGGAATACATTACGATATATTATGTAGAAATATATCAGAAGATATGCCTGAGGAATACAATGTTTGTGTTTTTGAAAAAAATGACATGTATGCTTATGAAGGTTGTTTAGTATTAGCTAAATAGTTTAAAGAAAAAAAGCAATTTACTGATGTTTCTACATTCACTCTTCAATGTGGAATATGCTTATAAGGATTCAAAGGATAAGCAGAAGCTTTAAAACACGGCTAAAGTACTGGTCATATGAACTTTTAAGAAGTTAAAAAGTGATAAATAAAAATTAATAAATAAATACAAAAAGATTAATAAAAATTAAAAAAAATATTTTAAGAACTGTAATATCTTTCATATGTAAATACATAAATTTATTAAAATAGGCTAATAAAATATCTTATAAAAGGATATGCAAATATATTAATTAGAAAAGATCTAAAGGATTGTGAAGAATTTAAGTAAATATTGAAAATAGTATTTAAAATTTTAATATGTTATGTAAATACATAAATTTATTTATTTATTTGCTGATAAATCTTTTATATAAAATTTCATTTTTTTATTTATTATTTTGGGAAAATATTCATAATTTATTTTTATTATTTCAAAAATTTTATCATTTAGCTAGCAAAAATGCATATCAACTTTCTTTGTTCGCTTTTCTGTAAAATGAGACAACAGTTTTTTTACTTTCATCTTTTATGATTGAATTGCTTTGATATTATAAATTTGCATTCAATTTCTATAAAGAAGCATTTCTACAAACTGAAGAAATTTAATATGGATCTTTGTTTAGTCGGCTTTAATAAACCACTAGAGTCTTTGTTTACTTTTATTCCTTTATTTATGGAATTTTATAGTTATCTACTGGTAGTATTAGAGAACCGAATTATGAGTTTTTTATTTTGAAGGAAACTTTACTTTCTTCTTTTACAAAATCGTTATTATAATGGCTATTATCTCTATAAATTTAAGTGTTTTCTAAAAGATAATCTGAACTATAGAGTAAATCGCTTTCTTTTCTGTTCAAAGGATTATTTTTTGAGTACTATATGATACTGGATGACTTAGAATGAGCATTATAAGCTGTACTATTAGCACTGTCTTTGAAGCTATTTTGTTATGATCTTAAGAATTTATGTGAGCTTTAGATCAATGTCTAGGAACGTGAATTATTTTGCTCAATTTCCTATTTTTATTATATTGTCTTTGAAGGACAAAAGAAGGTAGCACCTGCCATGCACAAGGAAGGGTCTATTTGTATTTTCTTATCTTTTTAATACCCTTAACTGCTGTAAGTTGTAAGCATCATTAAATCAGTTTTCTTTTTCTTAATTTTTTTGAGAGTTTGCAACTAATCTCTTTCTTCCTATAGGACTTTAGTTATGTTTTTTGAGTTGTAAAACTAGTTAACTTAATGAGAAGAAGGTAAAAACGGATTTTTCAACTTCAATAGTTCAACTTTTGGAAGTAAGAGCCTTGAGTTATAGCTTTAAGTTTTTCCATTTTATTAGTTCTGAATATCATTACTGTGCTTTGGACTTTACCTCTTAAGTGAGTAATCACTTTTTTTAGCCCAATTACTATTTGATCTGTTTGGTGAGTCTTCATAATCTTAATTTGCGTTGTTTTTAGAAGAACCTCTTGATGAGTTACTGTCTTGTCTTGATCTATTCTTTTTTAAGTTTGATAACCAAATATTTGAATTTTCTCCATTTAATTCATTTATTTTTTGCTATTTAATTTCTTTTTTCTTTAGTTTTCCATTTTCATCTACTTCATGGCTTCCATCTAAAATACCTTGTAAATCATCAATTTTTTAACCTTTAAGCTTTCCCTTAAATTTTTCTCCAAATTTAGAATTAATATCTTTTATTATGTTCTACCTTTCTGTATCTTCATCATCTTTATCGTTTAAATAATCCAAATGCTAAAAAGAATCAATTAAGTCATCTTCAGGATCTTTATATAAAAAAAATTAATAAGCAATCTAATAATAGTAAAATATTACTTGAGTCTGTGTCATATTCTAATATAGGTTCCATATTTTGATTCATCATTTGTATCAATTTAAACTCAACTCCTTTTTCTCCTAACTAAGATTCTATTTCTTAGAATGAAAAGTAATCTTCCCAGTCATATGACCTCATATCAGGAAAAAGATTTTTAATATTTAGAGATTGCCCAATAATAAACTTAACAAAATAAGTCAGCTTTGATTTTGACTTGAATTTATAGTTTTTCGATTGCTTGAAACTTTAGCCTGAGTTACTGAGGGAAAGCTTGGCATTTCCTATATTTGAAATCTTTTAAAGATATCCATTTTATGGACTACCTGATCCTGGACTCATAGAATTAGATTTATAATTTATAGAAGATTGGTTACTTAGGGGACTTTGAATTTCAAATGCTTATAAATTCAAAGGAGGAGGATTAGTCAAATTTTATAATTTAGCACTAAACTATTTTTGTTTGCTACCTATGATTTCCTTTTCCATAAAAATACTTCCAGATTTTTTATTTTCTACTTTTACATTTTGATTTGTTGTGTTCATTTTAGAGTCTTACGTCTAAATTGCAAAACTAGATTGCTTTTAAAGCTTTGTTGCACCAGACGATTTCTAGATAGGAGAATTTACGAATAATTTGTCTTCCTCAAATGAATTTTCAAAAGATTTTTTATTTTAAATTTCTTCTAAGTTAAGTTTAAACCCATACTTGCTTTACTCTTAAGTTCCAGAGTTATCTAAATTCATTTGGGATGAAGAATTAATAGAGTCGCCTTCTTCGCTTTCATCTTAATTCGAATTAGCTAATAAAATCTTTTTTTGAATTTTTTTAAAAAAATTTGATTTGCCACCAAATTTCTTTTTAGGGGTTTTCTTTATTTCATTATTATTTTAGTCAAGATCATTCTGAGGTAATTCATTCTCCTTCACAGTTATTGAATTCTATTTTTAGAGTTTGTTGGGTCCAATAGAATTTAGCCTTTTAAGAGGAGATTATTTATTTGTTGTAGGGGATTTGCCTTCATTTTTTTTTGTAAAAGACTTTCTCGATTTTGGTGAGTTTTAGTAAATTTCTCCAACTTTTTAAGAAAAAGAATTTGTTCCTTCAGCTTAACGAATTTATTCTTAAGAGCCACCTTAAGAAATTTAGTCTTTTATTTCATTTTCTTTTTTAACTTTCGAGATATCCAAATCCTTTTATCCACTTTATTCTATTTCAACTTACATCATAGAAGTCATAAGGGTGAATTTCAAAAGATTATGACAGAAGTCGACAGCTATCTATTCATAGTCTTCTATTTAAAACTTTGTTATTGGTACTTTTTTTAAAACGGGATTATTAGGATTATTGTAGTTATTAAGATTTCTATTTTGTAATGAAGGAGAAGTAGCATTGTTAATCTATCCTTATGAAATTTAACGGATTAGGCTTCTACTTGTTTAAGAATTTTTTTAGATTTATTCCTCATTTATTTGAGATTGATGAGATCTGCTTGTGTTAGGTTCTGACACAGAAACTTAACTAGGTGGCTTTATTTAATCTACCAATTCTGCATATTCATCATAATCAATTTTACCATTCTCTAATAATACTTTCAGCCTATCTCTCTCTTCTTTCCTAAATTGCTGTGACATAAAGAATTCATTTAACCTATATCCATTCATGCTGAATTCTAAGTTGAAAGAGTATTTAGCTTTAAATTCTTTCCAAAGAATCACTCTAGCTGTGCATTAATTCTTTTGTTTTAGATTAAATTTGCAGTTCTTTTCTCTAAAGTGACACATCGTTTCTTGCATTAGTTTAGTTATTAATCTATTTGAGATCCAATTATAATTAGAACTTAAACCGTGAGCTTACTCACAGCCAACCAGAAAAGAATTTGCTTTTGTTGCAGTAGCATGCAAATCTATAAACATGAATATGTCTTTCTTCTTATCTCTCATTTTGGAAATATACTATTTTAAAAAGTATACTTCTGGATGAGCATTCTGTGTTGGATTTTCCCAAGACCTGCATTGAAGAAAAAAAAGAAAAATGAGTAATTTTTAAATTGAAAAAAATACTAATTAACCTATTTAAGTCTGCTCCAGATAGGTTTGTTCTTGAATTTCCAATAACCACTCCATCAGGATTTACCATAGGACATATTTTGAAAATAAACATACTTTTGAGCTGGCTAGCAACAGGATTATCTGAAATAAGAAAATTAATAAATCCTTAGCAAACTAAAGAAGATGGTGTCTCAAATGGGTGCTGTCTACCTAAAATGAGCACAACTTTCCTTTTATCATAAGGGATAGACGGTTTGAACTTTTTAGGACAAGTAATTTCTATCATGAATAAGGATAGACCAAGCCTTGACCCGCCAATAATTTCTTTTTTATAGTAGGTATTTTCTGTTGTAATAAAAGTGGTTCTTGATTTTGCAGAAAAATCCTCAACAACATTCTCTTTTTCCTTTAGAGATTATTCAGTTTTCTCTATAAACTCAATCAAGTCTGTAAATGTATATGGTTTGTAATAGCTAAACAGAACTCTCTCACCTGAAGTTTAGAAAGTAAAATCAAATTCTAATTTATTAAAAAACAAACTCAAAGGTCCTTCGAAAGGTTCATCTTCTTTCTTTTTCCTCCTAAATTCAGATTAGGTATAGATAATATCTTAAGAGTATTGTTACCAAGTTAGACCTTTCTCTGGATCAAGGTATCCTACATAAAATTTCATGCCTTTAGAAAATTATGAATGAGTCTTCTTTTGGTTAGCTATTGAAAAAGTAACTTTATGAGGCTCACTTCCCCAAAATTTAACACCAAAATAAAACCATTAAGCGAATCCTAATAAAAAATGATGTTTTAAAAATGAAAAATTTATAGCAAACATACCAAAACTATTTGAATCAGACTTCAATAGTATCTTACATTTCTATGCTTATTAATCTATAAACATTGTCTTGAGGTTAGCACTTTCAAAATCACCATAAAACTCAAATTTTTTATGGAATTTGTCTCCTGTAAACTATTGGTAAAAAATATATGTAAATTTATGCTAATATTTTTGTAAATATTAATCCAGTACAAATTAATTTTTAAAAGTAGAATATTTTTCATCAAACTAAACACAAAGTATTTTTTTTAAACATAAAAAAAATAACCCATTAAATAAAATTGTACTTTATAATCAGCTATAGTCTTAGGAACCTGCATGCTCCTTATTGCTAAATAATCTGCGAATCCCATTCCAGGCTAACGGCATATTATATAGAGAGCAAACTCTCTTTAAGCTTAAATTGTGTTGATCTCAGTAAAATTGAAGGTTACAATATCATCATTTTCTTTCTTTTCCATTATAATGTAATTAAAATCATAGTAGTAAATATGATATGGTTTCATAATTTTATTAGGTCCATAAACGATCCACTTCAAGATCTTACCACAAAACTTGCACCTAAAATTATCATCTGGCTAACATTCATGATCACACTACAATCCCTAAATAAATTATTTTTTTAAAATATATTAGAAATTATATATGAAGCACTATTGATAAAGTGTATATTTTATTCTCTATTTTCTTTTATGAATTTATAAATGTTCAGAACCATAAATATATTGATGTTTAATTGATTACTTAACTAAAAAATTCGACTAAATCCTTCTTAACTGTTTTTTGCCAAAAACTCTAATCATTAGATGATGCAAAGTTTTTAGGAAGTATTTTGAATTTCCAAGCTAACTATTTATCTGGCGCATATTTTCCTTTTTCAACTATATCTAAAGGAGCTCCAAGTTAATTCCAAAGCTACTATGCGAGGGTAGCCATATTAGTTATGATATAAAATTTGTTAGATTAATATAATTTTTCTTTATTCTATAAACAATCTAATAAATTAAATAAATCAGTTTGCTTAAATTTATTAATATTTTTAAGTAGGACTTTCTTTATATTTTATTTATTATTTAATTAATCAACAGAGTAGTTTAAAATATGATTTAAAGTGTAGCCATTCAATCTATCTATAAATAGCAATATAATTAACTTTAAAAAACTTAAGCTATTCAATAATTCTTTTTAAAGTACAATGTTGAATTAAAATTTAAAAATTATTTTCTGTTTAGAGCTTTTTATAAATTTAGAGCCTTACATTTACCTTTTATCGTCGTTTAAAAAAAATTTTTTTATCTCCAAAAAAAACTACATAAATTTATTGCTGCAAATAGAATTTAACAAATAATTCTAACTAACAACCTCGCATTTAATTTATTTACTGTATGATATAAGGTTTTCTTCAATTTCAAAAGAGACTTTAAAATTAAAAATAATTGCAAAACTCCTTATTAAATTTTAGATTAAAGAAATAATTTTAATTTTTAATAAAATATTCTAGAAAATTAAAATCTATCCAATGATTAAATAAATCATGTTTGAATTAAAAATGATTTTTATAAATTTTCATTCATTGAGTTTTTGAAAAATCATAAATAATTAATTAGCTTTCTAGTATTTAGTTAAACAAGGCATGCGATTTGAAATAAATAATATAACTATTTTTTTCATGGGATATTTATTTGCATTATTGATGTTTATTTAATTGTTTTGAATTGGATAAATAAGTAATACATTCAATAAATAGCAAGCAGATATCAAAAAAATTTAATTGTTAGTTATTAACTTTATATTAATATTTAGAAAAAGATTAATCATTTAAAGTATATATTAATGAAAGCAGTTCCAGCAGAAACATTTGGATTTGCCGCTAAGCCAAAGGTAGTAAATCCTAGATCTAAATATAGAGAACCTGTATAAGAAGATGAAGAGTAAAATGATATTAATGAGTTAGCAATGGTTGTATGCTTTGTATGTTTCATACAACATACTTCCAAATATTTTTAGATTTACTAAATTGTTACAAATATAATAAAATAGCCCTGAAAGAGTTCAAAATCTTATGTTTGAGAAGCGTGTAGTTAGAGGAAATACATACGCAAGAATTATAACATCAAAGGATAATGAAATAAAAAATGCAACAAAATCTGGAAAGTCTTTCAAGAAAACAATATAAATTGTAATAACGCCCTTTTAAATACTATTTTGAATACTTATTTTGCTAATTAGTATTAAATATTTGATGGAATATTTATAATTAATAGCTATTATTACAATGGTTATTTTTAACAAATTTAATAATGAAAAGAGATTAGATAGGAAATAAATTGAAAAATTAGACAATCTTTTGATAAAATTTTTACTTAAATTTTATTAACATTTATTTTATTGTGTTAACTACAGCAAAAAGAGTAGATAGATTATTAAAGAGACCAATACGAACCTGGTACTCCTAAACCAGTAGCAGGAAGATAAAATATTGAAGTATAAACTGACGAATTCGTTGAATAATTAACTGACAAGCCACCTGAGTATGAAAAAGATACTTAGACTGAAGTTTTTATTGACAGACCTAATCCTCGTCTTTTTATGCCTAAAAAAACTGGTATAGATTAGGAAACATAAATTTGGGATGGTGATCTTTTCGATTTTGATTATGAAGTTGAACCTATACTACAAGTATTGCTCGGAAAAACCTTGGAACAAAGTCGTATGGAGGTTCTAGAAGAAGAAGAACTCCGTGTGATGAAAGAGTAGCAAAAAAGATTTGAATAGTTAAGAAATGCAGAATTAGCTGAAATGCAAAGACTTGAAGCTAAAGAGAAGCGTCTTTATGAAGAATCAGTATTAAAATTTTTTAGTTTAATTTAACGAGAGAAAGCTATAATAAATTTTAATCAAATTTAAATTCTGAATGCAACTTACCTTAAGAATGAATATAAATTAAAAAATAGAATATAAATAGATATTTAAGTTGAATTCAGATATTTAGTTAAAAATGAATCATAGAATTTTTAGATTGTTTTAAATAGCTTTATGAGGATTAAATTTCAAATTTAATTTAATTTAATAATCATTTTATTCATATTAGGAAAGAAGAAAATTACAATACAAAAAATAAAAAGAGTAAAATGTTTTATCTCACAAGAAACTTATATCAAGAAACATAGCAAAGCAATATCTAAGCAAACTTAGAGGAAATGTTGTTAACATGCTTGAAGATCAAGGTGTTTTTAGAAATCCTCTACAAATGTCTTTGTACGATTAATTCCTTCCTTGGTTATACTAAAATGTTTAATAGGAACTCATTTAACAACACAATATAGAAACAGAATTAGAAAGTAAACAAATTTATGAGATGATAAAATTTAATACGTTTATTTAATAAAGATCTATGTGTCGAGCTTATTGAAGAAAATAAGGCATTACATAAGCAAGGATACGATGTTGAAATGGAAAAGAGAGAATAAATTAGATAAGATAAGAGACAAAGATAAAAAGAACTTGAAGAAAAAAGAGAAAGAAAAAGACTTGAAAAGCTAAGAAAAATTGAAATGGAAAGAAGAGCAAAACTCAGAGGTAATAAACTTAAGATTTTTTCTGTAAATTAATATAAATTTTATACTTAAAATTATTTATAGATGAAGTAGCAGCAAGAATTCTAAGTAAAGCAGAAGTTAAAGATAATGTATTACAAAACCATATTTCTGATATCGATAATAATCAATAAGAAAATAGACCATTCGGTAAATTAGATTTGATAAAATATTTTTAAATTTATTAAATTAATTAAATATAAATAGTTGGTCTAGTTGGTGGTCTTGTTGGAGAATTTGTCTTATTCATGGCTTCTTTGGCATAATCTTAGGATGAAGATCTTGCTAGCGGAGCTAGAGAGTTAATTAACAACTAAGAAGCAGTAATTAATATTTTTTTAGTAATTGTAATAATATTTTATTTACTAAAATAACAAAAGATTTTAAATTCTTTTAAAGAATTGCTTACTTCTGTTTTGTCTGAGGGCTCTATTGATTTACCTATTAATAGCTAAATTGATGCTTTACTTGCATAGAAGGGTGAAGACTTAAGCTTAGCTACATTAGCAACTGCTTAGCTTGGTGATGCTCAAGACGATGTAATTGATTTGATTGTTAGCAATGTTTCTTCTTAAATACTGAATGCAATCAGAGAACATTCAAACGAATTTGGCTTCCCATAAGAAACTATTGATTAATTAATCTACTTAATTGTCTAATCTTACTTCTCAGAAGAGTCACGTAAAAAAACTTTTGATTCAAACTATTATTTATATCTCATCTATTATTTAAAAAAAAAATAAGTTTAAGCCAAAATTAAATTCTCACCTGTTAAGCCCGTAAAAGGATTCAGTCAAGCTGGTATTGCATATTTAAGACCAGATTTAGAATCCTTAACAATAAATACAAGATCCCCTAAGTTTGGATAAGAACCAGAAATAGGAGGTAAATTTTAACTATTGCTAATTAAAATTTATATATAATTATCTTTATAAATGCTACAGAGGATGAAGAACCTATCAAAGTGGTACCTGAAAATTTAGTAGAAAGCGAGTTTTCTAATAAAGTTAGTTTATTAAATCCCAAAGATGAAGATTTAGAAGTATTGGTATAACACGCCGTCGCTGAATAAGTAGTCAGAGAAGATATCTTAAGAGTAATTGCAGGTTCAATTAAAGGAGTTGATGGCCACGAATACCCCATATTATACGAAGCTTTATCAAAAACTCAAGAATATCAAAGAAAGGTTTTAGACTCTATTCATAACGATTTCCCTGTTTTAGATATGAAATCATATTGATAGCATAAATTAGCTAACTAAATAGCAATATAAAAAGTTAAACTATTATTTTACATGAAAATTTATTACATATTTCTTTGCAAAATGTTTTATAAATTAGAAATTTATAAAAAATGCAAAATATTTCTTACAATTCAAATATTTCATTTAATCTTTTAAATTTTCTGATAAACTCTAAAAATTATATGATATAAACAAACAGTTCATTTAAAAATCAAATAATTTGAATTAAATAAATTAAGAAATATTTTATAGGTTTAAGTATAAATTTATTTAATTACTTATTTTAAATAAATTCACTCAACTAAATATTTTACTTAAATTTGCTTGATTAAATATTTAAAGTCAATTCACTCAATTAAATATTTTAAGTAAATTTTTTCAATTAAATATTTTAATTAATTTTTTTTATGAAATTAATTATTTAAAAAAAAATGTTTTAGGCAATTTTTAGCTTAAATCAATATTAATATTTTTGATGTATTATAAAATAATTCAACATATTAATTTATGAGAATAATTCTGATATGAATTTAGTTAATCAATTAAAAATACTGACTAGATAGATCATATTTTAATTATATAATATTGTATTTATAAAAAGTAATCTTTTATTTTGTTTTTTGGGGATAATATGGATCAAGAAATTTAAAGAAATATCCTTTCTTTAATAAAAAAGAGAAAGAATTACCTGAACATGATTGAATAAAATATGAATAATAGTGATTCTCTATTCATAAAATGTTTTCGTTTATCAGAGAATATTAATCCTATTTTGAATTATAATAAAAATGCTTCGTCGATAATGCAAAGAAATTTCTTTTTATTATGCTCATTATTATCTAATACTATTTATATTTAAAATTCTTATAATAAACTTAACTTAATCTACAAAATATGCGAATAATATGAAATATTTGAATAATAAAAGATTGCATATAATGCTAAGTTTTAAATTTCATAGTTATCTAGATTGGCTGTAAATCCAACAAGAACTGATATTGGGTTAAATATACCAGAAAATATCACATCATAAGAGTTGTAAAAAGATTTATAAAAAATGGCTAAAACAATTACTCTACCAGAGGAAATGAGCTTTCCTACTGTGCTTGAAAGTTTATGTAATGTCCTTAATTTAACTTACAATATGTTTGCTGATAGTAGCTACTCAAATAAAGATTGCTTTGATTTAATTACTAAAATTGATAACATAATTTATACTAAGTTTATATAGCCTTTGATTGATGTTTATTTTTAAGCTTCAGAATAACTTATTACAGAAGATTTTTAGAAATTAAATGAAATAATTTTTGATGAAGATAAACATTTAGAATATACTTCTATCTCACAAATGATTCAAGATTTTGAAAATAACTAAAATTGAAATAAAAATTCTATGAAATTAATTACATTTTTTTAAAATTATATTGATTTCTTCAATAGATATTTATTTGTATTTTATTGATTAAATATTTTTATTAAAAATATAAATTTCAGAGAACTTTTAAATAGATTATTAGAATGAAATAAGTTAAAAATTATTTTTATAATTTTACCTTAACAAATAAATATTTTTGCTTAAATTGAAATTTAACAGAAAAGATTGCGAATCAAATTTTATTTAATGGCAAATCTTAATGTTTGAGAAAATTCAAATAAAATGTAATTTATATTTTAAGATATATATATTTCTAATACCTCTTGATTTATATAAACGAATGATTTAATTTAATTGCTGTTGTTGTTTTTTAACTTATTTCAAATTAAAAAAAAGGGAAAGTACTCAATTAGTTAGTTGTTTAGACTGAATATCATTCAAGAAAATTTAATTTTTACAAATTAATTAAATCAAAAGAGAGGTTTGATATACTTTACTTAAAAATACTTCAAGTATATCTTCTTGAAAAATGATGATTCATTCAACAGAAGGTGTGAATTCAAATAAAAATTAAAAGGCTATTTTAAGAAAGGGTCATAATCATCCAAATTTATTGAATTAAAGAAATTTATCAGAGTAGAGGAATATTTAATATAAGCCTACATAGCAGCAACATAATGGCTTATTGTTAGAGCATAATATTAGTCAACAAGAAAATATATAATTTAATGTAAATAGAATCCAATAGGGTTCTTCATGTTAGATTTAGTATTTCTTTCCTAAATCAGTTAAAAGAGGAGCAAGAAATAGAACTCCTGGCAATGAAAGTAAAAGTGGATTTTCAATAAATAGCTTGAATGACAATGAATAATAAAACATATTAATTCATGCTAAAAGCGGCGATTGTGATTTTAAAACTACCTAAGCTTAATTCTGCGAAGGTAATTCTCACTTTAAGTATCTATATTTGAGTTGCATTAATAATAAATATATTTAAGTGGTTGCATTATATGTTTTATTAACATAGTTGATATAAATTTGTTGCAAAAGAGAGATATATCAAGGAAACCAGTTTCAAATAGTGTTGCTCAATCTCTGGCTACAAAAAATGTGAATGATTTAATGAATCAACAAAAAAGGTCTTCATCATCAAAAGCAATTTCATCTAATAATACAAATAATTTAATATCTACTCAAGTTATTCTTTAAGAGAGTTAAAATAGTAGATAGTAGATGTCATCTGCTTAAAAAGGATAATCAAGAACTCCTAAAAATAATAAAACAAAATTAAATTCTTAATTAACACCATCTCTTGAAAGAAAGAAGAATTCAAATTCAGTGATTTCAAATAAACGATCAACTTCAATTAACAAGCAAGTAGCTTAATAGCCTAGCTAAGGATCCTAAAAAAAGGTAAATTTTTTAATTTAAATAAATTTGTTAATTTCATGTGGTAAAATAAAATTAGAATGATAATAAGCCAATAGTTATCCAGTAACAAAGTAAACAACCCTAGCTTAGATTAGCTTCAAAATCTTCCTTATAAAAAAATAGAAAATCGTAATTTAGTTATTTATATAGCTTTAAATAAAGTTATGTCCATTTAATTTAATATTAGTGAGTCTATACGCTACAGGATTAAGACTGTTGGTAACGAAGAAGATGATTCAGATGAGGGATTCAATCCTGAAATTATTAATTTAAATAATTTAGAAGATAATGACACACCATTGAGTAAATTTAAAGATGTTATTCTCTCTAACTAAAAATAACAACCAAGCGATTTATTGAATCCTCCAAGAGTAAATTTTTTAAAAAAATTCAATTTATTTGAAGCTTCAAAATTAATAGTACCCTCCAAAAATAAAATTTCAAAGAGATGTAGGCAGAGTTCAAGGAAACATCTAGGAGTGCACTGTACTAAAAAATTTCCTAAATTAGGGGTAAATTTATAATAATTTAATTAGTAATTAACTTTAACAAATAATTCAATAGTGAACATAAGCTACAATAGTAAAAAGGAAATAGTAATTAAAGTATTTAGCTAAAATAAAAAGATGCAACAGATAAATCTCCAAATGCCAAATTAATTAACTCTAAATAAGTAAATATGAGTGGAAATTAGCTTGTAAAAACTGAAAATTAAGGAGTGGAAGTAAATCGAATTAGAGCTATTTCTTCAAACGGTGTAAGAAAAAGAATTTTGACAAAAAGCAATGAAAAGCTAAGAACAAATTTGCATATAAATACAGACAATTATTGTGAAATCGATTTACCTCAATAAAGTTTATATTAAGCTGGTGGAGCAGCCACTACAACTCTAGATTCCAAAGGGTCGACAAAGCATACAAATACTATTAAATTTTCAAGTAGAATAGACACACAAAGTCTGTTCAACAACAATAAAGCTTAGTTAAATAATAATCCAAAATTGGTAAAAGTTAATTCTTCTAGTGATAAAGGTAATTAAAATAGAGCTTAGAGGATAAAAACTGAAGGAGATGAAGTCTCCTTACCAAATTACTCTCCAAGTAATCCAAAGACATACAATGTCAATAACTATTTACATCTTTCTAACAAACTAGAAGAGGATAGATTATTTAAGCAAGATAATTTTCTTGTTTAGTATTAACCTTAAAGTAATAAATCTCATAATAGTGATGTTCTACTTTTTACATCTCAAAAAAAATCTTCAAATAAATCTAACTAAGATATTAAATATTTAGAAAGCGATTAACAAAAATAATGTGCAACAAATTAAGTATAAGAAAATACAATTTAAAGTGATTAAATAATTTCTCCTTAGTTTTAAAAATTAAGATTTAAAAATACTTAAGCTATAACATATGAGAGAAACTATTCTGCAGATGGAACTAGAAACAAATAAAATTAAGATCTTAATAGCAATTTAAAATAATTAAAGAAAAAAAAATTAATGATAAAAACTATTAATCCATATAAATCAGAAGAGAAAAAGGAAATTTCTTCTTAATCTGAAACCCCATCTAGCGCTCATAGCTCAATTATGTTCAGTAGTATTGGAAACAATAATGGAATATTAACTAAAAATACTGATACTTTCTCTAAAAGTCCTTTGAGTTTAAGGAAATCAGATGGTGTTAATATTGTGAAAAGCCACAATTAGTAAGGAATACTATAATCTCAGTTTAGTAGTGGCTAATAAAATTTTGAAAACCAATAAAATGTGAGAGAAAGCATAGCAAGTGATTATTAATCTAATTAAATTTATCAGAGTGTTTAACATAATTATTCTAGTAAAAAAATGGTTGATTGGATAGAAATAACAAGCCCAAACAACATCCATTTAAGCTCTGATTAAAACTCTAATGCAATTATAGATAATAAGAAACAACAAAAAATCATGCTACGTCCAACAAAAGTTACATCAAACGAAAGAAAAAATAACAATAATAGTAGTAATGGAAGCAGATCACAAATAAAATAATTATGCAACACTAACTCAAATAATAACATACTTTAATCTTCATAAAATATAGCAAATAATCAAATTTTATATAATAGTAATAATTAATAAATTAATTAAAAGGGTTATTTTTCCGTTCCTATGCAGCTAATAGCAGCTCCTTAGCAAAATCTTTACTAGGAAAGTGGTTAGTAGAAAAATTACTTTTCATCCCAAAAATTTACAAACGAATTTCGACTCTCTGTTGAGACATTTCAGCCTTCAGAAAAAAAAGATAAAAATTAATCTACAAACTCTCTTTTATCTTCATCTAACAATAATAATCCCAATTTTAATATAATTTTCAACTCCAATAAATCAAATGATGCTAAGGAACTAAAAACAATAAAATAACAGATAAATTTTTATTCTAATATTGATGAGGATTAATAAAAGCAAAAATAAATTTTAGATTCCATAAAATCTGATGCAATGAAAAGCATATTGAGATAATCCTTAGAAAAAGGAAAAGATTAATCACAATTCTAATCAGATTCTATCTAAGAATTGTAAAAAGACCTCCATGAAATGAAACTAAATGTTTAAATAGAAAATATGAATTAAAATTTTGCTACTTTAAATAAAAACTTGAAGGAAATGAACAATGACTTAAATTTAGAATACTCAAATATCATTCCAAGAGATTCTAGAAGTAATATTTTAGAAAATATAGACAGCTATCATTTTGATAAAATTCCAGAAAATGATAGTAATAATCATTCTAAAAGTATAATTAATTGTCACGTTAGTATTTTAAATAATAACTAGTAGGATTCTTTTAAATACACAAACGAAACAAGCTAAAATGATAATTAACAAGCTGAAAAAATGCAGTAACTAGTTAATAATTTTGATTTTTCTGATATTTAAGAGGGACCTGATGATAAAGATATTATGTCGTAATTAGAAAAAGAAAAAACTGAGTTTGAGTAAAAGCTATTGTAAGAAAAAATAAAATTTGAACAAAGATAGCAGCAATTAAAATAAGAGTTCATTTATTAAAAATAAAAACTGATTTAGTAACAGTAAATGAGACTAAAAAATAGCAATGGGCAAGCTAGCTCAGTAAAAAATTAATTTGAATAAAATTAATCTAAAAACAACAGCTTACAAAATAAAGAAGATAATTTTGCTCTTTCTCCTTTTTCTAGTTAAGAACAACAAGACGTAAAAGAACAAAACCATAACTAGTAAAGATAAAATTTAAATATGAAAAAAAATAACTCTTTTACACAATATCCTAGTAACTGTGGATAAAAAATGTTGTAATTTGCTGATAAAAGCTTAGACTTAAGCTTCACTAAAAATCCGAATTTAGAAAATGATGTTTCAAAGCTATTTAGACAAGAATAGATAAGTCAAATACTTCCTGAGAGTTAATGCTCTTTCCTAAGCGAGGTCGAAAATATATTAGAAACTAATAACAACTCTAATTTATTTACAAATGGAGGAAACTAAGCCATGAAAAATTAAAATATTCATTAAGGTTTTAACTAAGATGGAATAAATGTAATAAACCTATAAAACTAATCTTCAGCAAAAAATATCAGCCAAAGTACTAAGTTCTAAGAAAATCAATCAGCAATATAAAAGTAAAACTTTTTCCCTACTATCAGTCCTCAATCTTCCTCTTAAAGTTTATCAGATAAATAATATAAGCACATGAATTCTAATAATTAACAATTTCCTAATATTCATATAAATGCAAATATGGTTAACATTCCTAAATAATAAAGAAAGAATAATTTTTAAATACATGAATAAATTTAATAATAGCTAGTTATTGAAGAGCAAGATTGTGAGCAATCTTAAGACTCATCAATACAGATATAATACCATCAATAAAACAAAATTGCCAATTTCAATTCATAAAATTCAAATAGAATGCCTCCTCTTCCTCTTAATGTAGGATAACTTCAAAAATTAAAAAAAAATAATTTATGCTAAACTTCATAAAAATTTTCAAACTTAAAGAATTGATTTATTAATGAATTCAAATTCATTGAATTGAAAATAAAAAACATTTTTAACAAATTTAAACACTAATCTTTCGTATTGATAATTACTTATTACTATTTTCAAATTTATTTTCAATTTTTTAAAAGAAAAAAAATAGTTTTTTCATTTTATCTGTTTAATTGTATTATGAGAATAATTTATAATGGCTAAAGGATCTAAAAGCTTAAAATGATGATTTGTTAATCATATGATTTTTTTAAAATTAATTGTCAGCGTAGTATTGAGAGTTTTTAGCTAATTTCTGAGAAGAATCTCGTTTTTGCAAAATATAAAATTTTAATTTATTTTGCCATTTAAATTAAATAAGAATCCTTAACTAAATTAAGGTATTAACATTCAGTAAATTTTATTTTATTTTTAACTGTATAAATAAATATTGATTAATATAAATTCAAAAAAACTTTTAAGAATTTTAGATATTTATTGTAAATAAATTAACAAAAATATATTTAATCTGATTTTAACACAAAAAACATTAAAAAATATAAATGACTAAACTACTTTCATAAACTTTTTTAATTTCTTAGTAACAAATTAATTTTAATCAATTTTAATTTTCATCATCTATGTTACCAAATGAGAATTAATTATTTAATGATTTAATATTAAAACTGATAAGTAAATCTTTTTTTGAATCTAATGCTTTGCTTGAACTTAAATCTATAAATTTCTTAAAATTTTTAATTTAGATTTTGGCTAAACCTCCTTTTAAAATAGATCGCCTTAATTTTGACCAACTATAATTATTGTAAATATATTTTAAAGTTTAAATAATAAATTTACTTATGAAAAACTTTGAAAGGGTTGTATTTTTAATTAAAAAGCAAATTGTAAAGTAAAAAATTATTTTTAAACAAGTACTTTCGAACCCATAGTTAGTTATTTAATAATGTGCTTGATATAATTTAAAATATATTAAGTAAGCACTTATTTCTTAAAAAGAAGTATTAATATCTTCTAAAAATTACACCAAGAAGGCTTAATGTTAATTAACCTTTTTTAATTTTAAAGATTAATGCTTAAATATTAAAGATGAAAGGAAAATTAACTTACCAAACATCATTATAAATAATGCAATCAAAATGAACGAAAAAATAAAATTAAGGTACATTTTATCATCATTCAATTACTCAAACAAAGCAATCCAAAAAATTAAGAGAACATAATTGGCTGATTATGATTCTAATTTGTTTATTTTATCATCTTAATATGGTTTAAAGAGCACTAAAGAAGCACTGTAGATTAACTATACAAATATAACTGAAGTTAGTTAAATTTGAGGTTTATTATTGTAGTAGGTTGACAAAAATAAAATTATTATTTTATACCAAGTTTTAATAAACTCCCACCACCATCTGTTTCTGTTAAAGTCTTGAAAAAAATAACCATATCTTCTTATAACATTTGTTGATACATTGTCGAACATTTTAGAATGGTTTCTATATAATACATATAGCATAATTAAAGGATAGATAATTGTGACTACTACTAAAATAGGAAGTATTAAAAATGCTATGTAGAATTTATGCTCAGTATTATAACATTCTTAATTCATCTAACTTTTCATGTAGTAAGTATCTCCAAACTTTTGACAAATAATAATTTCTAATGCAGCCTAGTAAATATTCTATGAAGCAATATAACTGAATACAATTATTGTACTAATTGCCATGTTTAAATTATTATATTTGATTTACAAATTATAATATTAATTTGGCATAAAATATTATATTCCAATAATAATTAGGTTAACAGAAATATATATTAGTTACAAAAACACACATGGAAGCACAATTGAGATGTACAAAAATCTTAAGTATTGTATTGGTATGTTGAAATTTAACCTACTCAAGCTGCAATCAATTGAATATAAAAATACCAATATCGGCTATGAAAATGCTTGAGGAAAGGCAAATAAGTTCTAGAATAATCCAGGAAATGTAAAACCAATACTAGACTTTAAAGCAGAGACAACATAAAATTAATTTATAAAGATCTTGGAGATTAATGTAGATTAAAGTATAAATTATGATACTCCCATCTAGAGAATTTTAAGCGAGGATATTATACGAATTTGACACATTTCAATATTGCTATCCTAAGAATCTATAATTAAAAAAACTAGATAGAATACTATCCCAAACAATACTAATATTTATTTAAATGAATTTGTTTAAATGGAAGAGCATAATGAGCATTAAATGCTTTTCGTACCTAATTGACTATCTTTTCCATATTATTTTCCCCATATTTTTCCATAATTATCACAAGATGAGCATAAAGCCCCTGTGTATCCCTCTTAACAGTACCCTTTTGATGAGTCTCCATTCCAAGGGTTTGAAAGCTGATCACATTAGTATATATCATCAGAATAATTACTTTTTCTCCTATTTTTTTAATAATAATTCTTAAATGTTAAAATTTAAATTTTTAATTAAATAAATACCAGTAATTCTCCCTTAACACAATTTGGTTTAACTCACAATAACTAGTTTATTAATTGTCACAATTTTTGCACTAAATTTAATCTCCTATTTAGGGATAAATGAGGGAATAGGTTCCATTTAAACATTAAATGCACTCTTACATTTAACAGCCTTAGCATACTGAGTTATAGTACTCACCAGCTTAACAACTTCTAAAATAAAGAAATATACCTATATTATCTACATTAATAAATTGATTAGTGCTATTTAGAGTCTTCATTCCACTAAGCTAAAGCAAGATAGTAGCATTTTTAGAAGGAACTCCTGTAATTTTAAAATTATTCATAAAGCATCCTATTTTTTTGGGTGAGTAATAAGCATATTCAACTAATGTTGCACCTTCTATTTTTACAATTTGATCTTATAAAAATATACTATTTTGTTAAATATATATCCTACAGCTATATGAGCTTATTTCTTAAAATAACTCTTAACTAATTTAACTAACAATTGCTATTTGTTAAAAATTGAAATAATTAGACAGAAAATGAGTAGAAAAAAAATTGATTACTTTTTATAAATCTATCTGTTTCACTTAATTTTTAAACTCATCTAAAAATTAAATAGTCAAGTCAAAGTTACTTTACCGACTTCTAAAATTGTAAAAGGTAATATCTGGGTAATTTTTAATATCCACATCAAAATCTTTGCTTGGTAAAACAGAAGCAAATTAAGGATAACTCGCAATCTAATTACCAAAGATTATAGCTTTATTAGATTTGCATTAATTCTAACTAAACGTTTTACAAGAATCTCTTTTAGAGTTGCCTCTTTCAACCAAAAACTAAGGCTTTTTATCTAAATATCATATGACTCCTCCTATTCCAGCTGCGTTATTTATAAAGTTTGAGTTAGAAATTATTATATCTGAACCATACACTAAAATAACTCCTCCACTCCTGTTATCATATTTTTAATTAAAACTTGTAGAAATAAAATTATTAAAACTTGATCAAAATTTTAATAAATTCAAAGACTATTATTTTTTAATTTATTTTTTTTATACAAATAAAATACTTTAATTTCTAATAGATAAATCAACAACTCTTTCCATATAATTTTATTATTTGAATTTATTGTGATAATATTGATAGATGCTAATTATGTTTACCATATTTAATAATAATTAGTATTTTGAAATTTAAATTTGTCTATTCAAATTAGTAATTTTTTGAGTAATTAAAGTAAAATGAAAAATAAATACCCTAAAGCTTAGCTATTTTAAAAAATTGAGTTCACAATGTAAGAGTTATTTCCATTAGATTGAGTTATATACAGAACTCCTCCATCACTAAAAGCTTTACAAAATTATGAACTGAAGTTGGAGATTTAAAATTAGGTAGCTTAATTAATATATAAATCCTCCACTCTAACTAGATTAGCAATTCTGAGTTTATATTTTATATAACATCAAGATTCCGTTTTCAAAATAAATACTTCCTCCATTACTTGATTTAGAATTTAAAAACTAGGAATTATTTATTTTTAAATTAGAGAATTAAGAATATATTGATCCTCCTTGCTATAAGCCTTAATTACTGTCAAAAGAAGATCCTTCAATTTATAACTCACTTTAAGACAAAAATATCGAACCACCTTAATTAGCTATGTTATTTTTAAAAGTTGAGTATTTTATACTAACTAATGATTTTTGGTCTATGTTGACAATTGAATTCAATTGATTAAATCCGTTTGATTAATTGTGCAAAAGTTTTAAGTTTAAAATTTAGAGGATTGACTGAGTAATCATTAAAACCTAAGTTGCATCGTTATTTGTTATTTCTGTATTTTAAAGAGTACCTTAATTTTAATTTTATATAATAGCTATATTGTTGAATCCTTTGTTTAAATTAGCAACAAATTTATCAAAATCAAAATCGCTAAATGTTTTTATTGAAACGAGAGTATTTTGATTAGTAAAATCACTATTTTAGCTGATGATAAAATTAGTAATCTTCAATGTCTGACATATAATTTGTAGTACACTATACTACTATATATTATTATTAAATATATTATTGCTTAGAGTTATATTTTAAATTTAAATGTAATCATTATTTATTTACTAATTGATTTCAAAAAAACTAAATAATTTTTAATTTCCTACTAATTAAATATTATTCATTTCAAATGTTTATATATCTTGAATTAAAAACTGGATATAATCTTTTTAAGAAATTGCTGGTTATATTTATAAGTTATTTAAAGATGCTAGATCATATCCTGAAAATGAAGTGAGTAGGTCTTCAGTAGCAATAATTTTGTATTGTGTTGTATTTTTTTTTGAAATAATGTATACCTGCGAGTGGTTTGAGAACTAAAAAGGAGGAAAGGGTGGTAAAATTGTTTCTCTTTCAACTGATAAGTTAAAGATAAGTTACTGAATAGGAAAATAGTTCTATATCTTTTGATATATACTCTGAATATACTGTAATACCGAAGCAAATTAGTCTGAAGTAATATTTTCTTGGCAGATTGACTAGCCAAATACAGGAAGTTATATTTAAGCGATTTAAAATCCAGAAAATAAAATAAGCTTTGCATACACATTTTCTTTTGTGTCGAATATTTCATAATCTGCTACTTTTCCAAGCATCTATTAGTCTTATGAATAAATACCTTACAATGATATTGTTTAATCGAGTCTATTAATTTTATAGGTCTATATTTGATAAGTATATACATCAAAGAAATAATCTTTATTGATAAAAATTATCCTGTTGTCAACTGGAGTAAATATGGGGTTTAGAGGATTTTAAAGAAGGGTATATGTAAATCTTCCTTAAGATACTAATTATAAAGTTGAAAGCTCATTAATTTGATAAATTCCTAAGCAACTTTATATAATATAATCAAGATCTAAATTTATATCAAGTTTATAAGAATATCCAATGCAAGGGCTAGTAACTTAACCTACTAGAACCAAATCATAAGGATTTAACAAATTTAATGAAAAATCATGTATTCTTTTAATAAAAACCCAATATATTTCATTATTAAAAAAAAATTTTAAATAGGTTATTTTAATAAGAAAATTTTTTAAGATTAAAATCAAAATAGTTCAAATTAGATTAAATAAGTTTACAAGTAGATAAAACTCTGCTAAAATTAATGAAAAATAATAAGTTTAATTTAGTTTTTTAAATGTTGCAAAGAAAAAGTTTTGAATTAAAAATAAAAATAAAATATATGTAGATTTTTACATAACCATTGGTGTATTATAGAATATGCGCGTGAGAGCTTATTCCAGGGAGCAAAAGCGTTTATTATTTTAAAATAGCAAGCTCCTAAGATAATACCATTTAAGCAATTTATCCATTCAAAGTCGGAGCTATTAAAATATAGCTTGTAGATTACTCAATCACTAAGCTATTTACTATAGCTTCATTGAGGAGCTATAAGTTAAATATTTAATTGAATTATTAATGTTATGATGAAAGATTAAGAGTGTATCCAATGATCTATCCTTAAGTAGTAGTAACAAAAAAAGTTTTAAGTGGCACAATAGCTTTAAGTTCTACAATAGAAGAGTTTTTGTCAATCGAAATTTATTAAAATATTATATATGCATTAACATCTAAAATTGTTATATTATTTACATACGAGCAGATCAAATATCCTTGAATTTAGGTTTTTCTGAAAAATTTTTGTTTTTAGACTTTAATTATAGATAAAGTATTTATATCAAAAAATACAGTTTATTCGCAAGTTAGTAATGCAGCGATTGAAGTTTAACCTTTGATGAGGATGAATTCACTTTAGGCATCTATATATAAGTCTGCAGCATAAAATCCATATCTTAATTGCTTAGACTTATAATCCCAAAGCTAAACAATATTGCCTTCCTGGTAGAATATAATTCCTTATTATGTTTAAAGAGTGGACATCACACCTATAAATTTTTAAAATATTTTAATAAAAACCATATAAAATATTAATATAAATAAAGAGGTTAAATAACTATGAAGGACTATATAATTGATTGCTTTAAAACATATTAACAACTAAATTATTAGTTTATTTATGTTAGTATTGCTTTATAAATAAGATTTATATTAATAAATTTTAAATTTACCTACATATGTATAAGATAAAGTGTAAGCATTTGATTAAATGAATTAAATAAGATTATAATAGCCTACTGTATTAGAACCTAAACTTCCAAACATTAACATGTTGTGCTATGAATCAAAATAAAGCTTATTTATAATAGAATTAGTTACTTGCATTTATTTAACAAGGACTAATTATGGATATGTTAATACATAAATAAAGCCATTAAAATCAGATACAAAAACATAATTATTATCCTTGTCTAGAAAAGCATCATACAGCTGATTTTATAGCTATATTTGATACCTAATTAATTTTACTAAAATATATTAATAACTTATAAAGAGAATGTTACATTTTATTAGGATTTTAAATATCGTTGTAACTCCAAGTTTTTACATATTTATCTTTGCTGTAATTATTAAAAAAAAATATTCAAATTTGTATTTAAAAAAATGCTTACCTTACAGTGGTTAGAATTAAATTTTACTCATCAACTAGACATTAATATATCCAGTTCTAATGAGCAATTATATAACCTAATTATACACAATTATAATCATAAATTCTAACATATCCATTTTGCTAAAATATTTTTTAAAATGTTATTTATATTTAGCTATCCATTAAAATTATTTACATCCCATAATATTTGTAGTTTGTTAGTATAGTCAAAATTCCCAAATAATCCTTCAATCCAGCACCTGTGATTTAAGGTGTAATAATCAATAGATCTTGACCACCAATCCCACTAAATAAATTAATTTTAAATTTAATATCTAAAAATTTGTTTTCATTATTAAATTAATAAAAAAATATTTTATGAATTTGAGTAAGTAATTCATTTTTTTATTTACTAATTTTAAAATTTGTTTATAAGAAGATATTTTTAATTGTTTAAAGTAAATTTGTAAAGAATCAATTTAAATCATAAAAGTTTTACCCCAAGAAACATGATAAGTTAAGCTTAAGGATTAAAAGCTATACCTGTAATTCTATCACTAAATTCTATCTGATCAAGGACTTAAATTAATTGAAAATTTTTGGATAAATCCCAAACAACAATAGTTCCTGGTAATAAACAACCTACAAAAAGTCTATTTAAATATTCGTCAAAGAAAAAAATTTGGGTGTTAGAACCTTCTTTTCTTATTTTTAAATTTAAATTTAGCTTTTTATTATAATAGTTTCATTTATTTATTTATTATTTTAATAATTTGTTTTTAATTTGTTTCAATAAAACTATAGATCATTTAAAAAGTTTTTGCTTTTTTTTCGAATTATTTTTTTATAAATTTCAAATTATTTCATTAAATTTATAAAATTAATTTAATATTTTTTTTCTCTGTAAAATAAAAATTTTTTAAAAACAATTGATAAATTTCTTAAAGAATTTGGAAATTATTTGTTTTTTAAATTGTAAATTAATATTTTCTTTTAAAATTATTAAGGATGGATGTAATATTTAATATAAAAATCTATTATAAGTAAATAATTGGATATTTCATTTTCAAATTAAAAAATTTTAAAACATAGCTTTTTTGAAAAAATTAAAATTATTTATTTATTTAAATAATCTAGTTTATATCAAATAAAATCTAGGAATTAAATTAATTCTTGGTTTCCCAGCTACAAGAATTTAAAACCTGAAAATGCTTTATTGTTAATGGAAATTATATAATTACAAATTTTAAGCAAAATTTCTATAAAAAAACTTACTTTGTTGATTGATTTATCTATAAAAAAGGTAGAGTAATATGTAGTATAATTTATTTATTTTTCTAATAAGTTGTCAAATAATGACCAATACTATATTATTCCTGCTTTATCAAGTTTAATTATTCTAATTTATTTTATTATAAATTAAAAGTTTTTATAAAATGATAAAATTTACCTATTAAAATCTGAGTCAATTTAAATTTATACAGCTACATCATAAGATGATTAAGCCTAATCAAAAGAGTCCATGAAATAATTAAATTTAGATGTATTGAGATCTAAAGTAGAAACAGAGTATTCTTAACCCACCACTACTAAATTATCAACTACAAAAGCTTACATCCATTTAAATGTTCTTAGCTTAAGAACTTAATTTTTAAATAATTGAGGACTTTTCTCTTCTAATGAGAATACAAATATGTAATTTTCAGAAACAGCTGATATTTGGTTTTTTTGATTGATAGATCCAAAAGTAAAATTAATTAAAGAATCTACAGAAGTTGAGTTTGCATCTCTTTGATCGCAATAAATTTTTTAGAAATCTGCTTGATACACTAACATATTTTATTCTATCGACCATACCTAAAATAAATTTGACTCTCCTATTACTATGATAAAATCTTCTTCTTAGCTAACCAATACCTATATAGAAACTGAAGGAAAAGTATTCTAAAACTATAAAATTGAGTTTTTATATGAAGACACATAAAAGACCCATTTTATGTAGTATATGTTAAAGAAATTTAATTTTTGGTTGTATAAATTGATTAAAAATTTTCAAATTTTTCTATTTAGAATAGTTTTTTAAAAATTTAGCTGGTAATTTCAAATTCGTATAAACCACCTTAAGAATCAATAAGCAAAAACCTCCTATTTGTCTTATCACTCACACACTGAGTTATCTAAGTTTATTTCAGCTAAATTGTAGTTATTTTTGAAGCATAAATTGAAGAATAAGAATAATCGATGATAAGCAACTATGTTTAATAGTAAAGAAAAAATAAATAAAATAAAATATATATATATATATATTTATACACTTGATGTGTCCCAGGTCACAACTATTAATTCTTCAGAATTCAAACATGATTTAGGATTGATTTAAATTTGTGTAGGAATTTAAAGAGTACTCTGTTTTGACCCATTTCCTGAGTTCCATCCAATAATTCTTCCTTTGGAATCTAGGTTATGAATTACAGATACTTATAGGTTTTATCTATCATCTTTATCAATTTGATAGAATTAAACATCTTCTGAACTCTCGATGATGGTATACTTAATATTTCTACGGAAGTTAAAAATACCAACAGTGAAAGGAAAGTAGACAATAGCAGCAATATCTTGAAAATCTTGCTGAGGATCTGATTTTAAAAGTATCATAGTTTATATTTATATATTTTTTTAATTGCATGAAGATCCTACTATCCAAAATGGGCATCATATTGCCCTAACTAAAGTGGATTAAGATAAAAGAAGGCAAAAATTTAATCTTATTAAGAATTTTAGCAAAATAGAAATCATTGTTTTCAATTTTTTTTTTAATAAAGTATAACAAAAAAAAAATTTAATCCCAAGAGAATCAATTTAAATAGCAGTTATTTGAGAAATATAATATTAAAAATTTTTAAAAAAATAAAAATTCGCTTCAAAAAGAAAAGGCTTTTTTAAAAAAAATATTAAATAAAAATTACTATTTAAATATATTTAAATTTTTTGATTAAGTAAATTAATGAATGTTGATGAGCAATAAAAACAAATGACCAATCATTATTAATTCAGCAAAATTAAAAATCAAAAAAATATAAATTATTATCAATTGGAATCAGATAACTAAAGTAAAAAGGATTCAAGCTAAAATCAATTAAAATTTTTTAATTTCTTAAAAAAAATATTATGAAATATCATATATTAGTAAAATTGGATACTAAAACTAATAAGTAGTATGAGCGTAATAAAATATTCATTTATCACATTTATTTGATTGAATATAATAAGTGAGTAAAAAGGATATAAACCAAAGAATTATGCTAAATTAATTTTAAATTTTTTATCCAGAAAAGCAAATAAAAAGTTGAAGAAAATGAAAATGTGTAATTAAACTTTAAAAAATCTACAATTTGCTTTGAATATTTTATTATTAAATTTTAAGATTCAGTAAAAATTATAATTTAAAGGGTATTTAAACTTGTATCATTTTTTAGTATTACAAGTGTTAATCAAAAATAAATTAAAGGATAAATTGAAGAAAAAAAGTAAACTTTGTAAATTTTGTAATTAAAAAGTCAATAATAATTAAAATAAATAAATAAAATAATTAATTTAAATAGCATTATTTTAGAAGATATTTGAGTAAATTAATAATAATTTTAAAGGTTATTAAAGTTAATCAAAATTAAATGGAAAAAAGTAGAAATCGAGAAAGAATTATATTTGGTATATAATTATTTACTTATTATTAATAATTGCATATTTTTAAATAGCTTTATTTCGAAGCTAATATTTTTTTATTCTTCTAAAGAAGTTAATATTAGGGAAAATAAAAAATTTACTTTTAAGTTTATATATTAAATTTTCGATTTACTTTTTTATTCAAAAAATTTAAAATCAATAAAATGAAAGAAAGCCTAAATTAATTTTATTGCTTAATTTTAAAGTATTACACACAATTTAGAATAGTTTACTTTATAAAAGTATCAATTAAAGTTATACTTATTAATGAGTTGTTAATAAACATTTTAAATATTTCTTAGAATTAGAAGGAATATTAGGAAATTGAGCTAATTAAGTAACAGATGTAGGATTTTTAATTAATTAGCTTTATAATCTTAGACAATAAATGGAATTTTAGGCATTCTAAAAAATCACAAGATATTGATTAAGAATTAAAATTTAATAATAATAAATAAAAAAATTTTGAAAATTCTAAATTTGTAAAAATAAAATTCATTAATTTTAATAGATTAATAATGCATTAGAGTTGGAAATATTAGAAGAAGTATATTACTATTAAAATTTAAATTAAAAATGAAGTATATATATTTTATAAATTTCAAAATAATTTTACAATATAAATTATTCATTTTATTATGAAAAAAATAATCTTGTGATAATTTCCAAAGATAATTTTAGTTTCATCATATCCTGAGTTTATAAAAAAGTGTTAGCAAAATTTAATGAATCAAAGATAATTAATTTGTTTCTTTAAAATGGTATTTAAAATGATGTTGTTTGTACCTAAAAGTGTAATTATTAGATTTTTATAACATTTTATTCAAAACATAGTATTAAATAAGATGATTTTTTTAAATAATACTCTTTTAAGGTAGTTTACAAAATAATACTTTTATATTCAATACTTTTTAAATAAAGTAGAAATAAATGATCATTTTTTATTATGCTTATTATTAAAAATATTAATTTTAAAATCAATCAAATTAACTGAAATAAAAGTAATTATTTTTAATTATTAGTATTAAGTTTACATAAATGTCTAGGCAATAATTATAATAAAAAAATTAACATAACTTTAGTTGAAAAAGAAAATATTAAAAGTTTACTATTTTTTCAAAAATTATTTTATCTAAATTAGAAGGTATTTTTATACATATTTATATAAATAGAACCAAAAAATTTTGGCTGTAAATCCTTTTAAATCTAATTTTATTTGAACTTTAAAATAGAAACGAAATTTAAAGATTCAATTAATTTAGATTTTTATTTTGATAATCAAATTATTCTTTACAATTAATAATCATATACCTTAAAATTAAATAAAAAGTTTTTATATATTTTTAATAAAAAAATTTTTTTTTTCATTAAACAAGCTTTTAAATAGACATTATGAATTTTATCTCAAATTTATTGTTTGATTACAGTTTTTAATTGAGAAAATTTTTTTATAAAAGAGTTAAATATTATTAACATAAATTAAAAAAAAATTTACTAAATTGATTTATTTTAAATATTTAAGCTTATCTAAAATAAAAATAAAATATATTTTTTCTATTATAATATTAAAATAGCAAAGTGGAGTTTATTAAATATCAAGAATTAAACTAGAAGAATTTCAATATGAATATAATACATTCAAAAATGAGTAAAGACTTTAGTAATACTTTAAAGACAAAACCATGAAGAGAAATAAATTATTAATAAAATATAATGCCTTATTATATGAATTGTAAATAAGCAGTATAAATACAAACATAAATTAGAAATAGTAATTCATTAAATTTTTACACGCTGAATAAATTAGAAAAAATAGGTCGAACACTTAAATATTGAATTAAAACATTAGATAAGCAATCAAAAGGAAAGGAATAAATTTAAAAGGAAATGAATCCTGGAGCATTTAATTTAAATGACTATCAATAAGAATAGATGGCACAGTAAAGAAAGAAAAAAATGCTCATATTGTTTATAGCTCTTTCATCTCTTTATGTATTCTCAAGGACTTCAGTTCAAACATCTTAATAAAATTAATTAAGAGGAAACTCAAGAAATAAATAATATAATGAAGAGAATATGGGGTTAATTGATGACTCTACAAAAGCTTTGAAGTAGTTAGAAGATAGTGAATCTACTATAGATGGATATAAAGAGTTATACAGAGCTTTTTATGAAAGATATGAAGACGAGTAAAATGGAATAGAAAATCCTACTCCAGATTTGAAAGGAAATAGTGCTTCAGATTTACTATTTGGTACTCTTTATTCATTAAAGAGAAAGCAATTTGAAGGTGTTTGGAATTCTGAAAACTCGCAAAATGTAGCTCATTTTATATTTTAAAAACATAAGTTTATTACCATTTTCTCTTTGAATGTTTAATATTATCTTAATACTATTAAAGTATTCATTTAAAAAAGAAAATGCATAGAAATGAGTCAAATTAAATTCTTTTTAACAATAAATAAAAGATTCTTGGATTCTTAGATAATAAATAGGGTCATTTCAACAGCTACATTGAAAGTTATAACAAAAGTGAAATAAGATTTTATGTTGCAATAAGAGATGATTAATACATTGATCACAAGTCAATGATCGGACTAATGATTATTAAAAGAGGTACTAACTTCACCATTGTAGACAAATAAGTTAAATTTTCGAATTTAACCCTTATGTATAATTTGTAAAATGATTTGCAATATATCTCAAACAACTATCACAATGGTAAATCTATTTTATTGATATGGTATTTTATATAAAAATTATATTTTGCTTAGCTACCATCCCTGTAAACATGGTTATCCAATTTAATGAATAGACAGATTCCGAAAAATATATCAATAAATACAGTCCTTACTTGTTTATCAAAATCTCGAATGAAAATACAGATGACAAATTTTCATCAATAAACATTTCTGCCGAAGCTGATTTAGAAGATGAAGTAAATAAATTCAATTTAGCTTTAGCAAAAATTGATTCGTTAACTACTTAACATTAATAAATTTTTGTTTTGTGCTTGACTAAAATTCTAAATATATATTTTCATTATTTGAGTTAACTTTTAAATAATTTGGTTTTTTATTAAATAACGCTTCTTAATTTTATAAAAGAGTTCCTAAAAAGGTAGATAGACGATGTATTACGCGATATTCCTAACTATAGTATTATCTATTTAATTCATCTTTGTGATTAAGATGATGAAGAGCTTTTTAGTTCAGGATAACGAAGAATAAAAATTCTCTCTTCTCTCACTCAGCATAGTTTTTATTTGGGACGGATTTTTTTGTTTCCTTCACCTCTTATTTGCAATCAGCCAAGATGTATTTTTCTATTCAAAACAAACAAAAAATATTTAATAAATCCTAAAATAACAGCATTAATTCCATTATTTCATAACTCCTTGCTTCCTTTACATGATTCTTTGGAATATTTTTGAAAGAGGTTTAATTACAATAGTCTGGAGAAATAGACACGTAAGCTAATTTATCATCAAGATCAATATCTTCTTTATATTTTTATTTAACTTATTTTTAAAATTATTTTTTATTAAAAGCTAATTTTAAAAACTTATTTTTGTTTAAAGTCATTTTAATAATAAATAAATAAATAGGCAAATATAGTTGATGAATAAATATTAAATAAAAAGAGAATTTGCTTTTTTGTCTGCTTATGTAATAATATAAAATAATATAGAATAATAGATTGAAAGAATAAATTATTTTTTTATTTAAAATATTAGATTCTGCTTTGATATTCTCTTTCTTCATCATTAAATAGTATAGAGCAAAATCCTGGTTACTTTATCTTGTAAATCTATATTTTGTACCTTAAATTATCAGAAACGTTCGTAGAGGATAATAAGTTAAAGTATGCAAATCATATGTTTTTGGTTTTATGATGATAAGATCTTTAATATTGGTATTTAATTAATTAATTATCTATAAATTTAATAAATTAATTTGTATTAAAATATTAAAAAATAGCTTTATTATCGCGGATGTCCAGAAAATATAGCTAAGCTCTCACCTTAATATTCAACATGTATTGGAATAGTTGTAATTATTATAGCATAGGTAAAATTTATTTAAATAAATGGTTTAGTTATATATCAATAAATATTTATTAGGTATTGTTCCTATATGCTCAAGAGTATTTTGGTCCACGTTTCTTTATCCCTAAAAGATTCTAAACAGATTGTTACGATTACTATTATAAGCTACCTCATTCATAAGTTGATTTAGAAAGTTAAGGATAAGCAGATGAATGTACAATTTGCATTACTGAATTATCTATGCAACCAGTTCTTTAATCAAATTCTAGCTACTTTAAAGATTTAATTATTAAAGCTAAATAAAAATAAAATTATATTATGAAAACACCATGTGACCACAAATACCATATACCATGTCTATTAAAATGGATGGAAGTAAAAATGGAATGCCCAACTTGCAGAGCTCCTTTGCCACCTATGGTATGAAATCAAAAACCGAATCTAATTAATTATATAAATATAAAATGAATAAATCTATGAATTAAAATGGCATTATTTAATGCTTACAAATGACTAATTCTCATAACTTAAAAAGGATTGATTGATAAGAAAAAATACTTAATCAGCACTATCTCTTTCTACTGCTTAAAATTAAAAATATAATTTAATTTTTTAATAAAAAAAACACTAAATTAAATCTGATTATTTTCAAAAATAAATGAGTATTTAAAAAAAAAGATATTAAAGTTAAATATATCTGATAAAATAATTTAAGTGTATTGAAATTAAAAAGCTAATTTTATTTTATATATGTTCTTAATCCAATCAATTTTTAATTTATAATTAATTGAAATCAAATAGCAGTTTTTAATTAGTATAAAAATTCAAAAAACAATTTCTTTTTTATTTTTATTTTAAGACAAAATAAATATTTATGAATTTATATAACAAGTTTAATATATCTAAGATGATGTATCTATCACCTTTAAATTAATCATAATCTTTAAATTAGATATTTAAGTTATTTTGGGATTATATAGTTTTTACATATAAAAACATTGCTCACTGCATATCTATGAACACTTTTTTCTGAGAATCTATTAAATAAACTTCTTTAAAACCACTTTAAATTAAAATTTATTATTTTAACTTATTGAAATATTATTTTCCCTCATCCTTGCTGTCAAAAGGTTTACCAGAATCATTCTCGTCATTATTTTTAAAGCCATATACAGCTGCTATTTTGTCATTATTACTTAGTGTCACTAAAATATCAATGATATTATTAAGTTATATTTAATTTGTTTCTATTTTGGCTGTCTTTTTATATTTAATTTCCAAAAGCGAGATTAAATTCTTTAATTTATTTTGCTTCATCTATTAAAGATTAGCTAATACATTCTATACTCTGAGATCAACAACTTAGTTTAAAGAGTCATTCGATTGTAAAAATTACATTTCATTTAATTTGTAAATAGCTTATGAAAATATAATTGAGTTTACATTATCTATACTTAAAAGTTGAGGTATAAAGCTATTGTAAAAACACTTTTCACTAATCTTCCAAATGTCTTAGTCCTAAAGTTTTAATTGATCATCAGAAAACACAATTTGTGAAAGAAGTATTGCGTTTATACAAATAGAATTTTTTCTGAATATGTCTAAATATTTTTTTAAATGGTCGTACTTATTATCTTCGTTTTTCTTAAGTTGCTTAATCGAAGGAACTTGAAGGGGAGCAAATTAAATTTGTAATTCTTCATGCGACATTTTTATTTTCATCAATTCTTCTTGCTTTTCAGTTGCTTCTTTATAAATTTATTCTTAAATTCTCTCTAAGTCTTCAGTAAAATCAAGCTCTTCTATTGATTTTTCTGGTTTATCTTCTTTCATTAAATCATTAAGATCTACTTATTTCTATATGCTCATAAAAAATTATTTAGCTTCTTGCATTTCAGAGGCTGTTTCAAAATTTTCAAATTCAATTCTGAATGGATACTTTTTTAATTACTTTTAAAGAATTATTTATTCTTTTTCTTTGTCTTACAAGATATTTTTTAATAAAAACCCTATTTTTATGATAACAGGAGTGCTAAGCTTGTGAGTTATTTGGCAGATATATTTTAAGCTTTTATTAAATATTTATTGTACCTCATCCATAGGAATAATATTTTTTATTTTGTTTAGCTTTTCTATTTTTTGAATTAACTCAAACAGCTCTTCTAAATTATAGTATTCAGCCTTCTAAAAATTTTTATTAATATTTTACAAAGGCTAAGCAAGTGCTTGCTATATCACATAAGCTAATTCTTATTCTTAAAATTTGTACTCTTCTTTACCTGATAAATCTCTGATCAAGCATTCTACTAAGAAATTGGTAATATGAAGAACATTCTAAAAATCAAATTAGTCAAACTTTGTTAAATAAGAATTTATATTTACAAATAATTAAAAGTTCTTAATGTAGATTTTTGGGTTTGCAAGTATATAATTTAAGCAATCATTTAATAAAATTGGATGTGATGACTATTTTGGAGAATCTTGCTACTGCTTTATATAATTTTCTATGGATTAACCAAATAACTCTTCGATCTTGCTATTTAAAACTTCTTGTTGATCTAATTTAATATCCATTTTGTATATAAAACCACATATTTTAGCTAAACATTTAAAGTTTGCTTATGTGAATTTATGTTTAAGCATATGATAAAGAATTCTGTTAGAAATATCATTCTTTTACTATTCAGATTCTTTGCTATAATTCTTTGATAGTTGCTTTTAGTAAAATAAAGAATTGTATTAGAAGAGGATAGTAAAATCAAGAGCAGACAAAAATTAAGGTTTTTATAATATTGCTGATATAAGTTTTTAGTGAAAAAGAGGCTCAGTAATTTCTAAGTGCATACTTATATACATCAATTAAAGAAGCTAACTTCTTCTTAAGCTTTTTAAGTGATTACATAGCTTTTTAACTGCCAAAACAATAACTTTTTATGCAGATTTACTTGAATTAATTTCTTTTTTGAGTATATTTAGATAAAGGATGAAGTGATAAATCTAAATTTCACTGAAAAAATTAATATTCTAATCCTTTTCTAATAGCTAGATTATATTGTTAAATAATTAAGATACTATTTCTTTATTTTTATAATCGTCTGCCATCTTTCCAAGCATTTTCAATAAAAGATTCAATGAATCAGGATTCATTTCTTCTAAATTTAGATTAACTTTTTCTAAGATTTACAAGAACATTTTCTTTTCTGAAAGTGAGTATCTCTTTTCTATCTTTGCAGCTAAATTAAAAGAAAAAAAAAATTATAAAAAAAGAAATAAATATTTTTAAATAAATCATGATATTTTACAGTTCTCTTCTTCTTTTAACTTGTTTTACTTCAATACTTCTCTATCGTACTGCTACTAATATTTATAGATTTCAGTAAATTTATATAAAAGCATAGCATAATGTTAGCTTTCTAAGGGATATTTACTCTTTTAATAAATTTTAATTAGTTCGCTATCTGATGAACATTTTAAAATTTAAGATGCCAATTATTTTGATCTAGTTTATTTATATTATTACGAATCCTCCTAATTATACTTGTTTTAATAGTCGAATTGCTCTTTTTGTATTTTATTCTCATGTAATTAGCTTCTTACATTTGCAAAATCCCCTTGCTAACTCTATTAATTAAAACTATTTGTAGTCTCATTTGATTGCTTTTATCTATATTCCTTCAAATCAATAATTGTTTTTCTTGCGAAGAAGCATTTCTGAACTTGAGACAATGAATTTAATTTTGCAACTATTCTTCCAATCATAAAAACCTATTTAAATTTCTAAATATTTTTTACTTGCTGTGATAATTTTAAAGTTATGATTGTTTATTTATTAAGATTTCTTTCTAATATGATGAGAAGTTTATAGAATTTCTAAAGTCCTACCAAAGCTTTTAATTTATCTAAAATTTAATTTTAATAACTTAAAAAATTATCTTCTTTTTCAAATACTTTTGCAAATTATTTTGTTTTATTTATCTTTTTACTTGCAAAATTAGAATGTTCTTTAATTTATATTTATTCACTCGTTAAAAAATTTTTTTGATGATTGAATATATATATGCTACTTTTCCCAATTATCTACTAAAAAAAGTTACAGTGTTTTAGAATTCAAATTTGCTATGACATACAAAATAATTTTATATTTACTTTAAAATTATAAAAGAAATATACTTAGTAAAGATAAATAATGATTTACTTAGTTCTACATTTCTTAAAAATAGATTAAGTAGAGTTTTCTAAGATAAAATTTTCTTTTTAATAAAATTCAAAAATTTATTTTTATTTTAATAATTGTTACTGAATAATCTACTATCATTGTGAGCTCAGACCTTTAATTGTCAATTTCTTTGCAATTTTTTTAAAATTATCTAATTTAATGTTTTTTATTTTATTTTTAACCTTCAAAGAATTTAGACTTAATATAAAAACTCTAAAAATAAAAATAGATAAAATTGATTTAGTTGTTTTAACATTTTTCTTTTATTTTAAATTCAAAAATATTTTTTGTTTTAATTTTTATAATTGTAACTTGAATTATTTACTTTTATAATGAGCTCAGATATTTATTTGTTAATTTATTTACAATTATTTTAAAAATTATCTAATTTTTATGTTTTTTATTTTTTACCCTTCAAAGAATTTAGACTTAATATAAAAACTCTACATTTAATAAAAATCATAAAAATAGACATAATTTTTTTAGCATTTTCTTTTGTTGCAAATTCAAAAATATTATTTATTTTAATTTTTATAATTACTATTTGAATAATCCTCTTTTATTGTCAGCTCAGATCTTGAATCATCAATATCTTTACAATTATTTTAAAAATTATCTAATTGCAATGTTTTTTATTTTAACCCCTTCAAAGAAGTTTATATTTAAAATAAGTTACTGAATTTCTCATCAAACTTGTGATTAGTGTTTTATTTTGTATCTGACTATATAATAGGGTTCGTAAATATAGAATCGTATTGCATATTCGCGATTTGATTTGTGCTTTTACGTGAATTTATCAAGTTACTGTAATTTTATATGCTACCATCCTCGTCTTACGAGTAAGTTAAATTATTGTTGTCAATATCACTCTTTTAAAGTGTATGAATATTGTTTAGTATCCTCTATGTCTATAAATGAGATTTAGCATCTGATATAGTGTAAAAACTTGGTACTATCATACTTTAAACGCTTTATATGAGTTAATTGTTTTTTAACAACTAACTTGCACTTGAATTAATATTGTTATTGTTTCCATTCTGGTTCTTGTTAGTCGATTTTAAAGGAGTTTGTAAGCCATTCTATAGATTTTATGATTAAAGAAGCAAACCTTCATCTGCTAATGTAGGTGAATTTTTTATTAAAATAGATTCCTCATACTTATTCCCACAACTATTTGATAATTAATCTGATAGATGTAAAGAAGTAGATACATCCTAAAATAATCTCCTAATGATGCATAGATCTTTTGAATATCTTTATTCGATTTCCTATTTCTTTTGAGAAGAAAAACTTTTCCTCTTCTAGACTTCTTAAATTATACTCTCTTCGTTGACTATAAACTCCTTTTAAGTTGACTCACTCTTCTTATCAAATTCATCGTCATCGTCAATATTAGAGACTTAAAACTAATATGAACCATCTACTTCTCGTTTCAATGTCCTAGGTGAAAATAAAGCTGCTTAACTAAAAAAGTCATTTCTTTTAGGGGAAGTAGAATCCTTCTTCTTTTATTGTTTAATTTGAGAATCTTAAATTTAAATATTATTTTTTATAATTTAGCTCAAAATATTTGATTATTATTTTTGTTCGAAAGACTATTTTTTCATCGAAGATCCCTCTTACACGCTTCCAACCATAGAACTTTGCTCAGGTGTAGAAGAGATAAAAGATATTTTTTAATTTTACTTAAGTAATAATTCAATTCTCTCCATAATTTAGATTTATTATTGAGTCCAACACTTATTATATTTCTTTGAGTTAGAGTTTAAATTTAAATTCTATTAAACCTCGTCTGCCTTCTTTATTGAACTTTTGATCTAATTATTATTTAAATGATAAAAATTTAGTTTAATATTTTACAGGAGATTCAAAATAAAATTTCATTTTAACTAAAAGGTGCCTGAATATATGACTGTATTCAGTATTTATTAAACAAACAATTAAAAATTTCTAAAGAATTAATTAATATTATTTTATTTATTTGTATGGCAAGTAAATTATGAATGATAAATTAAGTACTTTAGAACATATTTACTGAAAATTTGGTGAATTTTGTGAGACATTATTTTAATTGTTACTATTCTAGTTGAAGTGATAAAGCTAATTATTAGAATTCAGCTAATTTGATGTTTGATCTAAATTCCTTGAGCAAGATGTAGGAAGAGAATCAAATCTATTTGTGTATTAAAATTAACTTTCATTTAAATTTCCCTTGGTATTAAGAGAATTGCTATACTAGTTTGAGTTAATAAAATTGCTAATTTCATTAATATCTGATACAACTTATTGGAGTATTTGAATATTTTTGGTATTTTACTCTTGCTAAAAAGACTAAAAGGCTGTAAGTGCATCATGCAAAGTAGTCAAGTAGAATTTCCATACACTTTTGCCTTTTTCATAGAACTCTTTCATGTTTTCAGCATCTTTTTTCAGCTCATTATATTTTAATATCCATTTAATACGTTTTTACTCTAATTCATTAATCAAATGGGTCTCTCTTTTTTAATATTTCATGCTTATTTAAACAATTTATTCTTCTAAATCTTTAATTTTAAATGATAATTATCTCCAATTTATCAAACGACTATCATTTTAACTATTTATAGAGTTACCTTTTTATGATTTTATTTAGCAATTACATTAAGGAGATAATTATCCATATCTATACTCCTTTTCTGTGGTTGCAGCTATGGAGCTAAAATTTTATTACAATAAATTTAAATCGCAATCATATTCTTTTGAAGTATCATTATCTGAACTCTTCTTAGTTATATAAGGTTCTATGGTCTACGTCCAACCTTCCTTGTACTCTTTAATAGTTTACTGAGTGATTGGTTAGGGAATATTTTTAATAGTAGTTATAGATTATATTTTAGGTTTTTGTTTAGATTTATTTAAGACAGATCTCATTTTGCTTTATTTAAAATCTTGAAAGCAAAATTGGATATTGTTTATACTAAAATCTACTGAGAGATTAAATTTAATGATTACACAAGATTTGTTCTATCAAACAGTTTGATCTTTAAATTTTTCATTCATTCAATATCACTTACTTAAATAAAAAATTTGATTTAAATAAATTAATCAGCCAATAAAATTTATGTTCATTTATACATATTGTGATAAAAAAATTATAAACTTACTCATTAAATTTTTTTGTTCGAAAATAATTTAAATAAAGAAATAATAGTGTTATCTAATATTTTATAACTTAAATTATTTCACTTAACTCATACTCTAAAAAGATATTAAAATTTAGTCAATTATGTGGCTCTTATGAAATATTTGTTAAAATAATTTAAAAAAATTAGTTAACTATTTTAGACATTTAGATTTATTTTATCATTAATTTTTATTTAAAATGGTATATAATGCTTATATAGTATAAATTTTTATGAATAGCATTTCTAATTTGACTGGAATAAATCTCTAAATTCAATCATAAAAAATGTTAAAAAAAACATAAAACCATAACACTAAAATTATTATTTAGCATTTTATTAAATTACTGAATATTGACTTTTAATTAAAATAAAATATAATTTTAAGTTTAATGCAATCTTATATGACTAATGAAATATTTAGTAACCTATTTAATATAATTAAAACATAGAGACGACATTTTATAAAATGATTCAGAAAATTTAAACTATATTAAAGAAATATTACTTTAAAGAACAAATAAAAACTGTTAAATTTATTAAAAATAAAATTATATTGTCAAATTAATCAATAAAAATTCTTTAAAAAAATTTAAAAATGATAATAAATAATTAAAAACTAGTATGGCCTTTACATATTATTTAATTAACTTTTTAATTTGATAATTTAAGAAAAAAAATATCTCTCTTTCTAAAGATAAAATAGTATATCATATTCTTTTACAAAAACATTTAAATAAAATATTTAAAATTATTAAAAAAATAGTTTTAACAAACTTTAAATATGTGTTATTTTATTAAATTTAATAATTTAAGAATATTTAAAAAATAATTTAATAATAATTTTACTGAAAATATAGACAAAAAATAGAAATTAATAAATTTTTTTAAAACAAAATTATTTTTGTAGGATTTTAAATAAATGTGAAAAAATAAATTTTATAATTATGAAAATTTTTCATAGTTTTAGCTAATATTTTTTAATTTACAAAATATATTTAGCAAATTTTTGTCTTTTATGTGTTATTTTATAAGACTTAATAATTTAAGTATATTTAACACATAATTAAAGCTTCAAATAAACTCAAAAATTTGCTCGCATAATAAAAATCAATTAATTTTCTTTTTAAAACAAACGATAAAAAATTTATGGAAAAAAATAAGTTTTTAATTAAAAAAATTTAGATAGTTTTTAATCATATTTTTTTAATGTTTTAATAAAATCATCTTATTTTTTAAACAAGTAAATATCTAAAAAGTTTAAAAATTGTTTATTTATACTTTATTCTTTTTGAAACTTCTTTATATTCATTTTATGAATATATACAAACTATGATATTCAAAATTAAGAAAATTTGCATTAAAGTATTCAGGAATATTTTAAAAGCAATAGTTAAACCAAAATAATATTCTTCATAGTTTACTGTTTTATAATAAAAATATACTTTATTGAAATCATTTTATTAATAATTTTCAAAAAAATGTAAGAAATGTTATGTTTTAAAATATAATTTTTTATGAAGAATATATAAATATAATTTTGAAACGTATATATTTTTTAAATATGTGTTAGAAACAACTTTTAAATAATAGGTAGTCCGTCATATTTTAATAAAATTGGGAAAGCGCATATAAATTTGAATTTCTTTTAATTTTTGCATTTAATTAAAAATAAAAACTTTGTTTTACTCAACAAAACATTTTTAATATTAAAAATTGATCTATAAATAGAAATATGAGTTTTGTTAAATTTTAATGACAAAAAAAAAATTTAGTATATTAATTGTTAGTTATTAATTAATTAATTAACTCATTCATTTATTCATTCATTAGCAAGGTTGATAAGATATAGGAAAACAATAAAAATAAATATAAATATTAGGCAGAAATAATATAAGGACTTTAATATTAAATTTATTTGAATATATAAAAATTCATTTGAATAGCGCATCTAAGATAAAATATTTATAAAAAAAAAAAATAATATTTATTGTACATATATTTAAAGAATTTTCTAAATTTTAAGCACAATTCGTGGTATATTGTTAAAAAATACATACATAGTAACTATCAGTTAAGAATTGTCGATAATGGATTATATACATTATTAAGAAATGCGTTAATTAGAAGAGGTGAGTGCTTATAAAATGAAAGGTATGCTATGCTAGAGTGATTTAGGCCTTTTTAGAGCAGGAATAAATAAAGAAGAGGCTTGTTTTAGCTAAGAAGGGGCTTAAAATCAGTTGTTGAATGAATAGAGCAGCTTGGAAAATAAAAGACTAAAAAAATTTATTTATTAATAACAGTAAAATCGAGAAATGTTAGCAAAGTAGGAAGAATATTTGTCTGCAAATCAATTATAATCCAATATAAGTTAACCCAACGCAATCAACAGTGGTAAATTTTAAGGGATATAGTATTAAAATATAGAGGGAGAATTATGCGAAAAAGAAGTCTTAAGTAAAATATTTTGTGGTACAAGTACAGATAATTAACACTATTAATAGAATAGTAACTTGGATTACGATAGATATGATCAATAATAAAAAAATTGTTTTTACACTAATAATGAAAATGAAATAGTTAATGGTTAAAAAGAAATAAAATCAGGTTATGAAAATTAAGAAATAAAATAATTTTAAAAAATAACTTCAATTGATGTAAAAACAAATCTTACTGATTTGAAGAAAAATATATAGAAAACTTAAGGTTATTTTTATAGTCTTAACTCACAAATATAGCCTTCCTTAAAACCTTCTTTTTTTTAAGGAGCACCTGCAAATCAATAAATCTAAAAATAATATTTACCTAAATAAGTTAAGGAATCATATATTCAGAATTTTGATGTTTCTCCAAGGGCGAATTTAAATAATTAATTAAAAGAAAAAGTTTTTGAAAATATTAATAAGCCTACTGAATTTGAAACTAAACTTGAGAAAGAAGTAATGATGGGAAAGATTAATAATCATATTTACTGTTCGCCAGATAATAACGAAAATTTTTATTACATGAGCGATCAAAGTCAGACATGCAACTTGCCAGAAAATCTTGAAGGAGAGAGCTATTAAAACTATCAGTTTTAGTAGCCAAATACTGTTTTATCTTCCTATAGGGTTGATGGGGGAATAGATCATTTGGCCTACAATTTTTCAAAAAGATAAGAAAATTATTAAGTGGTTAATGAAATATATCAAAAGGATGAATATCTAATTTATGGTTCTGATAAATTACAACCATATAATTAGACACAAATATGTGAAGATTTAGAAAATCTTGTAAATCCATATGAAAACGATCCAAACATCTTTGAAAATTAATATGGATAGCAGCAACTCTACTAATTGGATAGAGAAGAACAACTTTTCATAGACTAGTTAGCTTAAATCAGCCATCATAGCATGGAAAATTAAGGAGATTTGTATTTTTAGTAGTTTTCGACATAACAAAATTATAATTATCCTCAAAGTTATTAATAGTAAAAAATTAATTAAAATTCTTAAATTGAGGATTAAGTGTACTAAGAATAGTATCAGCCTTAGCAAATTTAGTCAATTAATAATTCTTGCGACGGTTCATATTTTTTAAAGCAGTAATTAGCTTTAAATCATAATATAGCCAAAAATGAATCCAGCTCGAAAATCGAAAACACAGAAACATAAGATAATGCAAATTTAGAAAGTTGCAGCAGTCTTGAAAATAGCAGGAACTCAAAAAGCAGCAGTGTGACAAACTAGCATGATTTAGAATACCTAACTTACAACTAAAACAACAGCAAGAATAGCATTGATTAAAATTAAGATACTAAATCATAATCACAATAGAGTGAAGATATTGTAGATTAAGTTATTCATTTAAATAAAAAAAATATAGTTCGCAACATAATTAGAGCCTTTAAGAAGTACTTCCTAAATAAGAAAGCTAAACCATAGGCAGCTTTGTAGTTTTTCCCTGAACAATCTTTAGAAGCTTCTAGAAACTAATTTAAATAATATTTTGCTAACAAAAAATTTAATAACTCTATTCTCAAGTAACTTATTGTTCACCCTAAATATGGTGAGATATTCAACTTTTTCCTCCTCAACAAATCAAACGAATATCTCGATCACTCCAACATAAAGACAAAAAAGTCTCATGAACTCTTTATTAACTACTTAGTTTTGTGTTATAATGACCCTTAAAAACTAACTTACCTTGAGACTTACTCCAAATTATGACTTTCCTTCCCTCAAAAAAGCTCTAGAAGGGAGAAACTAAAAGAAAAAATCCTCCATTTTAAGTTGGATTTCTTCCTTCTAGAGTTTAAGCAGCTCAGCTTGACGGGTTGCTTTGTGTGCTATAAAAGAAAATTTAAAAAAAAGGATATTCATAATTAAAGTCAAGCAAGTAATAGAGTCTTAAACTCAACTGTGTCTAATATAAATGAACTTCATCACATCAAGAGTAAAAAACTACCTTTTTAATTTAAATTATTAAATAATTTCTATATAAAAAATAGCAGTAAGAGTTCTTAATAACGCAGGCAAAAAGCGCAAATTCTATGTATTTGTAGAAAAAAATTAATAAATAGCATTTAATTTAAAATCACTTTTTAGCATCTCCTCAAAACAAATTTATTTAGCATTTCAAAAATTAATTGTAAAACAGAATAGAGATATTACAAAAAATTAAAATAAATTAATACAAGTTCCATCATTCTTAAGCTAGTTTTAATTTATAAAAGAGATTAACTATAGCTAATAGCCTCTTTTGTAAATTTATACTTATATCATTGTAATTTCTTAATAATTTTATTTTTTTTTGTTGTAAATTCTTAAACAGCTTAATTAATTAAAAAAAACTTCAAACTATCATTAATTCCTTCATTCCTTTTTGATTTAATTTTTTTTTCTATGATTATTGAGTTTACTTTAAAATAATATTTTCAATAATGAAGAAAAAAAATATTAATTACTAAAAATGCCTAAGTTTGTTTGAATTTGAAAAAAAAATAATAAAAATCTTTCTATAAATTAATTTATTATTTTAATATTTGTATGAATTGAATTAATTTCCGTCTATTTTGCTATTCTTTTTTTTGGGATTTTTTATTGTAAAAGAAATAATAAATCTAAATGGATATTGCTTTGTTTACCTCTAATACATTTTTAAAAATATTTTCACATTTTTAGCACTCTATTTAGTAGCCTAAAAAGTTAGAAAAGTATATTATAGAATGATGTGTATAGTAATCAGTAAGGAGAATTATACAAACTATGCAATTTCACTTAAATAAATCCTAACAATTCGCAATAATATTCATATTGTATGCTACCTATTTTTTTTAATAATTAACAACAAAATTTTAGAAGACCTAATAAATAAATTTGCTTTTATTTAAAATTAAAGAAAAAATTTTTTAATATCAAAATTAATACATTTTGAACAATATAGTTAGACTATTTAAATATAATAGTTTGCAACATCTTGTTAACAAATTAAAAAGCTATAAAAATAGTTTATTCAACTTATTCTGAGTATTTTTGAAATAAAACCTATAGTAAGTAAATGTAATTTTAGTTTTTTTCAGTTAATTTAACTTTCTTACTCATTTTATTCATAGAATTTTCAATTTTTTTGGCTGGAAATCTAACTCTCTTTTATCTAACAAGAGATCCGATACTATGAACAGATAATTATACGCTAATAATATGAATACAAATAATTAATACTCCAGCAGCGCTACAACAAACAACTAAAACTAGTTTCCCTCATCGAATAATTCTCTTTCGAATTAAAGTGCTCATTAGGGTATGAAGGAGCTAAGCTAATAAAATAATGTGATTCTTTATGGAATTCATAAAAAGTTGGTGAATGATACCAAATAAATGCACTAAGATTGTAATTTTACCAATTTATTAAATTGAAACTAAATTTAATTTTTTTTATACAAGAATGTCAGCATTAATATTAAAATACATAACAATCATTTTAACGTCACACCCAAAATGATATACCGTAATTGGGGAATTTTCATCCAACTTTCTAAAACTCCTATTCTAGTGACCAAACAAACCCCTTTATTGGAGGGTCTCTTAATAATATCCATGATAATGTCTAAGATGATCATATCGGATCATATTGTGATAGGAACACCAGCACTTAAAATTTATAGTATATAAACAGATTGTATAACTTTGATCGAGCAGAATAACAGACACCATAATATACCTTATTTAGTGAGTAATATCAAAATAAATTTTAATAGGATAATACCTAACAAAATATCGTTTATTCAAATATTAGCTCTGAAAATTAATATTTTTTGGAAACTCCACTCTACTCTTATTAAAGGTTAAATACTTAAACCGATCAGAGTTATGATGTCCCTGATGGTCATTTTAAACATTAAGGATTCAACATTAATTATGAATAGAACAAACAAATTTAAAATTTTTACTCTTCATAAACACAGCAAAACAGCGCATATCCTGACTAAGTTCAAGAAAAAAGTGAGCAACAATACTCTGAAACTACAGATTATTTTTCAAGAGATAATATTTTTGAAAATTCTTGTATGTGTGACTAATCAAATTTAAATTAGATTAGAAAAGGGGAATATAAATAGTTAACTCATCCTTATAATATTAGCGAACCTACTTTTTAAAGCAGTAATTATAATCATAACAGAGAAGAGTCTAACTTTTTGGCTTCAAATGAAAACAATGACATATTTTAAAATAAAATTGAAGATTTGCAATTAGAAAATTAAAGTTATTTTAACAATACTAACTATATAAAAGATAAATATGATTTTCACGAAAACAGAGCATCTAACTCTCCATTTTAGAATGGGAATTACAACGATGAATCATGTTCTAAGAGTGAATAATCAGATGAATAATTTTTAATGAATCATGTTTTTGCTGAAAATTCTTAATCAAATATAATGGATGAAAATGCCTGTTAAAAATAAATGCAAATAAATCAAAAAGATAATCACTAATTTTAAATAAAACAAGAAATAATGGGTAAAAATGGTACTTAAGAGTATTAAAAACCATTAAAATTTGCTAAATAAGATGTATAATAAATGGAAAATTATGGAGATTTAGCAAAAAAATGGGACGCCTAAATAAACTCTAGCTAAATTAAATTTACAGAAGAAGACTAACGTTTAAAAAAATAAATAAACAGTGATACAAAATAATCTTTTTTAACTTAATAAACCAATCAAATTTATTAAAGCGCAAAAGAAGAATAAATCTAAAAATCAGAAACCGCTTTGAATTAAGAAAATTAAAAATCGTCATTATTAATTAAGGAAAGTGATTGTTGCTAAAAATAGTAAGAAGAAAACTTTGATATTATTCATTTGGACAAAAAGAATATTGTTAGGAATTTAATTCGAGCTTTTATCAGGTTTCTTTTCAGTAAATCTTCTTTTCCGCACATTCATAAGACATATTTTTCAAATATCACAGAAAATGAATCAAAATAACAGCTAAAAAAATATTTTACAAAAAAAAAGTTTAACAATTATGTTATTAAGCAAATAGTTCAGCACTAATTGTATGGGAATATTTTTAAATTTTTCCTTGAAAAAGAGGCAATGAATTACTTATAGCATTCGAATGTCAAATGCAAATAAAATCATGAAAGATTTATTTAGTTTTTAGTAAAATGCTATGATGATTATAACCTTTTAGAAAATTTAGAATGTTATGTTAAAAATAAAAAAGTGTGAAATTACAAAGATATTTTAAAAAAATAAATAAAAATTAGTTAAATAATTTATATAAAAATTTGTTTAAAAATTTTCTTTAAAAATAAATATTAATATAATAATATGATAGAAGATAGTTTAAATCAATCATTAACAAAGTTTTTTTTATTTGTTGTTTTGTTGGAAAACCAAAATTTTAGAGTGAAACTATTCAGTTTTGAAAAGATAGTTTTAATTAAATCATTAATAATCCTGATCTTTAGTCTAATAAATTAAACAAAAATTATTATAAAATATTTTTTAAATTAAATCTTTTATATTAAGCAATAATCACATATTTAATAATGTAGTTTGAAAAACATATTTTTGGGAATTTTAAAATTGTATGCTTACAAAAAAAATCTTTTGATATTACTAAATGAATTATTAGATAATTCTGTTTGCTTTGACTTTCGAATTGAAAATCATAATATTTTTTTCAAATCGTTATGGTTATTTTTTTTTCTTTAATTTAATCAAAATATTTGACTATCCCTAAATTTAATGTTTATTAGTTTTGACAATTTGAAATAAGTAATATTTATGAACTTTTTTAGTTATTTATATTTATTTACTAATCAAATTGCAATTCTAAAATCTTCTAAAAGAAGCATTTCTTAAAATCAAAATTATACTCTTAGCTGAGTAATCTTTTAAATCTCCATTTTAAATACAAAAATATAGAATCGATTTAACCTAAAACTCTGAGCTTTTTTGCTCAAATAAACATAAAAGCTATGGATATTACAAAAGATATTTTTCTTTAAAACATTTATTCAATTATTGAAGAAGTCAAAAAAGTTTTTTAAATAGAAAAAGGAAATAAATGAAATTCTTCTCCTCTCAAAAACATAAATTTCTTCTAACAATTTTATGGTTTTTTTTGATATTTTTTTATAGTTATGAAATTTAATTTTAAAGAATCAAAAAAATATTTTTAAAGCAAAACTTAAAAAATTTATAATTCTCCATATTAAATGTGTGATTAAAAATTAATTTCTTTTCTAAATATGTTTGAAAGTCAACAAAACTGAAGGATTTCATGTAAATTGATCAAACTCCATTTTTGTTTTTACCTTTAATAATATCTATATTTAGAACATTTTTTATAAAAACTTTAGAAAAGTTAAAATAATAAACCAATAAATAATTAATTGCCTTATCTTAATTATTGAATTAGTTTTTTTGTAATTAGGATATAACTAAGATAGTCTTTTTTTTCTTTGATGCTAATTTGAAAAAAAGAAAAACAATTGAATTATATTATTTACTTACTTACAAATTTAGGCTATAAATAGAATAAAAAACATATTTGGTAAAAGAGTATGAAAGCTCTAATAATTCCGTATATATTTTATTTAGCCTCTAAATTTATGAATGAGTTAAGGTATAAAATAATATTTACTTAAAAAATTTTCTAATATCTAAGTTTAGTAAAGTAATTATGATAATTCACAAATATTACATATTAAATACCACATTTAAATTAATTTATCACAATGTTTATTTGCTCTTCTAATAAATTTAGGAGTTTTAGAGATAATTCTTTAATTAACTAATTTTAATCTTAGCTGAGTTGATCAATATAAAATTAAAAATAAAACAAAATATTAAATATTTTAGAATTATAATATCATTTTACTTTTTATTTTTTTAATATCACCTACCAAGCAAATAATAACAAATTTGCTTCAAATGAGAGTGAAGTTAAAAGCTCTTATTTTATGCAGAAATTGTGGAGTTTTAGCACATTTATTTAATTTATTTCTTTAGTTGTTGAAATAGAGATAAATTATCTCAAATTGATAAAAATAGTATCTGAATTTCTGATAAATACCTTCAGATTGTGATTAATTTAAAAATAGTACAAACGAACCACTCTCAATTCTAAATTATAATAAAATATTAATAAATAAATTTTTAGAATTTACAACTCAAATTACATATAATAATCATAAATACATAAATAAAAATAATCCTTCAAACTCTCACTTATTAAATATAAATGTAAATGGATTAGTTACTTACCTATTTTGCTGGAAACATTTAAATTGTCTGCAATTAACATGAATAATCAACCGAAATAAGTAGCTGCTAAGACTCTCAAGACATTATGGATGAGGCTCAAATTGTCAGCTTAAATAAAAAAAATGTAATCAGAAATCTTATCAGAGCTTTCTTATAATATTTGTTTGGAAAGAACTAAAAAGTGAGTATTTTATAACAGTACTTTCCTAACAGCAGCGACTATGACACAAAGTGCTAAATAAAAAGATACTTTGCTAAGAAGAAATACAATCACCTAGTCTTGAAATAGCTCTATAAACATTAGATTTATGGACAAATGTTTAAATAATTCCTATTGACTGAAGCTCATAACTATCTTCAACGTTCATAAATTAAAGAAAAAGAAAACCACGTGATATTTATAAATTATATGATTAAATGCTATGAAGATGAAAGACTTCTTGAAAAGCTAGAAACTTATTCTAAAGCCAAGAAAATATGACTATCTTCACAGTTAAAAAAATAGATAAATTAAAATCTAGAGAATAAAATTAACTAAAACTAAAATTTTCAATCTAGAATTTTTTAAATTAACATAACAATAACTTCTTAAACTCTATAAAAAAATTGCCTTGGTTGTTCTACTTCTGACTAAGAAGTAGCACTTAACATTAAATTAGATATATATATGGCCTAGTTTTAAATTAAATTCTATATTATTTAATTTATAGTTTATAAAATTTAATTATGTTTTGTCTAAAATAAATTCATTTATTTATATTTAGTAATTTTAATAAACAAAATTATTTGCAAGCTATTTATAAAGTAAATCATTAATGTACTGCAAAAACAATATTCGCTACTTTTCTAAAATGCTTCTATTTCATCTCTCATATTTGATTAAAAAGAGGAAAGAAAAAAATGAAATTAATAATCAAATAAAATAACAAAATTATTAAATTATTTTCATTCAAACATAAAAAGTGGAGTTTTTTAAATAAATGACTCAAATAAAAATTTTTAATTCGCTTCAATCTTTTATTTTTAATTTAAATTTGACGTACTAATAATTAAAGAAACCTTACTAACGATTATTTGCATTTAATTTTTTGCTATCTGGTATTCTATATTAATACACTTTTCTAATTCAACGGATGATTTTTATTGATACAAAATTTATTTGATTAATTAATTAATTAATTAATTATCTAGCTAACTAACTACCTCCTACCTAGGTATTGCTTGGCTTAATCCTAAAAATAGAAACAAATAATAATTACCAAATTTAGTAACCATTACCTAATCACTTTTTTAAATTATTTTTTTCATAAATAAGCTAACAAATATGTAATTCTATATAAAGGTAGATAGATAAATAAATAAATATAAACAAACTAATAATATTTTGTAAAATAAAATATTTTAAGAATCTAAAAATTTAATCTTTTCTAAATTTAATAAGCTGACAAAGGCTTACAAATTTTTTTTAAATCTAATCCATTTTTATGGAAAAAAGATTAAATTTCTGAGGAAAAAAAGTATTAACATAAAGAGCAAACAAAATCTGTGTAAGATTGAAGTATTATATATGAATTTTGTATTCTTGAATGGTTTTCTCGAATATAAATTTATGAATTTTCAATTTACTCATAGAAGGTCTACCTTTTATGCCCTGCGTTTGTAATCCTCTATCAAGTTTTTTAATTGGACTTCATTTATTACGATTTCATCATGATAAGGATCCCAATAAAATTCCTCATTTTCTTGATTTTCTAAGAATATTACTTTATTATTCTATTATTGCTAATTTATTAATTGCTCTTCATAAGAACATTAATGAGCAGATTTGGGTGGTCCAAATATAAATCCATCAATGCTATTTGTATTAGAGTTTTTTTCTGAAGAGTCTTATTAGTATTTTCTATTTGTATATCTTTTAATTGAATTCAAGGAGGAAGGAGCTTAAGGGGGGTATGATGAATCTTTTGATCCAGATTGCTATCTTTTTTGGTTCTATCTTGGAGTTTCTGAATTTCTCGAATTGGGAAATTATTGATTTGTATTATTGACATTTTGGAGATTTTTGTTCTTTTCTAATATATTATTAAGTATATTTACATTTTCTTTTTACTATTATAGCTATTATAGATTGTTGTTGTTAATTTGCTATGCCTATTATTATGATTATTGTTGTGAAGAGGTTTATGATGTTTTGGCTCTTGAACTTTCTTCCATATATTCTTCTTTTATTTAAGATATTTGTTAATGGCAAGCTAACTAATTATTTGCCAAATGTTGATTTTGATTCAAAACTGGTTAAGGATGTATTTTTGACTGTGAAACATTCACATTAATTTATTGTAAATTAGTTTGTATGTTAGGATAGCTTGAATTAGATGCAGATGCTTTAAATTAGGCAAAGCAGCTGTTATCTGAAAAAGATGTATTTAAGTAAGAAGGTTTTTGTTAGCTTATCTCAAAACTTAACGACTCATATTTATTTTACTTTTCCATTTCGTTTTTCAAAAGTAAATTCTTTAATATTTATTCTAAATATTCTTTTTCGTTCATCAATTCAGAAACTTTTTCAGATAAAGTTTATATCAATTTTTCTTAGTATTTTGCCACTTGGAATGCATTCTGTTAAGTAATAGGCTCGTTTCTTAGTTAAACCTAATAAGTTGATAATCCATTACTTTAATTACTAAAACTAACGTGATTATTATTTGAGGCATTTCCACCTCCTCCTGAACTGCTGACTAAACTATTACTGCTTATACATTCACCATTTGCTATCTTTTTAAAGTTAACTTGATATTTTTATTTTTCCTCGATCAATTCTTACTCCAATTTTTTAATATATTTATTCTCCTATATTAAAAAATATAATAATATTAGATTAGAAGATGTAAAAAAACAAATTTTACCATTGTCCTTATATTCCTATAACGATTAACCTCTTCATCGAGTTGCTTATTTGTGCTTTTAAGCATAATATTTTCTTATTCAAGCCTCTTTATTTCCTATCTTAAAATAGCATCTCTTAGATGGTATTTAGTCTTTAACTCCCTTACTTTCTAGTTATTGTCTTCTTCAGAATTTTAGTAGTTGTTATTGCTATCAAGCAAGCCAAAATTGCTTCCCCTTTTAGAAATTGTTGGAGCATCAATATTTTGTGATGCTTATTTCATCTGTAGAGAAAAAGATTCTCTTTTTCTAATCCCTTCATAAGAATTTTAGTGCTGCTAATTTTAAAATTATTAAAATTATTTTGCCGAATACTTTTTATCTTGTTCAATTATCTTAATTAGCTGGTTTACTATTTCACTTTAAGGGCTAGCTGCAATCTTACTATTAGATGCTAGAATACTACCATTTTAAAGCAACTTATTAACTCCTGAAGCAACAGGGCTATTTGTATTTACAAAACTTGAAGAATTGTTAAAAGCTTAATTCTGCTTTAAAATTTCTTTTTAATTTTTAGCAGCAGTGCTCTGCAAGCTGCTAGAAGTTAAATTTAAGTTGCCGTTTTTGTTTTATGTACCTCCATTTTAACTAGAATTTAGGCTTTTATTTATTTAGACATTTGAGTTATTACCTACATTAATATTCTACTGTAAGGCACTTATGCATGTTTAGTTATTGTAACTATTTGAATCGTTAAGGATATAAGTATCCTTACTTCCATTTACTTAGTTATCATGTTGCTTTGATATTAAAAATGTCTTTGAATTGTCAATTGAAGGACTTTTATTTTAATATGAAACATCATTTTATGCTAAAGATGAATTTTTATCTAAGTTGCTTTTATTAACATAGTTCTAATAATAAGATAAATTTTAATTTTTTAAAGTAATACCATCATTCGTTAAGTTAAAATTGTATTCTATCTTTTTTTTATTTCCTTTTACAGAGCTATTTTTTGTAGATAAGAATTCATTTCTTCTAAACACATTTTCTTTATTATTATTTGATGATTAACTATTTGGAGTAGTACTTATTCTCAACTTTGTATTTCCAGAATCACCAGCCCATGAATTCGCTGATCTGGCTTTACAGTAAGAGTTATTTGTATTAATCTACAAATTGTTTTTATTACTCATCTAATTTGCATGAACTGAAGATTTTGGCTAAGTGCTTTGGCTTACACACTATCTCCATCCCTTGATAAAATTTTAAGGAATTTACTGTTAATATCGCTTGTTCTATTCTAAAATTCGATCTATTTTGTCTTTTAAATTTTTTGGATTGTAACTCATTTTTATATATCAAATTATTATTAAACTAACAAAATTTTTTACAAAAAATTAATCAAGGCTAATGTTTTTTTGTTTGTTAATTGAAGATAACAAAAATATAAATAAAAATGAATATTTCAGCATTTAACTTGAATTTGTATTTGTATTATTATTTAATTTAGAAATTCTTAACAGATACATGAATTAATTTGTTTAAAGGTCAATGAAATTTCATTTTTTATGCAATCTTCAAATATCTTTACAAGAAATATTTGAAGCATTCATTTATTCAAATTTATGTAAGTTATTGTTATACTTATTTGTATTTCGAATTGTTTCATATTAGCCGATATTAGAATTTTAATATTTTATATTATCTATGTAACAAAAAATTAATATTAATATTTTCTTATTTCTATAAGTCAGCATAATATAATATTTATTTTTAACTTCTAAAAAAAATAGCAGTAAAGCATGTGTAATATAAAAATTAAATTCTAAAAGATAAAAGAGAAATTTAATAAACATATTAATTTTTTTGTTATTTAAATTTAATTTTAATTAAAAAATTAGTAACATTGTTTAAATATTTGATTGATCTTTAACTAATTTATTTCTAGTAAATTTTGTATGATTTTAACTAATTTTTATTTTTATTTTAACTAATTTTTATTTTTATCCTATGTTTTTATGATAAATAAATATTAAGAAGCACAAATTAAAAGAGATATAAAATTTTAAAAATTTAATTAATAATTTAATTTTAAAATAATTTATTTTTAAATGGATGTTTATTTTAAATAATATTTTAATGGTAAAAAATCAAGAGTAAGTGTTTGTTTTTATAATTTTAATATTATTTATTGAAAAACGTAAAAATTACTTAAAATATTAAAAAACAAATCAGTATCCAACAAAAAGTAAAAAATTTTTAATTTGCATTTTCAGATTAATTTTAATTAAAAAAGCATGATATAAACAGAAAATTTTATAAGAGTTAAAGAAGACATAAGAATTAATAAATGGAGTCTAGGCTCATCAATTACATTAAAATATAAGCTATTTAGCACTTTAAATTCTAAATTATTTATTAGCATAGAAAAGAAGTTGAATTAACAATAAAAATCATTAGAAAAGCTTCAATGGTTCAAAGATCATCATGTTGTTGATCTTTAAATAGATGAAATAGGATACTTTGGATTCATATTAACAGAGGATTGCTATTTATTTAGACTGCCTTTAGGCATATTTGGTATTTAAGATGCAAAAGATGAATGGAATAATTAAGTTTTAGTAAATCCTGAATTTATCATATAAAATTATAAATAAACTTGGGTTTTAGCTCCAAAATTAAAAGAAGTTTAGGTGATTCGACTAGCAGATTTACAAAATAGTAATACAATTAATCCACTTACAAAAAAAAATAGCTAACTGCAGGATAATTAATTTAGTTAATTTAAATATTTAAATTTGTGGAGAGCTAATGATAATAAACAGTATGCGATAGTAGCAGCATAAAAAGGAATCATATTATTTTTATGTTTAGATTCACTTCAAACAGTAAATTAATTTTTTGTAGAAGCAAGACAATTTATTATATTTGGTATTAGGTTTTAGCATTCAACATGGAAGAGCAAGAATTAAATACGATGAGATTGATAGAAACATAGTCATTATCATATTTATTAGTTCAGTTTGGTTAAGAAAAGGAATATATTCAAATAATACTATAAAAAAATAATTAAGATGATAAAGACATGTCTCAAAATGGAAAGAAAGTGAAAAATTCAGGCGATTTAAAAAATATAGTTAATAATTCCAAATCCTAATCATATTTATAAGAAATGATATTTCCAATTAATAATAATGGGTTTGAATTATTCATTAGTGAAGAGGAAGGTGCTATTCGTTTATTTTTTTACTGCTACAAAACTAAAATATTAAAAGTGTATAGACCTGGCAATCTTTGTTCCTCTAAATATAGATTTTTTATCTAATTAAAGAATATTATTGATATCATTTAGTGGAAAAATTATTACGTTGTTTTTTAGTAAGAGGAAAAGAGTACTAAATTAGAATTTTTTTTAAAAACCACTCTATAAAAGTGTGAAAAAAAAACCTTAGAAGCCCCTAATTTTAAGCCTATTTTTCCCTAGCCTATATTTTCATACAGTCTTTACAGTGATATTGAACAAGTAAAAAAACTTTTGAAAACATTAAAAGAAACTTTCAATTTTTAATATATTTTTTTTAAATCAATAAATACAGATTATAAAAATAGATCCATTTGTTTAGCTTAGTGATAGGACTTTCTAAGTCGATATTTACAAGAATAATGGTGTAGATATTTTAAGTTTAGACTTAAATCATGGGAAATTAGAATTAGAGAATATGATCCACAGTGATAACTTTTAAATAACTAGCTATATTTACTATGAACTATTTTTGAAAAATCATCAATATGATGTAAAATTTTGTTTAGATTATCTTTATCAAAGTCTAAAAGCCCAATAAAAATGGGAGAATCTTTGTCTCATAGATCTTTAAAATAAAGACAAGGATCCTTTTAAATTATTTCATGAATATTACATCATCAAGTCTTACAAAATGGGTAAATAAATGATTTATTAGTTATATTAAAATTTTTAGCTAAAAATTTAATAATTTTATTTAAATAATTAGAATATCTGTTATTTAAGAGTCTTTTAACAGCTTTTGATAAAGTAGAAGTCCTTGAAGAAAATTTTTTTGATGGATTTGCTTTTAACATTTTGATAGGGGCATATGGAATAAAGATGAATTCTTTTGAAATTGGAGAACATATAAAATTTAAATAAATGCAGTCTATTTTATTTGAATAGTCTCTTAGTCCAATGAAAATAGCTTAATTTATATAAAACCAATAGTTATATAGTATTTCTAATGTTTAATTCATCAATTACATAAAATCTTAAAGAGAAGAAGAAAGCTCTTAACAAGCTAGATATGATAAAAAGTTAATTGATTTCTAGGAGTTAAATTTAATTTTTAAGCAAAAAAGATATGCAGAGCTAGTTTTAAATATCATCAGCATAGTTATGTCTATAAATATTTACCAGCACCAAAGAGAGAGATTAAGTATAGCTGAAATACTAGAATCAATAGTTATTGATAGCTATTTTATAAATGAAACTTATTTTGAATACCTTCTAAAGTTATAATCTAAAGTAAGTAAATGTCCAAGCTTTTTAAAGTGTCTGTATCTTATTATGATTTATAATTAGTAAGAATCATTTCAACTTGAGCTTAATTACAATTTACAAAAACTAAATTTGTAAGAACTTTTTAAGTTACTGAATATTTGTGTACGTAACTTTAAAGCTATGTATTATAATAAGCCATTCTTAAACTAGAACTGCATAAAACTTCTTCTAACTAAATTTTATTCTCTTTAACTTAATGATTAAATAGTTAAAGAATTAATTTAAAAATCTCTCGTTTAAAGTAAAGCAGAGAGCAACTTTAAAGATGTGAATGAAAACGAAGTATAATCGTACTTCAATCTCATTTAAAAAATCTACAAGTAAAAAAGTAAGTTGGCACAAGGGTCATACTAGAAATATTTACCTGGTATAGATTCTGTATGGTTAATCCTTTCATAAATTAATAAAAAACTATCAAAGTCATAAAGCAAAAATCACATTATTTAAAAATAGTAAATTAGTAAATAGTCTTGCTCGAAGATCCTAGTATCTAAGTAATTATCCCCTAAAAAGAAAAACCTTATAATTGATAATAAATAAATTGAAACTCCATAAAATGATTATATTTTGATAAATGGTAGTAAACTTTATATTTCAAACTATAGAAACGAGGAGGAAGTCCATTAATCTTCTCATTTTTCTTTTTAGATTAATACCAATAAAATAAATTTAGATTAATGCGATGTTGAAAAAAAATAACAATAGCCTAATATTTAATAAGAAAAAATTTAAGATATTAACAATTAAATAGATTAATTTGAAATAGAATAAAACAAAAACGCAGAGTTGGACACTCTTTCAATATAAATATATGATTGTATTTAGTAGATTTAAAAATTAACATCAATAAAAGTAAAAAAAATAATCAATCCTAATGAATAAATTATATCTATTATCTAAAAGCTTGATATGTGAAGTTAAAATGTATGTTTAAACAAATTTATATTAAATATCTCTATTCGATAACCTCTTTATATATTATATCTTGTAAAAATATTACTGCATTTAAATTTATTTGATCTTTATCAAAAATCTAAAAAATATTAAGTTTATTAAATAATTCATAAAAAAAAATAGCAAGCAAAAAAACTCATAAATAAATGGATAGTGATAAACTTAAAAATAATGCCTTTTGCAAAATCCACCCTGAATTTAAAATTAAATATATTAAAATAAGCGATGAAAACAATGAAATACTAAAGTGTGAGGAGTGTGCTTTAGAAGAAGACCAAATATAAGATTACATATCAATTAAGAGTATTAAACTAAGCAATAATGAACACATTTTCAGAAATTGGCCTCCTGTTCAAGATCCTACTTTATTAAAAGATCTTAAATACATACTCCAGCAAGAGGTTTATAGTATTGAACAAATAGAATAGTAATTCACCTTATACATTTCAGAAGTAGTCCAAAAGCTATAATAAATAAAAAAATGTATTATTCAATCAATATTGAGGTAAAATAAAGAAAAAGAAGATTGCATTAAAATTTATAACTAAATATCAGGCAAGAAGTAGCTACAATAATTTGTAAATAGCTCAAATATTTTTTAAAATTTGGAAGATTTAAACGAATTTATTTAAGAAACTATATTTTAAGAGTATTAAAATACAAATATTCTCAAGTAATAACTATAAAAAATTAAAAATTCTAATAAATATTCCTAGTAATTATTTACTAAATTGAAAGATTCTACTTTTAAATTAATTGACGATTTTGACTTTATCATAAAGCAATAAGATGAAGAGGCTTCAAAACATTTGCAGCTACTGTAATATTTTCGTTTTTGCTCCTATAGCCAATCAAATTAGATTTAAATAGTATCTAATGATAACAACGTTATATCAATTATTAAAAATAACATAAGTTTATATGGTGGAATATATTTTGAATATGAATTAACTTAGAATAAAACTTACACTATCAGATTTAAATTCAATGATATAGCTGGTGAGTATTTTATTATTGGTCTTCTTAATTCAAAACATATGGATAAAACTCTAAATGAAACGCGCTAAGGCAAAACATTTTGTAAAATATCTAATGCAGGAGCTGATGTATTGTAAGGTGAGTATTTTTATTAAATATTTGCTGACCAGATATTGGAAATGAGGGTAAATATTAAACATTAATAGATATATTTCTTAGATTATCCTGAATATAATAATATCAACAAATTAAGAGACATGGATTTATTAGATTAAAATGGAACCTATTATCTAGCTATACACTTTGGTGCCAATTAACTATATAAAACTTGCATAGATTTGATTTATTTTTAAGAAAATGATAATTGAAATATTTTTAAAATAAATAAATAATTTATTTAATTAAAATAGATTTTGAAAATATCATTCATAAATAAAATGTTTCTAATAATATTAATTGTAATATCAATTTAATATTCTTTAAAAACTAGTCTAAAAGTACATATTAATTAATTAAACAATTATTTATTATTCATGAGTTATATAAAACTTGTAGCATAGATTAAATTAATTATTAAGAAATTGATAATTGAAATATGTCTAAATTAAATAATTTAATTTTAAACAATTATGGGTTATAAGATGAAAAAATAAATTCTCACAATAATAAAAAACGGATTATTAGATAAATCTTTTTATCAAGAATTATTTTACTCTTTTCATAATGGCTCAAGAAATTTCAATCTTAAAATTTTTCTAATTTAGTAAAAACAATATATTTATTAAAACAAAAATTTTATCAATATTTAAAATTTAAATTAAATAAACATAAAACAAATTAATATATACCCCTAAAAAAAAATTTTGATCACTTCTCATATATATATATTAATATTTCTACAATTTTGATTAGTAAATCCTGATATTAAATAAATAAAATTTATAAAATTTTATTTTAAAAGTTTTTACAATATATTTATTGATATATAATAACATTTATTATATAATTTATGTTAATATACCATTTACCCAATATTCTAAAATATAAATATTTTTTTTAATGTTATTTTTTTTAAATTAAGATAGAATTTTGATAGTTTTAAAAAAAATTAAAAATTAATACAAACCAAAATAGCAATATCTTTATGAAAGGAGAAACAAGAAAGAATAACTAAAAAGAACTTAAACAATCATATTAGTGAATAATTGACTGGCTGATCAATAAATAGAATAATTTAAATACTAAATTCAATTTTAAACTTTTAATAAATCTTTATTTTATATTGAAGACTCTGTTTCAATAATGTAATCACCGCTAAAATTTGAGTTTCTAAAACTTGATAGGTTAGAAGAAGCCTGATCTCTGAGCTCTATTATCATTTTTTAATTTTATATATAATTTTAAATTAAATAGTTTAATTATTACATATTTAGTTGGGTTTAGTGTTTCTAGTATAGTAAGGCTATCTATTTTTCATCCTATTTTTGAAATTATATTTTTTAAAAATGCTTTACTTTTCATCAGATTCAGATGAGATTGTTTAAGTTAATTTTATAGAGTTTGGGGATAGAATTTAATTTTGTAAGTTTTTCTAATTAAAGTGTTTTTGAATTGATTCTGTAGGATCAACATTTTTTTGATAACTTATCAACTATCTAATTTTTTTTTTTAGTTCTCTTATCTTTAAAAGAAATCTTATCTTATCTTTTTTTTATATTTTAATATCGAATAATGAAGGATGTTTATTGCATATTTAAAATATTATATTTTAAAAACAATTTCTCTCCTCTCGTTCTACAGATATATTTAATCTTAATAAACCTAATACTAAAACAAAAATAAAAAGAAGATTTATAAAGAAAACTAAAAATATCCAAGCAATTTATTCCTCTTATTCATTTTGATCACTAATTATCTATAAAAAGCACAAATTTAAAGATAAAGCATATAAAAATGTAGATATTTGCGATAAACTATTAAAGTATTCTCTAACATAAGGTTTAGATTTTAAAAGCAAATAAAATTAGAATAGCAAAAGTATATTCAAAACACCTACCTATTTTTTTAAATATATTATTTAAATAAAAGATTAAAAATATATATTATATAATTATTTTTATTTACTTAAAAGCATAAAAATATAATATAATAATTTATTCACTGCAAAAGTTTATTTCTAAGTTAATTAATATAATAAAAATTGAAGAAATTTAAAAAAATTCATTTATTACCCAAAAAAACTTTATTTTTTAATTTTTTATTAAATTAGAAAAGTTAAATTACCTTATAATATATATTTTGTTTAAGCAGGATGGATACTACAATCAATTTCATTTTGAAAAATAATTTCCAAAATTCCCAGAAATAATATCTCTCTTTATAACCTGCAAATAAGAAAGAATACTTTATTCGTATAAATATAGATTTTTTATTTTATTTAGCATGATAAATTTTATAGAAAAGTATAAGAGGAATAATTAGGCCCCATAATAATGTTACTGGAATGCTATAATAAAATATAAAAGGTAAGTGATAATCTTTATCAAAGCATTCAACGTTTAAGTCTAAATCTAAATATTTTTTATTTCCTATAGTTATACAGTTAAACGATCTGCATGCTAGAGTAATGATCATTGGAAAGAAGTAAAAGTAAATAAATATAACTGCAGTACGTAAATATTTAAAAAAAATATTTACTTTAAATACGAAATAAACAAATCCAATCAGAATATATATTAAAAATATTCCTATTGGCAGAGATAAAGACCATAGAGATTAAAATAGCCATAAAGGTTATAATTATGGATAATGTGAAAAAACACAATCGATAGACTTACTAGTTAAGCTAGTAGGATTTCCTGAAAACTATATTGGAAGAGTAAATGAGCTAGGCATTTTGAATGTAAAAGTGCATATTAAAGATAATATTTATAAATGTTCAGTTAGAATCTTAGATAAAATTGATGGTCTATCTAGCTAACTTACTTTTTTTAAAAATAAAACTATGATAAATATAAAAAATAAGAAATTATTACAAGTTGAACCTAAATAAATGATATCCAATCTATTAAGGAAGTAGCCAGTGAGTTTAATTTCAAGTTAGTTAATAATTCTTTTTAAGATTGTTAAAATATAACAAAATATTAAAAAGAAGAAAGTCAAATTATAAACAATAATTTTGACTTAGCTTTCTTAACATTTATAGCAATAACCAGGATTTAATATTTCAGAATAATTTGTTTCCCATATCTAACCATATGTATCACAGCTCTGACATAGAGGTCCTTTGTAACCTACATCACAGTTAAACTTTTAAATTTCGGAGTTATAAAGATAAAAATTAAATTTTTAAACTATAACAAGTTTTGAATAGATTATAAACTCTTTTTAATTAATAATTATTTAAAAAAAAACATTATTTTACTTTAGAAGTAGAAAGCTCTGGTTTACAGGATAATGGATTAAAAGTACATTAAAAAATATTGTCTGTTTAATTATTTTCTCTCCAATATCCATTTTTTAAATAAATGTTTGAACCTATACACCTAATAGCTGAATCAAGACATAATTTACATTAACTATCATTTTAAATTAATGAGTATTTTCCATCTGGACAAGATTCACAAGCAATAGAATTGCCATATTATGTAAGTATTTCTCCAACTGAACATTATTCCATAAAAACTTAAACATTTTATTCTACTTACCCTCCTATAAATACGATATTTCCATTTGAATCTTTAATTTCTGGAAACACATTACTCACTAATTTTAGGGTCATATTGGACATAGGCTTATACAATATTTAAACATCTAAGCTAAATCCTCCATTTGTAAACGATTTTGCTTAAAGCTAACCAACACATTATATTTACTAATTTTCTTATTCACAATTTACTGAAACACTAATTTATTGTAGTAAAGATTAAACATCATTACTCAATTAACTAAATTGAGTTGAATTAAAATCTAGTAACTTTAATGGATTGTCTTCTTCATCCAACAATTATATTTTTTTAAAATTTATTTAATTTCCACTTTTAAATTATTTGATTAGTATGTTTTTATCTTAAAAATATTCCAAGATTGTATTTGGTGCTTCTATACTATCTAAATCGATATGCACTTTCCTTAAAGTAGAACCAAAATTTTTTCCAAAGATTATTCCAACATTATTTTTAAAAGTGTTATTATTTTTATTACTACTTTATAAATCAATAATAAATTATGGAAAAATTTGTGTATAGTATATTCCACCACCTATCTAAGCTAAATTAGAGGAAACCACAGAGTTTTACATTATTAAATTATTATTCTATAAATAAATGGCTCCTCCAGAAGAATAAACTGCTTTATTTGATATTAGCTATACTTAATTTAAATTTAAAGTGCCCATTTATATTGTATTTAATACGAATATAGCTCCTCCATTCAACATCAAACATTAATTTAACTAAAATATTGAATTTAATATATTAATTACTTTATTTTCAGTAGCATGTATAACTCCTCCTGGGCCATTGCTATTAATATTGTTACTAAATTAACTATCACTAATAGTTACATTATAACAATTTTAAATTACAAAAATAGAAGTAAACTAATTTTAAGTATTTATCACATTTTTTATTAAAACATTCCCTAATACTATATTTTAGAGTTCATTTAATAATATCAAAGGATTATTGTTTTATATTGTGAAATTTATGAATTTTGATTAAGAAATATGAGCATATCCTCCTATGCTTTGTTAATTTATATTAAGGATTGATATTTCATTATCTAATGAATAAATATTGCTAATATAAGAATTAATGAAACTTTTTATATCAATTAATTTACTATCAGCTCCATTTGGAAATGGCTTGGTATTTGTGATATTAAAATAATCCAAATTTATTTATTCAGCTTAAATACTAAAAATAGTTTATGAAACTTCAATATAATCTAAAGCAATTTGAGATAATTTAGCCGACTTAACCTCAATAGAGAAGTTTGTATCTACACAATTAAGAAGTGTTACATTATTTAAAATAAACTTACCACTAAGGTATTAAACTGTGTTAATATCTTACTCTTGAATTTAAACTATCATGACTTCTGTAGAGTTCTTAACTAAAATACTCTAAATAGATGAGTTTATTGTACTTTGTATTTAGTAAACAAAAGAAAATGAATTTTTGTTTAAGAAAGTATTCGTAATCGTAAGATTTTGAATTTATTTTATATCAAACGCATTAATTAAATGAGTGCAATTCTATATGTAAATATTTTATATAGTCACTTATTCGCTATAGATAATCTAGAAAATTTAATTCGAAGTTAGATCAGAAATATAAACATCATTTATTACCACATTTGTATTATTACTTAAAACAAATAAAAATTAATCTTGCATCTATATTTCATTCAAGAATAGTTAATCTATTACCACTAAATTACAGTTAGAAATAGTAATTTATATATCACTTTGGGTTATGATTTATAATTATTACAAGTAAATTTTGTTAAAACCTGACAAATTAATTGAGTTATTTAAAGTTAATGACATATTAAGCATTTAGAAATTGTTCATCGTCTAATTTTAATTCAAATTAATTTATGCTGAAATTATTAAAGACATTTATTTTAAAAGTAGATTTTTTATTTATTTAGAAAAGATAATATTATCTTACCAAAATATTTTGTACATATTAATAGAAAATAACTTTAAGCTGATCTAATGTAATGGTTCTATATTTTAAAGTTGTACTTAAATATCAAATTGTTATATTGATTATCCATCTAAATATTCTATTTCTATTAATGAAAGTGTTTACTATGTAGTATTCAAATATAAAGTCCATTAATCTAATTTTAATTTTGTGTAAATATTTTCATATGTTCTATTTTACTATTAAATTTAAATAGAACATAAATTATTTTATGAGAGAGGCATTTATATTTTAGAAATATTTTCATAACTAGATGATACCATAGAAGCATAAACTTAATTATTTGAGTCCTTAACAAGTTAAAAACTTTATATAAATAAATTATCTTAATAATATTCATAAACAATCTCGTAATTGTCACTATATTTCAATTATATTAAAGATAGTTTTTTTTTCTAAACAATAATAATATAATTATTATAGTTCATATTTACTATATTATTTGCTTCTGAGATACCTTTATTTATTGTATAAAATTACTGCTCAAAACTTATTGCATTATATACAATTATATCATTAGGACATATAGAATAAATATAATTAGCATCATAAGTTATCAATGCTTACTTTAGACAAGAATTTGGTATTGAAGTAATAAATTCTAGTTAAAAACTAAAAATATTCGTTGTTGCTTAATTGCTAACAATATATATCATCTATTTAAAAGGATCACTTACTATGTTGAAGATTTTATATTCTTTTAGAGATTATTACTAAATAACTTTATTACTTACCAAATCAATAATATAAAAATTATAACCAAAGTTATTTTGTTAAAAAACAAATACATTTTTTATAAACTATCCTTCTTTTATCTAGTCCTTTGTATTTATTCTATCATAGCTTTCAAAAGGAGTTTTCCAAATATCATTTTCAAATTAACTAATCTATAATTTAAATATTTATTTTACTTAGCCTAAATTAGGTAATTAAATTATATTAGTTATGTTCTTTTAAATGTTGTAAGTTTAAATGATATTAATAGATGCTGTAACTATATATTAACTGCAAATAAAGGATTAAGGTCTGTCAAACTCCTTTAAACTTGCTATAAAAACCTCGCCTTAACTATGGTTTTATAAATTAATAGCAGATAATCTCAAGTTTTATGAGTAAAGTAATAATACTTAATTTGATATACTATCAAAAAAGAAATTATCAGGGGTATTTTATAATGTAATTTAAAATATTTATGTTAAAGAATTTGTTTGCAAATTTATTTAAATGAGCCTTAATTAATTATATGTAATGTATATGAATTCCTTTTCAGACACTAATAATGGCTCTGTAAAATATGGCTAAATATTTTATTAAAATGGCTCAAATAGCAAACTATCAACAATTTAAGCGTTTTTGAATAAATTTAGAGAAAGATTAGTTAAACTATAATACACTTAATATTCATCATTTAAGTATATATTTTAGATTTTTTAATACTAAAATAAGTTAGTTTCGCTTGCATAGAGTACTTCTGTTAGATCAAAGCTAATAAACGCAGTACTTGTTTACACTATCAAGATAGAAATTTGTGAATTAATAAATATGCTCAAAATATTTGTCTAATCATATTAATGTAAAGAAAAAGTTTCAATGAGCTACATTTCTGGATATTTTAAAGCATAAATAAATTTGTATGAATATAAGAAGACTACCTATTTGTTTTATTCCATCTAGATTCCCTAAGTATCTTTGATAAATGTATTGAAAGTTGTGATATTTCTTTATAGATAGTTGCATAAGTAAATAATAGGAGTTGAGTCAACTAAAATTATGCTGGATTACTCCTATAAATAATAAGTAGCTCCTTACAAAAAGGGATTTATTGTATAGTACCTAAATACATCTAAATCTCCAGGAACAGTCATAATATTAACTTATTTTGTCACACCAATAAGTCCTATTAATATCCCATATGTAAGATCATAATAAAGATTTGTATGATTTTATCTATAATCAAACGAAATTAAAGTTTATACGTTGTTATTTTTTTGAAAAAAACTATTTCCTGTATCTAAGAAACATATTATTAGCTATTTTTAGACGTTTACTATCGGGATATTTTAGAAGTTGTTTTGATTTTTTAAGAAGAATAAATTTGCCTAAAATAAAAAATAATTAATATTTACAGAAATCAAAAAAAATAATTCTAATAATTATTCAAATAAATATAAATATTACGCTTTGAAAATATTATGAATCATTGCCAGAAACTAAGTCTAAAATTCTCACCACAGGAGAATAAATGATTAATAGGCTTTGAGAGCATTATAAAGTAAATTTAAGTGGTAAAATATTTTAGCCTTAATTGACTGAAAAAGCTGTGTTTACTTGTAATTAAACCCCTGATTGCATCTATTAATTTAAAGCTTATTTAAGAAATGTTTTGTAATAAATAAAATAATTTACTTAAATTGTGAATAAATTTTAGTTTTTAGTTTGAACAACTATAATTTATTGCTAAATACAATATTAATAATCTGTAATATCCGAATCTAACTTTGCTATTAATTTATTTTATAAATTTAGTTTTGGATTAAATAAATTTATATTTGATCCATATACATAAAAAAAACTATTTTCAGCCCAATCTAATATCTTAATTGGTACAGTTAACTCGCTTTCAATCTTGTTTTGATTTACTGTAACTAACTGGTTATTTTTTATTATATCATAAATCTAAACACATTTACAGCTACTATCGTATAAAGCTATTAGATTTTCTGTAGATTAGAAATATAAATCTTAAAAAAGTTAAGTTGAAATAAAATTAAGGACTTAAAAAGGAAAGTTAAACAAATTTTTATGCCAATATACTCCGTTTTATGATTAAAATATGTGAAATTATATTTCATCCATTTATACTTAGCCAATCAGAGTATTATCTTCTTACTATGTTTTGATAATTATCATATTATCAATATCAATTATATTTCCAGATTTTTTTGCATATGAAGTATTGTTCAAAAAATAGAAATTAATTTACAATTACAAAAAGTAAAATGAAGAAGAACCAGCATCTATAATTTAGAACTACTTAAGCTCCATGTCAAATTTATAAAAGTATGCTTAATCAAAATAAAATGCAAATCTATCATTTTGAAACATGTCTAATTATTATTGCATTTAAAAAGTTGGATACTCAATCCCAATATTTAATAAGGTTAAGTTTTACAAATCATATGAGTACACTAATATAGTTCCATAGCAAAACATAAATATTTCTTTTGTTTTTTGATATGTAGCTGTAGGATTAATTAGAGGGAGTAATTATAATTCAGTTGGTTCCAGAATAAAATTTTATTCATTTAAAGAGAAAGGCTGACAATATTTTTAGTTTAAATAATCACAGAAATAAATGATATCATCAAAAATAAGAGGATTGTTTGAATTTATGTTAAAAGTCCATAATAAAAAATTTGAATTATATTAAAAATTAAAAATTTAACTACTTTTAAATGTAGATAAATCTAATTTATTTAAGACCATTTCATATTAATAATTCATTGATTAATAAATCAGATAGTCATCGTTGATAATTAATAATTAAATATTTTATAAAAAATCCTCGCTATTATTTATCAGCTATTATGAATTGTTCAAATTAAAAGCTTAAGGAATATTATTAACTATTAAAATATTTCTTTTTTAAATATAAGCAAAGTTTGTTTATTAACCATTATCAGTATAACTGTATGATATAATTTATTTATTTTGAGTTATGTCAAAGATGTATTGGTAAATTGTGAAATATATTTATTATTAAAGGATAATATATTTATTATTTATTTATTAAACAAATTTAAGAGTTCCTAATAAAATATTTTCATTTTGATTTAGTTATAGCATTTTAGTGCTCAAATTAGGGATTCTTTGGTATCCTTAAGCATATTCTGAAATCATAAGATATCCAATAGTTTAATTTACAAGCTTTTACTCACCATCAAAAATATAAATAAAATTTTAATTATTATTAACGTCAGAAGTAGTTAAAGCTTATTGATTTTAATTCAAAAATAGCTAGTTTTATATGTAGAGGGATTTAAATTAATATGGTGCTAAGTATTTTATTTAATATGTAAAATCAGTTAGATTATATCTAAATCTAATAAATTATTGATAAGCAGACAAATCAGATAAGACTTGTGAAATAAAAAACTCTATAGTATTTTAATCTTTCATAATGTTTACACTATTAATTTTTGAAGACTAGGTAATAAAAGTATAATTTAAAGGTTAGAACTAAGTTAAAATACTTTACTATTAGCTTTCACTTTAAATTATAAAATTTGTTATATTAATAATTTGTAGTGTTTCAGAAAATATAAATGCTAAAGTAGAATTCGTGCCTTTATCTTCAAATATTTAAAATGAACTTAATTATGAGGATGTTATATTCATCTTTTTAACTATTTATTCTGATTCATTATTTAGTATTAATATTTCTAAATTGTGATATTTCTAATTCTATTAAATAATGCAATTGAGCATTTATGAGTAATAGATTAATACATTATATGGAAGAATATATTAATATTATTGTATTATTTAAAGCCTGCTTATTTTATCTTCTTTTATAATAATTTTTGATATTGTTAAAGTGTAATAATTGAAGAAAGAAAATAAAATATAATAATCATTTTATTAACTTAATCTGAAAAATAATTAATTATCCAAATTTTCTTAATTTATATTTTTAAAATCTAATGACCTATTTTAGTTCAATGTTGCTACCTTTTTTTTAAATATTTAATATTATAAATATAAATATTAATTTTTATAATAAATTACTTAAAATATCACTTATCCTGTCTATAATTAATTCTACATGAGATAAATTGAAGATGTTTAATTTTCAATTTGATAGAAAAATAATATTTTTAAAAATTCAATCTTTTATTGATTCATATTTTTGTTAATAGCATCATACAACATGATGTTGCCGCTATATAATGAAACTAAAAAAACAATTTAGTTTATTTAATCCACATGCTGAACTGTGTATTCATAATTTGTATTATTAATTTCAAATTCTACTTCTAGTGTTTTAAAATTAACAACTTTTAATACAGTACCTGCAGAACATCCCCCATAATATCCAACTATAAAACTTCTTCTATCAGTTTCTTATCCATTTGAAGTATAATAAAAATTGTAATATTCTAAATTTTACAAAACCTGTACATTGATTATGTCCCAATTTTAGTCTACTAAAGCAAAAGTACAACCATTTCCTACTACTAAATATTAGTTTTAATTTATTTTTTAGAATTCTATTACTCTTTCATCAAAAGAGAATCTCTTGCTTTCTTGAATTTATGTACAATTTACAGTCTCTTCGCAAGTTTAAGTTTCCATATTTTAGTAAAAGGTAGGTGAGCAATCTTTTTAACAATTTTAAATATTTGTTGCTCCCTAATAAAAGTTATTCAAATATGAACAGACATTATCCATAATCATGCACTAATTATTAGCTTAATCAAGCTTTAAATTTTAATCACATTCATAACATTTTTAGCTTTCATCACATTTAACACATCCAAAAACTTAGCATTTTACACACTCTTTGTTTTCATTTTAAAATTCATTGATTTAGCATTTTTGAACGCAAGTAGAATCATCATCAGAGCTTTTAAATAAGTTCTACTTACAGGTTATGCAAGAAGATGGTTTTGTATTAAAGCACGTCTAACATTCATTAGAGCATTATAAGCAAGATTAAGTAACCAAGGAATATATTTCATTTTATTCACACTAAAAAGAAATACAAAATTTAACTAGAATCAAAATGATATAAGTTATTTTTAATGAATTCATCTTTGAGTTTAGTGGTTTTTTAATCTGATTTGACAATAAGGTTTTTTAAATAATCTTTTAATCTAAAAATCTAATTAAATAGCTGCCAATTTTAAATAATCAAAGTTGAGAGAATAGGATGACATAACATTTTTTAAATTTCTTTTAAGTTTTAAATAGTTATTTAAATAATATTTTTCTTGGCATAAAAATCAAAAAGAGATTATGATTAGTAATTAAAAATTTCATTCATTTTTAAATTGATTGATTGATACAGTTAAAACACATGAATTAAAGTCATTCAAATATATATAACAACATATAAAATATTAAATATTTTCAACTAGAAAATTCACTTTATTTATATTTCTTTCTTGTTCTTGATTTGAATTTCATATCTTTTATTGGCTTTATCATATAAATGAAGTAGATATCTTTTCTATGTCAACAAGTTATAAGGGAGGCTTGTGTTAATAGTAGAATTTCTGATATCAGATTCATCATATATAATCTTTTATCAATCAGATATATTCTACAACGAACAATTTAGAAAATTATCACATCTGATCAGCTGATATGAAAATTCAAGCTCAAAGTAAGAGAGGATTTCCAATAATTTATTATTTTACTAGGACATTTTTGAATGAAAATTTTGATCATTTTTGAGTTCACCTGTTTTTTAAACTGATTTGACAATAAGGATTTTTAAAAGATAGTTTAATCTAAAAATCTGATTAAATAGCTATCAATTTTGGATAATCAAAGTGAGAGAAAGTAGGATGACGTAACATTTTTTAAATTAGATTATGATTATTAATTAAAAATTTCATTCATTTTTAAATTGATTGATTGATACAGTTAAAACACATGAATTAAAGTCATTCAAATATATATAACAACATATAAAATATTAAATATTTACAACTAGAAAATTCACTTTATTTATATTTCTTTCTTGTTTTTGATTTGAATTTCATATCTTTTATTGGCTTTATCATATAAATGAAGTAGATATCTTTTCTATGTCAACAAGTTATAAGGGAGGCTTGTGTTAATAGTAGAATTTCTGATATCAGATTCATCAAATATAATCTTTTATCAATAAGATATATTCTACAATGAACAATTTAGAAAATTATCTCATCTGATCAGCTGATATGAGAATTCAAGCTCAGAGTAAGAGAGGATTTCCAATAATTTATTATTTTACTTGGACATTTTTGAATGAAAATTTTGATCATTTTTGAGTTCACCTGTTTTTTTAAACTGATTTGACAATAAGGATTTTTAAAAGATAGTTTAATCTAAAAATCTGATTAAATAGCTATCAATTTTAGATAATCAAAGTGAGAGAAAGTAGGATGACGTAACATTTTTTAAATTTCTTTTACATTTTAAATAGTTATTTAAATAATATTTTTCTTCACACATAAAAATCAAAAAGAGATTATGATTATTAATTAAAAATTTCATTCATTTTTAAATTGATTGATTGATACAGTTAAAACACATGAAATAAAGCCATTCAAATATATATAACAACACATAAAATATTAAATATTTTCAATTAGGAAACTCATTTTGTTTATTTTTCATTCTTGTTCTTTATATGAATTTCATCTCATTTATTGGATTTATCATATGGATGATAAATGAAGTAGATATCTTTTCTAAGTCATCAAGTTATAAGTGACTCTTGTGTTAATAGTAGAATTTTTGATATCAGATTCATCATATATAATCTTTTATTTATCAGATATACTCTACAACGAACAGCTTAGAAAATTATCTCATCTGACCAGTTGATATGAGAATACAAGCTCAGAGTAAGAGAGGATTTCTTACAATTTTTTTTTTACTTGGATATTTTTGAATGAAGATTTTTATCATTTATTTTTGAGTTTAGCTGTTTTTTTAAACTGATTAGACAATAAGATTTTTTAAATGATAGTTTAATCTAAGAATCTAATTAAATAGCTGCCAATTTTAGATAATAAAAGTTGAGAGAAAGTAGGATGACGTAACATTTTTTAAATTTCCTTAACGTTTTAAATAGTTATTTAAATTTTTTTCTTCACAAATAAAAATCATAAACACAGTAGAATATTTATTAGTAATCTATTAAAAATAAATCGGTCCTTGCTGTGAGCCGCTAATTTGTTAGATATTAGATATTAAAAATATAGTATTTTTATTTAAATTATCTATCTGCTGCACTTTTTGTTTAATTTTGTTTTGTTTTAAAATTCAAAAAATATTTTTTCAAAATCAAAATTTTTGACTTCAAATTAAAAATTTAATATAATTTAAAAATTAGTGCAAAAGTAAAAATTACAATTATTTTATATTTATGAATCGATTATGTAAAATATTCTATAGATAGATTTGTTAATTTTTATGAAAATAAAATTTGAAATATTTTTAAATTAAATAATTTACTGCAAATTTCAATATTTAATAAAATGCTTGAATCAACATTTTATAATATTAAGTTTAAAAATTAAAATTACTTAAGCAATTATTATATTATTCTTGATGGATTAATTGATTGACTAAAATATAACAAGATTTTTATTAGAAAATATTTTTTATAAAAATTTAATTTCTTATTTTTTTCAAATAATTCTTTTGGCTTTTAGATAAAATGATAAACAAAATAAAGTTTTAAATTATACAAAATTAATTTTGAGAGAGTAATTAGTCTTTGAAATATATAATATATTATTTTTTGTTAAAAAATTGCATTACTAAAATTGAAATATATTAAAATTATTTCATTTACTTACTTTAGAAATTTATTATGTTTATTTATAATTTTAAATTTATATTTTATTAATATAAGAAAAATATTATGGATTGATGCTAGTTATTCATGTATGTATTTGCAAGCATATGATAGACGGGTTTGCTTGTAATTTAAAAACTAAAACTTTTAAAAGCTTAGAGCAAAGTATATTTAAAGATTTCTTTTTGATTGGCCTCAATTTATAAAAAATTGGAATATATAAATATAATTAAATTTAATAAAAAAGAAATTAATTGATATTTTCTTTTAATTATATAGAATATGAGTGTTAATTTAGGGATTTCAAAGATCCTGCTAAGTTAATTAGGGAGACCATTTATTTAGTAAAAAAGTGGATTTAATACCCTCTTTAGATTATTAGATGGTACTCAAAATGCTTTCAAGATAACTTAATTGAATGGATTTAAATTTTTCTAATAAATGAATTCAAATATTTAAGCTAATTACTTGAGCAATATCATAATGAAAAGCTTTAACTTGTAATCTATCTCATCTTCCTTGGAAGGTCCTAAAAGATTAGAAATCGATGAAGCTATTTTGAATGTTAATACCCATTAAAGAAAGAGAGCTAAAGTAAAAAGAGAAAAGCGTAAATAACGTAGAAAAAAAATCAGAAGATTATCTGAAAGAAAGAGAGAAAAATATAATTATTGATTCTATTTAATATTAAAAACAGTCTACTTATCATAATCTTTCTTGTTTTATAACTAACATTTTTTATTGTATATTCATTTAAGTATTTCAATCAAATTTGACCCTTCTATATGTCATTTAAACTATTTTATGCAATCCTATTTATTATTTTTTATATCTAAGAAATTTCTATTTTTTTTGCAAAAGATATTAATTATTACTAATCAATCAATTTATTCAATACACTTAAAAATTTTAATTATTTTATAATTAGATAAATCCCTTTTACACTTTTAAAGTAAGCAATAAATAATTCAAATCTAATTGGGGTTGGGGTTGGGGTTGGGGTTGGGGTTGGGGTTGGGGTTGGGGTTGGGGTTGGGGTTGGGGTTGGGGTTGGGGTTGGGGTTGGGGTTGGGGTTGGGGTTGGGGTTGGGGTTGGGGTTGGGGTTGGGGTTGGGGTTGGGGTTGGGGTTGGGGTTGGGGTTGGGGTTGGGGTTGGGGTTGGGGTTGGGGTTGGGGTTGGGGTTGGGGTTGGGGTTGGGGTTGGGGTTGGGGTTGGGGTTGGGGTTGGGGTTGGGGTTGGGGTTGGGGTTGGGGTTGGGGTTGGGGTTGGGGTTGGGGTTGGGGTTGGGGTTGGGGTTGGGGTTGGGGTTGGGGTTGGGGTTGGGGTTGGGGTTGGGGTTGGGGTTGGGGTTGGGGTTGGGGTTGGGGTTGGGGTTGGGGTTGGGGTTGGGGTTGGGGTTGGGGTTGGGGTTGGGGTTGGGGTTGGGGTTGGGGTTGGGGTTGGGGTTGGGGTTGGGGTTGGGGTTGGGGTTGGGGTTGGGGTTGGGGTTGGGGTTGGGGTTGGGGTTGGGGTTGGGGTTGGGGTTGGGGTTGGGGTTGGGGTTGGGGTTGGGGTTGGGGTTGGGGTTGGGGTTGGGG